TATTCTATTACTTCTATTCTTTCTATATAAACTAAAATAAAAACATTTTTTTTTCTAAGTAAAACTTAGTTTTATCTTAGTAGTTAGATATGTAGATTGCAATCTTCGTGACGATAAGATTTGTGCCGGCTATTCCGACTCTTCAATTTCCTTGCCGTTCAACGCAGTCAGGTGGAGACGGGCGGGCGGAGAGCAAGGGCATTGCAGAGGAAACGGCCGAGATGGCGATTTGAGCTGCGATGAAGAGGGCGGAAGACGGATGCTGCGATATGGAAGGACGACGAGAAAGAGGTGCTCCGAGATGGATGGGGCGGCTGAAGGACGGTTCGGCGAAGGGAGAGCGAGGCTGACAGTGCTGTCGAGATGGATGGTGCAGCACACGTTTGGCGTGCCGAGGTGGAGGCGGCTGAGGTGTTCGAGAGTCAGCCCTTGACGGCAGGTCGGTGGGGATGGGAGGCGGTATGGTAGAGGCTGCGAGGGATGGTGAGATGCTGTGGCGAGATGAGCAAGCATGGGAAGAGAGAGAAGTGTTGATACTGAACTGTGAAAGGAGGAAAAAGCGGAGGCGGATGCCGCGCCGGAGCTGCCGCAGAATTCCTGCTGCTCCGCAAGGCTGTTTTTAAACAAAAAGAGTTCAACCACGCTATCAGAACGTAGATCCAGCAATGTTTGCGCAGCAAGTATTGGCCATTGATGCTTGTCTACGGCTGGTTCACGCCACAGCTCCCCAGGTACATGGAAATGAACTTGTCTTCTCCGATCGCGGTGGATTTCGTTCAAACAGCGAAAGACCTCCAAGTCTTCTCACTCAAACGGCACTGTCGACCACCACCTTCCCGACATGCCTCTGCTCCCACAAATATTGATATGCCTCCTTCAGCTCTCGCAAGTGGAATGTCTTTTGATCAACCACCGGCTTGATATGATTGGCGACGATGCACCGATTCATCTCCTCGAACTGCGCTCGCGAGCCCACCGCGATACCTCGGACAATACACCCACGAAACCAGGCGTTCAGCAGGCCGGGCTCGGGGTCTTTGGAATCCTGACCACCAACAGCGCCGACAATGGAGAGAATGCCGTCCATCTTGATCGCGGCCAGGGATTGAGGGAGTGTTGCAGCGCCTCCAACTTCCACCACAAAGTCGACACCTTGCCCTGCCGTCAATGCTTTGGCCGTCTCGCCCCATTGCGCGTCGTCGCGATAGTTGATGACATGTTGCGCCCCGAGTTCTTTCAGCCTCGCAGCCTTGGCCGCGCTCGAGGTCGTAGCAATGACAGTTGCTCCCGCCGCGACAGCAAATTGGATCGCGAAGATCGACACCCCTCCGGTCCCAAGAGTCAGTACCGTATCTCCCGCCTTCAAAGCTCGCCCTGTCAGCCCGTACAAAGCGTTCCACGCCGTGACTCCAGCGCATGGGAGCGCGCTTGCTTCAGCAAAGGTCAAAGTCGAGGGCATGTGTACCATCCCGGACTCGTCAAAGACACCATACTGCCGCAGAGTGCCATCGAGACTCCCGCCTAATCCTGTCTGCAGAATTTCCGGCGTTGCCGGTCCAGCGATATGGCCTTGACTCAATATCGTGCACACTCGATCACCTTTTTGAAAGCGAGAGACGCGGGATCCAGTCTCAATCACTGTACCAGCGCCGTCGGAACCAGGGACGACGCCTGTCTTCATTGGGAACGGGTAGGTGCCCTGAGAGAATGCGCGTCAGCATGTCAAATGCGGCGGACGGAAAGACGGCACCAAACCATGGGGATCATCAAGTCTCTGTAATTCAAGGACGTTGATTCAATCTTGACCAGGCAGTCGTGGTCGCCGAGTTGATGCGGTATGGCCTCCTTCTTGATTGCCAGCCCGTCGAAGCCTGATAGCTGCTGGACCGTCCATGTCCAATTTGTACCGGATACATTGGTTGCCATAGCCGCTGTACAAGCCTTGTGAATGCGCGAGTCGTGCCATAGATGCAGAAGTTGCGAAACCTGACACGAGGGAGCTTACAAATCCGGGAAAGGCTGCTGCATGACTTCAATGTTCATAATCTTCTCTGCTCCCACCTCAGAGGCTTGATAACCATCATCACGCCAAGTACTTGCTTGGACCGCCGACCAGACCCTGTTCACTCATCGCGCTACGGTACTGATTGATGGGACTCTTTTAGAACACAGACTCCGCGGCTCTGGTTACTCGTCATCCCGATTACTCAACAGTTGCGGCCGACCTTCCGCCGACAAGACTGTAGTCACCCGTCGCCGAGGCATGGAAATACGACCACCATGGCGCGATGATCAACCGTAAAACCACATCGTAAATCTATCAAGCCAGCCATAAGACGCGCGCTTTGTACTGTACATCCTCACAATCAATCAAGCAAGATGGCAGGCAGTAAGACTGTGCTCAACCCACAAAGCAGACTTGTACTCACACAACTCAACAGTCCATCTTTGGCAGCGCAGGTCTTCGAGCGGGCGCCACGGGACCCGATGATTTGCCAGAGATTTTTAATCTCCTCGAGAAGTACAGGTGTAAGAAGATTGGCGGGCCACTCGAGCTGTATATCTCGGATCGTAACTCACACCCGCAGACACCGCAGCGTTGTATGGCGACAGCGAAGAGTATCTCGGCAAAGTCGACGCTGGCAAGAGATTCGTACTCGACACCAAGACGCGAGGCGATTTTGGCGGACCGGTCCATGCCACGCGACAGACGGTGGTGGCCGAGGGCAAGCAGAGCAGGGAGTTGCTGGGGAGCGGGGTGGATGTCTTCTACCTCCATGCCCCGGACACGGCAATGCCGATCGAGGAGACGCTGGCGGGAGTGAACGAGGTCTACAAGACGGGCTTCTTCAAGCGCTTCGGGCTGAGCAACTACGCCGCGGAGTACGTAGAAAAGATCTACGGCATTTGCAAGGAAAAGGGTTATCTGCTGCCGTCGGTGTACCAAGGTTTGTCCGGTGAGCTGCTGGTGTGGTCTTCATGTCGACGAGTGCAGGAATGTACGAACCGGTGGCGAGAAAGCAAGAAACCGTGCTGTTCCCGACCCTGCGGAAGCTGGGGATGAGCTTCTTCGCCTACTCGGCCATGGCTGGTGGCTTCTTATCGAAAAGCAAACAAGAGGTCTTGGACGGCTAAGGTCGCTTCAACAAGGAGACCTTTGGCGGGGTGTACGTGAGCATGTACAGCAAGCCGGCGTTTCTGGAAGTACTGGGGACGTGGGAGGGCATTGCAAAGGAGGAGGGTGTCTCGCGAGCTGACTTGGCATATCGATGGATTACCTACCACAGCCCTCTGAAGAAGGAGCATGGAGACGGGATCATCGTGGGTACGCGGACGGCCGAGCAATTGGAACAGACGCGCAAGGCGGTGAACGCGGGCCCGCTGATGAGTGACAAGCGAGAATGGGGAAGCATACGACAGTCGCTGACTAACATGCGGCAGGATTGCAGAGCTGTGGAAGACGATTGAAGCAGACGCTCCTCTGGATGTATACGCCCAATTACGGGGGAGGTAGGGGCGGGAGGCGATGGCTGCCTGGAATGGCTGGAGGAGCGTAGCGTCGTAAAAAGGAGAGTGGGATGTACGCTGTTTCCACCTTGTCTCATCCCATCTCCGTGAAACACCGCATCCGCGCTTGGCTTCATTTCCAAACTCCCCACCACGCTGCGACACGCGGTTTGTTTGACGAGCCGTTTGCTGGATTGACAAGAGCGAGAATTATAATCACAATCAAGGAACTCCCCCGATCAATACTCCAATATGAAATGGCGCAGTCGTCGTCTACGAGACAAACCTCGCTTCCCCCCTCCTCCACGCGGCTCGCCCCCAACCAAATTCGGGGTGCGAAAAATAGAAGCGCGGCTGCTCCCGCGACCCCACCCGATTGGCCGGGTACCTGGCATTAGCGTGGAAAACAAGGAGGCTGTGCGGGAGGCGTCACATCGCCTGGACACACCTGCGTGCAGATACATATTTCATGCATTCCGCGTGCTCATCTGTCAACACTCCCCCTCATTCATCTTCTTCCATCCTTCCACCACTCTCATTTCTCCCACTGCCTTCCAACACTCCTTGATCCACCCTCGTTCATCATCATGCGCTTCTCCAAGTCCTCCGCCGCCGCTCTGGCGCTGTCCCTCCCTGCCGCCCTCGCACAAACATCCACAACATGCAACCCCCTCGACACCACCTGCCCCAACAACCCGGGTCTGTTGGCCACCTCGTTCAGCTCCAACTTCCTCGAGGGCAAGAGCGCAATGTCACAATGGACCGCGGCGGCCGGCACCACGCTCGACTTTGACAGCAACGGTGCGGCATTCAGCATCGACGCCGCCGGCCAGGCCCCGACCATCGCCACCAACTTCTACATCTTCTTCGGCGTCATCACCGTCAAGATGCAGGCCGCCCCGGGCGCCGGCATCGTCAGCTCCGTCGTGCTGCTGAGCGACGACCTGGACGAGATCGATTGGGAGTGGCTGGGCGGCAACACCACCACCGTCGAGACCAACTTCTTCGGCAAGGGCAACACCACCCTCTACGACCGTGCAACCTACCAAGACGTCGCCTCGCCGCAGACGCAGAGCCATACCTACACCATCGACTGGAACGCCGACCGCATCGAGTGGATCATCGACGGCACCACCGTCCGCACCGTCACCGCCGACAACTCCCTCACCCTCTACGGCAAAAACTACCCGCAAACCCCCATGCAGCTCAAGCTGGGCAACTGGTGCGGAGGCTGCAGCGGCGAGCCCCAGGGCACGGTCGAATGGTCCGGCGGCCCCACCACCTTCAACGATGCGCCGTACGTCATGTACGTGGAGTCGGTGGACATTCAAAACTCCAACCCCGCCAGCGCCTACCAGTGGATGGGCAACTCGGGTTCGTGGCAGAGCATCAAGGTCATCAAGAACGGCACTGTCAGCGGCGGCAACGGAGGCGGCTCCTCCAGCAACAGCACCTCCAGCTCGAGCCCCACATCCACTGCTCACGGCAATGGCAACCACACGATGAAGCACGGGACGGCGACCAGCATGATGCACACCGTGCAGTCCACCAGCTACGTGACTGCCCTCTCCTCCGCCACCGCTGCCACCGCGACGGCTGCTTCCGCCTCTTCAACCCCCAGCTCTGGCTCCGGCTCCAGCGGAACCAGCGCCGCCCCTGGCCTCGTCAATGCCGCTACTTCCCTTGTCATGCTCAGCGGCACCACCATGGTCGGCCTGCTGGCCGGCTTCTTGCTGTTGTAAGCAGATCATTTGTACGATAATCGACTTAGCATTGCATTTGCATTTGGTGTTTTCAATACCCTTGGGGGTGGTAGACAGCTCTGGTAGCCAGAACCAAACAATTCCGTTTAATCTCCATGCTGTCCCATTGAATGCTTAAATGTGTGTTTTGGACCCTGCCCGCCACATGCGTGAGTCAGGGAATTTTAGTGGGCTAAAACGTGCAACCTCGCATGTGCGGCCACCTCCGACGACATTCTTTTATACCTGCGACGGCCCTCACCATGTTCGCCCTCCTCTAATCCCAACCACGAGTCTTCTAAAATGGCACCCTCCTTCTCCACCCACCGCATTGCACAAGACATCGATTCCGATGACGAGAGCGAGCATGGCGAACTGGCCGTGTCTTCAGAAGATGAATATGACAGCGATCTCGAACTCCACGAGTCCATGCACGAGTCCACGGGGTTGATGCGACGCGCATCGAAAGATTTGGAAGCGCTGGGCGCAAAGACACCCATCAGACCCGGCCAGATTGACACCATCGAAGAGGTCGAGCCGCCACCCGAGGGATACTTGCGCCGTGATCGCCAGATTCGTACGCCGCATTACAACGAGCGGCAGGAGCGGCAGACATCACACATCGAGGCCCGCCAGTTCTACCAGAATCAGCAGCAGAGGCAGAACACGCTCGACGAGGCCAACGGTTCGGGGAGTCCGCCGGCGCATCGAAGCCCAACGAAAACGAGCGCCTCAATACATGTGGGCGATGATATCAGAAGGACGGATAGTCAGAGCAATCACAGCGGCCAGGATGGCGCATATAGATCCGCCCTCCCCGTCGGGCTTAGCGATCCAAATAACGCGCGCATACACTCCCCAGACATGAGCAACACGTACGTCGATGCCGACAAGGCGGCGAGAGCGCACACTCTGCACCCCACCCTCCCACACGAAGCCAAACCGCTGTTAGCACGAGAAGGTATCCACGGCGCAGGCGCTGGTGTTGGAATAGAGTCCGCCAACGACTCCAGCGTCACCTCCGAGCTCAATGCTATTTACACCAACATCCAACGGGTTCTGGACATTCGGCACAAGTACATCAGGCTATCGTTGCAAGGGCCCTTTGACAACCCTGCCGATGACCCCAGCTGGAACGTCTACCCACCCATGCCCGAGCCTGTCTGGCAGGGAAACAAGGAGCGCACGAATGGCGACGCCGAAAACGACATACCACAAACCCCCACCAAAAAGCCCCGTAAAATGGGCTACGACATTGGCGAGGACTTTGACATCAACGACTGCCTTCCTGTCCCGGGAGCATCAGAAATGACCTACCAGCTCGACGATGCCGGCATCTTCCAAGTCTACGAAAACTCCAAATCTCTCGAGCTCGCCGAGCCGATTGTCCACATTCCGGATATTCGAGAGTTTTACATGGATCTCGACGCAGTCCTCGGCATCTCTTCCGATGGTCCGTCCAAGTCCTTTGCATACAGAAGGCTGCAGTACCTTGAGGGTAAGTTCAACCTCTATGTCCTGCTCAACGAGTATCAAGAGATTGCCGACACCAAAGCCGTACCGCATCGAGATTTCTACAATGTGCGCAAGGTCGACACGCACGTCCACCATTCTGCTTGCATGAACCAGAAGCACCTGCTGCGCTTCATCAAGAGCAAGATGAAGAAGTCGCCGGACGAAGTGGTCCTCTTCCGTGACGGCAAGGAACTCACGCTGAAAGAGGTATTCGAAAGCATCAACCTCACGGCATACGATTTGAGCATCGACACGCTGGACATGCACGCCCACACCGACTCCTTCCACCGCTTTGACAAGTTCAACTTGAAGTACAACCCTGTTGGCGAAAGTAGGCTGCGCACCATCTTCCTGAAAACCGACAACCACATCAAAGGCCGATACCTGGCGGAGATTACCAAGGAAGTAATGTCGGATCTGGAGAGCAGCAAGTACCAAATGGTGGAATGGCGAATCAGCATCTATGGCCGCTCCCTCGACGAATGGGATAAACTCGCCGCATGGGTGGTCGACAACAAACTCTACTCCCCCAACGTCCGCTGGATCATCCAGATACCCCGCCTCTACGACGTCTACAAGGAAAATCAAACCATGCAGTCGTTTGAAGAAATCATCATCAACGTCTTCCGGCCGCTGTTTGAAGCCACGCACAACCCAGCCTCTCATCCGAAGCTGCACATTTTCCTCCAACGAGTCATCGGCTTCGACTCGGTGGATGATGAGAGCAAAGTTGAACGGCGCATCTACCGTAAATTCCCACTCCCCAAGATGTGGAATACCAAGCAAAACCCGCCATACAGCTATTGGATCTACTACATCTTCGCCAACGTTGCTTCGCTGAATGTCTGGCGAAAACAGCGCGGCTTCAACACCTTCCTCCTCCGTCCTCACTGTGGCGAGGCAGGCGATACGGACCATCTCGCAGCCGCTGTCCTATGCTGCCATAGCATTTGTCACGGATTACTCTTGCGAAAGGTCCCGCTACTGCAATACATCTTCTACCTCGACCAAATCGGCGTCGCCATGAGCCCACTCAGCAATAATGCACTCTTCCTGGCCTACGAACGTAATCCCTTCTTGCAGTACTTCCGGCGCGGCCTCAACGTCAGTCTCTCCACCGACGACCCTCTGCAATTCGCCTTCACCAAAGAGCCTCTCATTGAGGAATACGCCGTGGCGGCGCAAATCTACAAGCTGACCGCCATTGACATGTGCGAACTCGCCAAACACAGCGTCATTCAATCCGGGTTTGAACACAGTGTCAAACAACGCTGGCTGGGAAACAACTACCACTTGCCCGGCGTTGCCGGCAATGACATGGCCAAGGTCAATCTACCCAACATCCGCGAAGCATTCCGCCACGAAACTTGGCTGCAGGAGGTCGCGATGATTGATCGCTACACTTCTGCCCCGCCACTGTCCTCCGTTGCGTCTTCGTCCATGACTTTGCCCCATCACGGTTATGCCTCTGCGGCTCCGCCATCGCCTACAGCTTCCATGCACACCCACCCCAGCGCTACAAACCCGATGAGTTCGGTGGTGTTGGACCAGACGAGCTACCGCCCGGGAAGCAGCCATTACAATAACCCCAACAACTTTTCCTCCCCGCACACGTACCAACCGAATGCGCAGGCAGCGAGACAACATCAACAGCACGAAGCGCAATTGGCACAAGACGGAGGCATCACGGCTCTCAGGCGATCCCAGCAGCAACACGGAAGCGCAAACATTGTCGCCGCATCGCCCAACAATCCCGACGGCCTGATGATGCCCATTCCACCACAGCCTACTGCAGACGCCGCAACTGCCGCTGCAGTAGCGCAAGCCGTCGCCGTCATGCCTCCGTTTGGAAGCAGTCTGAGCCACGAGCCCAAGATGTTCCCGGGCGTGGTGTCGAGGCGCAGACAATCCAGTGTCAGCCGCATTCCGAGTCTGTCCGGGGACCAGCTGCAGCAATTCCAGGGAGAGCTCGAGGATGGGGGGAGCGTGTCAAGGACGGGCAGTTGGAGAAGAGGGGAGACGGAGAGGGGAGGGTTGGTGCTTGGCGGGGGGTTGGAGAGGAGGGTGACGATTGACGAGGGAGATGCGGAGACGGAGGATGGGAGTGACAAGTAGTGAAGAACCTGATTAATACTGCTCAATCCATGATCCCTCGACTCTGCCTGCCAACCCACTTCTTCACCCCAACCCAGGCGTCCCCCTTACTCTCCACTCCGCCCAACTCCGTCCCCACTTCAAACACCGTCGCAACACCATCCAGCCCTCCCACGGCAACATGCTTGCCCTGCCCTTTTTCCCACGCTAGCTTGTTCAACGACAGATTCCTCGCATAGACATCCCGCTCGTGATGACTCGGCCGCGCACGACCGACCGCCACTTCCGAACTGGCATTCACGTCAAACACCTCAAGATTCCCACCGCCGTCCACCATGCCGAAGATGGAGGGCCGAGTGGGAGACCATTTGGCGTCGTACACGAGGTCGTCATGCGAAATGTCGAGAATCGGTTTGACAACGTCCGTCTGTCCGGAGATGGTTGAAGATGTGGCCGAGGGAGGTCGAGCGCGCCACACCTTCACGCTCCAGTCCATTCCCGTGCTGAGAACGAGGTCACCCAGATCAATCTTTCCCCGTGATGGGTGAAAGTGGATGCTGGTTACGGGCGCTTCGTGACCGCGGTAGATGCAACGGGCATCGATTCCGGCTTTCGCACCTGCGCGGTCGTAGCGGTGCACGGGGTGAATGGTACCTTGTTCGGTACCGGCGAGGAAGTAGGTGGGGTCGGAGGCCGGGAATGAAATGCAAGTTGGAGCCACATCATCGGTTTTGTAAGCAGAGGGATTCGGAGAGTGCAGTTCGAGATACTCTTGCGGTTGTGTGAGCATGTCTGTCGACCAAGCGCAAACGATGCCATCAGTGCTGACCGAGATGATGGAGCTGGCGTTTTGCGTGCCGACCACCGCCAGGCTGTAGATGGGATGCGCGTGACCAGTGCGACCGCCGGTAAGGGGTGTCTTTTGCACGGGCTCGCCGGTACGCTGATGACGAGCGCGTGTATCCCAGAGACAGAGCTGACCGGAGTAAGTGCCGCCGAGAATGAGAGAAGGATGATGAGGGTGGAACAAGCAGGAGAGGAGGTCAGAGGTGGCATGCAGACTGTACTCTGGGCGGCCTTTGAGGTGGAGATTCCATACATTGAGGAGGCCTGGCGGGGTGTGGGGGGACTGCGCCGACTTGGTGTATGTTGCGGCGAGGAGTTCGGGGAATTTGGGGCTAAAGTCCACATCACTGAGCATTCTCCTGCCGCCCATCGGTTCGGAGAGCTCGAATTGTGCGACCTCCTTGATCCTTCTGCCCTTTCGCCCCACGTACTCGTCGTCATCTTCGCCATCGACCGCACGAGATTGAAGGGCGTAGTCGGCGAGGACATCATAATCCTCATCCAAGGCACGCTCAATCACCTTGCTGCTGCGTTCGACGAAATCGAAAAAGTCGGAACTGCTCGTGACGGCGTTGAGCTCTTCGGGCGCCAGGGTTCTGGCAGGGAAGCGGGAAACGTCTGTCGGCACAGTGTCTTGCAGTTGCAGCGACTTTAGTTCGTCCTCAATCTCCTGCCGTAAACGCTGTCGAATCTGATCCTCCTCCAGCTCCCTCGCCCGAGCACTCAATTTTCTCCTCCGTCGGCTGCGACTTCTTGTAACGCCATCTGCCTCCTCTTCGCTCAAGTCCCGCGGAGATGACCAACCCTCGTTGGTTTGGACTCCTTTGCTGTATGTGATGACCTCTTGCTTGGTTTCCACGGGAATCTCGTAAACAGTCTGTGATTGTGCGAAAGACAGGGTCTGGGTATCGGTGGAAGCATCCTGGTACGATCGGACTGGTCGTGGTGTACTTGCTCCTTCGTCCTGCAATGGCTGATTGATGCCGCTCACTCTTCTGCTCTTTCCACCAGATGGTGTGCCTGGAGTCCCTGGTGGGGCGGTGGAGGAGGAGCGATCGACGAGCGATGAGACCAAGGCATCTAGATCCTCTCCATCTCGGTTGACGCTGCGATTGCGGAGAGGCGACGGTTGATTGAGCTCGCCGGGGTCGAGGCTCTGTCGGCTGGTGGTGAACTCCTTCTGCCGTATCTCACGTTGTCGCTTCAGCTCTGCAAGTTTCGCGCGCTTGGCGAGGATCTCATCCTGTCGGGACTGCCTCGACGACATTGCAGCTGGCGTTGTCGTGTGTCGTGTTGCTTTCCATACATTTCACACCAGGGAGACGCGCTCTCACATGCAGTGCACCGGCACCATTTAAACTCGACGCTAGTACCAACAGAGCCGCACGGGCATCCGCTCCGAGCTCTGCCGAAAAAACATCTGGCAGGCAAAGCTCGAGCCTTTTCGATTGCGGAGTGACTTGCTTTGCTGCTCCCAACCACACCTTCAAACCCCCATCTCCACCCCCTCACGCCTCCCCTCTCCTCTCCTTGCGCACACTGCTATCGATTGAGAGCGCGCGGCCGCGGTATTGGACTCTCTCTCATCCCTCCTCGCGCTTCAGTCGAGCCGCAATGGCTTCCTCGGGGGTCAACGTAAGCCATCGACACCCTTCCCCAGCCATTGACTATTGCCATCCATCAGACTCTTACTCTTCCTCCCTTGCAGGTCTTCCGGTGGAGCGCTCTCGCCTTCGGCGTCTTCTATGGCTTCTCGCACCAATCCGCAATCTACTCGTCCGACAAGAAGGCAGCGGCGCAGCACGAATGGGACCGCAAGGTCAAGTTAATAGACGATGCCAAGGCCAAGTACGCAGAGAAGAGCCGGCCAGGCTCTGGTGATGGAGGTGAGTCGCATGTTGTCATACGCGCGTTCGGCTTCCTTGCGCATCAGCGGGAGGAGACCCTCGCCTCAGAAGAACAGCACACTAATCCACCTTCTCCAGTCATAACAAACCCCGAAGACCCCAAGTTCGACCTCGAAAAATACCTCAACAAAGTCTCCAAGGAGAGCCCGTAGCATCGCATGACCATGACCATGACCAGGCGAGGATAGGACGAATGGTGATTGCAAAAAAGGGGGGAGGCACCGCGAGATACTTTCGTAACGAGCTTGGGAGCTGCCAGCCAATCCGACGGCAACTCCAACGTGCATCAAAGTCCGGGCAGCCCATCCTAGGCGTGTCTTGACTGGTTTGGTGAGAGCACGAATGTACATACACGTGTATACTATTTCGCCGCATCACCACCAGTTTCCCTTCCTCTTGCTTCGTGACACATCATCCTGAGCCAGAGCATAATGCTTCGACAATGCGAGCCTCATGAGGTGACTGAGGCTCTGCCATTTGCTCTTCATTCTCGCATCGACAGTCCTTCACCAAATGTAGCAGCTCGAGTTCGTCACGTTTGGAGGACATTTGCTACGCATACTTGCACTTGAAAAGGCCACATTCCCAAAAGACTCATGCTAAGAACCAACGTACTCTCTCCAGTCTTCTGCTTGTAATGCATTACCAATCTCATGCTTCCGCAACTCGAAGCCGGGGCATTCATGTCTGTTACAGCTCGATACCACGACTTTTGGCACGTCGTCTTCATGACAGCGCCGCGTACCTGTTGCTGGCCTTCCATCGTCTTCCAACCTTCGATATCCCCCACAAGCATCGACACCACATCCACCCTTTCCCTCCCTGCATCATCAGACCACCATCTGCCTGGTCGGTCCTCGCTAGTCATCCCCCAACCTCCCTCCTTTCCCCCGCTCAACATGTCTGAACTCACCGAAAAGTAAGCATCGCATGCCGCTCCGCCGCAACAACCCTCCTACTAACGGCCTCGCAGCGACCTCGTCATCCTCAAAACCTACAACTCCGCCCCCTACGCCAAAGGCATCCAGTCCCTCAGCGATGCCATCAAAACAAAAGACGCCGCCATCAGGGAGAAGATTGGGCTCAAGCATGAAGCCGACACGGGCCTTGCGCCTCCCCATCTCTGGGACATTGCCGCCGACCGACAACGCATGAGCGAAGAGCAGCCGCTGCAGGTGGCACGGTGCACAAAGATCATCCCCGACGAAAAGGACAGCGAGAAGAGCAAATATGTCATCAACGTCAAGCAGATTGCCAAGTTTGTCGTCAACTTGGGCGAGCGGGTCAGTCCGACGGATATCGAAGAGGGAATGAGAGTGGGTGTGGACCGCAACAAGTATCAAATCATGCTTCCCCTGCCGCCCAAGATCGATCCGAGCGTGACGATGATGACGGTGGAGGACAAGCCGGATGTCACATATGGTGACGTTGGAGGATGCAAAGATCAGATTGAGAAGATCAGAGAGGTGGTGGAGATGCCGTTGTTGAGTCCCGAGAGGTTCGTCAGCTTGGGCATCGATCCGCCGAAAGGTGCACTCCTTTACGGCCCTCCGGGCACGGGCAAGACGCTGTGCGCGAGAGCTGTCGCCAACCGAACAGACGCCACATTCATCCGCGTCATCGGGTCGGAGCTGGTGCAGAAATACGTCGGCGAAGGTGCACGAATGGTGCGCGAGCTGTTCGAGATGGCCCGCACGAAGAAGGCATGCATCATCTTCTTTGACGAGATTGACGCGGTGGGTGGAGCGCGGTTCGATGATGGCGCGGGCGGAGACAACGAGGTGCAACGGACAATGCTGGAACTCATCACGCAACTGGACGGCTTCGACTCGCGTGGAAACATCAAAGTCATGTTCGCCACGAATCGCCCTTCCACTCTGGACCCCGCACTCATGCGACCCGGTCGAATCGATCGCAAGATTGAGTTTGCCCTGCCGGACATGGAGGGCAGGGCGAACATCCTCCGCATCCACGCCAAGAGCATGAGTGTGGAGAGGGACATCAGGTGGGAGTTGATCTCAAGACTGTGCCCCAACTCTACCGGCGCGGAGCTGCGATCCGTCGCCACGGAAGCGGGCATGTTCGCCATTCGAGCGCGGAGGAAGGTGGCGAGTGAGAAGGACTTTTTGAGTGCGGTGGAGAAGGTGATTCGGGGAGGTCTGAAGTTCAACTCCACCGCGGCATATGCTCAATACAACTAATCGGGCAGTGGCTGTACGATGAAGCGAGGTTTGCATTCAGCGATGGCGTTTTCCCTGCTCGACTTGCAGAATAGAGAGCAGTATCTACCCAAATCAGCTTCCACACTTGCCCTCATCACTCCGCCTGCATCACACACGCATCGAGCGTTGCATTCCAGATAGGAGGTCGCCGCGTTCGTCGCGCGTGACCTGGTGATCTTGGCATCGGGAACTCTGCTTCCTCTCCTCCAACTCTACCTCTGTCCATCCTCAATTCACTCCACCTTCTCCACGTTCCGACCTGCATCTGCATGTCCGCTCGCCCTTCCGGCATTTCAATCGTGCGCGGCTTGTGTTACGCTTACATGCGGTTGAATATTCTACATCGCCAAAGAGCAACCAGCTCCATGCAGCTTTCCAGCGGATATCTGTCCCTGCATCGGGAGCCAAGGTCTAGACTGTGATTCAGCTGCGATGCCCCGGAACCAACGGATGCAGATACTCGAGAGCAACGAGCGTGCTGCCGAGAGCAATGCCGATGGGAGAGCGCTCCTCCAACACCCGCATTCGCCGCCTCACTTCCCAAAGGTCGGGAATAGAAGGCGATTGGATCGGATGACATCTCCATGCGTTTGCGGGGTAGGTACAAGCACTGCGAACCGTTCGCACATGCTAGCTACGACTGATTCGCGGCGACGACCGAGGCTGGCAAGGCATCGTCGTCAGGTCATATGAGAGATGCTGACACAATGAACCGTTTTGGCCCCCTTCTTCGACGCGCCTTCTGTTCCATGACAATGTTCCAAGGCCGAGATGCATGACGATTTCGTGCGTGTGACTTCTTTATGCCGACTGCATTGCATACCGCTCACCCGTGGTTATATTATAAAATGATGCCCAATCTCCCTCACACTCCTTCTCTTCTCTCTCGCTCTCCTCTCATCATTTGACAATTCTTCCCTCGTTACGTTTGTATTAGAACTCATCTCAATCTTGCAGCGAAGGCGCAGGGGAGTTGCCCAAGAGCTCCATCAACCAAGTGCTGTCTGGAACGGCACCTCACTGTGAGTGGACTCGTCATTCCTCCCGTCCAAGAAGGCTCATCGGCTCTCCAGATACAACATAACAAGTCCTCGGCCAACATGGACCACGACAACACTCCAAATCAACCACCCCCTCCACTCGATACCACCCAGCCCCCACAACTCAATGCCACAATCTGTCAGCACGCATGGGGCTGCGAGTGCGGCCAAAACATTGGCGAGGGCAGTGAAGACGCCTACCACCCCTCCGCTTCCATCGGCCAGCAATGGGAGATGATCAACGAGCACGCCACGCACCGTACGATACCCAACACGCGCAGCGAGTCAGACACTGATTCCATCCAGGGCGACGAGGGCGTTGAGAGTTCTGCCTCTCCGCTTGAAGACCCGCCTCACATCTCCCGCCAGATTCGCGTCCAAAGTCACACCAACCTCGACAGTCTCTTTGCGCTCCTTCGAGCTTTGAACCAACACGATGAAGAGCCATCGCCCAGCAATTGGCTGGTGGTTGGGTACGAGTATGACTCTGACTCTCCCACTTGGCAGTCTGTCTGGGGCTCACCTTCCCCAATGTGGCGCTCGCCCACCGACTCCTTGTTCGTCAACGTTGGCAGTCGCAGCACCAGTAGCGGCGAAAGTAGTCTTTGCCCATCCTCTCGCTCATTCAGTCGAGTGGCCAGCACGCCCAATCTGTTGCTGAATATGGGTGCCGGGCTGGAAGCACATTTTCTCCCGCTGTACCATTTCAGCGGCAGTCCGTTGAGCTTGAGTGTCGAGTGCCTGTATCCTACGGACTTTGGTGGAAGCGGGGAAGAGGGTGAATGAAGGAACGCGACTGGAGGTCCGTTCGGACTGGATGAAAGGGAGCTTCTTCATGCACATGTATTCTCACAAGTCTACGGCCGACTGTCTTCATAAGTACATACACAAGTCAGAATGGTGTCTGTTTCAACACCCCGTCCGCTAATCATCTTCGATGTCATCATCGTCAAGCACCAGACTCTGCACTCCGCCTTCAACAGACGAGCCAAAGTCATATCCCGCATTCTTCTTTGCCGTTTGCGCCTGCTTAGCTTTCGTGCCTGGTACTCGAGTTGCCTTGGTCCCAGTATCAATCTCAGATCGATCGGTCGCCCATTGGTCTCGAGGTTGATCGTCCCTTTCCTCAACATCGGCCTCGTCATCATCCCCTTGGATATCGACAAAGACGGATTGACGGAGGCGCGAGATGCCGTGAAGCTGCTCAAGAATCATTGCAGACACAGTCTTCTTGCTGCCCATGATTTGAGAGAGGTATGGCAGTACTTCAGTCAACATCGTCACCTTGGCATTGCTGTTGATGCTGCTGTTGCCGGTCGTGAACTCCTCGTTGGGGGACGCAGAAGACGCGCCGACGACCTTCCGCTTCCAGCTCTCGACGCCAGAGTGCGCGCTCTCAGAGGTAGCCTGCGAATCCGTGACAAGAATGCCACTCCGCAATTTACTCGTCACACTCTCCAACATGCCCTCCACTTCTTCGTGCTTTTTCCAGATACGCAGAGAGTTCGGATAGAACATTCGATGTGCGTCGCCCTTTTTGCCGTTTGGAGGCGTACCGCGATGTACTGGCGATGGCAAACGGAGCCAGAGTCCTCTAACGCTCACTTGGAATGACATTTCGTCTTGTCGGATGGAGTCGGTCGCTGAGCCGGAAAAGGCCCGCGTGCCGTACGAAAAACGGTCAACGGATAGCAAGTCTGCATCGGAGATGTTCGAGATGCAGCCGAGCATGCTGTCAAGAGTACTTTCGTTGGAAGCGGTCGAACACGACATGGCGTAGTTTTCGTGCAGTGCGGCCAGGAAGGTGGTGGTGTCGGTGCCGACTTCGTTGACGAGGACGTCGACGTCGTTCTCCGGGATGGTATTTCGGCGCTCATGAGAGAGCCACGGCGGTGGATGAGGAATGTCCGCTGCCGCAACACGCTTGTTGTATACCACTTTGCCGACCGCGTGAAAAATGTCGAGCGTAGTCTCTCGGTTATTGATGAGCTTGAGCACATTTTGTTCGTAGTCAGTGATTGGGGGGTCGGACTTGGACTTTTTCGCCTTGGTGAAGGTAATCCTGCTAGACCATTCATTTTCACCGTCTCCGCGCAAACACAGGAACTCGAGAGCCGAGATGGCACTTCTGATGTCCCCGCCCTCCGTGAGGCGTTTGAGCACCTGTGGGCCGGGAGTTCTGCGTCTGCCCGTCTTGCGAGCTTCCATGAGGACAACATTTTCGAGCGCTTTGAGGAGGATTGTCGGGGCAATGGCGTTGAATTCAATCGTATCGAGGTATGGGTTGTTCGATAATTCAGGGCCCAGCAGGCGGTAAGCAGTGAAGCTGTCTGCGAGGGCGGTATTGGTCGAGAGTAAGGTCTCCGATATGATCATGATGATCGGCGTCGGCTTTGAATCTGCTAATGGCGGCGTCGAAAGGTATTGCAGTATGGCGCTGCGAAAGGATTGAAGTGTGGCAGATGAGCGAGAGAAGGTGTTGGGGAACTCTTCGACGAGGAGGAGTTGCGACTGCGGCTTTGTAGCATCTGTGCCGTTCATAGCTTTCGCAGGAAGCTCATTAAGCTCGTGAGACACCATCTGCAAGCCACCGGATCTGCCAGCACGTCCCACAAACTCCTCGAATTGCAAGGCCGCCGACAACGATCCCTCAGACACCATCTCGGCTCCGGCAGGATTCCTCCATTCTGTAATCTCAAGGCCAAGTTCCTGAGCCAGCAAGCGTACGGTCGTCGTTTTTCCGCTACCGGCACCACCTTTGAGCACAAGTACACGTTGACGCTGCCCACGCAAAGCCATCTCCAGCCACTGTCGAACGTCGGCCACCTTGCGTTTGTGCACGGCGAGTTCCGATAGATCTTTTGGTGGGAACTGATCCGTCCAGGGCCTGTCGTCGTCATTTCGAACAGACGGAGAAGCAACGCGGGAGCCATCACTCGCCTTGCGGAACTTTTGCGAGAGCGGAGCAGACGGGCCGGCCTCGTTGTCGAAGCTCCCCTCATGCTGGGCCTTGCGCTTTCTCAGCGCCAAAGCGGTACTAGAGCCCTTCGAAAAGCGGACTCCGGAACCATGGCTGTCGTCACTGTCTTCTTGGATGGCTTCAGGCTCATCCTGGACTGAGGGTGCTGGCTTGGCAGTACTTGCAGGTGGGGCCTGTGAGGGTTGTAAACGTTGAGTAGCGGCATTGAAGAATGAGTAGATGGGTTTGGAATTGGCCTTTGCTGGAGGGTTCGCATCCTTTTTCGATTTCGATGCGGCGGGTTTGGTCTTTGCGGGTGATGCTTTGGTGGACGACGCTCCGTTTCTTGCAGAGTTGGTGGGCGCGGACTTCTTTGTTGGCTTGAGTTTGCCGACGGGTGACTTTTGCTCGGTGGTTTTGTCCTCGTCTAGGCTGAGATGGAAGGGCGGATCATTAGTGGTTGAGGCATCTCCTGCATCGCCCTCTTCATCAGATGACACGGCCACCACCCTCCGCCGCGAAGCACGCAACTCCCTCATCCCGCACCCCGATGCCTTGAATCAGGTCTACCGCATATCGTCGTTCGATTTGGACAGCCGCATGCCTTGTCAATGTGGAGGAGGACGAGATTGAGGAAGTGAGGTCAAAGCTGAGGTGCCGCTTGCCTGGCGGTCCGTGCATCCACCGCCGGGCTGAGCGTGGCAAGTGCTTGACGACATCCCCTCCATCACCTCAATGTCGCGTCGTTCAAGGCGTGTACTCATTGTCAAATGAGATAGCGAGCAGTCAACTTAGCGTCAAATCATTCAACTGTGCTTCTTCTTCACACAACGCTTTCGCGGGCGAATCCTTCATCAAAGCCACTGTCATCAATAGCATGCAAAGCGACAGCAATGTCCAAACGACCACGAACCCTCGACAGTTTCTTCGCCCCTCCAGCAGTCAAGAAAGCCCGAACAGATTCCACGAGCGTCAGCCAAATCACAGCCAATACCACACCATCCAATACCCAACACCCAACCTATCCCTTCGCCATCGCCCATCTCCCGCCGGAGATCAATGAGATACTCAACTTTGCTCCCGCCGACGAAGGGCGCATCATCAACGACCAGCCCGATTTGGATCTCGTCTATTACCACCCTTACATCCCCAAAGACATCTCCCGCCCACTTTTTGAATTCCTCCGCCGCGAGTTGCCCTTTTACCGTGTCAAATACAACATCAAACGTGGGCCCGTGGAAACGCAGATCAACACTCCCCGCTGGACGACGGTATTCGGGATAGATGAGACGGCTCGCTTCGACCCCAACGGAAAACTTGTCGACGCCACGACTGGCACCCTCCTACCCAAAGACACATACGCCTGCAATCCCCGACCGATCCCTCAGAGCCTCGACGTGCTGCGCATCCTGACGGAGAACACGACGGGGTGCAAATTCAACTTTGCCTTGGTCAATTACTACGCCACCGGAACCGACAGCATCTCCTACCACAGCGACGACGAGCGCTTTCTCGGCGTCGATCCAGCCATTGCGTCCTTCACTCTCGGGGCGACACGCGACTTCCTGCTGCGGCATAAGAAGACGCCCGACGGAGATGCGACGGAGAGCAAGCCCATGAAGTTCCCTCTCGTAAGTGGTGACATGGTGCTCATGCGTGGCACCACACAAAAGAATTGGGAGCACAGCATCCCCAAGCGCAAAGGCGGGGATGCGGACAGAGGCCGGATCAACATCACCTTCCGCCGGGCCATGATCAAGGGTGGGACGGCGAATTATTATCGATACAACGTCGGAGATGGCCCGGTGTACAAGTGGGATGAAGCGCAGAGGGAGATGATGCAGCCGAGTAGAACAGAGTGAAAGCTGTACCGGAGATATCTCATCGCATGCCCTTGAGGAAGTTGTCCTCCTTAATCTTCGCCCTCCGCTTGGCTCTCATGGCCTTTGTCAAGTCCCGCCTCGCCTGTGCTGCTTCCGTCGCGCCGCTCAGGGTGCCATCGCCGTGAGGGAGATCGATGCTCTGCTCGTACAAGGGGACTTTGGGCTGCAGCATTTCCGGGTTGAGTAACTGCTGTTTTCGTAGTGCCTTGGCGGCTATTCGTCGTTGTTTCTTCGATTTTGCTGTGGAATCGTCAGTTTACCACTCACGACCCTCCGCATGGCAAACTCACAAAACAAATCTCCATCCCCTGCCCTCCCTCCAGCCCCACTGTCCTCACTCTTCTTCTCAAGCACTCCCCACAGCCAATCGGGGTACTCGTGATCTTCCTTCGCAATCGGATCCTGCGCAGTCTTCAAGAAATTCAAGCCCTTGAGCGGCGTACCTGCAGGCACGGAGCTGGGCGCTCGAGGCTTGCTGACACTTTGCTTGGGCGGAAAGCGGTCGGGGGAGGGTGTGAGGGGTTCGCTGAAGGGTTGTGCGGCGGAGGTCGAGGTTGCGGCTGGATGGACATCATGAGGACGAGGGTTGGTGGCAGTGGTGGTCTGCGCGGTCACGGGTGTCGCATTGGAGCGGATGAAGGTGGTGGAGAAAGTACGAATGGCAAGGCGTGGGGCTTGTATTGCTGCGCGGAGCAGGCAGCGATGGCAGATCATCTCTGGGGATGCTGGTCGGAGAGGAGACGGTGATGGAAGGCAAGAAGGGAAGAGGTCAGGTAGGGATTGGCGATAAATTCTGGCCAACGAATCAAGTCCGTCGCAGGCCGCGGAGGTGAGCTTGACTAACCACATCTCCCGCGTTCATCAATGACAACACTCCGACACGGAAACCGACGTTAAGATGCCGCGAGATGCTCGCATTACCACTACAATCAACTGTACGGCTATATGCCTCTCTTCCTCCACACCCCAACGAATCTCGACCCGGCGAAACGAGACATCCCCCGCCCCATCACTCGCGCGTAAAGAAGAAGCAGAAGCAGCCAGCTGCGCGGCGAAGAACAAACACCAAACAAACCGGGGGGTATAATCTTAACGAGTGAGGATCACCTGCCCTTAACGCAACGCCCACCATGTCCTCCTTCACCATCAAAGTCTTTCATGGCTTGCTCCCTCCTCTTCGCCTTCAGTAACGATATCCTGTGAAATCCAGCGCTTCGTGACCTCATGAGAATGCAAAGAAACGCCAGTCGCCCCTACATGCACCGAGTCTCCGCCGACGACCACCACAAACGGACTTCTATCCCTATTTGTCGTTGTCTTCGTCTTCTCCATCGTCCTCGTCGTCGTCACTCTTGATCTTCTTCGGCGCGTCGTTCTTGGCGTCTCCTCGCTTCTTCTTGGTGTTGCCGTTGGTCGGAGCAGTCTCGCCATTCATCTCGTCCGCACCGGGAAGCTCTCCGCGCGCTTCCATCTGCGCTACCTCTTCTGCCGTCAAGAAGCGCCCGCCGGGCCCTCGCGGTCGTCTCATCGCATGGTTATGGCGAGATTCGTGAAGGTACGGCTTGCGCCCTTTGTTCGTTAGCCGAAGCGCATCCTCCAACTTCTGTCGCGCAATGCGCCGCTTGAGAATGCGATGGAACTGCTTGGCGTTGACGTAGAGCGGCGACTCCTCCGCCTGCACCGCCCCCGCAACATCCGGAGACTGTTGATGCAGCTGTTGTCCGCCGGGGCCTTGCTGCGTGGGAGGTCGAAGCGGCGCGCTCATGCCGAGTTGTGCTTGCTGGCCTGCCACAGCGGGACTGTTGACATGCGACGGACGTCTTTGCGGTAATGACTGTTGCATCTGAGCCATGTTGGAGGGCATGGCCTGTGCGGATGGGAGCGTCATCTGCCCCGCGAGCGTACCGGGCACACCCATCTGTCGTGGAGATTGCTCGGTCTGTCGCGCCATGTTTGACCCATCATTCTTCACCTGACCTAATCTCGGCGATGTGGACGGGAGTGTGCCCATGTTGGCTTGGTCGGGCATGGGATATGCAGGATAGCCCGAAGCCGCCGCGGTCGCCATGGCCGCTGCATGCGAGTATTGTGGCTGCATCGAGTAGGCGGTGTTGTAGGGGAGCTGCGACATGAGTTGGGGGTGCGGCATTTGTTGCGCGTTCTGGTGTTGGCCGTAGCCCGCCTGCGCTTGGCTCTGCATGACAGGACTCGGCTGGTTGGGATGCTGCTGGTGGGAGTGAGGGTATGCGGAAGGCTGCTGCGCGTGGTATTGCGCGTAGGAGTCCATCTTGATTCGTGACGGAGTCTAGCTTGGGGGTTTTGGAGAGTAGGGCGTGTCTGGGAAGGGCGCGAGTGGATCGCGGCGGCGGGCGGGAAAGGGCACCCTCCTATAGGCTGCAGATGGCTCGTCAGCGTTGGTCGATATTGATATATAGAGTATAGCTGCCCGATAGGTGAAGCGAAAGAGTGGCTTTGGAGGGTTGTCGCTCGCGCCGTCACCTCGCGCATGCGCCACTTTGCGACACCACGCGAGGTCGATGAGTGACCGTGGCAGTGCAGCAGGTGGATGTCGGGCCGGGCAGTTGAGGCGAGCGCGATGAGAGCTTGGGACGAAAACGTACCAGTGGGGAGGCAGCTTGTTGCACAACGGTCGGGACCTAAGAGGCCTTGGGGCGGGTTAGCATGTGGTCGTCAGAGTCCCACGCAGGCACGGAGAGAAGCAATTGGGCGCGCGGGAGGGTTGGGCGCATCGGTGGCCAAGCAGCCGCCGCTTCGAGGCATGCAGTGCCAGCGCATTCACGTGGCAGAGCCGGCCGGAGTACAGCGCATCGTTTCGTCGCTCGGCAGATGCACCACCACAACACATAATGGGTAGGAAGGAGGCAGAGGGCTGTTCCATCCCATCCATCAAGGGAGGTGGTCGCGATCGCGGTCGAGGTTAGAATGTTGGTGGCAGTACATCGTCACGTGTTGCAGGCTGCAGATTGCGACGAGCGCGGTATGCTGTTTTGACCAGATGCAATAAGAAATGTCGCGAAGCTCACCTGTCTCAATTGGATGGCGCGTGGATGGCGGCGCGACTCGTGATGTCTGCGCGTTCGGTCAGTGGATGAACTTGGCGCGAGCAGCTCGCAACGTCATTGTGTCGGCGCGGTGGAATGCGACGAGAGGGGGTGACGGGGATGGCGGCGCGTCTTTGGGGTGCGATGGGGGCGGACTGCTTACCACTTGATGCTCTCGTCCGACTCGTGTCGAGCACGCGTCGAGCCTGTGGTCGGCGGCGGGGTTGGAGCGGATGATCTTGTTAGAGCGCTGCAACCGCGATGAGTCTCGAGTGCTGATAGGCCAGTGGAGTGTGAGGGAGAGAGAGTGATTGGGCGAGGGGGGGATCGTTGAAATTCCACCACCGAGTGGCGGGAGGCCCGAGATGACCCGCGCGCGCTAGAGCGGCTGTAGACTAGCGTCGGCGGCAGCGTGTCGCGCTCGGTCTCTTCTCCGAAAGCTTAAAAGAGGGCATGTGCATCTGAACTTCAAGCCCGTACTGGACGATATACAATCAACACCCACCCACGGCCAACTCGCTATCTCAGTGCCATTCTAATCGGCCTCGTTCCATCGGCGCTCGCATGCTCAAGAGGAGCCAACTCCGCGCACGCCCTGCGAGCCCGTATCACCGCATGTCCCATCATCTCCAGCTCCCGAATCGCCTTGCCCAGACTCATTTCAGCGCTGTTCAGATCTCGTTGCCAATTCCAAACCTTCGGTTGCCTGTCCCTCTTAGCTCGCAGCTCGTCAGCATGCGCAGTCAATGCCTCGACCTTCCTGTGCACCCTCCCGTACTCGGCCTCGATGCCCTCGAGTTCTGCGCGCTGCCATTTGTACTCATTCGGCGCAATCTCCTCTTCGTACCATTTCCAGTCGGGCGTTGCAATATAGGTGTCGCTCAAGCCTGGCAGAACGGGAAAGTCGATGCCTGGAACCGTGGACTCGGGTGACAGGTCGGAAAGACGAGTCTCCACCACACTGCTATCCTTTCCCTTCACCGACTTGCTGGCAGAAGCCTTCCACTCGGCGGGTTGTTTGCGTCGCTGTTCAAAGTCGTCATGCCACCATTCGTCGAGTCCTGGGACGCCTCTCTCCTCGCGATCGGGACTGAGCTGTGAGTCGGGTATCGTGAGGCTGGACAGTCTTGTTGGTAAAGATTGACTCTGGTCTTGTGTCTGCGCTTCTGCCAAGCCATCTCTGTCTTGGAAGAGTTGCCAGTCGTTTGGTCAAGAGCTTCATTGCTTCCTGCAGTCTCCCCTTTGCGCCGCGCGACCGAGGTAGGTGAATTTGTGATGGGGTCGAGGAAAGGTCAGATGCTGTCCCGGCGCGTGAGCTGCGTCTCGCTGTCGGACGCTGCTTGCATGGTGTTGGTGGTGATCCTGATTTCGCCTGTTGCAAGTCTGCTGGCTGGATACAGTTTCTTGAGGATATCCGTCTTCACGATGATGCTCATGCCGATGCGACGTGCGCGCGAGTCGAACGGCCTAGAGTGGGTCAGTATCGATCATGGACATCAGCACACCTACTCCCTCTGCATACCTCATCCACCACTAACCACAGATGATACGGCTTTCCATTCTGCAACGGCTGATCAGCATTTCACTCTCATCGCATAACACTTGCGCAACATACCGAACTCTCAACCGCAAGCTTATCGGCCTTGAACTTCTCAATCGTCGCCTGGGACCCAAAGTACCGCACGTCAACATCCTGCATATCCGCCCGACGCAGACGGACAGCATGTTGTTTGCGAGCCTCTTCGATCTTGGCGCACACTTGCTTGAACGCCGCGAGATTGATGATCTCTCTTTTCCCGTTGGACTCCCGCGGATTCCCCCTCACTGAACTGCAGAACAGAGTGAGTAACTCCTGCGCCTTGACATCGCCGAGCTCTTGTTGCAGAAGATGTGCGATGGGCGTGGCGGATCTGCTGTCGATGTGGTACACCATGAGACGAAGTGATGTGAAGGCGACGTCATGCCGATTGTATGGAATGAAGTGCGACGCTTCTGTGGGATGGCATGGGAGGTTCGCGGACTCTGCTTCTGGATCGCGTTCTGGCACGGCGACAGGCTTGAAGTTCGATGGCAACGGAGGCTTCTTTGGCGGATCACTGCCTGCGAGGCTTGATGACTCCGCCCCCATCGTGAAGTGCGTTAGATTTGGTGATGCCTGACTCCAATTGGGAGAAGTGAGAGCTCAAGAAGAGTTCACAACAACCCAGATTCAGCTAAAAGCCAGATTGAAACAGTGAAGGCAGAGGAACGCGTGTTGTCATGAGAGCGCAAACGGTGACGTTCAGCTGTTACATTACCTGCATGAGCAACCGTTTGTCACAGGCTGATTCTCCGACCAAGACCTATACACCTCATTTATCCCAATGGATTGCTTTTCTCGGCAATGTCCGTAAATCCAGGCTCCTCCAAATGTGCCGGATGGAATTGCTCCTTCTCCTCTACCATGTGGTCATGCTCGCCCTCCGTCTCCGCGGTCGAGTCCAAGTGTGTCTCCGCCGTGGTCTCCAGATTCGTGCCCCTCCGCGTCCTCGTGCGCCTCCGAGAAGACGAAGGCTCCTGACTGGAGGATGAGACTGTAGGAAGGCCCTCACTGATACTCGCCATTCTCAGCCGTCCACCGGAATGCAACATTGGCACGTCCTCAGTAATGTCCGGATCCTCTTCCAACGGCTTCGCACAGCCCACCGGCACGCGACATTGCAGGGCAGTTTCGGGGTCGACAGTGCGCCAGATGACTTCGCGCACCTCCTTGCCACACTTCTCGATCGAGTCCATGGCCCAGATGACGTCAAGGTGCTCATAGCCCTCGATGATCTTCTTGTGCACCACGCGCACGTGAGGCTCACGGCCTCTGTCGAAGCGGCGGAGGAGACGTCGTCCATCCACCAGATCGTCCGCACCCGCCACCCACAGCGCAAGAGGTGGGAATTGGTCGTTGTACCACGCAAACTTGCCGCGGGTCGTGTCGTGGTGCAGATGGACCGGAGACTGGCAGTGGAAGCTGCTGACGTTGCGCTGCAGCTTCCTCCGCGCCGTGACGTGTGGCTCTCGATCAATGTACGCCTTGCGAATCACTTCATCGTCCTCCTCATCCTCCTTGTCTTCCTGCCGCCCCTCTTCTCGTGTGGCGAGAATGCATCTCTGCTTCGCAAAGCATTCGCGACCTAACCACCATCTCATGCTCTCTGCGCTGACATACACCGGTGCCCATTGGAACATGCGATCCCTCAACCCGCGATCCCATCTTGTATCCGACCAATTGAACAGATGCGAAAAAACATAGTATCCCAGCAAGGAGTATGGGCGTGCGGGGAAGATCTTGTGCGCAAACATCATAAAGGGGATGAAGGCGTGAATGCCGAAGATGATTCTGAACATGGCCGGCGTGATGGTTCGCATGACGCGGAAGTAGATCTTGCCAATCAAAGGGCCGGCGTAGGCGGCAGGCGCCAGGGCGCAGAATACCGAAATCTTCTCTCCCAGCTCCGGTCGTTGCTCTTTCGCGAGAGCCACGAAAGTCTGCGTGGTGCCTTGACTGTGAGCGATGAGCGCGAGCTTGGGGAAGCCTGTCTCGACGAGCACGCGGTTGACGAGAGCGGGTAAGTCGAGCACGCCCATGTGTCGGATATTCCACGCCCACATCCTCGGATCTGTATATTCGAGCTTGGTATGTTTGGGTTCGAAGCCACATCGATTGTTCCCCAACCAGACATCGTAGCCGGACTTGGCCAGGTAAAACGCAAGAGAGTCGTCATCGTTGCAGCAGAACGCGCCAGAGGATTGGAGCAAGCCGTGGATCATCAACACGGGGTACTTTTTGTTGGTTTCGGGGAAGGGCTGGGTCTCATCAGATTCTGGACCATCGGATGAAACCTCGGACAATTCAGGACCGCGATTCTTGCGGCCGGATGATGAAGTGCGCGACTGTTCTCGAGGATTGAAGACATGCCACAATTCGATGATGAAGCCATCCTCGGTCTGCACGTCAAAGATCTCCACATCGAGGCCGACTCTGCGGGCGTAATATGCAATGTCGACGCAAAGAGGGTCGGGCCCGCCCTCGGTCGGCACGTATTCGCCATCTTGCGGTACACTTGCTCCCTTCTCCACCAGCGGCGTGTGCGAGCCCTTCTTCTGGTTCTTCTGTTGCGCCTTCCACGCCTTCTCGGCGGCCTTTCTCTCGGATGCGCGCTTCTTCTCTTCGTCATAAAAGGGTCGAAGTTTTCTTGGGTTCTGCAGCATTGCTCGGCTGCGGGTGTCTCGCATGAGTCGGGGGATCTGGCAGATGACGGTCCCGGCGAAGATGGTGAGTAGGAAGGCGAGGGAGAGGACGGCGGAGGTGATGCGGAAGAAGAAGCATTGGATCTCACGGAGCAGGGTGGGAGGGCCGTAGATGGGCAGGGGAGGGAAGAGGGGGTTTGTTCGAGAGGGCGGGAGGGAGTCGGCGAGAGATGTGCCGTCGTGGTTACTGCCGCCGCGCACACCGCGGTAGACGGCCTTTAAGCCATTCGTCAAGGAATGGAGGGAGCCCGAGCTGGACGACTTGTGGACTTCCTTGCGCAATTCGTTGAGCCGCTTCGCTTCGTCGACGGGAATCGGGGGCAGGCGGCCGCCATCCGCCGTGACGAGGATTGGATCGAGGGGAGTGATGAACTTGGCCTTGACCGCTTGCGATGGGCCTTCGCCGTCCTCTTCGTCGCCTGGCTGGACGCGACCGAGTTGTTCTGCTTGTCGCGCATACTTTGTCGCGCGATGGTCTTTGCTGTGGTCAGCATGGCCATTGGCTTGCATTGGGGAGTCGGCGGGGGCAGCCATGTTGGGCGAAGGGATCGATGACGCGCGCCAGCGATGTGGTTCAAGAAGGACTCTCTCGGGGAAGGAGCATTGTGGGTGTATGTTGCTGCCTCATCGCAGGATGTTGAGGATTGGGGCAGGTGCCATCAACAAAGTACTTGACTGGGTGGAGAGGATGTCCAGCCGGCTGCGGGCGGGTTCCAGGTTGCATGTGATAGTCGGGTTCGCTGACGCACGAGACAAATCTTGCTGCTCAAAGCGGCTGGGATGCGCATCCAACATCCATTCAACAGTCGATCGGACCAGTATCAAGACGAGGAGATGTAATGACTCCAGCAGACACTGATATCTCCATTGTATGTTATCATCTTCCCCAGATTGGCCATCGTCGTCCATCCCGCCCATGCCATGCACGTGAGAGGCGTGCATGTGGGGTGATTAGTCAGACGTGTCTTTGCTGCGTGCTGCTCTCCAACCTCGCCCCCAAGGTCGAGCTGCGCCGCCTTAGAGGTACAGGTACACGGTACTCGCAGTCTTTCATTTTCGTACCTATCGTGCTGCAGCACCCCCTTCCCTTCTGAGCGAAACCCTCCTCTCCACGCCTCTCCCCCCTCCACCAGCATTGAAACATCCACCCCCGATCCACGCCGCACGACTTGCCTCGGCACGAAATCCTTCCTCCAAACCCTCATCCCGACGTGCCTGACTCTCCACACGCGATTCCATGTTTGCTTCATCTCTGTAACGCGGGCGAGGGAGATAGAGGCGTGTATCAAATGGCTTACGACGCGCCCCCGCTCGGCACATTGAAGCGCAAGAGGCGACGGCGCGAGGACAAGCCGGCCATTTCAGCGCGACTCTACCTCGACGTCAACTTGAAGGGTGAGGTCGGCGTGCTTTCCGAAGACCTGCTGCAAGACCTCTACCCTTTCCTCGCCGGTCCCGACGATGCCACCGTCTACGCCGCAATCACCCCATGGACCCCCAACCCCTCGCTGTCCGACTCCCCCTGGACTCTTCTTCCCTTCCGCAAACCTCGGAAGACCGAACGCCAGCTTCCTCCCTCCACCATCCGCTTTCCAGCCACGGCCTTGGGCACGCAAAGTTTCGTCAATGTCGTGCAGACCCTGTCTCCCAACCGCACCCTTCGGCTAAACACCGCGGTGGAGGTGCGTATCACCGATGCTGTGCCCTTGCCGCTGGAAACTGTCTACGTTGCTGTCGATACCGATGCCCTCCGCAAGCTCGAAGATGCACACAAGAGATACGGAGGCGGATTCATGAATGCCAATGGCTATGCGGCACGCAAGTCGAGCAGGCGCCCTACCACCCCCACGAGTCCTGTCAAGGCTTTGGAGGAGGATGATGTCTTTGGAAATCCAGACAAGCATCGACAGCTTGTCCACGAAGCTCTCTCCAGCATCACAGTGTTGCATAACGCCGACATCATCCCATTGCCCATGACACATCCAGTCACGCATGCTCCAGCGCCCCCAGCGAAAATCCTTGCATGTGAGCCGGTGATGCAGGGTGTAATGTCTCCAAATTGCAAGATTGTGATTGTACCTACGGCCGAGAAGCGACAAGGCCCTCACAGCGGCCGTCCCATGCTATCCTCTCGCCTTCCCGAGGAATACGAGGAAGATGAAGACACCACCAACGAATCCTTCTACTCCGCCAACGAAGAGAATTCTCCCGCCAAACCGGTCGTCATTTCCAAGTCCGCAACCGACATGTCCAATACCGACGACTTATTCGACTCCAGCGCGGAAGAGAGTAACCTGTCCGACGACTCTGACGACATGATCTCCCTCGCAAAGCCTGGCCTGCTCGATCAGCCGTCCGGCCTGAACTCTGCTCTCACCTCTGCGACCCCTCGACCATTCGGCACCAGGACTGGCGTCAGCACCCCTGGTTCTGTCTACTCCAACATTACCAGCAGTACCGTGCGGGGTGGCCAATCCAATCGAAGCAAAGTCTTTCGAGTGCAAGGTTTGCTGGCGAAGATTCCAGAGACCTTGCTCCATCCCAAGCCGGCCAGCGATGAGGATGATGAGGCCAGAGTCTATGTCGATGCCACAGCTCTCGCCAGACTGGGCTGCTTTTCCGGGGACTGGGTCAAAGTTGAGCCCTCGGAAAACCGTATGTTGCCCCAACTCAGTGCCTTTAGTGCCTTTGACGATTCGCTGCCGCAGGCTTGGAGGCCGGTCAAAATCTATGGACTACCCGAGAGCATGTCGAAACGGCCGCAGCGATATCAAGTCAACCCCAGGCATGGCCGGCGGGACAGCATCTCATCTCTGGCCACCAACTCTTCTGCTGTTCCAACAGCTTACCTGTCGCCAGTCTTGCTTGCAAATCTCAACCAAGCTGAGAATGTCAGTCTATCCCTTCTCTCCTTGGGCAAGCGAATGACTTTGAAGCGGCCCGCCACACCTCGCCCTGGCTCAGTCTCCGCGCGACTCCCTCCTGTCGCATCCGAAGTCACTCTGCGCAAAGTGACAACTCCAATATCGACGGAACGAGCACTTAACCATGCTCTGTTTGCAAATCTAAAGGAACACTTTGAGCAGAAGCAGCGTATCGTCAAGTCTGGAGACCTGATTGCCGTCCCCATCGATGAAGACCTCGGCAGATCGGTCTATGAAGGCGATGTTGAGAAGGAATCATCGTCCAACAACGATCTACTGACGAAGTGGAACGCGGACACAACACAGGACTCAGCGACGTCGACCCACGCGAAGAGAGCGGTAGCTTGGTTCTGCATTGAAGACGTGACTGCAACGCCCGATGAGAGCGACCTGCTTGATGGCATTGATGTGTGGGCTGGAGCGGCACTGATCGACCCCACCAGGATGACAATGCGCCAGTCTGGAGATGAGAGGCGTCGGTTGCCGCCGGCGACGAAGAATACCTGGCCGTACTATCTCGGCGTGCAATCCCATCAGTCGCGGCCCACCACGTCAAGTGGAGGTAGCATCGGAATGCTGGATCCCCCTCAACGATACACTTCGGACTTGCAGCGTAGACTTCGCGAGCTGATCTCCGTCTCAACAAGTCCTCGCGCCATTCATCTCAAGATGCCGCCTCTCGCAGTCCTGCTCACCTCCACTCAACGCGGCATCGGCAAAGCATTCTCGGTGCAGCAGACTTGCGCCGACCTTGGACTTCACTACTTCCCCATCGATGCCAACGATATCCTGTCGGAAAGCGGTTCCGGCTTTGATACACAAGCGCAGGGCCTTCTTGAAGCTCGGTGTGATAGAGCGTTGGAATGCGGTGCTGAGTTCACCGTTACATGCATCCGACATCTGGAGTCCTTCACGTCCGATCGTGTGGTGGCATCATTGTCCGGCATTCTTGGCAAGAGCCGAGCACTGGTGGCCACAACATCTGACATTGACAAGGTGCCTGATGCTGTGCGTGGTCTGTTCACGCACGAGCTAGAGGCATCGGCACCCGATGAGCGGGAACGCGAGGGTATCTTGAGGAATGTCGTCAACGGCATTGGCTTGCCATTGGCACAGGAGGTGGATCTTGGCGGTATTGCTGTCAAGACTGCGGCCCTTGTTGCCAGCGATCTCGCCGATGTCGTAGACCGAGCCAACATCGCGAGAAACTCGAGAGTCGAGGCGTTGGCGGCGAACCTATCCACCATCTCCGGCCAGAAGATCACGACAAAGGACATTATGCTCTCAGGAGGCGCCGCGGCCAATGCCATCATTCCCGCCGATTTCGACGAAGCCGTCGACTTTGCACGCAAGAACTTTGCCGACTCGATCGGCGCCCCCAAGATCCCCAATGTCCAATGGTCTGATGTGGGAGGGTTGACCCATGTCAAAGATGCCGTCATTGAGACCATTCAGCTGCCACTGTCCCATCCGGAGCTGTTTGCAAAGGGGTTGAAGAAGCGCAGCGGTATCCTGTTCTATGGACCGCCGGGAACAGGCAAGACGCTACTCGCCAAAGCCATCGCTACAGAGTTCAGCCTCAACTTCTTCTCCGTCAAAGGGCCCGAGCTACTGAACATGTACATTGGAGAGTCGGAAGCAAACGTACGCCGTGTGTTTCAGCGAGCTCGAGATGCGAGGCCTTGTGTGGTGTTTTTCGATGAGTTGGACTCGGTGGCTCCTAAGCGTGGGAACCAAGGCGATAGCGGTGGTGTAATGGATCGCATCGTGTCGCAATTGCTTGCCGAGCTGGACGGCATGAGTGATGGGGAGGAAAATGGAGGCGGCGTGTTTGTGATTGGAGCCACAAACAGACCAGACCTACTTGATCCTGCTCTCCTCCGACCCGGACGCTTCGACAAGATGCTATACTTAGGCATCAGCGACACCCACGAGAAGCAGGCAACCATCATGCAGGCTCTGACGAGAAAGTACGTGTTGTCCGCGTCTGCTCAATCGTGCAAGAAATCTAACATTGCAAACAGATTCACGCTCGATCGATCCGTATCACTCAGCCGCGTTGCTGAGACGCTTTCATTCACCTACACTGGTGCAGACCTGTATGCTCTCTGCTCCGATGCCATGCTGAAAGCCATTACTCGATCGGCGCAACGGGTCGACCAGCGACTGGCAACCATCAATCAGGAGCGCAGGGTGAAAGCGTTGAGCGACATCACCGTCGCGAACTACTTTGATCACCATGCCACTGACGTCGACACCGAGGTTTCTGTGACTGAAGACGACTTTGTCCACGCGAAAGAAGAAATGGCACCAAGTGTTAGCTTGGAGGAACTACGACATTACGAGCGGGTGAGGGATGCATTCGAAGGAGCGACCAAGAAAAAGCCAAACGCGACGGTCAACGAGACCACGTCGAATGGAGGAGAGCGCGGGCATGTCCGGCCCAAGTTCAGCGACGTAGTTCGTGAGGACGGGGCCGATGGTCGAGCGCCGGCAGTGGTCAACGGGATGAAACGGCCTCAGCGTGGCCAAAGTCACAAGGCTGGCGCCGGATCCGACGAAGATGTCGATTACGTCGTCCGTACTGATCGACTGACATTGAATCACAGCTCGTCCAGACCGAATTCGAGCAAGGGCAAGGGCAAGGCGAGGCAGACCGACAGCGGCAGCAATGCGGGAGCGGAAGAGGATCTGTATGACTGAGTTGAGCGCCTTCATTTCCCGTCTTTGCACTCCGACATCTATCTCCAAGTTATATCCGAAGTAGGCGGAAATGAGGCGTCGAATATCCGAACGCGCCCAGCTTGTCCGTCCACACAACGAAATCCCGTCTGCGTGTCCCGGTTGCGGGGTAAGGTTTGGCCTGCAGGCAAAGATCACTCGCGCCCCGCGCCATCGCCATTCTTGCTCGCCTTGGCCTATTCGGTCCAGTGGGTTGCGTCTGGAGTCGAGGCCGGGGGCTTGTTAGGCTTTCGGGAAGCATGTGCGGCTACCAATAGCTGTTGAACTGACCGTCATCTCGTTCACCTCGCCCGTGATGCTATAAGTATTGCTCCCACCTCGACCTCACCTTCGACTACCGACGGTCGTCGCCTTGCAGCCACCATGTTTCTCTCCTTCCTCTTCACTCCATGGCTGCTGCTGGCTGCTCCTGTCCTCTACTACCTCCTACCGTACTTGCGCAACTGGTCCATCCAAGATGTCCCCGGCCCGTTTCTGGCGAGATTCACCAACTTCTGGTACATGTATGAATGTCGCCGCGGTCGGAGATACTACACCGTCTACCAGTTGCACGAGAAGCACGGCAAGCTGGTCCGGGTGCAACCAAATCATGTGTCTGTAGCAGACCCCGACGCCATTCCCATCATCTACGGCCATGGCACAGGCTTCCTCAAGTCGTACGTCTAAGCCTTTACTATTCGCACCTCACACGCCGCTAATTCAGCTTATAGAAAATACTACGACGCCTTTGTCTCAATCAGAAGAGGCCTCTTCAACACCCGAGACCGCGCAGAGCACACGCGCAAGAGGAAGACGGTGTCGCATACGTTCAGCGCAAAGAGCATCGGGCAGTTTGAGCAATATATCCACGCCAATCTGGAACAGCTCACGATACAATGGGATCGGCTGAGCAAAGAGGCCGGCGGCGGCTACTACAAAATGGACGCCTTGAACTGGTTCAATTACGTCGCATTTGATGTGATTGGGGATCTGGCGTTTGGCCAGCCGTTTGGAATGCTGGAAAGAGGACAGGATATTGCCGAAGTTCGCATGACGCCCAACTCCAAGCCCACCACGGCGCCGGCGATTCAGGTGCTCAACCGACGCGGCGAAGTGTCCAACGCCATTGGATGTCTGCCGGAGATCAAGCCGTATGCCAAGTACCTCCCCGATCCATTCTTCAGCAAGGGCATCGAAGCTGTGCAAAACCTGGCAGGAATTGCCATTGCACGCGTGAACCAACGACTCGAGGCGGCGGAGAAGGGTGAGATCCAGCGAGTCGACCTGCTCGCACGGCTGATGGAGGGCAAAGACGAGAACGGCAACAAGCTGGGACGGGAGGAGCTCACGGCCGAGGCGTTGACGCAGCTCATTGCCGGCTCCGACACTACATCCAACACCTCATGCGCCCTGCTCTATCACTGTCTGATGCACCCGGAGGTGGTGAAGAAGTTGCAGGCAGAACTGGATGCCGCTCTTCCCAGTGACGATGTCCCCAGCTACGACCAAGTCAAGGACCTCACGTACCTGGATCATATCATTCAGGAGACTCTCCGCATCCACAGCACTTCCAGCCAGGGCCTCCCGCGACTCGTACCACCGGGCGAGGGCGTCGATCTTGCGGGCCACCACTTCCCGCAAGGCGTAGTTGTGAGCGTGCCTGCGTACGTCATGCATCATAGCAAGGAAATTTGGGGCAAAGACGCCGACGAGTTCCGGCCGGAGCGGTGGGACAAGGTGACGGACAGGTCAGAAGCCGCTCCCTTCTATTCATGCATCCATGAGCTAACGAGAATGGTGAACAGGCAGAAGGATGCATTCATCCCCTTTTCATACGGCCCTCGCTCATGTGTGGGCCGCAATGTGGCTGAAATGGAATTGGCGCTCATCGTGTCGATTGTCTTCCGACGTTATGAGTTTGAACTCTATCAGGACCACCTGAAAACGCGAGAGGGGTTCTTGCGGAAGCCTTTGGGTCTGATGGTGGGCATGCGCAAGAGGAAGACTTGATTGGCGTTGTGTGCAGGGTGGCGCAGGAGGTCTACGGTTGAATGACCAGGGATATATCATGACGGCCGAAGATGCCAGGGTATCGTTCATTCGGCAGTCAAACTCAGCACAGTGCTTCTCTCACGGCTTCTCGTCGACAAACTTCGTCCGCCCGCCCTTTGCACTCTTCAGCTTCTCCTTGTCACTGAAATTCCATCCATTCAGGTAACCCGCTCCCACGGTGAGATACGTTGCGAAACCCAGCCAGCCTAAATATGGCGCCAACAGCCAGCCTGACACCTCGTCCACTTCACCCCAGATGTATGCAAGGTAGCCCACAGTGCCGGTGAGGGCGACAATGTCAACGGTGGCCTCGATCGGGCGTTTGAAGCGAAAGAACAGCGGCATCCAGATGAGGTTCAAGCCGAGTTGGATGGTGTAAAGCGTCGCGCCGTGCTACGCGTTTCACGCTGTCAGATGGGCGCGTCTTGCCATGTCATATGCTCGTCCTGTCTTACCTTTGCAAGCAACACCTTCTGCGGATCCACGCTATTCACCCCTTCGGTCCACGCTCTATGCGCTGCGTAGCCCATGGCGCCGTAGAGCAGGGTCCACACCGGTCCGAAGATCCATGGCGGCGGGCGGAGCGGGGGCTGGCGGAGGGCGAGGTAGGTGGCCTGTGTCTCCTTCGGCCGCGTGGAGAAGCCGATGGCTGTGCCTGCGGCGATGGGGAGGAGGACCGAGGCGGCGGGCGACTGGAAGATGCTGGCGGGGAGCGTGAGAGATGGGATGTAGGACGTCATCTTGAGGCTCGAATGGTCGTTGTTCGAAGATGATACGTGGTGATGTGGGAAGGCGAAGTACGAGAGCTGGCTTCCTGCCTAATCAGGCAAACAGATGTGGGGGTGGGGCACAGACGTGAAACCGCACCAGCAGTACAGGAACAAACGAATAAATACACAGCATGAAGACAGCACCGTGAACAGACTCGATCGACAAGACTCCCTTCCAACATGCCTCATAAACACTCCGACCCTTGGGACAAGGGCCATTTGCAGGTCAGCGACATTCACCAGATTTACTACGAGCAATATGGCAAAGCAGATGGGAAGCCGGTAGTCTTTCTTCACGGCGGCCCGGGAGGCTGCACGTCGCCTCAAAATACCGCCTTCTTCGATCCAAACGTCTATCGAGTGGTTTTGTTCGATCAACGTGGAGCTGGCAAGTCTACCCCAGCGGCGGAACTTCGAGAAAATACCTCTCAACTGCTCGTCGCCGATATCGAAGCCTTGAGAAAGCATTGCAAGGTCGAGAGATGGTTCATGGTATTCGGTGGATCTTGGGGCTCCACCCTTGCCCTTCTGTATGCGCAGGCTCATCCCGAGCGTGTGCAGTCGTTGGTTCTGAGAGGCATCTTCACAATCCGCAAAAGCGAAATGGACTTCTCTCGTGGTCCTGACGGCGTTGCTCGCGTCTTCCCGGAGCACTACGACAACTACCTCAATTATCTTCCCCCGTCGGCAAGGCATGATCCTCTCAGTGCATATTACAAGCTACTCACCTCGGAAGACTACAATACAAGGCTTGAAGCGGCACGAGTCTGGAATAGATGGGATCTTGCGCTTGGAGGACTATTCCTGCCGGAAGGAGACTTGTTGCAGGGCAAGAGTGACGTCTGGTTATTGCAGCACTCCAGGCTGGAGGCGCATTATGAGATCAACGGCGGCTTCATCGAGGAAGGGCATCTACTCAAACCGGAGAACCTGGCCAAGATTGCGCATCTACCTTGTAAGTCCACGTTATCCCAAGGATCTGATCGATTCGCATTAACGTAGTTCGATGATAGGCAGCATTGTTCAGGGAAGATACGACGTGTGTTGTCCCGCACGAACGGCGTGGGAGCTACATAACGGCCTTCCACGCTCTACATTGCATATGATACCAGATGCAGGCCATGCGGCTTCGGTAAGTACACATCGTCCATCTTCTGTCATATCCTTCTAATATGAGACAAAGGAGCCTGGCACCCACCGGAAACTGGTCGAGATCTGTGATGAGTTTGCAAAAGTCGATCTGTAGATAATGTGGGACAGATGCTGCCGCCACTTTGTGCTGTTGTGCGTAATCGTCTGGACGTAGAATTCCCCAAGACAGTATTCAAGGGGAATATCTGCCTTCAAACTACGCCAGATATCGATTGGAACACCAGAGCCGCACGCATAGATGTCATGGATTGAAAAGCACGCCAAATCAATCAATGTTCGCACCTTCCTATTCGGGAGGGAATGAGTCCGAAGCTCATCAGCTTGAATTCGGGCCTCAGTCCAGGAACTCGCAAGAATCATCAACCTCCAATTTTTTGCTTCGACTAAAGTTCTCTGCTTGGACTGATAAAGTTCTCTGCTTGGTGTATGTACAGTCCGACATTCAAGGTGCTCCATCAACACCGGTTCGATGGCGACGGCCGACCCCAAGAGAGACGGTGCCAGCACAACCGGGACGGAAGAGATCGGCAGTCGGTCGAAGGAGGTCAAGTGGTACAATCCAGAACTGACCAACATCCCCGAGGCCATCCAAGAGGTGTTTGAGAAGTATAGTAAGATTCCGCCGGAACGTGTTCACGATCACATCTACAAAGTCGTAAGTTGAAACTCGATGGGCTGTGCGATGCTCACTGACGATCTGAACAGAGGGAGAGGGCATGGGGTACGTTGTCATTGACTGATTGATCGGGGAGCATCTCGAACGGCAGGGAGAAGGGATACCTGACCGAAGTTACAGACGTCTGGCCGTTTCCGTGCATCGGAGGATGGCGGTTCCTCACTCTCATCCAGCACTCGATGCCGCAATACTCAGAGATTGTGAGGCGACTCATCGACGGCGAGAAATACCTGGACCTAGGCTGCGGACTTGGACAAGAAATGCGACGGCTCATCTACGACGGAGTGCCCTCGGAGAATCTTTATGGCACAGATCTGAGGCCGGAGTTTCTCGACATGGGTTATGAACTATTTGTCGACCGGGAAACATGTCACTCGACGTTCATTGCTGCCGACGCCTTCTCCGAGAGCAGTGAACTCTCGCAACTGAACGGCACAATCTCCGTCATCTTCGCCGGTGCCTTCTTCCACTTGTTCGGTCGGAAGAAACAACTCGACATTGCCCGGCTGGTAACACGGCTGCTCAAGCCGACAACAGGGAGTATGGTGCTGGGGCGACAAGTCGGAAGCGTCAAGCCTGGCCTCTACGAACATGGAACAAACCCCGACTCCAACATGTTTCGGCATGATGGGCAGACATGGCAAGAGTTGTGGGATGAGGTTGGGGCGGAGACGGGAGTGAAGTGGCACGTGGAGACTACTCTGACCCTGGTGCCAGTTGCGGATAGGGGCCTCGCGGATGAGAACTTGAGGATGCTGAAGTTTTGCGTGCGTCGGTTGTAGAAGAACAGTCACAGGAGTGAAAGGTAGATGCCATTCATGTCGTGAAAGAGAGAGTTGTAACCCTTAGGGTTGATATTTCGCAGCGCTCGGATCACCCTCCCGCCTTGGCAAACTCGAGAGCTTGGCGCGGGCGAAGCGCGTGGGGATCGGCAACAACGTGCCTGACTTCATTGACCTCTCCTCCTCCACCTGCACGACTGTCTGCGTACCAACCTCTGCCCTCGTTGCAGAAGAGTTGGCCCAGCAGCAGCATCAGCAACGTCAATCACACCTTCTACTCATCATTCTACCTCGTACGTTCCCCAATCCTCTTGCCTTACTGCCCATCTCACGGCAGCCTCCACTCATCCCCCTGCACCCTCATTCTCCATCTTCAATCCCCCCTTCTTCTCTTCACAAAGGCGCTTGACGCCTTATTCCTCTACTTCATCTACTACTCCCTTCCCGCCTCTTCACACGTAACTTTCGCGTATCGGGTGCGCACCTCACTTGACGAACCTTCTCTAACGTGCGCCGCCATGGCCGACAGACCTCACTTCTCACCACCTCCACCTTGCCGCCAACATCCCTGCTCCCTCCAGCCGCCTTGAGGCGACATTTTGTCTCTCACATCGCCACTGATCGGCCACAGTTGCGTGCAGAGGAGCACCAACCACTCCAACATGGATTACAACTCCAACCCCCGATCCCCGAATGGCGCGCAGCGCACGGCAGGTCGTGATCGCGATGAGTACCGGTCTGCAGATCCATATCGCGACCGACGCCGCTCTCCTGGTACATTCGCTGCAAACTCCAGCAGCACTCCACCTCCCCGGCTAACAATGTGTCTCCCAGATCGAACGCGCAACAGAAGACGTTCCCGCTCACCCGCACAGATAGATCGATACCAGCCCGACCGTCTTCCGCGCGACGACTACCACAACGCTCGAGGACGTGATGACTCACACCGTGAGCGTCGCCGATCCTCTCCCCAACCTCCCACCATCGATCGCTACGTGCCTGGCATGCAGGACCCGACCCCGCCCCAGCTCCTCATCAACCCCATGGCCGATCCCCTCAAGCTTGACTTCCAAGTCGGTTTCACTTGGTTTGCCGAGTGGTGGCGCGCAGAGCAGCGCGTCAAGGACGAGAAGGAGCGGCAGAGATCGGGTAAGCCTCCGCCAAGAGTGAAGGGAGAGCGCGAGACGCGCGAGGATCGAGAGGCCGAAAGACCGCGCATCCAAGCGGCGTATGATCAGTACAAGGAGACGCTACAGAAGACACAAGCTCAGACGTTTGTCCGGTTACACAAGAATGAAGACTGGTTTCGCGAGCGATACGTCCCAGAAGTGCGCGATGTCTTTCGTCGACGCCTGATGGATTATCGTCAAGACTTCTTCACGCAATGGGAGCAAGATCTCAGCAATGGTGTCTTCGACGACTTTACCCTTGAAGGCATCTACAAGTCCGAGTCGAACGGCCAAGGTGGCGTGCTGGAGCGAGAGGAGGGCGAGACCACGGCTGCCGCCGAGGTGCTGGGCGTGGGCGACCTCGTTCCATCGAAAGGTGGCGAGAACCGAGACTCGGCCGCGCAGCAACCAACCTTACTCATCAAGACCGTCGCTCCCACCGTCACGCGCGACAAGCTCGAGGCCTTTGCAAAAGAGCACCTCGGCGAGCAAGAAGGAGGCTTCAATCACCTATCTCTCTCCGATCCGAATCCGGTGAAGAAATGCCACCGTATGGGCTGGATCATCCTGCACCCCAAGTCTCAGCAAGACGACGCCGTCGTCGAAGAGGATGGTCGCCGTGAAGATGGGGAAGAGGGCGAGGCCGATGGCAGTGCGATGAAGATCGACTCATCAGCCCAGGCAGCCTCTGTCACCGGCCAAGCATTGGAGAAGATCAACGGGAAGACGATTGATGATCCGGACCGCGGCAACTTCACCCTCCACTGCGGCGTCCATCGACCTCCGGATGCGCCGAGAAAGAAGGCGCTCTGGGACTTGTTCTCTGCGCCGCAGCGAATCGCCCGAGACCTCGACCTGGCCACCAGGTTGGTGCGTAAGCTCGACAACGAACTCGGCGATGATTACTTTGGCGTGGCCAAGGTGGAAGAGCGCGTCCAAGACCTGGCGGATCGCGGACTCCTGCGTCCCGCAGCGGCCGCGTCTGCGAAAGATACCAACATGGACGAGGATGGTGAAGACGGCGAGGAAGACGAAGGCATGATTGATGAAGAGGAAGACGACGACGAGGAGTTGTTGATCAAGAAGAAGAAGCTCGACCTACTCGTGGAATACCTCCGGCGCGTCTACAACTTCTGCTTCTTCTGCGTCTTTGAATCCGACTCGGTGCACGAGCTGCAGCGCAAATGCCCCGGTGGCCATCTTCGCCGGCCTCGCAGCTCTCTCACCAGTGCTGCCAAAGAAGTCGCTCAGGCATCTGCCGAGGGCGAAGCTTTCCCGCTCGCCAAGTCGTCGAACAAGACGGACGGGCGCGATGCCGGTCTCGACGCAGTCATGGAGGAAGGGGAAGCAGATGCTGAGCCCGCACAGGCGGAAGACAAGTTCAAGCCTACGTTCAAAAACACTCAACAGCTGCAGCGCGCTTTCAACTGGGTCAAGACGTTTGAGGAGAAGATTCTGCAACTGCTGGAGCCGGAGAATGTTGATCTTCGGAAGCTGGGTGGGCAGCCGGTGGAAGACGGCGTGGAAGATGAGTTGAAGAAGGTGAGTGGTGTCAGTATTGTGATGGTGGCTGAACATTGACTAACATTTCGAGCAGTTCGTCAAGCAAGAAGATGCCGGCAAGTGTCGCTGCAAGGCCCCCGATTGCACGAAGCTCTTCAAAGGGGTGGAGTTCTGGCGCAAGCACGTGGAGAAGCGGCATGCGGAGTGGTACGCGAAGATCCGGGCAGACGTGGAGCTGGTGAATCGATATGTGCTGGACCCGGCACACATTGCTCCTAGCAGGAGCGACGCCAACTCCAACGGTCACTTTCCTCTCGGGAGCAGCAACGCAATGGGCACGCCTCGCGGCTTCCAGCTTCATCAGCATATACCCATGGGTCTACCTGGCGCGGCGGGCATGGGACCGGGTGCGATGGGAGGCATGTTTCCCGGCGCAATGGGCATGGGCGGGTTCAATCCGAGCATGATGATGGCTGGCATGCAGGGGGTGTCGAGCGGCGTGGGACCGATGCGGAGTGCTGGGCGCAACTCGATGAATGGAATGGGAGGGCGCATGCATCCGTATGGAGCAGGGCAGTACGATGGGAATAAGCGGAGGGTGCCGTCGATGAGCGGGGGAAGATCTGGAGGCGGAGTTCCGATGTTTCCGGGGATGACGGGCGGACTGGGCGAAGGCGGGCTCGGCGTGGGTCCGACGGAGGCGGTGCAAGGGCGGAGCCTGAAGTCGTATGAGGACCTGGATGCGGCAAACGGCGGGCAGGGGACTGCTGAGCTGGACTATTAGCAGTAGACCGGCGCGGTCAGCGGTGGGAGGGTTCTGCACTGTGCAGTACTGTAGCCTACTTGCCTACCTACCTACCAAGCTCGCACCTGCCGATAATGGAAATGGAACACTCCGGAAACGGTTTGGCGTGCACAGGCTGGCGTGACAAATCAACCATGTGCTTCCCCACGAGCAGCAGCCGATCACAGCCCGGCCTGGAATCTTGGCTTCGTCCGAGGCGGGCGAAATCTGAGCTGATTCCACATCGCTCGACTTGCAGGGCAGGTGCGACCGCGAGCGTAGCATCATTTGGTTCCCACACGTGCACCGCCTTCCACTTCCCTTCTGCCCTGTTCCACTCTCTTCGCCAATTGCTTCCTTCCTGCTCTCTTCACCTTCCTCTTCATTGCCTCTTTCCCTTTCCCAATCGCTCTGGCCGTGCTTGTTCCATCCCATTGCCCCATGTGAGATTCATCAGCCCTTCACCCAACCGCCCATCCTTTCGCCCATCCTTTTCGATCGTCGAGATGCAGTCTGCCGGCAATCCCGACAGTGAGTGCCTTCCCAAGGCGATGGCAAGACCTGCTCTCCGTACTGATCCCACCCATCCTCAGCCGCCAGCTCGGGCAATGGCGACATCAGCCCCGACAGCAATCTAGCCCTGTTGAAGAACCTGAGCAGCGAGAAGAAGCAGACCAAAGGTACATCCCGCTCATCACCGCCCTCGTCCCCCCACCGCAACCCTGACACCAAGCACCAGATGGCCAACCGCCGAAGCGAAGAGGCCCGAAACCAGACAGCAAACCCGCGCTCACGCGGCGGCAAGAGCTCAATCGACAGGCGCAGAGGACACACCGAGAACGCAAGGAGATGTACATCAAAGCCCTTGAGCAAGAAGTCCTCCGTCTCAAGGAAATCTTCGCCGACACCACCCGCGAGCGCGACCGGGTGATGGAGGAGAACACCCGTCTCAAGGCCATTCTCGCCCAGCACGGCATCTCGTATGACTTTGGCGAGACTCCCGTCAAGTTCCAGCGGTCCAACAGCGGCTACAATCCCAGCTCGAGCGGCAGCATCTCCGGCAGTTACGCGCAAGTCTCGGAAAGCGGAGGCTACAGCCCCTCCGACCTGCCCAATGCCCCTCCCTTGCCCATGTCGCATGACCAGATGCCGCCGCTGCCCGCCGATACTTCCATGGCACAACATCAGCACCATCAACATCAACATCAGCATCAGCAACACATTGGCCGTGCCAACACCGCGCAGCTTCCCAGCCATCATCTCGACTATGACCAGATTGGCATAGACTTTGTCTTGACGTACGACGCCCAGGGCAGACCTCTGCACATCCCCGCCCCCTACCCCTCCCCTCCTTTACATTGAATCAAAGGATAGAGCACACTAATGCTCAACTGTTCGGGTGCGCTCCCCGCTGGATCCAGAACGTTGAAGCTGACGCTTACGCTTTGCAGACTTGAACGACCATGCCTCGAGCATATGCAATACCTGGTGGTGCGATCCTTCAATTCGGATGAGCAACAATGTTTGTCTGGCCTGTCTGTCTCACTCGTGTTCCACACTGACTCCAAGCCCAGTCCATCATCCCGCCGAAAACTCCACAGATCGAGAGTACGACCACATGTCCGGCCACGTCATGATGGCCACCTGTCCCCCTCTCTCCCACGTCCTCGAAAACCCCAACGAGCCCCATCCCTGGGGTATGCCAGACCTGGGCATGCCCGACCTCACCAAACTGCTTAACCTGAGTGCGCGCCTACCGCTGAACCACGATTCCGAAATCACGCCCATCATGGCCTGGACGCAAATATACACCGATCCGAGGGTTCGAGATCTGACGGCAGAAGATTTTGCCCGCATGAAGAAGACGCTGGCGCCGAGAGTGCGATGCTATGGGTTTGTGGCGCCTTGCCCTGGAAATTCATACGAAGTGAGACTGATTTTTCGTGCGCAGATTCGGAGCAGTCATTGAGTCCTTCGAGATTGCAGACGTCCTCGAGGCAGTGTTGGGCGAGAAGGGTCAAGATGACGAGATGCTCATCACAGCTACCAATGATGTGGTCGCTCCGGACCATCCGGTGGGGATGGCGTTTCCGCAGGAGATTCAAGTTGCATAGGGAATTGAGCGAACAAGCATGATCTGGAGTCACATGCAAGCGTGCTAAAAGTATGGTTTCGATGTCAAGGATATGAGTATATGATCAGTGTCTTGGAAAGGCCACATCTTCGGCGAGCGTATTACAATTACGAGAAATTCTGCCATTGGCATAAGCAACCCCCTGTCCCTCCATCAATGCCATTGCCGCCGTTGCTTCTGCGTGGAAGATCGGTGCTGTTACTCGACGGCACCACCGCGGGATCGACAATGCTACCGCCAAACGCTCGATTCTCATCCACATACCGCCCACTGTCTTCCACCACCTTTCCCTCGCCATCCAACTCACGACAGTAGACGCTCTTCTCGCTCGCCGTGCCCCCGTGCCGATCCAGCGTGAAGGTCACCGGGTAAGGAAAGGAGCCGGGCGTCTGCAAGTCGTTTGCCGTGGAGTTGGCAGCGGGGATGCTCGAGGCGTTGGGGGTGAAGGCCAAGGACGTGACGGGTGGTCTTTGAGTCCAGATTTGCACGAGGAAGCGAGTGTCGGACCAAGTGCAGAGTGTTCTCGCTTGGGATTGAGGGACGTTGGCCGTGAGGTTTTGTGCGGGTGGGGATTGGCTGTTGTTGTTGCTGCTGGTGTTGGCTATTGGGGATGATGAGAGGTAGAGCGAGCGATCGAAATACGTGTAGAAGCCGTAGTGTTCTGATGGTTGGCCACGATTGAACAGACGTAGTGGTTGAGATGATGCGAAAGGATAGAGGTCTGGTGGGTCGCCGTGGCTGATGACGGCAGGTTGTGGCAGCGATGATGCTTTTGGTAGTGGGAATACTGATGCTGTGTTCGTGGTCGTTGCTGTTGCATGACTATGAGGGTAGTCGGATGGGGGCGGCAAGGGGAAATGAAAGTCGCGTTTGCGACGGTCTGATCTGTCAGTCAAGGGAAGCGGGATCGGATCCAGCAGAGAGATGTAGAAGGGCGTCTGTTCGCCATTGTAGGGTGGACTGTTGTGATCTGTTGTCCGGCCTAAGAAAATTTGGTCGCTGGTGGATGGTGGAGCAGGGGAGGATGCATAGATTGAGCCACCCAAAAGGCCTCTCCTGAGGATTGTGTTGGAGTTCGTTGACAGATCCGACAAATTCGAGGGCGCAGAGCTGTTGATGGGCTCCAGCATAGTTGTATTAGACAAGGTTCCATTGCGAAATCGAATCAGAAATCTGAAGTTTGGGTTAGATGAGCCAGTGGTGCTGGTATCTGTCGCGGGACCGGCAGCACAGCTCCATAGTGAAGACGGTGCGACACAGCCATCGACGACCTTGACGGCTTTGGCAGACTGGAGCAATGTTAGCATCGCGGCCAGCCATGAGAAGAGTTAGAGCAAACTTACCACCACCGTCGTGACTCCGGTGGGTATCGGTGGGAATGCGGTCAGATTCAGCCACTGTGCTTCGACAGGGGTTTGCGGACGATGTGCGTTCAAAAACACAGCCAACAGTATCACTGCTACAATCAATAGAAGTAGCCCAAGCCCCGAAACGAGCCAGATTGTCCATCGATGCCACGGGCGAGCGACGAGTCCTTGCTCCGTGCCATCGTCCTTTTCGTCGAGCGCCCTTGTGATATTGTCGTCGGCATCAAAGGAATGAACTTCGCCAGATTGGTGTCCTGTAGTGGGCTCTGCAGGAGCCATAGCCATGTCGCGACTCTGCGAAGCCGTATGAACGCCAGTGTCAACATCTTTCGAGTCCTTGATCATAGGCGGAGCGTATAACGGCGGTGCCCTGCGGACTGTCCCAGCCACTGGAGCTGGTGCTTGATGTGGCACATCCTCCTCTGCAGGGTCATCATCATCGCCAGGATACTCCAGCTTTGTTGGAGTCTCTGTGGTAAGATTGAAATCTTCAGGGTTGAGGTCATGGTTTGAGAAGCTGTCTTTTGGTGCCGATCTGTTGTTTGAAGTGGAGAAAGACCGTTCTGACGGCATTCCCAGAAGCAGCGCTCTGGCCATTGATGGAGTTGTTCGTCTCGGTTGTGAGCGTCCAGTATCAAGAGATCCGCCGTCAAGAGGATTCCAGCATTTCGGCGCACTCGCGCTATAACCTTTGTCCGGTTTCTCGTGCATTCGCAACGATGCAGGACTGGAGAACTGCTGCGCGGGATCGTAATACATTGCGGCTTCGCCGTGGCTGGGAGTGCGATAGATGTTGACTGCCGTGGTATTCCCCCGGTCCAGCGCCCCTGGAGCTGTGGCCGATCTTTTCGGCGTTCGTAACTTTGAAGACAACCAGTTTCGTGCAGGTGTTGTGATCAAAGGCGCTGATCGAAGCTGAGGATCGTAGCCTTCGCTGTGGCTAACCGTTGGAGTAGTAATGCTACCCATCCCACCAGCAGCGGCTAGTAAAGACCTCCCCTCATCACCCTGGCTGGACAGCAAGGGTGAGCGGGGAAAGATTGAGCTGGTTGTTGATAATGCTGAGAACGGAGACATGACGATATTCCACCATCCTCTACTATGACGAGGGGTCAGAACTGAGGATTCGGGGTGAGGTGACGGGGGTACGGCGTCTTCCTCGAATGTGGTGTTGATCGACAACACTCGATCGTTCCTCATTGTTGGGCGAGGCAGCGTATCTCCTGTGGCGTATGGAGGCAGAGCCGGCACTGGAGGTGCATTGTCGTGTCGATGTGATCGTGACCAATGTTGCGAAGTCCTTGAGTATACGCTTGAGCGAGGCCGGTAGTCGGTAGGCTGTCGGAAGTCGATCGGGGAAGCATTGAAGGCTTGCTCGAATTGCTCGTCGGCAGGAGTGATAACGATGGTTGGAGTGCGTGCATCCGTAGCATAGTTGGTTTGTACGCTAGTAGAAGAGTGAGGGTGGGAAGCAGCAGACCTGAAAGTGTCCCTGCGCTGGTCAAACGTTGCCGATGGGATCGCAATGCCAATTGGGATCCTGCGGTCCGATGGCGACACCACTGACCGTAGTTTCAGTGGAGGTGGTCTGTTCTTCAATGGCCACTCAATATCGCTGGGGTAGTTTGCCGTGGTTGTCGTCCATTTTCGATCCTGTTGCGGTGCTGGGCCAGGCGAGCTGCCAGGTAAGGGTAGCCCTCGAGTGCAAGGAACTGCGATTGTCGGGGAGATCGTGGGATAGATCTGGCGCGGCGACCGGCCACGATGTTGATGGGATGAAGTGTCGATTCTGCTTGGTTTTGGCCGGGGACCAGTGCCAGCCAACGGCACCCATGGCTGGCCCCGCTGCTCATCTAGTCTAGACATGAACGAGCGCCAAGAAAAGGATCGAAACAACAGATTGCGCCGGTAGATGCTCGCAAAAGGAATGTAGAGTACACACAAATGAGAGACTCACAATGTAAAGACCGAAGACACACAAACAAGGGAGGGAAATGCAGAAAAGGGTTCGACTGATAAAGAGAGAGGCCGACAAACATATTTGATTCACCCAGTCTGGCACGGATTCACGCTGCTGTTTCCGGTCCACAGCATGCCTTCAATCTATACCAGTCGCTGCGATGCGTGGAGTATGTCCATATCCGTGCGCATCCAAGCGTCGCTTTGGCTGCGGATGAAGACGCCCGGGATGGAGCCGAGAGGCGCTGAGTTTCGTCTGAAGAAAGACGACGTTTGGAGTGTGGTTATTTTTGACTTTGTCCCCAAAGCCTCGAACCAATCGGTGCCTCCCCAGCCGAGACACCACGCGATCCTGTAAGCGCCTGTTAAGCAGGTGCCACGCCTGCTGAGAATGACAGTGCGCGCAGGTTTACGTTACGACGAGATACGTGAGTCGTGAAGAGTAAAATGTACGCTGTAATGCCGCTGACAAACTTGTAGCGGCATGGCAGAGGTGATCCCTTCAAAGCTCTCTCGACTGCGCCCGTTTGCTGAACATGCCTGATGCAGGGACAACGAATGCATCCTCACAGGCTACAGGTATGGCTGCAGCCATGACAGCGAAAACATTGCTGATGAGCTAGGCCAACGTCGAATTCGTTCCTGTTGTCGGTGTAGAGCATGCTGCAATGGCATGACGAGACTGGTGAGTCGAGAGGCCGTGTGTTTGCCGTTCGCATCTCTGACTCCCAGAACAGTCAACATCCACACGCACACTTTCGGCTGTGCTCTCTTTGCGGTGTTCCCATTGCATTTCTACACCAGGCTATACAGCAAGGTCGATGGTGCCCAGCCGATCGACAAGACCATGTTCTTTGTCTACTTCTTTGGAGTTGCCGTGTGCTTTGCCTGTTCCTCGAGGTGCGTGCCATAGACCCAAGATTGGAGATGTCAATGCTAACATCCTTCGACCCAGCTTCCATGTAATCTCGAATCTCAATCCGAGAGTCTCCAAGATCGCCAACAGGCTTGATTACTGCGGTATCGTCATACTCATGTGGAGCGCAAGCATAGCCTCAATTCATTTCGCGTTCGTCTGTCATCCGACGCTACGCTCCATGCATTGGTTTTTGGTGAGTGGCGTACTCACTACTGCATTGACGGCCACTGACAAATGTCTCAGGTATCCGCAAGTGCGAGCGGTTGCATAGCTTTCACTCTGTACCCAGAGTTCATTGGGTCAAGGTTCCGAGCGTACCGAACATTGATGTACAGTAGCCTCGGGTTGTTCGGACTGGTGTTTATGCTCCACGGCATTTACCTCGATGGGTTCGCGATTCAGCGCGAGCGGTTGGCACTCAGATGGATGATCCTCATGGCCGCTCTCAATTTCATTGGAGCAGCCTTCTACGCTACTACGGTGAGTTCTTTGCATGCTCTCCACAGAATGTGTCTGCTAATCGGCCTCAGTTTCCGGAGTGCCGATATCCGTATCGATCCGATTTCTTAGGAGCAAGTCACCAGTTGCTTCACACTTTCGTGGTGCTGGCGGGAATCGCACACTACAAGGGCTTGACTGATGCATTCCTTGCGATACGAACGAAACCTTTGGTGTGTTGAAGGGCAGGATAGCACCGCTTTGTGCACAAGCCGGGGCCGCCATCGGGAACTTTATCGCGAGACCGCTTCGAAGGAGAGGGCACTCTACGTCAATTCCAATAGATCGATATGGTTCGTTGGTGCCATCTCTGTGGAAATTACATTTGTCTCGCAACGGACAGTAACTCTGCGCTGTTACAAATCCGATCCATGATTGATTCGCCAAGACAAGCAATTTAGAAAGGGGCTTCGTGATGTTCGGTAGGTTGGATTAGCCTTGTGGAAACTTGAGGGAGCCTTACGACCGTTGCCAACCTTAAAAAAGACTCGATTCTAAATAATATCTCCGAGGCAGATGATCGACGCCATCCATCTGAGATGCAAACGGCCGACCGAAAGTCTAAAACATGCGGCAGAAAGTGCCGAGTCCGATTTACGCAGAAGCATTGTCGTATGACAAGAGCGGACAAGTGGAGATGGTAAATGGAATTGCGTTGATTGACCCGTTATGTACGATCCTTCGAACGAAGGAACAACATCCTCCGTGGACCACCGCCGACTACAAGGCGACTGACTCAAGAATGGCAGCCAAACTCGTGAGTGTCAATTGCAGCCGCCAAGCCGTTGAATTCAAAGTAGGTCAACTCAAGGAGGTTTTGGTAGTTGAGTTCGAAGAGATGGAAGCCCTTGACGGGGATCGCGGAGGCATTGCCACCGTCGCCGTATTGGACCCAGCGCCAGAGGATCTTGTTGCATTCGACCGTGTAGACGCCGAGGGTGGTGAAGTCGGCTGGGGGGTTCGACTGGGACTCAGCGGCGAAGACGGCTTGACTTGTAGTGATGGGCACATTGAGCTGGCGTCGATGTTAATCAGAGGAGGTTGTAAATACAGTCACAAGGTCAAGTCACGTACTGGGGCGCCGACCTGCTCGCTGGCAGAGTCGGAGTACTCCGTGTAGTTGGGGACGGTGATGGCGTAGGCGGTCTGCGTGGCATTGCCCAACGATGTGCTGTTGTGCGCGATCACGGCTGCGTAGTAGCCGACGATCGTCTCGGCGGTGGACAGCGAAAGGCATCCACCATGGTTGTTGAAGGGCCAGGGCGGCCAGGAGAAAGTTGGGACAGCAAACGCTGGAACAGCCAGCAATGGGAGAAGGAGGGTAGAAGTGAGCTGCATGTTGGCAGGATGGTCTTGATTGATGAGAAATTGTAAGGAATGTAAGTGAAGAGGGACAACGGGCGAAGGGAGGGAACGAGACGAGACGAGACGAGCTCTACTTATACACCTTGCGGGCCTTGCGCGACTTCAATGGCTGGGTAGACCAGATTGTCCTGCGGCTGCCAAGGTTGCACCGAGATGCCGCATTGGACATGGTCATGCAGGGGAAATGTTGCTCTAGTAGCACACACGTGCGGTAAGCAGCGGCCGACCGGGGCTCATGAGCTAGGGCTGGCGGCCGTCGAAGCACAAAACCAGTCGATGGTGTTGTCATCCACAGGGTCCACAGCCAATATCGGCGGCGCGCCAGAGCTGGAAGTATCGAGAGTTCGACCAGCCCAATACATTCCCGCATATGATTGCCCAGGCACCTGGCTCAGCCGTTAGGGTTTTGACGATCTCTTGGTGAATCTCGAGGAAATCTCACTCCCGTCGCCGTTGTCCCCAGGTCTGGTCAGCACAAGCGACGATATTTCAGCACATCGCATCTGCCGTAAGCCGTCAAGACGATCGCGCGGACCATTCATGGACTTGCCACGCGACTCCTTAGGTATTAAGAGCCTTTGCTCCTCCGTCGACCGCACAACATGAACATTGCCGCATCGGGACTTCTTCCAATACTCTGAAAACTTGATGAGGACGGAAGGATTTGGGATGACGGTTTCGCGCATCGGGGATGTCACCTCACTATTCCTCCGTCTTAGCCGCCCCGCATCGGAGCCTGGTGATCGCTCTTCAATTTGTGAGCCGTTGCCCGTTGAAGATCCAATTTCCACAGTCCCGGCAATGGGTCCAGACCAGAATTTGGGTAAGGTATCGGAAGCACGGAATATCATTAATCAACCAAAAGACAGGCACAGACTGCTTTGGTGGAACGAAACAACCCCCCAGATCGGCGGGTGCCTAGACAGGTCACGTGCGGTGCCCGACATCGGTTCCATGTCACGTGAGCTGTCCCCTGCTGACAAACTTTCGTGGACATTCCTGTCTCATCCGTGCCGATAGGCATCATCACGAATACACTCCATCTGTTGCGCGCGTGCAAGATTCCGTCGACGGTTAGTCTTGATCTCAATAGCGGCTCTTGGCCTCTACGCTTGTTCCTTTGTCATCGAGAATCGGCCGGCGACCTTCGCGCATCACCTGGCTTTCTGCATACTGCTCCATCATATCACCGATTTGTATGTCTCGAGCACCTCATCCGGATCATGGCGCCGAATCAACGTCATCGGAACGCACGCCTCTGCTTTCAGAGGCCGCAGTGACACCCGAGCGTTCATCGAAAACTCCATTAGATGGCAAACCATCAAAGCCTCCACCCCAAGCGGATGGACATGTCGCCGCAAATCAATCCATTGGTCTCATCAGAGGCATTCTCTGCACCATCTCCTTGGGGTTCTTGGTATTCCTCCAAGCGACCAACATCAGCATGCTCACCACGACCAGCTCCAAAGTCGCCGGCGATCTGGATGCGTTTGAGAAAGCCACCTGGTTCACATCCGCTTATCTCATTGCCATGAGTGCTCTGTCTCCGCTGAACGGGAAACTCGCGTCACTCTTCGGTCCGCGAAACTGCATCTTTGCCTCTACGCTTATCCTTGCCGCTGGGTGTCTGGTGAGCAGTGCCGCCGAAGGCTTCGAGGTCTTCATTGTGGGGAGGTGCATTACTGGAGTCGGTGCTAGTGGCATCTTCACCATCAGCATCATCATCGTTCTTGAGCTGACGGGGTCGAAACGGAGAGGACTCGCCATTGGTCTTCTGAATTCCGGGTACACGATTGGAGTTGCTGTGGGCGCTGTAGCTGCAGGTGCACTACTTCGCCCGGTAGGATGGAGAGCGTTGTTCTGGATGCAGGCGCCCATCGCACTGACCGCCGGATCCGTCCTCTTCCTCGCCATACCCCACGACTTCACGGCTGGCAAGAAGGGTGCTTCTGATCAGAGCACCCTGCAACGTCTTGCTCGGATCGATTACCTCGGCGCTATCACGCTAACAGCAGCGATATCCCTCGTGCTGTACGCCCTCTCTTCGCCCCGCAAAGTTCCGCTCTTTCCGATTGGACTTTCGATACTCGTGCTCGTCACGTTCATCCTCAACGAGGTCTATCTGGCATATGACCCCATCATCCCAATTGCCTTGCTCCGATCTCGTGGCCTCCTCTTGACCTGCTTGGCGACTGTCGGATACATGATGGCGCGCTGGTGCGTTCTCTTCTACACGCCCACCTTCGCCCTCGCCGTACGTCAATGGACTCCTGCAACAGCCGGCGCGATTCTCATTCCCACCAATGCTGGCTTCGCCGTTGGCGGCCTTCTAGTCGGAGGCCTGCACATCAAACGCCCCGGATCGTTCTGGCTGCCAACTACCATTGTATACGCATTGTTTCCGTTGTCGCTCGTCAGCCTTGCCTTCTTGGTGACCGAACACAGCTCAGCCTGGTTATTCGTCATCGTTGTCTTTTTCTGTGGGGCTGTCACCGGAGCAGCAGTCAACTACAGTCTCGCTCACGTGCTGCACCTCACCCCTTCAAGCACGCATTACGTGGCGAGCTCGCTCGTCGCTACGTTCAGAGGATTTGCCGGATCTTTCGGATCCGCGATAGGCGGCGGGCTGTTTGTTCGAACACTCTACACCTCTCTTGAGGACGGGTTTGAGGAGCGCGGACTGCGGCACAGAGAGGATCTCGTGCGGAGGCTACTTGGCTCGCCGGACTTGGTTGAGAATCTGGGTGGGGTGGATCGAGAAGTTGCCATACATGGGTATGAGCAAGCGTTGAAGACGTTGTTCATTGCTGGCGCTATATTGGCCGGTGTTATGATTATCGCGCAAGCTGGGACAGGTTGGACTGCTCCGGAGGAGGAGCTGGACCCGACAGAAGAGGATGACCGGACGAATGAATGAAGAAGACCACATAGACATAGACTTGTAATGCATATCTCAAGCTGCTTGCCTGCCTGGACGCCTCGCTCAAACGCGTAGAAAACTGAAACGACAATCATGCCTTGACCTTTGCCCGTTTCTCGGTTGTGGCGGGTTCAATCTCATCCTCCATCACCCGCCCTTCATCGTCCGCAACATCACGACTCCTCTTCAGACCTTTCATCTTCCTCGTCTGCAGTTGGCCCAGATCTTGCTTCCCAAGATGGATTCTTCCGACCTTGTCACCGATGATGTCGGTTTCGACGTTCTTCTTCGGTTTGGCCTGCAAGATGATCAGCTTTGTATAGGTCAGGCATACGGACGGAGTAAGACATACCTCCAGAGACTTCGGTTTCCGCATGCTCGCCTTCCACATCTCCGGATCCGGCTCTCGTGTTCTCCCCACTCGAAAGTCGATCCGCGGTCCCATTTCCTCGACTTCCACTCTCGGCAAGTTCGTCCCGCTCTTCTTCGTCTTCAACAGGAAGCATCGCATATGCACACTTGGCTTCACCTCGCCTTCCTCTTCATCAACAGAAAAGTGAATCATGTACTGCAAACCCTCCACATCAATATTGTCCACATCCGGACCCTTGAAGAGATCGGTGAACATGCTCTTGATCATCGTGTAGGCGTTGGACGTGGGACTTTCAAAGGCCGAGCCGGAGAAGGAGAGCAAGGGCTTCAATCCCACGGCAGGCTTGGTTGCCGTCTTGAATTGTTGAATGGTCCTCATGCTGTCCGCATCAATCATCATTTCCACCATATCCAACACCTTGTAGTCGAATAGCCGGACGAACGTCAGACAATTCGGCCGCTTCTTGCTGTGGCTCCCAAACACAATCATGCTAGCATCATTCTTGTCGGAGAGAAACTCAAAGGACGAGGCATCTTCAAACGGGTGGATATTGTTCTTCTTGCTGAATTTGACGGCGAGCGGTCGCTTGAGGGCGTTCAAGTCTTTGAGCACGAGATTCACAACTTCGGAGCTGGTGGTGTAGCGGAGGAAGAGGGTGGTTCGCGGGTTCTCCACGCTTTGCGGCGCCTTGTTGTCGAGGTAGCGCTTGGTCCGCGCATTCTTCGGTTTGACTTCTCGCAACGCGAGGGGTTTGGGGTCCATGGTGGACGACTGGTGTGGAGGTGGTGCGAATGGGAATGTTGATGTGCTGCCGCAACAAAATTTCAGACGAAGCTCGAAATCTTGGCGGAATCACTTCCGCGGGCGCAAATTGATTGAAGTCTAGCCAAATCCGGCCGCTATCGATACCTTACCCGATGTCGCATTTCGTGCAGCGCATTTCATCACCGCCGCGGCAGAAAGCTTGCGCCTTCGATTACAAAACATTTCAGACTCGGCCATCTTCCACTTCAACTCCCACGTCGCAAGTTAAAACCCTCTACGACTGCCGAACGAGAAGCAATCCATCAGATACCCCTCAGCCTCCGTCACCATGGCTGCGTGCAGCCTCATCCCCGTCACCAGCGAAGACGACTTCAACAGCCAAACCGCCGCTCTCCCGCCCACATGTCTGGCCGTCATCTACTTCCACGCCCCTTGGGCTGAGCCGTGCAAGCAAATGAACACCATCCTGACCACGCTTGCCTCCACCTACGAAATCACCAACCCGCCGCGGATAGCCTTCTTCAGCCTCGATGCGGAAGAGTTGAGCGAGGTCAGCGAGACCTACGACGTCACGCAAGTGCCGCTGGTGGTGCTTCAACGCGATGGGAAAGTGGTGGATGCGGTCACCGGCACAGATGCGGCGAAGGTGCGCGGCGCGGTGGAGAAGCATGCGGGATCGTCGACGGGTGGGAATAAGGCGTCTTTGCCTCCGGCGCAGAAAGTCACTCGACCGGCGGCAGAAGACACTGCAGCCGACACAAACGGCACGACTCATGGAGCGGCGGCGGAAGAGGAGGAGAATCTGGATGAACGCCTCGCGCAGCTCGTCAAAGCAGCAGATGTCATGCTGTTCATGAAGGGCACTCCTTCTGCTCCGCAGTGTGGTTTCAGTCGGCAGACGGTCAGCATCCTCCGCCAGCGCAAGATCAAGTACGGCTTCTTCAACATCCTCGCCGACGACGATGTCCGACAGGGATTGAAGAAGTTCTCCGACTGGCCTACCTTTCCTCAGATCTACGTGCAGGGTGAATTGATCGGGGGGTTGGACATTGTGAGTTATTCTTCACTTTGTGTGAATCGACAGCGAACTGACTCTTTGACCACAGCTGAAGGAAGAGCTCGACAACGATCCAGATTTCTTGAAGCCCTTTATTCAGCAACCGCAGGCTGTGTGAGAGCTTCAATCACGTCCAGAATCGAACTGCAATCGTTCTGCACGTCTCTCTCTTGCCTCTTTTGCGATCCCGAGAGTTGCGCGCCTGTTTGGCACTGACTGCCCAAGGTCACAGCGCCGCGGAAGTGGGAAGAATGAGTGTATACGCGCGCGAGATTCAATGTTCATATTGGTGTGTATTGCCGGATTGGTCATGTTGCCTAATGTACATCGCTCCTTCCCATCTTTCGTGCCTTCCGCGTGTTGAGTGGCACCGACCGTCATCAAACTTCAACCCTCTCACTGTCTTTGCTTCCACACCATTCCACTCCTCACTCATCGATCCACGCACTTTGTTTTCACATTCACATCAACTTCACCTCACTCATCCAGACACACGCCTTCACTCACCCATTCTTTCATCGCTTGCTTCCTCCCACACCTGCACGTCTCGAGCCGAAGCTCAGCAACAAGGGCCATACACGATGGACTCCTCCGCCTTCGCTGAGGATGACACTGGGCAGACCCCGAGCGAGGTGTATGAGCGTCTGCCAGAAGAAGCACAACAGGCGGTGAGTTACCACACGGCAGACTAAATTCTCGCATCCCACTGATCATGAGCAGCTTCACATCGGCGCCTTTCTCCTCCGAAGTCTGACCAAGATCTCGCTACTTGTCCTCACCTTCGCCGCCTGCGCTGCCGCCTTCGTTCTGCTGATCCAGTGGATCTGCCTTTTCTGGCTGCAGACCAAGCTGCTGCTGCTCCTATCCACCTTCCTTCGCCATTGCTATACAACGCATGATGATCGCCCTCCGACCGAACAAGCGCTGCATGCTCCAGATCAGGTGAGTGAGACCATCGTTACAACCCCCCCTACTGCCCTACCCTCGATGGAATCACGAGGAGGATTGGACTTGTCTGAGGAGGAACATCGGCGTACACATCCGAGTCACACCACAGCAAAGGTGTTAACAAATAGGATTGAGCAGCTACTGCGTCATCATCCGCAAACTCAGAGTGAGTCCGTGGGCGCGAAAGATGCTGACAGCCGCGGACGACGATCCAATGCCGAAGATGCTACGCCTCGTGCCAACTCTTCCAGCGCCACGCCGGACGCTCACACCGCCTCTTCAACCGATGTAGAAGAGAGCAGTCTCGTCACGTCGTCGGCCAATCTGCATTCCAGTCCGTTCGGATCTCAAGGCGTCCACAGCGAAGACTCTGCTCCAACATCCCCGCCGAACACCACTCGCACTCCAGCTACACACCAGGATTTCTTGCCTCCCACGAATACCAGCGCACTCACTTTCAGTTTCACGGCAGCACAGCTTGAGGTAGGCCAACACCGTGCTGCATTGTCACAGAGCCCGACGCTAACACGGCTATTAGGAGGCTGCAAGTTTTGCACATGAGGCAACTCGAGGCCAGAGCTCCCGCAAGAGTCAGGCTCGCAGGAACGGGCCATCTTCAATGCGCCAGCCCACCCAGACGCTGTCACGGCACACTCCGAACTCAACCATCCAGCAAACTGCCAGCGCTCCGGCACGTCCAAAGGCCCTTCCGCCAGGCTTCGTACCTCCCCATCTCCGCAAAAAAGGGGCGACCAAAGCAGAGCAAGACGTTGAAGCAGTTGAACAAGAGAAGCTCGGCATCACTCATGGATCTGCTCCTGGGCCAGCACCTCGTTTTAAGTGGACTCAAAGCCATCCCGACCACGCGGACGGAGCTTTCAGCTGCGAGGCCCTCCAAGTCAAGAACAGTCTCCAGGCCACGCCATCTACCCATACCCAACGGAGAGACAGCAAAGAACCATGCTCAAAGAGTCCTTGGGGCCAGAATTCTCCCTCCATTTCGCGCTCTTCAAAGTCTTCTTCAAACCTTTGCAAAGGAGAGACTCGAGTTGCCTATGCGGATCAGGAGCCCAGCCTCGCGGAAGTTGAAGTCATTGAAGATGACCACCATGGCCGCCCGCACCAAAACCAATCCTCTACTGCTTCCACCGGTTCATCCGACGGGGCTTCAAGAAACCGGGCGCTCATTGAGCAAATGAAGCGCTTTAACAGAGTGCGAAAGTTCCCAGTCACTGCGAAAATACGCCACGCGCAGGATGTTATTGCAGGCATCGAACGATCAACCGACTCAGCACCTACCGCCAGCCTGAGCTTGATGGTCAAAACGCCGTCAATCGCAGATTCGACTTCAAGCACGAGCCGTGCTCAAGGAGGCGAGCATTCCAGTGCATCGGGAAATCCGGATACAGCGTCCACTGCTCACGTTGATGCTACGCTCCACCATTCGAGACCAGCTTTGACCGCCAAGACGTCACAAAGCACCGCAGCAATGCTGTGTCAAGCGGTTGAAGCTCTCAAGAAGCAGGCCATGCAATTGCAGAAGAAGTAAGTTCACAAGTCACGCCATTGTAAGGATCATGAGACTGACGTCGATTTCAAGGCCGGATACCGTGATGAACGCGGCAGCCGCAGTGCCAAAGCCCGAACCTGAGCCTTCCACAGCTGGCTACTACCATTCCGATTTGGAGGGCTTAGATTTCACCACAGCCTTTCAACCTGAGCCTGTTCAGCTGCTACCTGCGATCGCGCGGCCAGCATCGGCACTGAACGCGAAAGCGCCTGCCTTCTTCGCTCCATCCACAACTCTGGCCTTGCATCATGGAAAAGAAAACAGTCCCGTGTCCCAGACAATCAACACGACACCTCTGGGCGACCTCGCAAAGTCAATTCATGCAGATCCAGCCATACTGAACACACCTCGCCCGCTCAGCTTTTTTCCTACAAACGGTTCCGGGGTCAACTTTCTCGGACACCAACGTGATCCGGCCAGCCAATTTCCTGGATTGCAATACTCTCCGTTCCAGCAGGAGTCTCATATCGGCCTTCCAAACATGTCCGGAACCAGTTCGGCCCAGCATTGGAGATTTTTCGGAGAGCCTGTATCCGCAGCATGCTCGCCTTTTGTACCAGCTTCCATGCTAGATGCCCCTAAGACTGCCACCCAACTCTTGACAGAGATCACAGCTAACAACACTCAAGTTCAAGGCGGTAATTGGACCGAAAATGTCATTCAGCCGCCGCCCGGTCTCGAAGGCGTTCGCCCAACAACGTCTCCGAGTGCGTTTGACCAACTCATCTGCAATCCTTTTCCAACCCTCCAAGCATCGTATCTGGCACCGAACTTGACCAAAGATTCATTTGCCCGATTCAACTTCGGGACTGGAAATGTCGGTCCCCTCCACGCAATTCACTCCCAGACAAGACTTCCGGATGAGGAGCAGAGCGTTAAAGCTCCACAGCCAATCTGCACCGACGCCATCACGACCGACGGCCATGACAAAAGCGCTGAGCTCAAATCGTCAGAGGTGCTATCCGAGCCAGCACTCGAAGATCCCCAGGCTGGAGACGAGCAAGTTCACGCTTCAGGACCCATCCAGCCCTCATCCAACGGCGAGGAAATCTCCAGGTCAACAGCCAAGAAGAGGAGACGAGCCGCCCGCATGGTGCTTCAACAAGCCTGGTGGGACCGCGAAAAAGTCAGGGCTCGTGTCGCTGAGAGGTGGAGCCGAGATGGAGTCCGCAGTCTGGAATACGCGACCGAGACTTACAACATGCAACGTGATGCTCTGGCGAAGTGTACGTCTGGGGGTGAATTGATGCATGAAGACGCTCTCGCTTTTCCACTGTTGTCCAAGACGGACATGAGCGTGCCGATGATTCATACGAGATCGGATGATGTGAAGAAAGTCGAGCTAGCTCGCGGTCATAACCCCGCGGATCCGGCAAAGAATACGGCAATGTCGATGGATGAAGGCTTGGACGAATTGCACGAGCAAGTGCTGGAGGCTCGGGACAGCTATGAGGAGGCTTGCAAATACCTCAAGAAGCCTCCCCCGGCAGGACGAGCAAACATCAAGGATTTGCGAGTGAAGGCAGAGGCCAGGATCTCCCTCGCTGCTGCACGCTATCGTAGGAAGAGGGAGGCGTTGGCGGCTGCATACCCGAATGGTTTGCCAGAGTGGCTGGAGGACGAGCTGTGTGACTGTGACGATGCGGTGCAGACAAAGTTTTGAGGAGGGAAGGAGCAATCGAAGTTGCTTACTTGTCTTGCTGGTGAGTGCAGTGTCGAAGAGGACGATCAAGGAGAAGCAGAACGGGTCCGTTTGATGCAATGGAGACACGCTGTGTAGTGAAATGCAGCAGCTAGGCCTACTCCTCCGCCCCATCCTCCTCCACCTTGTCCATGCCAAGCGCCGCCCTGTCGTCACCCTCGTCCTCCTCAAACGTATCCTTGGGCACCTGGTACAGACGGATGGTAGGCTTGTTGGGATCCTTGACCAGCACGTACTTGGCATCGCCCGCATTCTCCTTCATGACAATGTCGACAAACGTGCGCACAATGGCCCAGCCGTTGTTGAGGTTGAGATTCATCTGCGCGGCGAATTCGCGCGGCTTGTAGCCGAGCACGCCGAGGACGACGTGGTCGAGGTTGTTCTTCGGGCCGGCACGAGAGATGAAACTGAATGCGGTGTTAGCTTATGGTATCAAATGTGAAGAGCTGCTTGTCTTACCCCAACTTCATCAAATCGGCCTTGGCGAGAATGGCTTGCACGGTCCAGCGGGCGAGTTTGCAGGAATTGTTCTTCATTTCCGTCGCGACCACCGCACCACGCTGGCTGGCCAGTTTGCTTCGCCAGTCCAGAGCGCCGCCCGCTCCTTGTGCCTTGCTGTCAAATTCATTGAGAGCCTTGATGACGAGGAACTGATCTTCGCCGCTGATGTTGTTTTTGACCACGGCGTCCAACTCTGTTCGGACAACAAGATGCAGCGGTTCGGGATCGGCTTCGACGGAGAGGTCGAAGCGGCGGTATTTGTAGGCTTTGGAAGCGGGCGGATCGGCCTCCTCGGCGGCGTTGTAGAAGGGGTGTTCGTTGCTCATGTCATGCCGGCTCGTCTCGCTTTCAAGGACTGCTTGTAGAGGGAAGAGGTTGTTGATGACTGTTGCTTCTTCACGCAGTGCACCGGGGCTGTTGATGGTGTCCTTGTTGCCTTCGCTGACCTCCAGAGGAGCATCGGCAGCGTTCTCGTTGACCGTAACGGCATCGACAGATGAGCCTTCGCGCTTGTCGAGGAAGATCTTGCCGCCTTGCTTTTGAATGATAATGTCCCAGCTGTAGACACTTCGTGGCGCGCACATGAGCATGGAGAGAATGTTGTCGGTGGCGAAGATGGTGGCCTCGTCTCGCTCGGCAAGGTCTTGGATTACGGGGTCGGAGGAGGTGCTGACATCGTAGGCCGCGCGCTGGAGCACGTGGAGCTTGCGTATGGACGTCGCCGTACCGGGCTGCTTGTCGTAGGAGCGGTCGTAGTAATACAGGAAGCCATAGTCATCCAGATCTTCGCCCGCGCCAGTGTCGAGGTTGAGCTTGGACAAGCGATTAAAGTCAATCTCCTCGAGCATTCGCCAGGTATCCTTGGGTTGAACAGAGGCCTCTCGGTTGCGCTGAGGCTTGTCGTAGTCCTTCCAGCCGAATCTCCTACCGCCACGTCCTCCACGACCACCACGAGAATCGTAACCTTGCTGACCACCTCTTTGCCCGACTCTCTGGTAAGTGCCTCGGCCACCGCGCTGCATCGGCGCTCCTCGCTGCCCACCACGACCGCGAAAGATGGCGGAGCCACGGGAGCTGAAACCTCGGCCACCTCTTGTGTTCGTCTGGCTTCGGTCGACGAGGGAGAAGGTGCTTTCTTCATTCTGCCCCTCGATGTTGAAGACAGTCTGCAATCCGCCGGGTCCACCGCCACCGTAGATCTGGTCTCTGTACCGCTGTTGGTATTGTTGACGGCCGCCACGTTCACGCTCTTTGCCTTCCGCGGTCCAGTCCGCCATGCGGCCCAGCTTGTCGCCTTTGGAGAAGGGCGCGTAAGGGACGCCGTTGAGGGTCGTCGCGGTGGTGGTTGGCGGACCCCATGTGTCCTTGGGGAGGGTATCGATGATGTCGAGGAGGGAGGGCGCCATGTTGATGGTCTTTGGGGGGGTGGAGTGAAGGAGTCGCTGTGTTTGTGCAGAGCACATAATTTTCGAGATTTCCGCGCCAAGATTTCACATTTTGGTGGGAACGCGAAGTTGTGGGGAAGTGGGGCGGCCGGAAGCAGCAAGTGAACATCACCACGCCATGCGGTCTTGCATGCGACATCGTCTGAACGGAAATATCGTTCTCCAGCACAGCCGCAGTAATGAACATGACGTGGCAACAACTCACATCTCTCAATGATCCGCAAGATCCAACTGCTGGCCCACGCCGGCGCTCCATCTGCTCGCGGCGAGGATGAAAGATATCGAGCCCAGCTTCATGGGTATCTGGAACTCCAAGCGGCGCCTCGTCAATCATCGCGGGAGGTGGTGGAAGTGAGTTCTGATAGAACTCGGGGCTCTCAGATAGATGCGCACCTCGCTTATGCGCCGACCGGCGACACCACCTTCGTCGATGATACCCAGCTGGCATATCAAGAATTAGATAGCCAGCTGGTCACATCCTCGTTACTTGACCTAATCGGCAGCCCACCTGGCAAGAGGCCGATTACAGATCATGGCCCGTGTTCGTCACCTAAGTCAACGGAGCTATCCCGTTCGAGCAAGAAGCGAAAGCTTGACCTGGCCGAGCTGCATCTTGATCCCTTGAAGCGACCAACAGCGCTCTACGTTCCACTGCTCGAAGATGGACAACTAGGATTGGCTCATATCGGCGACCAGGCAATGCGAAGTACGGAAAGCCGAGTGCCTGCCGGTCATGCGGCTCTTTCTCAAGACCTTGATGCGGATGAGACCACTTCGGAACTGCCGACAACGTATTCTCTCAGCGACATGACGTCCCAGAGCTCGCGAGCTAAGCGTAAAGAAGCCGATAATCAAGCTGAATATCGCCCGAACCAGGACGGGGAACGAGATGAAGTACCTCCTGAGATGGGAAGTTCACATGAGCAGCGGGCACCCGATGATGAAGATATCGCTCGGAGTACAACGATCGACCAGATCGACAAGCAGCGTGAGCCATCACCACCCCAACAAGTCGGCTTGAAATACAGCAGACATGATCTTCACGATACGCTGGCATCGCTGTCGACGAGTGTCATGCCTCCGGAACCAGGAACTGGTCGAGAACGCTTCACCTCTCACGTTACTGAAGCCCTCCAATCTCTCGCGGACAGCCCGACGATTGGCCACAAGTATGCACCTGTCTCCGTGACTCGAGCGATCCGTCCGCTCGAACGCGGCTACTGGCTCGTCGATTGCTCTTCTTGGCAACTATCCGCCCAGATTGACTTTTGGCAATTCCTCGAACGGACTATCCATCGAGGCAGTCTTGGCTGGGGTGTTTGGTGCACTCGTGAAGATGAAGGACTGGCCAACGCCGAGAAGGGCGGATCCATCGGAATCATCAAGGTCTTCTGCTGGGGCGAGATCGTAAAGCACGTCTTCCTTTTGCTATACGTCGCAAGCAACAGTCAGGTTAAGAAGCTTGGCTTGAGCTGGATTGATGCTGAAGGGACTACCGTCGTGCAGATGCCGCGGAGATAACCGTATTCTCATCACCGTATTCTCACCACAATTACACTTCGCCCTCTGCATCTTGTTCCTACAATTTGCACCCACGTGCTCTGTCTGTGTCCTTCTGAACAGGATCTTTCGCGCCACCGCGGCCAAAACCAAGACTGACGCTGTGCCGTCCGGCGGATCCGAGAGGAGATGTACGACATGTGGTTAGCTCCCGCGCGGCCCGACCAGCGATCGGCCTGGACTTGGTAGCCTCGCCTCGTAGCGGACCTTGTTCAATCCATGATCCCTGTCGTGGCTTGATCTGTCACATGGACGGAGGTTGTAATGCTCTCACTGCGTATTAATCTCTCCTGCACCCCAAGACGTGTCCGGAGTACGTGATTCCCCCGCGAACAAACTCGCGAGTGTCCTGGGAGTGGCTTGGGCTTGAAGCGAACAATCAATGACTATCATCCGCTGCACCGATGTCGTCTCTTCAATCTTGTCTCTTCACGCTTTCAATGTCGATAACGAAGAGCCTACCCTACTCGTGCACGCTCGTCCCGCCGCCTGCCTGGCTTGCCTTGCCTCCCGCTCCACCAGCCTTGCCGGCAATACTCCAGACTCCACTTTCAGGGAACTGCCGCCAATCATCGCAACTTGATCCACGCTGATGATAGATGCCGGAGTTAAGTGTACGAGGAATGGTTGGCTTCCGCGCGGCCCGGGCGGTAATGGGTCTGCCCGGCAAACCTTACCAGATACATGACGGTCCTAATCCATCGAATTGTGCGAAGACACCAATGGCCAAGAGGACGAGTCGGAAATGGGAGGATGTCTCAGCGCGTCACTTGCTGATGAAGTGCCACGCGCGTCATATGTGGAAATGTGTCGGGGTTATCGTATGGTTGTAAACCCTAACGCCGTAAGGTTGCTCGTGCTGGGTAGCTATCAACGACAAGCGAAAGATGTACATATTGTCTTCGAGCTCAAGAGCATGAGAGTGGATTGCCTCTTGATATTTCTCATCCGGACCATTAGATCTTTCGTTTGTGTCACTAACTCGCCATGGCCAATGCGAACTACATCTCCAAGGTTGCCATCGTCGGTGTACGTGTCTGTTCCGCTTGATCAGTCGATGTAGCTAACGCAACTATCCCTCATAGGCCGGCGGTAATAGCGGAAAGTTCATGACCGAAGCACTGCTCAAGACCGGCAGACACACCGTCACCGCAATCACCCGTGTCGACAGCAAGAGCCAGCTGCCACAGGGCGTCCAGGTCAAAAAGGTCGACTACAGCAAGACGGAGACACTTGTGGAAGCTCTCAAAGGCCAAGACGCGTTGGTCATCACCATGAATCGCGTCGCTGGGGATGCGCAGACCAGTCTCATTAACGCAGCGGGCGAGGCTGGCGTCCCCTGGATCTTGCCGAACGAATGGTCCCCTGATACCGCAAGTGAGGCGCTCGTTCGGGATGTGGCCGGCTTCCAAGCAAAAGGTGCCACCCGTAAGTACATTGCCGACTTGGGGAAGAGTTCCTACATTGCCGTAACCACGGGCTTCTGGTATGAGTGGTGAGTTTGTTTGTTTTCTCGAGGTACCAGCGGTCGCCCGTTGAAACAAGCCCCCCTTCAGGAGCCTGGCGATCCCACTAGCTTTTGGGTTCGACTTCAAGAATAAGGCAGTCACACTCTTCGACGATGGCGACGTCAAGATTTCGATATCGACATGGCCACAGGTGACATTTCTCCGAGACTTCTTCACCCGTGATATCAAGGTTGACTCCTGCGTTAGGTCGGTCGTGCTGTAGCTACACTTCTTAGCCTGCCCGTCAAGAGTGACAACAGCACGAGTACCTGCTTGGAAGACTTCCGCAACAAGCATGTCTACGTCAACTCCTTCACTGTGAGTCAGAACGACATGCTGGAGTCGGCTATGCGGGTCACCGGGACCCAGAAGAAGGACTGGACCATTACCAAGGAGAAGTCCACGGAGAGATACCAGGCTGGGGCTGAGCAGATGAAGACAGGAGACCACATAGGTTTCGTCAAGATGATGTACACTCGTGTGTTCTACCCCGACGGGGTGGGCGATTTCGAGCGCAACAGAGGCACGATCAATAGTGCTCTTGACTTGCCGACAGAGGACATTGACAAGGCCACCGAAGCCGCGATTGAAAGGTCGAAGAATCCATGGGGTGCGTGAGAGCACGGTTGCGCTCAATTCCTTGCGTAGACAGACTTGACATTTATTTCTTCCTCGCCGGCCATGGTACTATACCTGCGTTCCTGGATCAGCATCTTGTATTCGTGAAGCGTGCCTTGGCATTTCTCTGCTCTCTCCATGTGCCTTTGAATGTGTTCCAGTCTATGCTCCCATCCTCCGCGACCGATGAACTTTCTGCAGGAGAGACGCGGCCTTCGAGGAGGTGAAGCACGCTCCAGAGGTATGGTACAGGAGAGCGGACGGGATCCTCTTTTCTCTTCGGCTTATGACCCTATGTACCTTCCAAGTTTGGAAAATTCACCTCAGTCTCAAGAAAATGAGGAAGGAGCGACCGGTCGTTACTTCTGTTTGAGGAAGGCACCACACGCCGCGAGGCGCTGTAGTCCAACGACATCTGGGAAGGGCAGTGTGCGAAGTAGGCACCATAATTTGCCATCATGCACGATGCAGATCTATGGCGCTACCTACTTCTAACATACTTCCTTCGCTTCACATCCGGAAGAGCTGCAAAGTGTGCTGAGCTTCGAGGCACGTCTTTCCTCGAATCACGCATTCAACATAAATGTCGTGATTGTCCTCCCTGCAGGAACAGCAGTCTGTGTCAAAATGTCAGAAGGCTCTGGAAACACTCGGTGCAAAGGTCAAAGTTTGGAGATAGAGAATCGCCGTCAGCTTGATCTTGGCTTGGTAAGTGGTCTGCAAGAAGCTCGCAAGCTCCGAAAGAATCGCAGCGTCGTCGAGGAAGGTGTCGTTGAAGCCGGGTGTGTCAACGAGACGTCGGCTGGCCAGGAGCTGGAGAAGGAGCTCATCAAGCAGCGAGAGCTGTTCGCGAAACGTCTGAAAGAAGCGCAAGAGGAGATGGATGGTGCGATAGTGGAGAACGATCGACGGGCGAGCAAAGAAGCTACCGCGCAGCAATGGCGTTTTGAGCAGAAGCTGGGGGAAATCGTGCAGGGAAGCGAGGATCTCAAGGTGTTCCATGCAGAAGCTGCTGGAACAAACGGACCTGGAGCAACAGCATGCGCTACACAACCTGGAACTCGCAAAGCAGCAGAGCCAAGACGAAGCCAAGAAGGCATCGGAGCAGATTGAGGAGCTGAAACGCCAAATGGCCACTCGGCCCGAACAATATGAAGAAGAGCGTCGACGCAGCCAGCAAGAAATCGATGAATTGAACATGCGAGTTGCCATGGAGAATGCGCAGTCCAGGCGTGCATATCAAGGATGGATGGCGACTGAGAGAGCCAAATCGCGGACAAGTCCGACGGCACCATCGCCAGCTCCGAGATCAAAACACCGGGTGAGGGAGGGGATTGTCGAAGGGGCGGAGGGAGCAATTGGGCAGGCGATCGGGACTGCTATGGTGGCCGGCGTGACCCAGATGATCAATAACGGAAACTGTAGCATGATGTGATGGCCTTGCAGAGATCGGGGCCACAGTTCAATACATGCCTAGAGCACATTCGACCAGTCGCATGACTGGATAAAGTCTTTGAGCTTGGTGCCTTGAATTCCGGCAGTGAGCGGCGCATCTTCATCTGTAAGCAATCCGGTATAGAATGGAACAGTATAGAGGAATGAGGTCTGACGGCTTGGTGTGCTATGTATAACTAGAGCAACACGAAGAATCAAACCAAATGCGGTGAAGTGGGAGTACAGTTCGGCAAACCGCGCCCTAAATTCCCGGGCCAAAACACGCTACATTCCTCATCGCCCTCTCCCCTCCTTTCCCGAGGTCATGCTACTAATGAGTGAGTGTAGTAGGTCTTTTACGAACCACATAGCTTGCTAGCTCACGATTTCCCCACGATATAGCGATAGCAGGGTGTGGTGTGCGCAAGCTCGGAGACTTCGGATTCGGATTCGGCAGCAGGAGCGTCTGGCGAGACCGAGCGAAGCATCTCCAGCCTCCTCGGACTCGGATTCGCATTTCACCGCGATCAGGCTGCAATGCGCAGCATCCATGGATGGCAATGTTTTCTTAGACTCCATGTGCACCGCCTTAGCTGGTGGGATCGTCCTCGGGGCTGAACAAATGATGTCTTGAAGCAGATACGCTTCTCTTGTGGAAATGCTATAAAGAGGCATTGATCCATGCTTCCAATCCAGGTCTGTCTGTCCATTCTTCCATCACAAGCTTACAGCATCCCTACACCTGCTTCCTCCGCAGATTCGTATCCTCCACGTTCACATACACCAACATCCACCATGCCCTCTGCGGACTGGGACCTGGCTCTCACCGAGCTCATCTTCTACAGCCCCACCGTTGTCCCCCTCGCCTACTGCCTCTGGCGGCACCGCAGCGTCGGAATCACAGGCTGGATCTACCTCCTCATCTTCGTCTCGCTTCAGTTGATCTCAACGGGCATGATCGTCCACGCAGGTCCAAACGGCACCCCACCCACGACAGCCTTGATCGTGTCGAGCGTAGCGCTCTCCCCGCTCTTACTCGGCATCGCGGGCATTGTGCATGAATGGACAAAGATCGCCGGCCGGGTCAAGAACGAGAGAGAGCGCAAGTGGGCCCTCATCATCCTCCTGCTGTACCACGTGCTCGTCGGTGGCGCGATCGCCATCTACGCCGTTGGTGCTTCGAATACTTTGACACAGTCCAACTTCTCCAACTCCAGCGGCGTGGCGCTATGGCGAGCTGGCATCCTCATCCTCCTAGCATCATGGGTGTTGCTCTGCGTGGTCTTTGCTGCACTCGCATGGTACGTGAGAGGAGACTCGTGTCGCGCCTTCACCTGGCCCATTGCCTTCTCCCTGACCTTGCTCGGAAGCCGAATGGTCTACCAGTGCGTCGCGACATTCGACTACATGATTCCTGCTCTCAATCCGTTGCGAGGCAGCCTGGCACTCCGTGTCATTTTCGACTTCTTGGTGGGAGCTTTGATTGTTGCGGCCATGGTGACGGGCGGTATCCTCTCGCTGGAACGAATTGGAAGGAAAGGGGGCCATGGTGTAGAACTTGGGGCTAGTCAAAGGGCAAGTGATGTCTGAGAGTCGTACAGATAGGTACCTAGGTCTCTTAGGATCCGTCCAAGACTCCCCCAGTCGAGCATGGCCAATGATACAATCGAGACTCATCCCGCCTTCCTCGGCCGCAGCGGCCAAACTCCCACTTCGATGTCGATCCGGGTGATGACTGAAAGGCGTCGTGAGAGGGAGCGAGCTGACGCCACCCTGTTGCCAGCCCTGCAGAGTAGCGAATCTGATTAGCGCATATACCTTGCCATGCGTCGAAGAAGCCCACTCACCGTTGTTTGTCACGGTGCATCAGCAACATGAGAGGAAACGCAAGAACGCGATAGACAAGGCCGATGGCGAAGAGCATGCTGCGAGAGAAAAGATCAGCTCAGCCTCACAAGTTCAATGATAACACGGAAGAACTCACCCAACATCCAGAGAGTACTGTCCAAGCGTGAACCCCGTCGCCGCCTCAGCAAGATGCAGCTGGTACAAATACGCCATCGGCATCAAGTTCTCCGTAAAGTAGGCCTCCGTAAACCACACGCCAGGACTCATCCTCCAAAACCAGCCCATATGCCACTTCATCACGGTCTTCAATGGCGGAGCAACGCCACCCAGAACTCCAATGATGAGTGATGCAAGCACGGCAATTAGCGGCCCGTTCTCGCGCTTCACGAGCATGCTGACGACCGATGCGAGCCCGTACACGCACCAAAAGTAGAACAAGTTTGCCACAAACATGCGCATGAAGGGCATGAGCGGTGCGGCGAGGAGGTAGAGGAAGATGGTGAAGTGGAGGGCGCTGAGTGTGATGCGAGGAAAGGTGCTCAGCAGTTTGCCCGTGTAGTATGCAGACGGTGAGTGGCCGGCGGCACTTTCACGCCAGTACATCAGCTTCTCTTCACCGAACACCCAGAAGCCTGGAGCGGAGGCAGCAAGTCCGATGGCCATGCCGCCGAGGAGACCGAGCTGTGGCGTACTGTCGTAATCGACTGCTGAGCTCAGCTGGGCGAAGCTGCCCTGATAGATGCCTTGAAAGAGGTGTCCACCGGCAGTGTAGGCGGAGAGGCCCATGAGGATTCCCGCAAGGCCGGCCACGCCGATCTCGAAGCAGAGGGAGGTGGAATTGCGGACTTGCTGGACCGTGGCGCGGCAGAGGCAGTAGTAGACTTGGACTGGCCAGGAGGCTCCGCGGGCTTTGATCGTTCTGGTGAGGGATGCTTCTTGGTCGGCAGACAAGGCAAGAGGCAGTGTGAGGTTATGAGGCCTCATCGCACTAACAGCATCTGCTCTTCGATGCATATCTGCACCCACGCTTCTCCTCATGGCGCCGACATAACGCTGCGCCCCGGGACCAGTGGTGATGTCCATGACAATATCAGCAGGATTTCCTTCCGATGCGAATGCAAAACCCAAAGCCACGAAGTACTCGTGTACATTCTCGGTTGGACCAGAGTACACTGAGTGGCCTTCAGCAAGGACCAGGAGGTGATCGAAGGCATTGAAGATCGTTTCTCTCGGCTGGTGAACAATGGCAACAATCGTGACGCCCAGTCTAGAGATTGCTCGGAGGAGGCGCATTACGCCCAATGCGCTTGAGGCGTCTAGCCCGCTCGTGGGCTCGTCGAGAAAGATTGCCATTGGAGCGGCGACAAGCTCCATTCCGATGTTGACTCGTTTGCGCTGGCCACCGCTGATGACTGGTTTCCTCTCATCACCCACTCGCTTGTGCTGAACATGTGTAAGCTGGAGACAGGCGATCAAGCTGTCCACGTGCTCCTGGATGGCTGTATCAGTCCAGCGACTCGGCAATCTGCAGCGAGCGGAGTGCAAGATGTTTTCACGAACGGTGAGTTCGGGGAAGACAATTTCGTCTTGCGGAACGTAGCCGATGAGTTTCCTGTATCGCGAAACGCACTTTCGCGAACCGTTGATCTTGATAGTCCCGCTTGTCGCACGCTGCTTCCCCATGAGGGTGTTGACCAGAGTCGTCTTCCCGGCACCGCTGCCTCCAATGATTCCCCAGCAGCTTCCTTTCGGGATAGAGCCAGAGACGTGGTCCAGTATCGTTTGGCCTTTCTTCGTCTTGAAGGTCAAGTTTTCAAAATCGAAAGCAAGGCCAGTAGATGAGGTGTCGATTGCACGAGCCATTGACTGGAGGAATAGGCGTATCTCCGGAGAAGAGTCGGAATCTTCTTCAATCCCATCGTCAATGGCGTGGTTTACATGTCCGTCCATGTTGTCCACCCGAGACAAAGCCCGCCGACCTCCAGACCCGGTCTCGATGGAGGCTGCATCTGAATCAGAGGGGGTGCACGTCTCAGCTGCCGGTGGGGTTTGCTGTGCAAGCTTCCTCCCAAACAGCCTTGCATATGGAGAAAAGTCATCCATCGCTCCATCGAACTGATTGAACCAGCGGTATTTGCGGCGGTAGCGTTTGTATTGGTAGCGGCGGATGACGTATGAAGCACCAACAGCGGCGAGTAGCAAGACGTCAAGCGCACACACGATAGCAACGGGAATCACGAATATTTGCTTGTGGCTTTGCTCGGGGCAGACTGCTCCAGTGGAACAATTGAGCGGGGCGACAGAGCCAGTGGGACAGAATGTGCCTTTCGGGCAAGCGATCTGTTTTTTACCTCCCTCCGGGCAGTAATGGCCATTGTCGCAGATCTTGGGCTCGTAGAAGCCTTGCGGCTCCGCGCAGACCATCTCTGTCATTCGTTTGGCTTGACATTCCGGAGTCGGCGGGCAATACTGGGGAGGATGGTCGTCATCGGAGTTTAGGCCTGGCAGCAGATCATTCAGCGCACTCTTCATAGGAGATCGGCCATGAGATAGACAAACACAGCCATCCGGGATAGCAGGTATCGTTCATTGCCAAGGGCACAGGTAGCACGCCGGGCTGCTGGCATCCCGTCGAGTTCTGCGGAAGGTCAAGCACGTATTCGTCAAAGTCGCGGCCGGAGAAGTTGGTAAAATGAGTAAGTTGGTCGGGTGCAGTCATGATCATACGGGAGCGAGTGTATGAAAGATATGGAGTGAGATGGAGGTCTGTGAATGAGTGAAGACAACTCCGATTTCTCTTTTGATGCCATGCTCACGATACCGGTCGCGGGGGTGACTGCTTCAGCTGGTAGGGCAGGAGGAAGGAGTGGACGGTGAGGAAGTGGAGGAAGAGCAATTGGAACGTATGAACCTACCTCGCAGCTTCCACTACGTGCATACATATATTGGTGTCCGTGAGAGCGAAGGCCGAGCATGATGATCGAGGACACATGAAGGATGGATGAGGTGAAGGCAATTGAAGTGGGAAGAGTGAAGTCATCGCCGCTCAACCCAACCCTAACCCCCCGACACTTCTTCACCGATCATATTGCAGACTACGACCGAGGTGCACCCGCAGGTATCTCGAGTCTGAACGATGCATTATCTTCTTTCTGTCAGTGACAGCAGTCAACAGTAATCGTACATGGCGTTTGAGCCTCACAGATTGGCTGTTCCTAGAATGAAGACTCCATCCATCGACACCCCTACAGCGAACATGGGATAACAAGCATCCATGCACTGCCTTCAATTCAAAATACCCGTCTCGCTGGCAAAAAGGAACATTACCTCCATCGCAATGGCAACCAGCACTCACTCCCAAAGACTGCATCTAATCCTCGACTTCGACGGCACAATCACCACGTCTGACACAACCCCCATCATCGGCTCTCGCCTGCTCTCCGAAGCTCAAAATTGCGGCGCAACGACCAAGTCAATGAAGTACTACACAGACCGGTACATGCAGGACCATCAAACCTGGAAAGCTGCGCAAGCTCGAAAGCTAGAGGACTGCGGAAGTGTTGATGCGGTGGTGGACTTTGTTTCGGAAGTCGTGGGTGTGGAGAGGGCGAGTTTTGCGAGGGTTCGAGAGGGGATTCTGGGTGGTGGGATGCAGGAGTATGAAAGGGACGAGGCGAAGAGGAATGACTTCATGCTGAGATGCGGGAGGGAGGCCATTCGAGACGGTGAAGTGGGCATTCGGGATCTAGAGGCTTTACGACAACTCTTGCAAGTGGCGAGCGCGGGACGGAATGCGTGGGGAGTTGTAAGCGTGAGCTGGAGCAAGCGATTCATCCTTGGTGCTCTGATCGAGGCTGGACTCATACCAATGGATGGAAAAGAGGCAATGGCGGAGAGGATCAAGTGCAATGAGATCCTCGCTCCACCGCGAAAGTACGACGAAGATGGCAGGCCGGTGACAATCTCCAGTGCTCGGGATAAGCTGGACGCGATGGGAGAACTGCTGGCGGAGTGGAAGACCGGCCATCCCAATGCCGCAGACACTATCCTGGTATATGTTGGCGACAGCAGCACCGATATTGGCTGCTTGGCTCGTGCCGATGTAGGCTGCTACATCCACACTCCCGACTCGTCTCTCAACGCCTATATCGCCAGGCTGGTTGATATTGAGGCGAGAAAGGTGACGGTGAACGACTTGCCACGCACCAAGTCGAGCACGAACGAGCATTCTCAAGCACTTTGCGCGGTGGAGGGGTTCGAAGAGCTTGCGGCATGGGCCTCCAAGACGTTTCGCAGTCCAAACTAGACTGCAAGACATGTGAGCCAGAAAGAAGTTATGACAAAAGCGTTCAGCATCGAATCTAGAATACGCAACGGAATCGCGCTAATATGTACAACTGTTGCTCCCTCTCCACCCTTCACGACGATCTCTAATAAGTTCTCTTGAACGGCGGAATGGCATGGCACTCCTCCTCATCCAGCGTGGTCGCAACCACCGCACGATAGCCAATGTCCACCTTACCCTGCGGCTTCTTCTGCCACGTAAGACTGTGCTTCATCCATTCCTCGTCGTTGCGGTCGGGGTAGTCCTCGCGGGCATGTGCACCACGGGACTCCTTGCGGTTCGCGGCGGATTCGGCGGTCTGCACGGCGCAGGTGAGAAGATTGCGAAGCTCGAGGGTCTCGACAAGGTCGCTGTTCCAGATCATACTGCGGTCTTTGGTGCCGACCTGGCTGAATTGCTGGTCGACTTCGTGGATGCTGTGGAATTATGTTAGTTTGGTCTCTCAGAAGTACAATGGTGATGACTTACCCCTTGACACCGGCATCGAGAGACTCCTGTGTTCGGAAGACGGAGACGTCGGTTTGCATCACGCGTTGCATGGCAGAACGAATCTCAGCCGTGGTCTTTGGACCATCCGCAGTACGCAGCTGATCCACCACACTGATAGCCTCCGCACCAGAGTCTGCCGGAATCTCTTGATGCTTTTGACCTGGCGAGAACCTGTCGCGGATGGTATGGCTGACTGCACGACCAAACACAATAAGATCCAGGAGGGAGTTGGCGCCGAGACGATTCGCACCATGGACGGACACACATGCGGCTTCACCACAAGCGAACAGGCCTGGCACGACCTTGTCCTTGCCCGACTCATCGATGGTGAGGACCTCGCCGGTGTATTTGGTGGGAATACCACCCATGTTGTAATGCACGGTGGGCAGGACAGGAATGGGCTGCTTGCGAACATCAACGCCCGCGAAAATGGAGGCAGTCTCACTGATGCCCGGAAGGCGCTCGTGAAGGACCTCCGGTGGCAGATGCGAGAGCTGCAGGTAGAGGTGATCCTTGTCCGGACCGACACCACGGCCCTCGCGAATCTCTAGCGTCATGCTTCGGCTGACGACGTCACGGGAGGCGAGATCCTTGGCAGTCGGAGCGTATCGCTCCATGAACCGCTCACCCTCGCTGTTGAGGAGGTATCCACCTTCACCACGGGATCCCTCGGTAATGAGACAGCCGGCACCGTAGATTCCAGTCGGGTGGAACTGCACAAACTCCAAGTCCTGGTTCGGGAGGCCTGCACGGGCGACCATGGCCATTCCATCACCGGTACAAGTGTGGGCGGAAGTGCAAGAGAAGTAGGCACGGCCGTAGCCACCAGTGGCAAGGACGGTGTTGTGCGCGCGGAAGCGATGGAGCGTGCCGTCTTCTTGATTGTACGCAATGACACCCTTGCACTCGCCGTCTTCCATGATCAAGTCGATGGCGAAGAACTCGATGAAGTAGTTGGTGTTGTGTCGCAGCGATTGGCCGTAGAGGGTGTGGAGAAGCGCGTGTCCGGTGCGGTCGGCGGCGGCACAGCATCGATAAGCCTGTCCGCCCTTGCCGTAGTCCTGCGACTGTCCACCGAACGCGCGCTGGTAGATCTTGCCATCTTCGGTTCGCGAGAAGGGACAACCGTAGTTTTCGAGCTCGTAGACGGATTGCGGCGCCTCGCGGGTCATGTAGTGGATGGCATCCTGGTCACCCAGCCAATCCGAGCCCTTGACCGTGTCGTACATGTGCCATCGCCAGTCATCCTTGTGCATGTTTCCGAGCGCGGCATTGATGCCTCCCTGCGCGGCAACGGTGTGTGATCGCGTGGGAAAGAGCTTGGAGATACACGCGGTGTTGAAGCCAGCTTCTGCCAGCCCGAAAGCTGCTCGTAGACCTGAGCCTCCTGCTCCGACAACAAGGGCATCGTACTCGTCTGCCGCGGGTTAGTAGGGCGACCGGAATGGGAGGGGGCGGCAAGGGGATGCTTACGATCAATGACGGGATATTTGTTGCTGATAAACGGACTGGCCTCCTTCGCTCGCAACGGGGCGTTGGTGATTATCTTCTGCGCGGGAGTGGTGCGGGAGAAGCTGCGGAGCTGGGAGGAGGGGGCGAGTCTACCGGCAGACCGCCGCAGCAGCTTGGAGGACATCATCCTGAAGCTGAAGCGTGCCGGGCGGCAGGTATTGAGAGGGTGTGAGGTATTGGAGGGGGTGGAGGAGAGGTGGTGGCGGTTGTGGTGTGGTCGGAACAGCGATGTCTTTCCTCAGAATCGAGAGTCAATGATGGCAGCAACGAATTAGAGTTTACCCGCCGAGGCCCGGAGCAGATTTCGCTTAGCTAGCCAATCAGATTGACGTCAATGACATTGCTTTGTTCCCGGCAGCCTTGTATGGGAATAATCTGTGTTGATGACGAGGAATGAATCCGACATCTCATTCTTCCCAGCTAATACGGCAGCTCACAACAGTGCCACTGCCGACAGTGACTACACCACACGTTCTGCTCTCCAACATACCTCACCACCTTCTCCTTCCTCGCAGGCTCATACCTCCATGATTCGCCGATACTGAATGTCCCTTCTGCCACGTTCATGTCCACCACCGGCAAATCCAGGCTCGCCTGCGTGACGGGAATGTCCACAACCGCCAACCCAAAGACCTCATCATCTTCGCCCTCAAAGTGCGAATTGCTGCCCGATTCTTTCCGCGCTCGAAGCAACATGGCGGGCAGGGGCTTCTCATGATACTTCTGGTATTCTTGCCAGGACACGACGACAGAGCGCGGCTCATTCGCCTTTCGAATGAGGAGCGAGAGGAACCATACAGTCCAGCAGAGGAAGAAGATGCGCCACTTGTTTCTGCCGAGCCAGTTGACTGCGCCACGGTAGTGGAAGAGCAGCTGTTCGACTTCCGGGAGGGTCTGAAAGCGCGTGGCACTTTGCTGAAGTGTTGTCGTCATGCACGACCTGGCTACACTCATAAGATTGGTGACAATCGTCAGAGGCGCCAGCACGAGCAAAGAGAACATCTGCCAGAGGATCCAGACAAACATGCGCACGGTCCGCAGCATCTCGACAACCACGCTCTTGATTGCCTCCAGGGCAAGGTCGAGCGGGCTTGCATCTGCCGGCAGATGCATGTGGTCGAGGATGACGTCGAACCAGTCTTGCCAGTTTCTGACATCGGGAATGAACCAGCATATGATGAAGACAATCACCTGCGCCGTCCAGACAATCTGATCAAACACGCGCAGGATTGACCCCAGAATGAAGTCCGTCACCGTCCAACCTTCCGGTATTCGCATCTGATCGAGGATTTCGTGAAACCAGTCCCGCCAGTGAACGACGTTGTAGAGGAACCAGCATGTGAAGATCGGAAGGGCGATCTTCAGCAGGAGGAAGAGGAGCACCGCGCTGATGGCGGCGAGTGGACTGGACGCCGCATCTCCGCCGCTGAGATGGGCTGCTGTGGTGGTGATGGGGGTGGCGGCGGCGGCGCTGGCGGTCGAAGTCGCGAGAATGCGACTGAGGGCGGTGTTTCTTGCGAGTGCCCGGCTGTACTCCGCACTGCTCACGCGTTCCAGTAATGCAGAATGCGCGGCTTGTTGCATTGCTGGGCCAGGGGTGTAGCCAGCGGCGCGCAGCGAGCTGGAGATTGATCGTTGATATTTGATACCTTGGTAGGCTTTGGAGAGTAGCTGGTATGAGAGGCCGTCCATGGTGGTGATGGGGGTGATGCTGTTCAAGGTGGGTGCGTGGGTGGAGCAATCTGGAGTTCATGTTTCTTTCGGGTTCCCGGATCCGGCGAAGGAAATATATTCCGTGGGTTGACAATGAGCGGTCGGTCGCCATTGTTGCGACAGTGAAGTGAGCTTCGACAATCGCTTAATTCTGCTCGACAATGTCCAATGATAGATAAGTTTTAGCAATGGAGTTTGAGCTGAGGTGAAGTGAAATTCACCTAGAAAACTTGGGGTGGTAGTGATGGCGGTGATCTTACGTCAAAGGACACCACTCCGCCTCGTCAAAGAGCATCACTTGCCTGTAGGAATGTTGCTTGAATGGATCTGCTCATTGGACAACTGCACAATCAACACCTACCACCTCTCAGAGGGGCCATTTGAGGTGAAGTCCAGCCATCGCGTGGTTTGCAAACCCAAGAAACGCGGTCAGTTCACCGAGCGACAATGGCGTCCAAACTCACATGAATGCCGCCGCTCTCTTATTCAGTACAATGAGGCCAAGCGCAGGAAAGTCTACCCGGTAGACGCAAATGCCCCAGCTCCTGACCAGAAGGACCGCCGCATGCGGCTTGCAAAGGAATGTGCGCCGCGTTCCACGACGTCGGGGCGGGCTTTGTGCATCGCGACAAGCTGCCAATCCGCGAGCGGAACAAAGCGAGCGCTTGGGGAACAAAGATTACAGGGCGAGCGTTGGCGCCTGTGGCCGTCTGTAGTATTTTGTAGTGTTCGTCATCTTCCGAGTGGTCGCCCCTGAGTAGCTGCCTCCTGTCTTCTTGTGAAGTGCACAAATACGAGAGCGATATCCGGAGACTTGAAAAGAGGACAGAGGACTTACGAAAGATGTTCGCCCCTCCTCCTCTCCAGCTCTCTCGAGCTGAGATCCAGCATCGATTACAATTACTGCGGGAGGCGAATGGTGAAAGCGATGCGAAGCCGGCGCGACAGTCGAACAGCCCCAGCAACAAGGCGTCCATCTCCTCACCAATCAAGACGACACGCTTCTCCTCAAAGTCAAAGCATGCGACTGGCAGTCAAGCTCCTCCCAAGCAGGGCATTCAGCGTCTCGCCACCCTGCCAGTTGGATTCGGGGAAAATCCTCGACAGGCGCCAACACCGCCTAGACGAGCGGCAACACTTCCGAACGATGCGACGCCTCGATTGATACCTGGAGCGTTTCCAGGTGAAGTGGCGCCTCCCATCCCGCCAAAGTCTGCGAAGAGGCAGGACGCTACGCATCGTGAAGGGTCAGATGCCATCCTCAAGTCGCTTGACTTCGACACAGCCGGCTTGATGTTTGATGGCAAGATTGTGTCGACATCGCAAAGGAATCGTCGGCCGAAACGATCGTCATCCTCGGCTGGCAAAAAGAGCAGGTCGGCTGGTGGTGTGCGCAAAGTGTCGACTGGGAACAAGATACCGACAAGGGAGCCAGCAGGAGTCGACTTCCAGAGTAACCTGCCAGCGCCATGGCCCTTCACCGACAAGAAACTCCCAGACATACCCCCGCGCAGTCCAGAGGCATCACTGGAGACGCCCACCCCGATTCCACGAGGTGGCAGTAGGTCGAAAACATGGGGCAAGAAGCGAAGACCACTGGCGCAGGTTTCGTCGAACAGTGCAAAGTCGAACAGCCCATCTGCAGGAGGTCAAGACATGCTCAGCCGTTTGTCTGTCATACCAGAGGTCGCGAGTCTACGCGGGAAGTCGCCACGGAGCTCAGGGTCATGCTCACCACGGACTACAAGCATGCAATTGCACGATGGCTCGATTCTGACGGTGACTCCACCCGAGTTGACACCCTGGACTCGACGAGTATACATCCAAGGCCCCATAAAGCTGCCGAAGCCGCTCATCGTGCCGAGGAAGAACTCTCTCGCGAGTCTGGAGCCCTTTCAGGAAGCCGTGGACGACATTTACGAGGAGGCGCTGGATTTCCAGCGGAGAGCCAGCGAGATCCGAGTTCTGGACGACATTTGCGACTTCTTTGAAGAGTTCGAGATGGGGCCGGTGAGCTTTGCAGGAGACATTCTCGCTACGGCGGATGATTTTGCTGGTGCCTCCGACGAAAAGAGACCCTGGTTTGATGGCTTTGGCACGCCCTCCAAGGCCGAGGTGAGCCCGATCGAGAAGATGGTTGCAAAGGCCGTCGTGGAGGCCATGAATGGACCGATGCCGGTGCCACCGCTGGAGAATGAGGAGACGATACGAGCGAAGGGTAAAGCTCGGTTTGCGAAGCAGACAAACGAGTCGGAGGAAGAGAAACAGAGGAAAGACTCGGCGACCCTTGCGTCGGGCTTTCTGCCTTTGCTGCCGCTGCCGGGCGAGAGTATCATGCAGGCAGTGCTTGGAGTGGCGGAGGAGAAGTCGAAGATGAAGACATCTTTGGCGGATCAAGGGGAAGACGGGATGGAGGAATTGGGTCCAGCCTCTGACTGGACGTTGTCCGGCGTGATGGGTTCGCTTATTGGCTAGATTGAATAATGGGTACATGTAAGATTAAGCAGAGATGAAGATGTCCAGCGCGCAAGTGTAAACGAAGCAGTCTCATCGATCGACGGTTGCTAAAAACCAAAGCGGCAAAGCCAAACGACGCGCCATCGTCGATCAGTGACTTCAGCTCCTGACCTCGGGAAACTCTTCCCACACATTCTCTCGCCGAAGTCCCATCTGTAGTATGGGAAAAGCGAATAGTCCAAGATGGACGAGACACAGAAGGAAAGAAGATATCTAGTCCGACGGCCCAAGGCGCTGCAATACTTCCACAATGGTGAGCTCAAGAAGGCAGCGGAGAAGGAGCGAGTAGCTGGGCGATTCGAGTTGTTCTTCGATCTGTTATGTACGTGTTCTAGCAATAGTGACAAGAACAATACTGACTGCCTACAGATGTCGCTCTGGTAATTGCATCAGTCGCCCTCCAGACTCCAACTCCGCCCACTAACACCCACCGCAGATTGCCAACTTCGCCGAAGCCCTGACAGACGAACCCAGCGGCACGCGACTCGTCATTTTCATCCTCATCTTCACGCCCGCCTGGCACGCCTGGGCCGACGCAAAGGAGAATGCCAACAACTACTTCAACGACGACGTGCTGCAACGCGCCGCCATCCTGTGGGTCATGGCCCTGCTAGTGCTGTACGGCAACAATGCAAACTACGTCGGCGAGAGCATCAAATCGCAGCGCATCACCGTCGCCTCGTACCAGGTCATCCGATTCACGCAGCTCAGCTTCTTCCTCATGTACAGTGTCGCCAGCCATCACCACCGCTGGCAGAACCGGATTTACGCTGGTTTGACCTTCATCGGCTTGCTTCTTTGGGTGCCCATTTACTTTGAGAGCGTCAGCAACCGAGCCAAAATTGCAGTGGCCGTCGTCGCCATACTCTGGGAGGAGGCCTCATACATCCTCGGATTTTCGCCTTTCGTCGCCAATCTTCTGAAGCTGGATTTCACGACGGCAGTCGACATCGCTCACGAAGACGATCGATACACGGCGTTTACAATCATCGTACTTGGCGAGTTCACCTACGGCATACTCTTCGGGTACGTCCAATGCTCCCTCCGTCGACGAAAATCACACAACTGACACCGAAACTGCAGCTCCCCGGCCCGGGGCGGCCTGTCCTTCGGCTACCTCCGCGGCGTCTGGACGCTCGTGATCGCCTTCTGCTTCAACTCAATGTACGTCTACACCGACGGCGCCATCACCAACCTTCACCCTGTGCGCCGCTCCGTCTGGACCGCCTTTGGCTGGCTGATGATCCACCTGCCCATGTCGGCGGGATTGCTTATTGGTGGACACGTCAGCGCAGCCTCCACGGCCGACGATCTGGATGAAGCGCGCCGGTGGCTTTGGGGCGGTGGACTGGGTGTGGGCATGCTGTGCATGTGGCTTACGGCGCAGATGTGGAAGGATTGCGATCCGGCGGGGACGTTGATCTTGCCTAAAGTATGTGCATGACTTCGCTTGAAAAATCGAAGCACAGTGAGACTAATTGAGCACAGCAACTCCGTCTCTTGCCTCGACTTCTTGCCGCTATTGTGTACGCACTGGTGCCTCTGGCTTCAGTAGACAGTCTAAGCACCACCTCGCTCATCAGCATCGGGGCAGGACTCAGCGCTTTCGTCGTCATTTGGGAGATGATCACCTCGTTGGAGAAAGGCGCAGTGCCGTTTGAGAGCTGGAAGGGTACCGTGGCGACGTATGACACGGTGATTGGTAACGTGAAGACAAAGTCAAGGCAACGGACGAGAGGGGAGCAGTCGATCACGCCCAAGACGGAGCAGCAGAATGGATCGTCGAGTTCGTAAGCGCGTGATAGATACTAAGTAGCTGAGATACCCCGGGAAAGATTCCAACTTTTCATCCGCCAACAGTGAAAGCACTCACGCCATCGCCTCCACCAACCTACTCGCCGTCGCAGGCACATCCGAAATGCCCATGCTCGCCAATGCCTTTTCCAATCCAATCAAACCCGGCTCATCCTCCTCTTTTTCCCACCCCCTCAGCGGACCCCAGATCAACTTCTTCCCGTGCTCCTCCACCCTGCGCTTCAACGCTATGACCATCGGCGCATCCTTCTTCACGCCCGGGTAGGCATCAATCTCCACAATCTCCAGCGAAGGAGCTTGCGCCATGATACCCAGCAGCAAAGCCACGCAAAAATGCTTGTACGTCTCTTCGGTGGCATTGCGGCCGCGAAACCCGGCGAAGATGGTATCGCTGGGATCAATCTCGATGAAGATGCGGAGGGTGCGCAGGGAGGTGCAGTCGCGCAGGCCGAGGGAGGGGTCGGTATTCTGGCCTTTGGGAGGCGCGCCCCAGCCTGGGCCGAGGCGGAGCTCGAGCGTTGTGATGAGGTTGCGGTAGTGGGAGGGGAGGCGGGCGAGGAGGGGGCGGTCGGTGTGGAAGAAGCGGCCGTGGTAGGGGTAGAGGCGGAAGGTCTGCTGACGGTAGAAGACTGGGTACGCTTCCTCGTACATCTTTCGAGAGACGAGGAAGAGCCCAAGGCGAGGGTATAGCAGGCGATGGTTTACAGGGTCTAGTGAAGTAAGCACGCGATCAATTTGGGGAAGAGATGCAACGTACGGAGATCAATCGTCTCACCGCTGAGCATAACCATTTCGTAAATCCTTAATCGAATCTCGGCGGGGAGGGCCCAGAAGGGAAAGACGCCTTTGCGGGTAGGTGAAGACGCTCTCGATGGGGCGCGAGAGGACCATGGGGTCGAGGCGGCGGATGAGACGACGCTGCTTGCCACCGAAGACAAGATGGACGAAGCTGCTCTGCGACGCGTCCGGGCCATGACGGCCTCGAGCTCACGGTTCTCGAGCCGCCCTTTGCGCATGGTGGAGGTTGTGCGGGGAATTCAAAGATGTGAAGGAGGGTTGGGAGAGGCCATCGCGTGACCTGGGGCGTTTATGCAGCCATCGTGCTGACGGCGGCAAAGGTGGTTGTAGGTGGGAGAAGTGGATGAAGGGTGGTGCAAGGTGAGGAGGCTGTCGTGCGAGCTCGTAGTGGGGTTGTTGGAGGTACGCAGGTACGACGATGTGATCAGTGTGCAGTGGTGGCGGAGTAGAGGTGTGAGTGAGAAACGATGCCCCAACATCAAGACACGACGTGTGTGTGGGGAAGCGGAGCGGCAGCGGTATCGGCCCGAATGCGCCGACACGTTCTGGACTTCAGCTGAACCCTTTTTGCAGCGCAGCAGCAGGCAGCACTTTACAGATCCAACCCGACAAGGTACAACACTCGAGCTCGAGGTATACACAGCACCTTCGCGACGGCAGTAAAGACGCGTCTATTCACCATATCACGTGACTATTCCCTCGATGTTACCCAAGACATCCGCCTTCCCGATCCAGGCAACCATGTTTCAATGACACCTCAATTCTCCCTGGGTTGGTTCCAAGGGAGATGGCTTCGCTTAGCGCAAGCTGAAAATACGCGGATGGCTTAGACACTGGAACGGGCTAAATTGGATGGAGTTGGAATTGCGCGCGCGCGCCAGCCTGGGCATCGATCTGAGAAGTGTTAAAAGGAAGCGATGCCTCTTGCAAAGGTTCCGCTGGTGTCTGGAAACGCGTAAAGTGGTATTCTAGGAGGTATTCTTAACCTTGGCGACATTTCAGAGAAGCCAAGATGTTTCAGACATTACTATCGGTGCTTGTCGCCGCACTTGTATGCTTGACTGGTGTCGATGCGTCGCAAGAGACGACGGGCAACAGCTCCGTGGCCGTCTACTGGGTATGACTGTCATACTGCTGACATGCTCCTCCCGCATCTCGCTCACATCCGTCCCAGGGCTTCGGAAAAACTCGACCTCTAGCCGCCTACTGCCAGCCCGGCCAAGGCATCGACATCCTCATCATAGGATCCATCAGCAGCCTGAAATCCGGTGGCTATCTAACCGGCATCTTCGGCGCGAACTGCACCGTCGAACCATCCGGTTCATTCACCAAGGGCTGCTCCGCCGTTGCTCAAGACATCCAGACCTGCCAAGCGGCCAACGTCAAGATCTTCGTGGGCTACAGCAGCGACGGAAACAAATGGGCCATTCCCGGCACTCAGGGCGCGTCCAAAATCGCGTCCCAGCTCTGGGACTCGTACGGTGGTAACACCTCTGACAGCAAGATCCGACCGTTTGGCAACGTCAAGGTAGACGGCTTCGATTTCGATGTCGAATCCAATCCCAGCCATCAAGCCCAGAACTACCTTGGTCCGCTCGTCAATGACCTCCGCTCCCACTTCTCCTCGGACACCTCCAAGTCGTACTACATCAGCGGTGCCCCTCAATGCCCCATCCCCGCCCCGGACATGTCCAACTCAATCGCGCAAGCACCTTACGACTACCTATGGATTCAATTCTACAACAACGACTGCGCCGCCGCCGACGTCGTGAAGAACTCGACGGGGAATCCCAACGGCGCGGGCCAGTACAACATCAAGAAGTGGCCGCAATATGTGTCGAGCGGCGCATCCAAGGATGCCAAGCTCTACGTCGGCCTTCCGGCGTCGAGAAGTGGTGCTGCTCACTGGGATTGGGTCAAGCCTGCGGACTTGCCCAAGGTCATTGGTGTGTCGCCGGGAATCAGTGGTGTGATGTTGTGGAACACTTTCCACAGTGATCAGGCGACCAGCAATGGATGTACTTATGCGCAGAATGTTGCGCGGGTACTGAGTACTGGGAAGCCGTGCTGAAGAGTTGCTTCCTGTATCGATACAACGTCAGGCTGCCGTTGAGACTCTGAAGATAGACAAAACTAGAAACCCTCTCCATCTCCATCAAAGCATCTCATTGTGTTGTATTCTTGAAATCCAAGCGCCCGGGCGGATGCTGAAAGTCACGGCCTTCGGGTACACGAGGCTCTGCGCCCTGGGCAAAAATCAACCAAATTAGGCAGGTGCATGCAAAAGAATGGATTCGGGCTGAGCGGCATCCAACTCATCAAGACTCATACGCTCCTCCTATATCTCGCCTCCGCAATGCTCTATACCCTCTGGCGCTCACTCGCGGACTCTTCTCCGTCGCTCGTACTTCGACGATGACATACAAAGTCCATGACCCAGACGCGATCATCACCGACAGGAATGGCATCGTGGAAAACCGGCATTTCATCCACGTCGCAGTGGTGGACAGCACCGGACGACTCCTCTACACAGCAGGCGATCCCTCTCGTCTAACACTAATCCGCTCGGCGGCAAAACCAGCACAAGCACTCGCCATTCTTGAAACAGGATGTCTGGAAGAGTACGGTTTCGACGAGGCAGATCTGGCGCTGATATGCGCCTCGCACAGCTCCGAGGATCGACATATTGCTCGGGCGAAGGCGTTGATGGACAGCATTGGCGCTGTTGAGACCGACCTTCAGTGTGGTCCTCACCCCGCGAATATGCCTGAGATTGAGCGACTGTGGGCCAAGCGGGAATTCACTCCGACGCCGATGTACAACAATTGCTCTGGCAAGCATGCGGGTATGCTGGCTGGTGCTAAAATGATTGGCGCTGAGTTCAAAGACTATCATGAACCGGACCACGCCATCCAGCTGCGAGTGAAGCAGGTGGTGGAAGATCTTTGCGGTGAGCAGCGAGACACTGTCAAGTGGGGCAACGACGGGTGCAATCTTCCTGCACCTGCTCTCCCTTTGCATCTGCTCGGGAGCATGTTCGCAGAATTTGCAAGGGCGGCTGATGTTGAGAATCACGATGGGACAAACGGCACTACCTCAAGTTCAAACCATGTACAAGGATGCGCAAGGGTCTTCCGGGCAATGTCAAGCTACCCGGAAATGGTTGCTGGTGAAGGCCGATTCTGTACCGCACTGATGCGAGCGTATGAGGGCGCGCTCTTCGGCAAAGTGGGCGCTTGTGCGTGTTATGGTGTCGGAGTGCGGGAGTCTGAACGAACAAGGCAACTTGGAGCAAAGGGAGCACTTGGAATAGCGCTCAAGATTGAAGACGGCAATATCGACATGGGCTATGCTGCTGTGGCCGAAGTTCTTGAACGACTAGAGATCGGAAGTGCAGACACGAGGAAGAAACTTGCGAGTTTCCACAAGAAAGAGGTCCTCAACACCGCCGGAGTGGTGGTGGGAAGCGTGCACTATGCATTCGAGCTGCGACCGACCGGCGCATAAACATAGACATAGACAGAGAATAGATGTGTGCCTTTAACGGGAGTCGGTCCAAACGGAAGAGAGATTGGAGCGCTTCTTGGAAGACATTGAAACGTCAATCTCCGCGGCTAATACAATGTCAAGCTTCCATACCTCTGGAAAGAGTGAGGATGAGACACCTAATTTCTGCACCGCGTGGGTTTTTCAACTTTGCGGAAAAGAAGAGAGGGAGGCGGAGGGAAGGCAGGTGAAGTTTTGTTATGGATGCTGAAATTAGTCATGGTCAAAGTAGTCGTGGGACGAGATTTCTATCAACTTCACCATATCCCTTCCACCACAAACACAACTTTCCGACTCGCGGATAGAACAGCGCTATCGCTCAGCCTCCGTGATGCCCTCCTTCTCCATCGAGGTCGCTGGAGAGGCGAACCCTCTGACGGAGAATCTTCTGGTCCGCAGCCTTACTTCTGCTGCATCTTCAGATCAGAATCAGATTCAAACGGGTACCAAGCAGCTCGAGCAATGGGAGAAGTCGCCAGGCTTCTACAGGCATCTTCAGAGCGCTTACTTGGATGACCGGCTACCATTGGAGATTCGGTATCTGGCCATCATCCAGCTCAAGAATGGCATCGACAAGTATTGGAGGAAAACGGCGCTGAACGCCGTATCGAAGGAGGACAAGGAGATCATCCGCTCTCGTCTACTTGACTCCGCGTTGAATGAAACGGACGACCGTCTGGCCTTGCAAAATGCTCTTCTCATCGCCAAAATTGCGAGATCCGAATACCCCAACGACTGGCCAGACGCACTCTCTTCCGTTGCCAATGTACTCCGATCACAAGCTCCGCCCCTCCAGCTTGCACGCGCGCTTCTCGTACTCTTACACATCGTCAAAGAACTCTCCACTGGACGGCTACAACGCACCCGGCAGAATCTCCAGGCTGCTACCCCTGAAATTCTCCACGTACTGGGTACTCTCTATGCTACTTCCGTCTCTTCCTGGCAATCACACCTGGAAGAGGCCACCATGAAACAAAGCCTTCTCGCCATCAAAGTTCTACGCAGGCTCATCATTCACGGCTACGAACATCCCAATCGAGACGCCGCCGTGGCATCACTTTGGCAGCTCACACAACAACATCTTGCAACCTTCATGCAATACCAAGAACAACAAAACCCCCAGACTGTGCTGATCGACAAGCACATGGTTCAACTGGCGAAATTGCACCACGAAATGGCCCGTGAGCATCCAGCTGCATTCGCCCTATTACCCAACTCAATCGAACTAGTCCGCTCCTACTGGGCACTGGTCAAAAGCTATGGCGAGAACTTTGGCTCTAAGGAAGCTGTGGTATCTGCTGTAACTTCTGCCAGGATCGGTTTGGATGGGGACGCCGATGAGGATAAGCCCACCATGGAGAAGCTGGCGCTGAAAGGCCTTCTGATAATTCGTGCTTGCGCCAAAATGGTCCACAATCCCGCCCAAACCTTCAAGCACCGAACGCCACAAGACAAAGAGGAGAAGTCGAAAGCCACGGAGTTGATCAAGAATGAACTCCTCACCCAACCCTTTGTGAAAGAGGTTATGGAGATCATCGTGACTCGCTTCTTCGTTTTCAGAGCCAGTGATTTGCGAGAATGGGAAGAGGAGCCGGAAGAATGGGAGAAGCGGGAGGAGGGCGAGGGAGAAGACTGGGAATTCTCGGTCCGCTCATGCTCGGAGAAGCTTTTCCTCGATCTGGCTATCAACTACAAGGACTTGCTGGTGCAGCCCTTGTTGGCTGTCTTCTATTCCGTCGCAACTCCGGAGAACGAGAACATCTTGTTCAAAGATTCGGTCTACACGGCCATTGGTCTTGCTGCCCCAGTCGTGCAGGAGCAACTCGACTTTGACGCTTTCATTCGGCAGGTCCTTGCCGTCGAAGTGGAGAAACAACTTCCAGGCTACAACATCATCCGACGGCGAGCCGCAATCCTGCTGGGCCAATGGATTGCCGTCAAAATATCCGACGACACGAGACCCACAGTCTATGAGATCTTCCAGCATCTTCTAGACAAGCAGGATTCGCTAAACGACCAGGTGGTGAGAGTGACGGCTGGCCGGCAGTTCAAAACCATCTGCGACGACTGGGAGTTCAAGGTCGACCACTTCATGCCATACGCAGAGACTACACTGCTCAGACTGATGCAACTGATCGAGGAAGTCGAGTTGACTGAGACCAAGATGGCTCTCCTTGATTCCATCTCAAACGCCGTCGTGAGACTGGAACACAGAATCGCGCCCTTTGCCGAACGCATTGTCAACATGCTCCCATCACTATGGGCTGCTTCTGGAGACGAACACCTCATGAAGCAAGCCATCTTGACCATTCTCGCTCGTCTAGTCAACGCCTTGAAAGCTGATGGCCTTCCCCTTCACATGTTGGCCTATCCCATCATCCGTGGCGCCGTGGAGCCGGGATCGGAGACTCAAGTCTATCTACTGGACGATGCAATGGATCTCTGGGCTGACGTTGTCGTGCAAACACCCACGCCGGCTTCCCCAGAGCTGCTCGCAATGGTGAGATACCTGTACCCCATCTACGAGCTCGGGTCGGAGAATTTGCGCAAAGCATTGGAGATCACGGCATCGTACATACTTCTCGCACCGGAGTATATGCTGGCCGCGGATCGCAGAATCGAGCTGTTTGGAGCTCTTGCCGGACTGCTTGGGAGCCTGCGGCCTGATGCGAATGGCCTGGTGTGCAATCTCTTGGAGATGGTGATTCGCAGTGCTGAGCAGCTTGGAGCAGAAGGCGGCGCCCTCCCTGTCATATCAGATCTGGTGAAGAGCGGGATTGTGGAGAAGTTACTCAAAGGACTCAAGGGGAGTTGGACTGCTCACTGCACTACCGGGCCAAACAGGAAGGAGCCTCCAGTTGACGGCATCATGGAGACCGACTACTTGTCCATCATCGCCAGGATCATCCTTGCATCCACCCATGGCTTCATCCAGATTACCGACCACTTTGCATCGGATCGCAGCTTCACCGGCGCCAAAGGAGAACAAATCACGGACTGGCTGCTGGAAGAGTGGTTCTCCCACTTTGAGAACGTTGGCGATCCGTCAAGACGCAAATTGATGTGTCTTGCTCTCACTCAATTGCTCGAGACGAATCGCCACTTCATACTGGTCAGATTGCAATCGCTCATGACGGTCTGGACGGATGTGATCACCGAGCTTCGTGACAGCGCGGAAGAGACGACTGGAGACTCGCTTGTCTACAGCAACGGTGATCAGCCGACCGATGGCAGTATGGAATCCCCCGAGGATGCGCGAAGAAGACAATGGACCTACAGCGATGCTGTGCACACTGCCAATCTACCTGCATTTGTCACGCGGCATCTTCAGCAAGCGATTCAGGCCGCGGGAGGGCTGGAAATTTTTCAACAGGAGTGGCTCGTTAACGTCGATCAGGACATTCTGGCTGCTTTTTCGGCAATGGGAATTATATGAGCTAGCTTACAGACTCGCAATAGCCCGAACACCCTCCCCGTTGCATAGTTGCATCGACACTACTCCACCAGCACGAAGTCCTTCGGGAAGCATGTCAGCGTTATGATAATCATCACAAAAGAGCCACAATCACTCACCTGACCCCATTGCAAGAGCAACCTGCTTGAACATGTCAGCCGTATCCCCTGCCGCAAAACACCCCTTCACGCTCGTCTCCGCAAAGACGGGATCCACAAAGATCTCCCCCGTCCCTTCTCTCATCTTAAGTCCGAGCTGATCAATCAAGTGCTGGCCGCGGTTTCTTGTCGCAGGTCGATGCAGCAGCATCCCCAACCTGACGCTGGAGCCATCGTCAAACTCTACCGTGATGCCTTTCTCTGGCCCTGGACCGTTGTTGATGAGCTTCGCGACCTTTCTTGAGTCGATCTTTGCGCCGCGGGCGAGGGCGATTCTGAGAGCCTGCTGCACCGAGCTGTCCGAGCTCACGGGGCCGTTGCTGTAGATTGTCACGTCCGGGTTGAGATTCAGCGCCATGAGGACGAGGTGATTGTAGCTCGGATTCGCGAACGTGAGAACTCCGATTGGGTGGTGTCTTTGCTCGAAGCCGTCGCAGAAAAGGCACTGGTAGCTGGTGCAAACTGTCAGTCGTCTTTGTCCATCAATTCTGTTTGGGGTTCCACTTACATATGACTCGGCCAATTCTCCCTGTACCCTGGAATATCCTCCGGCAGGACGTCTTCGGTGCCCATAGCGAGGATCAACTTCCTCCCCAACCATGTCCGACTCTCACTATCCGTTGCGGTGAATCCTGTGTAATCCGGCGCAACCTCTGTCTGTCTCACCTCCACAACATTCGCCTGCTGGAAGTGAATGCTCGGGTAGTGCTTAATCTGCTCGATGGCTGTTCTGCGAAACTCGACCGGATTGCTGCCGTCCCGTGACAGGACTGTGTGCATGGCTGTTACGCCCTCGTTGCGGTATACGCCTGAGTCTAGCACGAGGGCGGTGCGACAGACACGGCCGAGGGCCAGGGCGGCTGAGAGGCCGGCGGGGCCGCCGCCGATGATGAGTGCATCGAAAAGCATGATCTGTTGGTGGTATACTGGAGAATTTATCTGGTGACGACTTACAGGGTTCTGGGTGATTGATCGAGGTCTGAATCGACCTCTTCTTATATGAGCCATGGCTCGCCAATTGACAATCTGTCCGTCAGCACTCAGCAGTAGAAGAAGCATGTCTCCGTCTCTGCGAGGGCGAGCGATATGTGCCCGGGATCTTCAAACGGACGCAGCAATGTCTCCGAGCAATACGAAGAACTCTCCGGCATTCTCAAGGCTACGCCCAACATACTGAGCCTTGCTGGGCGGTGGGCGGTATGCCGACGGGCGGGACGGATGGATGAACACCGAATACGGCGCTCGGAGTCCACTCAACACCCATATCTCGAGTGCTGGAGGGGAGCAGGGCAAGGGTAGAGGTACCCTTCCCGATGCGGGGTAGTTGCCTGCGTTCTACACCATGATCCTTGTCGCTCGCAGGCAATGCAGGCTACTCCAAGCCCATCGTGCATGCTTCCCCTCCAATAGCTCGCGTGCACCAACATTTGCTTAGAAATGGAACCCCGACTTGATGGTGTGTACTGTAGTTCTGCCTCCCAGGTAGGTCCGCCTGCAAGGTTTGCGTCTGTTCCCCATCTTCCAGGTCTATGATCACTCCACCTGACGACTCGCTTTCGACGAGGTGTTGAGCTGAAGTTCGCACATCTTCACCAACTTCCCTCCATTCGAGTAGACGTCCAGCAGTCGTGCACCCCATAGCTCCACAGCATCATCAAACATGGCACGCATCCTCGAATGGCTACTGCACGAGACGAGCCTCTACACCCTCCTCACCCACGCCACCCGCGACACATACCTCATCCTCGTCTCTCGTTTCCTCCGCATGTTCGCGTATGGCGGCGTCGCCCTCGTCCTCGCCATCTTCCTCCGCATCGCAGGCCTCAGCTGGACGCAGGTGGGCAGTTTCATGTCCATTGCCCTGCTCGGCGATGCGGCCATCAGCTACTTCTTCACGCTGAAAGCGGATGTGATTGGAAGGCGGCGCGTGCTGATGATTGGATCTTCGTTGATGATTTTCTCGGGAACCGTATTTGCTTTTACGAAGAACTATTGGCTTTTGCTGTTTGCTGCGGTGATTGGGGTGATTACGCCGGGGGCTCATGAAGTCGGCCCCTTTCGTGCGGTGCAGGTAGGCAGCTTCTCATCCCCTCTCGCCTGTTGGGGAGGCTAGTCATCGCTGAGACGTGCGACAGGAATCTACTCTTGCACACCTAACCAAGCCCGAGGCGCGGACGGGCATCTACGCCTGGTTTGCCGTCTCCTCGACCCTCGGCATGGCCACTGGTCTTTTCGTTGCGGGCTGGCTTACTTACTTCCAACGGGAGTGGCTTGGCTACGAATGGACAGACACTTACCCGGCGATCTTCGGAATGTATGCCGTTATCGGCCTGATCAAAACCGGTCTGACGCTGTTGCTGTCAGATCGCTGTGAGGCTGACTATCGGCCTGGGCGTGTGCGTGCCAATCTCGAAGAGCAGGAGAACAGCTCGCGGCCATTGCTCAACGCAAGTAATCGCGGCCGGCTATCGTATACGAAGAGCTCGGAGGTGAGGGAGAGAGTGCGGCGGATCGGAAGCAGCGTTACGACGAAGCTGTCGCCCGAGAGCAAGCGAACCCTTCTGCGGCTAGGCGCGCTATTCGCCATCAATTCTTTCGCGTCGGGCATGCTGCCGGTCACGCTGATGTCGTTTTACGTCAACTGGCGGACTCGCAGGTATTTCATCAGTCACGTGGGCTATGCCATGTCGGTAGTCTGGCTGGCTGCGAGCGTCGGCGTGCTCTTTTCCGCCGCGGTGGCGAAGCGTCTGGGATTGGTGAAGACGATGGTGCTCATGCATTTGCCGAATGCCATCTTCCTGGCTTTCATCCCGCTGGCGCCTACCTTCTGGATCATGATCAGCTTGCTCTTTGCCAGTGCTGCGTGCGGAAGCATGGATCAAGCACCGAGAATGGCGTTTGTGGCCGCCGTCTTTCCACCCGAAGAGCGCACAGCCGTCATGGGGACGATCAACCTTATTCGCACCGTTGCTTCAGCTGGAGGCCCGCTGCTCAGCGGCTTTCTCTGGGAGAAGAAGATGTGGTGGGTGACGTTCGTGCTTTCGGCGTCGCTAAAGGTCCTGTACGACGTGGGATTGTTGGTGATGTTTGTCAATACCAAGCTGCCCGAGCAAGAAGGTCGGCCGGGCGAATTCACGGTGGCAGACGTGGATGTGGGGATTCTCCTGAGTGAGAATTTGGCGCATCCGGAGGAATTTGGACCGCTGGATGATGAGGATGAATACGGAGAAGAAGAGGAAGCCAACGCGCGCAACCGGGACGGGAAAGGGATGTATGAAGATGTGGCGTAGATTGTGGGATATGAAGGCACGACGTAATGCTAAATGAATACGTACAACTAGGAAATGCAGATGGTGTTGGGTTTCGAGGCAAAGACGATGAAGAGAGTGATGACTTACCTACCGCCTCAGCCTTGTAACGGGATAGTATGTGAGCGAACGAATGTCGCCCATCATCAGTGCTGCGGCATATCCGCGATTCCGAAGCGCGTGGAGCGGGTAGTGGAGGCATACTGTAGCTGAAGTTCGGAACCGCGGTTATATCAAGATGCATCGCCGAGCGCGCAGTCGTTTAGCAGGCCAAGAACGATCATGTGCAGTGGTGACCTGTGGATGCAAGGGCACACGTGTCGAGAGGGAGATCTTTCCTCCTTGCCAAGTTGCCGCCTTCAGCTGCATGGAATGTGCGAGAGGGAGATGACGAAGCTGATCGGAGGGCAACGGAGACGGCGTGAACCATCCAACGGAGACGGAGGGAATCATCAGTCCGCTGGCCAACGTGCGTCCTTTGGCGTCGTCCAGCGCTCCCATAAATCGAACAGCATCTTTGCGTGATTCCGACGTCCATCATCTTCAAAGTGCGTGCTCGCACGTTTGGATCTGCTCATTCGTCTATTCTTTCACCGGTCGCTTCTTTGGGGCGCAGTGTAGGGTTGCAGACGCTCCGTCTAGTGTGGTTGGTCAGCAGCGGATCCATGAGCAAGGGTACAGCGCCTTGCCCGATCAGGTTATAAACTTGCGCAGTATTGCGTGCCTCAGGCATTCGTCCACGCTGATCACGCCTGCATACCGCAACACTTGGGCTGTCCACCGAGTTTGGAACAACACATCACCCAAGACTACCCACTCCTATTGTTTGAGGGGCCTTGGACTGTCCTCACATACTTCTTCCCACGACAAAACGAGAGCCGCGAAGGGCACGAGACTTCCATTTATAAATCTCGCGCAGCCCGAGCCCTACACACTAGGCCATATCCGGACTAGCCTAGGCAGCAGGCAGCCAGACTGACGCCTCGCCTCAGGCGGCGACATCGCGAAACGAAAAGCTCCCGCACTTCACCCTCTCCTCTATTCTCCCCATCTCCTCGCTCTTCGCCCGATTCAATCGCCCTATTATATCGCCCGGCTATTGGAGACGACCGGGAAGTGCATTCGCGTCCCTTTCCGCCCCCAAATCATCCGCCCCACATCTTCGGATTGTGAGTGCCTGGAAAGCGCCTTCTTCTAATTGACTCACTCCGCCCCATCTGTCGTCAACACTCTCTCCCGCGCACCACCTCTCACTCACACCCACGAGACACCGCTCCCACCACACCGGATCATCTGTGGTGTATTCCGCCGTGGTTTAGCAAGGGTACCCCCACGCAACGGCCCTTCTTCCAAGGTGAGTCACGTACTCCCGACACCTGCATGATGCAGAGGATGCTAACACAGGAAAGCTTCCCGCCCACTGCCCTGCCCCTCCTTCGCCACCGTCGGTACATCACCCTGACCTGTCCTTCCCCCTCGCCATGCCTTCTTCTACCATGCACCCTCGCCGCCGGCCTGCCAAAGCCTCTGACGCGACCATGACTCCCTCCCTTATCGACTCATTCCAAAGCATGTCGCTTCGCAAAGGCGAGACCTTCCACCCTCATGGAAACACCGTCAGCAACGCATTCTGGGATCCCCTAGAAGCATCCACTTCTCCGCAGATGGCCGCCCGCTCTGCCACCTGCCCAAAGTCATTGGAGGATTTGCTCCTCGGGGCTGGCGAGCGGCGCACTGCTGATCTGCTCGCGCGCGTGGACAAGGCCGTCGAGACCAACTCCAGACTGGCCCTGTCTGCAGTCCTCACCGAGCCCGACACCCTTCCCACTTTTGCCGTCCACGACATTACCCTAGATGATCAAGCCGTGCGGAAAACGCGCACTCAGAGTCACGGGTCGGATAGCGGCATTGGCTCCAGCATCGCTTCCGACGATGCCGTGCCTGCTAAGACAATGACTGGTGAGTGGCCCCTGCATAGTATTCACGGTTTGCCTCTAACCTTCCCCGCAGCTCCCCCCACCGCCGTCGATAATTCACTGTCCGGCCTCTCTGCCGTCACTGAACGCCGGGGCCTGAGTAAATACGCTTGTGAACAGATTCACAAACACGTCGTGCACCCCATGCTTCGAGAGGAAGCTCTCAAAGACTTTCACCCCCTTGTCAAAAGCGTTCCGTCACGCATCGGGAAGAAGGATATCAAGACGCTTCGTGATCTCGAGAAGACTTTGATCTTCCTCGCGCCGGACTATTCCCGTACCCCCACGAACTACCTTCGATTTTGCGAGCGCACCATCCGTGTTCTTCACACCACGGTCACCACACTCCACGAGTCGGACCAGCGAGCGCCAGAAGATCGCCCGTACACGCAGGGCTACTTTTTCGATCTGGTGGAGCAGGTGTGTTGGGATGAGTCTGCTCGGCTATGGCTATTATTGACACTCCCGCAGATCCGCAGATACGCCGCAATCATGGCTGCGACGCGAGAGCGACAGGAAAAGGGCGAGAAGGCGGACAAGATGAACTATTCTCCGTAAGTTGCCACCTGTTCTATTTCCCAAACAGGCTGCCGGTGTCATGGACCCGCCCTAGTATGACCCTTAACAAGGTTTGGCGGGTTCAATGTCCTTACCGATACGACACATTCATCGAAAGCCAATCGATCATCAAACGATGCTCAAATCTTGTAACTCGCAGCATCGCGTCACGTGCTAACCATTCATGCAGGGATGAAAGCATCTCTCTTATTGGCGGCATGAGTCACAATGGGAAGCCGGCCGAGCTCGTGCGTCACAAGGATGGCAAAGTTATAAGTCTGGCCACTGGCGAGGTCCTCTCTTCCGAAGACGTTGCCTCTGCCTCGATGAAGCGATCCATGGACATTGTCGATGTCGATGAAGATGAGGTCCTCCGGTCCATGGCCCGGCGCAAGAAGAACGCCAAACCGGAGATTCATGAATGCTCCTTGTGCGACAAGGAATTCAAGCGTCCCTGCGACTTGACCAAGCACCTCAAGACCCATGAACGCCCATGGAAGTGCCCCGATTCCAAGTGCAAATACCACGAGCATGGCTGGCCGACGGAGAAGGAGCGTGATCGTCACGTCAACGACAAGCACTCCAACGCCCCCGCGTTGTACCACTGCATGTTCCCCCCATGCCCCTACACCTCCAAGCGCGAGAGCAATTGCAAACAGCACATGGAAAAGGCACACGGCTGGGATTACGTCCGCTCGAAGAACAACGGCAAAGGCCGGGCCAGCATCACGCATCTGCCCCACGGCTCCATCCCTCCCTCGCCGTCGGCCTCGGGCTCATCGGCCTTCACGCCTCTCACTCCTCTTGCCCCCTCGCCTCACTCTTGGGCAAGTGGCTCGGTGTCTGGCTCGTCGTCCCGCCATGACTCCATTCCTCCACCCATGGCCGGGCCCAGCGGCTATGCATCCCCCGACTTTGTCGATCACTTCAACTTCGACTTCAACAACATGGCGTCCGGTTGGCCCATGACCCCGGCCTTGAGCGCCGATCGTCGCAGCTCTTGCGATGCTTCGTCGTCCTCGAACTCCGGCTTCCAACTCGATGGAAGTGCTTTTGACGAGGGCGTGACTCCCGAGGACCTCACGAACTACGCTTTCAACTTCAACGAGTACAATTTCGGCCCGCAGCACGTCACTCCCGACTCCAGCGCTGCATGCGCGAGCAGCACCGACGGCTTCCCACACCTCTCCCCCGGCGCACAGCTCGATCAGACCTTCACCGACGCCATGAACATTGATGGAGGCAACTACGCTGGAGACTTTACACTGTTTGGCAACAACCAACAAGTCAGCGGTGGTGGAGAGATGTTCCCGTCTCTTGCCTCGTGGGGCAACTTCGGCAACCAATACGACGCTTCCCACGCTCCTTTGCCGACTGGGAACAGCACTTTGGAGGATCTCTTTCCCGAGCTGCGTGGTCACTAGGTGACGATGGGATTTTCACCACGACAGATATGAAGGATTACGAACAGCAGGTTGTTACAACAGACATCGCCTCTCTGATTTCGGTATTGGATCGAGGCTGAAGACTGGTTTTTTTGAGGTAGCTAGGTACGTCCACAATAGAAGGGATTTTGCGCCAAGCACAACTTTTTACCAACCCCTGAACGGTGAGTGGCTTTCCGATTTCGCTGCGCACACTGCTTATTACTCTTCGCTCTCTACTTCAGTATCGTGAGCGCGAGTGGCAAAGAAGTCATTATACCATGGTAAGATGCACACGGTAAATGGTTTTCGCTCTTTCGCTCGGTCAATTCGCTCCCCTGTTCCATATGTAAATCCTCGCCCGTTCGTCTCTTCTCCTCTCTTCACTGCACTCTACATACTGTATTGCAATAGCACACAACAGCTTCATCATCCACCATACTCAAGAGATCCATCCATTCAGCCAGCACTTCCCTTTCCAAATCAAGATCACCCCAGCCCGCCATGTCCGCCCAACTGGCACAATCCCACCATCAACGCCGCGGCTTCCGCCGCCTGCCAAGCGCAGAGAAGCTGCTTCTCCCCGTGTACTCCCCCGGAGAAGGTCCTCGCTCGCCCGTCGCCAGTCCGCGGGTTTCAGGGGCGGAGAGACGGAGTGGCGCGGTCGAGACGTCGCTTCTCGACGCCGGTGTGACGAGTGCGCTCGTCGTGAAGAAGAACGACCTGCGCTCCCCTGTCGTCGGCACGCCAGAGAAGGTGCGGTCCTACCGCTTGGAGGGAGAAGGGGGGCCCGTCGCTCAGGGCAAGAGGAGGGCGCTCGTGGGGCTGAGTCTCCGCGTTCTGCGCGGGGTGACGAGCTGGTGTCGGCGGGCGCGAGAGGTCGTGCGGGAGCGAGTGTGGATTGGAGATGAGGACAACGAGCCGGTGGGAAGCGCGCTGGAGTGGAAGTTGACGCCGATGGAGGAGGCGAAGCGGCTGGTGGAGCTGCATTCCCTCCAAATCTGCCCCCGCCTCAGGTGGAGGGGGCCCTCCTCTTCTCTCGCCTGTCTGGTCGCTTCTCCTGCCACCACCGAGCAAGTCGAGGAGCCCCAGTCCGCATCCCCTGCTCCTGCTGCCCCTGCGACGCCCTTCGAGAGCGCACCCGATACCCCCTTCGAGGTGCCCATCTACTACGCCCACGAAGCCTGGACGCCGGCGGATGCATTCACGCTCTCACTAGCCGAAGAAGCGAAGGAGGCGGAGGCGCTGTTCGCGCGCCTGGTCGAGGGCGTCACGCAGAGCTTCGAGATGGGGCAGTTCGACGAGGCGAATGTGGCGGCACGGTTTGAGATGCTGGAGGAGTGGTCGTCGGGCGAGACGTGGTTCACGGAGCAAGAGGTGGAGGAGTACCGGCGGTTGATTTGCTGATTTCCCTGTGCACGATGGTTTTGTGTTGATAGATTGATACCCGTGTTATGTATGCTCACTTTTTCAGCTCTGCGAGGAAACTTGATCCGACTATTAGATTTGCAGGCTCGTCGTACGCCATCAATCGCCCGCTGTCAAAGAGCGCGACTTTGTCGTAGCGTTCGATATGGTTGAGCCGGTGCATGATAGCCAGCACTGTGACGTGCTTGAAGTAGCTGTCAATGATGTCCTGAATCGTATTCTCCGTCTCCGTGTCCACACTACAGCTACAAGTCAGCTCACCCAAGCACCATTCGAGGATTAAAAGGGGACATGCATACCTGCTTGACGCTTCATCAAGAATCAAAATCCTCGCATCCTTCATCATCGCCCGCGCGAGACCGAGCAACTGCCTCTGTCCTGCAGACCAGGCCTTCACATCCATTTGCACAGATATCCCACCCCGGCTGCTGACAGCGTCCGCAAGTCCCACCCGCTCGAGCGCACGCTGAACATCCTCGTCCGATTTTGCGCCCCATGGGTCCACATTGAACCTCACCGTCCCAGGCATGATACATGCATCTTGTGGAATCACGCTGATTCGCTGGCAAAGTGTCCTCGAATCTGATTGCGACACGTTGACGCCGTCAATCACGATCTCACCTTGGGCGTGGATCATCTGGAGGGTGGCGAGCATGAGCGACGTCTTGCCTGACCCGGACGAACCGCATATTGCAATGTGTTGATGCGGGGTCACCGAGAGGGACACGTCACTCAACACATTGCGTTCTCCCTCGCTATGATCCAGTCAGTCCATTCATACTGGGCGACGAATGTGACTTACCGATACGACGCAGAGACGTGAGACAGCTGCACCGCGCCCGCTTGCGGCCATGCGGGATCCAGAGCTTCTTTCTTTGAAGCACCGCTGTCATCCGCATCAGTTCTATCAACGAAGGCCTTCACACATGAAATAGCTCCAATGCTCGATTCCATGGCGGTCCAGTTGGTGATCAGTCTGGTCAACGAAGACCCAAAGCCAATGATCATCACCAAACTGATGCCCACACTCCCAGCATTGAACTTGGCCCGCCACGTGACAACGATCGCGATCAAGAGGACCGTCACAGCCGCCATGACGACATCCAATACGAATGTAAGCCAGTCTTGAATGCAGTTCTGCAGGTGTACCGGGCGTTGCGAGGTGTCGATTAGACGATAGGCGTGATGCTGGTAGTGCGATTGCCAGCCAAAAGCACGGATGGTGACTGCTCCGGCTTCGCTGTCCATGAAGGCGGTATACAGCGCTGCTTTGGCTTCGATTCCCAGCAGGCGGATTTGGCGAGAAGTTCGCAGGTAAAATCTCTGGACAGCGTACAACGTTGCAGCTAGCAGAGGAAGTGCGATCGCCAGATAGCGCGAGAAGACGAGGAGAACGAGCAGCTGGGCCAGGCAGGATACAGCAGCTGAAGATTTTGGTCAGTCAGCCTCGTGCTCCTGGTAGATTTGCACTCACTTGAAGCGTAGTTCCCGAACGCTATTGGCAATGCCATGTCAATCAGCTCCATGTCCTGGCTGAATCTGCCAAAAGAGTGAGCACTGCGCGTTGTGAGAGGTACATCAGATCATCCATACCGATTCATGATCTCGCCGCTGGTCACAGAAGTGAAAAACCAGTACGAGGACCTTTATCGTCACGGTCAGCTGGCGAACTATGCTGCGTGTACCACAAACCCTTGACTTACTTCTCTGTAGCCGTAAGGAGATCCAAGTGCAGTCGGAATCCTGATCGAGAGATCATGAACAGAAACTGACAACTACTTCGCGTCAGTCTGTTTTCTCGACATCACACGACAAGGCGTTGCATACCTAGCCGTAGCACATGCACACAATGCGCCGAGCACTCCAAACAAGGCGTAAATGCCCATATACACTCCCACTCTTCGATTCGGATGCACAGAATCCTCTTCGGACCACCACTTGACCCACACGGCTGTGCCTTATGATCAGCAGCGCACAAAGGGATGGTCGTCGCTCTGACCTACTGGAGAACTCGGCAAAGAACATCCAAAGGACCATGGACAACGCGTAGCCGCCCACCGCAAGATATCCCGAAGCGGCCAGGTAGTACTTGTAGATTGAGGCATCTCCGTGCATCCGTTGCCGGGCATCGTCGGTGATGACTTCGTTTGCTGCCTCCTTCGGAACATCGTCCGATGTATCTAGGGTTTCGGTGCCTGCCTCCTCAACAGCAGCATCCTTCTTCGGCCGGATAGAGTGGAGTAAGTTCGCGTATCCATTGTTTTGAGGCTCACGAATCGAAACCACCCCATTATCGACACACAGCACCGTATCCGCGTGGTTCAACACTTGCACTACTCAAGTATTAGCATGATCCGATTCTCACAGCGTTCTCGATCGTACGTCTCTGAGTCGCCAGCACCACCGTGACCCGCTGAGCCCTGAACAACCCGTTCGGCCCGAGCAAACGTTGCGAGATGGACCCAACAGCCCGCTCATCTAGTCCGCTGAAGATGTCATCGAGGAGGACCAGACGGTTCCTCGCATAGACAGCTCGACCCAGGGCCTATTTAAACAAACGGTGTGAGCGCGTCTTTCCGCATCTCTAGCACATATGTGCAACTCACCACTCGAAGTCTCTGCCCGCCGCTCAGATTTGCCCCCTTGCTGCCCACTCGAGTGTCGTCCTTGTTTGCCAAATGCTGAATCTCGTTTGTGAGGCCGCAGGCATCCTTCACTACCCTGTACCACTCCGCATCAAACTCCGAGGCTCCGAGAATGTTTGCCCGGATAGTGCTGTCTTCCAGCCAAGGCTCCTGTGCGCAGTAAGAGACACGCTGGCCGTCCAGACCTTGTCTGGATGCACTCGAGAGAGTTTCGCCTAGAATGCTCTCGAGTAAAGTCGACTTTCCGCTTCCAACGGGGCCCAGGAGCGCCGTGATCTTCCCAGGCTGAATGTCAATGCTGACGTTGTGCAACACCGCAGGCTCCGTCTCCTTCCACTTGAAGGACTCATTTCGAAACGACACTGCCGCTTGCGTTTGCTGGTCCGTTTTGGGCTCGACCGAGCACTTCTCGCAGTCATTGGGATCGTCGAAAGCGTCTGAAGCGGTGGTGGCGTAGTGGCAGAACTCTTGAATCCGGTCGAAACACCCGATGCACTCGACGACGCTTGGGAGCGCTTGGGTGAAGATGACGACGGGCAACGCCAGCAAGGCGATGAGAGCTAGCGAGGTGAAAGCCTGAGCGACTTCTAGCGTGGTGTTCTTCCAGTATACGGAGATGATCACATAGACTGCAAAGGTCACCATCGGCGCTAGGATTAGAGGTGTGTTTGCTATGCGTGTCTCGTCAGCTACCATTGTGGGAGTGGATGACTTCGCCGCTCGACTTACAGAGCAGGAGCATTCCGATGAGCACTCTTCTGTAGCCTTCCGAGGCCTTGATTTCCTCCACGCGCGCGCTTTGAATGATGGTCGACATTTTCTCGGTCAGTCCCAATAGTTTCAACGACTTGACGCCGTCCAGAAAGCTGGTCGTTAAGCGGAGCCGTTCCTGTACCTTTCCTATCCATCGCTGCTGGGCGTTGTTGGCGGCAACAGAAAGCCGTCCTGTCAATCCAATGAAGCCTTGAGATTATGTTAGCCGCTGGAGACTGCCACAGACACATTCCCCGCCCTTTCCTTACCAAACACGAGGATGACTGGTGCGATGCAAGCAAGATACATCTTCCTCTCCAGTAGCCAAGTGGCTATGGCGACGTCGAGAAGCGAAGCCCATACTTCATGAAGCACTCGAAAGCCAGCGACGATGCGTTCAATATCAGTACCCACCAGGGAAACTGCCGTGACCTTCCCTTGCTCGACCACTCTGGTCTGGAGGGTTTTCTGATAAGTCAGTGCGAGCAAGCTGCCGCGCACTTTGCTCACGAATCGAGAACTCTGATACTGATAGATGGATTGAGAGATCTGGCTTGCGCAATTAGATGCGGTGGTTGCCTGTCAGCGAATACGTTTACCTACCGCCAGCCCCAGCATCACAAGTGCCCATGCTCCAATGAGGCCTTTGCCAACGTTGACGCTTGCAGAGGTATCGCCAATCCACGTCACCGTCCTGTCAAGCAGCAGCGGCTGAAAGAAGGTGAAAGCTGTCAAGCAGAGGCGTGGGATGACGGCGGCGCCGAGAGTCGACAGGTTGGCGAGTAGACAAGCTCGTACGAGGCCGTGGCGATCATGTCGGGCGTCTGTCTGAATTTCAGCATACTGTTACTCGAGTGTCTCAAGTGGCCGCCTCTCGTACATCGACTGAACTTGTGTGCAAGCTGCGCGTGGGTGACTTGGCTCTTCAACCCGGCATCCATGACGGGGAGATCCTCCACTGCGATCACCTTGCTATAACCTAACCGAAAAGTAGGCAGGAGCCAGGCAAACGTAGCCCGAATCCAGAAGCCGCTCGTTTGCTCCGGGGTGACTGGTTCTTCGCCTTCTCTCGTCCGTCGGACTTGCGGAATAGATTCGAAGACCACTGCAGAGAACACCAGAATAACAGACGCAACAGCTGTCGCAGCAGCAGCGCCATTGGGTTCTATTGTCCACAGTGTACGAGCTCTTGGAATCCCGCCAAGCACCAAAACCGACAGATAAATGGCGAGGAGGTTAGAGGGGCGTGTAGACCAAGCATGGTTCGCAGACGACAAGAGTAGAGCAGCAGCCGTAGCGAGAACATTCAAAATGTCCGCTGGAAGCGAGGCCGATGTTTGGAGGCCCTCTCGTTGCTGCCGCAGAACGGCGAGGGCGATATGATCAGCCGCGAGCGCCGTCAAGGCCACCTACACCGCATCAACGATAAGTTCACATTGAATCGTGACGAAAGGACGATGATGCGAACCGTTTTGCAGGCTAAAAGCCATGACCACCAGCTGGCGGCATGTCGTCGACGGACAATACGCGCAAGGCTGACAGGAACAGTCAGCAAGAAGACGGCGGCCGGCACGCACGCCAGCACGACGTCTTCAAAGGCCAAGGTGAAGTCGAATGCGCGGCAGGCCGGATTCACACGCGGCCCGATGGACCGGTCGCTCCCCGGAGGACAAGTCATGGAGCCTTGCCGACCTGGCGGAGGGTGGAGGAGGCATATTTTGCGGAAGGAGATTGGGGAGATGGCGGATGATTAATATTGCAGCCGGGTGGTGTATATAGTAGGTCCCTGTACTCAGTTACTCGGGTAGGAGGCTGCCAATGGCGCGCGCGTCGATCGGCTGCCTGCTGTCTGCCGCCGTTGTCGCGCGACGCGGCCCATTGGCGCCTAACGACGCCGGCTACAACGTTGGCTCTCCCCATGTATGGCGTGCGATGTGCACAATGGGAACAACCACTCAGCGTCATTCATCTCCCGCATTGGACTGGGGAGGTGCACATTGCAGATTCGGGTAAAAGAATGGATTGGTGGAGGTATTCTGGGGCGGTTGTACTGCACAGCCTCGAGCGGGGCAATTCATACAATGCCACTGGGTTTGGGCTGACATATGTACATTAGTTTCCATCATATCCTCGCTGGTACAAACTTCTCCAGCAACCCCACCTTCCACCTCTGAAACGTCCGCGCAGCAGGCGGAAGCAACGCACCACTTTCCTCGAGAGCGTGTCTGAGCAGCGCAAGCTCGCTTGCCTGGAATTTGATTTCTCCCTCCGACAGTACAGAACCCGTCAACTTCTCCGTTGCGCCGATGGAATTCTCGCAATCCTGCCAGAGGATTTTTGCCACGCGAATAGGTTGTACAGTCGGCTTGAAAGAGGAGGTGATGTCGAGATCTGCAGCGAACAGCCAGAGTTTCAGAGCTGGGCTTTCGGGAGAGGAGGTAGATTCGTAGGCGGTGAATTTCCTTACGCCTTGAGTGTCGACGGCATTGAGGAGTTGGCATGCGAACCACTGCTGGCGATCGTAGGTGGCAAAGGGGCCATCTGGGGATGGTGAAAGGGATAGTTGAGGTTTGCGTAGTTCGTAGCCCTGGGTAGAAGCACGTGTCTGGCCTAGAGACGTGTGACAATGCGCGCAACATATGGTCGAGTAGTCTTCAGCCGCTTGATCGGATTGTGGGAGAAGCTGGTCAGGACAACATCAGCCTTGAAACACAGAGTGCGCGTAAACAAATCATCGTAAAGAACTTCAATTGCATGCATGTATCTAGTCCATAATCCCATCAAAGCCCACGAACCTCTCGACTTGACAGTGAAACGCTAGACGGTGTGATCGCGAGCGGCCACCAGCCCAATCCAGCACCGGAGTGCGGTTTGGTGCCGGCTGCCGCAAGCGTCAGGCTCATTTTGGGGCCGATTGTATCCCGACTCTGCCGTGAGGTGTGCTCGGAAAGCGTGAGAGCGCCGGTTCTTTGTGGCCCGTGGAACAAAGTACTGGACGGAGAGAATGAAAAGAACAGACCTACCTCGATGTTATCGCAGTCTTGTGGGGTCAACAGAAAGCTCATGACGGCCACCATGCCCACGCCAGGCTGAAGGGCGAGTTGACTCCCGGCGGCATAGCCTTTGCTGGAATGGGCGTGGTCATGACTGTGCGGTTCATCAGGTTTGTGACAATGCCAGAAATCCATCATTTCCGCCCAGCCATCAGAAGGAAGGTCTTTCCATTGGGTGACACGGCCCCGCGGGATGATGACGGAGGCGCAACATTGGCAGCGTATCTCGGTCTCGTCGGTCAAGACATCTCCAGTCCATGGGACGAAATTGGCATCCTCGAGGGAATGGCTGGCATTACCGTTGACTTGGCTGCCCACTCCCTCGACTGGAACGCGGAAGTGGAGTTCCTTTGCAGGGTTCTTCGGGATCGGCAGCACGGCCGAAGCATTGTGCAGAGTGACGGGAAGATGGACGCTGGCGCTCTCGCCGTCGTGGGTCAAAGTGAGAATGCTTGAACTGCCGTCGATGCTGACTTTGGTGGTGTCGTTAGAAGGCGTGGACAAATACGCCTGGATGGAAAGAGTGCGGATATTTTTGAGATGTTCGGTGTAGAGGTGGATCATTGCAGGCGTGGATTGGGAAGAAATGGCGGAGTTGTAATGCGATTGACAGGTGAAGCTGCCGACGCAAACTTTTGGCCACCACGAGTTTTGACTTGCAGGGTTGCATGGGTAGGCTTTGGACGTGCAAGCATTGAAATTGTGGTAAGACTGTCAGACAGAACGGAACGAACACTCCGCCGGCCTCCCACGGATTGCAAAGATGGCCACGTTAGAAGGCAAGTCGCTGGGCCATGTGCTGGTCACGGGAGGCTCGGGCTTCCTCGGCAACCACATCGTCGCCCTGCTCGCATCACGCAAGGCCTGCTCCAAACTGAGCGTGCTCGACCTCAAGCAGCCCCTCAAGCCTGTCAGCGGCGTCGACTACCACATGGGCGACTTCACCGACTACGACGCCATCCTCGCCCTCCTGCAAAAGCTCAAGCCCGACGCCGTCGTCCACACCGCCAGCCCCGTCCACAACATCCCGAGCAAGAAAGTGCTGTACACGGTCAACGTGGAGGGAAGCAAGAACCTGATCCGCGCGAGTCAAGAGGCGAAGGTCAAGGCGTTTGTCTTCACATCCTCCGCCAGCGTCATCCACGACCTCCGCTCGAACCTGATCATGGCCGATGAGACATACCCTCTCATCATGGGTAAGCAGCAACCCGTATACTACACCGCCACCAAGGCTATGGCCGAGCAACACGTCCTGGCGTCCAACCGCACTGCCGCGCATCCCAAGTTCCTGACCGCCGCCATCCGACCGAGTGCCATGTTCGGCGAGGGTGATGTGCAATTACTTCCCGGGGCAATAGGCGCATACTACCGCGGCCAGACCAAAGTCCAACTCGGGCCCAACGATAATTTGTTCGACTTTACGGAAATCACCAACGTCGCCCATGCCCACCACCTCTGCCTTGCTGCGTTACTGGCTACACGGGAGCGAGAAGACGGGGGCGGTGCGATGCCATTGGATCACGAGAAAGTGGATGGGGAAGCCTTTTTCATCACCAACGACTGCCCGGTGTACTTCTGGGACTTTATGCGCTCGGTGTGGGCGACGGCGGGGGATAAGACGGATATCAACAAGGTGTGGTGGCTGTCAACGGACCTGGGCTTGTTCATTGCCACGTTGATGGAGTGGATCTTTTGGATCTTGCGCCTCGGCACGCCCAAGCTCACACGGCAGCAGGTGCAGTATTCCACCATTGCCAGATACTTCAACATTGAGAAGGCGAAGACGAGGCTGGGCTATGAGCCAATCTGCGGCATGGACGAGGGCATTCGGAGAGGCGTGAAGGATGCTCTGTACCGTGGAGTCGTACCTGGACAGCCGATGGAGCTGAAGGGGAAGAAGTGGGAGTGATGCGTATGTATGTGTTTGTATATTCATCCACAATGCCATCCTATGTGAGGCTGAGAATAGAGTTGGTGTGGCGCCAGATTAAAGTTTCAGGAACGAGGCGGCGCACGGACGGTTTCATATGACGGGCAGGGACGATGCGCGCAAACAAACAACCGCGCATCGTCACCACTGCAGGGGCAAAGCGAAGTGCAACAAGCGCTCCCGACTTCTTCTGACTCTTCCTCCTCCTTTCAACGGCCGTCTTGTCCAAATCAATACACCCTCCATTCATTGCGGCACCTTTGAAAACACCACCTGTCACGACGCGACACGCGTGAAGCAGCAGCAGCATGGCCAGCACATACTCCTCGTTTCTGCAGTCCCCCTCCCCCTCCCACCTCGCCGATGACGCCTCCCTTCACTACATCACCACCACCACCTCCTTCACCTCCGCCCCCGCCATCCTCAAGCACCTCGCCGCCCAAGCCAAGCAGGTGGTGAAGAAGGAGGAACGCGTGCTGCACACCGTCGAAGGATCGCACACTCTCTTCCTCGAAACGCAAGCCACGCTGCAGTTCGACAATGGCGGCGGCGCTTACCTGCCCGGCATGGACCAGAACGTGCTGGACGAAAAGCTCGTCACCTTCCCCCTCCTGCACGTCGTCAACTTCACCTCCGACCAGAAGATCTCCACCATCCGTCTGCACTGGGATCAGGCCACGTTGCTGAAGCAGGTCGAAGCCATTGGACGCACCGGCCGCAACTGGCCCATTCGTGATGGCAAGGCACAGATTGAGGCCATTGCCTCCAGCTTGAAGGCAGGCGGTGCGGACGTGCACGCCAGCAGTAATAAGACTCCCCTGAGCCCACGCCATCCCAATGAAGTCGTCATCCGCCAGCACCAACGCGGTGACAGCAAGTCCGCCAACAACCGCGATCCCCAAGACATCTTCCTCCCGCGTGACACCAATGCCAATGCTGGAGCATCCTACGACGGACCCAAACTCGCCCCTCGCGTCTCTGCGAAGCCTGCCCCTCGTGACTATGGTGAACTCTTTGCGGGTGAAGACTCGCCCAAGACTGCTGCGTCAAAGATCCGCAGCCCTTCTCCCAGCAAGGCGGACGGTGCCTTCAAAGCGGGGGCTGGCAAGCATCATACTGGTAACCGACTCTTCGACGAGAACGATCCCGCTGCCACCGCCGCTGCCGGCACATCAATGATCTCACCTGAGCGCAAGAAGACATTGGATCAAAAGTACCAGCACTTCTCGTTTGGTGATGGCGAGGATGCGCCGGAGGCCAAGCGTTCGGGAAGCAGGAACATCAAGCACCAGCCGACCTTCAGCTTCGAGGACTTCACCACGCCGCTCAAGTACCGGCAGAAGGCCCGGCCGGATGATGAGGTGCATTGGGGTGGGGTGAGTCTTCTGCCTTCCATAACCTCTATAGTACAGCATGACTAACTCAAGCATACAGGAGGATCCTCCATCTCCTCCCATCCGCCCAATCGTCCACGCACCACGCAAAGATGCAGACACCCACTTTGTCCTCTCCGACGACGCCCCTCCCGCAGACGACAAGAGAACCCATCCGGAGATGAACAACAGAAAGCTCTACCACGACCCGGTAACAGAGGACATCGGCGCAGACGAAACCGTCAAAGCCTCCAGCACGACCACAACAAACGTCAACAACGCCCGCCGCGGCACCGACTTCGACCAGCACTACACCATGACCGACAACCCACAACCCACATCCACAGCCTCGGCCGCGCAAACCGAACGTCCGTCCAGCAGCCGCGGCGGCCCGCGCACCGATATGGAGTCGCACTGGGCTTTCGACGACGCGCCCAAGGAACGCAAGATTTACAAGACGGCGGGCGATGGGATGGGGGGACGGAAGGGCGGCGTTACTGGTGGAGCTATCGGCATGTATGCTCAGACAGAGGAGCCGAAGAAGATTTACAAGACTGCCGGGGATGGGATGGGGGGTAAGAAGGGGTCGGGCAGGTTGTGGGGATTCGGGGATGATAGTGATCCGGAGGCTATTGAGGATGCGAGGGTCCGAGGGAGGGCGGCGAGGGTTTGAGAGGGTAGTGTGATTGAGACGGTCTTTCTTCTTTCCTTTGTACACAGCGGACGAGAAATTGCATGATACCATGTAGTTAGGACCACCACCAAGAAGAAAAACTCTATACTGCACTGCCAATTAGTGATCCCATGCCGTCTCTTACCCCTCAGCCAACACCATCCGCACCATGCTCAAAAACTGCGGCATCATCTTGTGCAACTCGACAATCCCCGGCTTCTCCGGCTCGCCCGCATTCCTTCGCAACACATCCTGCCTGCGCAGCCTGCGCTTCCGCTCCGCCGCAATCGGGTCCCCGCCATCGTCCTCTTCGTCCTCGCTCTCGCTCAACCCATCATCATCATACTCATCCCCGAGATCCATATCCTGCAAATCCATCGCGTTGAGCCCGAAATCGCCAGGTTTGAACGTATTCGCGAGCCCATTCATCTCCCCTCCCGCCGCCGCAGCAGGATCATCGCCCGAAGCCATCTTCTGCCGCGTTTTGTCCTGATGCCAACGCTTGCGCGCCGTCTGCCACTTGATCAGACTGTTGATTTCGCGGATGGCGGCCTCGCGGTCGACGAGGTGCATCTCCACCGCCCCCTGGAAGAGGGCGTTCATATCCAACTTCCCGCCTTTGGGCCCGTTGCGCAAAAAGTCGAGAATGCCCTCGATCCACGTCATGAGTTTGTCAAAGAGGCCGTTGTCGTGCAGGTGGACTTCGTGGATGAATTTGTAGAGGGCTTCTTCGTGGCGCGCGCACAGGTCGATGAAGGATTGGACGGTCTGGTTGGGGTCGGCGGAGATGTCTTGCCGCTGTGCCTTTTCGATGGTCGCGATGGCGTCGTCGGCGAAGCGGGCAAAGTCTGTGACGGAGTTGTACACGTTGGCGCTCTTGTACACGCGCACGAGCGGTTCGTAGAAGATGGTGAAGAGGTCGCGGAAGAGGCGGAGCGTGTTGGCCTCCTCGACCATTTCCAGCATCATCTGCTTGTCGCGCCGGCGCGTGTAGAGTTTGAGGAGTGACTTTAGTTGTGCGTATAATTCTGCGCCCTGCCGCATCTCGGCGTCGACGTGCTCGACGGCATTGTCCCACGCCACCCATGCGTTGAAGACTTGTCCGATCTTCTCCGGCTCTAGTTCGGGCTGGATTTCCTCGGTCTGTAGGAGCTTGACAAGCAGGTCGGTCTGTTCCTGCATCGCTTCCTCACGAATCGAGTGCTTCATATCTTCGTCCGCCATGGTGTAGTTCTTAATCTTCTCGCACAGAATGGGCTCATCAATCTTGGCGGTCAGAGCGTCAATGGAACGTTGAATACCGCGAATGCCATCGCCGAGCGCCAGGCCGAAGATACGTTGCAGCAAACTCCTGGCACCGAGAGGCTGGGCCATGAACAAATCCAGCACAGAAGTCATCACAGCCGCGGGGTTCGTGAAGCGAATGACCTGCTTCAGTGCTGTATACGGAACCAAGGAATGAATGCGTTTCGCCTGCGCAAACATGTCGGGACTGTTGTCTTCGGCGAGGAAGAGATGGTACAGTGTTGCGGCCACCTCGATGCGCACCCACTCCGCAAACTTTCGATACTCCGGGTCCAGATCGGCAAGCTTATCCTTTCTTTTGATTTCGGTGAAGAGATCACGCAGTCCGTTCCGCTCAATGACTTTGCGCCGGAATGTCTCCATGTGCACATCAAGTTCGCGTGCGCGCTCGCGAGCGACTTCAAAGAATCGCCGTTGCTCTTCCAGCCGCTTCTCGTCCATTTCTTTCCTCCGCTCAATATCGTCCAGTTCTTCTCGCGTGGGGCTGATTGGTTTGGCGGTCAGGAAGTCGTACATGGCCTGTGAGTTGGCGATTGCTTCGTTTTGTAAGAAGTTGCGAAGAAAAGCGCGCAGTGACACTCGCTGCTCTTCTCTGTAGAGTACCGCGGGAGCCGGTGCCGGTGACGCCTCGCGGGGTGTGAGTGGCATTTTCGGCGTCGATGGGAGAGGCGAGTCTACGGATGCACGCGGGGAGCTGGCGCCATGGGACGGCGAGAATGAGTTGCGAGGAGAGTTGGTCCCGCCTCCAAGCGATGCGCGCGAGTTGTTGCGAGAGTGGCTGCGAGCGCCACCTCCGGTCCAGGAAGAGAGGTAGGAGCGGAAACTGTAGCTTGAGGGCTCGTCGCCATGTACCTCGGACTTTCCAGTGTCTTGGGTAGAGATTGAATCGACGCTGTCCGCATCGTCATCGCTATCGTCCTTGGAGCTGTAGAAGGAGTGCGAGCGGTTCTTGTGTGGCAATGGAGGCAGTACCTTGCCCGGAATCTCCGCCCGCAGCTTCTTATGCATACGGCGGAAATCGCCAAACCTCCGACTCACATACCGCTCCTTTTCGTCTCCTCTCTTGACGCGAAGTAGAAATGAGGCATGCTGGTGGTGTCGGACATGCCGCTTCACACTCACCTGCCGCACCCCGGCAACATTGACGTCCCAACCATTAATATCATGCCCCTGCGGCACATTCACCACCAAGCCCTGCTCATTCGGCCCGCTATCCACCACTTCCATCTCGGAGAAGCGAATGCGCTCTTCATACCCGGAAGCGGTCGGGATTCCCGAAACCATCATCAACTCGACCAGCTTCTTCGCCTTCAGCGCCAGCTTGGATCTCTTAGTCTGCTCGAGCCGATCTTCCGAGGAGCTGATGTGCTTGTTGGCGAAGCTTTCGAGGAACACCTGCAGCTTGTCCTGCCAAAATTCCTTCTCCCGCGCTTGATTGAGGAAGGGGAAGTTGCGGACGTGGTGGACGAAGATGTAGCGGAGGAGGGGGAGTTCGGAGTCTTCGGGCGGGACCTCGCCAGCGTCGGAGCGGAAGGGAGCGCCGAAGCGTTGGAGGGCGGTGGGGTGGGAGAGTTCGTGCACCTCCCAGACTGTCTGTTCGGAGAGGAGCTCACGTTTGAGGTAATGCTCTTGCTTGCCGGTGAGAACGGCGCCGGGAGGGGGGACGGAGAGGATGGAGGACATGGTGGAGGGGTCGGAGCGTTGGAGGAGTCTGCGCTGGTCGGGGGATTGCTGTTGAGCGGCGTTGCCAGCGGGGGTGTCGGGTTGTTCGGAAGCGTCAAAGAAGGCCTGGTTGTCGATGCTATCGAGTCTTCGGAGTGGATCTCGCGAGAGGCCCGTCTGTGTCCTGCTCTTGCGCTCGGTCGATGCAGCATTCGCCGCTGCCATGTTCGTTGAGGCGGCCATGGCGGGTGATGGGTGACTGCGCAGGCTGCAATTGAGAAATTAAGAGATCACTGTACAAGTGAATAGTCGTGACTCCCCCAGCGCCATCAACTGGCCCTTTCCTCGCTGAGGGAAAAGTACGGCAGGGAAGGGATCATTGGCGAGTGGGCGTTGCGGCTGTGGATGCGTATGCAATGACGTCGGCCTGCTCAAGGCTGCATCGCCAACGCGGGCCAAGACCGCCGGTGGTTTGCACGTGGCAGAGGGAGGAGATTGTGGTCGAGGAGGAGTGAAGTATGCAGCACCGTCTTTCGATTGAAGAGACTCCGGCTGGATTACGCAAGAGGTCGCATTGGATTGCTTCTCCATCGGAAGGAAGGTGCAATGCTCTGTCAGCCATCACGCCTTCCTGCGAAAATAAGGTTTCAAGTGTATACGACGACAGATCAACCCCACCAAACCACGTCGCCAGAAACAACCGGGAATGAAGAGATCCGATGATGAGTGAAGGCATTGCTACCCAGTGAATAGATACATGAGGTGCGACTACAGCATGCCCAGCTCTCAGCAGAAGCCCGACCCGCCCAGGACTCCAAAGTCGTCGAGTACACCAAAAATGCCGCAGTCGTCGTCCAAAATGCCCAATGCCGCGTCTGCCCCATATGCCGTAGATATATCATCCATAGCCCACGACATCATGTGCCCAGCAAGCTCTTCCTCGCTCCCTCCATTTGAAGTACCGTGATCGCCCAAGTAAGGCTCGTCACCAGAAGCATCCACCGCAGCCTCGTCAAACTCCTCTTCATCATCATCAACATACGACCCCACCCCATCAGCACGCACCTCAATCTCCCTCAAGAACCCCGCACTCTTCAACCAAGCAATGGAAGGCACTTCCCCTCCAGCTTTTCCAGCCCGACTCTCCCTCTCCTCCCCCCTCGCCTTGCGTCCCCTTTTCCGCGGGAAGAAGTGCGCCCGCCGTAGATGCGCCGCAGCATTGTAGTACACATTATACTGCTTCCCCTGCTTGCACTGCTTACAGATGTTCAATGGGCGCACGGGTCGCGCGGGGTGGCCTGCCCCTTGTTCGGCTTTTGATGGCGGCGAGGTTTGTTGCACCCCCGGGTCGACGCAGATCCACACTTTCTTCGTCGGGGTGTGTGCACGGTCGTGGTGGCGGCGGAGCTCGTGTTCGCCGCGGAAGCCGCCGAGGTGTTGGGTGCAGAGGGTGCAGTGGAGGCGGGGGTGTTGGGGGCGGATGTAGGGTTGCTTGCTGATGGGTTGTTTGTTGTTGGGCTTCGTCGTTGTGCCTAATGGCTGGAGAGGTCTGAGAGGAGACTTGGCTGTTGTGCGAGTGGCGGATGTTGGACCTCTGGCTGTGTGCTTGGAGGCGATTTGCCGCTTGCCGTTTGCCACTTGCCTTTTGAGATGAGTGGCTGCTTGGTAGTCTTCTGAGGAACCACTGACATTGCTATCGTTGCTTTGCTGGGATGGGCTGTGCCTCATTTGTTGGGTGAATGTCGTTGCCGCCTCCTGACGATGATCGTGATGCATCACCTCGGTATCATGAACGGAAGGAAAAACATCACCAAGGAAAAGCTGTTGCGAACCAACTGCACCAAATCCAAGACTACTCGTCAAAGCATATTCATCACGACAGTAATCAGTAATAGCCTCGCTATTACCAAGCACATCAGAAGCGACATCTGACAAGAAAGATTGGCAAAATGCTTGCTCTTCAGCTTCATCAAGAGGAAAGAAAGGGGGATCAGACAGGGTGGAATCGACCCGCAACATATCAAACGCGTCGGCGAACATGGCACTCGTCGCACTACTCTGTCGGCTCATCGCCTCACTTGAGAGCGTCAAGGGCGTCGGCGACAGATTACTCGACATGCTTGTACTTGGCGACACGTGATACGGGTGGGGGAAGAGCGAGGAGGGCGATGGCCCTGCGACTCGTGCTCTTTTGTTTACGGTGACTTGCGGTTGATGCTCGGAGTCGTTGTTGAGCATTTCGATGAACGCGGCTGGTGAATACATCTGTTCATACAGCGCGGAGTTGTGATTAATGGTTCCGCCGAGGGGAGGTTGAGCCGTCGAGCCGTAGGTGAAGGATGCGGTGAAGCCGGTGTCGAGTTGTCGAGGACGGGGCCGCTTGTTGCTGTTGCCGATGGTGACGGGGTGTTGGATGAAGGTGGGTGTTGGCCAGCCGTCCAGTCGAGCAGAGGCGCTCATCGTCGAGCGGGACATGGGGACCGAGCCGCTGTGAGAAGTCGGAAGCCGCATATTCCGGGAGGTGGGCATGCCGAGGGCCTAGACTCGTCAGTCACGATGGAGGGAGTGCCAGAGATAAGCAGAGGCCTGTACCAGTCCAAGCTGCCGCGTGCCTTGAGCCAGTGACCCTGCAAAGCCTGGCCAGTCCGTGCCCTGAGTTGGTTCCGTGAGTCCGTCGCCGAGAAAGTCGGGGGAGGTGGAGGATAGATGGTGCTGATGAGGGATGCCGTGCCGTGGTCGTCGTCGTTCCTCCGGCCAGTCCGAGTGGTGACCCCGCCAGAGAGCCAGAGAGTCGCCTTGGAGGGTGCCTGAGAGATCCTCAAAGAAGTCTCGGGGGAACGTCATATCTGCTGATTGATGTGAGTGTGAGTGACTAAAGCAGAAAGACAGAGTGTCTGAGAAGATGGAGGAGGAGGAAGAAGTGAAGAGAAGTAGGAGGCTTTAAGGAAGAGATGCGAACCGTGCGACCGGCCGAGAGAGCTGCGGAAAGGCGTTGGGCTGCGTGAGAATGACGAGGCAGCCAATCGCAGTCAGCCTGATGCATCGTCCACCCGATGCAGTCGAGAGTCCGGCAAGCTTGAGCTCGAGCTGTACGCGATCGAAGACTTGCAGCACCGCATGACCGTCCGCATTCACCGTAATTGGGCAACAATGCCATGACTCTGCTTGTGCCTAAGTTAAGACCACCACATCACTTGAGCGTTTAACCATTGCCTTGGGTGGCGTGTGCTCTTGCCGGCGCCATATCCGGATCAATGCACATCATCCACGATATGAGTGCGTGTGGGCAGCCATCGGCTTTCTGGAGTGCAACTCCTCCTGCCCACTGGCCTCACTTTACGACAGGTTAGAGGATGGTCGTGACATTGCCGGGCGTCAAGAATGCGCAAGGCGTGCGAGCTTGGCGTCAGACGGGTGTAAGCATGACAAGCGATGTTGTAAGCACGATAGGGAAACCATCTCCTACGTGTAGGTAAGGTATCTTACCAATACCGTGATATGGTCATAGCCCAGCGAGGACTCTCCGGCGTCACGCTTGTCCGTCAATTTTGATCTGAGAAAGAGACCACCCCGAACGTACAGACTGTGCATACCAGCACCGATAGTAGCAATGACGCAGCCACCATCGACCAGCGGTTGGACGGATGGGAGACCGCCGTGGGAAAATATGGGCCAGATTTTCGGCGCGCGCACGGCAAAAGAGCATGCAGCACACCTCGTGCCCTACGTCCAAAGCCACCACCACATCCTCGATGTGGGCTGTGGATTGGGCAGCATCACCGCAGACTTGGCCAACTTGGTGCCGCAGGGAGAAGTGATTGGTTTGGATCCCAACCCCAAGACTACCGAGGCGGCGAAAGAGGCGGCGGCGGCCAAAGGAATTGCCAACATTACGTTCGTCGACGGCGACGCTCACGACCTGGCTCGCTACGAGTCCGCGTCGTTTGACATAGTCCATGCCCACCAGGTCGTACAATACTTCCACACGCCCGTCAAGGCGTTGACCGAGATGCGGCGAGTGCTGAAGCCCGGCGGCATTCTCGCCTTACGCACCAGCAACCATCTCACCCTCTGGCCCACCGACCCTACACTCGAAAAAGAGCAGGCATGGTTTGCGGAGTTCGTCAAGGCTCGCGGGGGCAATGTCGGCGCCGGCTGGTACCTCCACACCCTAGTCAACCAGGCGGACTTTGCGTGGAAGGAGATCCGCATCGGATCTGCTTGCTGGGAATTTTCTGGGCCGGACGGCCTAGCAGCGTGGAGAGCTGGGACCGTGGGCAGCGCGAGAGCGAGTCTGATGGGCGCTGGCTACGGCACGGCTGAGGAGCACGACGAGATTGCGAGGGCGCACGTGCGGATGTGCGAGAGGGGCGATGCGAGGGTGATCGGATTGGACACTACCATTCTCGCACGTAAGTAGCTCTTGTCCTTGATCATCATCCTCGTCTTCTTGAGGGAGTACTCGAGAGCAGGTAAAGAGAGATGCAATAGGTAGCATCCAATTAGGCTATTGCATGATGAGGTAAGCTAGCGTTCCGCTGCTTCCGTCCCGCTCATTGGCCGGTTGCGTCGAACCGAGGATCGGCCGGCAGCCCAAGGTCCTATCCTTGACTTTCGCGGCGGGAGGAAAGATGAGGTGACGGACCGATCAGATGCCCGACACAGCAGATTAAGTTCACGCAGGCCAGCGAGAGGATCCGCCGGTCTGGCTCATCCGCATGAGCTCCCGAGCCCCCCGCCTATCTGTTCCCCCACCCATGTTGTGCATGCGGACGAACGACGAGGTAATGCGATGATGACCCAAGCTTCGCCCTCCATTGCCGGCCCGACATACTGTGCCGTGTGAGATGATCGGCACGTTGAGGCGCAATGGACGACGCGGACGCCAACAAGCCCCTCAAGCGCTCACGACCATGCGACTCGTGCCGCAAGCGCAAGAGCCGCTGCGTCACCGAGGGCGAGAGCAGCGTGTGCGTGCTGTGCAAGTTCCACGGCCAGCCATGTACGTATGAGGAGGCGCCGAAGCCGCGCAAGCGCAATGCCAGCCGCGACGGCGAGCGCTCCAATGCCGCCTCGCCCGTCAAGCGCAGCCTCGCCTTCAAAACCATTCCCGGCACCGGTGTGGAGGAATACGACACCCTCCCCGGCCCCTCCCTGCTCAAGCGCACCCTTGGCCTCCAGAACCTGCATCATAGTCAGTACATTGGCCGACACGAAGTCCCGGATCCATATGGAGCTCCTTATGCCGCTTCATCGGACGGGGCAAAGCGCGCGAAGAAGTCCGACGATCTCGAGATTGTTGTGCGCCCTGTGCATCCCTCTCACGCCTTTCGCATCATCCCCGACCCAACCACCGAGGGCTACTCGGAGCAGCGCGGCTGGATCGACGACATCGAAGCTGCCGTCTACCCGCACGGAAACCACCTCGTCCAACTGTACTTTCGTATCATCCATCCATCCTTTCCCATCCTCCACCAACAAGTCTTTCTCGAAAAGTACGCAAGATCGTACCGCGAATTCTCTCCGCCTCTGCTGGCCGCCGTCTACCTCGCTGCGTGCGGCTACTGGCGATATAGCGAACATCTAATTGACTACGAAAGGCCGGATCTGACCAAGCTGCGACATCTCGCCTTCGCCTCCTTTCGCGCCACCGTTATGCGACCCAAGCTGTCTACAGTGCAAGCAGGCTTGTTACTGGCACAGTATGAAGCCACAGACAAGCATGGCTGGATCAATGGACAGCAGAGCAAACTCGCTCACCAGCTGGTCGACTTGGCATACACGCTCGGCTTGCACCTCGATGCGCGACACTGGGAAATCCCCGACTGGGAGATTGGACTGCGACGGCGGATAGGCTGGGCGGTCTACATGCAAGACAAGTGGACTGCGCTGCTCCATGGCCGCCCCTCGCTGATCAGTGCCCACGACTGGTGTGTGCCGCCGCTTGACGAGGACGACTTTCCGGAGATTGAAGAAGACGACCGGGAAGGCAGCGCAGAAGTGGAGAAAAGCCGGCTAGTATTTATGCAAATGGCCTCGCTCACGGAAATTCTGTCAGGCGTGCTGGTCGATGTCTTTTCCGCACGCAGTCAGCAGATGCTCGATGCGGCCGTCGGCGACAAGATCGGCCTTTTGCTCACGTGGGTCAAGCCCTGGCAGCTGCATTTGAGGAATTGGTTTTCCTCTCTGCCAGAATCCTTACGAATGGACACCGCGGCATCCATGAAGCTCTCGCCCGTGGGCTACTTGCGTCTGGCTTATCTCACCCTTGAGACTTGTATCCATCGACACATCATCCGCACACTCGCGATGAGCGAGACCGTGGACCCTAATCTCGTCCGAGCTTGTCGCGCCGCAGGCAAGGACCGACTCATCAATGCCGTCGACTTCCTCCAGCGTCTGCAAGCGCAGCACCTCGCATCCTTCTGGTACTATATCTCTTCCAAATGCTGCGCACTCATCCACGCCTTTGGTCAGTCGCTCGCCGCGTCAGCCCTGGACCCCGCCGAGCGCGCCTTCTACGAGCAAAAAGTAAAAGAGTTCCGCTGGACGCTAAAAGTCAACAGCGAAGCGGGCACGGGCTTCATGAAGCAAGCAATCGGCATGCTGGACATTTCAATGCGCATCCAACCCATGCGAGCCGAGCACGGCCCTTCGTCTCTCGAGACCAGCCCGTCGGCGAACTCGCAGTTCGACACCTCTTCCAATTATTCCGGCGACTTCAAGCCCGACCTCTCGTTGCAGCAAGGCGTATATGGAAATTTTGCGGCCCCACCCACTCCACGGAGTAATCATCAGATGAATGCTTCGTATGACTTTGGAGACCCGGCAAGGTTATCGGGCGGTGCCGGCGACTTTTTCGTCCCTGCTCCTGACGCCGATTTTGAGTTTCAGGCTGGGCTGTACGACCGGACTGGAGGGCTGAATATCTCGCCTTGGGCAGCGTATCAGTGAAGAGCTGATCGTTTGTTCCATGTATTGGAAGCGCCTCTTCGTGACCCGAGCTTCTTGTATGGCCTGGTCGAATAGACATTGACTTCCGGGAAGCGGCGCGGTTCAATGTCTCGGCATCATTCTAGATGTTGTCTTCTTGCAGAGTTTGGTCTCCTCGAAAATTGCCCAAGATATCCAGATGCCGGGGGAAGGAAGCGTGGTATCGAAATCGATCGTTGTCCGGATGAAAGAAGGAGGTGCTAGGCGTGCCTAGCACGCCCAGTTGGAGTAGCCGGGCATTCTTTGGCCGTAGTTGACTGATCTGAAGTGAGGCAAATGGAAAGGCAGGATAGAATCGAAGCAGACAAGGCGGAATGCTGAAGCCATACCAATGTCTCTACCGTGACAAGGCACCGCGTCTTTTGCTCCCTTCAAGTCATCATTCATTTCCATTGCATTCGAGAGGAGGAAAGGAGATTGCTCCGAAAGTATTTGCGGAACGGAGGGCCAATGTAGCATACGGGCAATCGCCAAGCTCTGGCCGACGCGCCGCTCGCTCGCCGTCGGCCCACGACTTGCTCTCGACGAGCTGCATGTCGATCTATCCAAATACTTTGATGGCATCTGCCGCAATGAACTCAACTTCCTTCATTGACGGCTCATACCCTGTAGGGAGACCGGCGAACGCCGACGTGAGAGGATTCTTAGATTTGGCCGCCGGGTGAGCAGTCGCATCTTCCTTCTCCTCCTCTACCCGATACTCTGCCTCGGGGCTACACCTCGCAACCATGTTGGATCCCACGCACACCATGGAGCTACCATCCGCCAGGCCGTACACCTTCCGCTTCACCCCCGAATCAACAGCCTTCATCATCATCGACATGCAACGCGACTTTCTCGACCCCAACGGCTTCGGCGCCATCCAATGCGGCAACGACGACGTCTTCCGCGAGGTGCGAAGCATTGTTCCCAAAACGCAGGCTGTGCTGGAAGCGTGTCGGAAACTCGGCTTGTACGTCGTGCACACCCGCGAAGGCCACCAACCCAATCTCTCCGACTTGCCTCCTTCCAAGCGTCTGCGGCAGATTTCTGCGCCGAATGGCCATCATACTATTGGTATTGGGGATGAGGGGCCTATGGGTCGCTTGCTGGTTCGTGGCGAGTATGGTCACGATATCATCGATGAGCTCCGGCCTGTGCCTGGTGAAGTGGTGATTGACAAGCCCGGCAAAGGCAGCTTCTGGGACACCACTTTGCATCGGGCGTTACTTGCTCGCGGCATCACGCATCTGATCGTTGCAGGCGTGACGACGGAATGCTGCGTCAACACTACCTTCCGCGAAGCCGCCGACCGAGGTTTCGAATGTTGCGTGTTGAACGATTGCACTTCCGGCTTCGATGCTTCCTTCTACACCAGCGCCCTCGACATGCTGTGCTCCTACGACGGACTGTTTGGCTACGTGGGCACCTCCGATGAAGTTCTCCAGCAAATGGCTCCAGCGGCACAACTGGCCACTCCTCCCACCACTCCGCCCGGTTTCCAAGGCGATATATCTCTGGCTGGCTTGCAGCGCCAATACTCTGCCAGACTCACCAGCCCAACCGAGGTGATCAAGGGTCTTTCCTTGCGCATCGCGGAATATCAGCAAGCCGATCCCGCCGTCTGGATTCATCTGGAATCACCCGAGACGCTACTGCACTCGGCCAAGGCGCTGGAGGAGCGCTTCCATGGCAAACCTCTGCCACCCCTCTACGGCGTCCCCTTTGCAGTCAAAGACAACATCGACGTCGGCGGTATCAAAACTACAGTAGCTTGCGAAGAGTACGCCTACACACCCGAGCGAAGCGCCCGCGTCGTCGACGCCATGATTGCCGCCGGCGGCATCTTCATCGGCAAGACAAACCTCGATCAACTCGCCACCGGCCTGTCAGGCTGCAGATCCCCCCACGGCTCTCCCCATAGCGTCTTCAGTCCCAACCACATCTCCGGCGGCTCCTCCTCCGGCTCCGCGGTAGCAGTCGCCGCAGGCCTCGTCTCGTTCGCCGTCTCGACCGACACCGCCGGCTCAGGCCGAGTACCAGCCATGTTCAACGGAGTCACGGGCTACAAACCTACCAGAGGTACCCTCTCTGCCCAAGGCCTCGTGCCCGCCTGCAAAAGCCTCGACACCATAACCATCATCGCGCCGACGGTCGAAGAAGCGCGCAAAGTCTGGCTAGTAGCAGACGAAGGCCCCGATCCTGCCGATCCCTACGCCAAAACGCAACAATCCCTCGCTCTGTGGCATGTCGACTTCCGCGGCCCCAAAGCAGGCGGCTTCAATTTCGGCGTCCCACCCCAATCCGCATTACAAGCATGCACGCCCGCCTTCCAACAAGGCTTCACATCCGCCATCGCCCGCTTGGAACGCGCAGGCGGCACCCGCGTCGAAATAGACTGGACGCCCTTCCAAGCAGGCAACGACCTCCTCTACGAAGGCGCCCTAGTACAAGAGCGCATAGCCAGCATCGGCGCAACCTTCATCAAAGAAAACCTATCGACCTTCGACCCCGCCGTCTCTTCCATTTTCTCCGCCGCGCTGGCAAAAGAAGTCACAGCCCCCGACGTCTTCCGCGACCTGCACCTCCAAGCGGAATCTACACGCTATGCGGCCGCCATCTTCCGTGACGAAATCGACGTCCTGCTCGTCCCTACTACGACGTGCCATCCCACCTTCGAAGAGATGCGCGCGGACCCGATCGCGCTGAACTCGCGCTTGGGCGCCTTTACTCATTTCGGGAATGTGCTGGATCTGTGCGGGCTTGCCGTGCCGGCGGGGACGTATGTGAGTGAGGGTGGCGGTGGGGAGACGTTGCCGTTCGGGGTGACGTTGTTGGGGGCTTCGGGAAGGGATGGGAGGGTGTTTGATATTGCGAGGGAGTTTGAGAGGACAAAGTGACATGACTGCCGACTCTTTCCGTAAAAGTATATCTACAATAGCCCTAGCAACGACTGATGGTGTATCTTATACGCAACGTATTGGATGCCGCGAGAACGCTCACAAAAACCAAGTCAAAAGCCAATCGCTCCGCACATCCGGCGCCGGCTGCGTCACCACACACTTGTTGTTGCGCGCCAGGAAGGCGCCTGAATTGTTGTACTGCACATACGCCTGCCATTTCCGCGCATGCTCAAGCGTATCATCCGACACGCCTGCCGGGTCCTGTGGGATCCAAATGATGGGCGCCGATTCGCGCGTCACGGGATCCTGATACGCGGCTTCGAGTTCGATGGAACGCTCTGGACGGGACAGGTCGGTGAGTTCGTCTGGGTAGCCGGCGATCGCGGCGCCGAGTTGATCTTGGGCTTCGCGCTTTTTGAGCGTGCCGCCACCGCCTTCGCTACCCTCCGGACGTAAGCTGACTTCCCGTTCGTGGTTGATGTGCGACAGCATTCGGCGAGCGTTGTCTGCCGTGCGGGAAATGGCGTGTTTTTCGCCGGCGGCCCCGGGTCGGCGTCTAATACTCTTACCGAGGATTTGCAAGGGCCCGCCGTCAGCGGTGAGCGGTGGTTCCTTTTTCGGCTTCTCTGAATCCGACGATGATCGTTGCTCCTCGGTCTGTTCGACGCTTTGCTTCACCTCCTGCTCTTCGTTGGGTGGTGTGTTGTCGTTCTCGCTTATAAATCTGCGCCGTTCGGCCTCCGCCGCTGAATCCTCCAGTGTAACGGGAAGGAGTTCACGAAGCGGATAGAAGAGCGTTTCCGTCACATAGTGGTAGATGCCTGTCAGAACCAGCACAACAATCATGATGATTGCTTGCGGGCCGCACGCCACCTTGTCTGCAGAGTTTCGGACGAGGAAGAACAAGCCAATCAAGGCGATTTCCATCACGTAGATGCCGGTGTACAGCAAGGAGAGGGCGTGTTCGAAGAGCAGACCATGAGTGTCGACCTTATTCCGCTGGACGTAGTAGTAATTATGTCGGTATGCGATCCAGAAGAGGAAGAACATGATGGAGATGAAGACCAGGACCAGAGGCGAGATGACAGAGTATATCAAGCCTGAAAGGGCCAGTCAGCCAAGGTTCAAGGACAAAGAAGAGCACTACTCACCAATGGCTGCAAAGTTTGTAAACAGCGAGTAGACATTGCCCCACATCTGATGGGGAATGGTCGTCTGAAGCCAGGCTTCCTCTCGCGGAGTTTGGGTGAACCAGGGCCAGATCATGGTGATGTAAAGAAGACGCAGGTACTGGAAGAGAACGCTTCCGCTAAAGCCCAGAGCCTGGATGATGAGGTAGTTGAAGAAATAATTGGCGGCTTTGGGAAGGTCGTAGGCCAGGGTGCTGGAAATCGTGGTGGGGTTGTTGATGATGGCACCAATGGTAGCAACCAGCCCGGAGGAAATCGAAGTGACCAAGACCAACTCGATGAACAGGAAGGTGAAGTAAAAGGTTTGGGTGTTGACCTCGCGTTTGCTTCGTGTGGGCGAGCCGACGAGCACAGCCAGCTTACGGCAGAGTGCGGGCACGACGAGCTGAATTAGCAAGGCGAGTAGAATGGATGCGACGGGGCCTGGAGGACGTTAGTAGATGTGCGACATTTTCATGGATTTTCTGAACCCACCTGAAATCAAACTAATAATCCAATTCGGCCACGGACGCAACCAATGCAGCCAAGTGTAATTGTACCGCACACTTTCCAGCTGAGAGATGATACCGAGAAACGTGGCCGGAATACCCCAGAGGATGATCATGCCGATAAAGAGGACGACGGCGATACAGGCCCTGACGAAGCGATCCCAGGTCGTCAAGCCCATGTTCGGCCAGAGGACTTCATGAGGGGCAACGTCGAGGAAGCGTGGAGACATGCAGCCTGGGCGATGATGAGTCGTCAAAGCAAAGGCCATGTGAGCAGACATTTGTCGGTCGAACTGCACAAAGGCGGAGTTCTGCTTCTTAAACTGAGTTTCGTCGTCCAGGTCTTGCAAAATTTCGTCAATTTGTACATTAAGACGGGCGATCTCTGCGCGAAGCCAGGCAATTTTGGGCACGCTCGTGGTCGGCTCGCGCTTCCAAAACTTGAGCGAGGAGGGTTGCGTTCGCGAGTCGGTTTCATCCTCGATGATCTTGACTTGACTGCCTTCTGACTTCTTGAGGTACTTCCGCCAGAGCTGATCGTGGTCCTTGCAGTCTTCGTCGAAAAGCTTGGCAATGTGCTTCAACGCTTGTTGAGTGTCATTGGTCGCGACTTCATGGCGTTCTGAAGGCACCGTGAAATCGAGAGGTCTGATTCTCGGGGCCGACTCGACAGCCTTGGCGGATCCAAGCTTCCGATACTGCTTGTTGACCGATCGCAGAATCTTGAGTTCTTCCTTCTCCAATGCATGGCAGAGCTTCCGCCGACGTGCAGACAAAGCGCGCAGAGACTTATAATCTCTGTTCACCCACACCGTCAGTTTGCTCCGGTCATCATTGTCGACGAAGACGTCAAAGAGGGCTTTCAAGGCTTCATTGCTGCGATACTCGCTGGGAATGTTGGTGACGAGGACCGTGCGAGCAGAGGCTTTGAGTCGGTGTTCGGGAGAGGTGAGGTACTCCTGGCGGACGGCAATGAAGTGTAGCTTCTCGCGATAGATTCGGTACAGTGTCCAGGCGATGGCCAGGCATGCGCAGACGAGATGGCCCCAATAACGGCTAGTCTGATTGGGGGCAACGTTCTGGAAGGACAAGACATTCAAGCCCGTGACATTGTAATTGTGTGGATGTCCGCCGACCTCGAAGGTATTCGTTCCCGCGCCACCGTTGTAGTTGATGGGAAAGAGAATGGGGACGATGATGATGGTCATGGGGACGAAGATGACAAGCATGGCTCTGATGAAGCGGATGAAAAAGTAGCCGTCTAGAGAGTGGTCAGCGAATGGTGTTGATGTTGGATCAAATACCTTGCATACCCAGGCCACATTTAGCTTTGAGTTCTTCATCCTTGATCGTGACTACTCGCCGAATCCACTTCCATGGACTGACGGGAATGGCTTCGACGCGTAGCCGGTCTTGCACGAGATATGTCTTGGGTTGACTGTGAAGGGAGGTGTGAGTGGAGAGTTTCGACTGCCGCAGACATGGCCACCTACTATATCCTGCGCCCGGCCCCGGAGCTTTTCAACAGAAAGAAGCCCGAAAGTTCAAATGCGAAAAGAGCCAGACCGGTGGCCAAATTGAGGGCGAAAGCCTTGGTGGTGATGCCATTCGAACTGGTGGCTTTACCGGCGTCACCGTTGATGATGCCACCAAAGGGGTTGTCTGAGCTGTTGCCGGAACTCATGTTTGGAAATAGAGACGAGTCGTCGCGGGGTGTGAGAGGTCAGGGGCCCTCGACGTGCTGCAGAAGATGAGATCGCTGTGAAAGGCGTAGAAGAGCGAGACTATCACATGGCCGCGGAGTCGTGGCGTCTCGGAGAAAGCAGTCGCATGAGGAAGCCTTCTTGTCGGTCGTGGAGGGCGAAGACGTGAAGTTGGTGAAGGTGCACCGCCACTGCAGGACTGTCGATGGGTGAGGTGTTTTGCGACGCGGGCGTAAGGCAACAATGACGCTGGTGGCACCTGCTTCTGGCCAATGATTCCTCTTTGCCACTCGGCCCGCCCCGCTGCCGCCAAGGCCCGAGATAGCGCGCAACGATCATCTTCACCTCAACTGAACTGCTCAACACATGATAACGAGGTCTAATGAGCTCAGACATCTGCATGTCACCCCTGAGAGAGTGTTGAAACGCGTGTGCGTGAGCTGCAAAGTCGTTGCATTGTTTGCATCACTCCCGTCTGCCGCACCGGTCTCCATGTGCCGTCATCACTCCGACGAAGACATCCCACCTCCAAAGCACCTCAAAGATGTATCTGACAACCATGCCCCTTCGAAAACGAGAGACCTTCGCAAGAATTGGGGCGAGGCAAGTGCAACCTCCCTCATCCCCATCCAAGATCGTGGCCGCGAATTCCAATGCAACGTTGCGGCCTTGTCCTTCTACATCTTGGCGTGGCAAGCCTCTCGACGTCTCGACACAGCCCCCGTCCAACCAGTTGCATGGGCCTTCCATGTCCAATCCCCATGCGGGCACTCGTTCCCACTCCATGTCCGTGCGGTGATACTTCCCCAAAGGGACATGGCCTAGAAGCTCGAATGGAAGGCGTTTCGCGCGGCGCCAAGTAGGACAAGAGATTTACATGCGGGTGTGTGCGGGCACGCGACCTCGCTGCGGTTTTCTTCCGTCCAATTGTTCGGGCCTTTGTCGGCTCAAGGATCCCCGCCGCCTCTTCGCTTTGCCCACTCAGGTTCCGCCAGGCTCGGCATGCCCGTTATCAATGCACGCCTACCTCGCTATCTTCTATCTCACAGCCTTGGCACCCCCAAGCCTCGGCGGGGCGGCGTGGAGTAAGTATTTATTACACCATGGTATTCGCCCCCTTCGTTCGCGCTCCTCTCCTGCCCCATCTTCTCCTCATTTCTCCACTTCCTCTTACTTGGTAACTCACGAGTAACATGGCAAATCGTCGAGGAAGCCTCGAAGCTGCTGATGCGGTGGACACGGAGAAGGCTGGCAGGCATTACGGCGAGCCTCACTCTCTGGGAGAGCACGCGCGCGGGAAGCAGTTCTCGGTTACAGAACAAGATGTCGGCCTCGTTCACGCCGACCAGAACAAGCTGCATCGCCGTCTCAAGGGCCGTCACATGCAGATGATTGCCATGTAGGTTCATTTGCTTCAGTTCCAATCGTCGCTTGACAAGCTAATGCGATGACCAGTGGCGGTGCCATTGGCGCTGGTCTTTTCGTCGGTACCAGCAGCACCTATCCCAACGGTGGGCCTGGTTCCGTCCTTATCGGTTTCATCGTCGTTGGTAAGTTTCTTGGAATTGAACCAAGACAGGTCCGATACTGATCAAATCGCAGGTATCACGATGTTGGTATTCCCGCCGCCGCTCATCCTGACTTCCTGCTAACCTCCCAATTGATACTTGATGATGCAGGCTTTGGCCGAGTGAGTTGCGATCTACTTTGCGTACTTTGAGCGTCTGCTAACTTGGATACAGACTGGCCGTCATGTACCCAATCAATGGAGCCTTCACCATGTACATTTGCCGATTCGTCGATCCGTCCTGGGGTTTCGCCTGTGGCTGGCAATATGGTATCAACTGGCTCACGGTGCTGCCGTTTGAAATCAGTGCCGGTAAGATATGCAGCCTACGAAATTTCACTTCAAGAATATTTGCTAACCTGGCTTCGTCTGTAGCTTGCAACGTACGCACTACGATGATGCCCTCTCTTACCCCACTACTGACATCCTACAGATCATTCACTACTGGAATGGATCTCTTAGTATCAACAACTCCGCATGGATCGTCCCTCTACTATTCCTCCTGATCGTCATCCAATTCTTCGGAGTGCGGGGGTACGGAGAGGTGGAATTCGCTTTGAGCATGCTCAAGATTATCGCTTGTAAGCCACTGCCGCGATTGATCCCGCACCAAAAGAATGCTAACCCTCCGACCCAGGCATTGGTTTCATGATCCTCGGTATCATCATCGACGTTGGAGGCGTGCCAACTGACGATCGCGGCTACATTGGCGTGCGCTACTGGAAAGCTCCCTACCAACCCTTTATCAACGGATTCCACGGCTTCTGCAGCATCTTCGTCACCGCCGCTTTCGCCTACAACGGCACGGAGCTCACCGGTCTCGCCGCGGCGGAGGCAGAGAACCCTCGCAAGGAGATCCCGCGCGCCAGCAAACAGGTGGTCTGGCGTATCTTCATCTTCTACATTGTCAATCTCTTCCTGGTGGGCCTGATTGTGCCCGCCACCAGCCCCATGTTCGACAACCCGGGTGGAGAGTCTCGCCGCTCGCCCTTTGTTATTGCCATCCAGCTGGCCGGCATCAAGGTCCTTCCATCCATCTTCAACGCCGTCATTCTCATCTCGGTCATGAGCGTGGCCAATTCCTGCACCTTTGGTTCCACCCGTACATTCCAGGCCCTCGCCGAGCATGGTAAGCGTTCACTGCCTGGTCACATGACTTTCGAAACACGACTAACTGGCTCTCTGTAGGAATGGGTCCGAAGATCTTCGCCTACATTGATCGCAAGGGTCGCCCACTCGTGGTCGTCGCGCTGCAACTGGTGTTTGGATTGCTGGCATTCATCAATCTGGCTCCCGACGGAGGCACCATCTTCACCTGGCTCCTGGCCTTGTCCGGCCTGGCATCCTTCTTCATCTTCGGCAGCATTTGCGTGGCGCACATCCGCTTCCGCATGGCTTGGTGAGTCTTGAAGATATGTAAAGTTGAAAACTCCGGCTAACCAGCACCACAGGAAACTTGCGGGCCACTCCGTCGACGAAATTCCCTATCGCGCCTCGTGCGGCGTCATCGGATCCTACATCTGCGCCGTCATGAACCTCATCTTCCTCATTGCGCAGTTCTACATCGCCCTCTACCCCATCGCAGGCACGGAGCTCAGCGCGGAGAACTTCTTCCAAAACTACCTCGCCGCGCCCTTCCTACTGCTGCTGTACTGCATCTGGAAGGGGTACAGCTGGTCGCGCTTCCCGTCGCATCGCTCCATGTGGACCAAGCTCAAGGACATTGATCTCTACACGGGCATGCGCGAGGGCCAGATGCAGATGATTAGCGGGCCGGATGTGTCGGAGGACCAGAGGCGTGCTAGTGTTGCGGAGCTGCAGAATGAGAAGCCGAAGGGGGCGATGGGTTATGCCAAGGCTGTGTTCAGGTCGGTCTTTTGATTCAGATCTATGAAAGGGATGTGAGGGGGGTTAGGAGAGGAGTTGTAGTGTGTATACTGCGTATGAGATGTTGTGCTGCGCCAGTATCGTTTCGTTGCGTCCGCGTTCACTCCTCCGCATGTTTTGCCACGCCAGATCAATTGGCGATGCATTCAAGAGGAGGTGAAACGTTTCATCTAGACATTGCCCTTTCCATCTTTACAGCATGGAATAATCTAATCCCGATGCGGAGGGTGCGGAAGTATGCCTTTTATGCAGAGGATGAGCCGGCTTCCTCCTGACTCCACTCCTCGGCTCCACCACCACACCTAACACAACACATACCTATGGACACGTATGTGTACGAGAAGGCAACACTATTGTAGACGGCACAAAAGCTACGCAGCGCTCCTTCTTGGATTCCATCAGACCAATCCACGACCTGTACTGGTCATGGCACCTGGACACCTCGAAGAGTAGGCGACACTCGGGCAACATGGGTTGTTAATTGCACGCCGACGTGGAGACATTGACAACATGAACGACGCGCTTTGCTCGATCCTTTGCGACCAGAAAGATGGCTGGACGTGGGATCCGTTCATCTCCGACAAGCTCATATTCAATCATGACGGGACGGGCGAGGTGCGTGTCCTCACCGCGCTGGACTTTTGGCCTGTCTTTATCAAGTGCTAACAGCGCTGCGGACTAGGTGTGGTTCATGGAAGACCATTCCTTCCTCTTCGCCGTCAACATGCGGTGGAGATGCCTTGGGCCGTCACCCCAGCTGAGCGAGAAGGAGAAGGCCAGACCGAGCGAGCCAGCAGCACCCGAAGCACATCCCGAGCCTGCAAGCATCTGGAGTGCAAAGTCGTGGAGGAAGCAGCCGCAAGTGCTAGGCAAACTCGACCTCGAAATCACCCTCGAGCGAAGCCTGGCCAAAACGCTAGCAGGCGGAAGAGTGCTCGCGACATTTGCGCACATGAACGAGCGCCGGCTCTCGGACGCAGCCTGTAGCCCCAAGACCTTCAGCGTCACGGTTGAAAGGGGCAATTTCGTGCCTACGACTCATGTTGGCATCGATCGTAGCATCGGGAAGCAACTCGAGCTGCGGTATGGGCTGCGCTTGGTGTTTGACAGGACGCTTGCTCCTCCTCGGGAGGAGTTCACGGATCCGAATGAGTGGATAGTTAGCGATGGCGGATGGTGGAGGATTACGGATTACGTTGCAAGGCAATTGCCCACGTCGGAGTATAGCTCGCCTGCTATGAACGATTCTGCGTGGGACTATTATGTCAGGAGTTGCGTAGTGTCGTAGTGTTGACCTGGATTCAATCAATCGAATGCACAAGTGCACCTTCATTCTTCCCAGATGAATGCGTTAAAGGACATTGCTGTCGTGAGCATGGAATGTGGCATCTGTCATGAAGAGCAGCGCCTGGAAGTATGTGAGCTTTGTCCGACGTCCGTGCACGAGCTTAATTTTTTGAGTCAAGATCAAATGCACTCCAGTCAATTCAATGCGAGTCATATAACCTCGCCTCTCGCACCGATCGTCGCCGTCCCTCTACAGCCTCTCATCAAACACTCACACCAACAATGCCAGGCGCACGGGGCCCCGTGCCCGTGCCTGCACAGGCCAATGGCACCTCCGACCTCACCAGCAACATCCTCCACAGCCTCGAACAGCACCCGCAACTCGACACACAGGAAGCCTTCCCGCAAACCTCACAGGCCGAGATCAAGGCAGCGCTCGATCGTCTCGCCAGTCGCCGGATGGTGGCGTACGAAGCAAAAGACAAAGAACTCGTCGTCTTGACCGAGGAGGGCCAACAGATTAGCGACGAGGGATCGCACGAGTGGAAGGTGTGGGAGGCGGTGAAGAGCAAAGGGCGGATACCGATCAAGGAGATTGAGAAGATTGTCGGGCCGAGTGCGAAGGTTGGGCAGGGAAACGCTTTCAAGTTGAAGTGGATTAAGAAGGATGGGGATGCGCTTGTGCCCGTGGCGGAGAATGTGACGGACACCACGAGGGAATTGTTACAGCACGTTGGCGCACACCACGAATTCCCGGATCCCAAGCAGTTGAAGGACTATCAGAAGCGGAAACTGGTCACCACCAAGAAAGACATTACATACACCGTGCGGAAAGGGGCGAAATGGGCGCTGCAAATCCCCGTCGAAGTCACCGATCTGACTGTAGAGATGCTGCAGGATGGATCGTGGGAGTCGGCCAACTTCAAGCCCTACAACTTCCAAGCAGCCGGTGAGCCCCAGCATGCCGGCGCCCTACATCCCCTCAACAAAGTGCGCGAGGAGTTCCGCAAGATCTTCTTCAGCCAAGACTTCATCGAAATGCCCACCGGCCGCTTCGTCGACTCCGGCTTCTGGAACTTCGACGCCCTCTTCGTCCCGCAGCAGCACCCCGCTCGCGACCTCCAAGACACCTTCTACGTCTCCGACCCCGCAGAAGCAGGCGAGCCCGGCCCCGACCCCGCCGCCGACGCCGCCCTCACCGAGATGGAAGCCGACAGCCAAATGTACACCCACCCGGACGGCGCCGACAGCACCAAGCTCAACTACGCACAGTACGTCAAGAACGTGCGCGCCGTGCACCAAGATGGCGCCTTCGGCTCGACGGGCTACCGATACCCCTACTCCGACGCGGAAACGCGGCGCCTCGTCATGCGCACCCACACCACCGCCGTCTCGGCCTATTGCCTGCACCGCCTAGCCAGCAACCCGCGGCCGGCGCGCTACTTCTCCATCGACCGCGTGTTCCGCAACGAAAGCGTCGACGCCACCCATCTCGCCGAGTTCCACCAAATCGAAGGCGTCATTGCCGACTACGGCCTCACGCTCGGCGGCCTCATGGACTTCCTAGGCAAGTTCTTCACCAAGCTCGGCATCTCCGACTTGCGCTTCAAGCCGGCGTACAACCCCTACACCGAGCCGAGTATGGAGGTTTTCGGGTACCATCATGGCCTGGCCAAGTGGGTGGAGATTGGGAACAGTGGCATGTTCCGGCCGGAGATGCTGCTTGCCATGGGTTTGCCGGAGGGGCTGAGGTGTTATGGGTTCGGGCTGAGCTTGGAGCGGCCGACGATGATCAAGTATGGCGTGAACAATATTCGCAAGTTGCTGGGGCATAAGGTGGATGTGGGCTTCATTGAGTCGAATGCGGCGGTGCGGCTTGATAAGGATTGAGAGGGGCTTAATTTGATTCGCTTTGATTTTCACGCATGGCCTGTAGGCTTTGGAAGGATTGATGACAGTGAATGCATCCGGCCTCTTCCAATAGCAAGTCGTGGGTGAGTGTGGAGAAGCTCATGCATGCACCCCACAAAATGCACGTCACAGCCATTGGCATCGTCCATAGCTTGCTCGGAAAACAAATACGACGTCTTCGCTGTCTCCATCACTACACTTTACGGCCGCAGGAATGCTCCTGACTGCATATACTCGATTTTGCTCTCGCCAGTCAACTGTCCCACTAGCTTTTGCTCGAAGAAAATCGCCCAGCGTTCAGCTCCCATCCATCCGCCACTTCCAAACCACAAAGACAATGGGCGAAGCGAAGACAGTAAGATGGGGTATGCTAGGTGCGTAAGAGAGCCCCATCCACCACACCCTCCCCGAATCACAACCATTAAACATCCGCATTACCAGCCACGGGCGGCATCGTGCGCACCATGACCCGCGACCTCCTCATCGACCCCACCACCCGCGGCGTCACCGACATCAAGCATGTCATCACGGCCGCCGCATCGTCGTCGTCGAAGAAGTCCGCCGAGTCGTTTGTCGCGGACTGCGTGGCGCCGACGCAGGGTGCGAGTCCGGTGTGCAAGGCGTATGGGAGCTATGAGGAGTTGGTGAAGGATCCGGATGTTGATGTGAGGTTTCGTTGTTTGTGATGATATCTATGTCGGGACTGACGATGGTTTAGATCATCTACATTGGCACGCCGCATTCGCATCACTACCAGAACTGCATGCTCGCCTTGACGAATGGCAAGCCAGTGCTCTGCGAGAAAGCCATCACGGTCAACGCAGCACAAGCCAAAGCGCTCGTGGAAGAGGCCAGAAAGCGCAAGCTCTTCTTCATGGAAGCCGCGTGGACACGCTACTTCCCCCTCAGCATCGCCGTGCGGCAGAAAATCCAAGCGGGCGAGATAGGAGAAGTCCTCCGCGTCACCGCCGACTTGTCGACCGGCGAGGCCCCCGAAATCTACGACGCAGACCACCGCAACGTTAACAAGGATCTCGCCGGCGGCGCGCTGCTGGATCTGGGCGTCTACGCTCTCCTCTGGGTCTTCCAAACGGCATACCACACCCTACCAAAAGACAAGCGGAAACCGCCTCGTGTCGTCGGCGCGGCCATGACGCCCGAGCCGCGCACGGGAGCGGACGAGTCGACGACGATGCTGCTCGAGTTCCCCGTTAGCACGCCCAGCGGTACGCGGCAGACGCACGCGATTGCCACCACGGCGATGCGGGTGCATTTCGATCCCGGGCGGGAGTCGGAGGCGGCGTCGCCTACGGTGCGCGTGCAGGGAGACAAGGGGGAGATTCAGGTGTTTGGGCCGATTTATCGCCCTACGCGGTTTCGCTTGTTGCCTTATCCTGCTAGTGAGGAGAGGCCGATACAGACGTTTACGTTTGATTTCCCCGGTGGTGAGTTGGCATATTCATTATTACGGCAGAGGTGGTGGATGCGCTGACGATGTTTCTGCTTCAGGCACTCACGGCATGAGTTGGGAAGGCGACGAAGCGGCGCGCTGTTGGCTCGCGGGCAAACTCGAGAGCGAGACGACACCGTGGGAAGAAATGGTGGTGATGATGGAGACGGTGGACGAGGTGCGCAGACAGACGGGCCTGACGTTTCCGGAGAACATTGAGACGACCAAGTTCCCGCTGGATCTTCACAAGCGCGACCCGAACAAGAAGCAGGCGTACATCAATCGGAATTGAGTGCGGCTACGTGTAATTGAAACGGGAGAAGTCGGTAGGGATCACGAATGAATAAAGAGTCGAGTGTAGTTATTCCCGCTCGATCTATTAAGCAATCTGTTCTCACGGGCCGTGCCCCATGGGGATCTGACCAATCAGCACCCCGGACTTGGTCAATGCCGTCACAGCAACGAACCTCGGCTCCATGGCACCTCGTCGTCTCGCCTATATGCCTGTGCACGAGGTCTACTTTTGTCTTCCCTCGAGCATTCAAGAGCCTTCAACAACCTTCACATCACCGTACCCCATTGGCGCATCTCCTCCTCCATCTCTCCTTCCCCCTCGTTCCCCACCCGCAGCCATGGCCCCCAAACTGACCCGCGAGGAAGTCAAGAAGCACACGGCCGAAGACGACCTGTGGTTCATCGTGGACCACAAAGTCTACGACGTCTCCGACTTCATCGATGCCCACCCAGGCGGCTCCGTCGTGCTGCAGCAAGTCGCCGGCACCGACGCCACGGAAGCCTTCTACAACCTGCACCGCCACGAAGTCCTACACCAGTACAAATCGCTCTGTCTCGGGAACGTGGAGGGCGAGGAGCCCGAAGTCATCGAGCAGCTGCCCGGCGACCTCAGCCAGGTGCCGTACGCTGAGCCCCTCTGGTTGACGCCGCAGTTCCGCTCGCCCTTCTACTCCGAAAAGCACAAGAAGCTGCAGAAGGCGATGCGCAAGTTTGTCGATGAGCATATCACTCCTGAGGCGCGGGAAAAGGAGTTGAGCGGGGAGTACATCAGCCAGGAGCTGATTGATAAGATGGCCGAGGCGAATATCCTCGCTATGCGAGCCGGGCCGGGCAAGCATATGCATGGGCGGAGTTTGCTGGGAGGTGCCATGGACGGCAAGGACTACGATGCCTTTTCCGATTTGATCATTTCGCAGGAGCTCACGCGACATACGAGCCGTGGCTTCCAGGATGGGAATATGGCGGGTATGACGATCTCGCTGTCCGCTGTGATTGCGTGGGCGAATGACGAGGAGTTGAAGAACCGAGTGGTGGATGAGGTGCTCTCCGGCAAGAAGAAGATGTGTCTTGCCATCACCGAAGCATTCGCCGGTTCGGACGTCGCAGGTCTGCGAACAACAGCGGAGTTGAGCGAGGACGGCTCGCATTACATTGTCAACGGAACGAAAAAATGGATTACTAACGGCATGTGGAGTGACTACTTCGTCACCGGCTGCAAGACGAAGAAGGGCTTTTCCGTGCTGCTGATTGAGCGGTCGGAAGGCGTGGAGACGAAGAAGATCAAGACGGCGTATTCTGCTGCCGCGGCGACGACCTTTGTCGAGTTTGACAACGTCAAGGTGCCCGCGAAGAACTTGCTGGGCGAGGAGCACAAGGGTTTTGTCGTCATCATGTCGAACTTCAACCACGTAGGTTCCCACGCACTTCACAACATGGTAGATTTTCAACTAACACCCCAACCAGGAACGATGGATGATGGCTGCCATGGTCATGCGCTGGTCCCGCACCGTGCTCGAAGAATGCCTAAAATGGGCGCACCAACGCCTCGTCTTCGGCAAACCCCTCATCGCCCAACCGGTGGTGCGGCAAAAGCTCGGCCGCATGATCGCCCTCGTCGAAGCCAACCAAGCCTGGATCGAGCAAATCACCTTCCAAATGAACGGCATGAGCTACAAGGAGCAGGCCAAGCACCTCTCCGGCCCGATTGGGCTGCTCAAGACCTTCTCCACGCGCAGCGCGCACGAAATTGCGGATAATGCAGTCAATATTTTCGGGGGCCGCGGGGTTACGCAGACGGGCATGGGGCGCGTGGTCGAGGCTTTCCATCGGACGTACAAGTTTGATTCGATTCTCGGGGGTGCGGAGGAGGTGATGGCGGATTTGGGGGTGAGGCAAGCGATGCGCTTCATGCCGAATGCCAAACTGTAGGGGGTGCGGGAATTTCTGGGTCGGGGTAGATTTTTTGTACATGGTTGCATATTGCATTTTCGATTGGTGTTTGACTTAAGGGCTCGGAGCACGCTCCAAATGCGGCACCTTCCGCATTCACGCCGTTGCACATGGCTCTCGTGCGTTGTTAGTACAGCCTTGTGCCACTCCAAAGGTGGGCGGGGATCGGGTGGTGGCGAGTCGCCACGGCAGGTTCAACGTGCGCTGAAGATGGAAATAATTGATTAGTTTGTCTTCTCGATACACTTTAAAGAAGGGAAGAGCGTGATGTCTGCACTGAAAAGATGGTCAACACTCCATAGACACCCGAGAGAGGTCGGGTTTGGCTTCACCAGACCACCCAATCAGGCCTAGCCAGGCACGAGCATGGACCCTCAAATTACATCACTCCGCCAATGCTCTCACGTATCACAATGACCTCAACCTCTGTGCTCACTTTGTCTATTGCCCATTAGTTCCATCTTCCATCTTCTCTGGCAACTGTGTAAACACCTCCAAACTCATCAACAACCACAATGGCTTCCATCCGTGCCATCCGCCCTTTGATCCGTCAGGCGCCGCGAGCGGCCTCGAGGACTCCCGCCATCCAGAAGCGATTCTTGAACATCGAGAATGCGCCTGTCATCTTCTCTTCTCATGCCACTGTGACGGGCGGACGTGCGCAAGGGTGTGTACATATCACTTTTCCTCCGCTACTTCGAAATTGACCCCATCTCCTCAGACACATCGAAGGCGACAACATCAAGCTCGGTGAGTCGGCATCACCCGGCCTCAACTCTATTATTCTCCTCCACTAATACCGCAGACCTCGGCATGCCCAAAGCCCTCGGCGGCGACGGCGCCAAAGCAAACCCGGAAGAGCTCTTCGCCGCCGGCTACGGCTCCTGCTTCCAAAGCGCCATGGGTATCGCCTCGCAGCAAGTGGGCGTCAAGCTGCCGAGCGACACCGACTATTCGATCGAGACGACGGTGCATCTCATCGGGAGCATGAAGGAAGTTGATTTGGGGTTGCGGGTGGAGATGAAGGTCAAGGCGAAGGGAGTCAGCAAGGCGGATTTGGAGAAGGTGATTGCGAAGACGAAGGAGATTTGTCCGTATAGTCGTGCGACGAAGGGGAATGTGGTTACGAATGTGGAGGCGGTAGTGTCGTGATGCTTTGGCTGGACTGAACGGCGTTATAATGGTGAATATTGCAACGAGAAACATCTATCAGGTATTCCTTCCACTTCTACCACCTCACCCTTTCTTCACCGCCTGCAGAGTATAAGTAAGCGGCAATCGATCCTTGTCCTCCTTCAATTCAAACTCTCCTACAACATCATTAGCACTTCCCCCCAGCACCACAATCTCAAAACAACTCACCATTCTCCAGCTTAACCATCTGCCCAGGCAACGCCTCCCACGGTACACTCTGATGCTCCACCAACCCCGTAACCAGCATTCCCACATCCAACAACGCCTGCACAATGGCCCCCAACCCATGATTCCACTCCACCGCCTTACTAGCCTCAAACACCTTCCCCTCCTCCACAGCCACATACGTCGTCCCGTCGTCGAAAAGCATCGGCTCCTCGCGCTCGAAATACGGAAAGCCAATCTGCAGCGCCGACGTGACGCGCTCGTCCATGGCCCACAGAACGGGATGTCCTTCGCGGATGAACAGCCGGCCGCCGGGTTTGAGGAGCGAGTGGACTACGCCCGCCCACCGCGCGATGGACGGGATCCAGCATAAAGCGCCAATACCCGTGAAAACGAGATCGAATCCCCCTTCCGGTAAAACAGTCAGCGCTTCATAAATCGGCGCTTCGACGAAGGTTAACTTCTCCCCTCCGCTTCCCTGCGTAGCAGCTGCGAGGCGTCGCGCTTCAGCCAGAGAAGCAGGCGAGAAGTCCAGTCCTGTGACGCTTTTGGCTCCGCGGCGGGCGAGCGAGAGCGTGTCGGTGCCGATGTGGCATTGCAGGTGCACGATGGCGAGATTCTCGATGCTGCCTAGGAGGGGGATGTCGAAGGTTACGACGTCGGAGAGGAGGGTGGGTTGCGCGATGAGGGCTTTGTAGGCGTAGTCGGGGGATTTGGCGTGCTTTTCTATCGTGTTAGTACTTTGCGGGTGGCACGATTGGCTGCATTTACCTCTGGCGCTCGCTCGTCCCAGTTGCGTTTGTTGACGGCGATGTAGTCGTGTTCGGCCATTGCTTGCTTGATTCCCTACCGTGTATAATTTAGCTTCTTCCCGGCTGGTTGTCTTCTTTTTAGTTTGTCTAGATGCTCAATCAGATTTCCGAGTCTTTTATAAATTCCCCCATTGTATCGAGTCATACCAATCCTCAATCCGAGACGAGACACCGCCCGGCGGCGCGCACTAGAAAAACGCCACGACGGGCAAGATTGATGAAGCTCGGCTGGATGCAACGCCGCCGCAAAGCGCACAACAATGAACATCTATCCATTCTAATGTATCTATAAGGTATCATCTAACATGTAGCACAGGGTATCACAGAAAAAGACAAAGACTTGCTTCAAACCCCCACCAACCTCCAAATCCTCGTCGGCAAGAAGAACTCGCGCACCACACGTCCGCACTACTGGAACATGCCGCCTCCGCCACCGCACAGCTCGCACCGCTGGCGACGGTTTCCATGATAATGATCCAAATGATCTTGGCCGTCTAGTCGCTCCCCAGCGACGGGGACACTGCCAAGCCACGCATCACCGCCCTCCGCGCCAACCTTTGCATGCTCGCGCAGTTCGCGCGCAATGGCTTCCACCTCCGCCTCAACACCTAGATACCGACGGAGGAAAACGCCGATATCAGTATTCTCGCGATTCCCCGTGAGATTGGCAGCAACCTCGCGGTCCGAAGCGTAAATATTGACGTCCGCCGCGCTGTGGCCGTGCGTGCTCCAGCCCAGCTGCGCCCGGCGGGAAATCATGTCGGCGAACGTGTACGTTGCGTGAGCGGGGTGGTGAATCAGCTGGTCGAGTTCTGCATCAGCGCAGTCCCAGATGCCCAGGTCTTCGCGGGCGAGGGCGAGCAGGTAGTCTTTGAGCATGGGCACGTCGGGGTCGTGTCCGTGGGGTTGGCGCGTGGACATTTGCGAGTGGTATTTGTATGAGGCGTAGTGTGCTGAGTGGCTTGCGTTTGCGAGGACGGAGGGGAGCCAGAGGTATTTGGGGTAGACGGGGGTGAGTTGCTTTGCCACTGCGAGGCCGCCTGTTTCGTGGTCGGAGGTGCTGATCATTAATGTTGGTGTGCCGGTTGCTTTTTGATCTGCTTCGATGAAGTCGATGACGGCGCGCATCGCTCGGTCGTATGCCTGGACTTCGTGCACTTGTGCCGCTGGGTCGTTGGCGTGGCCTGCGTGATCGATTCGCGAGCCTTCAATCATGATGAAGAAGCCTTGTTCTTTGTGCTTGGTGGCAGTCGACAAAGCGTGCAGTGCCGTCTTGGTCATCTCCTCCAGCGAAGGGTACACAGCCGCTTCATGCCGGCGGTCAATCTCGTACGGCAAGTCCTCATCAGCGAACAGCGCCATGAGCGGGAGGTCCACGTTCTTGCCCAAACGGTTGAACTCCCGCTTATTGTCCAAATAACTCCAGCCCAAATTCCTCGCCACATCAACAACATTCCGCCCATCATGCCGACAGCTGCCCTCGGTGGTATTAGGCAAGAAATGACAACGCCCCCCACCCATCATCAAATCCACCACGCGGCCAAGCGGATGCGTCTCGCCGACCATCTGCAGCGCAATCGAGTCCTCCATCGCTCTGCTACGAGCATGGGCGGCAAAGACGGCGGGCGTGGCGTCGGTGATTCTAGTCGTGACGACCAGGCCCGTCGTGTAGCCCGCGCGCTTCGCGGCTTCCATGACGCTCGCGCAGGGCTCGAAGTCGGGCAGGATGGAGATGGCGCCGTTGTAGCTTTTGCTGCCGCACGAGAAGGCCGTGGCGCCTGCTGCCGAGTCTGTGACGAGGGAATTGCTGGAGCGTGTGCGGCTCTGGCCGATTAGGTAGTTGTCGAGGAAAAGGGTGCGGTCGTATGGAGCATGGTCTGTGATTTGTTTCCAGCTTCGCGTGAGGGAAAGACTCGAAGGACCCATTCCGTCGGAAACCATGAAGATCAGATTGCGTTTTCCACCGGCATGTGGAGGGTCGTGGGGTATTGTTCGTCCGACTCCGGAGTGCTGGTAGACGACGGCAAGGACAATGACGGCCGCGCTCGCCACCACAGCCCAGACAAAGAGTCCTATCTCCCGCCATTTGCTCCTAGCCAGAGCACTGGGCGGTGGACTCGGCTTCCCCGTTGGCTGCCCGGTGAGGAGGGCATGGTCCTCTTCTATTGCATGCTCGGCTTCATTCTCGTCGGATGATCGGGGGCCCCGTTGCTGCGAGATGGCCGGTGCGGTCATGAGCGGGACTGGCTCTGAGATGCCCTGCGCCTTTCACTGCAATTAGGGCACTGAGGAGATGAAGTGAGTAGGATTAATAAGAGTTAGGTAGAATAGGAGAGTGAGATGCCGTTAGGCTAGAAGTCGAGCAGGAATAAAAGTAGAAGAGAGTGGGGTGGGAATGGAAGAGAGGATGTTTTGAGGTCTGGATTCCTTTGATACACGTTTCGGACGCTGGCTTGGTACGGCAGGAGCCTTGCTACCGTACCGACGAATGAGATAAGCTTAATGCCACATGTGGTTGTTACGATTGAGGAAGGAGGAGTTGGAGAGGAAGGAGGAGTTGGAGAGGAAGGAGGGCAGAGTAGTAAGGTAATGGTCAAAACTGCATTCATCATAAAGAGTGTCCCGTGTCATTCATCAAGCCATCCCATAAATTCTATCTCTCCCCATCTCATCGTTAAAGGGCTGCTCGTTAGTCGTGTTCGCCATAGCACCACCACCAAGAAGAAGAGGAAAAGCCACGTGCAGTGCAAGTCGTCTCTCATCGAATCCAATCCCATCCAGATCCATCCCGTCCTCGTTGTCCCATGAGTGAGAGAGCAGCAGCGAAGGAGAGACTATCTCATCGCGCTCCTACTCCTTCCCCCATCATATCTCTGCTCATACCTCTCCTCATCTTCATGTGCCCTCTCCTTCTTCTCCGCCGTCCAGTGCCTCCACTTCGTCTCTGCCGCATTGGCCGCAACGGCACCCACGATTGTTCCGAGCAGGATATCGCGATTCTTGTGGCGAGGGTTGCGGTCTCCGAAATGCCTGCCCGCCATGCCGCCCACCACCGCACCGGCTATGCCCACGCCGATGCCCTGCAGCGAAGTGTCAAAGTGCTCGCCCACTTTCTTCTGGAAGCCGCGTTCTCCCCGACTGCGCGAGCGCGAGCGGGAATACGAGCGGTCGCGCGAATCGTCGCGGCGGCCGCGAGATGCACCGCGCGAGCGTGAGCGGCGCCCGCCGGAGGAATAGTAGTCGTCATCTTGGCCGCGACGATTGTACTGCGCCACAGCACCGGGGCCGTAAGGGTCGTTGCTGCGGAAGCTTTGGCGACGCTGGTCAAAATCACGGGCGGGCTGGAGAGAGAACATTCAGCGAATGGGTTCCTTATCACACAAAGGGACATGGCAGAGCGCGCGCACGACTAAAGCCTGACTTACACCCTTGTACCTCTCCGTCTCGATGACCTCGCGTTCGTACGGTCGATTGTCCTGCTCGTAACCATCGTCGTATCCGCGATCATTCCCCCGGCCGTTGGAGCGTCGGGCGTGGGCGTAGCGGTCGTCGTAATCACTGCCGTATTCGTCGTCATCGTCGTAGTACCGCGATCTCGGCGGCTGGGCCGAGTTGGCGCGTTGCTGCTGGGACTGCGGCGCGAGGCCGCCGTTGGCAGTCGACATTCTGGTGTTGGGGATGGTATGTGTTTGGCGAAGGAGAGGATCGGGAAGGTCGGTTTCCGGGGTGGGGAGAGAGTTTTTGTGTTGCCGGCGCTTACCAGCAGGCGATGAGCGGTCGGAGGCCGAGTCGTCAGACGAGCGGGGAGGTGGGGGGTTGGGCGCAGTGTTTTCGTCGGGCGCGACAGCGGGTGCAGGCGGAAGCGGAGGGGTGTGGATGACGCCCTTGCGGTGTAGGGTGCGATGGACGGCGTGGTATCCGCGGTCCCAGTGCTTGTCGATGAGATGATTGATGCCCTCAACTCCCAACTCGACAAAGTGCTCGGCGGGCATGGGAGGCGGCAGGCCTGCTGGGCCTTTTATGGAAGGGGGGAGCTGGCGTGGATTACGTGAGGGATTAGTGGGGCGTGCGTGATCGCTGCACCTCCCGCCACCGCCTTTCCTTTCCCCAACCACACTCGACGGAACTCCAATATTCTCCGGCGGGGTCCGGGTTTCCGTGGTTCGTGGCGGGCTTGACAGAAGTATCCTTGTTTGGTGGGGAGCAAGGGTACGGATGTTGATGCAGGCGCCTGGTCGTCTTTTGATGTGTGCATGTGTTGCTGCCCGGCCACTCTGGAGCCCTTCACTTGGCTGTAGGACATGCGAATGAACCACCTTGGCGCACGTCACATTGCTTTTGCTGCGCCGTCATGTGGACTGGTGCCGTTTCACATCACTTGGTGCACTGGGCGTCAGAGCCATCAGGCTTGCATTCAGGTATGGAAGGGCGGCTCTCAGTCGAAGATGACTGATATCATATCTCATTGACACTACAGACTGCCCACCCTCGCTTGCTAAATGCATCAAATACTGCAGAGGCGCTGTAGATACTGCCATGTCAGTCCCCTCATCACCGTCACCCGAATCCTCGCCTGCCCACCGTGCGCCATCACATGACCTCAAACACTCCTCTCAGGTTTGCGCGCGTAAACAAGGGGCCTACGAAATGAATGTCAGCCATTCTTCTCATCATCTTCTCAAAGCAGACTTACGCGTAATGATAGACATGCTGCTTGCGATCCTTCAGCGCCTCATGCACCGTCTTCACCCACTCATCCACTCGTTCTTTCGTCCACTGCATTCATCAACAATCAGCCATTCAAACTCTCTCTCCTCTTTCATAGCGGAACTCACCCCCAACACATTCGTAAAGAGATGCATCGCCCACCCCTCCACCCCCTGCTCCCAATTCACCACATTCCAATACCCAATCTTCTTATGCAGCGCATCCCGACTCCACGTCCCAATCGGCCACTTGTACCGCTTCAACGTGACATCCTCAAACCCCGCCTCGCGAATCAACTCAAACATCTGCTCCGCAATCTCCGCCGTCGTCCCATTGCGCTCGCCCGCCTCTTTCGCGTACGCAGACCACTTGGCCAGCACCGCGTCGGGCGCCAGCGTGCCGTCGTCGGAGCGGTTGTGCACGCTGAACTCCATCTGCTCAATGTACCCGCCGGGCTTCAGGTGGCGGAAGATTTCGGCGTAGAGAGCCGGCCAGTCGGCCACGCTGCCGAAGAGGCCGCGGATGTGGATGAGGTCGTAGGATTCCTCGCCGTCGCCGTACCCTACCCACGGGCTGAGCACGTCGTCTTGGATGAATTCTACGTTGAGGGGTTGGGAGCGCTCGGGCTGCGGGGAGATGTCGACGCCGCTGTGCATTTGAGGGTTAGCATGTTTCTGGAACGTCCGACGACTTACGCCTTGGTGGGAGGGTCGATGTTACGTGATTTGCGCGTTGGGGAATTTGTCGGCCATGTCTCTGCTTGTTGCGTTAGTGGGGACACGACAAAGATGAGGGAAAATGGAGACGTACACGGCCCACAGCCCTCTTCCCGTTCCTTGATGGCAAGTCAACAGACGCGTTCATCGATTCGGCCAACGGAGAATGGCGTTTACAACTCACCAATATCGAGGACACGTTGCGGGTTCTCAACAGGCGCAAGAAACAGACGGTCCTCCATGGTCAAAAGACATAAGTGGTGCCTGTTGCGCGTCAATGATCGCAGTCACTCATCGGCGTCAACGATGGGCATACACAATGTTTTCATGATTCAGCATTCGAAGATCGTTCGGGCCCCAGTATTGAAACTCGCCTGCCGAGTCGTCAGCTTGCATCCATATCCCTGCGTGCTTTGAAGAGGAAGGCGTACGATATGCGGAGTAGGTCCGGCCATTCTCGTACCGATATCGCGTCGCCGCCGAGTTCAGGGAGTAAGTCGTGCTTAGGTGACATTAGCGAGATGGTCGAAGGGCGTAAGGGACGAGAACAGCTTTCGTAAAGGTAGAGCAGCAAACTGACCCTTCTTGAGAATCACGATCCGAATCCTAGCATCCCAGATCAGTCATGCCTCCCCGCCAGGAAACACACACGAGGCACTCACAATGTGCAGACTCGCCGTCTCTCGCGCGTCCATTGACGAGGTGATTGTTGAAGAAGAGAGAGAAGGAAGTTGCAAAAAGAGGGGATCACTAAACGAAACCCAGTGTGCGGTTTGCAAGTGCCACGTGCAGGAACCCACTCGACGTTGCTAGCGTCCGACCCGAAACCATGGCACACCTCGTAATGTTAGTGCGGGGGAGGGAGAAGGCTGGCTGAAGAAGAAAGGCATCATTGGCGCTCGCTCGCTCGCCGGAAGAAGGAAGTTGCAACGCGGTAAGAAGGCCAGGTGAGATGGGGAGGTAGGCAGGGTCCACAGGGCCAAGGCGAATCCTTCCACGATCATCACGATCGCATTCGCATGTCTGTCGTCCCTTATTCCAAATGTCTGGCCAGCACTCTTCGCCAAGTACCGAGCGGTCTCCGCAGCTTGCTTACCAGAAATTTACTACAATGTGCGACGAACGAAGCTGGCATCACTCCGTGCAGACCCGAAGAGCCGGGTCACAACCATACGAGGTGCATACTGCAGTACATTGGCGACCCCACCCATCCACCAGAGCCAGGCGCGCGGGACCAGCGCAGAGCAAAAGAAACAGAGCTTCACCCTTGCAATGCCTGGTTTCAGGTAATACAACGAAAAAACACCCGCCACGGCGAGAAAGGTCGGCGAGAACGAACGTGTGCCCTTTGACAGCGTCGATCCCTGGCTGGTAATTGGATGATGGGACAGCAAAGCCGTGCATGTTCCTCTCGTGAGGTACCGACGGCTTGGTTCCGGGTGCAACTACTGTACTGCGGGGTCCAAGGCTTCCCCTCTCCCAGTCCGCTGGGATGTTGCATCGAAAGGCTGAGATGTGTGCGTGAAGGACGGCTCGTGGTGTTGGCGTGGGATGCCATTGGGCTTCATTGAAGCGAATCCCAATCCCGTCGTCGTGTGATTGCCAGCTCTCAGACATGCACATCAAATTGTCATACGAGTCTCAAGACATCGATCGAGTGATGGACCTTGATTATCTCGCGCATACCTACGTAATGATAGGCAGGCGCAGCAGCTGGAGGTCGATCGCAGCATCGCAGCACAGCGACAATCACCTGACCGACAATTCCATATTCCATCCTTGCCAACCAGCCAGCATCGATCAATCGTATTCACGTCAAGCACGTCAAGCAAACGTACTGTCATTCCTTACCTGACTCGAACCCGAGCATAAGAAAAACACAAACAGACGAATGTGCAGCTTCATACTTCACGTCCAGACTACCTCACTCCCAACCCCTTCCCTCCCACAAGCGTGGAAAAGAGGAGAAAGGCGAAGAGCTAACTACATACAGCGCCTACTTGGTACTCACCATTGTAAACCGCATAACTGCCACGGGGGACATCGGGGGAAGCTGTGTGCACCGCAACGTTCCCCAGGACGTGGGATGAATCTCAACCACGCCGTGCACCGCATCCTCGTCTAATAAGCCATTCTGTGTTTGTCGTTGATTAAGGAAAGACCCTCCCGTGAATACCCCGGGAGAGACGAACGCTTGATTCGTGTCAAAAAAAGCAAATACTCGCTCCTTTTTTTTTTTCGTAACGCCATGCCCGCGTTGGAATGGATCAGGGGAGTGAAGTGATTAGCCCGCCTGTCGCTGTTGGATAGTAAATCGAGGCGTGAGAGCCTGTAGTGAGAAGAAAAGACTTTTGGAGGCAGTCGGAGGGGGCGTATGTTGATGCTCCGCTGCTGCTGGCAAGGCTGATGACAAAGCAAGTCGGCAGCGGTCGGGCGCCAACGTCACCTATCCCTCAGCGATGCTGACTCGTAGACTGAGCCGGCTCTTCAGCAACCGGCGACGGCGAGCGAACAGTGCCACTCTTCATCGCCTCGCGCTGCGGCAGAGTATCCGTCCCAGGATCGCTGGCGAGCACAGAGTCGATATGCGCCTGCGGGACCATGGGACGAGGCGACGACGACAACGTCGACTCCAGCTCGTGCTGCTCGCGCTGCCGCTGCATCTGGTCTTCCTCGTCGCTGCTGCCGCCCGCGGAATCTTCATGCCCGTCGGCACCCCGCGCGCGAATGGCGTTGCTGTCCATGCTCTCCCGGCGGAGCCTATCCGCCTTATCCTTCAGGAAGCGAGCCTCTTCAGCCGCCCTCTGCGCGCGCACCTGCTTCTTCCACATCCCTGCGTAGCGCCCCTTGAGCCCCAGCAGCTCGGCGTGCGTGCCCTTCTCGACGACGCGCCCGTCGTTCAACACCAGGATTTGGTCGCACATGGTGATGGTGCTCAGGCGATGTGCTATTATCAGCATCGTGCGTCCGCGGGAGAGGGTGCGCAGCGCTTCTTGGATGTGCTCTTCCGTCTCCGTGTCCAAAGCGGCGGTCGCTTCGTCCAGCAGGATGATGCGGGGGTCTTTGATGATGGTGCGTGCAATGGCCACTCGCTGCTTCTCCCCTCCAGACAGACGAAGGCCACGCTCGCCGACCTTCGTCTCGTAGCCATCCGGGAAGGTCATGATCTTATCATGGATGCTGGCTGCCTTGCAAGCGGCATAGATTTCCTCGTCAGTTGCAGACTGCCGGGCGTACTTGAGATTGTACATTAGCGTCTCGTTGAACAGCACAGTGTCTTGCGGCACCACGCCGATGTGAGAACGCAAGCTGTCGATCGTGATGCTCTCGACATCATGAGCGTCGACCTGGATGTTGCCGGATGTGACATTGTAGAAGCGGAACAGCAGGCGGAAAACGGTGGACTTGCCTCCACCCGATTCTCCCACAAGAGCAGTCGAAGTGCCCGGTTTGCAACGAAAGGTCAGACCCTTCAATGCCGGCTTCCTCGAGTCGTATGCAAAGTGCACGTCGTTAAAGCGCACCTCGCCTTCACAGGAGGGAATCTTGGCAGCGTCAGGTTTGTCGACCACGGTGGGGTTCTCCTTGAACAGCTCCAGCATGCGTTCCGAATTGATCATGTTATTCTGGATCATGCGGTAAAAGGTGCCGAAGAAGTTGAGCGGGCCCTGCAACTGCGCCATGTACGTCAAGAGAGTGGTGAAGGCACCCACTCTAAGGATGCCGACCGTCACTTGGTATGCGGCGATGAAGCTGGCCACGATCAAGCCCAGCATGAAGACCAGGTTCTGGATGGTGTTCATCAGGGCCAACGATAGGGTGACCTGGTACTCGGCCGTCTGGTATTTCTTCACCGCATCACGGTATCGATTGAACTCGTACGCCTCCGCATTGAAGTACTTAACCGTCTCATAGGAAACCATCGAGTCGTTCTTGACCGCATCCTCCTCTCGGCTGGCATTGGTGGCCTCTCGTCGGATGACGGCGCGCCATGCAGCCATGCGGATGGTGATGTAGATGTACCAGAACGTCACCACGGCAATGACGAGGGCGTAGTAGGCGTCGAATTTGATCAAAAAGTAGACGATGGCCACACCCAGGTCGACCAGCATCGGCACCACATTGAACGTCACCGATTCCAGGAAGGTGTTGAGTGACGCGCCTTTCCCGAGTGCAGACAGCACCTCGCCGGTTTTCTTGCCGAGATGAAAGTCCAGGCTGAGGGAGTGGACGTGTTCAAACGCAGCAATGGAAAGCTCGCGGTAGGAGTACTGCTCGATGGGGATCCACAGGACCTGTCGCGTGGCTCCCAGAAGACCGTTGCCTCCCTGGAAGAGGCGATAGGTGACGTAGACGGTGATGCCTATCCAAGGCATGTACACGGGGCCATCGATGCCGGCAAGAATGTCGGTGATGATGCCGACCTGGATGGGAACGAGCAGCTGGATGGCGCGCTGCACGAGGACAATGGCGATACAGATGACGAAGTTGACCTGTAGCCGGCGACTCTTAGACGGCCAGATGTACGGGATAAAGACGGCGTACGCGCGGATGTATTCCCACCAGCTGCGAGTCGGGGTTTCCTTGGGCTTCTCCCAGCCGGCCGGGGTCTCGTCGGTATTGCTCGGTTTCCCATTCGTGCCGTATGTCTGGTTCTGACCCTCGCCGCTCGCTGCACCCGTTGCTGACCCGTTTGCTGTTGCGTGACTCTCCTCGAGCAAGCCAGTTTGCTCGTCCGCCGAGTCCTGCGAGTCCTTGCGTTTCTTCGGCTGCAAAATATGGGCAAAGAGGACGTAGAAGGCGATGAGGGCGAGGAGGAGGAAGATGCGGACAATGTCGATCATGACTTCGACAATCTCCCACTGGGTCATATTGGTATGTAACCGCCCATCTCCTGCATCGGCCGCCTTGGGCTCTCGATGTGCGTTGGTGTAGAGGGCGAAGGAGGCTCCGAGGAGTATCAACTCCAACACCAATCCGACGATCCAGGTGACGAGGTGGGCGACGGTGGGTGAAGGACCAGTGTCGATCATGGCAATGGTGAGGAGGATGTACACCATGAAGGAACCGATCAGATAGATCTGGCAGGGTCAACTTGTCTTCTCATTTTCGTGTGTGGCTAACTGGAACACTCACAGTCGGAGCTTCGCCGCACCACCAATGGTCCTCGCGGGAATAGATGGCGTGGACGATAATCACGATGATGTTGCCGAGGAAGGTGAAGAGCACGGCGACCGAGAGCCATTGCAACAGCAGCTTGCGAGGCTTGCCCCAGCCCAGCAAGTCTTCTGTGTCATTCTCCTCTTTCTTCTTCTTATTGTGTGCTTTCTTTGGGAGAGGCTTCCCTCCGGGGCTGTTGAGGGGTGGTCAGTGACATGGGTGCTGGCCATGAGTGAGACTACAACTCACCCCAGAACTTCCTTCTCCGGACGCGAATTAGTATTACTGGCGGTGAGGATGCTGAAGGCGGTAAAGGCAATGAGGTAGACGAAAAGAAGGATGATGGGCGAAGCGACTTGGGTGTAGGACAGCATGCGTTGGGCGGTGGCCGCAGAGGCCCAAGGCAGCGTCGAAGAGGCGTGATCCATGGCGGGCGAGTCGGGAGAGTAGTCGCGAAGGCGAAGAGGCCGGCGGTTCACAAAAAGCCACCCACGCGAGGCCAGTAGCGACTGTGGTGGGGAAAGAGCTGGGAAGAGGAGCAGCGGCTACTGGTTAACGGTAGGCCGCGTCCATCTGGTGCTGCAGGCAACTCGATGGATGGAAGAGGTGGGGAGGAGGGAAAGAGGAAGAGGGGCGGGAGGAGGGCGTGTGATGAAGAGGCGCAAGAGCAGGGCGGAGGGAAGGAGCAGTGCGGAGGGAGGGTGAGGTGCGATGCCGCTGCTGGCTCTGCGTGAAGAGCAGTCGATGCAGCACATCACCTCACGCCGATCAGTCGAGGCAGGCACGGCGTGACGAAAGACCGAGCGAGCCTCCAGCCAGCCAAACCAGCGTCCCGCAGTGCCCGCCTTCCTAAAGCAGCAGGCGTCGATCGGATTAGATGCGGTCGGTCCGATTCGGCCGAGTCCCCCTCCCTCCTCCACCACCACGGAACTCTCCGCTCTTCCTCCTCTCCCTCTGCTCACGTCTCTCTTTGCTGGTGAAGCAACACCTGCGCTCAGGCCGGCATGTGGCAGTGAGTGTGTTGTCCGGAACACATGTAGGGCTACACGACGCCGCCTTTATTTCCGCCCGCCGCGCGCTGGTCTTGGTGAATTCCTCCAACATGCCCCGCCTGACCGCTCTGCTCCATGCCTGCTTCCTTCTCCCGTGCCTTCCCCCGAGTGTGCACGCCGCAGGACACGCGTCTGCACACAAACATGCATTCACCGACCAACCGCGGCTTTCTGCCGCCGGTCCTCAGCAGCTTCTATTCCCCTCTTCCAACCAGGTGCCAGCGGAGCCAAAGGACGCCACAGCTCTCGCATTGCCCTTTGACCCCCTGCAAGAACTCCGCACGGCTCTGAGTTTCATGCAGAGCGAGTACTTTGCGGTATGGCTTGGTACATGGCCGTCGGGGATCGATTGGACTCGAGCCGTCTTCAATACCCATCTCGCCGCTACCACCAATTCTCTGAGCCGCGCTCTACACGCTTCCTCCCGTTATGGCCGTCGCGTGGAAGACACGGGAATACTTGATGATGAAATCAATCGATATTTTACACATAATGTAGGTCTCTGCGAGATTGCTGTCGTCTTGCCGGCAGTGGCATGCCACCGTCAACATTGAAGCTTTTGACGCCGAGTTCATCCACTCTTCTTCACACATGCCTTGTTGTATTGTATTTGGCCTCATCATATAGTCACCATCTCCTCTCACCAGCATCACTCGAGGGTCATATAACAACTGCTGACCTGCGGCTGCACGCACAGGTGGCGTATTACTTTGGAGAAGACGCGTTCGCCATCCGCTACCAAGCCTTTGATGACATACTTTGGGTCGTACTGGGCTGGCTCGACAGCATCAACTTCATCCGCACCCACTCCGCTCTCCATTCCCGCTGCCCTCACATGACCGATGGAGACGATTTCGAACGAGTCGCTTGGCACGGGGAGCAGTTCATCCACGCCTTTGCCCATCGAGCTCGCGTCTTCTGGGAACTGACTACCGTCGGCTGGGATACGAAGCTCTGTGGCGGAGGGATGGTGTGGAACCCCCGCCTCGGCCCTTACAAGAACGCCATTACCAATCAACTCTTTATCACGGCATCCGTTAGCATGTATCTCTATTTCCCCGGGGATAACAATACTTCGCCGTATATGGTGCACACGCTTAACGACAGGCTCGGCCGATTCGACGCGGAGTTCCTGAATGCTGCCATCAAAGGCTATGACTGGCTGAAGGACGTGGGAATGACCAACGATCAAGGGCTGTATGTGGATGGCTTTCATGTCCGCAATTGGAAGAACGGCGGAACAAAGTGTAATGACCGTAACGAGATGGTGTACACCTACAACCAAGGCGTGATTCTCTCCGGCCTCCGAGGGCTATGGGAGAGCACCGGCAACAACTCTTACCTCGAGGACGCCCACGAGCTTGTGCGAAACGTAATGAAGGCGACCGGATGGCACGCAAACGACAACATGCCTTCCGACAGCAACCAATGGGCTGGTCTAGGGCGGCGAGGGATCTTGGAAGACGCATGCGACTCGAGCGGGAGCTGCAACCAAGACGGCCAAACGTTCAAGGGCATCTTCATGCATCACCTCTCTCTGCTATGCGAACCTTTGCCTTTGCGCCCCAGGGTACCGGGCAAGACGTACTGTGCAGACAAGCAGACCGCTTTCCTGCATCGTCAGAGTTGCAAGCAGTACTCTCACTGGGTCGCGCATAACGCGCAAGCTGCTCTGTGGAGTCGGGACGAGAAGGGCAGGTTTGGTGCTTGGTGGGGCGTGAGGGACACTGACGCTGTGGCGGCCACACAACTTCCGCCCAGAGCGATCGACTATCGAAACGACCCGGATGCGCTGCAGGAAGAGCTATGGCTGAACACAAAGGATAGCGATTGGATGGAATCCATCGACCAGCAGCTCGGCGAGAACTTCCAACCCCGAACAAACTTCCCTGCAACCCAGCTTCCGGCATCAAACCACGAACAAAAGCCCAATACCCAAGGCGTCAACGACCGCGGCCGAGGCCGCACAGTAGAAACCCAAAGCGGCGGCGTCGCAGTCCTCAACGCCCTTTGGCGACTGCTGAACAATGGTGGATGAGCCGCGTGCATTCCTCGGCTAGCAGGGACAGGAATGCAGCCGCTTTCGGAACAACGTCTTTGTCTCGACTCATCTCCAATGAGGCTGCACTGAGAACAAAGCAGTTCTCTCCACAAGTCGTCGATGGACATGGCGACGGGGCGGTCGTTTCATGTTGTTGTCTATCTACGGACTCGACGTACGGATGATTAGCCCGCGGTTTCTCTTGTCGTACTCCAAGACCCTCGGAAAACACCTCAGATCCACCAAACCGCTCCGAAAAGAACTCAAACCCACCATAGAGCCCCAAAGAGAACTCCAACCCACCGAAGAGCTCCGAAGAGAACGCAAACCCTCCAAAGACGTCCGAAGAGACCTCAACCGCAACCAAAAGCAGGGCGAAGCCACGAGAAAGAAGCTCACATCTCCACCTCCGTCTCCAAAACCCAAAAAGCACGATGAGTAAACGCTACGCCGACATCGCGCCCAGCATCGAAAGGGAGCGCGGGAGAAGTTCGACGAAGCAGAAGGTGTCGGCTCGTTCGCGGGACTTTCGGCGCAGTCCGGCGCCTAGTCCGCCTAGTCGGGAAGAGAGGATGCGGGATCGGGAGACGAGGGCTGCTGGGGGTTCGAAGTCGTCGAGTAAGAGGTAGGGGGTGTTGGGTGGTCCTTTTGAGATGTTGCGGTACGGAGATGGGTGTAGACTGTAGGGTTGTTGGGAAGGAGGGGTTGTGCATGACGGAGGTAGTCGTATAGAATGTATAGACGGGGTTCAATAATTGGTTCACGTGAGGTTGTCGCGTCCCGTGAAGTGAACGTAGTACGCCCTCCAGGATCCGCTCTCACTTTGGCAATGAGAGGTAGGAGCACAGTGAAACACATCTGAGAGGAGAGAGCTTCGATTCAACTACTACTCGACCTGGGAAACAAGCATCCAGTCACAATCCTACCAGCTCCTCTCCAACCACGCACCACAATGCCACACACACAGACACAGTGCATCCCCGTCCGTCGGAATTCCCTTCGAAACTCCTATAGTCGCCCTTGCAGACTCCTAAAAGAACTCCTTCATCTTCTCCATCGACCAGGTGTCGAGAACTTCATCGTCACGATCAACCGGCACGTACCCCTCGAAGCGCAGCTCGGTGTTACGATAGTGGTCCCCGTGGCGGCCCAGCGTCTCCTTTGCGGAGTCGAGCAAGTCGCCGATGGTGATGCCTTCGTCGACAAACACCTCGGAGTCGCACATCTTCTGGTAGTCGTAGCTGTAGACGTTGCAGCAGGACACGTACGCCTTGACGCTGGTGGGAGGGGGTTGGCAGATGAACCTGTTGGTGACGGGGGGTTGTTAGCACGCGCCGTGAAATGGGAATGAGGGTGAGGTGAGGTGGCGTTGGCTGGCTTACATCTTGCGCCACGCGGACCCGATCTCAGTAGGCAAGGCTTCGACTTCGCCTTCCTCGTCGCTCAGGATGAACTTGGCTTTGACGAGGAGCACGTTGCCCATGGGCACCATACGCGCGCGGTACTCATTAGGATCAGGCTCGCAGACGAAGCCGCCGACGAAGTTGAGGCACGACGCGAAAGGCGCGTAGAACTCCTTCGAATCATCCCAGGCAGTAGGCGCGTCGACGAGCGACAGTTTCTCCTTGATGTAGGGCGATATGTCGATGGTGCGGCGAATGAGGGTATTGACGCGGCTCATGGCCACGATGTCGGGGATGTCGAGGTACAAGACGATCTCCTGGACAAGCTCGGGGATGCTAAAAACCTTCTGGGCAGCGGTGCGGCCGTCGTCGCGGTCTGCTTCGACGTGGTACCTGCGGTTGATGTTGGCGGTGAGGAAGGGCGCCACGCCCTCAGCGTGCGATACGGCCGACTTGACCATGGCGTAGAGCTGCATGGGACTGACATCGCCACGCTTGAGGCCCTTTTTGAGGCGCTGGAGGTCGGAGTTCAGCGCTTTGTGGTGACCGACGGTGACGCGACTGATGTGCTTTCCCTGGCGAGGAACAACGACGCCCTTCTTGGAGGAGGCGGCGATGGCCTTGGGATGCGTGACAGGCATCTTGTTGATGGGTGGATTGATGAAAGGGTGATGAGTGTTGAAGGGAGAAGGATGAAGAGACGGCGAGACCTCAACAGTCGCGTGAGAACGGTGTTTGTAGAAGTGAAAAAGCGTTACGTGGCACAGTGTTGTTACTAGGGGAGACCGGAGAGGGTCCTGCAGAGGGAAATAAGCATGTTGGACGTCATGGGAAACAAGTCACACTCACGTGATTACGTCCAACGGGAACATCATCACTCCAACACCACTTCCTCCCATTTTTCAATTGCTCAAAGTCTTTTCACGGCGACATGTCAATGTCCAAGATCGTGCCGATCGAGTCCTTGCTGTTGAATATTGCATTCCATTTCGATATCTCTCTGTAAATCCTGGTTGCCCGGCGAGGCCTCTCATCGATGGCGTGGCCATCCTCCACCGATTTGAAGACTTTGTGTCCACGTCCAGACTCCCATACCAGCCAGTCAATGTTGAGCATCGAGGCATAGACCCGGACATTCAATCGCGTCGGCCGCAAAAATCTGCAAAGAGGATGCGAAGAGCTGGTCTTCGGGCTTCACCACGCGACTGCCCCAAATCCTTTGTACTAGCACGCACCGGCCTTCTCAATGCTCGACCAGGGGCACAGCAAGTCCTGATTCATTCTCCACTCGACATTCTCAAGATCCTCGACTCTCAAACCAATCTCAAGTATACCCCAGCGTAACTCGCACACCATAAGCCCCAATCCTCCGCTTGCCAGCGCGCAACGCATGCGCCGTATTCGCCTTCACCGTCCCGCGAATCATATGCGTCGGCGCCTTCTTCGTCGTCCCGCGAATAGCCCCCTTGCCATCCGCCCGATTGGCAGTGATACGCGGCGACAACCGGCCCGCCGTCTTGGCCGCCACCGAGCTGACCTGGCTCAGTGTCAAACCCTTCAACACCCCCGTGACGGACTCCACGACGCCACCGTGCGTCAGTTTGGCGAGTGTTAATGGGTCGCGCGCCTGCTCTACTTCGCGCGCGTACCGGTCTCGCTCTTTGCGGATTAGTTGCTCGGCGGTGGGGAGTTCTGCTTTCCAGGCTGCGTCGCGCACGATTCGGCGGGGGAGAGCTCTGCGGTCGCGGAGTTTTTGGACCATGTATTGGGCTAGGATGTCCGGGTCGTGATGGGGTAATTTGACCGGGACAAGGTTGAGATGTACGGGTTTACCGTATGTGCGGGAGAGAAGGGAGGTGAGGCCGCGTTGATGGGTGGGGTCGAGGAAAGGGGCGCGTGTCGGGGCACGACGAGCTGCGCCTGCTGCTGCGGATGCCATTGTGTTGCTCCTCTCTTGGTGTGTAGCGAATGGAGTGTGAGGGAAGGGAGGGAGAGGAGGGAGGGATGAAGTCGTGATGCCGAGACGGGAGCTGGAATGAAAAATCTCGCCGAACTTTCCCCGAGCTCCAATGCTTCCTCACTCCATCTATTCCACCCATCTCACCTCTACCACCCCCCTCTGCATCTCCCAATTCCATCTCCAGCCATGGCGACGTGTCCACGATGCGCTCTCCGCGCCATACGCATCCCCAAGAAAACCCGCCCCACGCCCACCCGTACCTTCCACACCTCCCCAACCCACCACCGCCTCGGAGCCTTCACCTACGCCCAAGAATGGCAAACAGGAAGCTACCACTACAACAAAGCGCTGACCAAAACCCTCCCCACGGCCTCGCAACGCACCGACGACCTGCTCCAAAACTACGCCACGCAATTCGCGCGCAGCTCGCACGCCGACCCGTCCAGCCCGCTGTCGAAGCAAATCCAGCGCAACAGCGTGGTAGCCCAGCGGAGGCGGCCGGAGCGGTACTTCATTAGCAAAAGCACGGCGAAGGACTTTGGGGATCGCGTGGAGGTTACGGCTTTTGTTTATGATCAGGTTGCTGCGGAGGAGCAGGCGCGGGCGGCGGCGAGGAAGAAGAGGGAGGAGGCTAGGGGGGCGCAGCGGAAGCGTGGGCCTGCGAGGAGGGGCGGCAGGGCTGCTGGTGGTGCTGCTGCTGGAGGGAGGGGTGGAAGGACAAGTGGAGGGCCGATGAGGACTGGTGGACCGATGAGGACTGGTGGACCGATGAGGACTGGTGGACCAATGAGGACCAACGCAGCGCCGATGAGGAGTGGTGGCGCGGGTGCGAGAAGACCAGGGGGTGTAGGGGGAGGTGCGCCGCGTCAAACAGGAGGTGTGACGTTCAAGACGCTGGATCTCGGAAGGTCGAGGGCGGGAGGCGCTGGTGCTGGTGCTGGTGCGGGTTCACGGCCGTCTGCACCCACGAGCTCGTCACGATAGACGTTGTGGAGGGAAGCGGTATTTTCCCACGCAATGAACATTTCGCCAGACAAAGCGACAGCATAGCATCATCTAGACTCCAACAGAAGAGTCCAAACACTGCTTGTCACCCATCACAATGCAATTCGGAACAGGAACACAAGTCATTGCATAAATCTAGGTCTCATTCATCGGCACTGCCCCTCAGCCCTGCGTATCGTATCTAGCCTGTGTGACCACCACTCTGACCTCCACTACCCCTGATCACGAGCGCCGCGAAACACAAACGGCCGCGCCATCTAGCACCAATTGTCATCCTTCCCCACCCAATGCTCCTATCCTCATGGGTGCGTAGGTGTGGCCGCAATCTAGAGCGCCGAGAAGACGAAGAGCTGAAGCAACACATTAGCCTCGGGTACACTGCTTAAGTCTTCACGACAATCGCAGAAACTCACATTATTCGTAGCAGCAATCGCAATACTGTCCTCGTGCGGATGCCAGCTCATATGCAAAATCTTCTTGTTAAAATCAATCTGGTCGGCGTCCGTCTCCTTGCGCATCCGCTGCGCTCCCCCAGGGGTAGGACTGTTCGCCCGGCTGCCCTTCTTGCCCGCCGTGGGAGAAGTGGAGGAGTTCATGGGCGTCGGAATGCCGACCTTCTTGGCCTTGAAAGCGGACTTGTCGGCTTGCAGCACCACCTCCGTGTCCTTGCCCTCTTCGCTCGGGTAGATCATGAAGTTGTTGTTGTAGCTGCCCGTCATGACGTTCTTGGCGTCGCCGGAGAAGACGACTTCGAACTTGTCGAAGATGCTGTCGTTTTCGTACGTGTCGCAGAGCTTGGGTCGGAGGTGCTCGTGGATGGGGATCGTCTTGACCGGCTGTCGCTCCATGTTGACGTCCCAGATTTTCACGGTGAGATAGTCGCGGGAGAGGATGTAGCGGCCGTCGAAGGAAAATCGAACGTCGGAGATAGAGGAGATGATTTCGGAGAAGAAGGAGCGGGAGGCGGGGTCTTCTTCCTGCTCGAATTCTGTGGGATTGATTAGCATCTGAAACATTCATATCCACGGACTTGACACTCACGCTTGGCGTGCTCGTCACACAATGCCTTTTGCCGCATGTCTGCCAACTTAATCGTGCCCTTGCTCGATGCATACATGAACCAGTTGCAACTGATTGGGTGGAACTCCGCAGCAGTAATGACCTCGGTCAGCTCCTCCATATTCGCGGGCTTGATGTCGACAATGTTGAAGCTCTGGTCTTGGATGTTTAGGTTCCACAGATTTATCCGTAGGTCGTCGGAGCTGATGAACGTCTCACCATCGCTGTTGACGGATATGCTGTTGATGTGGTAGGCGTGTGCATTGGCGTATACTCGGCGGGGAACGGCGGCCACGACGGTGTCATGATGGGTCATTCGGGGGAATTTGAGATCTGCCACGCTTCGGAATTGCTGAGGGTATCGCACCGGCCCTCCACCATTTGCAGCACCGGCCGGAGTGAGCTCGGAGGAGAGGTTGTTCTCGGCCACCACCTTCAATGACTTTTCAAACACCTTCCACAGCTTGATTGTCTTGTCATTGGTGGACAAAAGGTAGTGCGAGGCATTTTGTCTCCGGCACCACTTGATTTTGTTGATTTTCTCTTCAATCTCGAGGGATTTGAGGTAGTCGAATTCGGGCTCGTGTGATTGGAATTCGGTGTGGAATTTGTACTCGCAGGTCTTTTTGGTTTCGTTGCGCTCAAACAGGACCACGCGGCCGCCCTTGTCACCGGTGGCGAGGTAATTGCCCGTCTGATCGAACTCTACGGTAGAGATTATGTCGGCTTCTGTGATATCCTCGACGTCGCCCTTGTCACCAAAGCATCTGTGGGAGGAGTGGTCAGTCAGCGAGAGTCCTTGCTTACATTGAATTGAACAAAGCACGCGGGTAATCCAAAGTGAGAGCATTGGGTCGCACTGTGTCTCATGCCAGAATCCATGGGGAACGGGACACGCATGATTGGACTGATCGAGGGCGGCGGTGAGGGGTCCGGCTAGTGCTGGAGACTCAATGGGGTGCTGAAACTCCACAAAGAAGTCGTCCTCCTCTTCTGCGGGTATGGGAGCGAGCAGCTCCTCCGGCTCTTCTTCACATTTATCGGGGGGGAAATCATCGCGTGGAAGGTTGGTGCGGTCGAGAATGGCCTTTTTGAGGGTGGATAACATGGCGTCATACGGATGGTGGAAGTGAGATGGTGAACGCCGGCGTGCTCCAATCGATCGAATTGTTCCATCCCACCGCGGTTCAACGCCTCCTTCCGTCCAGGGCATGCAAGACTGTGACCGAGAGGGCAAGACTTACTGTGTAAACTTCCATGTTGGCGGCTGCTGCCCGTCCGCCGCTTCCACCATCTTCCTTTCCTAGCAACCTGCCGGATGCGGAGTGTGCTGCCGATTGCGGGATGGGGTGTGGTGTTGAGCCACTCTTGCACTGAAGTCTCCTTCAGATGGGCGTGCGTGTTGGATAGTACTCGATTGGGCGAGGGACTGGCGTGAGTCGGGGGATTGAGGTGCAATGACAAAGACGAGGTAGTCGGGTGAGAAGGCGGGAAGAGGGATGGCGCTGGGAGAAGGGGGGTGGCGTGGAGGGCGGAGAGGATGGGAAGGAGGGAATGAGGATGAGAAGCCAAAACAAGAGGCAGCGAGGAGTCGGGAGATGGAGAGTGCAGGTGGTGGAGCTCGAAGCAGAAGTTCACTTCACCTTGCTGTGCTCTTCTGCCGCTGCACGCGGGTCCACACTGGCCCTCGCCAAGCCGCGTGCACGGACGTCCGCGGGGTTGGGCCAGTCAGCAACTTTAATCGCGCTTCAGCGTGAACAAAGAGACGACACCCCGCTCTCATTCTTCATTACATCAGATCAATGATGGTCATGACGGGATTGTATCTACTCCACCAGCAATAACACCTCTCAATACGCTTTCCCAATCTGGCTAAATCTCTTCCATGCCTCTCCCCAAGTTCCCCGGTTCCCTCCACTCGCAGCAGCACCACCATAGTATCTCCCCTTTCTCTTTCTTCCCGTTTCCGGCCTCCCGTGCACCTCATCGATAATGACGGGCACTCCAGGATGCGGCTCCCTCCTAATGCCCATAGCAATCGCCTGCGGCTGTGCCAGCATACTCCGTCTGTCCATCGCATTCTTATTCCAGACCGCGAACTCGTTCCGACCATCGCTCACCTCGAGCGAGGGATGATACCGGTGTCCATTGGGGTGTCGTTGCTTTCTTGCTGCGCCTCTTCGACAGCGCAAGAGCAGCCAGCAAACGGTGACGATCGACACGATGACGAATGTCGATAGGATTGTTAGCCAGACGATTCCGGCGGTTGTTAGTTTTGGGTACACTGTCGTGTTGGTGGCATTCAAGGGGGAAGTGGTGGTGATTGCGGTAGGAGAAGGCGGCGCTTGTGCTGAGCGGATGGCCAGTTTTCTGTGCGCTGGGTGTGTATGACGGGGCATGGGTTTGTACTTGACTTTCCCGGCCATTGCTCCAGACCAGTGAAGTGCCTTAATGATGGTTTGTCAGACGTGCAAAAGCGATGAGCAACGACGACGTGGTGGAGCTGGTCTTCTTCGCTGGTGTTGAAAGAACATCGCCCAAGACGGCGAGGTCTTCAGACAAAGACAGCTCTCATACCGACATGTCTTTGTCCGCACCCGCGCATCCGGCTTGACAAAGAGCAATCAAGTCGTCATGTCGAGACCATCGGATTGCGAGTATTACACTCACGAGCCATCTTGCCATGCGTAGTCTTTCAACACTGCAACAACAATAACCAACACCATCATGTGCTGCCACAAATTCTACATCTACTCCACCTGCGGCCACAGCCTCTTCTCCCCACAACCCATCATCCCCTGCCCATCCCTGCACTCCTCCCACCCCTGCACCCCAACATCCCACCCCTACCAAAGTTGGAACCTCCCCTCCCTTTGTCCCACCTGCCAAACCCTACGCACAAACCTCCTCACACAGGTAGAAGCGAGTCAAAAGATCCAATTCCACGAGTGGAGGTGGAAAGTCAGCTACGGCATGCCGGCGCACGGCAAGGATTTCTGGGGCCAGAAGGCGGACGAGAGGGCGAGGTTGGAGGCGGAGACAGGAAGGCGGAAGAGGAGAAGTTTGCCGTTTCGGTGGAAGAGGACGTGGAAGTCGAGGCGGGGGCAGGTGGAGATTGTGGCGAGTGAGCCCGTGAGATGTGCTCCTGCTTTGCTTGATCGAAGGGAACGTTGAATTTAGCGATTGTCGAGATAGGATAGAAGTCTTCCATTCAGGCCGCACTCTCGTCGCTCAACCACTTCTGCGCCGTCTCCTTGACGAAAAGCTCGTACGAATCAGGCTCCTTCCCAAGTAGCTTTACCTGCTCCTCATACTCGCTCTCCGACATTGACATGCCATAGTCTTCAAGATACTCATGTACAATCCTCCGCGAGCGCGCCAGCTGCATGCCTTCCACGCTCGACTGATATGCAGCCCTCATGCCCAGTTCGACCTGCGCCATGGCTTTTTTCGTCGCATAGCCTGGCTTCAACGGCTTACCTAGTGCCTCGGACCACAGTCGCGTAATCTCCGCGCCGGTGAAAAGCCGTTCCGTCCCCAGCTGGATTTTCTTGCGATTCCACGCTCCACTCGTGTCGTACGCAACATTCCGGACGGCCAACGCGATGTCCGAAAGCGAGATCTTGTTGACTCCGTGTTTGGAGAGAGAAGTTATCTCGCCCTTTTGCATAATGTGGGCTTTCATAAAGTTGTCGTTTGTGAAGAAGAGCGTAGGCCCAAGAACGGTCCATTCGAAGGGGTACTCGGCATTCAGCAGTCTCTGCTCGATCAACACCTTCGCGAACAGGTGAGGGTATGCACGGGTGCGCATGGTTTCTTTGAAGCCCTGATCAGATGTGAAGTCGCCGATGATGGAGAGGAAGATGACTTTCTTCACCGTGCCGGCGCGAGTAATGGCGTCCAGGCCGTTGAGGGAGGAGTAGAGCTCGTCGGCACCGGTGAGGCACAGAAAGACGGTGTCGACATGATTGTCGTGGATAATGGACTGAAACCAGATTGGGTCTTGTACGGTGCCCTCTGGGATGACGACGTTACCTCCAGCCTTGGAGATTGAGGGAAATGCAGTCCTCAGTTTCTCCGCGTTCCTCGTAGGTAAGACAAGTTTCGGCGGGGGATTCTGAGATAAGAGTAGTGGGACCAGCTGGGTGCCGATGTTGCCCGAGGCAGCGGTGATTAGGATGGCTTTGGGGGTAGACATGATCGTCACAAGGCTGCTAGAATGAGTGAATGCAAGCAACGCCGCGAAATGAGCGGCAAGGGCAAAGAAGAACGGAAAGCAGGGTGTATGTGAGGGCCGTTGTAAGCTTATGCGAGATTTACGGAGATTCGGGCGCAACCAGTGCCTGAAGCAGGACTGGTTGCTATATACGGCATGGATGGTCTGAAGTTGTGCACCGCTGAGGCTGGAAGTTGTGCACAGCTTACGTGAGCTGAAGTTGGTCCAGCTTAAACAGTCGAAGCAAGTAAGCCGAGCAGTCTTGGCGCCGGCCGGCCGAGCTTCGCAGATGCGCGGCGGGCCATTGATCCTCAACTCCCATCTCTCACATCCATCTCGACCCCCTCGCCTCTCCTGCCACCGCCTCATGCCCATTGCGAGGCGCGAGCAGCGGCAAAATACTCTCGACCCGCAGTAGCGACCACCTCCCACCCACCTCGACCCCCAAGATGCCTACCCCCGAATCCGAGTCGTTCAAAGCCGCAAAACCCACCGTGCCGCCCACCTTCGATGGCGTGGACTACAGCGACAACAAGGCCCTCAAGGCGGCGCAAGACTCCATCATCCGCGAGCAGTGGGTGCAGAGCATGATGGCGCGATTGATCCGGGAGGAGATGGGCAAGTGCTATCGCAAGGAGGGCGTGAATCATTTGGAGAAGTGTGCGCATCTGAGAGGTGAGTGGATGGTCTAGAGGGAGTGCAGTGTGCACGAGAGAGAGGCTGTATGGGTGTGGCATATTGCTGGACCTTGTTACTGACTATGATGCGCAGAACGGTATATGGAGCAACTGAAGCACGCCAAGGTCCGAGGATACCTGTTTGAGCAGCAAAACTACGTCGCGAACCAATGAAGAAGCTAGCTTCGAATCCAGGACGACCTGTATCATACATTACACAATGCCAGCTGATGCATGCCATGCTTCTCTCCCGTCTTTTGTACCGCTCATCACCTCGATGTCACCCGCCTGACGCTCTTACCCGGATTGGGCAATCCTGCGAGCTAAGAAACTCAAAATTGGGTATGGCCCCGTGAGCCTTGCGTTGCCTCTCGCACGATGCACTTCCTTTAGCTCTCATACCCACATCACGGCATGCGTCAGCCAGACTGATGTTGAAGAGCGCCGGATCTGGCGAATCTTGCGAGTTCTACGCATCTCCATCCCCAAGACCGCCGCCCCTCGTCCCATTCATGTCTATATAAACATGCCACCTTGCGCCGAACCACTTTCCTCCCACCTCTCAAACATCCAGATCACACGGGCTTTGCACAAGTATCTCGTCGTTTAATCACCTCAACATGCCTCCCACCTTCCAAGACTCGGGCAAATATGCGGCCATACACGCATCTCCCAAGGGCGCAGGCGACGCTCGTCCGACAGCTCACGCTATCCTTCAAGACGAGCATGTCATCGGTGCACTCGCCGACAAAACCATCCTCCTCACCGGCGGCTCCAGCGGCATCGGCGTCGAAGAAGTCCGCGCGCTTGCGGCGACTGGTGCAAAAGTCGTCTTCACTTCCCGTGATCTGGCCAAAGGCCATGGAGTCCGAGATGACATTGTAGCGCACTGGAAAGAGCAGGGGGTGCAGCCGCGGATCGAGGTGATCCAGTGCGATTTGCAGAGTTTGGCATCCGTCAAGCGAGCGGCAGAGGAGTTTAAAAAGGATGATGACAAGTTGAATGTGTTGGTGAACAATGCAGGTGTGTTGCCGAGATCCTCTGGCAGCACGTCAGCCTGCATCTTAACGTGACTAGGGATCGCCATGACACCCTTCAAACTCACCCAAGACGGATTCGAGCAGCAATTCGCCGTCAATCATCTGGCGCACTTTTTGCTGTTTCAGCTGCTCAAGCCACTGCTTCTGGCTGCTTCGACGCCCACTTTCAGCAGTCGCGTTGTCAACGTCGCGAGTTCCGCCCACCACATGGGCTCAGTCAAGGTTGGGAATTACAGTTTTGAGCAGGGCGGGTATGATGCATTCGTACGTCCTCCATGCCGCATTGTTCGTGCTTCGTGGTGCTAATTTCTTGGTCAGGCAGGATACGCAAGTTCGAAGACATGCAACATCTGGATGTCCAACGAAGTAGGTGGGGCCCCGCGTATGTCTGGCGCGGCACGTGTACTGAATCGAAGACAGCTTGAGCGTCGCTATGGATCGCAAGGCCTGCACTCCACGAGCGTGTAAGTGGTGTCTGTGCGAGCAAGGCGTCTACCCGTGATTTTTCCGCTTGCTAATTTCGAATGATGAATCAGTCATCCGGGAGGGATCATGACTGGCCTGCTAAACAGTCATGACGAGCAAGTTCGGCCGGTCATGGACAATTGTATGCCCGCCTTAGGATGCTGTCTGGTTGTGACTCCCCCAAGTCGCCAATATGCTGATGAATGCGCTCGTCGGAATAGTTATTCAGCAAGAAAACATCCAGCGGGCCATGAAGAGCGTTGAGCAAGGCGCTGCCAGCGTTGTCCTAGCGGCTATTGGAAAAGAGTACGAAGGCGTCGGAGGCGTAAGTCTGATTGATCATGCTTCCAAGGAACATTGCTCTCGCTAATGAGTGGAGTCGACTAGTTTTACATGGAAGACTGCGGTGTCAGTGCAGCATTACCGGAGAACGCACAGTTCGGCGAGCCGGGATACAAGCCTTGGGCTTACGACGAGGAAGGAGAACGTCGGTTGTGGCTCGACTCTTTGGAGATGCTCAAGTTGAATGATGACTAGCTGCTGAGCCTTCTCCGGTCTTGCATTCACTGCAATGAATTTCGTGCAATACATTGTCATCCACTCTTGCTACTTCAAGACTGAGCTCATGGAGTCAGTCTGTATCCAGCAAGCAGTCGCGGAGGTCTTTTGAAATAAGTTCAAAGGGTCGTGGATGCTCCCCAATCCCGCTCGAAGCCAGCAATGCCCTCTTCAACAGAAGGCCGAGTGGAGTGCCGCAAGCCCAGGCGGCGATTGGGTCGGCGACTTTGATCGAGAAATACCTGCGTTTGGTGTGGATTGCGAGCTGGCGACACAGATTCTCCGTGCCGACAATGTCTTTGTATGTAAGAGAATAGTCTCTGGGGGTGCCGAGACTTCGTGGCAGCGAGGGCCCAAGGAGATTTACAAGCAGGTAGCTGGTCAGAATGACGAAGGAAAGCGTCGAAATCTCGTAGGCGTGCTGAAGGACATCCACGGGCTCCACCGATGTGTCAGCCCCTCTGGCGCAGTCCAAGCCGCCAGAATCGATGGGTCGAAGACAAAGCCAAAGCTGCTGATGCATTTGACAAAGACCCTCGATCCAATCACCGGATGTCTTGTCCAGTTTTGCGCTGCGTAGCTCCTCGTACTGGCAGAGAAGGCCGGGTAGATGAACGCTCAGGCTCAGGAAGTTTGGCACTCCATTCGGCATCATGACTTGCCTCCAATCGTTCTCGGCCAGGAAACATGGTTTGCGTGCCTGCACCACGTTCAAGAAGATGGTGCCAATGTGATCGCGGACTACGAAAACGTCAGCGGTAGGATCGGTAAGAATCAACGGGCACACCCACGTATTGACCGATCCAGATCACTAGTCACCGCGTCGGGGCCTCGAAGCTCAAGAAGTCTAAGCAGTCCATTGGCATGCACGATCCAAGCTCGTTTAGAAGGTGAGACGCAGACCTCGTGCGTGTAGAGCAGAACGACAGCAGCCAGCGTTTCGGTGGTAAGCGAGTGCACAGGATCGTCGAGCGCAGTCTGGAGGCTTCGGATCGCCTTGAGATAGTACTTCTCGCTCGGACCTCTTTGTACTATGCATCTTACAGCATCATCCAGCGCTTGGCTTCCTCCAAGCCGCGAGGGGATGAATTGTAGCGCAGACTGACGGGAAAAGTGTCCGTCTGGCAGCATCCAGGTCCGGGCGCATAACTGGCCATGCTCAAGTCTGTAGACATATTCGTTGCGTAGCAAATCGACTTCACTTATGAGAATGATGGGCGGACTGGGTGTCGAGGCCAGGGTAGAGGATTTGGTGGGATGCACGACAAGAAATCGCTCTTGAACGTCATAGCCTGGACAGCTGAGTCGACTGCGGTTACACTGCGAGCAGGCGGGGTGCTTCAAGTCGCACTGTGACCCGTAAGTCACTCTGAACGAGCGTCAGGACGTTGCCATACCTTGACTTTGCGTCCTGCGTGGGGCCCAGCTGGTGATTAGCTTGCATCGGTCTTTCGTTGCGCAAGCATGACAACGTACGTCGGCAGTTCCCACACTTCCCGCTGGTCTTCCTTCCCACCATCGCTGTGGAATGGCGAGAAGCAAAGACTGCGTGCGTCATGCTCGACAAGCCTCATAAGAGGTCGACGGCGGCCCCGCTTTTTCTCGGCGTCAGCCTTGAGACGTAAGCACTAGCCGCTCGTTCATTCTCTCCAACAATACGCAATGTACGATACGAGGTGTTGATAGGCCTTCGAAAGTATAAACGAGTAGTGGAGTTGTGCGTGAAGCTGATCAACAGCATTGAATTGACATCTAGTCTATACCCAGGACCTTTTACCAAAACGCCACCCATCCCAAACGCAAATCAAATCTTCCCGTGCCAGAACAAGAAGCGATGAGCAATATACAGATTAAACGTGTCCAAACAGATCAGCGGAATCGTATCATACCAGATCAAGCCCCCGCGCAGAATCTGATACGTGATGCCCGAAATGAGCGTGGCGAAGATGGTGCCCATCCAACAGCAAGCCAGGATGCGCATGTTGCGGTACTTGTTGTTCTTGTGCGACTTGGTGTCTCCCGACGGCACCCAGGCTAGTGCTCGCCCGAACAGCCGGTCTTTGATGGCGGTGAGGTAGGCGAAAGATTGGATGTACATGATATGTTGGACGTTCAGGCCGTAGGAGGATTTGGCCCAGAGTCGCAGGGCGATCAGAGAGTAGAGGATGGAGGGGAAGGCGAAGGCCAAGTTGTAGTAGTGCACGTAGTCCGGGCGCGCCCAGATCATCATCAAACCGGGCATGGGGCTGAGGAAGATGGACAGCGAGACGGCGGAGTAGTACATCATGCCGGAGAGGTAGCAGATCTTCTGCACGGGGCTGAGCGAGGATCTCCAGAAGTCCATGTTGGTGAGGAGAGTGGTGGAGCCCATGCACCAGCGCATCTGCTGGCTGAAGAAAGCTTTCGGGGTGTCCGGGCAGATGCCGCAGGCCAGGCAGAGAGGAAGGTACCGGACCTTCCAGCCGCGAGTCAAGGCGTAGAAGCCGGTGTGGACGTCTTCGGAGAATCCGATCTCGGCAGTGCCGCCCACCTCCGCCAATGCCTCGCGGCGGTAGACGGCGTTGCTGCCCACGCAGATGGACGCGCCCCAGCGGTTGCGGTTGATCTGGACGACTCGGTAGAACAGCTCCTGCACCGAGCCGGCACCCTGCTCGACCCACGTCTGCTTGTCCGAGGTTCGGAAGAACTGGGGAGTCTGCACGATGGCGGTGTCGGTCTTGGACATGTGAATTGGCATAATCTCGTTGAGGAAGTCGGGGCGGGGACAGAAATCCTTTATGATGGTCAGCAGTGATCACTGTAGGTGGACAACATACATCAACTTACCGCATCGAAGATGGCAAAGAAGTCTCCCGAAGTGCGAGCAAAGGCCCATCGAAGGTTACCAGCCTTCTTCAGGCGAGGGCGATCACCGCGCACAATGTATTCGAAGTTGTACTTGGCAGCCATATCTCGGACCTCATCCTGGGCACCATCGTCCAAGACGAACACCTTGATCTTGCCGGCAGGCCACTTGAGCTCGGTGACGTACTTGTACGTGTTCTCCAGGACCTCGATGGGCTCCTTGCAGCAAGGAAGATAGATGTCGACGGTGGGCGCGGTCAATTCGTTGATAGGATTGTCTTCCACCATCTTCTGGTGCTTCTTGTAGTCGTAGTCTTTGCCACAGATGGAGACGGTGTACGAGATGATCAGGTAGAGTTGCAAGAGGAAGACCACGGCGCCGAACCAGTACAAGTAGACGGTCGAGACGGTGAAGAGCCACATGCCAGCGGAGAGACTCAGGAAGGAGAAGACGCCAAAGGCATACAGCGGGATGCGGTTGGTCTTGAGGTACGATACCTTCTCCACGTCGGTCGGGCCGGTCGGCAGGAGCAATGGGGGTGTCTCCGTTGGGCAGTATGTGTCGATGTACATCTGTTTGGTCCGGCCCCAGATGCTGGTATTGGAGTCCTGGCTCGCGGAGTCGCTGGGGGTGACGCCTTCATCGTCGGCAGTGGCGACGACTCTTTGGTGTTGACCGTCGGCCATCTCAATGTCGATATCATCGTCAATGTCTTGCACGCGCGGTCGCGGAGGCTGGAAGGCGGCCAAAGGTTGACGAAGGGCCAGGTTCAATTCCGGGCTTTGCAATTGAGCAAGGAAAGAGACATCTGTAGTCTCGTCCGTGATAGTTGGCAAAGATTGCCGTTGTGGGAGGACAGGTCGGGCGGTAGGCTGATGCAGGTTGGGCGTACTGGTAGATCGCAGTGCGGCTTCAGGAATGCGAGGCACTGGCAAGACCGTAACGTTGGCGCCTTGCTCGGATGCAGCATCGTCGACGGCGATGCCGACGGAGCGTGCTACGCCAACGGAGAAGTCCACGGAGCGTGCCAAGCGAATGGAAGCTTCATCAACGGAAATGTTGTCGACGGAGCGTGCCACGCCAATGGAAGAATCGTCGGTGGCCTCGTAGGTGGAGGGAGTAGCTCCAGTGGAAGGCAATTCGAGAGAAGATGCATCGTCGCTGCTGGAGGCCGGCTCCTCAGGGACGGATTTGGTGGACACGCTCGATCGAGTGCGAGGGATCTCTCCCTGCTTGAGAGCGTAGCTGAGCTTTCGCGACAGCTTGAAAGTAGAGAAGTAATCCCGAGAGTCATCCACGGGCGTTGCAGTCTCCTGCATGGAATTGTTAGTGATGAACACAGAAAATCCCTGTATCAGTGAACGTACAGACGCATAGCCCGAAGGAGCGCGGGAAAGAGTCAAAGCAGGAGTCGGTGCCCCAGACGATGAAGTGCCCGAAGACGACTTCCTCGTCAAGAAGCTATAACTCTGCCTTGACCAAAGACTGAACGAAGGGACTTTGGCAAGCGGCACTTGCTGCTCGCCTTTGAGGGGACCGACAATGTCTTGCTTCACGTCTTCCTGGACGGAGGCCGAAAGGACATTGTCATAATCTCCCTCACGGAGGGCGAGGTCAACGGGTCGGGGCATTTTCCAACAAACGATGGGCTCGAGCGAGTGACAAGAGTTGGTGGGAAGACAAGAGGTGCCACTGCAATTTCGGAAGGATTAAATGGAGGCCTTATGAGTACGGGAGATGGAGTGAGCGAGGCTGCGATGGAGGCCTCGCGATCGGAGGCGCCATGCGTGGCGGTCGGGTCTCGACTTGGCAGTGAAGCCATTGAGATGGTCAACCATGGGAGTTGTTGCAGAAAGGAGTAACCGCCGAGGTGTTGATGCGATGATGCGAGAGTATGGAGTCCACAGCCTCGCGTAGACTGGCACAGGTGTGGTTGCATCGCAACCAGATGCCGGAAAACGAAGTGGCTAGACCTTGGCAGACCGTTGAGACTGGAAAGAGAGCAAGAGTAAGCGTGTTAGCGCTGTCAATGTTGAACCTTGCGTGAGGCTCGCGAGGCAGCACGCGACAAGTGGGTTTGGGAATGCTTGATAGTCGGCAATTGGGTGGCAAAAGCGAATATAAAAGCTTAAGCCTCGCTTATGGGCGATGCCCGTGCACCGGTACCCGGCAGATCTTTCCACGAGGCTCGGCAAGTATCCGGCGCTAGCGCAGCCACGCGATCACCGCATGGCGACATGGGTAGGCTGAACTTCCTCCGTGCAACTACCCCTTCTGAACATCTTCTGGAACATGCGGCTCAACTTCCCGCCACCTTAAAGCCACGGCGCATTGCCAAGCCAGCGTGGAGTTGCCTCAACCCCACGAGGCGTTCATCGCTTCCACAAGGCTGGCAGCATTGATCAGCGTCTTTGCTGCGAATCGCACGGTTGGACATGCTATCGCCACGAGCCGCTCTTCGCTTGTGCAAAGCCATCCGCGTTGACCAGGCTGAACATCATGAATCTCCCGGTTGGAAATGCTGTAGCCACGGCGTCGCTAAGCACCTCCCGGCTGCGCCTGCTCCTCCGCCACCGCTTTTGTGGATACATTTGCCTTAACGCCATCCACGCCACAGTCCACGCTATTGAATGCGCAAGGCTACACGACTCGGACGACTCCCCGATCTCGAGGAACAAGCCGTGTCAGGCTGAATCGCTCCACGGCTGTCCTTGTCCGTCAGCACATGCTCGCTTGGCCAATGTCATCGAGGACCGCCAGCCATCGTTTTGCAGCAACTCTTTCCGGCCTGCCAGCCTCGCTTGTCTGAGAGTTCTTCTCGAAACACACTAATGCACGCGGAAATGCCCAACTGCGGTATGGTCGCGAACGACATGCTCAGCGACGAACCACGGCACGATGAAGCAGGAGCAGCCACAGGGTGCAATGGTATCACGCACTGACGTGAACGGTGTGATCGTAGCATATGCGCCGGTGCCGGCTCAGAGCCAAAGGGGTATTATATCAAGGACGCCAATTCCATCGCTCCAAGTGCAATACGCATCGTCCTTTCGTCTCATTCCTCTCGTATCCTGCCCTCGCACTTGTCTCGGACAATAAGTCATGAGCTCCTCCGAATTCTCGAGCCGCTCTGGCTCGCCCTTCACATTCTCTCGCACCTCGAGTGGCACTTCGTGCAGGTCGTGCAGGTCTTCTATCGATGCGGCCGGTCCGCTTGGTAACAAGACACGCAACTCCAGCTGTACTTCCATCGACTCGGGCTACGAAGAAATCGACTTCAAGACGCTTTCGTTGTTCGACAATGAGGGTGTTCCTTCGGACTTTACGGCGGAAACCCGTAACGTCGTATTCGTCGGAGCGGGCTATGTCGGTACGTTTTACATAATGCCCAAGGCGAATTATCACCACTAACGAGACGCAGGTGGACCTACTGCGGCAGTCATTGCCTACTTCAACCCCCACATTACGGTCACCGTAGTCGACAAGAGCGAAGACCGCATCGCTGGGTGGCAGTCCAAACATCTTCCCATCCACGAGCCCGGTCTCTACGACGTGGTCCGTGTTGCCCGCGACGGTTGGGATGGCGTCCACCCTTGGGATTCCGCGGAAGCGCAACTCAAGGACTCGACTCCAACGAGACTGCCGAATCTCTTCTTCTCCACCGACTGCGACACGCACATTGCTGCCGCCGACATTGTCTTCTTGGCCGTCAACACTCCCACCAAGAACGCTGGTGTTGGTGCCGGGGCGGCCACTGATCTCTCCATGTTTGAATCTGCTGCGCGCTCGGTCGCCATGGTGGCCAAGCCCGGTATCATCATCGTGGAGAAGAGCACCGTGCCATGCCGAACGGCAGATGTCATCCGCGATGTGTTCCGCTCATACCGACCCGGCATGCCCGTTGAGGTGCTCTCCAACCCAGAGTTCCTCGCTGAAGGCACGGCCATCAAGGATCTGATGCAACCATCTCGCATTCTGATCGGTGCCGCACAAACCCCAGCCGCACATGTTGCAAGCGAGCGTCTCGCCAGCCTCTACGCCAGCTGGGTTCCTCGCTCGTCCATCCTGACCGTCGGTCTCTGGTCGTCCGAACTCTCTAAGCTAGTCGCCAATGCCATGCTGGCACAGCGAATCAGCAGCATGAACACTGTCAGCGCCATCTGTGAAAAGACTGGCGCCGACGTGGACGACGTTGCCTTTGCCATTGGACAGGACCCTCGTCTTGGCTCTCGATTTCTCAAAGCCGGCTTGGGCTTTGGTGGGTCTTGCTTCAAGAAGGACATCCTCAGCTTGTCGTACTTGGCCGAGAGCTTGGATCTGCCTGAGGTTGCAGCCTACTGGCGCAGCGTGGTGGGCATCAATGAATGGCAATGCAGACGCTACGTCAAGCTTGGTATGTCTCCTGCTGCATCCCCTCGTTACGCGAATCGCCTGCTGACTAGCTATACAGTGATTAAGAAACTGAATGGTAGCCTTCGAGGGAAGAAGATTGCTCTCCTCGGCTACGCATTCAAAAAAGACACCGCCGACACCCGCGAATCTCAAGCGGCTGAAGTCGTCAAGCACCTCTGGGGCGAAGAGCCGCGCGAGATCGCAATCTTCGACCCCCAATGTCGCAAAGAAGACATTGACGCCGAGCTTCGCGGATTCGCGCAAAAGAGCAATCTCAGCGAGCGCACTGCGGTGAATGTCTACGCCGATGCGTACTCTGCCACCAGCGACGCGGCCGCCGTCCTCATCCTCACCGAATGGGACCAATTCAGCTACCCGCCAAAGTCCGAGGAAGCTGCTCGCGCATCCAAGCCCGTGCCGGACATGGGAGGCCTGCGCTACGAAATCAGCGAGAGCACCACGACCATCCCCGGTTTCGGCGGGCAATGGGGTGGAGAGGTTGCATTGCGCTCAGAGCCCGACTGCGCAAGCGACTGCAACCTCTGCTCCGACCACGAGACCACAGCCAACCAGCACGCTCGCGAGAACCTGGATTGGGAGAGGCTGGCAGACGGCATGCGTGAGCCCAAGTGGGTGTTTGACAGCCGTGGCTTGGTCGAACCGCTGGCCCTTGCGCAGCTTGGGTTCCGTGTGGACTCTCTTGGGAAGGCGAGCGCTCGGCCTTGGTGAGATTCATTGGGTGGCGCAATCGTTGATTTCTCGGTTCGGCGTCTGGGGATAGATAGAAAAAGGCGGTGGGTGGGGATTCGGTACGGGGGGAGGCGTTGTTGGGGAGAGGCGTTGTTGGGGATCGAGTCACTTGCTTGGAGTTCGTCTTTGTCGTCGATTTGCTTTCTTCATAGACTTGGGTTTCGTGGTACGAGGCTTACTTTTCGCAACCGAAACCATCCGTACGTCCGCATTGGGCATTCCGACACACATTTCAAGACACTGCGCCTGCAGTGGCCATAGTAACAAGGTGCAGTAGCCGCGGTTACCAGGTGAAGTTGACGACGACAAGGCTGTGGCTTGAAATTCGAGGTTAAAAGAAGCTTCAAGGCTGCGTCCCCACAGTAAGTGCCGCCCGTGCGCCCGAGCCGAGAACCTTGATTTAGCGGCACCCAGCCTTTGCCATTTTGTGGCTCGTGGAATGTTCTTCGGGCGTGTTCCCCCTTCCAGAAATATCTGCTCGACTCGACTTGCCTCGCGCTGGGCATCGTCAACGGCGTACAACATTTCATGGCACATGGCTAAGCGTGACGGGTAAATACCGTCATACTGTTGCTGCCAAGAGAACATTGATGGAGGCGGGTTTGCGGTGCTTTCACGCTTCCTGCGATGGTCGTTCCCTTTGACAGACGCCAGGTTGTTTGCGACACCAGGTTGGTCAGAGTCAGGTATACGAGACTTATTGTCCTGGTGGACGACAATTTTCCCACTAAGAGACCGCTATACGTGAGGTATTATCCTGCTGGACGAAAATCCCCACAAGGCATTGTTGTGGCGAGGCTGGGGCGCAAACAGCAACGCCAAGGTCTCGGGTATGCACCGCAGCCGTTTGCATCACCCGCGAGCTGCCGAACGCCACCGTTGGCCCGCTTGTCAATTCAAGCACCAGACAAGCCTTTGACACCTTCCACTCCCGCCACCTCGCCAACTACCGGACCATTCCACCTACCGAGCACGTGCCGAATGTCGATCCAACATTGACACGCCTCGTCTCGGCTCCCGTCATGAGGCGGTGATGGGCGAGTTGACAACCAGCGGTCCAGAACGCCATGGAACGCCGCAGAGTTTCCCGTTTCAGCTGCCCTCCCAGCCCATGACACGTGCGCCTGGGCAGGTCTACCCGGCGACAGCCTTATTACCACCGCTACCGCTCTCGCCCTCGATTCTCTCAACATCCATCCAAGCGAGCTGGTAAGTTCCTGTACTTGCCAGAAGACGTGACGATGCGGCGTAGATGGCGACTCTCGCTTCCTTCAAACCTTTCCACCTTCCCTTCAAGGCAGTCTAGCCTTTGAGCACGCGATTTTCCCAACTCCCCACGGCCAAGGTTTAATACCAAGCTCCTGTCAAGCTTTGTAACCCCAATTCACTTCTTCCATCGTTGCATCTCTGTACGAACCTTCTCATCCTTCGTCCCCTTCACACGAGTCAATCATGCTCCGCACCTCTCTGCTCACCCTCGCCGTCGGCGCGGCGGCCGGCGCTCATGCTGAAGTCACCCTGTGTGGCCAATACGGCGACTATGAGACCAAGGCTTACACCTGTTCGTATCACAATTCATTCGCCACCAGCGCAGCCACTGACATAGCCTTGTAGATAACAACAACGCCTGGAATCCCGTTAGTTCTTTCCGTGCTGCCGAGACCCCGGCATTGCTAACATGCAGCATCTAGACTGGCACGGGCAACTCTTGCACCACTGTAGGTCCACTCCAGTCGGGCCAGACGTGATGTAGCCGACTCACTGACACTTCGCACGCAGATCACCAATGGCACCGGGAAGTTCGACCCCTTCTACGCCGTCTGGTCTTGGAGCTCGCAGCCGGTGGAGGTGCACGCCTACCCCAACGTGCAATTCAACGCCCCAGCCCTACCATTGATGATTGGCAACGTCGGCTCGCTGAACATCTCGTCCGCCTGGACCTTGACCAACGCCACAGGCAGCGGCCCCTCTACCAGTGGCCGCAAGAACGCCGCCGCCATCCCGCTGCAAGCCAATGTCGCCTTTGACATGTTCGCCGACATGAACGCCACTGTCTCCCAGATGCCAGCGAAGCAGAGCGTCGAAATCATGGTCTGGGTCGCGGCTTTCGGCTCGTATGCCAAGCCCGAGGGCTACAGCAACGGCATCCAGGATACCGTCACGCTTCCTCAGGCAACCTTGTAAGTCGTCCCCAGCAATCCTTCCAGAATAGACGCACCATACTGACTCCTCGTCAACAGCAACCTGTACATCGGCGACAACGGCCGCGGCCAAGAGGTGTACACGTGGTTCGCGACGACCAACCTGCCCAAATTCAACAACCTCGACCTCGCGCCCCTGCTCAACCACCTGGTGGCGAAGAAGCTGGTCAGCGCGCAGCTGTATCTCGGCACCGTCCAGTTCGGCACCGAGGCCTACTACTCTGCCAAGCCTGTCAACTTCTCCGTCTCCTCGTTCCAAGCTAAGCTGGGCAAGGTTGGGAAGAACAAGGGCAGCAAGCGCTCCGTCAACTTGTTGGAGTAAAATAGTTGCTGCTGCTGTAACACACTTTCGACTCGGGGGTGAACTTTGAGGCTTGGTGAAATGGGGAGTTGGATTGGGTTTCTACCGGGATATATGTACGGAGAGCTGGATAGAATTAACTTAGTCCTTCCTTATGGGAGATGGGATAACATTAACTTAGTCTCTCCTTTATGGAAAATGGGAAATCGCTCGCAGGTCCGCGATGTAAATGCTCGTCTCTTCATTCCTCTCCCTTCCCGCATCACAATGGAACAAAGGCCAGCCCAGGCTCCACATTCCGCAGCGATTCGCCGACGCATTACAGTTCCGCTTCCAGACGACATCCGCAAACGTTCGTGCCAGAGTCCAAGAACAGTCTTCTTTGTCTGTACGACGTGGTAGCTCGAAATTGCGCATATGTGCATCACTTCAGTAGGATGGATGGCCGGCCGTCGACCTCACATCGTCTCTAGCACCGTAGAAAAAGATGACCGAAGACCAAGAATGCGTCTACCATTTGGGCGCGGATTGCTGCCTCCCAATAATCATCAGCAATTGGGATGAACCGGCAGTGCGCAAGCGTCGACCCTCCGACACCCCTGCAAGCCAACAGACCGGCGAAAAAGACGACACCCGCTCACATTCAATTTCTGGCTGTTCGACGACATCGGCGAAGTGGACGACTGGTTTCTCGGAGTACGTTGATGGCGTGTGGCGGAGTATGACGGGCGAGATGCGGCGGAAACTGCGCGATGCTTGTGCGGAGGTGTTGCGTCGGACGGATGATGAGGAGGAGTTGGAGAAGGTGTTCCAGGGGTGTGATGAGGATGCTCGATTTTTGGATTGAGGGTGGTCGACCAGAGTGGTTCGGAGTGGCAGGAAACAGGATATCCTTCGCTTCACTGCATGCACTTCCTCGCCGCGTCTTCCATGAGTAACTTCGTGTACTTCTGATGCGCCCATTGCATGTACGGTCCGACGGGCTCTTGCAGCGGCTTGCTTTGCGCATCTGGTTGTGCGACACTGTTGTAGAAGACGCTCTTCATCCCAAACTCCACTACTCCCTCCTCTTTCTTCACGTCAGCCGTGAGCTCGAATAACCCGTCGCTTTCGCGGTACGCATTCACCCGCGGGGAGTCGCCGCATCGCAGGATAATAGAAGAGTCGTTCTTGCTGAGCACTTCAAACTGCACGATTATCAGCACCCCTCACCTCGCTCTCAAACCACTGCACAAACATACATGATCCGTAATCTTCGTCCCAACCGCGTACGCACTGCGCTCCAAATCACGCACATCCCAAAGCTGCCCCTCCGTCTCGGGACCGCGGTACTTGCGCGCCAAATACCTCCGCTGCACCTCAAACGCCCACCCACTCCACACAGCGCCACAGAACGCCTCGACGAGTCTGCCCTCTTGCGCCAGCAGTTCTGGCTTGATGCGGTCGAGCGGTACTCTGCGGAGGCAGATGTCTCTCATGGAGGGATTGGGGTTGGGGTTGTAGCGCGCGAAGAGTGTAGTGCTGAGGAGGTAGTCGGTTTCGGGGACGGGGTGGATTGTGCTTTTGCGTGTGGAGATTGTGAAGGCTAGGGCTGCTCCGAGGGAGGTCCAGCCTGTTACGGCGAGGGTTTTGCGGAGGAGGGGCATGGTGGTATATGGTGGAGGGTGGTGGAGATGTGAAGAAGTGAAGAAGTGCTGGAGCTTGGAAGATATCTTGGCTGGCATCCGATGCCATATCGAAGAATTTTACAATGGCCCATCTCAGCGATTTACTAACACGTATCGAAGCGCCTAGTCAACATAGTTCATGTCACGGAAGTCGAGAGATCTAATCGAGCAGGCAGGACGAAGAGGATTGAGTAGATGGTCTATCTACACCTGAATCGCATCCCTCAGCAAGACACCAATCTCATTCAATCCCCCAGCATCATCCGTGACAATACGCTTAGGAATCTCCCACTCCACCTCCGGCTTCTTCTTCATCCCCTTGCCCAACTCGGCTTCGATCAGAGTCGCATACCCATGGTCCAAGAAGTCCTCGAGCTGATACTCTTTCTTGGTGAACTGCTCGCCCAGAATCTTCGCCAGGGTCGCGACATTGGGATGCCAGTGTTCTTGGAGGGATCGTAATTCCCAAAGCGACGATTCGATTGCGTGTGTGAGCATGGGATCTGATTGAAGCGGGTCAAACGGGTCGTCCATCCCTTCTTCCGTGTACTTCGGCTGCGAAGAGTAAATGGCGTGCGCGGGATGATACGGTCTGTGCAACATGAATGTGCACGTTGGATGCTTGCGAAGGAGATTGTACACCCATGGCACAACCCACACAATGGCGCCGGGAGGCGCTTGCAAGCTCAGTCTCGCGAGTCGCTTGATGAAACTTGCGACCAGTGCTGCGGGCAAATGACTCGACGCCATAAACTGGTCGAGCAGTCGAAAGAACCGACTGCGGTGCTTGGTGTGCAAGATGTTCTCGTCAAGTAAACTGTACAGCTTGGTGTAGAAATCGGGATAGTCGAGGTTGCGTTGGGTCATGAGATGGAAGATACCGCTGAGTGCGAGCAGAGCAACCGACCCGCTTTCGTTGAAGGAGTCGGTGAGGAAGTCGGTCAAGATTTCCATGCGGTTGGAAAACCACGGCAATATTCGTTCAGTCATGATGTTGAGGATCGTCTTGCGATTGCTGGCCGTAAGAGCGGAGCGAAAGATGGAGAGCCAGCAGTCCTGCGCGATCTTGAGATGCGCGTTGAGGGACAGCAGCTGATGGCCTTTGACATCCGGAGATACACCGTACCAATCTTCCAACTGCTCATCTGACTCTGGTACACCTTCAACCTGCTTCAACAGATCGAGCGCATTGTCCAAATTCCCCGGTGTGCGGTTATCTCCCGCCGAGAAGAACTGCTTGATCGCAAGCATGGTGTAGAATCGCACATCGTCAAACTCTTCCACATATTTCTCCACAAACTCTTGAATTGCATCTTGAGCATTCGGTGTGGCAAGCAGTGTGGCGACCAACGAGTAGAATGTCGACCTGTCCGTCCTCCACGCTTGCTCTGCTCTTTTCCACTCTTGTGATGTCTCTGCCTTTACGATCCTCATCACCAGCGTGAGCGCAGTGCTCTTGAGGAATTCATCGGGTGTTCCAATCCAGTGTAACAGGGTACCGGTATATTCGCGGAGCTGCAGCTTGAGCCAACCTGCATTGTCCTGATCATCGGTCGGGCGTCGGATCAGCTGTTCGCTCGCGATGAGTCTGCAGAAGACTCGACATAGCGCCACAGCAGCAAGGGTGCTGGTCTTGGGCTTCTTCTTGACCTCGCTCAGGCAGTTCTGTAATTTGACAATGTTCTCGTCACGCTGCCGGAAATCGTGGACAAGTTGCTGTTCCCACCACAGGATCTCTTCCTTTCGGCTTTGTGTCACTTTCCGGTCCTTGAGATCTCTGGATTTGAGGAGTCTGGCAGGCACCACAGCATCTGTACGTTTCCTCTTGCGAGCGCCGCCGTTTGGCACCGTCAGCGACATCGTTGCCTGTCAAGAAGAGATGCGACAGACGCTCACGAACTTTTTGTGAAAGCAGACAAATTAGACTTTCACTTCCCGTCCGTGCGCGATTTCTTGGCGCCTCGGAAGCTGCAAAGCTCTGGGAAAGCAAAACGTCAACTCCCGTCCTCACCCCGATGACACGAAGCAGCAACACATAATGGCCTCGCGACTCTCTAGGGCCGCATTGGGTGCGTAGACACTGCCGCAAGACCGCAGATGACGTGCGTGGAAGCCACTGACTGACCATCTCCAGGCGCCGCCCGCCTCCGTCCCACCCTCCCTCTCCGAACCACCGCCCCATTGGCCACCTCCTTCACCACCTCCTCCCCCCGCTTCGAGTCCGGCGTGCCCCAGAAAGAGCCCAAGGATGCCGCGTCGTCGATCCTCAACGCCCTCCCGGGCAACAGCATCGCCTCCAAGACGGCCATCCTGTCCGCGGGCGCCGGCCTGTCCATTGCGGCCATCAGCAACGAGCTCTACGTCGTCAACGAGGAGAGCATCGTCTTCCTCTCCCTCCTGACCATCTACTGGGGTGTCTACACCTACGCTGGCCCCATGTACCGGGAGTGGGCCGAGGGCTACCATGACAAGGTCAAGGGCATCCTGAACACGGCGCGCGACGAGCACACCAATGCCGTCAAGTCGCGCATCAACAGCGTCAAAGACTTGGGCGGCGTCATTGACATTACCAAGGACTTGTTTGCCGTGTCCAAGGTGAGATGCAGCGGAGTGGTTGGTGATGGAATTCGCTGTACTGACTTGGTGTGTGTGTGCTAGGAAACCGCCCAGCTCGAGGCTCAGGCCTATGAACTCCAGCAAAAGGTCGACCTTGCACACGAGGCAAAGGCAGTGCTGGACTCGTGGGCGCGCTATGAGGGTCAAGTCAAGGCTCGGCAGCAGAGGGAGTTGGCCGAGGCGGTGATTGCGAAGATTGACAAGGAGTTGGATAACCCGAAGGTGCTCGACCAGATTCTCAAACAGGCCGTCGCCGATGTCGAGAGTGAGTCTACCTATGCTTTGGTTTGAGGTTCTTCTCCGGAGCGATGGCTAATCGATGATTACAGAAATCGTGCAACAGAAGCAATAGAAATGAGAGTCACGTGATCTGAGTGCGGGTAAATGGAAGGTGGTCTGGAACAGACACTGTACCGTGTACATAGCATAAAGATCTCATTTGTGAAACTACCCGCAAGTCCCTTTGTCTCCCCTACTCTAAAGTGCACCCGCCGCACCAACCGCGGCAGCTTTCACGCCATTGCCCTCCTTCATCGTAGCAAGACCGTTCGTGGCAGGAACCGGCTTGGCCGCCGACACACCAACCGCCGCCTTCGAAGGAATCATGAACCCCGAAAAGAAGCGATTGACAGCCCCAACATCCTCCAAAGGCCCCACATACGACACATACTGATCCGGGCGCAGCACCACCACACAGCCCTTCGATGAGATGTCGAAAGTCTCATACATCTTCCCATGTCCTTCGTGATACGACTCTTCATCCACGAGAATTTTGGAGTAGTCCCAGCCATCCACTTCGTCGTACGGGCGAAAGACTTCGGGGAAGTCGAAGATGGTCGTCGTTCCGCGGGGCGCGCTGTGCACGGCTAGCAACTCGAAGACGGCGTCGTGCGGAGAGTCTGGGGGAGTGAATTTGCGGAGGAAAGAGGACTGGTCGTTCATAGCTGCGCCTACGGCATCCAGCTTCGCCCGCTGCTCTGGTTTGGAGATGTCGCCGGGAAAGACGACGACGCGCCAGCGGCCATTGCTGGGGAGGAGTTCTTGGAAGTGCCAGGGGCGGGCATCGGATTGGTTGAGCACTTTCACGCTCGGCATTCGTTTGCCGACTAGGATGCCGGGGGCGAGGTCTTGTGTTGACTCGACGCGGAATTCTTGGGCGACTGATACGTCTGTTCCGTCGCCTTGGTCTTCTGGGTCTCCGGCTTTGGCGACTATGAGGCTTGCGCCGTAGTCGACGGCTTTGCATTCGTCAGTTGTGGTTGCATCACTTGACAGGCAGGGAAAGCAGGACTCACCAATCCCACTGGCAAACATGTTCCCCTTAACGAACGCTTCCTTGAATTCGTCCATGCTGATGCCCTCGGCGTCCATGACGTCTTTCGCCGGGCGACCGGAGAAGAGGCGGGAGAAGCGGTGGTCGAAATCGATGAGGTCCTGTGCGATGCGGCGGCGCTCGGATTGGTACGTTTTCAGGATTGAGCGAGAGGAGATGCCCTTGACGACGCTGGCGATTTTCCATCCTAGGTTGAAGGCTGGGGGTCGTTAGCTTTTGTGGAGTTTGGGAGGGCATGGGAAGGCGTACTGTCTTGCATGCTGACGTTCATTCCTTGGCCAGCTTTGGGGCTGTGGGTGTGGACGGCTAGAATGGTCATCAGATTTGATCTCAAATGGGTGATGTGCCTGCATACCATCTCCTGCCAGGAACACTCTCTCGTGGGCGGAGAAATTGGTGCCAACACGCTGACCGATTTGGTAGGCCGTCCACTGCGAAACATATCAGCGCAACTCTGACAAGAAATACTCACGGACTGCATACCCAATCCAGCTTCCTATAAGTGATCTTGTACGGCGCCATGATCCGCTGGGCCGAGGCCAGAATGGTGTCGGGGTTGATCTTGGTGCGGTCTGCTTTGGCTGCACCCCCGTCCGCCGCATTCTCGGTGGTCGTCAACTGAATATATAGCCGCACAAGCTTGTTCTCGCGAGGAATCACCATCACGCTCCCAGAATTGGCCGAGTGGATGGCACAGCGCATGCGAATGTCGGGGAAGTCGGTGATGGGCACGATATCCAGCACTCCCCAGATGAAATCGGTGCTGTCGCCCTGCAGGGTGAAACCCAGCTGATTGCGAGTCCAGGAGTGAGCACCGTCTGCTCCGAGCATGTACTTTGCTTTGACGATCTCCTCCGTGTTGGCTTTGGTGTCTAGCTTGGCGGCTTCGAGGATTTCGTGGGTATCGTCTGCTGTCATATTGCTGCGGAATAGGCCGTCCTGCACCGCTTGGCCATTGAAGGAGGTTGCGGTTTGCTGAGGAGTAGCCTCTTTCTCAGACAGATGACGGAGACGGACGGAAATGGGGTATGCGTCCGGGTCTTCCACCAACGACTGGTCGATAGTGAGTTCGGCCGGCAGCACGCCTCGTTCCACAGGGTGCGCGCCGCATTCTTGCATGGTGTCGAGGAAGAAGCGCTCGATGCGGCCTTGATGCAGCACCACTTGCTGGAACCTGCTGATGCCTGGGATGGTATCGGGGATGCGGTCGCTCAGTCGAATGACTCCAGCCTCATCCGGATTCCACAGCCGGATCTCGAGCATGTGGTTTGACTCTCGCCAGGCGCGGTGACCGAAGCCGAGAGAGTCGAAGATCTCGAGGGTGCGGCATTGTAAGCCTGTTTGGGGCAGGCATTAGGGCACTGATGTTCATGGACAGGATAATGTACGGAGGACATATGTACCATCCGCTTGTCCGTTGAAGATTTTGGTGCCGCGCTTGTCAACGATGCGCGTGTCGATTCCACATTTGGCCAGCCAGGTCGCCATCATCTAGGAAAGCCATCTGTCAGTGACTTTATCCGGTTGGAGAAGAACAGGAAAAGCGAGACATGCCAGTCCTGCGGGCCCGGCACCGATGATGAGGACATCGGTGTGGCTGATTGAGACATCGGTGGTAGGCATGACTTCAGGAGCCTGGTATAAAGATGCTGAATGATTAACGACGACTTGATTCCGTACGTTGGTAGACTTGATGAATGGCACTGGCCCAAACCTTTGACCGTAGCGAAGATGAAAGTAGGTGCAATCATCAGACCTGCAAGAGGCCAATCGCCCCCAGCATCTCCCCGCACAATGATGCTCTCAGATCCTTACCTGTTCCTGAAATCGAGTCTTCAAGTACCAACCCGCAGTCATGGGAATAAGGAAGCTAGCTGCTGGCACTTCATCGCGGCAGATGCGGCGCAGCGTTAACAACATCTGTGCAACGGGTATTACCCAGGCCTTGCAGGCCAAAAACATGAGTCGAATCTCATCTATTCTGCGAGCCGCATCTCTACTTGATGCAGTCTTCGCGGGAACCCTTGTTGGTGGATCCGGAGTGCAGCTCTACGCCGCCTTGTTCCCGAGGAGATGTCGGATCAGCGCTGGTTGCCACACTTTCGACCCGTTGCAGTGTGGGGCGAGAGTGAGTAGGAATCGCGGTGATCTGTCTCTGTATGAAAAGGCCATTGTCTCTGTAGGTGATCCTTCCCACCGTCGAGGACGGCAAGACGTCTCCACTCAGCTGGGCATCGGTCTTGAGCAGCGGTCTGGCCCCTGGCTTTCCCCAGCTTCTCCACATCATTCTCGTGGGCTCGGCAATCGCGTCGGCGGAAGACCTCAAGTATACCTTGTCTCTTGCGTGAAGAATGCAAGTGTAGACTCTGTACACTTACAGATGATGTGAATGTGAGCTCCTCTCCGTCGAAAGAAAGACATCCACTCCCACAGCATGGCCACTTCATCCCTCCCAAACGGCGACACCGCGTCTCCACCCGACGACAAAATCATAGAAACACAATTCCTAATCGTCGGCGCCGGCCCAGCAGGCGCCAGCCTCGCCTGCTTCCTCGCAGAATACGGGCTGACCGGCATCGTGGTCGTGAAAGCCCCGGGCGTAGCCAAAGAACCGCGAGCCCACATCACCAACCCCGGCGCCCTCGAATGCATGCGCGACATCGGGCTCGAAGGCGAGTGCCTGCGCAACGCCACGCCGGGCAACTGCATGCAGCATACGCGCTGGTGCCGCACCATGGCCGGCGAGGAGTGGGCGCGGATTCACTCGTGGGGCAACCAGCCGGATCGCCGGGGCGAGTACGATGCCATGTCGCCTTGCAAGCACGTCGATCTACCGCAGACGCTTTTCGAGCCGATTCTCGTTACGCGCGCTGTGAACAAGGGGTGGAAGGTGCGGTTTGATTCGGCGTGGGTCAGGTACGAGCGCGACTCGCCGGATGGGCTCATCACGTCTACGATTGAGGATATGATTACCGGGCGCACATATCGAATTCGATCAAAGTATCTATTTGGGTGCGATGGGGGCCAGAGTCGGGTGATGAAGCAGCTTGATATCCCTCTCAAGCGAGATCCCGGCCAAGGACTAGCAATCAATATCCTCGTCAAGGCGGATCTGTCGAAGCTGGTGACCAACCGAACGGGCAATCTGCATTGGGTCTTCACCCCCGACATCCAGTACCCATTATGGGGCTGGTCGATGCTGTTTCGCATGGTGAAGGCGTGGGACGAGTGGATGCTTATCACAATACCGCATCCGTCGTTTGACGATTTCAAGATCCGTCCGTCGGATGAAGAGTATCTCAAGCGAGCTCGCCAGTGCCTCGGAGACGACAGCATCGACATCGAAATCCTCGACGCGTCGAAGTGGTATATCAACGAGATTGTGGCGGAGCGCTACAGCGATGGGAATATCTTGTGCTTTGGCGACGCCACTCACCGCCATCCGCCGTTCAATGGGCTGGGATCGAATACGTGCGTTCAAGACGCTTACAACTTGGCCTGGAAGATTGCGTTCGTGGAGAAGGGGCTGGCGGATCCTAAATTGCTGGACTCATTCAGTCTTGAACGGCAGCCTGTGGGAGAGGGCGTAATTCGACGAGCAAATCAAGGACTTCGAGATCACATCCCTGTCTTTGAAGCGCTCGGCGTTCTACCATTGACCCTTGAGGAGCGTATGAAACAACATGGCGAACTCGCAGCACCGACTGAAGCCGGAAAGATCAGAAGGAAGAAGCTACAAGATGCAATTAAATACACCGAGCACGAGTTCGGAGGGGTACGTCTCGCAGTTCAAATGAAGTAGGGTAGATTCTGACTGACTGTCTCCAACAGGTTGGACAAGAGATGAACTACTGGTACGAGTCCGACGGCATATACACCAAAGACGAAAAGCAGCCCCGTCCACCTTTGCCGAAAGATTATGTCCTCCACTACCAAATCACCACCTACCCCGGAGCACGATGTCCACATGCTTGGCTCAATACCCGTACACCTGTCGAACCCATCTCCACCCAAGACCTGGCTGGCCACGGTGCATTCTGTCTCTTGACCGGACCTGGCGGAGAGAGATGGAAAGACGCTGTGCAGAACGCAAGCGAACAGCTGGGCATCCCGATTAACGTGTATAGCATTGGCTGGATGCAAGACTGGGAGGATGTGTACGACGACTGGGCCCGACGGCGAGAAGTGGAGGAAGATGGATGTGTGCTGCTGCGGCCGGATCGAGTGGTGTGCTGGCGGAGCATGACGATGCGAGAAGACTGCGATGCGCATCTGCTGAGTGTGTTGGAAGCTGTGTTGGGGAAGAGATGAAGTAGAGAGCATGTTTCTATATCTATGAGTCGTTTCGACTGATTCACATCACCGCACCACGTTCATCTCCTGTAACTTCTCCGCGCCGTGCACAACATCACCGTTGAGCTGCTTCCCCTTGAAAATGGCTTGCATGACGCTCTCGAGCCTTCGCACTGCCTCGTCTCCAATTTGATAATGCACCACCAGCCGTCCACCTCGCAGTCTCAACCCCGCCTTCTCCCCAAGTTCAATAAACTTCTCCACCGACACACCCGCCGCCTCGAGGTCGAACCACACCATATTCGTCTCCACCGGGTTCGCAGTCTTGCCTCCATACCCCTCCCACAGCTTCGCAATCTGCCGCGCTCGTTCGTGCGTCGCCGCTAGCTTTCCCCCGAGGAAGGTGTCTTCTACACTCACTCGTGCGGCGGCGGTGACTACGCCTGCCTGCCTCAGACCTCCGCCGATAGTCTTTCGGACCCATCGTGAGCGCTGGATAAACGCTTTGGTTCCAACGATGATACTCCCAATCGGTGCTCCCAGCCCTTTCGAAAAGCAAAGAGACATGCTGTCGAAGCAATCGCTGTACTCCTTCAAACTCCCCGCTCCGGCAGCCACGGCCTCCCACAGCCTCGCGCCGTCCAAATGCATAATGAGATTGTGTTCGCGAGCCCACTTGCTTATCCGGCGACACTCTTCCAGAGGCGTCACAATGCCATTCAGCGTGTTCTCCAACGAAATAAGCTTAGTCGGACACGTATGCACATCATCGCTCATCACCGTCTCCTTCTGCACGTCTTCGAGCGTCATGTACTTCCCATTGCTAGGGCGGACGACGCGCATCACCGCGCCGCACAAACTCGACACGCCGCCTGCTTCGTGGCAGTAGATGTGCGAGCGATAGTCGCACACCACGCTGTGAGGGGGTGCGTTCAAATGGGCGCGGATGGCGACTTGGTTGCCCATTGTGCCGCTCAGGACGAGCAGGGCGGCTTCCTTGCCTGTCAAGTCGGCGATGAAGGTCTCGAGGTTGATGGTTGTGGGGTCTTCTTGGAAGACATCGTCGAGGAGCGTGGTGCTTGCAATGGCATCGAGCATGCGTGTGGTGGGCGTGGTGACGATGTCGCCTGGGGAGAGTGCGGATGTCAGGGCGGGAGTCTGGACGAGAATACGGGGTGGACATCGTACGCACTGCGGAAGTCGAAAGCGGCCACGCCTGGGCTTGACCAGTTATTCACTTTCACTTGGCCATTCGCCAGGTGTTTCGCTTCTGCTTCGATGCTCTGCGCTTTGGTCGTCATGTTGGCTTCAGGATCAGTCTTTAAGAACAATTGGGCCAGGAGTATCGCTTTGATCAAGAAAACGTCAAACGATGCAAGCAGTAAGTTCTCGAGAGCGTAGCTCCGCGATCGGTGAGGTACAGCTGGGGCGTCTTTACCTGCCTAATCGAGAGTAGTGCCTGCCTTTTGCGGAAGACAGTCTTACTCAGGCTGACTAAAATCCTACCAGGCTGGGCCCTGCACGTGGGTTCTGTTATTCCGGCCGTTTGAGACGTGCACTGCTTACGATACTCTGCCGCCCTTCTCGGAGCAATGACTAAAACGTGGCGCTCAACAGCACTGCTTTTATTTGCTGCCTTGATCTCCCTCCACGTCGATTCCTTGCGTCGTCTTAGTCAAACAAACATATCGCCTTCTGTGGCCAGCCTCTGGCTTAGGGAGAGGACAAGGCCTGCGTACAACATTCGTTAGCTTCTCGCCATCGGATTGGATGGGGGAGGGCACCAGCGCTGCAAGACTGCGGTACATTTTACACAGTCGACAGTTTCCAGAATGTCGACTCGATCGACGCCAGCCATCTACACAGGATTTTGGATCGAGTGGAACGAGGGCCGGATCAAAGGCGCAACGCTGACACTGTCCAACCGACATGGCGCCTACTTGATAGCCTTCCTTGCCCTCTTCGTCCATATCGCCGGCTCCAGCTTCTGGAGACTTTCGAGTTTCTTCTTGTTCCGACGCAGAACTCATCCTGGTCTCCATGACAAGTCAGCATTACAGCAGCAAGCGATCCTGCGCAACGGATCCTCCGCCTTCACAGCCTTGCGTCGACTCGCTACGGCCGCCGTGCTTGCACGCCCACGCCAAATGGCCCAACGCTGGGGGCTGTTGACGTGGGCAATAGTGAGCTTTGCTGGATTCCTTGCTGCCAGCACATTGTCTTCTAAAGTATCGTTCAAACGGTCGAACGTTTTGCTGGAACCCACAAACTGCGGTCGGTGGTGGGAATTCGGATTCAATCGTCCGGGCGGCTATGGAGTCGCAAGTGCATCAGCATTCGTGCAGCTCATGGTTGAGCAGGCAGCGACCACACAGCTTCGTACCACGAGCCACCAATATGCATCGGTATGTGGTTCGGACACGACACCTAGAGATCATTGCCTCTGGTTCGCACGAAACCCAATCGCCTTCAGCACTAATCTGCACGCCCCATGTCCATTCCATCCAAGTATTTGTCTTGCAGGCAAAGCTTTCTCCGTCGACTCTGGATGGATAAATTCCGATGTTGAACTGGGCATCAATGGCTATCCCGAAGATCGAATAAAGATGCGGATCAACAAGACCTGTGCACCGCTGAAGCGGGATGGCTATACGAAAATGTACGATTCGACTAATATATCATCGATCATTGTCCCGCCAGTAACGCCCGCCCAATTGTTCGACTTTCCAACAGCATCTTCGAATTTTGAGGCATTCTTCTACGGGCCGCAAGTGGGCCTCTCAAACGCAACTTTCATCTACGATAGCGCCGCTCGGATGAGATTGGATGGCGAGTCAAATACCGTTTGGAGGTATCTGTTGAAGTAAGCATGGAATGATCGAGGTAAAGCAATTTCAACTGACGTACTTAGCACGGAAGTCTACCAAGGTTGCGCGCCTTTTTCTCGTGCCGAGTGCGCGTCCACTTTCCAGCCAATTCCCGAGCTTCTGGGATCCAGCCAGGATATCACTTTGATATTCTTATCGTCAGACGTACAGTACCTGGGTCCAGTAACCGATCCCTGGTTCGACGCTCAAATATGTGACCCGGCAAGACTTTTCCCCGATGTGACTGTCTGCCAGCGCAGCTCTCCAACCACCGTTCTTGGATGTGTCGAGGAGACGGAGATGTGTGCTGATGGAACGACTGAGGGTAGCAAATGTGTAAAACTACAGGCGAACGGTCTTCCGTATGATCAAAACGCCCCGGGGTGGCCGAATCTCACTCAACTACTCAATCTCAGCCCACGACAGGCCTCGATAGCCTCGCGTTTACAGGACGCCAGCTACCGAAGCGGCCTCGTGGATATCGTCTTGGCGATGGGTCCAGCCAATTTGTTGGCGCTTCAAAAACTTGGAGCCGCATATGGCACCCCTCTTCCAGAAGACCAATGGACGAAGGAGGTCGAGAACTGGTTCAACACGGCGCTTGTCAACATGCAGCTGTACAATACCCAATTTGTCACCGGTTGGCAGAACGCAGAGGCGAATTCGCACGTAACACCGCCGGCGGAAGCGGAAGCGTGGATGTGCAATGCTCAGGTGGTCCAGAGCAACGCTTTCTCATCTGTACGTAATTCTTGCATGTAACAGGCTTGACATTGCGCCGGCCGATAATTGAAAATCGCCTCGAGATATGGCCAAGTCAACGCTTACCTTTCCCCCCGATGCTCCTACCACCCAGATGAAATTCTGCTAACTTTGCGGATTACAGTTCAGTGTCTTGGGCCTGTGCACGATTCTCGCCATCGGTGGCGTGCTCATTACCTTGGAGCTATGTCTTCCTCGAGTTTGGCATCGGTTCGTCCCATCGACACCCCTCAACACGTACCGCAAGAAGGACTGGGAGGAATTCGATCTTCTCGAGATGACGAAGGAAGTCGTCGAAAAGTGACTGCCAGAGCACCGACCTGCTTCGGACGATCTATCGCCTGGCCCGGCGAAAGGTGGGAACGTGGTGGCCATAGTACGGAGAAATTCCAAAGAGTCTACAGGGCAAGGGTAGGTTTCGTGTGGCGACTAGATAACGACCGCCCAGCTCTGACCAGGGCAGTTGTTCACTTTCACCTAGCTATTAGCCAGATATTTCGCTTCTGCTTCGATGCTGTGCGCTTTGCTCGCCATTTTGATGTCGACGAACCACGAAATGTCGCGTTAATTAAGAAGACATTGAACGTTGTAAGCAGCAAGTTTTGAAGAGTGTAACTCCGCCATCGGCGCGTATGAGCACGTTAGGCTGGGACGTCTTCACCTGCCTAATCGAGGGTAGTGCCTTCCCCTTGAGGACGCCCACGGACACCACCCCGCAGGCTGCCTCTTTCATGGTCACATCACCGAAACGAAACCAGTCGCAGGCCCAGCATTGATCCGCCCGTGGTGTCTTTGTATCTCCCGACACTCCCATGGACTTCATCCCACAGGCTTCCGCATCGAGAATGCACCTCTCGCTCCGCGCGAAGAAGGGCATCGACAAATACCCCGCCAAAGCACACGCCCAGCGCGTCGGCGACCAGCTCGGCCGGGAAAAATGCATTGTTGCGCTCGTTGGCGAGAAGGCGGAATTCTTCTCCAACTCGGACATGCCCCGGCCGTTCCGACAGGATCGCTACTTCTACTACATTTCTGGATGCAGTGAACCCGGCTGCTCGGTGACGTACGATGTCGAGCATGACAAGTTGACGCTGTGGCTGCCTCCTATCAATTTGGACCGCGTGTACTATGACGGTCGAGGAAGTACGGTTGAGCAGGCGATGGAGCTGTACGATATTGACGAAGCCGTTTACCTGGAACATGATGAGCGCTCGAATAGCAATCTATGCGACTGGGTGAATCAAAGGAAAGCAGATGGCTGCGAATGCATCTTCATCCGGAACCCGTTGTCTGGCGTGGACCTGTCACTGTATGGAAGAGAGGTGGACCGCCCTGAGAGCCCGGGATTGACGTTGAGGAAGGCCATGAACGCTTGTCGGGCTGTGAAAGACGAGCACGAAATCGCGCTGATTCGAAAGGCCAATGCCGTGTCTGCCGAGGGCCATGTTGCCATTTTGAAATCCCTTCATCGCTTGCACAGCGAGCCGGAGGTCGAGGGTGTCTACCGAGGCACTTGCATCAGTCTGGGCACGACGGAGCAGTCTTATGGCCCCATTTGTGGCGCCGGAGAGCATGCCAGTCAACTTCATTACGTGACCAACAAATCGCAATTCGCCGACGCGGAAGTGCTGCTGATAGACGCCGGAGCAGAATGGGAATGCTATGCGTCGGATGTCACGCGCACCATGCCCATCAACAAACACGAGCCCGGTACGTGGAAGTCGAAAGAGGCAAAGGCGGTATACAAGCACGTCGAGAAGATCCAGGAGAAATGCATCGCCATGCTTCGGCCGGGTGTGCACTTCATGGATGTCATGCTCCATTCCGTCCACATGGCCATCGACGCCCTGCTCGATCTGGGCATCCTGAAGGGCAAGCATATGGACATCTTTCACGATGGCGTCTCCGCTGGCTTCTACCCGCATGGTCTGGGCCACCACATCGGTCTTGAGGTCCACGACGTAGAGCCTCCTACGATCAAGGCCCAAGATAAAGAGGAGCCCTGGAAAGCAAGATTCGCAGACCTGCAACAAGCACATGCCCGTTACGTCGAGTCGACAGGAACATCTCTGTACTCGGCTCAAACGACGTCCACAGAACCCCGACACTTCAGCATCGATCCTACCAAATGCCTTTCGCCGAGCACACCAGCTGACGCACCTCTTACACCCGGGATGGTCGTGACGATCGAGCCGGGTATCTACTTTAATGCATTCGTTTTGGAGACGTTTTATCTTGACCATCCCGAGCATCGAAAGTATATCGACCGGAAGGTGTTGGAGCGGTACATGCATGTTGGCGGTGTAAGGATCGAGGACGACATCCTGATTACGAAAGACGGATACGAAAATTTGACCACCGCGCCGAAAGGAGAGGAGATGTTGAGGATTATTCGAAAAGGCAAGAAGTAGTAGTTAGCATCATGTGATTTATGCCTCAGGCATCAACTCTCAAACTTTCCCGACGCCTCGCGTCTCTCCCGCCGCGAAGTCTGAAATTTATTCATTGCGTGATTGCGACCATCCTCCATCTGCGCCAACACTAAACCAACCTCACTCAACATGGCCCAAGGCGAGGCCCCACGGCAGAATGCCTTCCGGGATAAGGAGAAGCCCACCGCTGTGCGCTCAGGCAACATCACAGCTGCCCGGGCGGTGGCAGATGCCATCACAACATCTCTGGGCCCGAGAGGAAGTAGGTGTACTGGCATCGCATAGACGGGCCCACGGCTGACGAGTTTGACAGTGGACAAGATGATTCAGACGGGCAAGGGAGAGACAATTGTAAGGCAGTCTTGATAAGTCTTTGGGCATTTCCGTTGGCTAATACTATACCAGATCACAAACGACGGTGCTACCGCCCTCCGCCAAATGGGCCTCCAACACCCCGCCGCACGAATGCTCGTCGACCTCTCACACGCACAAGACATCGAAGCAGGAGATGGCACAACGTCCGTGGTGGTGATTGCCGGCAGTCTGCTCGGCGCGGCCGAGCGACTCCTGGGCAAAGGCATCCACCCCACCGTCATCAGCGAATCCTTCCAACGCGCAGCCAAGCAAGCCGTGCAGATATTAGAGGGCATGTCTGTGCCCATCAATCTCGCCGACCGTCAGACCCTCCTCAAAGCCGCTTCCACCTCCCTCAGCTCCAAGATTGTGTCTCAAGAACCCAAGCTTGCGCCGATGGCTGTTGATGCGGTTCTCCGCACCATCAACCCCAACAACGCCTCCAATGTCGACCTCAGAAATATTAGAGTGTTGAAGAAGTCTGGAGGAGTCATAGACGACAGTGAGATGGTGGACGGGCTGGTGTTGAGCCAGCAGGCAGCGAAGAGCGCCGGTGGGCCCACACGGATAGAAAAGGCAAAGATTGGACTCATCCAGTTCCAGCTCTCCCCGCCGAAACCCGACATGGAGAACCAGATTGTCGTCAACGACTATCGCCAAATGGACAAGATCCTGAAAGAGGAGCGCACCTACCTGCTCAACATGGTCAAGAAGATCAAAAAGGCCAAGTGCAACGTCCTGCTCGTCCAAAAGTCCATCCTGCGCGACGCCGTCAACGACCTGTCCCTCCACTTCCTCTACAAACTCGGCATCATGTGCGTCAAAGACATTGAGCGGGACGAGGTGGAGTTCATCTGCAAATCCACCGGCTGCAAACCCATTGCAGACATCGACTCCTTTACCGAAGATAAGCTGGGCTCTGCCGACCTTGTTGAGGAAGTATCTTTCCTCGGCTCGCGCTACACGAAAGTCACAGGCGTCAAGCACAGCAACCCCGGCGCCCCGCGCACCGTGTCCATTGTCGCGCGTGGTGCAAACCCCTTGATCCTTGACGAGGCAGAGCGCAGCTTACATGATGCCATGTGTGTCATTCGCTGTCTCGTAAAGAAGCGTGCCCTCTTACCTGGTGGAGGAGCACCAGAGATGGCGGTCTCGACGCAGCTGGCGCAAATGAGCACCACGCTCAACTACCCGGATGCCATTTGCTTCAAAGCGTTTGCCGACGCGCTAGAGGTGGTACCTGTAACCTTGGCGGAAAATGCGGGGCTTAACAGCATCAAGGTTGTGACGGAGCTGCGCGCGAGACATGCCAAAGGCGAGACGAACATGGGCGTGAGCATCAAGCGCGGCGGCGTGGGCATGATGGGCGGCGAGGACAAGAGCAGCGCGAGCGCGGAGGCGGTCATGCAGCCTCTGCTGGTGTCGACGAGCGCGATTGAGCTGGCGAGCGAGACGGTCAAGATGATTTTGCGCATCGACGATATCGCATTGAGCAGGTAGTGCAGACATGCCACGATAAACCAATGACTCGTCGATCTTGTAGCCTCTGGAACTCGTAGCGACCAATGCTACCCTGGTGGACCCTTGCGCGGCCTGTACCGAAGCCCGTTCGCAGCGACATCTCTCGCGAACCGCTGTGATCGGCGCGCCCCACATAATAAAATTCCCCGGACGAACGACATGTCCATGCCTCTACTCGCTTACAATGAGCTTGTCTTGCGCCCCCAGTTGCTTGTTTCGCTTGGGCGTATACGCCGCAGGTACCGTTGCAGTTCTTTCGCAGCGCGCGCAACTCCTTGCCACATCCGTCACTCGTCCGCCCGTAAGCCACAGTCGGAGGGAGCCTCGCCTCGCTACGACCGGAAAGAGGGCGTGCAATTCGCTGTGCGACGGCCTCTTCGCCTCTTACGGCCGCCTGCTTGCCCCGGCTCGCTTTTTCGTTTTGGGGTTTTACCGCAGCTCGTTGGCTGCTATGGGGCGCGTTACACCCGGCTGCAACGAGAGTTCTCGCGAAAGAGATTGTGTTGATCGTTTCGCACGCCCGTGGTTCCGAGACTCGCGAGGGCGGCATGGGGAGTGTGTATATGAAGGCCCCGTTTCGCTCTGTTGGGTTTGCGATTGCCGTGTGGACTTTACTCTCGACTGTGGTGACGCTCGTTGACTTTCTCTTCTCTTGGACCCTCGTTCGGCCGTCCATCCATCATGTTCTTCTCCACCCTCATCCCCGCCGCACTGTGTGCGGTGAGTGTCTCGGCGGCGCTGTCGCCGCCAGTCCTCCACCAGCAAAACATGGTCGACCGGGCTGAGGTCCAGCTGCACTCTTCGTCCGACTCCGAGGCGGGGCCGTGCGGAGAGAAGCCGACGGAGACCACGTTCGTCAACACCGGCGCCTGCTACCCGCTCGACTCGCGCGCCGTTTCCGTCAACCCTCTTGAGGACCGCGACTGCGAGTACCACCTCTTCACCGGCTCGTCTGACTGCGACGCCGATGGCTCGTTGCTGACCAAGACGTCGCTGCTCGCCGGCGGCGAGGCATCGTGCGTCGAGACTGGCATCGAAGACGAGGAAAACGACGAAGCGAGCGCCATGCTGGTGTGCAGCTCCACGGTCAAGCCTGACTTGAAGCGTCGCCAATTCCCCGGTGACCGCAACCCATTCGGCCTGCCGCCTTTCAACCCCGACCCATTCAACGATGACCCATTCCCCGACCCGTTCAACCCCGACCCATTTGGACCGCATGAGCCTAACAATCCTTTTGGCCTGCCGCCGTTCAATCCCAACCCATTTGGACCGCATCAACCCAACGACCCATTTGGCTTCCCGTTCCCTCCATTCAGGCCGCCTCCTCCGATCCCGACCGTTTTTTAGAGGATTTCTAATGGGAGCGGGGTGGACGAGGGTGATTTTCCTTCTTTCTATTCACCAATCACATATGTACACCCTTCCGGGCCCATCCACACTTCGTGGCGGCGATTGGCGTCGACATCGACTCGCGCTCCGGGCCCGAAAGTTTCTTTCCTTGGTTCCTTATCGTCGGGATAGCTTATTGTCAGCTCGCCGCGGAGAAGCAGATGGGTGGAGAGTGCTTGGTGGCGATGCGGGGAGTAGTAGGCATTCCTGGGGTTGGTTAATTTCGTATAGCTAAATGTGGTGGAGCGGGATGCCTTACGGCCCGTCGGTCCAGGTGAAGACGTGGTCTGAGTCTGTTAGGCGTTGCAGATAGACGGCAGCCATGAGATACTCACTGAATCCCCATGACCGCACTTCGGCTTCGGCATCTTTCTTCGATCTCGCCATGTTTCCTTCGTCCAGATGGCGTGCAGCACTTGTACACCACCTGCAAGCCCCGATGCTACCTCGTAAAGCCCTTGTCCAGTCGAGAGCACTCTAGTTGCATATAGTACGAGACGACGTTACTGGATGAAGTCAAGAGGCGTCAGTCGTTGGGGGAAGAAGCGGTGGCGTGATCGTCATGAAAACGAAAGGTGGAGACGTCACGCCCCCCCGCACGTGCTGCCCCGCTCTTTCCGGGCGAAGCTTCACTGCAGCTGCACTCTAGAAGAAGCTTGATCATTCCCACTCTTCTTGGCTCTTCATTCCTCCTGGGTCTCTGGGTACCTGAGCTGACGGTACCTTGGTAACCACTGCTGTGCTCGAGGTCAAGATGAAGGTAGACGTCGCTGTTGCTTGCCTGTCGATCGTCGGCTCCAGCCTTGCGAGCCGAGACGCTTTCTATGGCAAGCACCTCAAGAATGTCCCGAAACGATTTGCGCCGGCAGAGCCGCGTGCTGAGGTTCGCGACGAATCCACCTTCCGATTTCTGACGAACAATACACAAAGTAAGGATCGCTTGCTGTCCGCAAGAATGTGCTTCTGGCTGACCCATGGACAGAGTACAAGGTCGACTCGCTGCCCGACGTGCCGTTTGATGTCGGCGAATTGTACTCTGGACTCGTTCCGATCAACAACACCAACACCAGCAATGCTTTGTTCTTCATCTATCAGCCGACGACTGGACCGCCTGTAGACGAGGTCACTGTATATCTTAATGGTGGGCCTGGCTGGTCCAGTTTCGAATCCTTCTTCCAGGAAACCGGCCGCATCACGTGGCAAGCTGGAACGTTTGAGCCCGTCATCAACCCGTATTCTTGGGTCAATCTCACCAACATGCTGTACGGTATGTTGTTGCTCAGAGCTGTCTTGTGGGTCAAAGACATGCTGACTCCAGAGTAGTCGATCAGCCCATTGGGACAGGATTCTCCATCGGCACTCCGACGGCCACGAACGAAGTCGAGAGCGCACAGCAGTTCATTCAATTCTTCAAGAACTTTGAGCAGATCTTTGGAATCAAGAATTACAAGATCTACATGACGGGTATGTTCCTCTGAGGGTCGGCAAAGGATGTCTCGCTCAACACGTACTTTCGCAGGTGAATCTTATGCTGGCCGCTACGTTCCGTACATTTCAGCTGCGATGCTGGATGCAAATGATACCGAGTACTACAATTTGTCGGGAGCGGTATGTTTGACTCGTCCGTTAATGGACATCGACGCTGACTTTCCCACAGCTCGTGTACGATCCCTGCATCGGAAATTGGGATTATGTCCAACAGGAGATTGTGAGTCTGCCCGTTGTTGATCACATATAGCATTGGGAATGCAATTTGAAAACTCCATCACGGCTAACACACATCACAGCCTCTCGTCCCCTTTGTGCAATCGAATCTGAACGTCATGGGCTTCAATTCCACCTTCATGGCTCATACAGAATCCCTCTTCGAGTCTTGCGGCTACAAAGACTACATCGAGAAGTACCTCGTCTACCCCTCGGCCGGACAGCAGCCCGCAGTCTTCTACAACTCTTCCGAAGGTCGCAACGCCACTTGTGACGTCTGGGACATGTTTGATCAGGCGGCATTCGCCGTCAATCCTTGCTTTGATGTGTACGATGTCTCGAATGCTTGTCCTCTACTCTGGGACGTGCTCGGTCACCAAACGCAGTTTAATTATATTCCGGCGGGTGCTCAGGTGTATCCAAACAGGACAGATGTGAAAACCGCGATGCATGCACCGGATATCAACTGGTATCTGGATCAGAATATGGTTCCTGTCTTTGTGGCAGACAACGGGGAAGGCGGGCCAGAAATGCAAGGCGGTGAGTCGTTACTGGTGCTATTATGGAGAGATTTCCGGATCCTAATAGATACCAGACACCTCGCCCGATCCCATCCAGCATGTCCTTCCACAAGTGATTGAGGCCACAAATCGAGTTCTGATCGCCAACGGCGACTTGGACATGGTCATCATCACAAACGGGACTCTCATGTCAATTCAAAATATGACATGGAACGGTAAGCTCCCTCTGGAAGATGTGTACCTCTCGCTCTACAGCCGCTGACAATATCTGTGTTCACAGGCAAGATGGGCTTCGAAAGCAAGCCCAGTGCCGAGCTCATCGTCGACATTCCAGACTTGCAATACCAACAATGGTTCAACGGCACCTACCTTCAAGGCTGGGATGGTCCTCAAGGCGTTGTAGGCACCTATCACTACGAGCGTGGGCTGATGTGGGCGGAGACGTTCCTGAGTGCACACACGCAGCCTGCGTCGCAGCCCAGAGCGTCGTACAAGCATTTGCAGTGGCTGTTGGGGCGTATTGATAGTCTGTGAGAGTGCGGAGGTCTTGGATACCTACGTACTGCTCTGTGGTTCGCGTGGGGCTGTGTTGGGTATAGGTGATTTTAGAGAATGGTCACGTGATATTACGTAATGTCATGAGGCATCAACCTAATGCATACGACGTGCTGCTGTCCAAGTTGTCTAAGCTGTGCCAACATTGAGAAGACAGTAGACAGCGGCGTTTTCGTGCTAAAGCATTGGCGTTGCATGCGTTCAGCGGTCAGGTGTATGTTGTTTTCGTGCCGACCGCAGCCATTCCGCACTAGCAATTGCACCCGCTGAAGTGGAAGACCAGCGGCATTCCACAATCAACCACCTTTCTGTTTCCTGGTTGAATAGCACGCACCAGGAGACCAGCCCGCAAAAGATGGCAACAAACCCGCCGCCAATCCCACAGCTCTCCGATGCGATACTGCAGCACTTGAAACGGGAGTTTTCGAAGCAAGACAGTCCACCGGCCAACGGCTTCAACGATTTCCTCGCCCACCTCACCAGTGCCGAATCATCATCCGCTTCACCTATAGAAGTCGACACAAGCCTTCCGCTCTCCCAGTACTTTATCTCCACCAGCCACAATTCCTACCTGTCGGGAAATCAGCTTTGGAGCCGGGCGAGCACCGATGCTTATCGGGAGATCCTGCTGCGGCGATGTCGGTGTATTGAGATTGATGTGTGGGATGGGGAGGAGTCGTCGCCTGCCCAGTCAGAAGATGAAGGCAGCGAGGTCGGAAAGTTGGAGCGTGCTATGAAGAAGGGGTTGGGGAGGTTCCGCTCGAGCTCATCAGGTACGAAGGGCGCGGAGGGAGCTGACGATCGAGAGTCTGGAGCGCACGGCGACGAAGTCGATAAGATTAAAGGCTTTGTCAGGAAAGGACTGACGCATTTCCGCTCTGGATCAAGTGGCCAACCTGAAGGCAAGAAGAAACCTACCGAGGACGCTCGAGTACAAGACGAAGATCGACGTACTCAGTCTGCAGAACAGATCGAGCCTCGTGTCCTACATGGCCATACGGCAACACGAGAGATCCCCTTTCGCAGCGTGTGCGAAGTCATCCGCGACTGTGCTTTCCGCACCACCAACCTACCGCTTATTGTCAGTCTCGAAGTCCATTGCAGCTCGGCCCAACAAGAAGTTATGATCGAACTCATGACCGAGTACTGGAAACAGTATCTAGTCCCACTGCCCGATGATGTATCCGACCAAATTCCACTACCATCCTTGGAGAGCTTGAAGAACCGGATTCTAATCAAAGTGAAATACACTCCACCGGAGAAGGCCAAACACAAAGCGAGAGAGACCAGCGCCAGCGAAGTCGATTCGTCAGATGACGAAGAGCAACAGGAGCCCGTCAAGAAGGGCAAGATCATCGAAGCACTGAGTGCGATGGGCATCTACACCCGCTCCTATCATTTCAGCAAGTTCACACAACCCGAAGCGCGCATCCCAACGCACATCTTCTCGATGTCAGAGCGGAAGCTGTTGGCTTTACAGCAGGAGGGCTCTGGGGATCTATTCAAGCACAACTTGGAATACATGGTCCGAGCGTATCCGAAAGGCCTGAGAGTGCTGTCTTCCAATCTCGACCCTGCGCCTGTCTGGAGGCAGGGCGTGCAGATGGTCGCGCTCAATTGGCAGAGAGCCAATGCTGCCATGATGCTTAATGAGGCTTTGTTTGAGGGGACAGGTGGCTGGGTTGCGAAGCCGGAGGGGTATCGGAAGGTGCTGACGGGGCAGCAGCTGGAGGTGAGGCGACGCTCTTTCGACCTTCACATGCGAATATTGGCGGCGCAAGACTTGGACAAAGAGGCGGGGGATGCGCCGCGGGCCTTCGTCAAGGTGGAGCTTCACGTGGGAAATGAACGAGCTGAACCGCTGTCCCACGACGACGTGAAGAACAAAGGCGGAGACGTGAAACGTTCGACGGCCGTGCACCACAGCAAGCATCCCGATTTCGAGAGCGAAGTCTTGCAGTTTCCCGGTATCAAGGATGTTGTTGAGCAGCTGAGCTTCATTCGCATCAAGGTCTGTGACGACGACAGGTTCTCCAAAGATCGCCTCCTCGGGTGGACGTGTTTCAGACTGGATCGCTTTCCGACTGGGCTGAAATTACTTCCCCTGCGGGACCAGGATGCGAGGCCGAATGGTGCAGTACTACTCGTGGACAGTCAGCTGCGGTGGACAGGGTGAGTTGGCGCCACCTTCACGGCTTTGCGAGCCTGCACGAGCATCCTTGGAGGGGAGGGAAGCCGGTGCGTGCGCGGTCACACACCGCTCGATGTGGCAAAAAGACGTGGCCTGGTTCTGCCAATGAGATGTCAAAGACGGGTGCAGACCGCTGCATGACCTAGTCATGCCGGTAGTTGAGACTGCTCGAGGCAAGCTACATAGGAGCTTTCCGGGGTGGCATTGCTCGATCGTCATTCACTTGATACCGGCAGCGCATCCGCGTCGGTTGCCCGCAGCATAGTGTGCTGGCCGCCTACTCACCGCCGGACTGCAACACGAGCTCGGGTTCAATTTCGGAGCTAGCCTCCGAGCTCAGCCTTGCGTCGTCCTTTGCGTATCACCGGGTCACAGTTGCGTCCTCGTGCGCGTGAAAGGTAGTGCGAATCTCCTTGTGTGCTTACGGTGAGCACGAGCAAATACGAGATCAAAGCGCCACATATAAGCCTTTGTGCTCTGTGCTGTATGTACTGCCAAAGGCGTTGTCGCATGTCACAGCATCTCCGGAGAAATCAAAGCTCCGCTCCGGCAAGTTTCCTAATTCGGAAGCACTCTTGCAACCTCGATGGATCCCAAACATCAACGACCAGGGGAGCTACTCCCGGCAGTTCTCTTGAATGCCGGCAGCGAATCACCGAGGCGGGCCGCATCCATGAGTTGAGATCACTGCAGGCCATCGGGACTAAGCCACTCTCGTCTTACGAGATTTGGTCGGACCAACTCGACCTGTCACAAAGTTTCACCCAAGTAGGACAGGCGGGATGCACGGCTCTGCATCGGCTCGCTCGCCAGGATCCGGGCCGGACCTCATTCAATCGTGGCCGTCATAAGATCTGACATGTGTCCGTGATGTCGGATAACTGCATCTACGATTGCCTTTGCGTCTGCTCTGGGTCGAGGAGCGAATCGGAGGCCGATAGTCGTCGACCATCGGCGGGGTATAGCTCACGACGCTTCACAAGAGATGCCGTTGTCTTTATTCACTCCTCGTTGGTGTACAGCGACAGCGTGGCATCTGCTTCACTCCAAGCAAGGCCGATCATATGAGTCCTCGGCAAGGCTGGCGCCAGATACAGTGCACAGCCGGATCGCATTTCAGCAAGACGGCGACCTCATTGAATCCCACCTTTGACGCGGCTATCCGCAGCTCGACCCAACCCACCATCCAGCATGCTTCCAAAACCTTACACACGGTGCGATTCTCACAGCATCGCCGGCTACTTGCAGCAAACATTTTGTCCTCGTGTGCCGTGCACCCGATCCACGCATCCTGGCCGGTGCCACGCTGTGCTCGAGATGGGCAATAACATTAAAGAATGGAACCTTCTCAAGCGCGCCGGGACGCAAAGCACAAAAGGCTGTTCCGACCCGCCGCAAAAGTGATTGCTATCATCGTCGACGACTCACTCAATCAAAATCCCATTCAAAAATTGCAACAAGTCTTCATCGCCTTCAATCAACATGCATCCCCATCGAGTCACACTTCAGCAAACCGCTGCTGAAGAGATGACAAGGCCCGCCCTCGATCCTCGCATTTGGAACGGTCCCATCCGCAGCAGGCCTGTGAGTGTCGACTGCCCGTCAAGCCTGTCGGAAGCTAATCAAGCCCCAGGTCCCTGGCAGACGCTGCCCGACATGCTTGAACAACGGGAATACCGTTTGGGTCATTCCCAAGAAGAAGTGCCCCGTGTGCGGGACGGTGGTCAACTGAGGGGGGAAAGTTGTCTTGCACATCGATCACGATGATCTTACGCCTTCGCGGGCGTTCATCGTTGTCAATGTAGGACATTCGGGGGGCGGGAGAAGTGTGTGCTGGAGTACGTCTGTGAGATCATGACTTGGAGAGCATTGACAAGACTGGGGCCGTGATGTCGAAGTATCTGGCGATGTTGTCGAGGAGGTTACCGCGCTATGCTTTTGCTGTATCATCATTTGTTGTTCTTGAACATTACCTTCACACTCCAAGACGGATTTACCCCGGATCAGTTTGCCGCGATCATCGCCGATAGAAAGGTCATCGGGGATCCTCGTGTCAAGACTCAGCACCTGCTAGGGGGAGGCAGTTGGAGTAGCCCCGGTGACGGGACGGTGCAGGTGTGGCGGCAGCGTCGTGTTGCACACCAACGCTATGAGGCCGAGGATATGGCTGTGGTGGTTAACAAGGGACATGGGCATGGAGCTAATCAGCATACCTACCGGAAGATTGACGGCATTTGGAAGATTGTTGGTGTCAATGCTAAGAATGGCTGGGTTGAGGCGACCTGTGGGGTACCCTTCACGGCCCAGAGGGAGCATGAGCAGTCGTTACGGAGTCCATCTCAGTACCTTTTCAGGGAGTTCTGACAGCAGGCAGTGGTTTGGATCATCTTCACTTTCAAGGTTTCGATATCACATGACATCTGACCGTGGTCACTCCTTCCCGTGTTGTCGTCACTCAGATTCAGTCGCTCCTTCCTATCTCGTAAACTTCCAAAAACAAATGCCAAGGTAGCACATGACGAGTAGCACACCTTCCGCGAACCTCATTCTGTTGACACACACTCAGAATCACTTTGCCTTTCGACATGTCCCGTCGCTCTCGTCAGCGTACAAGCGATACATTCATTGGCAATGGCCACCAACACTCTTCCCGCCACCTACACATTCATCCCTCCGCCCCCGTTACCGGAGTTCTACGCAGACATCTTGGGCAGCCCTCGTCCACCTGCCATCGAAGACGATACGACAGCCCTTGTCGCCCAAAGACCAATCCCACCCACCGATGGAGCCTACGAGGGTCAACCAACCGAGCACTTTCTCGCAGTGCCTCCCTTTCCACTCATCGCCATTCCACCATTCCCTCAACAGTACAGCAGCAACAACGTTCCTCCGCTCGCCATCTGCCACATCTGCCGCTTGTGCCTGCGACCACGCAGCAACCGATATCACCGCGAACATCCCATTCCCATCAACGCGCTCCCGCCACCGCCGGGTATCTGCCGCAGATGCCGAGTGAAGGAAGTCAGCGAGACCAAGACCGTTCCGGAGGTGGTGTTCGAGGGCAGAAGCAATGAAATCAAGTTGGGTTTCATCGCTCCGTTTGTGCCTGATGATGCAATCGTCAGTAAGGAGGAGTTCAAGCAGATGAGGAACGAGGCGCTCCTACGGTCTTACTCAAAGTCACGTCGGTCCAGATCTCGAAGCGACAGCCCTCAACGAAGAGATATCGTCTATCGGCACGTCAGGGTTGTCGACCAGCCGGAGCTTGCTAACCCTGAGCGCAAAGAAAGAGTGGCTTTTCGGAGTCGCGAGTCTCTGATGACCTCGGACAGGCGCAACCCGCTGCCGCCAGCTACCAGTATGCAAGCGCAGCCAAGCAAGAAGTCCCGCTCGAATCGATCGAAACCCGTCAAGAGCGCTAATCTGCAAAGAACTGAAGTCGCAAACGCCTCGGTGTCCGCCGAATCCACGTCTTCAAGATCGGCATCGGCATCGACATCTCAGTCTGCCATCGACGCTTTGATGCGCGTGCGCTATCCCGCCGATCGTGACGTTCAAATCCGTGAGGTGGCAAGAGAAGAAGTGGAACGCTACCATCGCGCGAATCTGAAGCCCGAGTGGAGCGAAGACGACATTCGGAAGATCTCGCGGGAGGAAGTCGAGCGGTACCGACAGGCGGAGAGGAAGATGGAGGCTCTTCCAGACACGTACACGCACGGTGTTATGCCCTCTGTTGAACAGCAGGCGGAGCGAGAGCGAGAAGCGGCCGATACGAAGCCTTCCGGTGCTTCGAAGAAGAGCGAGAAGGCGTCGGTATCTGTGAAGCGTGCGAAGCAAAAGCAACCGGAGCAGGAGGCTGCCAAGTCCAACGAGCGAGCCAGTGTGGTTGAGAAGGTGGATGTCAGAGCAGCATCGCGGAAAGCCACACTGCACTCGTCGCGACAGAGTGAGCGCTCGAGCAGACGTGCCGCTCCTACTTCTGAGGAAGAGGGCGAAGCACTAAAGAAACCAACTGCCAGCAGCAACGATCAGCGACGAAGCACCACCAGGGACCAGGACATCCGCCAGCCCGAGAGCGTCAAACTTCGCGAGGTATTCGACATGGTCCAGGAATCCGATCCTCCCAGATGGTCGTCGCGGGCGGAGCCTTACGTCAGGCGAATGAAGCGCCGCGATGTAGAGCCGATGGACAACATCATCGAGGTGTTTGAGGAGATAGAGATTCCTCCGGAGTCGGCCGCGCCGAAGAAGCGGTCGAATCAGTCGTGGTGGCCGCAGCAGCGAGGAGAATTCGATCAGCGAGCGGATACACGAGCTCAGGAACCCGAGAAGAGTGGATCTTACAATCAGCAGAATGTTCGCCACGAGGATGAGGCGCGATCGAGGTCCACCAAGCAAGGAATTGACGATTATCAGCACTGGGACGCTACTGATAGTCGCACCACGAAACAGTACCACGTTTCTGGAGGAGGCGGTACAAGAAGGGACAGCAAACAAGGATCGACTCACCGAGGCGAATCTGCACAATCCTCCGACGGGTATTGGATGTCAGGTGGAAAGTCATACGAACCATCAGAAGGACCTTGTTGGCCTAGAGAGAGGACTGCGAGCGTTGCCGATGGATCCGGGCATCCGCCGAGTGGACACAACTTACCTTACCCCGAGAGTGACTTGCCATTTGAAAAGATTGTGCTGCCTACAGAGACGCCGACCGAATCCCGCCGAAGCGAACGTGCGAGAAGCCAGTCCACTCGAAAGGACGACCGGGAATATATCTATACCGAACGCATCGTGCAGCCAGCAGACCGGCCGCTGGGAATACGTCCTTTCGATGACCATGCTCCAGCTCAGAGAATCGAGATCGAGGAATGGACGGAGTGGCACAAGGTACCAATTGCGCAATCCTCATCGCAGCGGGAAACGAGCAGAAGCCGACACAAGCGGGGCTCTCCACCAGATAGAATCCTAAAGGGAGGGAAGCGGTCGAGGAAGAGCCGGCACAGGGAGCATCAGAGCCGACCACAGGAGGATGCACCTCGCGAGAGCGACGACTCGTACCGTGTGCGTTTCTCCAGCAAGGTCGACATGACGCCTACACCGCCGGACTCGGATGACAATTCTTCAGCTTTCCGGAAATACCATAGCCCTGGGCGCGAAAGCAGTCGGCAAGTGGATGGCGGTGGGGATAGGTTCGACGAGCGCGAGCGACGTGGTAGGGCACACAGTCGCGAATCGAGGTATGACGCTGGCCACCACTTCCAAGACATCGGGGGGAAAGGCAAAGGCGGTCGGGCTCCGCGCGGCAGACATCTGGAACGAGCATTCTCCGAGAGCCCGTCTCGTGAGCAGTCTCTGGCATCTTTCGCCGACGATGCATATGACGGAGGCGGGCCGTATCGCAGGAGGGACAAGGTCACGGACAGCATGCGCGTCCACGAGGGAAGTCGAGCAGCGCAGCATGAAGACAATGGGCAAGGTGGACACCGCCAACGGTGATGCGGGGATCGGCCTGGGTTGGCTACTCCACTGTGCTTCTGATACAATCGTCGAAACCTGAGAAGAGCAGGCCGGAGATTCATTTAAGCGCCTCAGCCACGCAAACGCCACGGAATGTGAAACAAGGTGAAGTCAAACGACAGGCCGCGCGCCGCCCCGTTCCTCCGCCAGCGCGACTCTCGTGTTGATTCTACGTCACTCTGCTTTGCTTCACGCCTACACCTTGGTCTCACATGCCATGCAAGCGCCCGCGTGCGTGTCGTGACGTTCCTTTCAGGATTTTTAAGACTCCTTCGATAGGCGGAGCGAGGAATGTAGGTTGGCGTGGTGTTATTTCTTTTTTGATCTTCCCTTCTCTCCCTCTCACTATTTCAGTAAACATTCGCACTTGGTCTTGCCTACCTCAAAACACCTCGACACTCACCGCGGCCATGTCCTCACGGTTTGGCAATATGCGCCTGGCAGCGCTGGTTTCCGTCGTATTGTGCATCGTCGCCCTCGTTTTATCGTTCCTGTGCCTCTTCGCCGGCTCCAGCAAGGGCTTCATGGAGGATTACGCTGTTGTCACTGTAAGTAAAACCACAGATGTGTGCCTAATCTGCCATGCTGACCTCGCAAAATTACCAGCTCAATACCTCCCGCATCGGCGAGAATGTAGTCAATCAGGTCGCCAACGATTTGTGCTCACACTCGCACTCCCGTCGTGACGCCTTCCAACCCAGCAAGCTCGAAGCCCTTCCCCAACCGCTTGCCCTCGCAGCCCGAAGCGCAATCACGCCTGCCCCGGCAAATCCTCTAGCTATGCAGAATCTCCGCCGCGGCATCTTCAGCTCCGTCGAAAGCGAAATCCACAGCAAAGAAAGCGAAGTGCACAGCAAAATCACCTCCGCCGCTTCCCGTGTAGAGAGTGCGATTGCATCTGTCGAGAGCGAGGCCGCACATCTCTGCGACGAGATTGTGGACGATATTGGGGATAAGTTGGAGGATGTGTTGCAGCGCATCGGCCTGCATGATTGGTACAGTGCGCACGTCATGGACTTTTGCGAAGGATGTAAGTATTTCGACTTCTCTGCTCTATGTTGGCAAGGCTGACGATTCACCCAGCATACATCCCCGGCCCCGTCCCAAACGCCACCCTCAAAGCGAGCAGAATCCACAAAAACGTCACGTCCTGCTCCAACCGCACAGCACTCTACCACTTCGACCCCAAAGCGACAATCGCAGAGCAAATCAGAAACGCAACCGACGGCGAAATCGACCTGACAAACCTGCACTGGCCTTCGGACATCACGCGCGGCCTCAACGCCCTGCGCGACGCCCAGAAAGCCGTCTTCGTGCTGTACTGCCTCGCCATAGCCTTCATCGCGCTCGCACTGCTGCTCGCCGTGTTCGCCGTCTTCTCCACCGGCCGCTTGACTGCTCTTCTCAACGTGGTGGTCGAGGGTCTCGCTTTCCTGTGCAGCGTGCTCGCCAGCGCGATTGTGACTGTCATTGCGGTCAAGGCGACGAATCTGATCAACAAGTACGGCAAGGATGTGGGCGTGAGCGCTAATCGGGGGAACAAGTTCCTTGTGCTCACGTGGGTGGCGACGGGGTTGGTGTTTATTTCGCAGATTTATTGGATCTATGAGTTCTTTGCTGGGAGAGGGAGGCGGGAGCGTGCTGTGCGGCAGGCGAAGCAGGGTTGAGGTGGAGAGAGTTTTTGTGGGTGTTAAGAGCGAGCGGATGATACGCCCTTTTTACTATCTATGTCTTGGTTCTACTACGCTGATGTCTCCTCTCGCTCGTCTCTCATCTCAATCTTCGTCAAAAGCCGCCGTGTCAAGAAAGGTATTCACATGTTCGGCAAAGAGCTCCGCATACTGCCACAGAAACCCATGACCAGACTTGGGGTACATGATCAGCTGCGCGTTAGGCAGGCGATGGAACAACTCCAGCGTGCGCTCATTGCCAAGCACGAGATCGTTGTCGCCGTTGCAGACGAGGGCGGGCATTTTCAGCTCCGCGAGCCGGTCGGGCCACTGCCAAAGCGTTCAGTATATCTGCATACGGTCAGGTAGTAGGTGGGAGAGGGTACGAACCCGAGCATTCTCCGCGCCATCAGCCTTCATACTCGCCTTGATCTGATTCATCGTGCCTGGTTCGACGTCAAGAGCACGCAGATTGGGAGGCTCAACGTTCCTCTCCTCGAGTCTGGCCCAGTACGCTTCGAGGTGCTTGCGATGCAGTTCTCTGTCCCCAAAGAGGGCAAGGCGGAAAGCGTCTTTGGTCTCCTGGGAGGAAGTCGCTTTTACCATCTGCCGGTGTTGGTGTCAGCGGCTTGTTGTAGGACGATGTTGAAAGCAAGCATACTCACCGCTCCCATCTGACCCCTCGGCGGCGCAGCCGGAGTGTCAGGAGTCTTGTACACCGGCGCCGCGCCCGCGAGCACGAGTTTCCGCACGAGATCAGGTCTCAAGAGCGCAACGGCCTGCACTGCAAGGACATCCATTAGCCGCCACGGTCGCCCCTGAGAACGTGTGTAGCATCAGCAAACAAACCAACTCTCGACCCCATCGAATACCCCAACAAATCCACCTTCCTCCCCTGCAACGCCGGAACCGCCTCAACGAAATGAATCATATCCTCCGCCATGTCCTCGATACTCAGCGGCACCGTGCCGGCTGTGCGCCCGACTCCCTGTCCGTCGAAGAGGACGACGGGGCGTCGCTTTGCGAGGGCGTTGAGTAGGCTGGGATCCCACCAGTCCATGTTGCCGCGGAAGTGGCTAGTTGGACGGCATTAGATTGATACAACAGCGGAGAGACGGTGAAGGAGAGCGGGGCCAGCGTACTTGTGGCATACCAAAGGCACGCCTGAGGTGCTGTTGGTGACGATGGTGCGGTAGGCGAAGCGAATGCCTTGCGCGCTGTCGACGAATTGGGTGGGAGCGGTTTGGGCGGCCATTATTGATTTTCGTCGGTCTTTCCTCGCTTGTTGTTTGTCTTGAGTGTTTTCCCACAGGTTTTATGCTCCGCGAGCGAAAGGAGGTGGTGGTGTGTCGACGATTTTAACTATTCCACGCCTCCACCTTTCCAATCTCCAGCCGCAGCTGAAGTGGCCGCGGTACGATGCGAGGAATTTACGGTAACGCTTGTGAAGATGGGAAAGTCACCCTCTGCTATCCGCGAACGTGGGATGATTTTCTCGTCATTACATTAGATCTCCAGAGTCGTTTGTGTAGAAGAAGACATTACATTCATCCGTCCTTTGCCCAATCATAACAAAGCAAATCCAACACCACCAACTCCCCTCTCCCAGTTAGATCAATACCACCCGTGCCCTTCCTCACCATACTTTTCATTCTTGGGATTCATCGAAACCATGCGCTGCCCGGGAATGTGCCCACAAACCTTGCTCTCGAAAATGCCCGCCACCGCCCGGCGCCCAATATGGCTGAAACTATCGTAGGCCTCGACGCCCGAATTCGCCGCCGTCAAGCCCTTGATCGCCGCCCACTCGGGGCTGGTGTAGGGACTTTTACCATCGCCCAGGTCCGACCAGCGGGTGACGCGCAGGGCGTGCTTGAAGCGCACAATCGGATCCTTAGTGTCCTCCATCATGACCGTCTCGATGAGGTATTCCGACGGGCATTCCGGGCAGCGGCGGGCGGGGCGGCAGTCGTCGCAGCCTTGGACGATGAAGTTGGGGTTGGCGGCGCTGCGGCTGAGTTTGGGCGCCTCTTTGAGCTGCTGGTAGTAGCTGCGCGGCGGGGCGGGGACGTGCGAGAGGGCGCACTTGCACATGGGCAGCAGGTCGCCGTCGCGCCAGTGCGAGCAGACGGAGAAGAAGGGGATGTACTCCTCGCGGTCGTAGAGCATGTGGCGTAGGCTGGTTTCCGTTTGCGCGGGCGCGGGCGGCGCGATGCATTGGCTGACGACGCGCATGAGCAGGTGGCCGTCGACGACGATGTATTGCGTGCGGTGCGACCAGTCGCTGTCTTTGCATTTCCAGCGGCGGCCGAGCGCCTCGGGTTTGATGCCGTGGTGCGGGCTGTGTTTGTGGCTGCGCAGGGCAAGCTGCACGTAGGAGTAGGGCAGTTCGCGGCCGTGGGTGATGCGCATGCGGGGCAGGACGGTGTCGCGCACGCTGGGACACCGGTAGAGCGGATTGGCGACATAGTCGATTTTGAGGCTCTCCTTGCCGGGGTTCGAGCGGACGTGGTAGATGCGGCAGGGGAAGCAGAGGAGATGATGGGGCATGTCGGGTTCGAGGTGGTTCAGGAATTCGATTTTCTGATGTCGATTCTCCGGCTCGTTTAGTGCGTGCAGGTAATCCGGCCCGAGTTTGTGGTAGAGGACACTCGTGGATATGGTGAGGCTCGCGACGTCGGCAAGTTCCAGGTAGGAGGCTATGAGCAGCCATAGACCGGCCGGCAGCGCGGCCATCTGTCGAACATTCTCCGCGGCCTGGGCGTTGAATTCCTCCCGTTGACGCGGGGATTGCGTCGAGTCAAAGTAGGGATCCTTGAGCCGATCGGAATCCATGACTTGATCAACAAGCGAGTCAAAGGAGCCATTATGCGCGAGACGATGCATCATATCAGTATGATCCTTGTTCTTGACGAACGAAGCCTCCTGCGTGATGGGCCAGGGGCCGTAATCATACTCGCCCATCTCATTAGTCTTCTGGTGGCCAGGTTCTCCAGGCCGCGGGACATAGCCAATCTTGTCGAGGCGCTTCTTGCGGAGGACGGCCTTTTTCTGGTCGGACTTCTTTTCCTTTTCCTTGACGACGATTTCATCAATGGGCTTCTGGGAGCGGAAGGTCTTGCCGGCTCGCATGACCAGCTTCGCGGGCCAGCTGTTGAGGTTGGGCTGACGGAGATCCATGGTGATGGCTTGGGATGATGGAGGTTAGGAGTGATGAATGCACCGGCCGGTCCTGGGGAGAAGAAAGAAGTCGACGGGTGCGCAATGCTCGGGGTTGTTCACTTTCGGGAGAGCCGGATGTCAGCCGGCGGCGCCACAGAGGGAGGACAGCAGCTCCAGTCTGTTCCACGTCACCGGCCTTTCGCGGCTTCCCAGCGAGATGGGAATGATGAGCGAGGGGTGTTGCAGTGTGATTGATGAGAATTGCTGATGATTAGCAAGCCGGGATTGCTCGCATGTTGTCGACGTGAGGTGTGGTTGTTTTGGGTGCCGGTTTCAGGCACTTCCGCGGCGAGCTTTGCTTGCATGACTCGCGTCCAACCATTCAACGTCGAACTTTTGTCAAGACCTCGTCTGCGAAACCACTCACCACTCCCCAGCTGCTTACCGCCAATATGTCCATCCACCCGTCGCGGCAGGCGTATGTGGAAGAGAGCGAGGTAAGCACATCCTTCAGAGCTGCTCAAGCGTGCAACATTCATTCGACTTCTCCAGCAGAGATGGAAGTAGAAGGCTAACCACCACCCATTCGCAGGACCCCGAAGCAGGCATAACACTCAGCAACATCCGTAAGTTACATCTCCACCCAATAGCAACCTCTCCCACCCACTAACCCCCTCAACAGCAATCGACACAAACTACTCCCTCCCCAGCGCCGGCCCCGGCCAAACCTCGCAACAAGCCAGCACAGTCCTCAACGACTTCCGACGAAAACGCGAAGCAGCGGCCGTCGCCGTCCCCACAGATGACAAGCGCGTGCGCGCCGACCTGCGCGCCCGCGGCCAACCGATTACCCTCTTCGGCGAGCGGCCGGAAGATCGACGGGACCGCTTACGCGAGATTCTGTACACTGAACAAGCGGGCGGTGAAGATGAGTCTATGCTTGATGTTGGTACTCCTGTAGTGGGAGATGCAGGTGTTGAAGGGGAAGAGGAAGATGGCGATGAGGAGTTTTACACGGAAGGGTCGACGGAGCTGCTGCATTCGCGCCAGGAGATTGCGCGATACAGTCTACCTCGAGCGGAGCAACGGATACGACATCAGCGACTCGAGAGCACGATCCCCGTGTCGACGCACGTGCGGCATCGGAAAGCGATGAAAGCGAGATTGGCGGAGTTTGAGATGTTCGGGTCGCAGATTGCGAGTGAGAGGCCGGTGAGTATGGTTCGCTTTGCCCCCGGCGGCGAAGTCATTGCTTGCGGTGATTGGGCTGGGAGTATCAAGGTGTTGGACGTGCCGAATTTGGAGACAAAGGGGGTGTTGCGAGGGCACAAGAGCATGGTGGGTGGGATTTCATGGTACGGGCCGGCGGCTGGGGATGCGATGGATGGCGCAGGGACGCTGAACCTCGCATCGGGAGGAGGCGAAGGCGACGTCAATCTCTGGTCATACGGATCGCAAGATACGCCCATCGCGACACTAAGCGGGCACAGCGCGCGCGTGGTGCGCACGGAATTCCATCCCAGCGGCCGCTACCTCGCGAGCGCAAGCTACGACACCACCTGGCGCCTCTGGGACGTCAACACCACCACCCAACTCCTCCTCCAAGAAGGCCACTCGAAAGAAGTGTACACCGTCTCCTTCTCCCCCGACGGCAGCCTGCTCGCCTCCGCAGGCCTCGACAGCATCGGCAGAATCTGGGACCTCCGGACAGGCCGCACCATCATGCTGCTCGAGTCCCACGTCGCGCCTATCCACGCCCTGGATTGGAGTCCCGATGGCGTGCGAGTGATGACGGGAAGCGCAGACGGCTTCGCGAAATGCTGGGACGTGCGCGCCGTGCGAGAGAGCGCAAGTCTCGGCGCGCACAAAGGCGGCGTATCTGACCTGCGCTGGTTCAAAGGCACCGACGGGCCACTATCAGGCAAAACGCTCACAGCAGAGAGTAATGGCTCCGCGGAGATGGACGACGGAACATCTCTCCTGCCGAAAAAGTCAGGCACGTTCGTGCTTACGGCTGGCTTTGATCACGCGGTCAACATCTTCTCCGCGGACGACTGGGCGCTTTGCAAATCGTTGACAGGACATGATGGGACGGTGTTGGCGGTGGATACGACGGAGGATGCGCGGTGGATTGCGAGTTGTGGAAGGGATCGGACGGTGAAGTTGTGGGCCATGCCGGATGAGCAGGGGTTATGATGATGGGGAGAGATGAATGTATACTTATGATACCCCGTGAGCAAGCTGTATGAGCATCACTTGTTAGCGATAGATTAAGGAAAGAAGCAGCGGATACGCCGAATGGCGCAGCCGCGGAAGTGTAGAAGCTCTCGGCTTTCATTCGGCCGGGGGTGCGGGAGCAGAAGCCGCGGGTCACGGGAAATCTTTCCTCGTGCACTGGCTTTTTGGCAAACGCCGATCGTGACATGTGACGGCAGTTCGCACCAGCCATCACTAGACCGCGCATGGACGTCAAAGCAAGGAAATCCCAGCAAGCGAAGCAGTTAAGTCCTTTCTCTCTTTCCTTCTCTTCCTCTTCCATCACCCTCTCCTTTCACTATCGACGCTATGCGCGTGTCCATGGCCAAGGGAAGAGAAGGGCGGGTCGGCATGTGAAACAACCACTCTCGACACACATCCGTTTGTCCATGCGAGATCCATTGGGCCGAAAACAAGACCAACACCTCTCCAACACCTCCCACACCCTACATACACTGCACAAACAACGAAACACCATGCATCTCCCCCCTCCCCCCGAACCACGCGAACTCCTCCCCCCCCTCCTCGCCTGCCTGCCCACAGCCTTCATCTCCCAACGCCCCCCACCCGCCCTCCTCCCCCTCCTCTCCCCTCTCCTCCGCCAGCGAATCTCCTTCCTCTCCTCCTCCAACACGCAAAGCCAAAGCGACAGCTGGCTCCCCCTGCTCTCATGGTCCGCCGCGCGAGGGGCCAAACTCCCCGACATCGTAGAGCGCATGCCCCTCGAACCACACCCCGTGTCGGGCGAGGTGGAAATCGACGACCTGCCGCCTGCCAAGTTCCGCCGGCTGGATGAGGAGACGCTGCATGCGCAAGTGCGCGCGGAGCAGTTTGGGATTCTGCCGACGTATTTGTGGTGTGAGTCGGATGAGCATGGACAACTTGGGCCGGGGTGGAGGTTAGCGGAGTTGAGGGCGCTGGAAGACGAGGAGGACGGGACGGAGTGGTTTGAGAGTATTTCTGAAGCAAACGATGCGGCGCCGGACGCGCGGAGAGCACATCTCCCCGATCCCACTCCGCAGCAGAACAGCAGACCCGCGTACGGAAGGATACCAAGTAGTACGACGAACGGCGACGACAACGATGACGCCTACTGGGCCGCCTACGACCGCACGCCCGGCCGCCGCACCCCAGCAAACAAACTATCCCCCTTGCCCAGCAGCGCGGCACAATTCCCTCCCCACCTGCAACAACGAGGCGCCAGCGCCGCCGCCTCCCAAGCCGAACAAGACTACTACGCCCGCTACGCAGCCGAAGTGCAACCCGCGCTCGACTCCCACGACCCAGACGAGGAATCCTCCCAAACGGGGCCCAGCAGCCTAAACGGGCACACCCTTCTCCCCGCAGAATCGGCTCCCGCAGCCTTACCCTCAACATCAAGAATGAGCTACTACGACAATGACGATCGCCCCACAAACCACAGCCTGTACCCCGCCCCCAACCCCTCCGCCTTGCAACAAACCAACACCTTCCCCCTCCCGGCTCCAGCACCCATCTCCCCCTCCGCGAGTCCCAGCCCGACAACCTCGATAGAAAAACTGGAGGCCCGCGCGCGCGCGATTTCCGAAGCGGACGATCGCGCGCACATGGCGATTCGGCAGCACATCGCCACGGATGTGAAGAGTTTGTATCGCCTGGCGCGCACGGCGGGCATGGAACGCGGGGAGTTTGAGAGGGTGGTGCGGACGGAGTTGGAGTGTTTGGGGTTGATGGAGAGGGATGAGTAGGTCTTTTGTTCTGCATGCATGATGGTTGGTTGGTTGTTGTTGGGTGGGGAAGGGCACGCATTTGAGCGTTATTTTGTGTAGGGGGTGGTTTGCATCAGCGAGTTGTGGGACGTCATGTTGAGATGCATGGGATGCCTGGAATAGGCCTGCAGGGAAATTGTATAGTGCATGCATGATTGGCATAGCAAGAATGTGCCCAACGGCCTACAGACAGAAATGAAGAAGAGCCCTCACTAACGCCTGCCATTCCCATCTCCCTATAGCTACCGTCCAACACCAACGCTCAAACGCTCAAACGCAATAACATCCCCCTCATACTCCCTCCGTGGCATCCACTTCCACACCGGCCTCTCCTCAGCCCTGCACAGCGCCCTCCCGCCCACAAGCAAATTCTCCGAATCAAAGAAACCAGCGGCGGCGAATCGCCTGCAATTTCGCCCAAGTATCCACGCCTTCGAAGCGGAAGGATGCGACGGCGCATTCATGGTAGAAGGCAATGGCTTTTGCGCGGGGGAGGGGGGTGTTGTGGCCTTCGAGATGCATGGCGTCGAAGGGTCTTGGAGGTTGGAGGGGATGATTGATATTTGCTAGAGGTGTGTGCAGTTGTGCGAGGTGGTGGTTTGTTCTTTCGTGCATTGTTTTCAGTTGATGGAGTTGGGCGAGGCGTTGTTGGAGTCTGTGTCTTGATTGGATTTTGCGAGGTTTTAATTTCAGTTGTGAAAAAGCAAATAGGGTATCATGTGGTGAGCGTGAAGGACAAGAAAGCAAAAGGGACAGCCAGAAGTGGAGGTTGACAGCAGCAGCAAGCTCAAAACTCACTACTCTCCTGCGCACTCCTCCTCAGCTTGCGATGGTAGACCTTGCGCTTCTCCTCCCCGCCCCAAAAGAGGTCGAACGCGGCGATGTTGACAACGGCGCGCGGGTCGAAGGTGGGGTTCTCGTCGTCTTCGAGCGCGGCGACAATGGCTTGCAGGTGGGAGGAGATCTCCTCTGGTTTCGGGGGGAAGTAGCAGAGGTATCCGGCGCTGGTGACGCGGCGGTGGAAGATGGGGGTCTCCATTTTGGCGCGAGGCTGCGCCTCGGGGAAGTTGGGCGGGATGGAGAGGGTAATGTTAAAGACGCCGCCGTCGAGGTTGCTCATGGGTTTGCCGAAGAGGGTGAGGTTCCAGACGAAGGGGTTGGTGGGATCGGGGAGGCTGATTTCCTTCTTGGCACACGAGTAGGTGCCTTGATTCCAGCGCTGCTGAAGCTGCTTGAATTGGAATGCGAGTTGAACGGCGGGTTGGGTCTGCTGCTGCACTTGCTGCGCGCCTTCTCGCTCCCAGTCTTTCCGCTCCTTCTCGAGAGCTTGCGCCACGTTCTTCAAGCGCTGCTCGAGGCGTTTGTATTCGAAGCGACCGATCATCCAGTTGCTGTTGCCGCCCTCGAATTCCATAATGTCGAAGCGCTCGCCATCCCTCTGCTCGCTGCTTGCGCGCTCGATCGTCTTGGCGTAGGTGTCGTAGTACCAGAGGAAGCGACGCTTCAGCAGATCGGCAAAAGGGTCCCACGGCTCGGTGAGAGCTTGATACGCGACTTCGGCGCTGTACTCGCGTGCGTCCGAGTCGGGGTCGTCGTCGATGTCAACGTCACCGTCAAGGTCGTTGTCCGTAGCCTCCGGTTCGGGGCTCAGCATGTGTGAGAGGGAAGATGGGGCGTGAGTCGGGGTCACGGTCTTCTCCTTTGATCGACGGGTGGGCGTGACTAGCGTTGCGTCCTCCCCAATATCCAGCAAGGTTTCCAGACGTTGCAGCACAGCAATGCGAATCGTCTCATGGCGGATCTTGGCGATGTAGTTGCGAGGCTTGGTCTCCTCCTTCTTCGACATCCCCTCGAAGCCAGGTTCATTTTCGTAGGGATGGGCGCTCATTAGACTCTGCACACTCAACAACACGCTCTCCAGCCCCTGCGCACTGCTCCACTGCTCGCCCGGCTCCCCCTCCCACGTGCCAAGAATGGAAAGACAAACCTTACCGCAGTTGTAGATATTGGGATTGAAGCGGGTGCGGCCATAGTTGGTGGTGATGCAACGAACGCTGGGCGCTTTGATGGGATAGTCGTGCCCGAACTTGATGCTGAATTCAAAGAAGCCGAACTCGTAAGGCGTGTCGGGGGGGCCGACGATGAGCGCGCGAACGTGGCGGACGTCAGTATCCTTGAATGCGACGGCGAGTGACAGGTCGGAGCCCTTCTGGATGTTGGCGATTTCTTTGGTGATTCTAGCGATGGAGCCGGACGGGTTGGAGGATGCCATGATGCAACGATGTCACGGTGGAGGGTTAGGGGAAGCTGGAAAGAGTGGCGAGTCGATGCCAGAGTGTGCAGTAGCTCGGCAGGAGAGTATTCATTTCAGAGAGTGGACTGTGGATTTTGTGACGGAAGGTGGTGTTTGTCGTTTGCTCGCAAGGCAGGCAGGTGCGGTCCATCGCACACGTTTAGAGTTTACGGAGCTGCATGAGTGGCGCAGGCGGGAACGCCACTCAGCAGTTGCGACTCGCCAGACACCACCACAGGAATCAAAGACAATCGCATTACTCCCACACCTCCTTCACCTCCACAGATAACCAAAATGTACGTTGCTCTCCCTTTGCCACATATCTCCCTACTAACACGCCCAACAGGGTCGTCTTCGCTCTCCTCATAATCAACAAAGCCGGCGGCCTAGTCTATAATCGCACCTTCGCCCCAGGTCTCCAAAAACTCGACGGCAACGACTACCTCATCCTCGCAGGCACCTTCCACGGCATCCACGCCATCAGCCGCCAAATCAACCCGGCCCCAGCAGCCCAACATCTCCCCGGCTACCGACGCCCGCCCACCACCGGCCTCGAGAGTCTGGAGAGCAGCCACTTCCGCTTGACGTGTTTCCAGACGCCGACGGGGGTCAAGTTTCTGCTGTTCACGAGCCCCGAGCAGCCGAATACGGAGGTGGTGGTGCGGAGGTGTTATGAGATCTATGGGGATTATGTGATGAAGAATCCGTTCTATTCCATGGAGATGCCGATTCGGGTGGAGAAGTTTGATCGGGCGCTTGGGGGGTATCTTGTTCGGCCGTGAGGGGAGACACCGATTGCAGCTGATGATGCTGCACCATGCAAACGACATGTTTACTGGGACTGTGGCTCCGAGCCAGTCCTCGCGCCCTCTGCGACCGCTTTGAGGTATAGGATTCTCGACCCAAACTGCAGATGGCCACGGCTGCAAGGCCTCTTTGCTAGGGGCTAAGCATTCAGGATATACGGCAATGCTAGCCGCAACTCAACGGCCTCACCTATGTGAGAGATGTGATATGCGGGGTGAGAGGTTTGCTTAGAGAGGTTGGTGAACGGTGCGGTTGACAGACACAAAAAAACGCTACTTTACGAAGGAATATGAATGAGCTAGTTCTCGAACCGAGCAGCATGTACAAAGGAATAGCAAAAGCAGACGCAAAACGAGAGTAATCATTAGACCGTTATCCAAGCTTTCTCCTCGAGCATCTTGCCGCTCTCTCTTCCCACCTCTTCAAGCAGAGAGGCGCATCGACTCCCATTTCCCTCTCCTCTCTGCCATGCTCTTCAGTGTCTCGATATTGCTCGTCTAGCAGCATCCCTCGGCACACTCGAAGCAATCCGCACAGCACTCGCAGCCTTCTTCGCAGACAAAGCAGCAGCAGAGAGTGGCAATGCAAGCCTCAAAGCAGCCCTTCTGGCCCCCACCGCTTCGTCGCGGAGGCGGCGCCTGTTGGTAGTATTGCTGCTGGGGCGGAGGCTGCTGGTATTGCATGGGCGGGGCCTGCTGTTGCTGGTAGCCGTAGCCCTGGGAGCCGCTGCGGGGTGGCAAGTCAGTACATGGCAGCAGCCATTGGCGGCGGGTGCGGTGAGGGAACGACTTACTACACTGGTTGTGGCTGCTGGGGGTAGTAGCCGCCTTGTTGCTGGTAGCCGCCCTGGTAGCCACCCTGGGGTGGGTAGCCGCCGTGCTGGGTGGGCTGGTTGTAGTATTGCTGCGCGGACATGTTGGTGCGGGGCTGAGTGCTTTGTTGCCTGGCGGTGTGGAGATTCGGTCACCCGGGGTATGGCGCTGGCGCTGGTGTTGGTGCGAGCGGGCGGCGTAAGAATGGATAGTGGGATGGGGTGGTGCTGCTGACGCCGACGTGAGTGGAGTGAGGTGTCAATGGGTTGCAGGAGTGAACGGTCGGTGAAGTGGGTAAGGGTAAGGTAAGGCAGTATTTAAAGTTGTTGGGTGGCCTGACGGGATTCGTCAACACCGCACGCTGCGCCACTGGCATTTCTCCGATCGCACCGCCACGCCGCCGCCGTTACGATGGCTGGAGATTCTCAGCTGGGAAGGTGCAGTCGGCGACCAACCCTGCTTTACGCACGCCATCGCTGTCGAGGTCGAGATGGCTGGCACTGTCTGTCACCACGCCCGAGCTTGCCTCCGAGCTCGACTCGGGAGGACGGGATAAAACTGCTTGATGAGACTTGGGAAAAGCTTCGCCAGCGCTTGGCGGGCAAGTCGAGGAGTTTCAGCTGCTCTCGTTTCACCCTTGCACCGCCACGCAATTGGCTCGACGACGACTTCATGCGAGCAACCGCCGGTCACAGCCTACGCGGGGCAAAGAAATGCCTCACAGATGCTTCACTTTGTCCTGGTTGCCGCGACTTGGTAGCGCCGCGATCATCTACTCGCTCTGCCTGCAGCTGTTGGAGGTGGAGTTTGGCCGCATTTTACGGCGCGAGGTAAGGCCTCTTTCCGAACGTGTGATGTGACAATAGCAGGCATTCACCATTGCACTCGAGGGTGGTCTTCTATTGTTCTACGCCCACTTCTCTGCGCTTCTCTCTCTTCGTCTACTTTCTGTCTCTTCAGCCGTTCTTGCTCGTTCAAACTAGTCGTGCTCGTCACGAACCATCCCGTTCATTGGCTTCTTACCTCCTCTCCCCCTCTTCGATTTCATGACCATGGACGAAGTAATGAAAATCCTCATCTTCCTCTGTCTCCTCTTCTGGCCCAGAATCTTTGCCGCGCCGCTCTCAGGTCACCACACCTCAACAGAGCACATCGTTATTATCGACAAAGACCACCCAACACGGCCTCGCATCACCGATGTGCTACGAAAAGTCGGTTTGCACGAAGCTCACCCTAACATCAAGCACATCTACTACAACTCCGCCTTCCACGGCTTCGCCGCCACTATCCCCACCACCCACGTGGACATACTTGGCCATATGCCAGAGATCACCCTCGTCGAACAAACCACCTCCATAAACACCGCCTCCATTCTCATCCCCGAATCTGGCGCCTTCGACACCCGTAACAGCGCTCCCTGGGGCCTCCAACGCATCTCCACGCCCTCCTCCGTCGCCGGCGACCCAAGCAACCTCAACTTCACCTACGCCTTCGGCAACGCAAATCTCGGCGCAAACGCCGACATCTACATCATCGACACCGGCATCTACACCGCGAACAACGTCTTCGGCGGCCGCGCGGAAATGCTGTGGTCCTTCGACGGCAACCTCAACGACACCGACGGCCACGGCACGCACGTCTCCGGCATCGCAGGCGGTGCGGTCCTCGGCGTCGCCTCGAACGCCAACATCTTCGGTCTGAAAGCCCTCGACGGGAGCGGAGGCGGTACAACCTCCGACGTCATCAAAGCCATCGATCTGGTGGTCCGACGGCACGAAACCCGCCGCGCAACAAACTGCACCACCGGCTCCGTAATCTCCATGTCCCTCGCCTCGACGGGCGTGGTCCAGTCCTTGAACCACGCAATTTACGCCGCCGCTACAAAGGCCAAAATCCACTCCGTAGTCGCAGCAGGCAACAACGCAGGCAGCCCAAACGCCTGCTCCATCTCGCCCGCCAGCGCAGGCGGCACCAACGGCCCGGCACTCAGCGTGGGCGCGATAGACATCACCTCCTCCCCCGCGAGCTTCACAAACTACGGCGCGTGCGTCGATCTGTTCGCGCCGGGCGTCGATGTCATTAGTTCGTGGATTGGGGCTCCGGATCGGGTGGCGAGTTTGGATGGAACGTCGATGAGTACGCCGCATGTTACGGGGCTGGTGGCGTATGCGATGGCGAACGAGACGCTGGCGGGCGATCCGTGGGCTATGAAGGAGTATATTCGCGGGACGGCGGTGGAGGTGCGGGGTGGGGTTTTGGTGGCAAATAATGGGGTGTTGAGTGATGGGTAAGTGGCTGTCAAGTTCAATGCTGTGCGTTGAATCTTTCCATGGCGCGACAAACATGCCTTTCACGGGGGGAAGATTTTCTGAAGAAGCCAAGATTTCTATAGATCACATTCTATCTTTCCTTGCAAATCGCGAACCGCCATGCTACGTCTAAGTCACCGTGAAGCCGTCGTAGTTCTTGTCCAGCACTTCCCGAATCGTCTTCATGTACATTGGCAGTGTACCGGCGTAGTTCAAGACTTGTCGGGGCTTGCCGGGAATGTTCGTGCCCTGTACGAGTAGTGAAATTAGCAGGCCTTCACAGAATCGTCCTCCAACAATCAAAACTCACCATATACCACGAATCGACATTATGCCTCAACGTCTTCTCGTGCATCGTATTCACCAGCTCCTTCCAATCCTGCTCCGCCTTCTCCTTGGCATCAATCTTCGTCTTCCCCTCCGCCTTCATCTTCTTCATAACATCTACAATAAACTCCGCCTGCGGCTCGACAATGCTCGGCCCATTCCCGTACGCCGTCGGCGCCTGCGGCCCATACGTGAACAGCATATTGGGGAACTTGGCGACCGACATGCCGAGGTACGTCCACGCGCCCTTCGGCCCGTTCCACTTCTTTTGCAAATTCTCGCCGTCGACGCCCGTGATGTCGATCTCCATGAAGCCGCCGGTGATGCTGTCGAAGCCGGTCGCGATGGCGATGATGTCGTACTCGTGCAGCTTGCCGTCGGCCGTCACGATGCCTGTCTCCGTGACGTGGTCGACGGGGTTCTGCTTGATGGGGATGATCTCGACGTGGTCCTTGTCCATTTGCTCGTAGTAGTCCTGCTCGAGCGACGGGCGCTTGCCCATGAAGGGGTGCGGGGGGATTTCGGGGGCGAGCAGGTCGCGCTTCGCGGCGTTGGTCATGCGCGCGCGGTTGCGCTTGTTGACGACGCTGTAGATGTAGGCGTTTGCTTTTTCGTCGGTGAGCAGGTCGTTGTATTGGAAAAGCACTTTGAAGCCGCCGTAGTCTAGGGCGTCGTTGAGCACTTTCTCCCGCACTTCGAGCGGGTCGTCGAAGCAGTTCTTGTTCTGCCCGGTGAAGAGGAAGCCGCCGGCGTTCTCGAATCTTAGTCGCTCTAGCTTGTCACCAATTGTTGCTAGATCCTGGTCAAAGTCAGTTTCAGCATGCTCAATGTTGAATGCTGGAGAAAATACCTTTTTCGCTTGCACCGGATCGACCGGCCGTTGCTGCATGGGAATCGTGGTGTTGGGAGTTCGAATATAGACGCCAAGCTGAGAGGCATCGCGAGCAGCCTCCTGAGCAATTTGAATCCCAGTCGCGCCATTTCCAATAACGGCCACACGCTTGCCTTTCATGTCGACACCCTCGACCGGCCAGAAAGAGGAGTGGCAAATATAGCCCTTGTAGTCCTCGAGGCCTTTCCAGTCGGGAAAGTGGCGTTTCGCGGCAAAGCCCAAACAGCAGTGCATGAATCGGGTAGTGATGGACGTTCCATTATCGCACTGGATCTTCCAGGTGTTGTCCGAGTCGTTCCAGGTGGCGGAATTGACGCGGGTGTTGTAGAGCGTGTCTTTGCTGATGTCTAGGACGTTGTCGATGTGTTTGAAGTAACGTTGCAATTCTGGCGCTCCTGGATACGTCTCGGTCCTGTCGAGGAGCAACAGAGTCAATGATTGAAGGAAATAGAATGCCCATGAAGCGATACGACGTACCACTGCCAAGTATCGTAGACCTCCGGAATGGCCAGCGCATATCTAGGAAATGTCAGTGTCAAATTGATGCGCACGCTCAACGTAACATCGTCTTACACAGGATACTGAGAATCGACACGGGCACCGGGATCTAGTCAGATGGTCAACGATACGTCCATATGAAGTAGTAGTATCGCCACTTACAATTGTTCCAATGCCAGACGCCTCCAATCGCGTTTCCCGCTTCGATCAGCTTGACATTGAACCCTTCCTTGCGCAGTCTGTGGAAAAGGTAGATTCCAGAGAAGCCAGCGCCAATAACGACAGCATCGAGGTTGTGGTCCGACTTGTCCGTAGTGCCTTGCGGCTTATTGGAAATCTTACGCTGAAACGAGGCCATATTGGATACGCCGAGGCTGGGTTGATGAGAGATGAGGTAAACGAATTACGATGTTAAAAAATGATATCAACCTGGTGGAATGGGCGAGAGTAGAACGAAAAAGTGAAGGTCAAATGTCGCAGACCATTGGATTTCCGTGGCATCATCACCAGGGGATCTCCGAGGCGGAACTGCCTCACTTGGACAGTCGGAAGTGCCTGACGTGGGCATTAGGCGGGGCGCATAACCGATCGCGGCAGGGCCCTCGGCTTTCGTGCGGAGATCTTTACTGTCTTACCCGCGTAACCGCTGGGGCGGAAAGGGTCGTGGCGTATGCATAATGATGCGTTCACTTCGTGTGTCTTCGTACAGCTCTACGATGTAAGGAGATAGAAGGTATAGGCAATCTCTGCGGCATCATCACGTGATCGCCTCGCGCAGAACTCGAGGAGTTGTAGAGAAGGAAAGCCACTCCTAAACCAGCAGCCTGCAGGAGATCGATGTCAGGGGAACGTGATGAGTAGACCCTTGCAGATGTACACCATCCGAGAAATCGCCTGACAGAAGTCGTTCGTTCCAGCAAGTTCGATGTTCCTACACATATCGCGTCTGCCCGTTTTCTTCATGGAGGAGGTGAATCTCAAAGGCCAGGGATCGCCGTTTCCAAGGCAACCACTGATCAGTCAGACACACGGGGTCCATGCTAGAAAGCTTAAACTTTTGGACTTCAGCAGTCGGAGTCAGTCATCGCTGCGGCATCTTCACGCCCTTACACCTTTCACTCGCCGTCACCCTCTGCTTACTCTGCAAGACTCCAGCGCTTCGCTGCTGCTGGGCTCTAGCACCGCTCGCCTGCCCTCACACGTGCTGTCGCGGACCATCTTGACTCACTCGCCGGCTCGGGGATGAGGACTCCACCAGGCTCGGAGTATGACATCTGAGAGAGTCTATCATCCCACGAACACCACGTCCTCGTTACCCACCTTGACGCAACTCTCGTAGTCTGCGACTGTACTGGCCTACCTCTACGCTTATTCTGCACATACGAGCTTGTTCTATCTGCATCGTTGGACGAAGTGCTCAAGGCTTGGAATTGTGGCCTGGCAAAGGCGGCACGGCCAGTCCAGCGAGGTGATGAAGAGCTGGTGTTTCGAGTAGACAAGGGCTTCCGGCGATCTCCGTGCGAGCACTGAGACATTGCCTTGACTTTGTCGACAGGCCGCCACTCACATCCATTCGATTGACCAATTGAGTGCGTGGCTGCGTAGTCTCCGCTATCCGCTTGTGTTAGAGGCAAAGTCCACAAGTCGACTGTCCCTCACACTGCCGTCCTACAACATCATGGAGATTGGAGAGGCTACGCAATGCACGCAAAATACTCAGGGCGCAGTAGATCCTAGACGCATGGGCAGAAACAACTCAGGTCTCAGCGAGTCTGACATCTCCGACGTCGTGTGCATCCTGCATCCATGCTCCCCGGCGGCATTCAAAATCGTTGCATCTACAGCTGAAAGAACACCCTTCAATGTGCTGCAAAACGATGGCTTCCAGAATTACGAGGATCCCCTGTCTCCCCAGGCCCTCGAAGAGCAGGAAACGTTCATTCTCGACAAGAACGCCCCATATCAAGCAATGGACCTGGCACTGCGCTTCTCAACCCCATTGAAGAATGCCAAGCTTGGCTTCGTGTTTGGTCGAAATGACAACGTATGCGATATCGTCCTCGCCGCAGACACGTTCAAGCGAGTCAGCAACATGCATTTCAGCATCTTCATCAACAATTCTGGCGTGCTGATGTTGCAAGACATGTCCACCAACGGCACCATCGTCGACGATGTCTTACTCAAAGGCAAAATCTCATGGCAAACGCGCATGCTGAATCCCGGCTCCATGATCCAAATTCTGTCCCCCAAATCTGACGAGATTGTCAAGTTCATTGTACGCATTCCCTTCCGCGATGGACACTTTGAAGCGTACGAGAGGAAGTTCCAGCTGCACATGCACACTGTGGCGACTGCAGAGGCCAAGGCGAGGCAGGACAACATACAGTACCAGCGTCCTGTGGGTGCGAACGGGAAAACTCAGAATGGCGGCTCCGTCAAAGCGCCTCTTGTCCAAAATCAATTCGGTATGCATTGGAGTGGTGGCGACAAGTACAACGTGGTGGGGTCGATCGGCAAGGGGGCTTTTGCAACAGTCTATCAGCTGGCGACGAAAAATGAGGGCCAACTATACGCCGCAAAGGAGCTGGAGAAGCGAAAGTTTATGAAGAATGGCATCCTCGATCGAAAGCTGGACAACGAAATGCAAATCATGAAGGCTGTCAGCCACCCCAACATCGTTCAGTACATCGACTATCATGATCACATCAACCACATGTACATCATCATGGAGTTTGTCCCTTGTGGAGATCTGCAAAAGTACCTTGGCCACCGCGGGAAATTGTCCGAGGGACTGGGAATGACCATGGCTCAGCAGGTGCTGGACGCTCTCGCCTATCTCCACAAGAACAAGATCACCCATCGAGATCTGAAGCCCGACAATATCCTCATCGCTAACATGGACGAGGCTTTCTTCTCCATCAAGCTTTCCGACTTTGGACTCTCCAAGGTGGTCAAGGACAACGAGACTTTTCTCAAAACGTTTTGCGGAACGCTGCTGTATTGCGCTCCGGAAGTGTTTCCGCATTTCGATTCGCATGTCACCGGAAAGGGCACGAAGCGGACTCGAAGGGGCCTGGGACAAGCAAGCACCAAATTCCATGGCTACAGTCAGTCAGTGGATATCTGGTCATTTGGCGCGGTGTTGTGGTTCTCGTTATGTCTCAAACCTCCGTTCGAAGGCGTGGCTGATAACACCGGCCGCGGCATGTTCGATAAGATCATGATGACACCATTGGATCTGGAAGACCTGCGATCTCAAGGTGTTTCCGAGACCGCCATGGGGCTGCTCATCGCAATGCTGAATACTGATCCGGCGGCAAGACCGTCTGCCGTTCAGTGTCTTCAGCATGAATGGTTTGACAGCATTACCCAGGGTCAATCTCAGCTTCATGCCTCGCAACTTGGAGGTCTTGGCCCAATCCAAGAAGAAGACGTCACCGCGGCTGCTGAAACGCCTGACGTGGCGAGACTAAGCCTCGGCGAGCTGATCAACGCACAAGCAAGGCATCTGAACCATGCCAGCTCCGGCAGTCAGGACTTCCTCGATCCAAGGGAGTCCAAGCGCTTCAAAACCAGTGACGCTCCGTACCGCGAACATGATGAGATGGAAGACTCCAGCCCCGACATCTTCCGCTTCAGCGGCTCCATCCCTATCATGCACCAGTCGGCTGGTGGTCAGCGACTACCAGGTGTGCAAACCCAGCCGGCGCCGCAGAAGCTTTTCGGGGAAATCAGCCAGGCGGCATTGCGTAGCTCTGGGTTGCTCGGGAAAGGTTTTGAAAACTTCGAAATGTCGAACACGAGCGAAGATGGTTACGAAAGCCCAGATGTCGCCGGGCACGAGGATTCTGACGGAGCTTTGGCGTCTCCTAGTCTCCTCGGAGCCGAATCCTTGGTCCGAGAGCTCAATATGGATTCTCCGCGGTCGGTTGATTCCCAGGATGCGGACGCAGAAGCGGTCGAGCCAGTCACACCACAAACGCCCGGAGCATTCAAACTCAGTCGAAGCCATGGCAACGGTTCGCATGCCATATCTGGTGCCGAAGAAGTCACCCCGAAGCAGCCTCAGAAGTCTACATTCAACCGACAGATCCAAATTCCGATTCCCGCGTCCTTCTATTACGACCCTCTAGACCCGGCGACGCACAATCCAGAGTATGCATCCAAAGTCAGCGGCAGAGACTACGTGGGCGACGTCAGCCGCGGAGAAGAAGACATCTCACTTCCAGCAACAAGCAACGGCTCCATCACTCAGAACGACGATGACGCACCCACGCAAAATCCAGCAGTCGTCGCCGCTTTCGAAGCAGAACCACCAGCGCCCCAGCAATCCTCCCAATTCGTCAAGCCTCCCCCTCGTCTCGGCAGACTGATCTCCACCCCCGACTCCTACGCCCCAATCAACCTCACCCTGAGCACCCGCGTCTCCACCTGGGGCCGCGCGCCCTCCAACACCCACCCCCACCCCGACAAAGCCGACACGCGCATTCCCAAGCGCGGCGTCATCATCTGGCACCACGCTAAAGACATCGACGCCGCTACCACCGCCACACTACCCGAAGAAGGCGGCGAAGACGCCCAAGCATGGCTGAAACTCCCCGATTTGCACTGCGTCATCTCGACAGAAAGTAGTCTGGGCATTCACGTCAACGGCGTGTTGTTGAAGAAGGGTGATGCGGGGCATATGTGTTTTGGTAGGGTGTATAGTGGGGATCGCATTACTGTTTTCCACGACACGAGGGACGGCAAGCCTGGATTGACGTTTGTTTGCGAGTTTTATCATGGTGAAGCGAAGGCGGTGCGGCCGGTCGGTTCGGCGCCGTTTTTGGTGGAGACGGCGAAAGTGACGGCGCCGGTGAGGCAATCGATGGAGAAGAAGCAGGGTGAGGAGAAGGAGAATTCGGAAGAGGCTTTGGTGACGACGAAGGTGTGAGCTGGTCATTGGGAGCTGGTACTACACGAAGCTCTGCATTTGATTTTGATTGAGCGAGGTGGCATATCTGAGCGGTTTATGATGAAATAGATTGAGACGAGGATAACGACATGGCATTGCGGTGTGGGTGCGTGGAATCATACTTCAAGATGAGATGGGTATGTAGGTATGTATCTACGCTCAATCGAACGTTCGATAATCATGAGGCGATTCCGGATACATCGCGAGGCAAGCGACATGCTTTGTTGGCGACACACAGCCCCCGTACTGCCCTTCGCTCTCATCATCCACGAGCGGTATAGCCTTCAGGTTGACAGCTTTCACTTGACAGCCACAAACCCAACCCCAAGCCTCGCATCCATACACGCCCTGCGCAACTTCTGCTCCTCCACATCCGTCCACTGCACGCTCAGCTCATCCCACTTCTTCGTCCTGTACTCTTCTACACAGCAGTCAGCACATCATCCATACCCAAAAAGAGAAAGGGATCAAAACACGGAACTCACCCTTAAACCTCTGCTGCAAGGCCTGCATCTCGGCCAAAGGCCGGGGATCCCCGGAGCCAGAGAAGAGCAAGAAAGCCGTGCAGGGGGGCAGGGCGTCCCACACTTCCTTTACATGCGCTACGGTCTGCGCGGCGATGGTCGATAAAGAGGTCTCGGCTGAGGTGGCGGCCGTGCTGTTGCGCAGCTCCTCGTTGTCGAGCGTTTTGCTGCGGTTCCACCAGCCGCGGTGGGCTTCTAGTTCGCGCAGACGGGCGAAGATGAAGTCTATGCCTCCAGTTGGGGCGGAGGTGCTGTCGGTGTTGGTGGAGTGGTCTGCAGAATCTTCACCTGCGTTTGCACGCTTGACGCCAGCGACGACTTGCTCATCGCTCTCGCACCCAATCGCCAACTTCGCCTGCGTTCCATAGCCGCGCGTAGGTTCGCCCCAATCAACCACCGCGCCGGTGCGCGCCTCATCGTCCCCCACAGGATTCACTTTATCCCTCTTGGGCCGCGTAGCTCGAGCCAAGCGCTTGAAAATCGATTCGCCGGACGCTTCCGAAGTGCCCCACGCCTTGCCCTTTTCGCACTTCTGCTTCACCAGGTCGAGACAGGCTTTGGCGTCTTCGATGGAGTCGTGGCCCGTGGTGCCGTGGCCTTTTTGTATTTCGCGCGCGAGGTACTTTTGCGCGAGCCATTTGAGGCTGGATTTCAGCGGGGGTCCGCGCGGGTGGGGGAAGAGGAGGGCGGTGTCGATTATGTTTGGGTGGGTGAGTTTGAGGGCTTTGAGGTCGGAGTCGAGCGAGTGGCCTACGAGGATGGTGTTGGGGGTGAAGATGTCGTTGATGAGTTTGGTTTGGATGTCGGGGAGGGTGGTGGTGACGTTTTGGAGGGAGGCGGGCGTGATGCCGGAGTAGGGGGTGAGGTAGTCCGTGATGGGTTTGTCGGGTTTGACAAATTCGTCCAGAAGTACGTTTCCGTCCCAGTCGATAAGGGAGATGCGGGTAAGGCTGAACTCTTGAGGCGTTGTGCCTGGCGGCGAGGTGATGCACATTTCGCAGTCCATTGTGAGGACTTTCTGGCCGGCGAGGATTGGATCACTCTCTTTGTCTTTGTCTGAAACATCCTCGTCCGTGAGCATGGTGACGTTGGGAGCGTCGATCCACCCATCCGCGACGGAAGTCTTGTCCAACTCGCGTTTGGCCGTCTCTTCGGCAGCAAGAGTGGTACCATTGTAATGGGCAGGATGAAGCACATAGCCTTCTTGCATCAATTCTTGTGTGCTGGCCACATACTCAGTGACAGGAGTCCTCTCATTCTTCCAACTCTTACTGCTGGTAGGTGTCTGCGGTCCTTTGCCCCTCTTCTCATCCTTCGACTTGACAATCGGCGAGATGAGCATGGCAGCAAGCGGCGAGTGCATCTTGGCGTACTTGTCATCGCCAGGCGTACGAACAGGCCAGATGTGTTCAAATATATCACTCAACGGCTGCAGTGGAATGGGGAGTCGATCACGATTGAGCTTCTTGGGGTAATAGTCGTCTGGAGAGGCGCGAGAGATGCTTCGAGGAGGAGAGACAAGCGTGGAAGGAGGGTCGACTGGATGTGAGGGAGAGTTTTCTTCTTCTTCTTTCTTCGCTAGCGATGAGCTATCTGCTGCCGAAGTCTCAAGTCCATTGGCGGTGCTCTGCTCCGAAACACTGGGATCGAGCAAAGGTATGCTTCCATTGAACATGCCCGCTTCGAGTCCAGGGACCATGAGCGCCACGACCTTGCGAACATTGGCATGATGACTGACAGAACACCATTGTGGCGAGGGACCGTCGGCGAGGAGGTAGAGGGCGAGGTTCTGCAAGTCACCCAGCTTGACGTAGTGCTGCAGTCGAGATTGCGCAGAGTGCTTGATGGAAGGGTAGTTGCCTTTTTCCTTTGACGGCAGCTTCTTTCTCTTCTTCGCCCGGTTGCTCTCCACCTGCTGCCACTCTCCCGCGTCGTCATCTTGTCCCGGGGAGGTGCCATTTGCATCGGACGATGGTGATGCGGTGCTGGTGGTGGAGTCTTTCAGGTGCGACAGTGTCTGGCCGACGCCGATGCGGTTGTCGGCTTCATAGTGGGAGCGCGAGCGCTTGTGGCTATTGCGACCCATCTCTTCTTCAATGTGTGGCTGTCACTGAGCCATGAGGAATTGTAGAAGAGAGACCTAACGATGTCTGCGCAGTGACTGGAATTCTTCAAGGTAAAAATCGTGCTTAGTCATCGACTCAGTCCCGCTGCCCATCAGGTTGCATGTGGAAGACTTGCCGCCACAGGCTTGCAAAAACCGGAAAGTATTGCACGAAATAACAATATGATGGCCGCCGCAGCTTGTTGACCAATACTATCATCCAGATTAATTAATATACTCAAGCGGTGAGTTCCTCAACAGCTGGTGTGGCAGTGGTCGCCGCTTTCGCATCGCGCTCCTCTTCCTCCTCCATCGTCGACATCTTCTCGTCTTGCGCCGCGCCTGCAACATCTGGAGCCGGCCCCTCACTCGTCTCTCGCATTACGACATCCGTCCCTTGTCCATGCTGCAGCTGTGCTGACTCGTCTTCAGTCTTCGCCTGCACCTCGCGCGCATCTTGCTCGTCACGTCGTGGGTGAATGCTATGCTTATGCCCGGGACCGTTTGGTTCCCCCTCGCGCTCCTCTGCTTCCGGCGGAGTATGTTCCCCAACCGCTGACCGCGATCCATCATCCTCCTCCTCCTCCTCCGCTTCCTCTTCTTCCCTCTCTTCCGAATTCGTAGGCAGAGGAGCCAGAGACCGAGCCGACGTCGGCGTCTTGCCCTCCCCCTCCGCCCGCTCCGCCTCTTTCTTCGCATGTACTTTGCGTAGATTATTCGCCGAGCTGACAGAGCGCATATCGGGCCGGCCGTCCTTTCGAATCAGAATGCCCTCGGCGTTGCGAATGGGCTTCGTGCGAGTCTTCTTCCCTCCGCTCGGAGGGCCTTGGCCACCTTCGCCGGTGTCCATGGCAGACGGGTCGTCGTAGCCTTGCGTGGGCGTTTCTGGGATGTCCATTTCGTGGCCGAAAGCGCCGCCGAGTCTGCCCATGCCGCCGAGTCCGCCGCGGGGTGAGGTGGGCAGTAGCGGGTGGTGGTGGTGGAAGGGATCTGGTACCCATTCGGTTGGTTCCCAGTCTGCATGACCGCGGCGATTAGGATCCAGAAGCACGCCGCCTCCGCGCCCTCTCCTGCCTCCGCGTCCACCTCTTCGGCCCCCTCGTCGTCCATGGCCGTGTCCGTCGCCGCGACCGTGGCCATGCCCATGTCCGTGGCCGTGATGATGGCCGTGATGATTGCCGTGCATTCTGCGCTCATGTTCTGGGCGCCAGGTCTCCTGCGAATCAGCTTGGGTCGTAGTGGTAGATGTGATGAAACGGTAGTGCGATGGCGCGTTTGTCGGTGCGGCAGTGGAAGGTACCTGCGACTGCGGTGGAGAAACATCGGATGCCGCACGGCTCCGGCTGTACGTGTTTGTTTCCGTCGGACCGGAATGTCCCACACTCGAAGGCACGTACGACTCTTCTCCGTAGCTACTTCTTGGCATGATGGGGGCAAGCTTAGGTCTTTTGCCCGTACCGCTTTGTGGAGATTGATATGGAGAGGCTCGAGGCTCATCCAGAGGGCGTTTGGGGATAGTACTCGCATTGATAGCTGCCCAGCTGGCTGCTTGCGGTTCCGGCTCGATTGTGTCCGGCCGCGAATGTGCCGATGGCAGCTGTGGCGGCGGTAATACAGCAGAGTGAGGTAGAGAGTCGGATGATCGCCAGCCTGGAAGGCTGGAGGGTGGCGGTAGGGGCTCAGATGGTCTGAACGCCCCGGCTGGAGATGGGTGTATGCTACCCGAAGACTCGGCGGAGTACTGTCGAGCTAGTCCATTCGATGCAGGGTAGCTTGGTCTTCCTCTTGACTCGAGTGCAGGCAGATGCGCCTGCAAGGCGGCGTTTCGAGCTTCGGGTGGGGATGAGATGGACGACGTACGCATTGGGGGGAGAGGGCCGTGGTGCGACGCATGGTGAGCGTGTGAACGACCAGGATGCTGAAGGAGAGGGGGTGTTTCGTGCAAAGGGACATCGTGATGCGCCAAGCCTGCTGCGTTGTCGAGTCGTGGCAGCGGACCGTTTTGCTCCTCCAGTCGCTTCATTCGATTCTTCATGGAAATGAGCTGCAGCTTGATCCCGTCGACCTCATTCGCCTTGCCGTTGATGGCATTCACCTGCTCAATCAAGTAATCAAAGTCGCCAGGATCATGCCTGCCCGGCCCCGGCGCACTGCCCTTGATGTGCATATCGGCGCGGACCTCGTTCAAAGCCGTGACGACGCCGCGTATCTCGTCGCCCAAGGTGCGGACGTCCATCTCCAATCGTTGGATCTGCCGACGTTGCGACTCGAGGAGACTCGTGTTCGACGAGACTTGGGTCTGGAGGCGTGATATGGCGCCGGCCCAGACGTCAGCGCCCGGGTTGTGCGATTGTTCGGATCCATTGCTGGGCCTGCTTTGCTCGTTTGAGTGGACGAGAGTCCTGGACGACGATGGCGGAGCGGAATCTCGAATTGGAACATCGCGCGGTGGCGCCGGCATGGCGGCATCGCGCTCACTACCCTCCATTGCACTCGCTTCAAGGCTGCTGATGGAGAATCATAAGTGGTGCACTGCGAGCCGGGAGCCTCGCGGTCTCCCGGTGGCTTGACGAGGCTTTGAGGAGATTAGGCAGAAGCGCGTTGATGCCTGCGAACGGGGGACGTTCAGCTTGCTGGAATTCATCTGGTTCATACAGCGACGAAAGCAATCGCCGGCGCAGCGACACGGAGATTCGCATGCGCCTTCGTCAATCACCCAGCAGAAACGTACCTTTGAATAATGGGGTGACGTCGTGAGGCAAACAGAGAGACCAGAACAAGACCAAGGATTGGTCGAATCAAGGCCAGGTCAAAAGAGAGTAAAGGATGACAGCTCGAGGCGGTGTGTAAGATCAGGTAGCTAGGTAGACAAGGCAGGAAAGGTAGGCGCAGGCAGCTATTTCAGAAAAGAGAGTGCGGCAGATTGTGGTATAGGCGCGCATACACGGCCCAAAAGGTAAAATCCATGAGCGGGGCACGGCCGTGCAAGGTAAGGTAATGAGGTCGCATCCAGGCGTTCAGTTACAGGCGGCAAAAGGGCAGGCTAATTCTTACAAAGATGAAAATAGGGGAACAGAGTTTGCGCGAGTGGATGGCGACACTACAGGCGAATAGAGCGGGTGTCTTCGTATGCGCCGTCGGGGCGCTAGAGCCTATATCGGGCAGCTGACGTGCGCAGCGTTTAGGCGCACGCATTCCTCGGATCCTGATCTGAGGGTCGGCACGAGAGGGGAATACTGTAGGTATGTAGAGACGCACGGCGCCCTGCAGCTGAGACCCAGTGGGCGGTACCATGATTGACATGGGTGGCCCAGGCCCAGGTTTCGAGCTGTCACACCCGGCAGCGCTCCATGCAGTCGGGCTGCAGGATGCATAGGGTCCAACCGCCAGCCTTGGCTGAATGAAGACGTGATTTTCGTGGGTGTCTTGCTAATCGCGGAAAAGGAAGCAAGGAGATTCGCGGAAAACGAAAAGGGCTCAGGTGATGAAACATCACGCCACTTACAGTACCTTACTCAGGTTGACTGCTGACACGCCCCCAATTACCGCTTAGGTCGTTGTCAGGATTCCATTTGCTGCAACCTTACTATACGAGCGCGCCCCTCTATTTGGTGCGTCGTACCTTTCCACTCCCGCCGCGCTGATTGGCCTAGCATCGCAGGCCGCGCAGACCGGCCGCCGTAGGCTGTTTGGTATACGACCGATTGCCTAACCAGGACGTTACACATCTACGGAATGCCGCGGAAATTGGCCGTGTCGAGGCCATTCCTGCGGGCTCGAGTCAGCCCACGTGGAGAATGGTTTACAGCACGTCGCCGATGTAAGCGATTAGTAAGTGGAGGAGGGATGTGTTTTGCACAACTATCCCTTCCCAATCTCCTCCTGGTGGGCGATGTCATGGTGCACAGTCGAGAGGTGAGCACGTTGAAGTGGCTCCGAGTGAGCGGTCTCTGTCGCCTTGCCAAAAGACCATGATGATCCAGCTGAAAGGGATTTCTGTGTGCATGACTAAGGGGGGCTGTTCGCGTGCTTTCGTACAATTGCTGTTCGATGCTGATGCTCGTTGTAAATGACGATTGCAAACAGTCTCGGAATAAGAAGAGCTCGCCGTTTGACGGCTCCATCTCGTTGGTGTATATTTGGTGAATGATGGACGAATCTGCAGCCTCAGGCGATTCGATGCTGAGTCATGCTGTAGCCTGAACCCCAGGCAGTCGCGCTCCGGCGGCGGCCCGCTCCGCTCATCGTCACTTCCGCGCCGTCGCTTGCTCTCGTGCCTCCTCCACACTTCAAGAACCGAACGAAGATTAAGCGCTCTTGACCTTCTGCACACCACTCACTACGCCATCTCTCCGCTCACATCACTTCATCGACACTCGGACTTCATCGCAACGCGACTCCATCCTCTGATGTTCACTTCGCGGACCGCCTGGCCAGCAACTGGCCACCGGCTTCAACGGCAGACCAGGTGAACTCCACCTTCACCTCCCAACCAGCATGCCGCACGCAACCGCAAACGGCAACATGGAGGACGGCGATGATGAGGGTGCCATCAACGGCATCCTGAGTGACCTTGAAGGAGGCGGCAACAACTTCAACGGCGGCGACTTCGGCGCGGGCTATGTTCACGTTGGCGAGTTTGATCAAACGGACAAGGCAGACGACGCGCAAGATTACGAAGACATCAGTGATGATGATCTGCCAGAGGAAGAAGAGGCGATGAACCCCTTTACTCCCGAGGAAGACGCCGACGACGATGCCGCGCTGCAGACCATCCAGAACGCCTTCAACCCAGACCCTCTTGCGCAATCGCGCCTTGCCCCAGCTGCCAACGGCTATCATTCAGAGACCCACGACGACCTCGCAGAGCAGGACGTCACGGAAGAGCACGCGGGTGATTTGTTCGGCGAAGGAGACGATAACTTCGATCTTTTTGGCGACCGCAACTCTTCACCAGAGCAAGCTCGCGCCGTCCCCGTCAGCCATGCGCCTGCGCCCCAGCCTCACCCATCCAGGCCTATTGGCCTCGCTCTGCCGAGCAAGAGCAAATCCTCGCTCGCTCTCCCGACTCTGGCCACCAACTTTGCCCCTCCACAGTACCCGCCGAGGAGCCAAAGCTCTGACTCACTGAGTGTCACGTCCCCTATTGAGGAGGGTCCTGCCTCGCCGGCTAGCAGCTACGATACGGACGTCACTGATGAAGACGGCATGACTGAGCAAGAGTTGATGCAGAGGAAACTGTTCAAGCAATCCAGAAAGCGACAGGCTGGTGAAGAGGTGGACGACGATCTCGACGGCTTCGACCTGGACAACTTCTACTCTCTTTTCCCCCGATTCGAAACGAATCAAGCCCCCGTTTTCGAGGATTTGTTCCCTGCTCGGCGGGTCAGCTTCAAGCCAAAGCCCCCTCTCAAGGCTCCTCGACCTGTCCACGCGACCAAGATTGCTCTCGAGTTACTCCCTGACCAGGAGAAGTCTTTCAGGGCGCCTTCGTTGGCAAACAAAGGTGTTGAAGCACCCGCGCCCAAAGATGGCCTCGTCTACCTCAACAACGGTGCTCAAGACCAAGACATGAGTGATGATGATGATCTTGCCTTGAGCGTCATCGACGAGAACGAGCGAATCGGCGGTGTGACGATGCAAGACCTGGCTGTCATCTGTGCGGACTGGGATATTCCAAGCATCTCGAGTGATGCCGGCTCGCCCGAACCGGCCGCGAGATTGGGCACCGGAGATTACGACACGGAGGAAAGCGCCCGGCCACGCAAGAAAGCGAGAATGAGCATACTAGGCGAGAACCTGTCCTTCACGATCCCGGATCCGCACCTCTCCTTCGAAGATCCTGAGCGTGCTACGGCGAAGATTGCCAAATCGGTCACGCTGGATCTCAACGATCCTCACCTTCTTATCGATGAGCTTTCCCCCGAGACCAGACGCCGGACACATCACCTGAATGCGCGCAGACAACGCAAGGCCGACATGGCCAAGGAGATGGCGAAGCGTTACAACATTAGCAATGACAAGGAGTACGACAAGCTCAAGGAGAACCATCAACACAAGGTCCGGGCCACCCTCGGCAGTATGACAGTCGAGCACAGCCTTCCCGCCACCAAGCTGCAGTATCCCTTCTACAAGGTCAACCTCGACAGTAAGCAGAAGCGATCTTTCCACCGCCCCCACCTGGATCTCCGAGGCACAAAAATGAACTTCAGATTCGAGCCGCTCGCGCATATCAAGCGCAAGCATATCCGCGGTCGCGAGGTGAAAGACTTGTTTGCAAAGTCAAACGATCTCTATCTCGGTGACAGCGCGAACGTCATGATGCTGGAATACTCGGAGGAGGCACCCATGATGCTCTCGAACTTTGGCATGGGCAACCGGCTGATCAACTACTACCGGAAGAACGATGTCGACGATCAATCCCGCCCGAAGCGAGATATCGGGGAGACTCACGTCCTCTTACCGCAAGACAAAAGCCCATTTGCGAACTTTGGCCACGTTGATAAGGGCGAGGTGGTACCAACGGTTCAGAATGGGATGTTTCGCGCTCCGGTCTTCACTCACAAGCCCAAGTCCACCGACTTCCTGGTTGGCGTCAGCAGTACCTGGCGCGGCGGTAGCAAATTCTACTTGCGCAACGTCGACAATCTGCACGCCGTCGGCCAGCAGTTTCCCATCTCCGAAGTCCCCGGTCAACACTCACGCAAAGTCACGGATGCTGCGAAGAAGCGTCTGCGTGCGTTGTCATATCGCATTTACACCAAGAGTCAGGAATCGGCGCAACCAGTCAAAGTGCTGAACAATGAAACCATCATGCCGCACTTGCCGGGCCACGACATGCCGCAGACTCGTAGCAAGATGAGAGAGTTCATGAAGTACGAGCGAGCGCCTGGTAAAGAGAGTGGTGGTGTGTGGGTCCCCCAGCCTGGTCAGGTGGTCCCTGACAAAGACACACTGCGCAGCTGGATCCGGCCGGAGGACGTATGTTTGCTGGACTCGATGCAAGTCGGCGTTCAACATCTCGGCGACCTCGGCATCAAGGACGAGAAGGGTGGCGCTGATGATGAGAAAGACATTGACGAAAGTGCAAACATTGAACTGCAGCTGGCGCCCTGGAGGACGACCAAGAACTTCCTCAATGCTTGCCAAGGTAAAGCAATGCTGGCTCTCTACGGCGAAGGTGACCCGACTGGACGTGGTGAAGGGTTCAGCTTCGTCAAGACATCCATGAAGGGTGGTTTCCAAGCACTCGGGCAGAGCGCTGATGACAAAGTACAAGCGAAGAAGCGCCGTGACAACGGTGGCCATCTCTACAACGTCGCCGCTCAGCAGAAGCTGTACGACGACAGCATTCGCGACATCTGGAACAAGCAAAAGGAGAGCTTGGGTACCGACCAAGAGCCCTCGGACTTCGACATGAACGACGACGCCGACGACGCTCAAGGCAACGATTTGTACAGCGCCGCTACGCCCAGGTCAGCCTTCGCTACGCCAGCTCCCGGCCCATCCTACGACGATGATTCCGCCAGCCAGTTTAGTAGAGGCGGCAGTGTCGCTCGAAACGACCAGATCTTATACATTGTGCGCAAGACCAAGGACAAGTTCGGCAAGCCGATTGAATCTCGCGTCGAAGTGAAGAACCCCCGCATTGCCTCGATGTATAAGAAGAAGCACTACGAGAAGCAGCTTAACAAGCTCAGGTTCGCACAAGTCCCTTTTCCTGCGTACCGCGATGCTCTTACTGACCTTCTTCCCAGCATCCTCGACGCCGCCCCCACCGGCGACTCGGAATTCGACTTTCTCCTACGCCAAAAGATGGAGAAGGAACTCGCACGCGTTGAGCGCAACGTCGACCGCCGCGAAGCCCGCGAGAAAGCCAAAGGCAGAGTCCCCGGTGGCGCCGGCTCCCCATCCGCTGGCGGTGCCGCCTCACCCAGTCAACTCTCCGACGCTGGCGCCGGCTCTCCACCCGCCGATGGCACGCCTCAGAAGAGCGGCGGCACCGGGCGCGGCAAGAGCAAGGACGGCACGGCGCGCAAGTGCGCCAACTGTGGCCAGGTCGGGCACATCAAGACCAACCGCAAGTCAGTATCCCCTTCCTTCGAGTGTATTTTCTGCCGCTGCGCGATGTTTGTGCCGCTGCCGGCGGATCTCAACAACGACGGCAGCAGCAAGGGGAAGAAGAATGGCCTTGTGCATGCTGGCGGACTCAGTGCTGGTTATGTTCATGGGTTTGATGAGGCTGAGGAGAGCGCGGCGATGAGCAGTTATTCGCGGTTTACGCTGTGAATAATCGAGGTTGCTTGTTCGTTGCTGCTTTTCTTTGATACTCTACTCCGTCTGCCGAGCGCGCAGATACGGAGAGCGATCTTTACAGCTTGCTTCTATAGTCCTCTTCCCCTTCCCTCCCCCGTGTCCCCTCGTCAGTCATTGTCATGAACGCTAGCTAACCCAAATTTCTTCTTAAGACTCTGCCCACTCCTCAACGGCACATGGAAACCTGAAGATGCGGCTGTCAACGGCGACAGCTCTTTCGGCGCTGTCCCTGCTCCCCTGACTTTATAGGTAGATGGCATGACATCGCGGGGATGTGCTTTTGCGTCGCCCATCCGCTGCTGTACCCCGGCTGGATCTTGCATCGCGGGACCGCTGGGGACGTGGTGGATGGGTGCTGGACTGTTTTCGGTTATGGCTCTACTTGTTGGTGGTAGTGTTGGGATGGGTAGGCTCGGGGGATTGAGCGACGATGCGAGGTGTGCTATGGGCTACAAGGAAGTTTTGAGCGAGCGTGATGGCATTTGTAGGGCACTCCCAGCGAATCTTAGTTGTGCGTTTCTCGCTCTCACTTCTGTTCTGCTCGTTGTGCCTGTTCGGCGATGATCACGTGCACTAGCGCGAATGCAATCGTGACTCACGTCACCCAAAGTCGTATGTCCTCTTTTCATATTTCTTCCTCTTTCTCCGGGATATACCACCTCCATCTCGCTCCCACAAAACGACAGTGTGAGACACAACTATGGCGACATCAAGCCTTTCGAAAGTCATAAAGCAGAAAGCGAAGCAGGGCGACTGGGCGACGAAGAAACTCACGGCGATGAAAGAAGAGACGTTGCAGTTGGCGGCCGGCGCGATCGGTGACTCCGCAGCACATGCAGGCTCACGTTACTCTCCCTCTATCTACCCTACGGCCGTTTGTTCTAACGCTAATGCATCTCGACAACAGGCGCCGTTCGGGCTCCTCGACTTGCCACCTGAAATCTGGTCGAAAATCTGCAAGCTCGCAACCGAGTGCGATTGTCCTGTCCTTCTGAGGCGTGGCAAGAACGGCGGCAAGAAAGGTCCTGTCGTCGTGCGCCAGCCGGGCATCACCCGAGTCTGCCGCCGAGTGAGAGAGGAGTGTCTCCCCCACTTCTACGCCGCGAACGAATTTGGATACGTCGGAAGGTTGGCGCACTACGATTTCGCAAAGGGAACGCCGGAGAGCTTGGCGCCCAAGCTCAACGCTCTCTTTGTCGTGGATCTACCGGCTTTGTTGCACTGGTCTCGCCAAACAAAGGTGCATGTGAAGTACCTGACCAAAACGGAGGCACGTTGGGCGCTTCGATCCGAAAGCAACGTGGTGAACACGGAAGGACAAGAGTCGATGGCGGAGATGCTCAAGTCAGCGGCTCAATGGCTACGGCATGAGCCGGAATGGGGAGTAGGGATAGCCAGATGCGCGCGCTTGTCCAGGAATCCAGAACTGTGGACTAGGTTGCCATGAAACGGGAACGCAAAGGGCAAGCTCTGAGGGGAAATGGATTAGAAGGGAGGTCTAAGCGAAGATGAGGGTATTGTATGGCAGTCACAAATAAATCCTGACCGTGAACTAGTACAAAGAGTTGTGCTACCATTCACCTCCCGTCCGCTTTCTCGTGGCCTCCTTCACTTTGCTTTTTGCATTCGTCACGTGCTGACGGCCACGTGCACTAGCGTGGACGCCAAGCACGACTTGCCGAACGTCACTGCACTTCAATCAGAGCTTCACTGCCTTCTCTCTCTTCTATTTCTCCGTTTCTCTTCTTGAGTATAACACTTCCGATTTTACTCCCACGCAACGACAGTGCGAGACACAACCATGGCGAAACCACCGCCCTCGAAAGTCAAGAAGCAGTAGAAGAGCAACACGACCACGAAGAAGCTCACGGCAAAGAAAGAAGAGGCGTTTCACGTGGCGGTTGAGGCAATCGAAGCATACGATGCAGGGGTACGAATTGGATTGGATTCCGCTGGCTGGCATTCACATCGGCCAGGCCTTTTGATCCAAGACTGATTCGTAATGCAGAAGAAGCCCCTCGGTCTCCTTGACCTGCCTCCGGAGATCTGGTCGAAGATCTGCAAGCTTGCGGTCGAGTGCGATCATCTTGTCCTGCTGAAACCTGGCAAGTATCGCCCGATCATCGTACGCGAGCCAGCAATCACCCACGCGTGCCGTCCCGTCAGGCAAGAGTGTCTGCCACACTTTTACCGCGTCAATACATTCGGCTACATGGCCGGTTTCGGTATGGCCGGGGACGTGGAGGATGGAGTGTTGAGCTTGGTGGAAAAGCTTAACGCTGTTTTTGGCCTTGGGGTGTGGGATATCAGGAAATGGAGGATGGAAAAGGGAGTGGAACCAGAGTGGACGTCGGTCGCGGATCTGGCTCAGACGCTGCAGTCCGAGGTGGATGCGCTCGACGAGCAGAAGCAAGAATCGTTGGTGACAGCACTCAAGTGGGCGATTGAAAATCTGTGTGACAATGGTTGGTGATGGGTGAGGATGGACATGAGCACCTGCAACATCTTGCGCAGACTGACGCGTACTCTTGGAGCAGCAAATGCAGTTTCTTTCAGTGCCTGTTGTCTTTCAGTGCCTGTTGTCTTTCATTCCCTGAATTCCACTCTTCACATCATGTCCTTCACTTTGCTTTTTGCAATCGTCACGTGCTGGCGGCTGCGTGCATTAGCGTAGAGTCCAAGCGTTGAAACGTCACATTTTTATCTTTCACGACTCACCTCTCCCTCTGCTCTTCTCGCTCTCAAATGCACAACACATCCATGCGAGACAGAGATGGCGAAACCGAAGCCTTCGAAGGTCGAGAAGCAGAAGGCGAAGAGCAACGAGGGCACGAAGACGCTCGCAGCGAAGGGAGCGGAGATGATGCCGATGGCACTTGAAGCAAGCGATGCTCAGGTGAATGGTGATCGTTGTCCACGTCTATCTGTCTTTATGGCTGATCCCATTACAGAAGAAGCCACTCGGACTGCTCGACCTTCCCCCTGAGCTGTGGGCAAACATCTGCAAGCTTGTCGTGCAAGAAACACGTTCTATCATCCTGAAGCCCGGCAAACACTGCCCGGTCGTTGTGCGTCAACCTGGCATCACAAAGGTCTGCCGCGCCATCCGGGAGGAGAGCCTTCCACATTTCTATCGCGAGAACCAGTTCTGCTATCTCCACCGAATCAGCTTCCTCGGCTCTCGGAGGGATGTCTCGAACGCGACCGTGCGGAATGTCAACGCGCGTCTCTGCGTGCCAACATGGGACGTTGACTTCTGGACATGCGAAGTGGGTGTGGAGGCAAGGATCATAGGATCTGCGGAGGCGCTGGCGGCGATACACCTGGAGCTGGACATTATCACTGGTGACGAAGAAGGGGCTTTGGAGGTGAGGGGGCTGCTTGTGCGGGCGGTCATGTCGAGGGAGTATGGTTGGCTGCACAAAGGACTTAGACAGCTTGCAGCTGGGCGTCAGTAGGCATGATGCGGATGAGCGTCAAGGCGTTTCGTTGAAGTAGCGAATGTATGTCCTTCAGCGTACCTCTGTCTTATACCTTCAGCTCTGCTCTTTTCATCATTCCTGTCTTTGCTTTTTACAGTCGTCACGTGGATGTTAACACGTGCTCTAGCGCGGAGTCAAAAAGGGGCACGTCACTTCGTATCAACTCACACGACTCATCTTGCTTTCTCCATCTTCTTTCTCTCAATCCCACTGATTATCAGTGCGGAACAGCAATGGCGAACCCCCAGACCCTCGAGGTCGAAAGCCAGAAGGCTGAGACCTCACGCACAAAGCAACACGACCCTGTGAGGGAACTTACTGCGAAGCCGGAGAAGCTGCAATCAGATGAAGCAAACGCAATCAAAGTACGTTGACGCCTACACGTCTCCTCATAGTCATCGTGTGTGGGATGATGCTGATACATTCCGCAGAAGGAAAGCAAAGAACAGAAGCCATTCCGCCTCCTCGACCTTCCACCTGAGCTGTGGACGGAGATCTGCAAACACGAGGTGGAGTCTGATCATCCTATTCTCTTGAAACCTGGCAAGGAAGGTGTCGCCTTACGCCAGCCGGCCATCTTGAAAGTCTGCCATCAGATCAGAAACCAATGTCTTCCTCACTTTTATCGGGCGAACCAATTCGAATACATACCGGAGGTGCACAGCTGGCACATCGGGTTCAGAGTGGACTCTGAGTTTGTGAGGGACTTCAATCGACTCGTCTGCATTCCGTCGTGGGACTATCATTTCTGGTTTCTGGAGAGAGTCATGACGTCGGTGTCCGGGATGTGGTGCGAGGACGTCTTGTCTGCACTGCAACGGGAACTCGAAACAGGAAAGGATGAACGGACGCTGTCCCCGAGGACGAAGACGCTGCTTGAGAGGGGGGTCAAGGAGCTGCGAGTCGCCAAAGAACGAGAAGACCGTCGTTGACGTTGGAGATTAGCACACGCTTGTCCTAATGACGGAAAAGCGTGATGCACATCGGACGGTAGTCTGCATATCAGACGGAGGGTCTGCGTAGTATGGCAACCGCAGCGAGTCTTCAGTACATGAAAGCTCACTGTCATCTCAAAATTCCCTTCAATCGCACTCTTTCCCCGGTTGTTCACTTTGCCCCTTTTCGTGTCACGTGCATTGGCGCGGCGTGAGATGTCACCTGGACAACGTCACATCCCTTCGCTGACGTTACACCACGCTCTACCTTTTCCCTTCTCTTCCAACTTTTAGATCTTGCTTCCGCAGAACGCAACAACAATGGCGAAACCAAAGCCATCGAAAGTCAGCAAGGTGAAAGCGAAGAAGGCCTCAAACGGGAAGAAGAACGTCAAGACTACGAAGGCGCTCGCCGCGAAAGAACCGGACGTCCTGCAGTTGACTGCTGAAACAGACGGTGCGAAGGTAAGACATGCCACTTGCCTCTCGCTCCTCTAGCCCAATCCCTAATCTGATATGTATAACAGAAACCGCGCGGGCTGCTCGATTTGCCCCCGGAGATCTGGTCGAAGATTTGCAAGCTTGCAGTCAAAGATGACAGCCCTGTACTGCTGAAACCGGGCTCTCCTCACTATGAAAACCCCACCGTCGTGCGCCAGCCGGGCATTACACGCGTGTGCCGTCGCATCAGAGAGGAGTGTCTTCCGGAGTTCTACCGCGTGAACCATTTCGTGCGCATGCCCCACCTCTACCCGGACCAATTTCACCGTTCAGTCGGAGTTGGTCTCGTAGCAAGCTTCAACGCGCTTTTCTCGATTGAATACTACAGCATGGAACGCTGGAGCAGGAAGACGGGCGCAGAGGTGTCCCAGCTGTATAATCTTGCTATTTCGCGTGCAGTGCGGTCGGAGCTAGACATGACCGCGGAGAAAGGAACTGCGCCTCTCTCGGCGAAGACGAGGAGGATCCTTGATCGCGGGATGTCGTGCTGGCGGCCTAGAGTCTGGAAAGCTTCCAAGAAACTTGAATGGGATAGATGGACATCTGCAGGCCCGCGGCTTGGAAAGGTCAGGCCGTGATGCGCATCGGAGGAAGGACTGCGTACAGAAAAGATGATCTGGGGATACGGAAACGTGTGGGTGTGAATCAGCGCCGAGGCTATGCATCAAGACCGGAGTGCTACTTAGCAGGGGATGAATGGATCATGCTGTCCAGAATAGGTGACTTCGAAGATCACGCTGTATCCATCTGGTCACCACCTTCTTTCTTGTCATCACCATCTCTCTCCTTCTTTGTCTCGCTACTTCCACCTTCTTGCCCGTCTAGGAGAGGCTGCGTCTCGCCACCACCTTCCTCAGGCACACTCTCCAAAGCCGTCCGTCCCTCCGCTTCGTCCCTTGCTCTCTGCTCTCTCGCCTGTCGCTCCCTCTCCTCCTCCATACTCATTCTCAACACAAGCGCCAACTCCGGATCGAGGTTGGGGTCGACGAAATCGAAGTCGTTCCCACCTCCAGCACCACCGCCAAGATCGCCATTCTGACCAGCACCAGCCGCAGCCGCAGCGCCCATACCACCTTCGCCGGCCAAGATCGGCGAGGCAACGATTGTATCACTCAACAGATTGGATGAAGGATAGACAATCTCCAGATGCGAGCCATCGCCACCCGTCACCGCCTCATTGAAAGCCCTCAGCTTCTCCACATTCTCATCCCCCAAATCGCCAAACGCTACAATGTCGACGCTGGTATTGTTCTTCTTCATCCGCTTCGCCAGCTTCTCCAACTTGCCCTTCTCCTCGGTAATCGGACTGCACGTGAGCACGATAATGCGCTGCCGCTGCGACTTGTTCTGCCGGTGTTTGAGCGCCAGGCTGGCGATCATGATGCCGGTGTAGAGGTGGCTCTCGCCACGTATCTTGGTGCGGTGCAGGCCGTCGAGGATTTTGCCGGGGTTGGTGGTGAGGGTTGTAAGGACTTCGGGCCCGCTGCCGCCCATGGACATGAGGCCGACGGAGGATTCGGGGTTGGATTGCGTTTTGCTGTGGAAGATGAGATTGGCCAGGTCGGTTTGCGCATCCCAGCGTGAGGGGATGTAATCGCCGTTGCGGGAGGATTCGGAGTTGTCGACGCTGTGTTGCGGTTAGTGTTGAGAGCATGGACGATGAGAGGAGGAGAGCCGTACACAATCATCGTCGCTTCGAGCACCATTTTGGCGGTGTTAGCGGCTGGTGCTCGCTCGTGAAGTAGGCCTGGGGTCGTTGAAGAGGTGGAGAGTTCGGTTGCGATGGAGGAATCGACGGAGAGAAAGGGAGATGCAGGATGAGAAAGAGATGAAGAGTGTTGATCGTGCGAAGTTGCAGGCAATCACCAGCTCTCGTCATGCAGGTGGGAGACATGCGGCTCTGCGGGATCGCCCGCCAGTTCGTACCTCGCGCTAGCCAGATCAGGAAACAACGACAGCTGCGACGAGCTTTTGTTTACATCACATGTTACGCTGTGATCACACACTCTACTATATCCACACGCCTCGAGACGACTCCGCCTCACTCAAATCCGGTAGAACGAGCATACCCGATCAACATGCCTCCCCGAAAACCCAAGGTCAATGTCGAGACGTCGCCAGAGAATCATCCTCCTCCAAGTACGCGACTAGAAGCCGGAACACCAGAACACGAGCCCACGAAGCAAGCAGCAGCAAATGGCATAACACAAGCTCAAAAGCAAGCACTCATAGACAATCTCCAGCAAGAGAGTAAGTCTCCCCGCCAGCCTGCGCTCCTAGCGGTGTCCCATGTCCAACTCCGTCCTCGAGACTAACGCGTCTACAACAGTCACAGACCGAGCACGCAAACTACGCGGCCAATACGCCCTCCAAGCCCAGGGCCTCCGAGTACGGCTCGAGGGTCGACTCAATCGCGTGCCTTTTCAACTGCGACAGAGGAAGATGCAGGATTTGATGAACGAGTATGTGGAGAAGCGGAGTCCGGCCAAACCTGCTTTGATGTCCACCCAGGCAAGGAAAGTCGTCGAGGTGCCGATGCCGAGGAAGGAATTGAAGAGACAGAGGTATACCCATCAGACACCCCGTACAAATATGATGACGGCTGACAATAACATACAGCGACCAAATCTCCACCGCCTCAGACGACAAAGAAAACGATACAGATCACGACCTCGCGAACCCCAAGAAACGCGCCAAACCCACCGCAACAAATCCCAAAGCAGCAGCAACTACAGCGCCATCTAACGCCGCCCGCAAAGCAATCCTCTCCCCCAGATCCCACAACTCCCGCACCCTCCCCCGCTCCCCTTTCAAAACCTCGGAACCAAACAAAAGCACCACCCAGCTCCCCATTCCCTCAAGTCCCGCAAAACCAACCCTCTCTAGCTCAACCGCACCACAACCCAAAGCCACATCCACCCGCCCCGCCCCTCGACCCCAACAACAGCGAAACATCACCCGCTCCGACACCGACGGCGGCCGAAGCAGCGGCGCAAGCAACACGAGCGCCAGCACGACGATCGTCAGCAAGAAGAAGAGCACGGCGGCGAGCGCGAGGGGCAAAGCGGGCGCGGCGACGAAGAAGGCGATTGCGTCTGCTACGAGTGCGATGAAGTCTGCTGCGACGGGGAGGAAGGCGGGGGCGGCGGGGGCGAAGAAGGAGAATGTGGTGCCTGCGGCTGGGGGGAGGAGTTTGAGGAAGCGTACGTGAGTTTGTTTGATTGCGTAGTGGAAGGTTGGATGATAGCGGATTGTCAATGTTCACTTCTTATGACTTCATCGCTGCCAAGCTCAAAATGTCGTTCACGTGGTCAGTATGTTCAGCACAAGGGATGATACCCATAATGGACGGAGTGAAAGAAGTGGAAGTGGAGTAGTGGATTAACTATGCCAGGTTATTCTATGCTTCTTCGTCGTCTCTGCAGCACGGCCGCGCGCTTCCCATCATCCGCCGAGTCAACCAATTTCGAAACGGTAACGACATTAGGGATTGAGTCTGCGCGCGTCTTATACCACACATCAAGTAGTCCAACCGCAAAGGACCATACGCAATTCGTTCTCATGTGTCATACAAGCATCTCTCGTTCTCTTGGCAAAGCACGATATCCATCTCTGCAATCCAAAGCGTTCCTTCATAGCAAGAAGCATGGAATTCATGGCAAAGATCAATAGCGACGGTCGTACGCATGTCCGCCTCCAGCACTTCCGGGAGGGGACTGCTGCTGGACTCCAGGATACTGGTAATACATCGGCTGCGCAACCTGGCCATGCTGAAGTCCCGGATGGTACTGCTGAGGCGGGGGCTGCGACTGCAGTCTCATCGGATGCGGAAGGTACTGCACTTGCGCGGGATCCCCATCGATGGGGATGAGCCGGACGGAGCGACCGAGTTCGTCAACGTACGTCGATCCCGAGCCAGGTGCAGTTGGCGGGCTCGGCGAATAGACGTTGACGCGTCCGCCTGCAGACGGAGGGCGGTTATACTCCAGCGGCACGGTTTGGAAGGCTTGAATCGGCTGCTGCGCCGAGTGCCAGGCTGAAGCATGCTGGGGCCCGGCTTGTGGAATGTACCGCCTTCCTTCTTGGTCGTACACGGCTGTGTAGGGAGCGGGAGAATTCTGCGGTACATATGCTGGCTCGAGGTAAGAGTGCGCGCGATTCTGCTCGAAGCTCTGGGCGTTGTGCAAATGAGGAGCAACCGAACCTCGGTTGGAAGCATAGCGGTGAGCATTGTCTGGATAGCTGGGAGTGTGAGCGCCGTAGGGTTGAGTGGAAGGACCGGCACCTGGGTTCGGCACCGGTGGTGTGTTCATTTGCGTGGGCTGCGGCTGTCCTGTGAGTGAGGCCAAAATAGCAGCAATGTCCGGTTGTGCAGGAGCGTGACCCGTCGACCCTTGAGAATCCTTCCTTCCTACGGACGGGCTCCGGTCGGCTCCATAGCTACCCTGAAGTTGTGGCGTCTGCTTGCTCTGAATTGCAGAACTCAACTGGCCCAGCGCTGCAAGAGTCTCGGGGGGCAGGTTCAGGTTTTGGGACGCCAGCGGCGACGTTGTATCAGAGCCTCTACGGGCAAAGTCGGTATCGTAACGAGCTGGGTCGGAGGGGAGATGCAGCGGGCGCCGAGGATCGTACTCATGCTCGTTGGGCTCCGACGAGGATTCATCAGACCCTACACGAGCTGTCGTGGCTGTGCCACGGAAACCGCCTCGGCCCTTCTTCTTTGGCTGGTTTGCATTCTCTCCCTTCTTGCTCTTCTTGACGAAACGATCCAAGAAGCGAGCACCATATCCACTGTCATGTCCAGAGGCTTGACGGGCATCTTGAACCACGTCAATGTTCGGTAGATGATAGGGAAATGCGGTCGGCAAAGCGGCTTTGATGAGACCAAGCTTCTCGTCATTCACTTCCTGGACGTCCACGATATCGTTAATCAGGAGTTTCTCCGGCATCATAATCATGTGCTGTAACCAATCCAGCCAGCCAGGGTTCTGAGACAAATGGATGATCTTGAAATGGTTAATCAGGGCCGGGAGGGTGTAGAGTTTGGTGTTCTTGATCCGGGCGTAGTAAGTCTGGGCCTGAACATCCGTTCGGGAAGCATCACACATCTGACAAACAAGACCGCCCACGTTCTTAACGGGCATCATCTGCTTGTTGGTGGCTAGCGCCTCCGTGACCAGGTCCAAAGATGGCGTGTACCCGAATACAGCCGCGAAGCGTGCGACAGCATGGTAGAGGACAACTTGAACATGGACGCAGTCATAGAAGTCCGGAGGCTTGGCCAGTTCCAGCATATCCCACACTTCACGGGCGAACTTCGAGAACGTGTCAACTTGCAAGGACGCGTTCGTGCCATTAGCGGCTTCAGCCGGTCCTCCTGGCGCATGGAGATGACCTTGCGATGAGACTCGGGTAGTAGCATGGCTTGAGTGATGAGATTGATGCCCGTGATCTGCCTGCGCAGAAGATTGGGAATTTGAGAAAAGCGGATTCTCTGACAAGAGCCTGGAAGTCGCTGGGGGCGCGAAAGAACTGTCCTCGTGTGTTTGAGGGGTGTTCCTCGGACGGCCATGATTCCTGTGGTCTGAGGCCTTCTTCTCGGCCGCGATGAAGCGTGTCGGATATTGATGGAACGGGGGCTCCTCCGGCCATTCCGAGGTGGTCCAATGGACGACAATGTTCCCTTGGCTAAACGCCGTGGTGTGCTTGGCTCCGTAATGCTGCATCAGTCCTTCAAAGGCGAACCACTTAGGGGCGCGCTCCTCCGGACAATCTGCGCAAACGAACAGCTCTCGACGACGAGCCTCTGTCAGGGGCCGGATCTTGCTTTCAAACACCCACTTCATGTTGTCCAGAGATAGGAAGGGCTCCGGGGCTGGGGTGCCTTGTCCACGCCCGGGTCTGGACGATGTCTCCGTGGAGGGCAACAAGCCGGCTTTCTTCTGCTCCAGATATCGCAAATGTACGTGCTCCAAGACACTGACCGCAAAGGCCGGGGCGTTATCCTTGTGCAATTGGTTCCCTCCTTTCCACTGGCCGGATATGCATTCATCAGCATACTCACCGAGCCTCTTGCGCAGCGGCTCCTGCTTCTTTTCATAGTCTTTGTCGTCGAGCTCCTTGGAAGGCTTGGTATGCTCTGCATCTGCATTGGGCCTGGCCGACTGCAGTGCAGCCAAGCGAAACTGTCTCTGATGCTCAACCAGTTCAGCAGCCTCTCTCTGAGCAAGGAGTAGAGGTTCAAGCACGGCCCATGCGGAGTCGTTCATTGGAGCCGTAATCTGCATGGTATCTTGGAATGACTTCATGTGCTGTAGAACGCTCGGCTCCAATGGGGGCTCAAATTCCATACACCGGCGCTCAATGTCCAATTTGCGAGCCTGACGGATGGCTTCGACTTCGTGCAAATCGCGGACCGGTCTGGAAACCGGCTGCAAGGGGGGCTGGAATGGCTGAAGGGCAGCTCCGAAACCACTTGGGTACCCTGGGGTCAAAGGGACAAAGGGAGTTGGACCTGGCGGATGATCACGTCAGGTGTCGGTCAAATGCAGAAAAACTTGAGCTTGTGGAGCGCAAGTCGAAGAAGAGCAAAGGACAAGCAGACAGGATACAAGAGAAGACGTAAGGCGGCGCATAAGCAATGAGAATCAAGTAAAACTAGACTTACCTGGCGGAAACGGAGGTAGCTGTGGCTGATGTGATGCGTTCACGTGTCCTCCCACGGCATGTCTGGGTTGAGCGCTTGCGAAAAGACGGGGAAAAGATGTGAGATCGTACTCCCTGAGCTTCTGAGGAAGATCCATGCGCGGGTGCGCGGCATCCCAGTTTTCCCAGCGGGCAGCATCTCTCATGTGCTGGGCACCCCGAGCAGCGAGGCCTTTGCGCCACTCATCGACTGCACCTTGTCCCAGCTGGTTGGCGTCGTTCGCCTCGGCGATAATATTGTCGACGTCCTGCTTGTAGTATACTTTGGAGACCCGCACATTGGATGGGATTCCCCCAGGCTGATGGCGTTGGATATCAGGGATGTAGTGAGAGTCCGGGGTCAAGAAGATATAAGGCAGACCGAGGCGAAGGGTAGAGGCTTGAGAGACAAGGATCTCCACGTCCTGCAAAGGGTTAGCGGTAGGAGGATGTGAGCAACAGTTCATTCAGGCATACCTTTAGTGTATTTTCCCCGAGACAACGACCACAAGTGCGAATAGCAAAAGGCCAGATCACACGGACCCCTTCAGCACCCGGGCCCATTGCGAAGGTACCTTTGGAGTGCGATTCATCGCCCCGGCGGCCGCAAAAGTGGCAAGTCGTGCCACCGACGAGCTGAAGCATCTCCAATTCGGTGTGGTGAGGGAGGGGGGCTGGGTAATTGGGGAAGAAGGTCTTGCGGGCATGCGTCCAAATGGCTTTGCTGTCCAGGAAACGGATGTGGTACGGCTTCATGCCGGGGACGGGGCCAGGTTTCGTCGTCATCAGACCGTGGTAGAAGGTCTTGCATACTCGTAGACAGCGTGAAAGCATGACGGGGGACAGATGGGTGAAGATCCGCTGCCAGTACTCCAGCGGAAGGTCACGGGATGCTAGCTTGCGCTTCTTTGCAGCATCATCCTGGGTAGTAGAGGGGTCGGAGTCTGGAAGGGTCGTGCCTTCACTAAGCTTACGCTTGGAACCAGCGTGCTGTGCAGGAGGGTTGGTAGGCTCGGGGGTTGGAGATCCATTGGAGAGCTCCATCTCGGAGCCAGAGTCGTTGCCGGCGCCATCGTCGTGGCTATTGTCATCATTGGCCGAGGTGTCCAGCTGTGGAGTTGATGACACCGGGAGAATAGCAGCAGCAGTAGCACGTGACTCATGCACGGCGGTGTTGTAAAAGTCAGAAGAGGATGATGATGGGGGCTCACTGCTTAGCCTACCGTTTGCCTCGGCCATGGTGGGCGGAGGAGGAAAGGCTAGCAGAGGGGTATTAAGACAGTTGGAATGGAATGTGCATGCTTGGGGGCTCCCTCGAGAGTCGAGTGGTCGAGGGTGGGAGTACAGTGAAAGCTGGCACTTGACTTGAGTGCACTTGAAGGTGCGAAGATGGCGAGACACGGGGGTGATCGGAAGGAGCGGAGGGGACCTATACTTATGCAGTTGCTTTCCCTTTACTGAAAAGTTAGCAGAGTTCAGTAAAGGGTCCGCAGTGCGGCGGCGGAGGTGGTGGAGGGGCGAGTGTAGTAAAGGGAAGTGAAGGTGATCCAATAAACAAAAACGAGGCGAACGGGAAGCTCGTCAGGGGCTGAGGCAGAAGTCGTGGCGTCCCACGACTTAGTTTACCGAAAACGTTCCGTGCTCCGTGCAGCGCTGACGGCATGCTTAGTCACCGAAAGTGGGCGGTGCGCGTCGGCGTGGAGCTTGCGTAAGGTCAGACACATATGTGAGGCACCAACATCTGCTCATCTCACGGCCAGCCCTTTCCCCGGTCCGTCAGACTGCTTATACTTCTCCATTGACATTGGAAGATCTGCGGCATTGGTCGACACTCCTCGCACCCTTTGGCGCTGATCGTCCGACTCCATTGACCCTCACCCGGCCACCTCCACCCCGCCCAACATGGCCTCTCTCAACCTCTCCGCCAACGGCCCTTCGATCACCGCCAGCTACCAGAAGATCGTCCAGGCTGGGCCTCCTTCCGGACCAGCTGCATCCTCTCCCACCTACGGGCAATGGGCAGTGTTTACAGTGCAAGCCCCTCTGGTTAGCGCCTTCCAGGCAGAATCCGGGAAAGAGAGCGTGCTCAAGGTCCAGACCACTGGCGAGGGCGAGCTGATAGACATGATTGAAGAATTCTCCGACGGCCGCATCCAATTTGCTTTTGTCAAGATCAAGGACCCCAACACCGGTCTCCCCAAAAGCGTCCTGATTGCATGGTGCGGTGAGGGCGTGCCGGAGCGAACGAAGGGCTACTTCACCAGCCATGTCAACGCGGTTTCCAAGGTCCTACACGGCTACCATGTCCAAATCACCGCTCGTTCCGACCGAGACCTTACGCCGGAATCCATCGTGCAAAAGGTGGCCGACTCTTCCGGGTCGAAATATGGAGGAGGTGGAGCTGCGTCGTCTGCTACCTCGACAGGCGGCCCTCCACCGCCCGTAGCATCCAAGCCGGTCATGCCTACAAAGAGCTTTGGAGCTGCTGGCGGTTTCCAGCCACTCGCCTCAAGATCCCGCGCACCCGCCCCATCCGGCGGAGTAGATGCGGATGGTTGGGGCGCCGATGCGCCGCCAGTCACGAGATCACAGCTTGAAAAGGTGCAAGCTGCATACCAGCCAACTAAAGTCGACATGGCTTCTCTTCAATCGCAGAGAGAACCGTCGAGATACCAAGCACCACAGCCAGCAAGCGATGACAATGCAGATGTGGTCAGAGGCGGCTACCAACCCATTGGCAAGGTGGACATTGAGGCGATCAGGCGCGAAGCCCAGCAATCCGGCAGAGTGCAAGACGATCGGCCTACGGTGGTGAAAGGGGCTTATGAACCAGTCGGCAAGGTGGATCTCGCCGACATAAGAAGGAAAGCGCAAGGAGCGCCCGCTCCAGCACCTGAACCGACTCCTCAGTCTTCAGCAGCAGATGATGACGACCGGCCTAAATCCCTCGCCGACCGATCTGCTGCCTTCACGTCTCCCGGAAGGCTAACTTCGCTACCCAAGCCACAAGTCGCAAGCAGATTCGGCGCACAAGCGAGCGCCTTTGGTGGGACTCGAGCTCCGCAGCCAGGCGGATTCGATGCCAAACCACCGCCGCCGGCCGCTGCACCCGTGGGAACCGCGAGCAAGACCTTCGCGGATGAAGGCGGCAAGACTCCAGCCCAGATCTGGGCCGAGAAGAAGGCGCGAGAGCGCGGTGTCAGCGGAGGCGCGGACACACAGCCAGCAGGCTTTGGAACACCGGCCTCTCCGCTTCAAAGCCAGACCAGTGGCGGATGGCAGAGCGGGTACAGTGGGAAGAAATGGGGCGTGCAGATACCCAGCACGCGCACTGGCGGGAGCGGCGGCGTGCCTGAAGCGCCAGCGGAGGAAGAGCCCGAGACGGAACCAACTGCCGGTGGTGTCAGCTCGATCCGGGATCGATTCAAAGATGCTCCGCCTATGGGCGCCGCAAGCGACTCGTTCGGTGCAGCACCAGCACCTCCACCTCTCGATACCGCAAGCAAGCCGAATGCCGGGGCTCGAGGCGTGCCTATCCCTGGTCTCCCGCAGCGGATCCAAGAATCCCCCGCCGAGCAGCACCAAGACCTGCCTCCTCCCCCACCCCGACCGGTCCCGCAAGACGAGCAAGAAGAGGAGGAAGAAGACAACGAGCCGCTACCCCAAGGCTCGCCCGTCCGCATCGCCATGCCCGTGGGCCGCGGCGCAGACACCGAGATTGAAAAGCACGAGCCACTCCCACCGCGCGGGCTACCCGCCGCCTCAATCAACGACGCCATCTCCCAGCACCGCGAGCCCTCACCAGCCCCTCAAGTGCCCGACGAAGAGCCTGCACGCGCCGCCGGCCAAGCCGCCGCCGCGTCGACCTTCGGCGCAGCCGTGGATTCCCGCGGCGCAGGATCTTCAGGTGGCCGCGAAGCGATTGCGCAATTCGACTACGAGAAAGCAGAGGACAACGAGCTCGACCTCGCGGACGGCGAGCGGATCACTAACATCGACATGGTGGATGACGATTGGTGGATGGGGCAGAACTCGAAGGGCGAAACGGGCTTGTTCCCTGCCAACTATGTCGAGCTTGTGGAGGGTGGAGCGGGTGGTGGTGCTGCTGCTGCTGCTGCTCCCCCTCCACCGCCTCCTGCCGCTGCTGAGCCCGAGCCCGAACCTCCCGCTCCTGCTGCCGTTGCTGAAAATGCTGGTGGGCAGACTGCCACAGCGCAGTTTGACTATGAGGCTGCGGAGGACAATGAGATTAGTTTCCCCGATGGGGCGAAGATCACCAACGTCGTAAGTGGAGGATCTGCTTTGCTCTTTGAAGAACAACAACGCTGACCATACGCAGGAATTCCCCGACGACGACTGGTGGATGGGCACGTACGGCGGCAAGAGCGGCTTGTTCCCAGCCAACTACGTGGAACTCGATCAATGATCGAAAGGAGAAGCACAAGCTCAGCCTCTGAAAGGAAAGCGAAGGTAAAGGAGAAGAAGAAAATGAGAATCTACAAGTCTGTATCTGTATAGACCATCCGCCCGCAAAAAGAACGCATTTTCGCACCTGTCAAATCACCACTTAATCATCGTCTTCTTCCTCTTCATCCAAACCCAACCACGCCTTGCGACACCTTACCGCCTCAGCTCGTACTTCTCTCTTCCCGTCATCCAAGCAAAACATCAACTTCTTCACCACCTGCCGCCGGTACGGCACGACCGTCTCCCGCTTCAATTGCCGCGGCACAAGCGTCAGACACTGCAGCGCTTTAGCTCGCACGCTCGCTACGTTCGCTGCTGTGACGGATGTCTGTCCTGGCGTAGTGTTAGTGGCGGCAGTAGTAGTAGTAGAATTGAGCAAGCGCGTGATAAGACTAGCCGTGTGCTCTGCCACCAGAGATGGCTCATGCATCAGCACCGACTCGAAGATCGTCAGAGCAGGCGCCTTCGCGTCCGGCGCAGGGAGATCAAGCGTCTGCAGCAAAGGCGGCACAAGAGCCGACAGCGAAGGCTGCAGCATGGAGTACGGCAGCCACTTCAGAATTCCGGAGAGGGCGATAAGGTGGTTCTGTTTGATTTGCGGGTCTGAGGAGGCTTGTTGCACGGCCGCTATGAGGAGCGGCACGGTTTGGTTGAAGGTGCGCTGCTTGTACAGCCCGGAAACGAGGCAGTGGTTTTCTTTGATCAGGATGTCGTCTTCTGCAAGGAGGGCGGGGAAGCGCTGGGCGATGGAGGCGGTGGGGTCCGAGAGCAGAGCGAGCAGGGCTTGCAGGTAGGTTGTTGTGAGGGCTGGGCTGCGGCCTTGGATGAGGAGGGCTTTGAGGGTTGTGAAGGCGAGGCTGGTGGAGGTTGGGGTGGCGGTTGGGGAGGAGAGGAGGGTGTCGAGTTTGATGCCTGCGGCTTCGAGGGTGGGTTGCAGGGTTTTGGGGTTGATGTATTTGTTGATGAGGAGGGAGAGGTGGCGCAGGATGAGGTGGAGTCTGGGGCCGTCGGACTTTTCGTTTGTGGCCTCGCTGGTCAATGTTTTGAGCAGCGAGAGGATCTCCGTGGGTTCCACCACTTCAGGTCGCAACGCTGCATAGTAATACAGTGACAAAGGTGCGATACTCTCGAGGTAGGGTGCAGCCATGTCGGCATGCCCTTCAGTCGGAGCTGTCCAGAACATGTGCTGGTTGTGAATTGTGTTTTGAAAGTGAACTCCTTGAGGTCGTAGAATGATATTGCAGATCCGGCCAACAATCTCGGCAGTATCTTGCATGTTCGGGGTCACACTGGCAGCTTCGTGAAGATCGCGGATCAAAGGCTCTGCATACTCGGTGTAGTAGCTGCTCTTGATCACTCCGTCTTCGTCTCGAACGGGCGTGCCATAGGTGAAGGCGTACAGGGTAGCCAGCAACAAGGCACGCTGGTAGCTGGCAGAAGCGTTCTGGTGCTTCGCGGCCCCGAGCTTGTTCTTCAGCCGACGTACAACAGTGTCGAAGACCTGCTGCTCTGCGCTCAATTGCGCGAATGCTTCCAACACCGGAGAAAATGCATAGTTGCCATCTGGTGCATCCGGAAGCTCCGCCATGAATGCTGGAATGGCACGATCCCGAATCGCAGCCGGACAAGTGTGAGCCATCTCACCCAGCGCTTGAATCGACTGTGGTCGAATATCTCCGTGGCCTTGGATGGTTTCATGGAGAATGACGTCTGTCATTGCGTCCACCACTTGGTAGGTCTGATCTTGGGTCAATAACCTCGGGATGGCGAGAAGAAATGCGAGTCCTTCCACTGCTGTCAGACGGAGGGACACCTCTGATTTGGGAGCCCGTTGCACGGCTCTCAGCGTGGCCTGCAGCGCCTCTGCGGCCGACTCTTGGAAAGTATCGATATTGGTACTCGGCGCGGCCAGTGTAAGACCAACGTAAGCCTTTGCAATCTCGTTGAAGATCTCGAGCAGACCCCTCCGCTTCGCAAGTGATTCGGATGAGTTGTGCAAAGTGAAGAGCTTTGGCAGTACCCCCTTGGCTATCTTGTCCGCCACGGTGGGAGCAGACCCTGCAACGGCATGCAGGATGAGTCCAGCAGCTTGCGATTGCTTTGTGGGTGCATCTTCTAGATGCTCGTTGCATTCCTTGATGATCGTGCCGAGGAAGGTGTTGAGTCGACCTTCGTTCTCGGCGAATTTGGCAGCGATCAGTGCAAGAGCTTGCAAGGATGCTTCTGCAAGGTCGTTTTCCTGCACATTGAGGATCTCGAACTTCAGCGCGTCCCAGAGAGGTACGGAGTACTGGTTGATGGTGTTGGGCGTGTAGCCAACAACACACGCTTGTATTGCTTGAAGAACATCTCGCTACAAAGGCAATCAGCACATGAGCTCATCAATTAACAGCTCGGATACGTACCTTAGTGTTCATAGACGAAGAGTCAAGCTTATCCAGCAACGCAGGAATGGAGAAAGCAGCAAAGTCCGAGGTGGCCGCAATGCAATCACGCAATCTATCCTTCAGGTCTTGCGCAGTGATGCCATAAGGGTCGTCCGGAGGCGGCTTGAACGTGACGGGGAAGTAATTAAAGACGGCATCGAAAAGGTCCTGAGCATGCGCGTGAATGTCCCACTCGGTCATGGGAACCTGCAAGATGGAAAAGACCAGCATGAGGTTGCGGGGGTCCTTTTCGCCTTCGAAGAGGGCCACAAAAGCAGCCATGAACTCCGGATCGGCATCGTGCAGTTCCTTCAGTGGCGTTCGGTATTTCGACAAGAGGATGTCGAAGAGTTGGATGGTTGCGTAGCGATCGGTCTGCAGCTTGAACTGCTTCAATGGGTTCGCGTAATCGACAAAGGTGCGGGCTACGGTCTTCGCAGTCTCGGCGTCCCATTTCCCTTGAGCTTCGAGTGCGATCAATGCTCGCGCGGAATGTCCGATGCCCTCGAGATCGCCTTCGATCCGGCCGAGAATGAAATCGCTCAGCAGTCTCCGCTCCTGGCCGGAAAGGACTTTGGAAGGCACATTCTCCAGAACATCAGCGAGGTAGGCGACGCTCTTCGCCCGGATGGCCGCATCGTCTTTGTCGTTGATGTATTCCTGCAGGCTGGTGATCAAATCGATCAACTTGAGCTGTCGATTGCGCAGCTTGACGCCGCTTTGCACTGCGATGTTCTTCGCTTCTTGTTTGTCTTTGTCCACCTCCAGGAGGTAGAGTTGAATATCTGACATGTCCGCATCATCTGTCCAGCGATGCGAAGGGTGTGACGTTCGTCATTTAAATTTTGCGAAAGGCATGGAGTGAATTGAACGCCACAGCGGCGCGCACGGGCCGGCCGCAGCCACAGGTGAGCTGCACTGCGAGCGTCCAGCGTCCGGCACTTCAACTCACCTTTCAACCTCCATTCACTGGACAACAACATCGCATCGCACTACATGCGCCGAACAACTGAAGCCACACACCAACAATGATACCCCGATAAAGTCAAGCCATCCATCTCCTTCACCTCACACAAACACCCAACACCATGTCCTCCCAATCCCGCGACCTCCACCGCGCCCTCCTCCGCCCTTTCATCATCCACACCCTGCGCGCCGTAGGCTTCCACGGCACCAAGCCCTCCGTCCTCGACACGCTCGTCAACCTCGCCGAACGCCACCTCCTCCTCCTAGCCGACACAACAGCCAAACTAGCACTGAACAGCCACAACGATCACATCCCGACACTAAACGACGTGCGACAAGCGATGGCCGAATGCGGCGTTCTCGTGCCTCTCAATACGAGCGCGGAGGAAACGTGGGACGAGACGCTGAGGCGGCCGGTTGAGCAGTACGAGCGCATGGACGGCGGGGCGCGACGGGCGCAGGCGGTCAAGCGCAAGCGCGAGGAGGAGGATGTTGAGGATGTGAGGCAATTTTTGCGATGGTTTGATGGTGCGCAGCATGCGGAGATTAAGCGGGTAGCGGGCATGGTGCCTGAGGCTGGAGCGGGGGCTGTGGGAGTTGGAGGCGGGGTGGTGAAGGAGGAGGACTTTTTGGAGCGGTTGAAGAAGAGGGGGTACAAGGGGGGCACGATTGGGGGGAATGAGGATGCGAGATTGGTGGGGACGGTGTTGGGGCGAGAGGCGGAGAGTAAAGGGGTGGTAGTGGAAGGCGGGCCGGTGCAGGACTTGAGGGAATGGAGGCCCAAGGCGCAAGATGTGTCGGTGCCGAAAGCGAGTGAGGATATGGATGGAGGGACAGATACGACGATCACATGAGGGTGCTGAACGATGGAGCTCAGTTCAATTTAGCGAAGGCGCTGGGGTGGATTGCTATCTATTCAAAAGTCCGGTTCAAACCCATCTCTTTCAATTTGCACGATGCATTCTACAGCGCCAGAGCGCCCAAGGCAAGACCAAAAACCCCCGCAGCCATGGCATTCATTTTCGCCGCAGCGCCAGTAGCAGTGGGGGACGAGGGAGATGTGCTAGCAGCCGACGACGCAGCACCCGTAGGAGTAGGAGAAGCACTCGTGGCGGTAGTAAGTCCTACACCATCTCCAATGTTAGTGTCCAAATTCAAGTGCAAGAGGTTCGCTGCATGACATACCCGATGGACTAGCACTGCTAGAACTGCTAGTAACAGACGGCGAGCCAGATGACGACGAAGAAGAAGAAGAAGACCCCGTGCTCTTCGCCGACCGCGTCTTACCCCCCGATGTGCTCGGGGCGCCCAGCGTGACCATGCTCGTAGTCTGCGATGCCGTGGTGGGCGTATCGAGAGTGAAGTAAGGGGTGTAGTTTGTCAAATTGGGGTCGGTGTCGTCGACAATCTCAACAGTGTAGTCGCTGCCGGTCGTGATGCTGTTCGAAGGCGTCCAGGTGTATGCGCCGGAGTTGGCGATGTTTGCTGTGACGAGAGCGAGGTTAGTTTGGGGTTCTGATGTACGGAAGCGCGGGCTGTGAGACTGCAGACTTACATGCGATTGTTGTCCCTTCGGCCAGATTGGCTGCATTCCCACTCCGTAAGATCAGAGAGACTGTGCCGTTCGTCGTGGGCGTCCATTCGAGATTCAGCGCCTGCCCTCCTTTGGCCGCCAGCCCAGTCGGCGGTATCTTGAACGGATTGCTCTGCGCGAAAGCGAGGAGGGGAGCGCACAGGAGGGGAAGGATGGACTGGACGCGCATATTGTCGAATTTGACACCGAGTTGAGGATTGCTGTTTGAAGAAGGGATGGAGTCACACGGCGGGAAGGGAGGAGATGTCTTTGAGAGAGCGAAACGAACACTCGCCTACCTCCTAATAAGCCTCGCGATACGACGGACGTACGTCATCCACAATGCCACGATGCTTCTACCGAGACCGCGGGGCCGGCAGGGGCTCGACCGCATCCCCATGGAGGCACAGAGGCAGAGGTGGGGTGGGTTTGTTGATGTTCGCGATCCTTTGCCCCTTGCGCCGTTGTCGCGAAGTCGTATCGGCTACCAAACTTTGTTTGCGCGGCGTAGCCTTGTCGAAGCCCTCTGCTCATCCAACTGTCGATCAAGTTGGGGACGACGATCAGTTATTTTGCAGATTCTAGATATATCCTCTTGTCATGATAACAGATTGCCTGAGGACTTGAAGGTGCTTCGAATTCCGCATTGTGTGTGCGAAGAATGCGGATGTTGTCGCACCCTCGTTCGCTTAGCGGCCCCGCTTGTCACCTGGGCATTGGACTACCGACACATTCCACGCGAACGTAACGGAGCTTTTGCATACATGTCCTTGACTCGACGGTTGCTAGGTCGATGCAGTGTACCCAGGATAGTATATACATAATTACGCACCTGGAGTATACGAGGCTCCATAGATACGAAAAGATTAATAAGAGATCGAATAATGCTGTGCACGCCCCGCCGCTGGGCCTCACAAGAATGGCCAGGCACAGAGGTGCGGTGTGCCTCAAAGCACTGCTTGAAATTGTAGCCCAACCTCTCCCCGGATCTCGCCTAGTGCAGATAGAAAATGGCAGCGACGGCGCCGAGGACCAACGCGAGAGCGCTGCCAGAGGTGGAGATGCCCGGCGATGCCGCGCCGCTGGTGGACGTCGCAACAGTCGCCGTGGTGGCCGTTGTGCTCTGCGTCATGGTCGTCGTGGCAGTGGTGTGCTTGGGCGTGCTGTGGTGCAGCGTCGCATGGCTCATGGTGGTGTTGCGGTGCATGGTCGTGCTGTTGCCCCCACTCCGGTGGGTCATGGTCGCGTTCCTGTCACACGTTAGTGTCAAATGTCGAAGCTTGTGTCGCCATGTCTACCAACCTTGCAGTGGAAGACGCAGACCCGGACGCAGAAGACGCGGACGCTGCCGACGCAGAAGACGCAGACGCTGCCGAAGCAGACGACACAGCAGCAGGGTTGGCACCCTGGACGGTGAACGGGCCAAAAGTATTATTCTGCGAGCCTTGCTTAATCAAAAGCTGGTAATTCGTGCCGTCCGCAAGAGAAGTGTTCGGTTTCCAAATATACTGCCCGCCAGTGCCTTCCGTTGTCAGCGTCATCAGCGTCTTCAGGTTGGTCGAGGGGCCTTGTCGCAGAATGATGGAGACAGGGGTGTTGGTGTCATTGGTCTGCCAGAGCAGGACGTTGGATTCGCCGTCGGTGATGGGATTGGGGACGCGAGTGAAGGCGAGGACGTCGCTTTGCGCCGCGACGAGGGTGCAGAAGAGGGCGCCGCAGAGCGCCCGGAGCAGCATGTTTGCGACGCGGGACGGTGTTGTGCGCGAGGCTGTGGGAGGGGGAAATGGACCTCGTGGGAGCTCAAGAGGCAGCTGGGAAGCACAAAGGGCAGGACAGGCACGGGGATGGTCAACGAGAGTGTGGTCGGGGTTAGAGCTATTATGATGCAGTGAATGTGTCGAGGGAGTTGTTTGGGGTTTCCGGCCAAGGCAAAAAGCATGGACATGCATCGTGAGCTCGCGGGTGATGCGCTCGGTCCAATTCTCCGAGCGCGCTAGGGCTGGCATTGCCCAATCAGGAATTGACTTTTCCCCCAGATCTCCAGTTCCTCATTTCTCGTCTCCACTTTCCCTCCACGCCGAGCCATGGCTTCTTCCGCCCTGATGCCCACGGGTTTGGTGAATTGCCGCCATTTGGATAAATTGGATGTTGACTGCTAATCTAGTTCATCACCACGTATCCGTGCGCGCCAAAGAACTCGCACTGCACTCTTGCGTCTGGGTCCGGCGCGGGCTCGACCGTGGTGTACGTGACGGCGAGAGTTTCAAACCCGACCGACTCTCCATTCGCGGCATTCCCAGTTCCATTGGCGGTATACGAGGGCCAATACGTAGCGTTGCTGTTCCTCAGGGGATTCGGATCGCCGGTGACCGCGAATGAAATCCAGTACGAGCTCATGATTTCGGCGAGAGTGTGGTTGTTGGCGCTCGGGAACCCGGTCTCGTTGGAGGCGAGGAAAGGAGCGGTGGCTCCATGCAGTTCTGAGCCGGCGGCGAATGTGAGCTTGAACACTGCCGATCTGTTCGTGTTGCGATCGACGGCGTTGAACGCCATGTAATACGTTGGGCACGAGATGATGAAGTCGCCAAACCACGTCTGCCGCTGGAAGAAGGTGGAATTGTATGCCGAGCGCGGATACAGCTGGTAAAGGCGCGAGAAAAAGGCCGGGCCAGCGAACGGGAAGAGGTCTTCTGCATCGGTCGTTTCTTCCACCTGTGTTGTCTGAGACTTGTTCGAGAAGATGTCGCCTTCGAATGCGTCGTGGTCGACCATGAGCGGAACATCGTAGAAATGACCCAATTGGAAGGCAACTCCAGGTAGTTCCTTGATGAATTGACCATCCACCACCGGTCCAAAGTCGTAGACTCCGTAGCCCACGCCAGGACCAGGGTACGAGGCGTTTTGAACTGCTTGATTGAGGTTTTCGAGCGAGCTCGCTGACAGTCCTCGCAGACAAGTGACGGAAGAGCAGCCGGAGATCTGCAACGCGTTGTAGTACTGAAACTCCTGTTCCGATTGATTGAGTAAGGGCTGCCACCATGGGTACTCGGCGATGGCTCCAGAGAATGGAGGCAAGTCGAAAGCGCCGCCGGCTATGAGTTGGTAGGTAACAGAGCCTCCGCCGGCTAGGATGAGAGTAGCTGTCAGCGCTTTGAAAGTGATTGGCGATTGGACTACTCATCGAACTCACCAGAACCGCCCCAGATTGTGACTTTGGCAGGATCGCCGCCTGATCAAAGTTAGCGAACGCCTGACCAGCGGTCCATGAACCCCGAACACGTACCGAATGAGGCGATATTGCGCTGCACCCAGTCCAGAGCTGCCCTCTGATCCAACAGTCCTGCATTCAATACACCATCAAGCTTGATCTGAGATCCGCTCAAGAAGCCAAACAGCCCAAGGCGATACTGCATCGACACATAGATGATGTTGCCGTCCGACGCATTAACCATGCCATCACCCGGATAGCTCTGTGCGCTGCCGCTGGTGTAGCCGCCGCCATGAATCTGCACCATGACGGGAAGCCGTGTCGAGACAGGATGAGTTGGGACCAGGACATCGACGGTCAGGCAGTTCTCTGATACGCCTTGCGGAGTGTCTGCGAAGGACTCGTTGTACGGTAGGTAGAGGGATTGCGGCAGTGATTGATAGCATGCCGGCCCGATCGTCGTCGCATTGTAGACGGTGTTGCTGGTGAAGTTGTTGCTCCATTCGATGGGCACTGGTCGTTGCCAGCGCAGGTTGAACGACGGGTCTGCTGCATACCTGCGATTGGCTATGTGAGCAGAGACATTCATGCTGTATCGGAAGATTGACGTACTGGATCGCTCGCCAGTAGTTGATACCTGCAGTCGCATTGGTATAGCCCAAGAACTTGGCGTAGCCCAAATCGACAATCGGTCCACTAGAGTTACCGCTCACAGGCTGAGTAGCTTGACCGTTCGCCGAAGCCGCAAGCAGCACGGCAGCTGTCACGAAGCTTGAACTCGACTTCATCTTGACTCGAAACGCACAGAGGAGAATCACAGACTTATGACCCCACTGCAGAAAAGAGGACTCACTCGGCTTTTATATGCTGGAGATCACAGCCGGCTAACGTGCCGTTGCCCGCAAGGCCATTGTCAATACCCGGCGGTCGGGGTGACATTGGCCCATTGATGTCATCCATGTGCCTCTCACGCCTTGTGGAGAGCGCGGGGTGGAGGGTTTTGCCCCGCAACTCGATGGCAAAAGCGGAGTAGAGGTAGGAACGGAGACTGCACGACAGGGGATGGAGGCCTTGCTGTTTAAGGAAGGCCGCTCACACTCGGGGCAGATGTGCAATAGTCATAAGTTACCCGCGGCTTGGAAAGATGAAAAGTAGTGTGGGCTGTGGAGCGTGGTGGCTAACTGCTGTCGGTGGATGTTGTGAAAGACGGGGTTTTTAGCAAATTCGCCATCAGCATCACACCAGTCTATGCCACCAGCATTCTTTGCTGTTTCTCGTCTAAAATACTCCCTCCAGCGCCTCGCTAAAAGCACAAAAACGTCCGTCGGAGATCTTCCTTCACCCGGCGCAAACACCTGCAAAGGGATGCCAGGAAGCGACCGATACCGCACTGCAACATCCTTCATGAGAAGTCTCGCATCTTCGAAATGTCATCTAGGGTTTGCTGGAGCTCGTCATCGGAGACTTTGCCTTCCAGCGAGGGAATGAGCGTTCGTGCTTCCTCGACAGTATCGCAACATAGCGTAGCTAGGCGGGTTCACAGGTCAGTTCACCGGAGATTCGCAGTAAAAGTAAAAGTAATAGAACTCACCCAGCTGCGCACGCTCAAACGATGTAATCAGACCCTCCTGAACCAGCTTCTGGCTCACAGCCTCCACCTGCGACGCCGACTGCTCCGTTTTGAACCGCACAAACGTCTCCAGATACGCTTCCGTTTTGTTGTACACGTCGGTGTTGGGCATCGGCACCGGCTTGTTCCCCTGCTCATCGGTTTGACTACGTGATGTCTTGAGCTTTTGAATGATGGTGTGTGCTTCGGAAAGGGAGAGGCAAGGCACGCCTTCGAACTCGCCAAGTCGGAGGACGGTGGTGGTTTCTTCATCGCCCGTTGGCGGCGGTCGGCGGCGCGAGAGCGTTGCTGGAAGAGGTGGGCCAGCCATGCTGCGGGGAGAGCAATGCGCAAAGGCTGATGGCGGAGTGATGGAAGGGGAGCTGGATTGACAGTGTCACGATGGACAAACGCAGCACAAGATCTATGCAGAAAGGCGGCCGCGGGAGCGGCTCATCCCGTGCAGCTTATGTAACGCCCGCTGATCGCCCATTCGAGTTCCTTCAAAACAAAACGAAACGCTCGACAACGGTCAATGCATGCCCAAGAGCCGAGTCCGAGCAGCGCTGTCCGCGGAAATACCGTCAACGTCAGTCAGCGCTTTGTCATTCATCAGAAAGCGCCTCGAATCCCAAATCAATCTCCGCCTCGAGATGAGCAAGAGCGATTAGAGTTCGGGTAGGGCAAAAGAAGCTTTCCAGCAGACTGCGGACCAGCGCGTGCCAAGGAGCTCCATCTCGAGAGTCGTCCTGAGCCACCGGAAGCGGCAACCTCCTGTAGCACAAGACACCACCGCCCCCCTTCGCATCTCCGTCGCATTGGACCCACGCCCGGCGGAAGACACGCACGACGCAGGGAGCGAAAGGAGAGCGATCACACGTGCCCTCTGCGCCCCTTCAAACCCTCCGGGATACGCAGCAAGTCCCCGCTGCAGCGCGGAAACAGTGCATTCCGCAACGACCAACATCGCTTCGTCCTGCACACATCGCGCGGTCTCTCGCCGTCACGCCGCGTGATCCTACATCGTCTCCGTCGCGTGACGAATCGCCAAACAACGTGCGCTCTGCCATTGCCGGTATATTGCTTTTCCCCTCCGGCGACCGCTCGCACCACCCTCGTTTCATCTCCGAGTCCCCTGTGCTCCCTCACAACGACTCTCCCAACATCGCCACAGACCACGAAGTGTATCAGAAAAGCGGCGGAGTGAATGAAGCACACAACGTACGCCGCTCGCTCGCCTGGGAAGACTGCGCTACGGCCTGGTTGAGATTCTCGACATCGGCGGCATCGCGCCAGCGTTCATTACCGGTCAAGATTATCGTGGAGAAGAATTGAACCGACATCATTGGCCGGAATCCGTGTGCGCTGTAGGGTTTACAGAGTGGGGTTACCATCAACTCACGCGATAGGGTGGGAGGCCCGAGTCCAATGGGTCTCCCCGACGACAAGACGCCGGGGCCGGTGAACGGAAACCGAGGGGGATACCACCCCGACCAGTTCTACTCCAACAGAGACACGACGACCTCCCCACATTCAACCCCCACACAGCCGTATGGATTCATGGATTCTAGCGAGCCACAAGAACGCAGGGATCAACAGCCCGACTCGAGCAGTGATGTGGAGAAAAGACCAAGAGCACGGCGGCGGCCCAGCGGACAACAGAGGATATGCGGCAAATGTTCGCGGTCCCTGACCGGCCAATTTGTGCGCGCGCTGGGAGATACGTATCATCTGGAATGTTTCACGTGCAATGTCAGTATCGCCGTGACTCGTAATCTGATGGATTGTTTTTGCTGACCATTCTTCCAGGACTGTGGCAAGATCGTCGCTTCCAAATTCTTCCCCGTACCCGATCACCCACCGAACCAATACCCTCTGTGTGAGACCGACTACTTCCGCCGCCTCGACCTCCTGTGCTACGCGTGCGGAGGCGCGTTGCGGGGCTCGTACATCACTGCCCTCGATCGCAAGTACCACATTGAGCACTTTACCTGCAGTGTCTGCCCTACCGTCTTTGGTGCATCGGACAGCTACTACGAACACGAAGGCAATGTCTATTGCCACTATCATTACTCGACCAAGTTCGCTCAGAAGTGCAATGGTTGTCAGACTGCCATTCTCAAGCAGTTTGTCGAAATCTTCCGCAATGGTGTGAATCAACACTGGCACCCGGAGTGCTACATGATCCACAAGTACTGGAATGTGAGACTCCACGCACCGCCACTCGCTCCTGACACGCCAGAGTTCGAGAGGCAGAGGCTAGAGAGTGAGAATGCGGACGACACTGCAGATGAAGCCATGCGGACTACCGTACGACAGGAAGAAGAGGCCGTCGAGCACAAAGTGCACTGGATCTGGCAGACTCTGTCAACTTTCGAAGAGCGCTCTGCCACGTGTATCTCTGATATGCTGCTTCATGTCAGCAATGGAGCGTACATGGATGGTGTTGTTGCGGCGAAGAAGTTTATCACTCATGTCGATCTGCTGTTTTCCGCTGCAGATGATCTGGACCGGAGGTTGCAGACTCGTGCCACCAGAACAGGCGAAGATGTCACGCGCCCCTATGAGACCACCTTGTACCAAGGTCTCAGCTACAACCGAGAAGCGAAGTTGCTTTGCAAGAAAGTTGTCGCCTTCTTTCAGCTTCTCGCAGAGAGCCAAGACACTGGAGTGCGCAGATTAGGCGTCACTCAAGAGCTTCTCTCCCTCGTTACTGGCCTGGCTCATTACCTGAAGCTCATGATCCGGATCTGCCTGTCCGGTGCTCTGAAATTGGAACGCGACACTGGTATTGCCGAGGGTCTCGAAGGCTTTCTGCAAGACATCAGCAAGCTCGATGAGCGCCTCGAAGCAGATAGTCACCGAGATGCAAAGGCCGACACGGAGCTGTATGTGAGCAAGCGCGCGGATACTTGCATTGCTTGTAATAAGGCGGTGGAGGACCGATGTTTCGGGATCAACAGCCGAGTCCTACATTCGCAGTGTCTGCTATGTTCGAAATGCGGGAGAGACCTTAGCGAGGATGTGGGTAGTGCTCGCTGGCATGATCAACAGGAGCGAGCGTACTGCGATGTTCACGCGCCGTTCGATGCGAGAGCAGACCGCATCGTACCGGTCACACGCCTGCAGCAATACGTGCACCTGCTACGAGTGGCACATGCGAGGCTACTGGCGACTCTGCGGACGAGTGGGGCTCTGCCGCACACCAGCGACGACCCGAACTTGACCGGGTACAACGCCACGGAAGGCCACACGTCAAGCGGTACCCTCGGGCCACCACTGCTGAGACCCAACACTCGGTCCAAATCCTACGGCGGGCAGCCTGGTTCATCGCTTGCTCCCCCGGGCGACCAAAGCTACGAAGACACGATGACCGACATCCGACGGCTTCGCAGTACGAGGCTGGACAAGCACCTCTCAAACGCGGGCCGACATGCACGCAAGTCCCAGATCATCGGTGCGTCAGAAGGAGTGCAACCAGGCTCGACGGATGGCAATCAACGGAGACAGACCGGCACCTTTCAAATCATCCAGGACACCGACACCAATGGTCCTGAGATGTCGCAGCTGACGTTCGGCATGCAAGATGGCATGACGCTCGACGACATTCCGAGGCTTCTCCACGCGCAACAGACCAAAGAGCAGAGGCCGAATGCCTCGAAGTATGCTCGGCAGCCAATGATACCGCAGGAGCCGAGAGCCAGGCTAGTGAATGGGCACACGCGTGAGACGTCTGGAGATGCCGATAAGCCGGACGGTCGACTCGGTGGGACGAAGAAGTACTTTTCCGAGCTCACGGCGTTGGAGTACTTCATCGTCCGGCACGTTGCTGTCTTGTCGATGGAGCCTCTCCTTGACGGCCACTTCAACCAGGAAGAGCTGCTGGAGCTGATCGAGACGAAGAGGCCAACCTTCTGGTCCAAGTTCGGGAAGGCGTTTCAGCCCAAGGACAAGAAGGGCAAAGGGAGCAAGAATGCCATCTTCGGGGTTCCGCTCGAGCAGCTGCTGGAGCGCGATTATGAAGAGAGCACTGATGGCGTCGGCCCCGGTTCGTTGAAAATTCCGAGTCTCGTCCAAGAGGCCGTCAGCGCGATGAAGACCATGGACATGTCCGTCGAGGGCGTCTTCCGCAAGAACGGCAACATCAAGCGACTCAATGACGCGAAGGAGGAGATTGACTCCAAAGGGTCGGTGGAGATCGACCTGACAAAGGAGAACCCGGTGCAAGTCGCCGCTCTGCTCAAGAAATTCCTGCGAGAGATGCCGGATCCGCTGCTGACGCACAAACTCAACAAGCTCTGGATCACGTCGCAACGGATCGAAGACTCCGAGCGAAGACGCCGCATCCTACATCTCACCTGCTGTTTGCTTCCCAAGCCGCACCGAGACACGATGGAGGTTCTCTTCACTTTCATGAACTGGGTGTCGTCGTTCAGCCATGTCGATGAGGAGAGCGGCAGTAAGATGGACATTCACAATCTCGCCACCGTCATCACGCCCAACATCATTCACCGCGGGAAGGAGCTCGTACCCGTCGATGACAGCTTCTTGGCCATCGAGGCAGTGCATAGTCTGATTGAGTGCAATGAGAACATGTGCGAGGTAAGCCGAACCCCAGATCCACGAACCCTATCCCGCAGTTACTAAAATATCCCTCCAACCAACAGGTCCCAGAAGACCTTGCCCTAATCCTCAACGACTCAACACTCTTCAGCAACAGCGCGGACATCACCACAAAAGAGATCCTCAAGCGCTACGGCGACCGCGCCAAAGCCCCCGTAGCCAGCACGCCCGCCCTCAACGCCACCAAAAACGACACCTACGGCGACATCCAGTCCTCCTCCCCCGGCCCGCACAACCGCGACGGCAACGCAGGCCCCGTCGCGCACCGCGTCGACAACGACCACGTCTGGCACACCGAGAGCTCCGTGCGCCACGTGGGCAGCGATCTCGGCACGCCGCCGATGATCCCATATGCGCAGGGGCGCAGCTCGCAGGACTCGCATGGTAGTCCTAATCGCGCGGGCACGAGGAGTCCGGCTTGGGATAAGAGGCAGATGGGGATGGCTTGATTGCATGGATGGATCGACGGACGACCACGACGATGATGACGCGTTTGAATGAATGAATTACTGAGGTGAGTGTGTTTGCTGCACGGATTCGGTTTGGGTACGATTTCTTTGTCCCCGTTGGGCATGAGGGATGGGCACTGGCGGGCGGACGGGCGGGCGGACGGATGGCGGTGATAGGATTCCTCCTGGTGAAGATGCGAGAGGCTTTGATGAGGTTTACTTGTTTGCTTTTTCGGGCTGGCGCTTGTTTGCAATGCCAGCGGGCGTTTTCGGTGGCGAAGGGCGAGGCGAGAACCATCTGCTGTTCTCTTTTGCTTTTCTTTTCATCCGCGGGAAAAGGGTGCATGGCTGCTGCGGGATGCTCGATGCCTCATGAAGGATGAGTGGCAGCTGGAGGGGTTTAAGCAGGGAAAAGGAGGATGCAAGACGTCTACATTACGTATCTCCTGCTGCCGCTTTGTTATGGGCGAGAGCGATTGCTGCTGCTAGCTCTCCAAGAATGCTAGCATGGTTCAAACACTTGTTCTGCTCTCAATGTTCGACAAAGGTGAAGTGAGCGGGTGAATTGACTTTCTAGACTTGGCTCTAAATCCTGCTAGTTGTTACAACACCCGCCAGGAGTCCGTTCCAAGCAACAACAGAAGAGGGAAGTCGAGACGAAAAGAAAACTAGAGGCCGCCATACAGACGAGAAATAGCAGTGCTTGCATTGACAACAAACGCAAGCACGCAAAGAAAGAGCAGGAGAACCTCCCCAGCCAAAAGAAAAGCCATGAAGATCTCGCCGTAAAACGCCGTCGCTTCGTAAGAACAGCATGCCGCATAATCAAAGATCCATCGTGGCCCGCTTATGTATCATCACACACCCAAGAAGCAAATCTCAAACAAAGGAAAATTCCACAAGCAGTCCGCCTCTTTCCCCGCTCAATCAGTATGGGACGGCGATGACGAAGCCTTGGGCGTCGGATCCGGATCGTCGTGCACATAGTGCGGCTTGGGCGTGACATCGACATCGTCTGCGTTCGATCCGCGGCCTTCTTCCGCAGCAGAGTCCATAGCAAATACCACAGCATGATCTCCAGGTTCGCGCGGGAAGAGCATAGGCGGAGTGAGTTTGCCTTCCGCCTCGACTTCCGCGGCCGACTCCTCAATAATGGGGCAAGCGGTGGAATCGAGTTCGGACAAACCCCCAGCGACATGCGTCTTTTCGGACGAGGAGGGGTCCAGCGTTGCGCCCGCGCCGCCGATTTCGTCGGTGGAAACGACGCTGCCTTGAGAGTTTGTGCGCATCATTTCGGTCCCGAGCTTGGAGCTGCGTTTGATGACGCGGCGCGGGGAGCGGGTGCGCGTGCGCGTGCTGCGCAGGTGGCCGAGCTCTTCGTCTTCGTCGTCGCCGCTTTCGGCTGTGGAGGAACTCTCTTGGCGCTGCTTTTCGATTGAGCGGCGCTTGGCTTCGATGGCCTCGCTGGAGGGCTGCTTGCGGAGTTGCGGAGGGTCGGCGGTGGGCTCCTCGGCGTCGGGAGTGCCTAGGGCGGCGGGAGCGGAGGACTGCGCGATCAGACGCGGCCCATCGGGCAGGGCTTCGTCGATTTTGGGCTCGGAGGAGATACCCAGGCCGCCGAAATTGCGCTCGAGTTCTAACTGGTCGAAGTCGCCTGTTGCTTGACGGCTGACGATGACGGGTACGCTGCCATATGGACTGTCCGTTTCCCCGGTTTGGCTGGAGTCGATTGAATCTCCTCGACTGCTAGACAGTGCCGGCCCAAAGCCCGCGAAGCCGGATGAGTTGGTGGTGGTGGGGCTGTCATCACGGACTTGCGACTCTCGACGTAGGCTGGACTGCGCAAAGGGCTGTGCTGCGCTCGGCTGCCAGCCTTCAGGTGCAGGCTTCCACTGGCAGAGGTGGGCGAGGACGTCTTCGAGTTTCTCGCGAGTGGGAGGCTTCTCGATCATGGCATCGAAGTGATGCGTGGCCGGTAGCTCCTTGAGATATCCAGTAACGGCGACGATCGGAGTGCGCGCGTTGGGATTGTGCGTCTCTCTGATCATACGCGCCACATCCGTTCCATTCATGTGCGGCAGTCGATACTCCATCAGGATGATGTCGAACTTGACGTCGCTCATGCCGTACTGTACGGCGTCTGTGCCAGTCGTAACAGAGATGGTCCGGCATCTCAACTTCTCCAGCAGGCGCTCCATGACAAGGCGCGAAACGGGATGATCTTCGCAGATGAGCACATCCAGCGTTCGGAAGGCAGGGCCGTCGGCCAGACTGACTACCGATAGTCGTCTCGAGCTCGTCCGCCGCCGATGCACCCGAAGAAGAGCAGCCTTCTGCCGCGTGTCTTCGTTGTCGGACGAAGATGGCGAGACGTCAAACACGCCGCTTCTGCGCTTGTGATGGGACGGCACGAGTTCAGGCACGAGATCACCATCTGCAGACCCGAGGGTGTGGGAGCGCTGTCGGGAAGATGGAACACTGCTTTGCCGCGGCTCCGGTACACCTCGGTCCATCGACATGGAGATGTTAATGGAAGTTGGCCTCGGCCCTTTGACAGGTGAGGATGCGTTGGAGGGCACTTTGTGAGTGGATGGCAGCCTGGGCGGCTGGTCGAAAAAGGAGCCGGGCTGTAAGGAGTTGGGGTTGCCTGTCTGCTGAGACAAATGAGAAGACCCGCTTGACGTTTTGCGGCGTTCGTGCAGGCCCGTGGAGAATTGCACGAGCATTGGCGACGCGACATGCGGGTTGCGATTGGGCGAAGATTCCGCTTGGCTGCTCGATACTGAAGGCGAGTGCGAACGAGGCCCTCTGGTAGCCGATAAAGTGCGACTCAGCGGCATTTGTAGTATCGGACTCGACTCGAGGGAGGGTGCTGGCGAAGGCGAGGCAGCCGCTGAACTGACTGCAGTCCCGGCCGCGGTCCTGGCCTGGGCTTGCATTGCATCTGCACGAAGCTTCTGAATCACATCCTTGTTGGCCTTCTCAAGTACCGGCAGGTTCTTGAACTGGAAGTTACCAAAGTCGTCAGCAACGACAGGCTCGCTCAACCTCCGACTCCGAACATCTCGCACATGGGGTGGAATGTGCAACGGCATCAGGCTGCGTCTGACGGCGGCATTGACCTGATGTCGGACATGGGATAGAGCATCGTGCGGGCGATCAAGATAGTCAGCGCCAGGTGTATGGGCGGGAGAAGACGTTTGATCCTCAAACTCCGCAGCGAAATTCTCCATACTGGCACCTCGGGCATCAAAGTACTCCGTGTCCTCGGGGTTCTCGCTGGCGGGGACAAACGATGCTTGGTCCTCGCGTAACGTATCCCAGTTGATCTCAGAAAACCACGGATGCGCCTTGATCTCTTCTCCGCCATTTGCGTACTTGTCGTCTTTGTTTGAGCCAAGGCGCTCCTTGGGATCCAGACACATCAGCTTGTTCATGAGATCTTTAGCCTCAGCCGAGACCTCGTCTTCCTCATCTTCAGCTGGCCAGTGTATTCTTCGGTTCAGGATATTCTGAAACACTTCCTCCGGCGTCGGAGCATTGAAAGGAGGCCTTCCGTACAAGCACTCGAACAGAATGCATCCGAGGGACCACCAATCGCTCATTTCATCTTGCCCTGCACCTTTGATTGTTTCCGGAGCTAGGTAATCAGGTGTTCCAACGAAGCGTCTGGTGCTGTCTTCGGGGTCGAAGAGAGCCATAGCCGGCGGAGGCATGGCAAGCTGCGCATGCGTGTCTGGTTTGGAGTCACTGGAATTACTTCCCACAGGCTGGAGTACGTGGCCTTCGGTCGCCTCGCCAGGGGTTCCTTCTTCGCTGTGCGTCTCTTCTTCGATGGGGGTCCTGCCTTCTGCAATTGAAATCCTTCGAAAGGCAGTGGACAATGCATCACTGTCGGCACTGTCGCTCCTATGGCCGGAAGTCCGACGCGAGAGATCGCGCGAGGTGGAACTGTCGCGATACAGGTTGAAGTATGATGGTTGGTGGAGATCATTGCCAACAGCAGGGTGCAGAGCTGGCGTTTGAGCGGGAGAGTAGCCGCCTCCAGGGAAATCGAAGGATGTCGACCGCGACGACGTGATGGAGGTCGCACGCTTGAAGGGGCCAGCTTTGAGGAGATCGGGCGGCGCATCGTCAGGAGACGCATTGATCGCGCGCTTTTGCCTTCCAATGAGACCCATGCGAGACAGACCAAAGTCCGTTAGCTTCAGATGGCCTTTGGCATCGATGAGGAGATTGTCCGGCTTCAAGTCACGGTGTACGATCTGCCGGCTGTGCAAGTGCTGTACGCAAAGCACCACCTCGCCAATATACTTGGTCGTCCAGTCTTCCGGCAAAGCGCCTAGCACCTTGATCAAGGATGCACAATCTCCACCATTCAGGTACTCCATGACCAGGTAGAGGTAGTCCTTACTCGAAAAGGTCCAGTACAGCTTCGCAACGAAGTCACTCTCGCCTTGCCACATCATAATCTGTCGTTCCGCCTTGACATTCGTCACTTGATTTTTCGCCACCATGTCCGCTTTCTTGAGTACTTTGATCGCGTAGTAATCGCCGAGTGACTTCTTCTTCGCCAGGTACACGCTTCCAAATGCCCCTTTGCTGATCGGCTTGATGATCTCAAAGTCCTTGATGGATGTCTGCGGGGCACGGGGCTGCGGGTTGGAGACGACACCAGACAAGTGCGGTGAGCCCGGTCGCCTGAGCGATTCAGAAAACGCAGCCGAGGACTGTCGGCGATGATGCCTCGGAGCCTGCCCTCGAATGACGGGCGAGTGGAATTCGCTATGGGACAATATGGGCGAGGTAATTGGGGAGGGAACAGAATCGGAGGCGCTCAAGGCACCGCTAGGAAGCCTAGGCTTGGCCATTCGAAGGGGAGACGCAGGCGCGGCGGGACCTCGTCCGGGAGAAGGGAGGCGGTTGGCGCCAGCAGCAAGGCTCGGCAGGACCAAGCTCTGGCGCTTTCGTTCTCTTGACCGTGTGCTCGTAACTCGACTTAATGACATGTCGGCGCTGGGAGAGTCCACACGACGAGGCCCGCCCGAGGCAATAGAAGAGGGCATACTGCTGTCGCTTTCGGCGCCGGCGTCGCTCTCCATGGCGATTGAGCCGCGTTTGTATAGCATCGCAGGATCTACGAAGCCACCGCCGTACGACTTTGGCGTTGCAGCTCCTCCATGAGGGCTACTTGTTCGCGACGATCCCACGGAAGAAGGTCGGCGAACCAGGGAAGGATCCGACGCATTGCGAAGAGCCATGGCCATGGACGACGGACTGGGCGTGATCTTTCTTGAAGGGACATCAATTGGCTCGGTGTGCGCAGCTTGGCCACTCTCGGTCGCGACTTTGATCGTGTCGTCTTCCGGCTCCAACTGCTGCTCTGGAGTTTCATAATGCGAAGAGTCTTCACTCGATTCGCCCGAATCACTGATATCCCCTGCCTTGAGTCGATCGGCTTTCTGCAGGGCTTCTTCAATGCACTCCGCGACCAAAACCTCGTATTCGATGCGAATACGTTCAAAGTATTCCAGAAATCTGCGGTGGCGGAACACGGCATCGACCTTGGCCTTGGCCAGCTGCGAAGTGTCATCACATAGTTGGGCCAGCCCTTGCTCATTTTCCAGAGCGCTTGCGCTAGGAGATTGCCATTGCAAGACTTGCTGGATGTGGTTCTCCGATTGAGGCGACTGGGTGCGAATCTCGCCGGGGGCGCAGGCCTTGGAATCCTTCACACTGGGGGTATTAATCTCCATGGCGGTATCGCAAAGATCCAGCACCAGCTCCACAATTCTTGCCAAAGGCCGTCGAACGAGGAATGACTTGGCTCGTTGATGGCCAACGGAAGACTCACGAGAAAGCGCGGCGAGGTGAGCCGGAGAGCTTCGCCCGGATGAGTGTCCTGATGATGGGACGGAATTGGGGCCGATCGGTAGGCCTTTGTATTCCGCTTTCGGTACGGGTGTTGGAGAACCCGATTCACCAGTGGGATGCTTCGTTGCTCTTGTTTGCGCATCCAGAGCATCCAACACCTTGACAAGCGCCGATCGTTGCTCGTTGAGCGCGTCATGAGCTTCTTGCACTTCGACTTCGGCGCGGTGGTCTTCTGCGCAGAGTTCGGTGTGCTTTTCGAACCACCACGGGGTAATCTGGCGTTCACAGATTCGGCAAAGCACCGGTAGTGGGTTTGGGCGACTCTGGGGGCCATCTTCAGAAGCCTCGGTCAGCATCGTGAGATGGTTCACGAGGACTTCGGCTCCGACGCCAAGCGTTTCAACAAGTACAGTAGGCAAGTCGATGGTGATTTCGCGCGAAATGGCCGGGCGCACCATCCACATTGTATGACTCTCCTGGCCCGTCTGTCTGTCGTACACCATGATACCCTGAGCTTCAAGATCGATCGTTTCATCTTCAGGCTCTTTTTCGGCGGCATTCTCGGGGGTCAGAGCAGTCTCTTGGGTAAGCTCGTGTGCAGGTGAAGGCAGCTTGAACTCCTCTGGCGTGTCTTCTGGCGATGTGCCCTCCGGAGAAGCGACGTCGTCAGCCGGAGGTTGTGGAGACTTTCCCATGACCGAGAATCGGACAATGCGAGACTTGGAGTCATCGTTCCTCATCGACTCGACACATTCGGCAAACACGTTCTCGCTGCCCACGAGCACGTCGGCGATGTTCTTGCCCAGAATCTCCGACCCAGACTTGCCCGTGACGTCTTTCCATGAGGCACTCGCCCATTTGACCTTGCCATCCAGCTCCAACTCCAGGATGGCGTTCATGGATTGCTCCGCGACCTTTTTGAGATGTTCGCGTTCTTCCCGGATATCCATGCTAATTGTGCGGAGCATGTGCGTCTGATCCGTATCATGCTGCTCTTTCGATGATGTGTTGCCAGGCGGAGCCAAGGCACCGTCCTGGTTTGTTGTCTCGGCCATGATATGCGACTCTTGACCCGGCGTTGTGCGCGGATGTCACGCAGTTGGTGCGCGGGTGCCAGGCTTTGTGTGTAACGTGGTTGCCAAGCGGCGCGCCGGGAGGCCGCTACGCCCGAAAGAAGGAGCTGCCCATCGTGACGGTGATCAGGATGAGCAGAGGCGTGGGAGTTGAGATATGGGGAGGCGCTGGTGCTGCTGGTTGGCAGAGGGCGTTGATCGGAGCGGACAATGGAGGGCGGCGCGCGCGCGAGATCGGAGGGGTAGGACAAGGAAAGAAAGGCCGGCCCGAAGCGGCTGCGGCGCTCAGAATTTGTTCATACCCGGGAGGCACGGCGGGCTGGGCAGACAATGCACTTTTCTTGACAGTCCGAGTTGCGGCGGGAAGTTAGAAGAATGTCGGTAAGTCGTCGGCCACTCTATACACACACACCCTACACCTCTCCCCCAAGTGAGGTCCCACTTTCCTGACTTCTGGCCCGCCTTTTAGCGCGGCACTAACGGCCCGAACATCACTGACCAATGAAGAACCGCCGCTCTCGTAGATGAATAATGGATGGGATATGAATAGCGAGGTGGGGAATTCTATGAGATTACTGCATTGCTGGCTGTGTGATCACAATAACTGGGGATGTATCAGAAATGCTGTGATTCACGGGGCACGCTGATGGTGTCGGAGTGGCTCTGCAGATCTGTACGTTTTGACATTACATGATGAAGGAGGGTAAGCGGGACAGCGTTGCCGATCCGGTGCTGGCTCCGCCGATGAGAACTTTATGCAGCCATCTATCTTTGTGCATTCATTCATTGACAAACTTGGTTTTGCACGGAGGATGGTGTTCAAGACCGTCTGGGGTGACGTCGCTGCGAGTCCAGTGTCGCACGCAAGCTTGTCACGTGGAAGACACGTGATGATTCCCATCTCACCAGCACTTGAGCACCCAATAGAAAGCTGAGTCTCTCGGATTAGGTAGGTGATGATACGAATTGCGACGAATAATAATCGATCAACTATCTAGTAAGATACAGTCTCGGTTTTTCCCAACCGTGTAAACAACTCCAAGCTAACCCAGGGATATCTAGTCGTCAATCTGAATACCATCCTCCCTGCGCAAGGTCTCTACTTGAGCAAATGCCGATAAGCACCATTGGCAACTCGGCGATGATGCGTCCGAGTCTGCTCCTGCACAGCCTGGCGCTGCTTCTCAGCCGCCTGCTGAGCGCGGTACTCCTGAGCGGCTCGGTACTTCTCAGCCAGCACGTCGTCTTCGTACAAGCTGTCGGCATCGACGGGCCGGGAGCTCAGCTTCGTCCTGGCCTTGTCCATCATGCGGCTCATCGTCGACTTGTCGCTGTTTGACGACATTGTGGATGAGGCTTTGCGGCCAGTGTATGTTGAGGAGGCGTCGTTGGTGTAGACGATTGATGTGCGGCGAGAACCAGTTGACGTGGGCTTTGCGGACTGCGCGTATGCGGCTTCGAATTGAGCCATGTGAGCGGCAGTGGTGCTGACTGCGGGGCGTCCGTAATGCATGTTGGTGATTATTGGAGGTGGGTTGGTCGATGGAGAGGTTGTTATGGAAATTGATTTGAGGTTGTTGTGAAGATGAAAGTGTGGTGTGGTGGCTTTGGGAAGAGCTTTTGTGGTTTTGGTGGTCGATGAGGGTTGATTGATGAGTTGAAAATGTCAAACATGAGAACATGACAGTCTTTATATATTCACTCTCCATCCATGTCATTATACCAGACGGAGTTCAGATGACTCCCATCAATGCTTCGCTTCTGCCTCTCATTGGTAATCAAGGCTGCCTTGACATTGAGGCGGAGGTGGAGAGCTCGGAGTTCAATCCCGCGCCGCAAGAAGGCTGTGCTCGCGCCGAAAGGATCGGCCGAACAACCACGCCGAGCGACTCTTCGGAGCCGACGCTCGTCGATCTCGGACTGAACACCTACACGATGGATTCGGAGCTCTTGTCGCTGCAGTCGCTGCCACCAACCACGACAGTCGCGAAGCTGTTGCCTTACAAAAGCGACACACCAAACCGCGCGTCGCTGACGACGGGCATCACCCATCGCATTGTCTACCTGACTTCTTGATCCATAACCGAGGTGATGCAAACGTGGAAGGTCTGTAAGCACGTCTGTAAGACTCATCATGGTGCGTGTGGAAGCCAATGATCAAACACCATGCGGACACCTGCCTTTGAGTCACCGCTCCCCAGTCCGGCGAGGCTGATAATTCCCTGCGGTGCGGAGTGGAGACTCGGTGTCGGCGCTCGGCGTTGGAGGTCCGTCACGTCAGCCTTCCTTTACCTTGCATTTGTTACGCGGCCCTCGAGGCACCAAGACTGTACCTGACGAAGCCCATGGGATTCAGAGCTGTCGTAATGTCGTGCTCGGAGTTCAGTGTTCAGTATGTTGACTCTCATGGCCCTCAGTTTGTCAGCTTCTGTCCTCCACTTCTTCCATGAGGTTCTTCAATTGGCTTCCTCGGTCAGCCTCTTTGCTCAACAACGACGACGGACGAGCTCACAGGGCCTGACAACTCGACACATACTCTACAACCCTGGACGTGAGCAACAATGAGTCGAGACGTAAGGTACAATATTCGCTCTAAACGGAGCAAGTAAGCTGACTTGGCATGTCCCACACCTGCGATCCTTCTGACCATGTAGATGGAGGATTGGTCTCACATGAGCTCCGTGATCCGCATGAAAATGATCGACGTGGAGCAGAGGGCAAGATGACACCATGACCACGAACCGTTCGGAGTTCAAGATGACAGCAACGTGTCGGAGCCAAGGCCCGGTCGGCACTCCGAGTACCGTAAGCGTATACAATAGCACGAGCTCTCGATAGTCACGTGCGTCACTGAACCCGCGGGTCGGTCCAAGACACCGACGACGGATTGTGGTACACGATCTCGACTACACCTTGCACCTCGCCTAGATTCTTGGCAGCGCAGGAGGGATCCCCCTATCAAATCGCAGCGCAGACATGGCAGATATGATTGTCAGGCCCAAAGATGTGCGTCGTTGCTGGTGTTGGTGGTGGAATGAACGAAACTCCGTTCAACAATGGCATTTAGACTCGTCCGCCTCGGACTGCTCGCCATTGGAGCATACGCGCTCTTCGATGACCCGGAAAGTTGGAGACAATACGTCGATGGCAGCGATCTTCATCAATTCGTCACGGTAGTTGGCACTCTGCCTATCTCCTTGAATAGATCTGACTTCGTGTGACAGCGTCCTGACATAGCTGCGCCGCGGTACTCGGTGATCAAGCATCGCCCAGACGCAATATCTCCGGGTTATTATTTCGTAACACCGCATGGCGCTCTGAGCAAAGCGGCACCATATGCCGGCGAACCACACTTTGTGCCTTGCACCAACGGCCCACACATCTACGACGGCGACGGAGTGAGTGGCGCATCGTATAGCTTCACATCCCAACTAACTCACCTCTCAGGAACTTGTCTGGAGCGGCGGACCGACATATAAAAACCGGAACGCCTACAACTTCAGACCGCTGCGAGTGAATGACTCCGACGTGCTCACCTTCTACGTCCCGGCCTTGCATGCCCCGAGCGGCCCCGGGAATGTCATTGAGCGGACGGGGTTCGTCCTCAACAACCGCTACGAGGAACTCAGCCTGACCACTGTTGATCCTAAATACATCCTCGACGCGCACGAATTCTACCTGCAGCCCGATGGCAAGTCGACGTTGCTCACCACGCGCAAAATCGCGAACGCAGAGGGCTCGGGCATCAATCAGACCCTGCGACAAGTCTTGTACGCCGGCTTCCAGGAAATCGACACCGCTTCCAACAAGGTCCTCTTCGAATGGAATCCCAATCCATCTACCGGGATACGCGTGAATGAGAGTTGCGATGTGACGAACAAATTCAGCACTGAGGAGAAGCTCTGGGACTTCTTCCACATCAATTCCGTAGACAAGTTTGCCAATGGCGATTACCTCATCTCTTCCCGCCACATGAGCGCCGTGTATCGGATCTCGGGGCGCGATGGAAAGGTCGTCTGGACACTAGGCGGGTGTTTCAATCAGTCCGATTTCCGTATGGCCGACGATGTACCCTTCTTTTGGCAGCACGACGCGCGTATCCTGGTCGAAGACGGAGACCAAATCATCCTATCGGTGTTTGACAACGCCAGCGATATCAACGATTTGGGCGAGCCTACGGGGCATAACCCCCCGATCGGCAAGATCCTTGCATTGGGTGAGACTCCTTCTTGAACTTCTTACTAAATCGGAGTTACAAGGATGTTGCTGACCCGGTCCAATTCGTCTGACCAGATATGGCCAGTCACCCCATGAGTGCCAAGTTGATCCGACGATTCGATCGACCCGACAAAGGCCAAACCCCGGCCGAGGGCGGCATGCGGTTACTAGGCCCCATCACAAGCGTAGAGGATGTGATGTCCGCCCATGTGTTGGTGAATTGGGCGTTTGAGGGCTACATGAGCGAGTACGACGCCAACGACAACCTGCTCCTCGAAGCGCGCTTCCTCTCAGTAAGTCCTTCCACTAACCACACTAGCGCACGACAGGCAACTAATCAACGTTACCACGACCGCCAGGACCGCAAAAGGACCTACCGCGCCTACAAAGCCCCCTTCAAAGCCTACCCAACCGAACCCCCCATTCTCAAAGTCCTCCCAATCCCCTCCGCATCATCCCCCTCCCAACTCGCCTCCGCCTTCTACGTAAGCTGGAACGGCGCCACAGAAGTCACGCACTGGCGCTTCCACGGCAGCGCAAACAACGTCCCCACGTCCTTCACCCCCCTAGCCAACACCAGTAGACGCGGCTTCGAAACCTCCCTCCTCATACCACAATCCATCCCCTTCGCGTACGCCGAAGCATTAGACGTCCACGGTCAAGTAATCGGTACCTCAGACGTCGTCAGCATCGCCTCGACTCCAGGTGGCGGGGAGCACCCCAGCTCCTCCGCCGCGGCCACAGCAGGGGAAGAAGAATTCCACTCCGCGCCTGCAGGCGGCATCCTCCGACTAGGAAGACCCGAGGGCCCGCTGCAGGGTGTCGCCTTGCTTATCGTATTGGCTTTTGCAGTTTACGGCTTTGGCGTGGCGGGGTTGAGGGTGCGGAGTGCGGTGCGCAGCGCGAGGCGGAGTAAAGGGGGCAGAGCGGCGCAGGAGTACATGGATGTACCGCTGGAGGATGTTTCTGAGCGGATGTGAGTCAGGATTGCGGTGGGCGGGAATGGGAAGGGAGTTGCGTCGTGGGTTTCAACTCCGATGTGTGCGCGCTCGGACATCTTGTCGTCTTCGTACGAGGGGCGGCGGAGCTGGGATTTGGGCCGCGAAGCTTTACGAGGATGTCGGAGTTAGGGGCGTCATGTTTCGCGGACTATGGATACGATGCGACGACCGCGATAGGTGCGTGGGCGGAATTTTCTCCGTTGACGATCAAGCGTATTGCAAAATGGTTTGTCAGGAGGCTGGTGTCTGTAAGATATTTCCACAAGGCTGGGTCCTCGCTATGGATAGGTATGCAAGATGTAAATAGATGACAACCACCAGGGCTGTGCTGTTCAATAGAACGAACCATCGCAAGATCGCCAATCACAAAAGGGTATCGTAGAGTCGTATCAGAAGCCGTAAACCACATCATCTCACCTCTCGCCCTTCACTACACCCTCTTTCTCCGCCGCCCTCAATACCTCCGCCGGCTCCGTAAACCCAAACTTCTCCGCAGCGACCGCAGGCGTGGCACCATCCAGATTCCTCCGCTTCGGATCCGCCCCGAACGACAGCAAAACCTTCACCATCTCCGTGAAGCCCGAGAGCGCGGCGCAGTGCAGCGGCGTACTCCCATCGCCCATCAGGTGATTCGGATCGGCGCCCGCGCGCAGGAGGAGTTCCATATTGCGCTCGTGGCCCGGCCACACGGCCCAGTGGATGGCAGCGGTGTTGATGAAAGACGGAATGCTGAGATCGGGGTTGTAGGAAAGGATGAGCTGCACGAGATCGGGTTTGCCATGCTTCACGGCGTACATAATGGGGCTGGTTTTGTAGCAGTTGAGGTTGTTGACGTCCGCGCCGACTTCGAGGAGGAAGCGCGCGATTTCGACGTCGTTGGCTTTGCACGCTTGGTGCAGCGGGGCGGAGGAGGATTGCTTCATTGTGGGGTTTATGGCGGCGCCGTGGGCTATGAGAAGCTCCACGGCGTCGAGCTGGCCTTTGCCTGCTGCGCCGGCGAGGGGGGAGAGGGTGCCTGGTTTGGGGGGTTTGAAGGCGTCGTAGAGGTCGCGGACGATGGTGGGCGTGTTGATGTCGACACCGAGGTCGAGGAGTTGGTGGATGCTGTCCGTGTCGCCTTCGCAGGAAGCGATGTAGAGGCGATGTGCGAGGCGCTTCTTTTCCTTGTCGCTGAGTTCGGATGGGGTTGTTGGTTGCAGATCGAAGGGAGATATCGCTGAGTCTGTTCGGGTTGTGGCCACGGGAGAGAGAGTGGGTGACACGGGTGGACTGAGTGTATAGACTCGATCGGTGATGTGTGCTGTCTCGCCTATGGAAGAGGGAGGTGATGGGGGAGTGTAGTCTTCTCGTGCGATTGTGGACCCGGGGCCGTACTCGAAGGAGAAGTCGCCGCTCCAACTTCCGCCTCTGTGCGAAAGGTATCAATTATGGAGATCTCAAGGGCGAGGATTTACGACATCACGAGACATACCGACTCTGGATCGCATCGTTGAATTGGAAGTTGGACCGGTCCCATGCGGCCATCGAATCGTAGACCATCGCTGCTAGCCACCGTCGTGCCGGAGTAGACACGGTGATGCTATGAGCCTCTTAAATTCAGAATGAAAAACAAGACGCAAACTATGGACGAGGAATGGTCGAAAGGTGAGGGCGTAGAAAGACAAAAAGAAGACAGAATCAAAGTAGAAATGTTGGCGCTAGCTGTTCAGCTCACCTGCACGGCCAGAGATACACAAATCAGCCGCGGACGGTGGAGTATGAGGGGTGGAGGCGATAATCGCACATGCACTGCTCAGTAGGACTTCCACCGTATGTCGAGAATCGACGACATTAACTCCCGCCTGCTCACACCAGCCCAGTGCTCGAATGAACGCAGATTTCGCAAAGAGCATGCGGTGAAGGTCGTCGGGACCACATGCGCTGTCTTGCATACAGTGGGGTCGACGGAAACCTTGCAGCGGCCAGATTGAGGCTGAGCGTGTCTTTCATGCATGCGCTTCCGACGGCACCCATGTGCGAGTATTGAAACAAGTGCAGCCTCAGCATATCACTGGTACATGCATGCCCTGGACGATACTGAGGAGAAGGTAGAAAGTGAGGTTTGACCAGGAAGACCGTCCTCCTCTTGCTGCCTCAGGTATTCAGGTCAGGCTGCAAAAGGCTAGCGTGCAAAAGTCGCGGGATTGTCGCGTGCATCGCCGCACGTCACCTTCAACTTCCACCACTCACCAACCGGAGCCCTCACCCGCGCTCCTCACCAGCGGATACACGCACCCTCACACACCGATGCCACCGCCTCTAACCTCGTAACACATGTCACCATGTCCGCCAAATTGAAACTCAACACCACTGGCAAGGCCAGCTCTCCAACCCCGAGCGCCGCCAGTGCAACCGCAACTCCAGCATCAGGCAGCGGCTTCAAACTCAAGCTCCACGCCTCCCAGCCTCCGACCCCAGCAACAGAGACCCCCGTCTCAGCCGGCCCAGCGAAGAGCGGCAAAGCAGCAGCTGGGAAGAAGCGCGCAGCAAACGACGACACCATCTCCCCCGCTCCCAAACGCCCCAACAAGAAGCAAGGCACAGGCCCTTCCCTGGCTCGCAAGATCTCCATCAAACTCGGCCCGGGTCCAAGTGCTGCTGCGGCACCCGTCCCGTCCACCCGCGGCATTATCAAACTGCCCCTCAAGAAGAAATCCGCCGCATCGCAGCCCAAAGTGCGCGGTATCATCGTCCGAAACAACCACCCTCCCCCTCGCATTCCCGGCCATGGATACGACAGCGAAGACAGTGATGCAGAGGAAGACCCGGCCGTCCAACAAGCCTTCATCCTCCGCATGGAACCGGGTGAAGACTGCGAATACATCCGGGAGGCGATTGCGAATGGCAAGATCGGCCTGCCACCCGACCAAAACCCCGCTGCGGTGTCGTTACGCTTCCTTGATAAGGACTATAGGCGAGCCATCGTCAACGTACGCGGAAGAATGTATGCGGCGGCGATGGTCGATCTACCGTGCGTTGTAGAGACGATGAAGAGCTGGGATCGGAAGGGCTGGTGGAAGGTAGCGGACGTGTGCCAGATGCTTCTCGTCCTGGGGCCTGTCGCGAATGAGGAGCAAGCTAAAAAGCACGCGCTGCCCCGCGAAGTGGATCCGGAAACGATGCAGTACGCCCACGGCCTGACGCCTCCCATGAAATACGTGCGAAAGCGAAGATTCAGGAAACGCCTCAGCTACAAAACAATTGCGAACGTAGAAGAAGAAGTCGAGCGCCTGCTGAAAGAAGACGAACTCGCCGAGCTCAACGGCGGCGAAGTCACACTGGAATACATCGACCGCTCGGACCTCGAGCGCGGCGCAGACCGCGACACGCCCATGTTCGAAGACGAAGAAGGCAACGCCATCGAGACCGTCGAGACGGGCATGGAGGGCGACGAAGACGGCTACTACGAAGAAGAAGAGTACGAAGCGGACGACGCCGAGCTCGACCTCGAAGGCAACCTGCAGGCCATGTTCGACGAAGACGCCAAAGCCTCCGCCACCCCCGTCGCCGCAGACCTCATCTCCGACTCCCCCGCTCCCATCGCAGACCAAGCCGCGTCTTTCTCCGCCGTAAAAAACGCCGTCAACGGTGCAGCCGGCCTCGCAGCCGGCGCCGACGCGCAAACTTCCGATGAAGACGCGCCCGCCTCATCGGATGAAGACGACGACGACGACGAAAGCGACGCCGACTCCCCGGACGTCATGGACGAGGACGCCGCCGCGGCCGCCGCAGAGCGCAATCAGCAAATGCAAGAGGTCGCGGATCTGGAGAAGGAGGTTGAGGCGCAGCGGGTGAAGGTGAGCAATACGACGAACCAGTTGTTGAAGCAGCGCGCTGTGGCGCAATTGCGGGCTTTGGAGGAGGATTTGCGGGTGAAGAGGGATGTGCTGGGCGTTGGGGATGGGGATGTTGATGGAGAGGGAGAGGGGGGTGGGGAGGATGGGGAGGAGCTTTGAGGGGAGGAAGAGAGGATTAGAGGATGCAAGGGTTCCTTACGAAATGGTTATCTGCGCAGCCGACATACGCCGTCCATACAAAATTCAGATATGACATAACCCGCATCACTGCATCAAAATCCCCCCGTCATTCCCTCCATCTAAACAAAAATTCAGAAATCGTAACACATAAGCATCAGAGTGTCAGACATCCATCCCCACCAGCATCACTCCAGCAAACCGACATGGAACGCATCAAACCTGCACAGCACTCGTCGCCAACCCCCTGCGCAACCCCAACCCCTCCCTCCCAACAACCTCCCGCGCACACCCCCCAAGTCCACCCCCAACATTCCCCGCCCCACCCAGCACCCCCTCCCCAACACCACCTTCCAATCTCCCCGCCTCCCGCCCCATGCTATACCCCGCGCCAAAACTCAGCGCGCTCAACGCAACCACGACGCCGGCGGAGACGAGCCATGTCAGCAAGGTAGGGGAGACGGTAGCAAGGAGGTCGTCGTTGGAAGCGGTGCGGCGGGCCTTTTTGAGGGAGCGGTGCCTTTCGCGGCTGGAGGTGCGGGCCTTGCGTTTGCTTGGGTCTTGTTGTTGGGTTTGATTTTGGTTTTCGAAGGAGGTGGAGGTTGTGGAGGTTGAGGTGCGGCGGAGGGTGGGTTTGAAGGTTGGTTCTTGGAGTTTGGGGGGTGAGGGGGCGGGGCTGGATGCGGGGTGTTGCTGGGAGGTGGTGTCTGGTGCTGGGAGTTGGGAAGCAGGGATGAGGCGGAAGGAGGTCGGGTCGACTCTGTTGGAGCGGGTGGTGGGTGGTGTCGGGCGTTTGGCGGAGTCGGATTTGGGTAGGCCGCGCGCGGCAGCGGCGCAGGAGAGGAGAGTGGTGAGGCTCGAGCGAAGGGCTTCGTCGTGTTGTGCTGCGGCGTTGTAGGATGGTGAGAGGATGTTGTGGGGCATGTGAGAGGTGTTGTGCTGCGAGGCCGGAAGCGAGTGTCGGTATGAGGGCCGTCTCTGGACGGGGAAGTAAGAGCCAGGCACGGGCTGGCTGGAGTGGCGAAGCTGTCCGCTCGGCGGGTGCGAAAATGCGTTCGGTTGGGGAGTGAAGCACTGGTCATTGCTGATGGGATAGTTGATGGCGGTGCGCGCATCATCTTCCGCCAAAACCTCATCGAGAGGTGCTGATCGCTGGGCAGAGCTGATGTTGGGTTGGTTCAAAAGAGGAGGGGAAAAAGGGCCTTCACCGGACGAGGTCAAGACTCGGTCTGATTCACTTTCGCTTTCCTCGTACTCCTCTTGACTGCTCGTGCCGCCCACGCTGACCTGGCGATGGGAGATGCTCAGGGTGGTGGGTCTGCTTAGCCGAAAGGAGCGTCTTCTTCGCCCGCGGGAATCTTGAGGCACACGAAGGGCAGCGTGATCGACTTCATCAGCAGCGGACGAGAGAGATGATGAAGATGGTTGGGAGGAGATGTCGACCCATGATTCTAGAGGGTATGGATTAGCATACTCGAGATCGTCGACACTGTCTTCTGGCATGTTGAGAGCTCGTCAAGTAAGGTATCTCGTCGATTGCCGAGAAACAGAGAGGTATATGCAATGCTTGGGGTATGACAGGTTTCACACTGACCTTCGGAGCGTGTGCGCGGGTCAAATGATGCGGAACGAGAGGTCATCTCGACCGCAGGAGCTGGCCGATGTACGTGATCGCTTGATCGACGAGTAGCATGGTGACTTTCCATCGCGCGGACTGCGTCCCTCGATGGATGGATATGCTTTTGATAGAGTTCTGATGCCTTTCCTCGTCTTGACTCCCAAACGTGCTCAATGTCTTATCGATCGTCCCACTCTTGACCCCGCCGCTGTCGGAGGAGCTGTCCACGGGCGGTGTAGAGTGGAGGGGAGTGTCGCAAGGGAAGGGTGATGCAGTTGGCGAAACAGGCAACGCCGATGATGCCAGACACGAGCTTGCAAACACTCGTCTACGCCTGCGCAGTGGCGAGAAGGGAAGGTCGGTGTGTGGTGTGTGTGGTGTGGGCGGTGATGTCGACGTGCCTTGCACCTGACTGCCCTTGGGTGGGGGGGATGTGGGGGTGCACGGACGCGCATGATTGGAATCCTGCAGTACCGAAGATGGAGCGTCGATCACGCGTCACGCGGCTCAAGCGATCCCTTCCGCCTGCCATCTTCAATAATTGTACATCATCCTGTGAACACCGCGGGTAAGACACAAGGGCATGCTTGCTCGTGTCTCATTGATCGCTTTATTAGGCATATCTAAGGTTTGACTGGGATTAGTCATGATCAAGTGCTTCGCTCCGTGTGCCTGTGTCGCTTAGGACAATGCTCCTCACGTTCCCACTCGAAACTGCGCCTGTCCATACTTATACAGCGCGCGCAAGAACACATGATATCCCACCCCGCCCACATGATCCTGCACATAGAACATCTCCGACAGCCGCGCCTGCCACGGCGGATACCCGTCCAGCACAATCTGGTCCCCAAACAAGATGATGAGGTCCGGCTCCATCATCACTGACTCGCTAATCTCAGCATCGATGAGCTCGCTGCTAATGTCCTCCGGTGACAGCTTGCCATGCTGCGCCATCTCCGCCAGCGTTTTGGTGAGGTCAACGAGCGTCTGCCGCCCGTCGCTCTCGTCTATGAGCATGATGGCGAGGTGTGGGTGATGGACGTGGCCATCCGCATCATCGCCATTTGTCGGGGGCTCGGGAGATGTAGGTGGACTGTAGGAGGGCAGGTGCGGAGCTCGGAGGGATATCGTGGGCTTCGATGCCGCCGCCTCGCCGTAATAAGATGTCATCGTCCGCGAGATCCGGCGGTGTAAATGCGGCAGCGAGTGTTTAAGAATCCCCGTGCGTTCGTAGATCGAGAGCACCGGAATGCCCGCGCTCGCCGTCCACGCCGCAATCTCGCACGCATCGTTCATCAGCGTCTCAAGACTGTCCTTGTCCCCGCCCGCCGGCGACTGTTGTAGTATCACGCTCAGGTGCTTGGGCACTTTGCTCAAATTCTTCATGTCCTTCTTGATGAGCTCGGGGGTGCGGTGGTGGTAGTAGAGCACGGTGAAGATCTGGTTGACCACGGCATGGTAGGCTTCGCGGAGCCGGATGTAGACGCTGAAGAAGACGTGGATGATGGTGAAGATGAGGCTGTGGATGGCATGGCGGATCGCCGGCCGTACTCGCTTTTTGTGCTGGAAAAGCGGCGATTTGTGGGCTGCTGAGGAGTGGGAGGTTTCGGGTTTGGGGGTCGGTGGGAGGTAGGGTTTGAGGAGTCGTTCACGCTCGCGGGCGGAGAGTCGCCTTCCTTGCTCATCCACGTCGGCGTGGAAGGCTTGAGCGTGACGTGCTCCCACCATGTTATCGGAAGAATGCGGTGGTCGAAAGGTGTGAGTGCATTCGTAGCAAGTGTGGTTTTTGAAAGATTGTGCAACGTCAATGGAGAAAGCGTTGTCGAGGCTGAGAAATTTAGGGTTCGGGACGATGACGAAGGGCCGGCAGCCGAGCCACAGGGCTGACGACCGGTGGGTGCAGGCAACAACTTCAACACCACGTCCAGACATCGCTGCGCCTACTCATCAATCCGTTTTCATGCCTCAACCATATGCAGTACACTAGCATTGTCTTGCGTTCTTGGCGGCTGGTCACCCTACGCCACAGCTGACCTTCAACAAACGACCATCAGCAGCGAATCGCTCCCCAAACAGTCACGTCCATAAGCAACCTCGAACGACCCGACTTCAACCAGCATGCAGTTAACAAGTACTCAGTTCCTGAGAGCCTTCTTCCTCCTCGTCTCAATCCCTTCCTTGGCGGCCGGCTACGCGGCTTACTACTACTCTGAATATGCCACGGTTGGCGTAGTCGTCTTCACGGCGTGGAATGCGATTGGGATATACTGCTCGCGGTGTTCGTGCCATCTTCTCTCTTCACAGACTATTGGACCTGACTGACTGTCCTATTTGACAGATTTGAAAGTGGTCAAGGATCCGGACCCGAGGGAAAAGTATCGTGTGGAGAACGAGGTCGATGAAGCCATTGCAAAGGATGAGGGTCTCGTATAAACGGCTTGCTTTATACCGCTTTCTATGATTTCTCGTGTCGAGATCTCTATGGAGGAGAGGCGACAAGTGAGGTTGTCTATCTCGAACGTGGTGACAGCACTGCTATGTGCCGCATTCTATGGACAGCATATGGCAATCCTCAAGCTCAATTCAGTCACCTCGAGTTGCCGTAAGGCCCAATTTGAGTCGAGCATGACTTGGATGTGCTCTGATCGCCAGATCGGCCATGCATACCCATGAGGTCTCATCCCACCATGACGTGCGACGGATTGAAATTATAATATATCGCTCACAGCTTGTGTTAACTGCGGTTCCGTGAAACCTAATTTCCAACGAGCTCATCACCTCACGAAACTCAGTTCACACCTACACTTTCGCCGAGTCAGGATTATGAGGTACTTTCCACCTCTGATCACATCAGTACCTGCAGCAGCTCGCTCCCCCGCCCCGACCTCGATGAGAATGGCACGGGCAGGCCCGACAACCATCGAATTATTAGCCTTTGTCGTCTCCATCAGCATCCCCGCATGGCTGCTAATAAACAAGTACATCTCCCACCAACGCCGGAGTTGCCGAATGGGTGCTTGGCTCGGTTTTGTTGCGTGGAACGTGTTTGGGTGTTTCCTCATGGCTACCTAGTGCGTGATGTCTGTGTATGCAGGAGTGTTCACGGATCTGACGAGCGCGAGCAGTAGCAGCGAAGCCCGAAGACTTCGACGGGAGAGGCAATTCGTTATGCAGGAGAAAAGATGATCTTTTCACCTGGAATGCTTGGAGTTGATCGAAGCTTTGCGCGGTACTCTCGACAGATCGTCACACAACGACGACGAGGACACTTATTGAACGACCAATAGCGGAGGTGAGGCCCCCTCTGAACAGTCGCCCTTAGCTCTACAATCCTGCTTCCACTCCTCCATCCACGCTTTGACGAAGCGGCGCTCCTCGGCTTGTACAGAGACGATGCGGGGAGGCGGCAATTTCGGGGTTGTTTCGTTCGGGAACAGCGAGTTTTCGTCTTCGTGATGGAGACCTTGTGGGATCATCATGAAGGGCTCGCTGGTGGTGCTATTGCGGGGCGAGGCTCCATATGCTAGCGATCTGTTAGTACTCTACTGCCGAGTGCCGGATTCTACAGATTTGGTAGTACTCACCAAAGGCGTGTGGCGTCGCTGGTCGCCACGGATCCCACTCTCCATCGATAACAGCCAGTCGTGGGTAGTGAATGTCATAGCCTCCGAACTTGTTGACCTCCTCGACATCCGGTGGGTCGGTGATATTGAATGCCTCACGACAGACAGTGCTGAGATACTCGAGATCGAGGGTCCTCGAGATCAGTGACATTTGGTCTTCTGGAACACCCGAGCCAGTGGGGAGGTAGCCCCATTCCGTGCAATATTGATAAGCCCACGAGCGCCAGACGTAGTCCTTCAACTCGTGTTGTTGATAGAATGTAGAGTTCAGATTGGAGAAGCAGTGGTCGTGTGTATGACCTTCATTTTGGCAGACAGACACAGCCGTGAGGTTCATCCAGCCCACGTAGTTGAGAAGCTGATTCACGAGAAGAGGGTCCGCGGTATAGCCGCCGTCTTCGATGACTTCCTCCGCCAGAGATCGCTTGCTTTCCGTCTCGGGGAAGAGGACGACCAAGCTGCTGAGGTTGCGGCAGAATTCGTAGAAGTTGTCCTGTGAAACTTCAGGGTCCCAGTTCAGGCCTTGCCACGACCCGACTCCGGACGACAGTTGGTTCGCAAAGTCGACGTCATGTGTAATGTGGTCCAGGCCGAAGAGATGCTTCAGCTTGTGAATGGATTTCGACTTCTTCTTGCCCATCAAGATATTGTCGGCCATCTTGGTGAACAGCTTTTGAGTTGTCATGCAGAAAGTCGGTCCATACTCCGCCGGAGTTGCATAATATTGCCAGTAGTCCAGGATGGCTTTGGTGACTCCGGCGCTGCTGATGGAGCCCCAAAAGACGTCAGGATACTTCACCCGCAAGAAAGCGGAGATGGACCCGGGGTAAGAGCCGCCGTAGCTGAGATATGCCGTAGTGTGACTTGTGAGATTCTTGTCTTCCAGCCCTGGGAAGACGATGTTCTGAGCAAAGTAGACCTCATCAGCGAGCGCTTGCTCAGTCGTCAAGAAGCGCAGGTTTTCCGTGGACAATGAGTCTGTAGGGAAAGACTGGCCGTAGTAGCGATGCTCTAGCACCACTCCAATGCCATTCGTGGCTTCTGCTAGCTGTGCTAGAATGCCCTTTTGCATGTACACCAGCCGGCTCGTGGCGTCGGTCTCACCAGACTGCAGAACTATGACGGGACCACCGGGAGAGTAGTGAGATGCATCGAGCCAATACCGGTTCTTGAACGTCCCAGATTTGTCTGGTTTGTATCTAGAGCTGTTGGGGAAATGATTGACGGGCAAGTCGATGTGTCTCACAGGATACAGCTCGCTCGGGTCGACATCGTTTGTTTTGATGACATTGGCTCGCTCAATGGCCTGAATGCCAGCATGTCAGCTCTTGTCCTCCCTGACGTGGCCATGGAACTCACCTCTCGTCGGACATGGTGGATGGTCCTGCCTCCGGAGCCGAATGGTAGCCGTCCGTCAATGGCATTCGTGCAGGCAAGGAAGAAGCACACCACGGAGTACGCGGAGCTGTAGAAGGTTTTCATCGGTGCTTCAAGATGACTCTTTGTGAAGTACGCAATGGGTGTCACGAGATACTTTGTCTGTTGTTCTCATCATGGTGACAGTGGAGTAGCATTGATGCCTCAGGCGTCAGTCAGCAGGAAGCTTTGACCCACGCTCGCCGGGGCACGACACTCCACCCCGTAGGCCACTCGAGATGCTTGTCTCGACTACATTGAACCTGCGAGGATTCAGGTTTCCCTGAATTCAACTCACGACCTGGCTATGAAACCGAGCAATAGATGACCTCTCCCCACCCACACCATGGCGCTGCGCAACGCCGTCGAAGCAACCCCATACCAAGCAACCCGATCCCCCTCGCTCCAAACAACGCGCAACACCCAAACCTTCACCCTCGACACCTTTAGCAGCAAAGACTTCATCGTCAAAGACTTTGTCGAATCCCTCTCCGACGCGGCCACCTCGACTCGCCGCTCAGGCCAAGGCCTTAGTTCCACCAATGCCTACCAAGCCAACCAAGCCTTCGACCCAAAGCCCCTCATCCGCACCTTCGAGAGCGCCTTGTCTCGGCTTAAGACGCTGAGTGAGGACTTGGAAAGTCGGGAGAATGAGCTGAGCGGGAGTGTGCGGCGTGCGGAGGGACAGCATAATTCGAATGTCAAGTCGCGCGAGCGTGAACTGGAGAAGGCTATTGATTCATTTCAGCGGCTCGAGAGGACTTTGGATGGCGATGGAGATGTGGGAGGGAATGCGGCGATGAGAATTGGCGAGCGACTGGAAGAGCTGGATCGACAGCGACAACGCGCGCAAGATGCCAAGTTCATTTTGCATTGCTGGCTGGAGGTCAGTGAAAGAGGAGATCTGTCTACGCTGGAAGATGTACGGAAGACTGGTGGTGGGGATGGGAAGGTGAGATGTGCACACATCGCTCGCCAGCTCCTTCGCATCTCTCAGCGAATCGGACCTCAGGTGGATGGAAGCTCGGCACCGCAGACGAATGGCGTGCACTTTGCAAATGGAACGAACGGAGACTCACGCGATCGCTCACCTGGTGGCAACTTGCGAAGAAAAGACGGCAAGACACCGCGCGAAGTCATTGAGAAGTTCTTGGAGATGCTGGAAAAGGATCTCCTCCGCTCGTTCGACGAATTCTACCGACGGCAGAATTTCGATGGCATGAGAGAGTGTGCGACAGCACTGCGCGACTTCAGTGATGGCAACTCGGTCATCTCACTTTTCGTAAATCAACATCAGTTCTTCATCGATCGCTCCCAGCTCGTCACGGAAGAGCTGACCACGGATACGGACACCTGGGATCGACTGGCCGATCCTGATGTCGATCCGCCAGGAGTGGAGCCAAGCCTGCAGTCTTTGATCGACGAGGTGAAGATGGTGGCGCAGGAAGAGAGCTTCATCATCAAACGCGCTTTTCCATACTACGATGAAGTGCTGGCTCGCTTCATTCAGCGTGTGTTCCAGCAGTCGATTCAGCAAAGATTGGAGATGGTGCTGAACAAAGCCGACGACGTCTCGTCGCTTGCTTTTCTGCGGTCCTTGCAAGCCTCGAGGTCGTACATCGCCGCCCTGGTCGAAGACCTGAAAGCTCATGGTCTGACCGAGCATCCCGAGCCCGTCTCATCGGTCATTGCTGCCGTGCTCGATCAACAGCTTGACGAGCTTTTTATCCCCTACTTCACTGGCTCTTCCTACATCGAACGGGAGAAGCGCAATCTGAGCGAGCTTTGCGAAGGCTTGCTCTTCAAATTCACACTTTACCATTCGAAGCGGCGAAAAGGGCAGGCGTCTTCGAACACCTATATCACAGCGATCTCGCAACGAGCGAAAGATTGGACAAGCAATGCCCGGGAAGTGTACACGGAGAGACTGAACAACATGGATCTGCCGGAGAACCAGAAACGCATCATGCTTCGGGTTGCGAGACTTGGCGAGAAAGACCACGCTAATCTCAAGAGCGAAAAGGACGTTGATGTCACCGACGAGGATGGGCAGCTCAGCTTACCATTCACTAAGCGTATGCTCAGATGGTTGGCAGAGGGAGTGGGTAGGGGCTTGGAGCTGACTGGTGGCGGCAACGAAACACCAAAGGAAATGCGAGAGCTCCATCAGCTGCTGATTGCCAACATGGGTGAAATCTACCTCGAAACAGCGCTCGACGCAGCAAACGACGCCGCAACAGCCGCCGAATCCAACATCCGAAGCGAACCCGACTTGACCTACATCACGGACCTGCGCTCCGCCATCAGCGTGCTCCACCTCATGCTGACCACCATCCAAGTGCTCCTCCTCCCCCTCGCCGCCAGCAACCTCACCGTCCACCGCGAGCTCGAAAAGCGCACCAACGATTTCATCGAACGCATGGAAAACAAAATCGACGCCATCCTCCAACGCACCATCGACATCGCCATGACCTGGACCTCCAAACTCCTCTCGCAACAACGCAAAATCGACTTCCGCCCCCGCGACGACACCAATCTACAACTCGACCAGCTCCAAACCCCCACATGCCAACACGTCGTCACCTTCCTGTCCCGTCTGCAGTCGCGCGCCAGCACCGCACTCTCCGGCCGCGCCCTCGAATCCTTCAGCCTCGAGCTCGCCCTCGGCCTTCGCACACTACTAGTCGCGCACTTCAAATCCTACCAAGTCAGCCTGACGGGCGCCCTGCTCGTCAGCAAGGACATCACGCGCTACATCCAGCTCTTTCGCAGCTGGAACCTGCCCATGTCGTTCGAGCCGAGTCTCGAGGTGCTGACGGAGATTGCGAGTATTTTCGTCATTGGGCCGGAGGCTTTGCGCGATCGGTTGCGCAATGTGGGCGGTGGGGGCAGTGGGGGATTGCAGGGGGTGGAGAAGACGGATTTAAGGCCGTATGTGTTGCGTCGGGAGGATAGTGGGACGATTGGAGTGCAGGCGGTGCTTAACGCTTTGTGATGTTGTCTGTTGTTGTTGTCGACTAGGAATTCTATGATACCCTTTACTTTGCGCGAGGCTCTGGGCTGATGAGATCAGGACACTGTCCGGCTTTCACGTTCGCGCCTGCCTGTGCAGCTCATGTGAGCTGATGGCACCTGACCCTAATCGCAACCGCATGGGGGCTTTGCTTGTCGATACTTGTCACATACGACCTGCCCGACTCAACAAGCCGCACTGATGAGCAAGATTGTTTCCAGACTTCGCTGCTTCGTTCAAGGGCCTTCAAGATTTCCTTATCGACAAGTGAGCGCAGACTCCGCCAACAACACCGACAGCTTTCCTCGCCCACCACCGCCGTCATCCTCCAGCCGACAGTGCACCCTCACCACAACTCCGTCATGTCCTCGTCGAAAGTTACCAAAGAGCTCAACAAGACCTCCGACAGACAAGGCGTCCATGAAGCTATCAGAGAGCCAGCGGATCCCTTCAAAAATGAGCCCAAGCCAAGGGAGTCGAAGCGCAAGCGTGAAGACCACGATATCGGAAGGCGCGCCGTCCACCATTTGCAGCGGGCGATCCAACGGCCAGATGAGCGGCGACCGTCACCGGAAAAGGAGGACGGTGGTGAAGAAGATGAGAACTCGATTCCTTCGGAGATGGCGAAACTCATACAGGAGAACAAAATGTTGAAGGGCCGGAATTTTATGCTGGAGCGGAAAATGAAGGAGGTGGCGGAGCGCAATGAATTTCTGGTCGAGCGAGCCTGCCGTCTCGATCACCCAGAGCAAGCGACGAACGAGCAGCGACGGCGTAGCCCGGAGCACCAAATCCAACCAGAGACCGACTCCGAGTGTGGCCGTTCACAGCGAGCAGTCAACACGCGGTATGAGTATATGGAAAACCGATTCCTCATTGGGGAGCATGTCAGGAACATGCATGGATGCATTAACAACTTCAACGAATAAATACAAGGTTCCGGGTCTGAAATCGATTCCGAGAAAACCAAGATCCGCGAGCACGCTGTGCACATCGAATCCAAACTCAAGAGAATAGACGATCACAACGAGGCGTTAGTGGCGCGCATCGAAGGTTTAGAAAAGATGCTTCGGCGGTGCCTAGTTCCGGAGAACACGATGGTTCCGCAAACAGACAAAGCAGCGGCACCCATCACGGCTCAAGGCCAGGCAGAGAACGAGCACTTAGATGACGTACTCACGCCAGCTGCAATGATGCGTCAATTCGCCGTTTTCATGGATCTTCTCGCTTCCTCGAAGTTCTCCAGGATCTCCTCTGCTTTTTGCGCGAGGCTGCAGGGGGTCGATTAAAGTTTCGCGCCCGTGCATGCGGGTAGCAGCCTGATGCGCGCTTCACCACATCAACGGCACGAGATCTTTAGCTTTTGTGACCTGTCATTTACCCCTCTTCAGCACGCGGCAAAGATGCATCCATTTCCTCTCATACGTCCTTGGTCAATCCTCCCTCGCACCTTTCATCTGGCAAAGTCATCAAGAGAGGCGTTTGACCACAGTTCAAAACCTGACGCTCTGGAGACAGCACATCATCGAGCTGAGAGCGCGTATCCAACGGTAGCACAGCATCTAGCTTGCAATCCCGTTCCCCCTGCGGTGACACAGCTTCCATAGATACCAGACTCCACTCTACTCTACCTTCAGTCAACATCCACGAGCTCCGAGCGCCGTCTCCATCCATCAGTACACCACTCTCAGCCAGCCCATCATGGCATCCAACCCAGCAAGCCCCAAGCAGCAACGTATGACAAACGTCAAAGGCATCCTGAACCGGCTGTGCAAACTGGAAGAGCTGCTTGGCGATGACGAACTTCTCGGCGGAGTCGACATGTGCAGAACCATTGACGAGTTGAACGGCAAATTCAACTGGCTGGAGCCGGAGGTGTTCGCGCGTGGGCGTGAAGATCGTAAGATCGGGAAAGAGCTTGAGGGGCTGCAGCGCGTTACTGTACGTCAGCGGGAGAAGATTGATGAGTTGGAGGAGCAGGTTCAGGTGCTGAAGGGGCAGTGGACTTCGGCTTCACCACGATGGATGGAGCGTGTGGAGCAGTTGGAAGCGCTCGTTGCGCGGTGCGATGTGTTAGAGGGAGAAAAGCAGGAGCTGGCAGTGCGCGTCGGTTGTCTTGAGAAGGAGAAGAATGGGCATGCAGAGCGGATCAAACGACTGGAGCGGAGGGCGGACAAACGAATGGCTAATATTGGCCTCCCGGTCCCGGAAGTCGCAACGAGCAAACATGCAGACCTCGTCGATGAATCAAGGCAGGCAGCGAGCAAACAACCCGATCGTGTCCCAGCTCCGCCACCGAGAAGCAATGCGCAACCGAGCGCAGCCGGCAGACCCCCCGCGAGCGTGAAGCAGGCGTATGCAACACCATTTACATCCCTCATCGAATCAGTCTCAGTTTTGACAGCACGGGTCGATCGCCGAGAACACGCAGACGATCAGCAATGGAATTCAGTGCGTGCCCATATCGGTCAGTTGCAGAACGCGAACACCGCGCACGTTACGGTAACGCAGACAGTTAACGGCCGGCTTGAGCAAATTCACAACCGCACCGTGCTGCTGGAGAAGAAAGCCGGGCAGCTGGCAGAAAGCGTGCTAAAGTGTAGCGATCAGCTCGAGGAAGAGTCGAAGGCTTCGCTGGCAGCAGAATGCAATGAGCGCATCGATGCGTTGACTGCCTGTTTCGATGAGTCCGAGCGAAGTCGAAAGTGTTTAGAGGACGTGAATGAGAAGCGTCTCGAGACGTTGATTGGAGACAACGCCCAGATGACCGAGCGTACGAAACGTATTGAGGCGGCCCAAAAGGATCAACAGCTCGGCCTTCCGGAGCGAATGAATGAAGAGCTCGATGCCGTGAAGAAGCAGCTGGAAATCTTGGCTGCGACTGTCGGAGACAACAACCTGGACATTCAGCAGATGAAAACAAGCGTGGAATCGCTGGACAAGCGAATCGATGTTTCCAGTGAGGACTGTCAGGAGCGGGCGAAGCAAGAGTGCCAAGTGCTGGAGCAGAGATTGCACGAGCGCTTGCACAAGGCGGAAAAGTATCTTAAGAGTCTCAAGCACAAGGGAGAGGCGGAGGTCACGCGAGTGGATGGCTTGGCTGCGCGTATCGAGGCTCAGCGGCAGGAAGAGAGCGGGCGATGGGCGAACTTAGCTGCACACATTGGATCTCAGTCGGTGGCAGAGGAAGCGCAGTCGGACGGGCCATCTTCGCGAATCGTTCCTCAGCGGCAGGCAGAGAGTGAGGGGGTCGATGACTTATTCACGCGTGTTGCCAGTCCTGATGTGGCCGCAGCTTCTAGACCGACAACCGAAGCGGTCACTCACCCAGATCGAGAGATTCCAGATCCAGAGTTCGTCGATGAAGCCAGCGAGGCGGATGACATGCGCACATCGACCACCCGAATCACGAGAGCGACGACATCTCATCATCGGACGCCGGTGACCGAAGCCATGGACACTGTCGCATCCCGCGACTCGGAGCATGCAAGCCCGCCCTACAGTAGGCCAACTCGAAGGGAAAGGGAGATGAAGAGCCTCAAAGATAGCTTAGGTTGGACGCAAGCGATAGAGCGTATGCGGACGGTCGATACGGAGATGGCGGACGCGGACGTGACGGATGCGAGCGAAGGCCCACGTCGCAGCGCGCGTGAACCGAAGCCAGTCGAGCTCCCGGGCGACATGTTGGATTGGCATGCAGCTCGAGAACGGATGAAGGGGCAGCGGTCGGAGGCAGACGTGCGGAGTAGAGAGAGGCCGCGCAAGATCATCGCGCATGCCCCACGCAAGGCCGTCACGTCATGCAAGACTACACGGGACAAGTCGACTCGAGGGAAAGTGCCGAGACCAAGGAGGTGCACGGAGAAGCGCAAGTGTGGCAAAGGCAGCGGTTGATGAGAATCGATGGTCGTCGGCGCATTGCTCGTATCTTGGTTGCCTTGAGAGCGGAGTTCTGTAGCTCAGCCGGGTAGGGAGACGTATTGACGCACTTCTTGCATTGGAGTAGGGGAAATGTTGCGTCGGACAATGTCTTCGCTTTCGATGATCTCCTTCCTTCTCCAACTGCGTGCGCGGAACGGCAGGGGTTAGTCGTGCCTGAGAGACGCTTTGGTCGTTGCGCAAGGCTACAGGGGTGCATTAGAGTTTCGCGCGGCTGCACGTGTGCGGCACAGCCTGATGCAGCTGCACGTTCATCACATCTCCTCACACGGGAGCTTCGGCATTTCGAACCTGTCGCATACCCCTCTCCAGCGGAGCGCCACTACGATACCAGATGAAAGCATCTTCCACCCCGCTCGGTCAGTTCTTCTTTGAACCTTTCATCCGAAGTCTTCTTCAAAACGTCGAGGTCAGGGTGTACCGGTGGGAACGGAGCATCGAGCTAGCAGCAGGTATCCGGCGGTTACACAGCACCGGGAGCTCGACCCCTGCCAGTGGCGCCGCGTCAAAAGATCCCCAGCCTCTGCCTGTCGCCACCCTTCAAGTCCCGAATTGCAACATCCGGCAGTGCACCACGCCCAGCCCATCATGGATCCAAATAAAGACCCTATGCGCTGGCTCATTACGAGCATGGAAGGTGTCCTGCGCCGGATGGGCAAATTGGACTACCTGATCTACGTCGACAAGAAATTCACCGCTTTCGACGCCATGAATGGCGAAATTCAGGTGCTTCAGAAAAAGGTGCTCACCCGGGAGGATGAAGACAAAAAAGCCCTGAACAAGCTTACGGCCAAGGACATCCAAGTGGAGAACCGGCTTCTGTTCCTGGAAGGCAGGGACAAGCCGAGCATAGCACAATGGACGGAATGCGTTCGGCACTTGGAAGCGACTGTTGCGCGGTGCATTGCTTTGAAGGAGGAAAAGGACGAGCTGGTGGATTGCGTCGCTTCTCTGAAGCAGGAGAGAGATGCGCAGGGCGCGGGCATTCCACTGCTGGAGCAGAAGATACAACGGCAGACGGCCGCCATTGAAGCTCTAGTGGATGCGAAGAGCAAGCATGCGAAGTTGATTGCGTCTCTGGAGCAGGACAAGAACACGTCAACAGAGCGGATCGGTCAGCTGGAGCAGCAAACGACTGATGTCGAAAATCTGAAGCGCGAGCTGGCGAAGTTGATTGCATCTCTGGAGCAGGACAAGAGCATGCCCCCCGAGCGGATCGGTCAGCTGGAGCAGAAAGATGTCGAGCACGAGACTCGTCTCACATCGCTTGAACAGACGCAGTGCGAACAAGCGGAGACGACAAACAAGCAGACAGCTGATCTGAAGTCTCTCAACGATGCGAGGAGCGAACATGCGGAGCTTATCAGTCAGCTACAGCAGAAGAATGTCGAGCAACACCAGGATGGTCTCAGGGCTCTTCACCATGAACAGTGGCAACAATCGGGTCAGATGAGTCGTCTAGCAGAGACAACAAACAACCAGATGGCCGATATCAGATCTCTCAACAAAGCGAGCAGCGACCATGCGGAGCTTATCAGTCAGCTGGAGCAGAAGAATGTCGATCATGAGGCTGGTTTCAGAGCTTTTCACCAGACACAGTGCGATCAAGCGGATCAGATCAATCGTGTGGCAGAGGCAACAAACAACCAGACGGCCGATATCGGATCTCTCCACAAGGCGAGCAGCGACCATATGGGGCTTATTCGACAGCTGGAGAAGAAGAACGTCGAGCATGAGGCTGGTCTCAGGGCTTTTTACCAGACACAGTACGGTCAAGCGGGTCAGATCGGTCGTCTAGCAGAGACAACAGACAACCAGACAGCCAATATCGAGACTCTCGACGTGGCGAGGAGAGACCATTCGGAGCAGATTAGTTGGCTGCAAGAGAAAGACGTCAAGCTCGAGACCGCTCTCACGTCTCTTGAGCAGACGACGCAAGGACATGCGAATCAGATCTCCGAGCTCGCGCAGACAGCAAACAACCGGTCGAATGTTGACTTTCTCGACGGAAAGAGCACCGAACATGCGAACCTTATCAGTCAGTTGCAGCAGAAAGGTGTCGAGCACGATGATGGTTTCAAGGCCCTTGAGCAGAGGACGCGCGAACACGAGGTTCGTGTCTCCCAGCTAGGACAGACAGCAGACAACCAGACGGCCGGAATCAAATCTCTCGACGAGACGAGGACCGAGCATACGAACCTTATCAGTCAGTTGCAGCAGGGAAGGAAAGAGCAAAGCGATCTGATCCAAGCGCAGGGAATGCGACTGACTGCAGTTGCTGCGCTTCTGGAGCGGCCAACTCCAAATGAACCAGAGGACGAGCAGTACACCACACGTGCACTTCCCGAGCTGTTGCAGCAGCCGACAACCAGCCAGCAACCGGATGATGATGATACGCATGACATTGCACTCCCGCACCAGGCGTATGAAGCGCATTTTGCATCTCTCCAGGAAACGATCGAGGCATTGGCTGAGAGTTTCGATGCTTGGACACAAGAAGGCGATGAACATTTTGGTGCCATCGATGTCCGTCTAGGCTCTCTAGAGAGTGCTAGGCCAGCGGAGCACGATACCCGGTTCAGCCTTCCAGAGGGGAGCATTCGGCAGGTTGCGGAGGGCTTGCAGAATCTTATTGCATCTTCAAAGCAAGAGTTGGTCGCAGAATGGAAGCAGCGCATCGACGTGCTGGCAGCACAAATTAAGGATGCCGAGCGACAGAGGAAGTCTGCAGGACGGATGAACGAGGATGTCGGTCCGATGAAGACGCAGATAGAAGATTTGGTTGCTGCCGCCGCGAACAACGCCTCCGAGGTCAAGCGAGCGAACGAAAGCGTTACTTCGTTGGAGACGCGTATCGATACGTTCGGTTCGCAGGGGCGAGAGCAGGCACAGCGAGATGACGAAGCTCTGGAACAGAGACTGAGTGCCCGACTGCTTTTGGCAGACGAAGTTCTTGAAAAGAAACTCGGTGCTCGACTGCACGTAGCAGAAGAGACGGCCAAAGAGCTGACGGTAGCCAAAGAGCGACTTGATGAATTGTCTTCCCGCATCGAGCCTGAGATGAAGGCGGAGAAAAAACGGCTAGATGCAGTGGAGAAGCTTGTCAAGCACCATAGGCACACACGAGAGATCAAGCGCCTGGACGATTTGACGGAGCTTGTTGCGTCGCGCTTCTCGGCGCGGGAAAAACGGGTTGGCGAGCTGGGTGCCCACATCAGCACTCAGGCACGGGAAGATGGGGACAAGCAGCCCATCGAGACAGACAACCCGGCGCAGAAAGGCAAGCGAAATGAGTTGAATGAGCGCGCTGCGCCCCGAGAACCGGGAGGAAGCAAAACCCGGAGCTCAATGGCCAACACTGGGGCAGACGCGTCTTTCAGACGTACCCCTGAACCCACGCCTGCCCTCCAATCCGCATATAACAATCGCGATCGCGAGGTCCTCGACGAAACCACTAAAGCTAAGGGCATGCGGAGACCGACCGGAACAATTGCGCGGACGAATGGTTGTCAACTCACTACGTTGCTAGTGGACACGATGGACGCGATGATGGAAGATGCCGGTGAGGAAGCGTCCGGTTCACAGTCGACTGGCGAGGAGTCGTACAATGAGGATTCTACGTCGGATGAGGAGTCTTCTGCCGAGGACTCAGCCAACAAAGAGCCGCGTCGAAGCGCACGTCAACCAAAGCCGATCGAAACTCCTGCTGGTATGGTGGATTGGAAGGCTGCAAAAGATCTGGCAAAGCAGAGGAGGCAACAGCTTTCTGCATCTGCAAAGTTGTCCAAGGAGAATGCAGCGCAACGCGAAGAGTCTTCCAACGAGGAGTCGGCCAACGAAGGGCCGCGTCGCAGCGCGCGTCAGCCAAAGCCGATCGAAACTCCTGCTGGTATGGTGGATTGGAAGGCCGCGAGAACTCGAGCAAAGACGAGGAGGCACCAGCTTTCTGCGCTTGCAAAGTCGCCGAGTAAGAATGCCTCGCCGGGCGAAGAGTCGTCTGACGACGAGCCGCGTCGAAGCGCGCGTCAGCCCAAGCCGGTGGGAGTCCCAGCTGATATGGTGAATTGGAAGGCTGTCAAAGATCTGGCCAAGCAGAGGAGGCAGGTGGAGAGGCCGATGCAGGAGGCTGCTTCCCCAAAGCGCAGAGGAAGGCCACGCAAGATCGTGACAGATCCATCTGGGACAAACCCGCGGCGCAAGATCATCGCGTCTAGCAAAGCCATACCACATCCAGTCACGCGTCTAAGCTGCATGGAGAAGGGGGCACCGCGCGGAGGCCGCGGTCGACGGGGATGAGCAGTAGTTGAGAATCGCTCGTATTCCGGCTGTACATATTCCGGTTGTACATCTTTCGGTTGTCTTCAACAGATTGCAGTGCGTCATCTTTGACAAATGCCGCACCTGGTTCAGAACAAGGCAGCAGCTCCACCTCGTGAGAGGGTGGTCCTGGGCGGGCAGTCGTGGGGGCCTCCTACACATGCAGGAAGGGCACATGCGGCACCTGATGGCAGGCGGTTCGCTCCATCTCGTTAGAGACGTGCCATTTCTGCAGTGTAAAGTGAAGGTGTCGATGCGGAGAGGTGAAGATGTCTGGAAGAAGACTGAGAAGGAGATGAAGTCCAGTCCTGTTGTGCTGTGAAATACGCCCACGGAGCAGGCTGTACACGCGACAGGTCTGCCATCTGCTGTCTTTCACGTCCACCCGCGCAATGAAGTTCTACAGAGCTGTCTTGTGTAGTTCATCTTCTAATTCTCGCCGTCTACCCTGTATCCTACAACTGGTATCACAAACGCTCAATGCTAAGGTAACGGAACAACAGACACGTCGGCCCACTCCAAGACACATCACTTCAGCTCCGTCTTGCCCAGCACGTCCGCCAGCTCGTCGACCTCCTTGTCCTTGGTTTGAGCAACAGGCTCGTCCTCCGCGATCTCCGCATCCTTCACAATCTTCGCTTGCTCCTCGTCTTCCTCATCCTCAGCTTCGTCAGCTTCCTCTTCGCTCTCATCTTCATCCTCCATGTCCTCCACACTGATTCCCCAAGCCTCGTCATCGTCCTCGTCGACCCCGGGATACTCGTCCGCTTGATCTTCCTTTCGTTTGCGAAGAATCTCCTCGAATTGTGCAACTTCCGGCAACTCCTCGGAGAAGGTATTGCCGTCCAGTTCGACGCGGCGTAGTCGCGGCAATCCAGAACCTGAAGCCGCGGTGACGAGTGCTGTCAGACCCTTGCCGTCGATTTCATTGTACTGCAATCTCAGCACTTCGAGATTCTTGTTGCCGCCCTTTGCCAATGCATCTCCCAATAGTCTGCCTCCTCGCGCACTCAAGAGACAATCGCCGACGCCGAGCTCTTTCAACTTCGTCCACCGCTCCACGACGTTCGCCAACGTCTGTCCAGCCAGCACAGTAAACGTGTTGTCCTGCAAATCGAGCACCTCCAGTTGAACACAGCTCGACAATCCATGCTGAAGCAATTGCGCCACTCCCTCCTGTCGAATCCCATTCTGCACCATCTTGACCGTCTTCACTTTGTCGTTCGCCTGGTATGCCTTGACCCAAGCCGCCATGCTGCCCGTCTCCAACCGATTGCGTCCACACACCACCGTCTCGAGATCCGGAACACTCTTCCCCTCCTTCCTCGCCTCCGCCTTCCTCCCAGCAAGCTGCTCCAGCGCCTCAGCAACTAGTGTACCAGCCGCAGGCCCCAACCCATTATTGTTGAGAAACAAATGCTGCAAAGGCGTATGCCGACTGAGAAAAGGCCGCAAAGGCTCAACAGTATTCAGGCCAAACGCATTATCGTTCAAATTCACCGTGTGCAACTTGGGACACTTCAGCAGGGCGGTGAGGAGCGCATCGAGCGCCTGCGGGATCTCGGCGAGTAGTCGGCCGGTGAAGATGTCGGCGAGGTTGGCGTACTGCAGGGTGGTCTTGGTTTCGAGGATGCGCGCGAGGGCTTGCGAGGCTTCGACACCGATGGTGTTGCCTTCGAGGTGGATCTCCTCTACGTCGCTGCTTGCCTCTAGAGCTTGGGTGTGTTTGTGCAGGTCGGCGGCGGTGTCGAGTTTGAGTGCTTGGCCGCGGAGGGAGAAGACTTTGGACATTTTGGGTAATGTGCTTGGGCAAGGATTGTTGTTCTCAAAGGAGTTGAGGCGTGCAGGAAGTTTCCACTCAGTGCGTGCCACAATAGTCGTCAAAATGTCAATGTGGGAAAAAGTACAGCTCGGTGTAAACAATTATGGAGGCTTTCAAACGGGCGAGCTTCCCGGCGCAGGGCAACGTGCGCCAAGTCGTGCACGAGGGAGATCGGGAATTTGCTTATGTAATGTGAGCGCGGGCCATTCCTGAACATCACTGACGTCCTCTTAAGGAATTTGTAAGTCAACATCTCCAACTCTTGTGACAATCCACACGTCGCCAAAATGTCAGCGCAAGCACTGAAATCAAGCCCAACAGGCTCGTCGAACTCTACCATCACCCATGCCCTGCATAACTAACATCCAAATCCAGGCCAAATGCAACCCAACAACCTCGCCGCAGACGTGAAAGCGCCCAACTCCAGCGACAAGCCCAAGGTACGTCTGCGCTCCAGCTTCATCGCGCACTTCCCTTCCACACGATCGACCTGACTGACGAGTCGCTCCAGCCCTGCTGCGTATGCAAAGACGAGAAACAGGCGCGCGACGAGTGCATGCTCTTCTCCACCTCCGCCGATCCGCAAGCTGCGTGTCAAGATTTGGTGGGCAAGTACAGGAGTTGTATGGCGGGGTTTGGGTTTAATCTTCCGTGAGAAAAGAGATGGATTAAGAGGTAGGGGGCGGGGTGGTGTATATTAAATTGGCATGGGTGGCGTTTTTCGATGAAGAGACATTATGGGCGAGCATTTCGCGTGGCGAAGGATAGCATGGGATGTTGCAGTGAGGGCTTTTCATTTGTGCTAAAATCTCTATGCATACAAGGGAGAGACCTGTTCTCTGCGATGTGCAGATGTCACGGGTCATCTCATGCTTTTCGTCCACCTTGCAGTGCACCTGAAAGGCGTCATTGCCGCTTGCGATCATCATCCAGCTTTTCCTTCTTCACAAGACCAAGATCTTGCAGTATACCACTCTCAGACAGCAGTCGCCACAAGCACCACAAGTAGCAGACGCCAAAACCCGCAGCGCCAACGCAGACATTCGCCACCACGAACAGATCCGGCTTGTTCGTCGGCGGCAGGAAGAAGGCCTCGACGACGTGCCAAGCGATGCATGCAAGGTAAGTCCCGAGATGCAGAATCTTGGCGAACCAATGCAGCCCCGCACCGTCCGGAGTAGCAGAAGCGGTGTACAACTCGAAGCTGACGGGAGGGAGGCCGAGGAGATAGGCGAAGACGAGGCTGAGAACGAAGTACGGGATGCGCAGTCCGTCCCGCACGAGAAGGGGGAAAAGAGTCCAGCAAGCCAGGATATTTGCGTAGCCCACCCAAGCCCTGGTGGAGGGTTTCATCCCGCCTTCAGACGCCAGTAGCATGGTCATGGGGAGAAGGGGGAGCAGCACGTTCTTCTCGTGCACCTGGTACGAGCAGAGGAAGAAGCCCCACGCTGTCACTGCTAGGGCAAGGGGTGTGAGTACCTTCTTGGGTTTGAAGAAGATGATGGTGCATGGCGGCAGGATGGAGAGGAGGGTGAGGCCGAGAGCTGCGCGGGAGAGCAGAGAGGAGGAGTAGTTGTGCAGTTTGTGCACGCCGGAGCTGTGGATTGCGCACCAGATGTTGGCGACCTTGTCTTCGAAGAGGCCGCGCGAGAAGGGGAAGATGCGGTGGATTGATTGGGCCAGCTGGAGCACGTAGGGGTAGTACCACGCGGATTCCGCAAGGTCGAACGGTAGGGCCGAGAGGAGAGGTGGGAGTTGAATGTCGGTGGGTAGTGGTACGTTTCGGCGGTTGTCGTAGAGAGTTCCCAGTAGTAGTGGGAGGTAAAGCAGGGCGAAAGACGCCAGTGTCGTGGCCGCAATGCAGATCAGACGGAACAGCCTGATTCGTGGGAATAAGCATGATCCAGCAAGATAAGCGGCAACGGCAGGCGCGTAGAATAGAGCCATCTGTTTGAAGCCCAGTGCGGCGACAAAGCATACGCAGCTCCAGAGTGGCCGGCCAGCGAGCATGTTGGACATGGAAGCGAGCACAAAGCCCAGCATGACAGTGTTGTATTGGAAATGTCCGTGGTCAATGAGCATGGTAGCAGGCTGCATCAATATCGCAGTCAAAGCTATCGACAGCTCCCACGGATTGATGTTATGCAGCCTGGCCATATGTCTCCCGCATATGACAACAGCAGGGACGTAAACCAGATACTCCGACACCATGACCGTCGCGCGCATGAACACCTTCAGATCCGCATCATCCAGGGCTCGCGAGAGATACAGCGCGAACCAGTCGGGATTGATCAGCGATCCAACCTTGCCCAGGATCCAGCTGTGATATGCCGTCAAAGGCGGATAATCCAGACCCCACCACTGCAGGTCATGGAAATACCAGTGGGTCATGGGCAGGCCGACTGTGATCTCCAGCCAATGCCGCTGTGCCTCGAAGTCGCCATGCATAGGCGGTTTGCGATAACCCGAATATGGCCAGATGGCGGTGCACCAGCGGAAGAGGCCAACGACCATGAAGATACAGGATAAGATGACCCATTGGGAGGTGGCAGTTCGCGCGGGCCAGAAGAAAGCCACGAGGGGGAAGGCGGGCTTTTCTTGTTTGGACTGGACATCGATGGCGACGGTTCCGTTGGAGCTGTTGGAAGAGATGTCCGCTCTCCGCTTCTTGCGCGGCTTGTGGGATGAGGGCGTGGACGGCATCTTTTGAATGGAGCACGGAGACGCGTTACCGAGACATTCCTATTGATTTGTTCCGCTGTCGAGGATGGGTGCGGTGTGACCAGTCTGGCACGCGATGAGTCCGATGCTCTAGTTCGTGAAGCGTACAGCTACGGTGCGTCGTGTGTTGTCGAGTGTATTCAGGCGAGGCTATACGTCTTCTGCACGCATTGAAGTTGGGACGTGGCCACGGAGGTGAAATCACGGCCAATCAAGCGCAAGCTGGCTGGGATCAGGCGTCAGGGATCGCAAGGAGCTTGGGCCACGCGCGACACTAGCGCAAAAGAAAAAAAGTTCTTAGACTCGGAACTTTTCTGCCAGCCTCCCCTCCCATCGACACTCTTCTCTCCCATCACCAACAGAGGTTCTACTTTCCACACCTCGTTTTAAACTCGTTTCCATCACTACTGAGGGCATCGGAGCGAGACATCGCTAGAGGGGATACTTGACAAGCACAAATTTGGTTCGTGGGCTCTTCATCTCTTCACGTCCTTGCGCCGTGAACGAGTCGCTTGCTTTGTGCGCATTGCATCGCACTCCGTCTACTAGTGGGCTTGATCAAACGTCGTTGGCACGTCGGGGCTTCTTGTGGGAACACGCCGCCTCGACTGCAGCGACCAGTGGGCATCTCGTGGTCGGTCACGGTGTCACGTGTGGGCAAAAAGAACCCCTCACTCGCGTGGGGCATTCTTCTCGTGGGCTTCAGTCACTGCCGGTGACATCATTGAGGACTTGTCGAGGGCTTGTAACGACTTTGCTTCGTTCGTGGGCTATTGTCACTGCTGGCTGTTTGAGAGGAGAGACGCTATCGCTGCGGCGGGACTACAAGAGTAACATACATTTGAGGGGAGGCTTCATACTGACCTACGCATAGACATTCCTCATAAATCTTCAGCAATGGCCAAAGACAAGAAGGGCAGCAAGACTGCCGCACCCAAGGCGGATGTGGCCAAGCCACTGGAGAGCGTCAAGGCTGGTCGCGTGACCAAGCCGCTTGAGCAGGCAAAGGCTGCCGCCAAAGACACTGCCAAGAAGGCTGCCGGTGGGGTTGAAAAGGCCGCCAAGAAGGTCAAGAAGGCCGTTGAGCCCGAGTCGGAGTCTTCGGACGATGACTCGGATGCCAGCTCTGTCGGGACCAGCGACAGCTCCGAGAGCAGCGACGAAGAGGTTGACACCAAGGCCGGAGCCAAGTCGAAGGGCAAGGTCAATGGCAAGGCTGCCAAGGCGGCTGAAAGTGACAGCAGCGAGGAAGACTCGGACGAATCCGACAGCGACGAGGAAGTCGCTCCCAAGAAGGCGGCAAAGGGCAAGGTCAATGGTGCTGCCGCCGCCAAAGACGATGACAGTGATGACAGCGAAGAAGACTCTGACGAGTCCGACAGCGACGAGGAGGAAGCTCCCAAGACAAACGGCAAGGCTGCTGCCAAGGACGACGATGACTCCGACTCCGACTCCGATGCCGATTCCTCCGACGCATCTTCTGACGATGATGAGGAAGAGGAGGCCAAGCCTGCCCCCAAGGAGACCGGCAAGAAGCGCAAGGCCGAAGATGCCATCGACTCGACGCCCAAGAAGCTCAAGGCTGTTGTCGAGGGTGAGGAGAAGGATGCCACCAACAACTTGTTCATCGGCAACCTCAGCTGGAACATTGACGAGGAATGGCTCTACCGTGAATTCGAGACGTTCGGCGACTTGAAGAATGTGCGCATCATCACCGACCGCGACAGCGGCAGGAGCAAGGGATACGGCTACGTCGAGTTCAACTCTACCGAGAAAGCCTTGGAAGCGCTCGAGGCCATGCAGGGCACGCTGCTCGACGGTCGCAACCTCCGCGTCGACTTCAGCGTCCCTCGCCCCGCTCGCGACGAGAACGCCACGCCTCAGCAGCGCGGCGCCGATCGTGCCCAGAAGTACGGCGACACTCCCAAAGAGCCCAGTGCGACTTTGTTCGTCGGCAACGTTAGCTTCGATGCCGACGAGTCGATGATCACCGAGCTCTTCCAGGAGTACGGCACCATCAACGCCGTCCGCTTGCCCACTGACCGTGAGACCGGCGCCATCAAGGGCTTCGGCTACGTCGAGTTCTCCAGCATCGACGAGTCCAAGGCCGCCTTCGAGGCTCTGCAGGGTGGTGACCTTGCCGGCCGCTCGATGAGACTCGACTACTCCACCCCGCGCAGCAACGACTCGCCCGCTGGCGGTCGCGGCGGCGGACGCGGTGGACGCGGCGGTTTCGGCGATCGCGGCGGCCGCGGCGGCTTCGGCGGACGTGGCGGTGGACGCGGTGGTTTCGGCGACCGTGGTGGCCGTGGCGGTCGTGGTGGAGGCGGCAGCTTCCGTGGCCGTGGCAACACGACGAACCGTGGTGGGTTTGGCGACTTCTCAGGCAAGAAGGTGACTTTCTAGGAGGAAGATGGCCAGAGCGGGAAGCAGCCTCAGAAGGGTTCGGGGCGTGGGGGCCGCGGCGGTCGCGGGGGCTATGAGAAGGGGTCGAAGCGTGGTCGTGGTGGCTCTGCTGCCGTGTTTTCGGGGACGAAGATCTCGTTTTAGAGGTTTGATGTTCTTGAGAGTTGCGCTCGGGGTCTGACGATGCTCTTTGACGCTTCCGCTCTCGCAAACAGAAAAGTGTTTTTCATACCGGTGGCGATGGGTTTGCTGGAGTTCGGTGGGCATGGAAGGAGTGGCTTACTGTACCGTGGGTAATTGGAAGCTGTATTCAATTTCCTTGTGCTGGTCACTTCTTGCTTCAACATCTTGTCAAGTGTGTCACGTCAATCGTCCGCGCGAGTGATGCTGTAGAATCTGTTCGCCTTCAAAATGTATGAATTAGATGGTTTCAGACGCCTGCTGGGAAGTGCCAGCCTCGGGCGCTGCTATACATTCACCCGCTCTAAGAAATCCGAAGAACCATCTCCGCCCATCACACACACCCAAACTCCAATGAGATCACCATCGCATCTAAACGTGTAAATGTCCATTCCTCACCCCATTTGCCGCCCCCTTACTCGTCCCTATCGCCTTCGTAATCGCGCGCAGCACATCCTCCACAAGATCCTGCCCGTCTTCCACCCCACAGCTCAACCGCACCAAATCATCAAACACCCCCGCCGCCTCCCGCTGCTCCTTCGGAATGCCCGCGTGCGTCATGCTGCCGGGCACCTCGCACAAACTCTCGACGCCACCCAGCGACTCCGCGAGCGTGAAGATGCGCGTCTCCTCGCAGAAGCGGTCGGCGGCTGCTTTGCCGCCGCGCAGCCGGAAACTGAGCATGCCGCCTCCTAGCCCGTCGCGGTGCTGTTTGAGCGCGATGGCGTGTTGGCGGTGCGAGGTGAGGCCTGGGTAGTTGACTGCGAGGACGTGCGGGGAGGCTTCGAGAGCGGCGGCGACGAGGGCGGCGTTGTTGGATGCTTCGCGGGCGCGCAGGTGCAGTGTCTTGACGCCGCGGTGGGCGAGCCAGCAGTCGAAGGGGGAGGGGACGGCGCCGATGGCGTTTTGCAGGAATTTCAGCCGCTCGAACAGGTCGTCGGAGTTGAAGGCTGCGACGCCCATCAGTACGTCGGAGTGGCCGTTGATGTACTTTGTGACGCTGTGGATGACGATGTCGGCGCCGTGGTCGAGCGGGTTTTGGATGTAGGGGGAGAGGAAGGTGTTGTCGACTACGACCATGATGCCCGTGCGGTGCGCGATGTCGGCTACGGCGCGGATGTCGGTGAGGGAGAGGGTGGGGTTTGAGGGAGTTTCGATCCAGATGAGTTTGGTTTCGGGGGTGATGAGCGCTTCGACGTCGAGTTCGATGGAGGGGGTGAAGGTCACGCGAACGCCGTGGGCGGAGGCGACTTTGGTGAAGTAGCGGTGCGTGCCGCCGTAGACGTCGGACACGGAGACGACATGGCTGCCAGTTGCCAGACTCTGCAGGATGTTGGCCGTGGTGGCGGAGCCGGAGGAGTATGCTAGGGCGTATCGCGCGTGCTCCAGGTGTGCGATGGCCGTTTCGAAGGCGGCGCGGTTGGGATTGGAGGAGCGGGTGTACTCATGCTCGCCTATCGGCTTGCCCACGGAGCTTTGGGCGAAGGTTGTGCTGAGGGAGATGGATTGGATGACGGCGCCGGTGTGAGGGTCATGAGGTGCGCCGGCGTGCACGGCAAGCGTGCCGAAGCGGTGGACGGGTGAAGGAGGACGGGGAGGGGTCTCGATGGCTTCGGTGGCGTTGATGGCCATGTTGGTGTCGGTGGGCGGCTTGGCCGCGCGAGAGGATGTCGAGGTCCGACAACGGGTGGGGGGTCGAAGCGGCGGGAGGGCGCGGGGTCGCAGGTACTGACCGAGTCGCTGAACGGCGTGTGTGCGAGATGGAGAGGCAATGGCGGAGGATGAGCAGGTCTGGGAGATGACCCGTTGGTTGCGCAGGGCAGAGGAGTGATATATGCTGTGGGCGGAAAGGAAGAGAAGGATGATGGCGAAAGTGGCAGAAACTCGGGTCGTCGTGAAAAGCGAATGTGACGCGATTGCAAATCCGAATTCTAGAAGGTCTGCTTGCGGCCTAGCGCCAGGCACCTCGACCCCGGCTCGCCTTTCTTCTCAAGTAATCAGAAACACCTTTTGACTCGACTTTTCTTCGTGCCTTCATGTGCACGCGTGCTGCTGCGGCATGTGCTGTTGTCATCATTTCATTCGATTCAGTACGTTGCTTTGCAATCGCATTCGGTCGAAGCTAGAACATGGTGGCGTGGGTGAGACGCGAGGCTCGACACGCAGCCTTCTGCATGAGCTTCACCCACTCCCATCGCCCGCCTTCTCATCTTTCTTCCGCAGCCTCACCAAAGCAGCTTCGGCCCCGTCAATGCGTTTGAGCAGAAACGCCAGCGTTGCATCCCTGGCCTTGTCGAGGGTCCTTAGCTTCTCCACCGGCAGACTCGTGTAATTCATCGTCGGCTTAGCGGGCGACGCGACACTCTGAGCCGAGGCGGCCTGATCCTCGACAGCCTCACCACCACCACCACCGCCTGCTTCCGCCGTCTTGACCTCACTCTCCCTCTGCGCCGCCAACTTCCTTAATACCACGATGCTCTCATCCCGCTGCGGTAGCAGCACCTCCAGCCTCGCCTTCTCCCCCGCATCCTCCTCCGCTTTGCGCTTCTTCGCCCTCTCCTCCACTAATGAATCCTTCCATTTCTGCACTGCTCCCTTTGCGCATTCCTCCATATGAGTGAAGCGTACGGGACCCAACATGACCCCTCCGTACCACCGTGCAACGACACATGCCCCCACCACTTGCATGCTCTCCAGCACCTTCTCGACCTTCTTGCCCCCGTACTTCTCCCCGTCGTCGTCGTGGCCCACGACGTAGTTCGTCCGGCCCGTAATGGCTTGTTGATTGCTCTCTCGGCGCCATGCCAGGATCTTGTGGCTTGCGCTCGCGAATTCCGCATGGTTTTGCAGAGCTTCCGGTTTCAATGTGGGCGAAAAGTAGCCGATGAATCTGGAGGTGCGGTCTTCGATTGCCTCCGAACGATAGATGTCGTCGCTGCTGCTGCCCTCTGCGTCGGAATCGGCAGGTCGCTTGCGCTTCTGCGACATCCCTGCTGTTGTTGATGGGAGCCTGCACAGCTCTAGGAAAGCAATGTCACATCCTCGCTGTGCGCATCTCGTTGCTTTAGCACCCACTGAACTTAGGCTGGGTTTAACTGGGACAAAGTTGGAGGGATCCTAAGGCAGTGCCGAAAGACTCCGACTCCCGTTAGCGCCCGTTATTTTCGGCCAATCACATTGCATATCATTCATTCTTCCGCACTGAACACCTCAGGCATCCAGTAGGGAATGATTCCAATATGCCGTCTGGACCACCGTGATCAAGAGCAGGATGTCGTCTTGAATGGCAAGGCAAGAGCGGGGTCTACTTGGTACTTTCTCTCAATTTGTCACTCTTGTGCTTAAAAGGGTCGACGTGCAGCCAGCCTCGGGCCGGCTGTCCATTCGGTAGATCGTGATACGAAGTCCGTCATCGGCTACTGCACCTCATCACATAATCCAAAAATGAACGACATCGAAGTGTGACTCTTGCGCTCTTCTCGTTGCTGTTGGTGTTCTGATTCAATTGAAGTGATCCGAGGCACGGCATTTACACAACCATGGCATATGCGCCGCCAGCACCGCAGGGACCCCCCGACAAACAAGCCAGCATCAAAAAGAACATCCCCGAAGATGTGGCGCATATCATTGCCAGAGAGAACAGTCAAGACGACGACGACGACGATGGCAGCACCAACATCGACGAATCCACCGCCGACTATCATGAACTCGAGCGCCGCCTACGGCGCAAAGTCGACCTCCGCCTCTGCACCATCGCCGGCATCCTCTGCTCCCTCAACCTGCTCGACTCTGGCGTTATCAGCTCCGCTTCCGTCACCTCCATGATCCCCGACCTGGGCTTGTACGGCAACAAATTCAGCATCAGCATCTTCATCTTCACCGTCTCCAGCATCGCCTTCCAGCTGCCCTCGACCATTGCTGTGCGCATGTTTGGCCCGCGCATTTGGTTCTCGTTCATCACTGTGAGCTTTGGCGTGATTACCATGTGCACCGCGTTCATCCATACGTGGCAGCAGATGATTGCATTGCGCGTGTTGCTGGGGATGGCCATGTCGGGTATCTACCCTGGTTTGAGCTATTTGATTTCGGCGTGGTATTTACGGCGCGAGCAGCAGACGCGGTATGCTTTTATGCAGAGCGGCGAGGTCATCATCCTTGCAACAGGCAGCATCGTCAACTTTGGCTTGAATCAGCTAAACGGCCAAGGCGGACTGGCAGGATGGAGGTACATGTTTCTGGTGCAAGGCCTCATCTCCATCGTCATCGGCGTCATCACCTACTTCTGGATGGTCGACTTCCCCGAACACAGCCACAAATCCCTCTGGTTCCTCACGGAAGAAGAGCAAGCCCTGGCCGTCTCACGCATCCAGCGCGACCGCAAAGACGTGCAAGCCGACCCCTTCGCCTGGGCCAAAGTCCTGCGCCACGCCCGCGACCTCAAAGTCTACGGCTTCGCGCTGCTCTTCTTCCTCCTCAACCTCGTCTCCACCTCCCTCTCCTACTTCCTGCCCATCATCCTGCGCACCGGCATGGGCTTCGGCGAAAACCAGGCCATCATCCTCTCCTCGCCCCCCTACTACTACTCCGTCATCCCCGTGATCCTCACCTCCCTCATCGCCGACCGCTACCGCATCCGCGGGCCCGTCATTGTCTTCAACTGCGTCTGCCTCGTCGTCGGCTTCTGCATGCTCGGCTTCGTGCGCCAGGTCACCGTGCGCTACATTGGCACTTTCCTCGCGACGGGAGCGTACATTTCCAACTGGGCGGCGTTGACCGCTTACTACCAGAACAACATCGCGGGCCAGTGGAAGCGCGTGTACACCGCCGCGGTGGTGACGATGTTCAATGGCGCGGGCGGCATTGCGGGCAGTTTCATTGTCCGGCAGAACCAGGCGCCGTGGTATCCCACTGCCGTGTGGATTAGCATTGCGAGTCATGTGGTGATTGTTGCGTTTGTGGGGTTGTTTTCTGCTTGGTTCTTTGTTGCGAATCGGAGACAAAAGGCTGGGAAGACGGTGTTGGAGGAGACGGAGGGGTTCAGGTATACGTTTTAGGCGAGTCTGGTATGAATTACGATTCCCCTTTCTCAGCCGCCATTCCGGGTGGTGTCGTTGTTGTCTTTCCACGGTGGCGGTGTTTGTCTGCGAGGTGGCTGCATGCCTGTAATGTCTCACTGAGACAAACTCGACACAAATGTAAGTCTCATTCATCCATTTTTTTCTTAGCCGGCAAGACAGCAAGCATGTCTTTTATCTCACAAACAGAGTCAACAAACTCGATTCACACAGAAAAGCCCCACAAACAGCCTTGTCTCAGCAGCCTTGTCACAAAGCCCGCTGCAACAACCGTGCGAAACCGCTCACAAACAAGGGAGATACGTTGAGAGTATCTATAAAGTCGACAATTTCTTCGATAGACCATGATCTTCTTTTCCTTCCACAACACTTCTTCCTAAGATGGCCGGCCCCAAAGCCACCAAAGGCCGCAACACCGCCAAGTCCGACATCGACAACGTGCCAACCAACAACCCCAGAGGAGGGAGAGCCCGACCACCACCCAACCAGCCTAACGACGAAGAAGACAACGACCCCATCTCTACCCGCGGCAGTCTCCAAAGAGTGCACACCCGGCTCAATCCCATCGACGCGAACGTGCAAGACATTCGCGACAAGCAAGCAGACGTCCACGCCCGGCTCGATGCAATTGTCCAGAATCAAGCACAAGCCAACTCGCGCTTCGATGACTTGATCTCGCGACTGGATAGGATGGAGCGCGGCAACGGCAACAGGAGCAGGAACAACAGCAACGGCAACGGCGACGGCAACAACTCTCGCGACCGCCAACTCTTCCCCCATCCCTCCATCATCAACGACCCCCGCGCTCAGCGTCAAGACTTTCACTCCCCCTACATCGTCCAACTCTACGGCTACGACTTGAGGGAGATGATGCCGCGCGGCCAACAGGGAGCAGCGCAAGATCCGCCAGCCGATGACGACGACGAGCAAGACCCTGGACAGACGGTTGTCGCAGGGCATTTGCAGCCGCGCAGAGACAGTGCGCTGGAAGCACGACCACTACAGGCAGCACCTCCATCTGGGTACGCTGGGTCTTCGCTGCGAGATGCGGGACCGGCAACGCGCGGAGCGAAGCTCGCGGGCGGTGGGAGGAAGAAAAAGGCTGAGGTTGCGTCGGCTGGAGAGGATGGCGATGCTGGGCTCCAAGGACGCTCTGCTAGGCTTGAGGATAGTGCTCTCCCTGGGATATCGGCTGCTACGAGCAGGTCCGACAATCAAGGAGTCGCTGACTACAAGGGTCCCGGGAGCTACGAAATCAACCGCCGCCGCAGAGAGGATGCAGGTCTTCACGAAGCGGACAGCACTGCGCGCGGATCTCGCACCGATCGTGCTGCTCGAGCAGAGGTGGAGTACGAGCCGATGGTGAAAATCGAACAGAACGATGGCCACGGAAATCGCACTGCAGGTGAGCACCCCTCCTCCTCCTCCTCCCCAACCCAACACCACCCGAGTACCGCAGACCATCTGATCGCAGCAGTAGAAGCAGCACCCGAATCCAGCTCCAGGAAAGCAAGCCGTGCCAGTGCCAGAACATACGAGTACCAGCCCGTCGAAACGAGTACGCAGACTCTAGGCCTCGACAAGCGTCCGGAAGATCAGCCTCATCTGATCATCGACGAAGTGGGAGGCCGTCGTACTACGCGGAGGAGTGTTGCTGCTCCTGGCGCGTATACGGCTGCTAGTAGGATTGCTGCCACTCCGGCTCCGCCTGCAGTTCCGGCGGCAGCTCTCAGCCGTGCACAAACAGTCGCACCCAGCTCCAAACCCCGTCAACAACGTCAAGCATCAGCAGCGCCGACTCCAGCTCCTGCTCGTCCATCTTCATCAGCGCCTACATCGGATTCCAATGTGCGCCAACAACGAGCAGCAACAGCAGTACCATCGCCTGCCCCTGGCTCTAACAATGCAACTCTCAAGAACACCAAGCGCAAATTCTCTCCCGGCAAGGTCCCAGAGACGATTGACGAAGAGCACTCGGAAGCTGATTCGCAGGATCTGGATCTGGGGCCTCGGAAGCGGGCTAGGCAGGGAAGTGTGGGTAGGGGGATGGTTGAGGAGTTGAAGAAGAAGGTCAGCGAAGAGGAGGCGGCGGGTGTGGAACAGGGTGAGGTTGTGGAGGAGGAGATTGAGCAGCAGCAGCAGCAGCAGGATGAGATGGAGGAAGAAGAGATGGATGAGCAACTGCTGCTGCAGATGGGAGAGGAGGAGATGGAGCAGCTGCAGCAGGAGATGAAGGGAAAAGAGGTCGATCAGCAGCTGCTGCAGCAGATGGGGGAGGAGGAAATTGACGACGACGAAGAGGAATACGACAGCGACACCATCGAGGTGAAGCCACGCGTGAAAGGCACGGAGCCCGCCAAGAAAGCAAAGGGTGATGGGAAAGGTCAGAAAAGCTCTTCTACCTCATGGTTCGACTTCCCCAAAGGTCTGCGCTGAAAATGGCAGGGAAGCATAGCTCCTCGCAGATGAGTCAAGCTCAGCGAGCCGTGGATGAGGTACCGAGGAGGAAGTGAAGGAATCTCAGAGGCGGTATGAGCGATAGTTCTGAACAACGACACCGAGGAGGATAGGAAGACGGGCGATGGGAGAGTTACTTTTGCTTTTCAGCATGATTTCATGGATTTTCGTTGCTTTTGAGTACTTACTTTGACGTATTATGGGAAAGGCTTTTTGTTGCGTTCACTGATGTTCCCGCCGTCCCACTTTCCCACTTCTCGCTCACTTCTGTCCATGCCGCTGCACAAAACGCCATTGCCATGCGAAGCAACACCGTCAAATTTGAGCGTTGATCCATCACGTTCCCCAAGCCGTCAGCAAGATGTCTGTGCCAGGCACCCTCGGCCTCACTTGCAAGTCCGCAAACAAGATCTGATAGTAAGAGTCCGGCATTTTCTCAAACTCCAGCCCCTTGGCCAATGCCTTCTCCTCCTCTGCCTCCTCGGTAGTCTTGAGTGGGTAGCACAGCGAGCACCAGATGTCGCGGCGGAAGAGGAATTCGTTGCCTCTGTGTTTCCATAGTTCGTGGTTGGGGTTGAGATAGTCTAGCCCGGATTAGTGGATGGTTCTTCGTGAAGGGATGGGGGAAGAGGATCACGTACGCTGACCCTGGTCCAGGATTTCGGGGACGTTGATCTTCAACCACTGCCGCTTGGGTCGATTGTAGGAGGAGTTTGTGCGCATGTCCAGGCACGAGGCATTGATTTTGGCTGCTACAGCGATGATGTCTGGATGTACGGGCATTGGCAGGTAGTCCTTGACGTCCACGGGGACATGGTTGATGCGTCTGTTGATCTTGCGGCGAGGGAGGTTGCGGGTGCCGCTGAGAGGGCGATCCGGGGGAAAGGCGAAGATGACTTCGTCGAGGGAGAGGGTGACGGTGAGGTTATAGGGTGTGTCACCAAGAGTGACGTCGGGGATGAGCTGGATTTCACCGAGATGCTCTCCGGCTCTCCACACGGTCTCGTCTGCTGTGACGGAGGCGAAGGAAGGCTCGGGGCGACCGTTGATGGTGTCGTAGGTGCTCATCATCCAGGTCTCGCCGGGAAGCTGGCCGACGTGGATCCAGCTCAAGCCGTGCACGGGATGGAGGATGGACCACGGTTCGGTGCAGATGTCGCCCAGGCTGTCCTGCTCCGAGGGGAGAATGTCGAAGAAGCGGGAGTGGATGTCCATGTATGCGTGCATGGGGAGGAAGTAGAGCTTGCCGGAAAGGATGTGCTTGCCGTAGACTAGCTTCACTGCCCGGTGAGGATACGCTCGACCACTTAGGAGGCTGGGTGGGATGGCTTTGCTGAGGTCGAGCGGATCTTCCTTAGGTGGAGGGGCCGATGAGATGAGGAACGCAGAGGGTGGATGAGATGTGGGAGTGTCTTCAGAAGAAGAGGATGAAAGGGATGCGGGAGTGCCGACGAGAGAGTCGACAGGTGTGTCGGCAGAACATTCGGAAGCCATGATTGAAGCAATGCGTGGTCATGAAGGATGTAGTGTCATGACGGGGGAGGCAGAGAGGAGGGCTTTGCGGCATTCACGGAAGATGGTGTTGTGGTGTTGTGAAACGGAGATGAGATGACTTACCTGCTGCATCTGGAAGGTGCGAGCCTCCACTGGGAGGGAAGGCGCGATGCGGGATGTGTCACCACCAGCACGCCTACAGGTCAACCATACCATCTGGAAGAGGGTTGAGGCGAGCAGCATTGTCGTGCGTGGAGGGGATGGCGGATGCCAGCGCTTCCACCATTGTGCTGTGATGACATTGCTTTCATTCGTTGATCACAGTCCAGGAGGAAGGACGTATAGTGTGTTGAATCACATCGAACATGCCTCACAAACGAAATACATGCAGTGTAAGTGAAGAGCCAAGGTCGAGGCTGGATTTCGCCAGCAAAGTGTAGGAGAGCGGCATACATCTAGAACGGACGGAGGCCGGCGCGCACGGGCGGTGATGTTGATGAGCTGCGAGGTGGCTTGGGTGGTCTGTGAGATGTTTGTGGCGGCGGATGACGCCAAGCTTTACGCAAGCCCCGATGCGACTGCGTGGATTCGACGACTCTAATGTAACGCCGGCATTGACTTTCCTCTCTCCAGGACCAGATCCACCCTAATCCGTCAACTCATTACACCTCACCGACCACCTCCCCGGAGCCCTACGACACTCCCTGCGCAGAGCCTGCGGCGTTCCCAGCGACAGCTCCATCGCCGCGCAGCCCTGCTCCCCTTCACCACCTTCCCGCCCCGGCAATCTCCTCCGGCCGCCGCCGCGACCAGACTGTCCATGCGTTGCACTTCCTCCCAACACCCCCGTGCAAGCTGCTAGAGAGGAGACTGGGGCAAGCATGGCCTACCTAGGCATCTACCGCGCCCTCTACGACTACGCTCCGCAATCGGAGGAAGAGCTTGAGCTACACGCCGACGATGTCCTCTTCGTGCTCGAGAAATCGACCGAGGACAGTTGGTGGAAGTGCAAGAAGAAGGCCGCCAATGATGACGACGACGAAGAGCCAGAGGGACTGGTCCCGAACAACTACATAGAAGAGGCGACGCCGCTCCATACCGCCAAAGCGCTGTATGACTACACCAAGCAGACCGACGAGGAACTGAGCTTCAAAGAGGATGCGCGGCTGGAGGTCTATGACGAGAGTGATCCCGACTGGACACTCGTCGGCTGCGATGGCGAATACGGCTTTGCCCCGGCCATCTACATTGAACCTGTCCACGATACCCCGGCAGCAAATCGAGCCGTCTCGCCGCCACCCCCGATGCCGCCACGGCCATCTCAAGTAGACAACGACGAGCCTCTCCCGGGTGAGGCGGACTATGTGCCGCCGGGGGCGGCGGGGAATAGTCCCGCAGCGGCCCTGGCCGGCATCCTCGCGCAAAGAACTGGCGCTGCTTCGGCGGACACTGGTGGTAGACGAACTGTGGCCTCTCCTCCCAGCGCATCATATTCACGAGCACAATACACTCCCGAAGCGAGCGAGGGAGAGGAAGAGGAAGAGGAAGAGGCGCCTCCGCCCAAACCAGCCCGTCCTCAATCCCAGGCCTCGATCCCCGCCGCCGCCTCACCACGCCCCGCTCCCTACACTCCTTCCGGCACCGCCGAAGCCCCTGGAATCATGCCGTCTCCCCCGCAGTCACCATCACGCTCTCAGGGTGGATACTACATGTACAACATCCACGAGATGGTCTCCTTTCAGAACAAATCCAAGAAGCTGCCGACCACCCTCGAGATCGACACGAACCAGGGCGTGATCATGATCTCACCCGAGAAGAGTCGTGATGGCTCAAGTCAAGAGTGGAGTGCGGAGAAGCTTGCCCACTACTCCATCGAGGGCAAGCATGTCTTTGTGGAGCTTGTAAGACCCAGCAAGAGCATCGATTTCCATGCGGGATCCAAAGGCACAGCCAAGGAGATTGTCACACACTTGGGCGAGCTGGCTGGAGCGAGTCGAGGAGGCGGCCTGCGCGAGGTGCTTGAAGCCAGCAAGGGCAGTGCGGGAGATGGCATCAAAACTGGCCAAATGCTTTACGAATTCATGGCACAGGGAGATGACGAAGTCACCGTGGCCGCTGGCGATGAGGTGCACATTCTCGACGACACCCGGAGTGAAGAGTGGTGGATGGTGAAACGCTTGCGAAACGGCAAGGAGGGCGTTGTGCCGTCCTCGTACGTCGAGATCACTGGAGTCGTTGAGAAGAGTGTTGGCAACGCTTATGCTGGATTGAATGCCGGAAGGAGTATCGTGGATCAGAACCGGCTGGAGGAAGAACGGCTGACAAGGGAAGCTGCACGAAAGTCGAAGAGTTCGCGGGATGAAATTCCGGAACGGGGCAGCAGCCTTACGACCGCCGAATCGAAGAGCAAAGGGAAACGAGCCTCCACCAGCTCTCCGGGCGGGCCGAAGAGTCGACCGAACCAAGCCCGACTGCGGACATGGACCGACCGTTCGGGAACGTTCAAAGTCGACGCCGAATTTATCGGTCTCCGCGATGGCAAGATCCACCTGCACAAGCTCAATGGCGTCAAGATTGCCGTGCCCGTCGCGAAAATGTCTCTGGAAGACATCGAATACGTCGAGAGAGCCACGGGCGAGAATCTGGACGACGATAAGCCGTTGTCGGACGTCAAGCGCCGAGGCACGCAAAAGACCAACGGCACCGGCGCCGGCGCAAGCATCGACCACGAGAAGCAGCAGAAGAATGAAGACTATTGGTTCGACTTTTTCTTGCAGTGTGGCATCGATGTCAATATTGTGGGCAGATACGCCAACGCTTTTGTCAGAGACCAGATGGGTCCTGAAATCGTGCCTGACATTAACGACAGCCTTTTGAGGACGTTGGGATTGAAGGAGGGAGACATTCTGCGTGTCATGAAGCATATTGATAACCAACTTGGACGACAGAGAGGTGGTCAGGCAGGCGGCGAAGCAGAGTCGAGTGGTGATCAGGGCGGATTGTTCTCGGGGCCTGGTGGGGCTCTCAGAAACAACACGCGCAAGGGAAGACCAGCGCCGGCGGTACAGACGAACGATGTCGTCAACGAAGACGCTTTTAAACCACGCGACGCCGACAGTTCGGGGACCAGGACGCCTACTGGAGCCCCAGAAGGCGCTGCTAAGACACCACTCGCGAGTGCGCCGGCGAGAGAACCGCAGAGTGGCTTCGAAGATGACGCCTGGGCCGTCAAACCTGCTCGCACGCAGACTCCGGAGGCTCCCAAAGCGGTGGAGGCGCCCAAGACTGCAGCGCCACCCAGGCCGTTGATCAACGACGACATCGCTTCCCTCTCCATCTCGACGCCCGCTCTACAACCTTCGGCCTCTGCGCCAGCACCGCCTGCGCAGAGTCCTCCGAGAGCGTTGACTCCTCAGGATACTGCTCAGCCTGCGCACCCTCCGGGCGCGGACAAGGCGATTTTCGACAAGATTGCCTCGCTTGCGCCTGCGCGACAGCGTCCTCAACCCCCAACTCCTATGCAACTCCCTCCAGGATCCGCGTTAATGGCGCCTCCGCCCAGAGCGAGCTCCGCGCCCGGCTTCCCGCCTCAACAAAGCGGATTCGGGCCGCAGACTCTCCAGCCGCAACTCACTGGATACGCCTCCCCACAACGTACAGGCTACGGCGGTCAGCAGCCGCAATACCAGCAACAGCAGCAGCAACCTCTGCAACCCCAGCAAACCGCCTTCCAATACGGCGGCTACCAAGGCCAACAACCGAACGGCTTCGCGCCCCAACCCACCGGCATCCAAGCCGTGCAACACAACTACCCCGCCCTGCAACCGCAGCCCACAGGCCTCAACTTCCAGCCGCAAAGCCACTTCGGGCAACAGCAGCAAAGCGAGCAATACGGCCTACAAAACATCCCCTACCAACCACAATACCTCAACGGCACCCAAACCGGCTCCCCCTTCGCCGATCCCCCCCGCCAACCCTACCAGCCCTCTCAACCCTCCGGCCTGTCACACTCCTACTCCGTCGGCCCGCCCCAGCAGACCGGCTTCCAGCAGCAGCAGCAGCAGCAGCATGCCTACAGCTACTCCGGCCCCCAACCCACCGGCCTCAACGGCTACGCTCCCACCCCACCTCCACCGCGCCTTCCGCCCCAGCAGACAGGTGGTGTTTTCGGGCCGCCGCAGGCTTTTGGCGCGGGGCTCAATGCGCCGCCTGCGCCTTTACTTCCGCAGCAGACGGGCCCGCCGCCGCCGGTGCGTTTTGGTGTGCAGCCGGGGCAGAACAAGTTGGTGCCGCAGCCTACTGGGAGGGCGAATTTGTCCAAGGCTAGTAAGTTTATCCTTCGTTTATCTTTCTTCCTTGAGCTTGCGAATGGTGTGCTGATTGTGATTTATCTTGTTTAGCTCCGCAGAACCCGTTTGGGTTTTAATGTGGATGTGGTGGTGTGAGGTGGTGTGGTTTGGGTTTCATCTTTCCAGCGGCATTTGCTTTTCGTGTGCTTGTGCGTAGTATTGGGAGCGTTGGCTTGGCGAGAGGGAAGTCGATGGTTTACACGTGTACAGCGAAGAAGAGAGCGGCGGTATGGCAAAGATATGATGATGCAGAGGATTGTCAGATAGTATTTCCAACCATAGAATGATCATAGCTAGCGTATCTTTTGGGGGTTGGTATTGTTCATGATCTTGTCTTGATCACTTCCTCTCACAAACCGCAATGAAATCCTTCACCACACTCCCCACAAACAACCTCCCCGTCTTAACATCATGCACCACCGTCGTGACCAACGGCAGTACCTCCCCCTTCCCATCCTCCAGCGCCTTCAGAATCACATACCCCGTCCGCCCCTTCTCGTTTCTCTTCGAAATCCTAAAAATCGAAGTAGGCACCCCCTCCGTCCTCAAGGGATCATCAAACACAGGCATCGCATCCAACAACTTCGGAATCCCCGCCACCCAAAACACGCCCTCCGCATCCTCGGAGATGTTGTCGAGCGGCACGCCGACGCGGATTTCTTCGATGAGGTTGACTTCCCCATCGCCGGAGGCGGACGGGCGGTACACGTTGATGCGGCCCGAGGCTGTGCTGGGGACGTAGAGCAGGCCGTCCTGCCGGCCCATCCACAAGCCGTTGGGCATTGCTAGTCCTTTTTCTACGCGTTTGCAGGCGCCGTTGCTGACGCCTGCGGCGGAGGGGGCGGGGCAGTAGGAGACGTCGCCTGTTTTTATAATCGGGCTGAGCGTGTGCCAGAGGCCTACGCGGTTCGTGCCGTGGTCGTTGGTCAAGTAGAAAGCGCCGTTGGCCATGGGCGCGACGCGGTTGGGCGTGGCGATGTGCGGGTCGTGGTAGGTTGTTATGTGCGTTGCGGCGGTGGCGGTTTGCGGGTTCGTGATGCGGAAGACTTCGATGGTCGCGTTGGCGCCTGTTTGCGTGTTGTCGACGGGGTGCCCGGTGCTGGGGTCTACGGTCGGGAGCTGGTTATTGAGGTACAGGTCTATGGCTCCGCCTGGGACGGCGTTGTTTTCGAGGCCTGTGATGGCTATGAGAGAGAGGAGACCGTCGCCGTTTAGGCCTGGGTAGTTGGGCGTTGCGAGCGTGCGGTGCGCAAAGGAGTTCCCTGCGGGTTTGTCGATGTCTAGCACGACGAGTTTGTCTTTGCGACTGCGGCCTGTGGCGTTGAGACGGCCGAGACTGCGGTTTATCAGCCAGGAGTTCTAGCTTTGGGGCCATTGAGATGTCTACGCACTTGGGCAACCACTCCTTCCTCGCCACGGAATCAGAACACGAGAGGAAGAGCTGTCTCGTCCCCTCGGACAACCACATGTCCTCGCACGCTTCGAAGCTGGGATCATTGAGACGACGACAAGTGTAGGGGAAGTCGCTGAGGGGTTGCAGCGTGTAGCCGTACCCTACTTGCACCCAGAGGTTGCGGCCGATGGTTTGGTAGAAGAGGGAGAAGAGGCCGAAGCCGACGAAGAGGTACAGGGGGAGACGCTCGGATGGCATGGTTGTGAATTCTGTGGATTGGGCAGTTATTGTATGTTTGCCTTCTCAAGAGAGGAGACGATGGAGGAGTGGAGTTGACTCCGCAAGAGTGCTGGCTGGTGCTGACTTGAAGTGGGGCTGGGAATTTATTGCAATGCCATGCGCGCGAACAGGAAGTTCATACATCAATCTAAACAAACCCCCATCAAGGACTGTAGCTATTGTACACCACCCCGATATCCGTCAACGTATCATTCTGGTTAAGCAAGTACGGCGAGCCCGCGGCGAAATCCCCAAAATACGCATAATTCACCACATAGGTCTGCGAATCCAACCACGGCATCACGTTCTCCAGGAAAGAGATGATCTGCGCGTCGCTCCCGCCATTCGTCCCAAACTCCGTGATCCACAGCGGCTTGTTGAACTGCTGGTGGAAGCTCTGCACGTACTGCGTGAAGGAGGAGGGGGACGAGACGTCGCCGTACCAGTGCAGCGGGATGAAGTCGAAGCTGCAGCCGGTGCAGTTGCCCATGAATTCACTTAGCCAGTTGACCCCCACGCCCGGGCCGACGGCGTTGGTCACGGCGGGCGCGCCGAGCTGCACCGTGCCCGCGAGCGGCTGGATGTATTGCTGCCAGGCGGAGACGGCGACGCTGACGTTCATGCAGCTGCTGCCGCAGCAGCACTCGTCGGGCTCGTTGAAGCCGAGCACGCTGTTGGAGCCGTATTCTTGGATGGCGTTTTGCACGTTGCCGCTCCAGATGCTCGTCAGGGATTGCGCGTTGCTCCACAGCATGGGCGAGTAGGCGATGACGGGGTTGAAGGTGTTGTTGTCCGGGTATTGGCCGTAGTAGGGGTCGCTGGCCCAGTTGTACGACCAGGTGACCTGCGAGTTTTGCCCTTGGAGGGAGAAGAAGTTGGTCAGGTAAGGGTCGTTGAAGGACAGGCCGCGCTTGCCGCTCGACTTTGTGGGGGTTGGAAGAGCCGAAGTCTTGGTCTTTGAAGTCGTAGAGCTTGTCGTTGTTGTCATCTTCGTGGGAGTGGTGGTGGGCGTGCTAGTTGTCTTCTTGGGAGTGGTGGTTGGCGTGCTGGTAGTCTTCTTGGGCGTGGTGGTCGGCGTGGTGGTCGTCTTCTTAGTAGTCTTCCGGCCTTGGATGGTCGGAGTCGAAGTCGTAGTCGTGGACTTGAGCTTGGGCGTCGAGGTGGAGACATGCTTGGTCTTCTTGCCCTTGTTCAGGGCAGTGGACGTGGTCTTGTGAGATCTGTGCTTGTGGCCTTTGTGCTCCTTGTGGCCTCTGTGCTCCTTGTCCCCATCGGCGTGGGCCGTGGTGTGCGTGGGCAAGCCATGATTGCTCGTGGCCGTCGACTTCTTCTCGCGCGGAGCCTTACTCCCACCATGACGATGGTGTTTCTTGTCGTCATGTCCATCGCGCTTGGACGTAGTATGGTCTGTCTTCTCCGAACGCGGCGCGCTACTCGCACCATGATGGTGTTTCTTCGTCGTCGTCGAGTGGTGCTTATGGTGTGCCGTCGTCTTTTTGTGGTGCGGAGCCACACTCTTATCAGTACGGTGATGATGCGTTTTCTTGTCCGCCAGCAGCTCGGCGGGCACGCAAAGGGCAATTTCAAAAATGGCAAAAAAGAGGAGGAGCGAGCGTAGGAAGAACATGTTGGCTGTAATGAGCGTGGGGTTGTATGTAACGAGTGACGGAATAGAAATAAGCAACAGAAAACGAGTGCGTCAAAGAGCGAGAGAAGGGAACAAGATGCACAAACCCATTCAACATCCAGCAGCAGGGGAGGGAAGACGGTCTAATATATCGCCAACGGCGGAGCAGATCTCGCGGCGCCAGCCACTGCTCTGGAGCACGCGCTCGGCATCAGAGGTAATAAGTTAGGCGAGACAATGCAGGCAACAGGGCGTGCCCTACGCACACCACGTTGACCTTGGGGCCGCGGAGAATTACCTGGACGGCGCGGCGGGCGGCAGTCGAGTCGTTCGATTCGCCACGCGCCACCGTGCCATGCCGTGCCGGAAGGCGCAAGGCAGGCCAGGCGATTAGCCAGACGTCTCGGATGGGCAAGGCGCAGATCCCGCCATCGCCAGAACGGCTTGCACGGTGGGGGGTGAGGTTGAAAGTGGAAGCGTGTAATTAAACTATAGGGGGCGCCGGTGGCGAGCCGAGGCCAGGCTGTGGGGCCGCGAGCGCTGTCAACTCTGGGCGATGTGCATGAATAACCTTTATCAGAAGCGAGCCGGCGAGGGGAGGTTGGGGATGATGTGATGTGTTCGAGACTGCGAGAAGTGGCAAAGACCACTGTATCGGACGGGTTGAGCATATGATCGTCTTTGGGATGGGAGAAGTCGTCGTGTTCGCCGAGCTTCCCCTGATAAGGCTGGGCGATATTAGACCACGGCGCATTTGAGAGGGTGGCGCGGCTCATTTTATTTCGGCGGGCGCCACCAACGTTACAGGCCGGGTCGACTCAAGCGCGATTGCCAAGGCCATTGGCGACGTACGTCGTCGTATACATGATATGAAGGGGCGCGAATGATTCCTGTACAGGCCCGAGAGTGAAATGCGGAAGGTGAGAGTTCTGCCTGCAGCGGAAGCGCGTCGCTCTTCGGACTTCGTTAAGGTACTGCGTGCATACTGTTTGAGGAGTGCATCTGTTGAACCAGTGTTGGCCAAGGGCAACACTCGACCCCAACCATCCGGCATGGCTGATGTGGAGAGGACCGCAAGGATGATGAGTTCATGGTGATGATGTCTCATGTAGAGTCTCGGGAGTTCGCAAAAGTCCGCTCGGAATCGGGTGCCTGGATATCCACGCACGTGTGTTGAATCGGTCGCGCTTTGCTTGGCTTACCTAAGATCTCCGAACCCCCGGCCGGAAACGGGAGCTCGCAGCTTCCGATGACGTGAGGGCCAATGGGAGGCTCGACTCCCACGTGGGCGCGCGCAGCTGAGCTCAGCTTCAGCGCGGGACGGCGTCGGGCGTGCATCGAACTGCAGCTCCGTGACATATGTTTGTCGAGCCGACAATGGCAGCGATGACGATTCATCGTCCCTCTATATAAACACCTCTGCCTACCTCCCACTCTTGGAGTACCATTGTACATCCAATCTACCTCTGCACCTGAAAGCGACAGCCTACAACCGCACCACCAAACCCATCCTCCACCATGGCCACCATCTTCGCCCGTCGACCGCTGCTAACAACAGCAACAACCCTCTCCGTCGCCGCCTCAGCCTACTACATCACCCGCCCCCGGCCCCTCCTCCTCGACTCCGCCTCCAATGCAGCAACCCCCACCCTCTCCTTCCCCAAAACCATGCTCTTCTCCAAACAACTCACCCTCACAAGCGTCGAGCAAATCAACCACGACACCAAAAAGCTCACCTTCGCACTGCCAGGCGGACAGAAAGAAGTCAGCGGCGTCACCCCCGGCGGCGCAATCCTCACCCAACACACCCCCTCAGGAGCCTGGTTCCCCGTCTTCCGCCCTTACACTCCCATCCACGATCTCGATGAGCGCGGCGTGCTGCAGCTGCTGGTGAAGAAATACCCCAATGGCAAAGCCTCGTCCCACATCCACTCGCTCGCTCCAGGCGATCAGTTGACCGTGCGCGGTCCAATACCAGGCAATGCGTGGACGACCCCGGCGCAGCAAAAAGACGTCCTCCTCATCGCTGGCGGAGCAGGCATCACGCCCATCTACAGCCTAACAAAAGGCATCCTCTCCAACCCCGCCGACAAAACGCGCATCCAGCTCCTCTGGGGCGTCAACGGGCCCCGAGATATCGTGCTGCAAACCGAACTCGACGCGCTGGAGAAGCAGTACCCCGGGCGATTGGAAGTGACGTACGCCGTTTCTGGACCTGATGCGGAGAGCGTGGTGGATGGCGGCAAGTTCCGCAAGGGGTATGTGGATCAGTCGCTGCTGGCGGAGGCGATGGAGAAGTGTCGGCGCGGAGGGGCGTTTGGGGATGAGAAGGGGAAGAAAGTGTTTCTATGTGGGCCGCCGAAGATGGAGGATGCGCTGGTGGGAAAGCAGGGGGTGTTGCAGGCTTTGGGGCTGCAGAAGAAGGAAATCCATCGCTTTTAGTCAGAGGGGACACGGGATGGGATGTGATTAATTAGCGAGGCGCCGAGGCTGGAGTGCTCCATGTACAGATTTACACCAAGACTTTTATAGACCCGCTACACAAATATAGATATACAGCCCTCACTTCTTCACGGGAAACTTGCGGTTCACCCACTCGCTGATAATCTCCGCAATCTCCTGCGGCTTCTCGTACAACACCCAATGCCCCGCATCCACCACCTTCTCCTCCAGATCCGTCACGAGCCCCTGATCCTTCGCATCGCCCATCAGATCCGTCCGGCACACCCAATCGCCCGTCTGCCCAATGTACAGCATGGGCACATCAATCGTCATGCTCTCCTTGGAGCGCGACAGATGCCTCTCCTCCTCGAGCATCGTATTGTCGCGCAGCGAATGGTAGTAGCACACCGGCGCCGCGAAGCCATCGCGCTTCATCCGCTCCACGAAGTCCTTCTGCAGCTTCGGGTCTTTGGCGTAGGGCTTGAGGTCGACGGTGAAGTCCTTGTACTTCCCCTGCTTCGCCACGTACTCGCGCATCGCGCCGAGCGTGCAGAACATCTCGCGCATCCAGATGTCGCGCCCCTTCTCTCCGGGGATGTTGGAGGGGTAGTTGCCGTTGTTGACTTCCCAGAAGCGTAGCAGGTCGGCCTCCATCAGCTGCGCGGCGTCCGGGGCGGTGAAGAAGTTCCAGTATTCCCATTGGGGGTAGCCGAAGCGGCGCGCGGTCGCTTTGTTGAGGTCGTCGAGGTCGATGGGGTCCGGGTTGGGGATGAGGTAGGCGAGGGACAGCAGGGCGAGGCCGAGGCAGCGCTCGCGGTGCCAGAGGTAGAAGCGCTGGCTGACGCCCGAGCCCCAGTCGTGTCCGATGGGGATCACGGTTTTCTCTTTGCCGACGCCTTCGTGGTCGAGGATTTGCGCGATCGAGTCGGCTTGTTGCTTGTAGTTGTACATTTTCGGCTCCGTGGGTTTGGAGCTGTGGCCCAGGCCGAGGATGTCCATGAGGATGATGGGGTAGGGGGATTTGAGCATGTGCGGCAGCGCGCCCGACCACATTTGGGCGTTGTCGGGATAGCCATGGGAGAAGATAAGCACGGGGATGGAGGGGTCACGGTTGTGGAAGTTGGCGGACAGGTAGTAGCTGTAGGTGAGGTCGTAGGGCTTGGTGACCAGCGTTTTGTGCTGAAAAGTGTCCATGGTTGGTTTAGTAAGCTTCCCGAATCGAATCGAAGTTGTAGTGGTTGCAATTGTCGTCGAGTCTGCGATGCGTGTTGTTCGTCAGAGTCGAGTTCATCTCCGCATTGGAAAAGCTGGGGGAGGTGTCGAGGTGTGTGATGTCAGTGCCTAGCCTTGGTCCAGACTTTGCCCTCGGCTCAATGGAGCTGCATCATTGGGCGAGCTCGTAATGTGCGGAGCCTTGCAGCAAAAAAAAAAGACAAAAGGGCCTTTGCAGAGTACGAGAATTAGCAAGAACTCCATGCTTGTGTTTTGGAATTTTACATCACGTACCTTCGCCTTGGATTTCTTGTCGAGATCCGGGAAGCATCATCAACGATTCATCCACAAGTCTCCTCAATCAATGAACAGCACTTCAAACGCGCTGTACTTTTTCAAATACCTCTCGTTCTTCCGATATCTGGCGAGGGTCAATGCATCATTCCACCTCGCACGCTCAAATTCGGCGAGAGGAGCTTGCATGGCGGAGGGCGGACGCCACGCAGGATCGAAAACGAGAAGCCTTCGCTTGCCGGAACGTAGTCTTTCGATTCCCACCACGGTAAGAGAGTGTCGAGGTCGTTGGAGGAAGATTGGTGGGCGTTGTGTCGGGATGATGGATGGTAGCTTTTCAGCGACCACGTTGGTTGTGGAGGCGGACAAGTAGTGTTCGATGGAGTCCAATAGCTTCTGCCATGCGTCTTTGCCATCAAACGCAGAGCCAGTGCAAGGAACATTAAGGCTTAGGAATAAGGCTTCGGCCTACATGCATTGCTGATATGAGGAAAATGTGAGTGATACAAGGATGGTTAGATAGAAGCATACCTCCGACGTCCCCACGTGCTTCCTACTCCCCAGAATCCCCCCGGTCTGCTCGCGCGCATGAGCATTGATGCCTAGATCCCACGCATGCTCAATCAGCTCCTGCAGCCTCGAGACCGTCAGCTTGCGCTGGGGATCGGAGGCTACGGGCAGGTCGCAAGCCAGACACAGCATCTGCATGTTGCGATAGCCACAGAAGTGTGCGCCTTCGTCGGATGTTTTGAAGACTTGCACGGCTGAAGGGCGGCATAGGTACGCAACATCGATGTCGGAGTCTCGGGTGAGGAGTTGGTGGAGTTTGGGGATGACATTGTGGAGATGATTGCGGTCATCTTCGTTGTCGAGAGCGTAAGAGAGTTTTGCTGGCATGCGGTCTTCGAAGGCGTGTCGGCCGAGTGCTTGCTTCTGGGATTCGTTAGGCCTCGAACAATGGTGTACAACAGAAGGAGGTCTCGACTCACACCCAGCCTCGCCGACAATTCATCAGGCATCTTCCGTGCAGACTGATTCCATCGCCTTCAGCCCTCGTACTCCTGCACTATACGAGCACAGCCCAGGCAAGCGCCAGACCTCATCCTCTCATAATGTATCTGCCTGCTCGTTCCTTCCTCGCCTCGACGTAGTGGTTGCCTCAGGTACACACGCGCCGTCGCTGAAATTGCCTCTCGCAGGGTCCATTTAAGGCAAGCGCAGTCGCCGCAGCGCAGCTGACGTCCGCCATCTACGTTGCTACGTACCCTGCTCGCACCTGATTGGCCGCACCAGCAATCTGGCATCGTATCATCTCCAAATTAAGCCTTGTTTTCGTTTCACCAGCCCGAAGCTTGTTTCCCCCTGCCAAGTTCCTGCCTTGCCATTACGTCGACAAACCGCGCCTCCCTTCCTCTCCCCCCGTTGCGCTTTTTACTATTTCTTCACGCTCGAAACAACAAGAAACAAAACACTCAATCCCAAACATCCACCACCACATCCCACCCACAACACCTCTACCATCCACCACCATCATCATGCCTGCCCAAAACGACGTCGAGGCGCAAATGCAGTACAAGGCCCCGGAGCCTAGCCAGGCTGCGCCCAGCCAAGAGGTGCGCCAATGTCTTTGCTACTCTGCAACCCCAAGTAAACTGACAACCCCAGCAGCAGCAGACTCAGGAAATGTCTCCCGTCAAGAAGACCATCCTCGGCATGCGCGGTGGTGGCATCATCCGTACGTTTCGTCCTCGCAGCCTTCTCTGCATCAACAACAACAACAACAAGCTTCACTTGCTAACGTATGCAATGAACAGTGGATCTGTGCGCCTGCTTCATCTGCTGTGAGGCCTGCGATGCCTGCTGTCATGCCATTGACGTACGTCTATATCTCTCTCGTCAATTAGACCCCGTCGCAAGAGCTAACGCGTCTACCGCAGGACTGCTGCTGCTGCTAAGCGGCTCACTCCCCTCCCAATCGATCGGAATGCGCTCAGCGGCGTGCAGTGGGGTTTGAACGAGTGGGTCTAGCAGCAAGGCGGACACGGAGCGATACCTAAGATTTGGAGCAGTGGGCTCAGGCGGAGCAAGAGTAATGGGCGTGTGTTGTTATATACCCTTTGATCCTTCAATTCCACCCACCTTTGCTCTTCATCCTGTCTGGCTGTCTCTGTTTGGCTGATCCTTACTGGCTGTCCCTTTTTGCCTGTGTTGACTCCATACTGGAATGTAGACGTAGTTCTCATGCTTCCAGCTACTACCAGACATGCTCTCTAAACTGCGAATCGTCTAGCTGCACCCTCTGCGGCGCCCGCGCCTCCCCATCAACAGCAGCAGCAGCCTTCACTCCCCTAACATCACCAAACCGCCTCTCCAACACCCTCAACTTACTCAAATAAGGATCCCGATCCAGATACGCGCCGCGTAACCACCTCTCCGACCCCGCATCGCCAGGCACAAACGCCTTGCGCGCATGCAACACGCGGCGGTTATCAAACACCACACACTCGCCAGGGCGCATCAGCCTTTCGTAGATTTCCTTCGGCCGGTGAATAAGCGCGCTAAACTTTTGCGCCGCCTGATGCCATACTTCGATTTTGTCGCCCACTGCTCGCTGGGCTTGGATGCCGGCGATGGGGGCAGCGCGCGGAAGGAAGGGGCCTTGGAAGGGCGGGGACCAGGCGACGCTGTCGAGGAGGCGGAGGATGTCGAAGGAGCCTAGGGTGGGGTTTCGTTGTGCGGCGAAGTTCCATGCGCCCTCGAAGGCGGAGAGCGTCTTATAATCGCTGGCTCCCAAGCGGAGTTTCTGGAGCTCGAGCACGGGGCGGCGGTGGGAATAGAGGTTGGAGGCGGGGTGGTTGTAGTGGAAGTGTGTATCCATCCTGGCCAGCACGTCGAATGCTTTGAAGTCGGTGGCGTACAAGTCGCGCGCCGCCTTGTAGCTGTCGGTGAAGAGGCTGGCGCCGCCTTGCGCTGAGGAGCGGATGCAGTGGAGGAGTTGGAGGTGCGGGGGTTGCTGCATGTAGAGAAGGTCCATATGGAAGCCAAGGTGTTGGGAAGTGTAGGCGACGTTTTTGGCGTCCGGGACGGAGCGTACATCCCATGTGTAGCCGTAGAAGGTGTTTTTGAGGGGCCCGATGCGCTCGCCGATGATGGAGACGGAGTCGGGGGAGTCTGGGACATTTTGGAGGAAGAGGAGGCCGTGGGTGTGCAGTTGCTGGAGGGCGCTGTGCAGCACTGCATCGTCATTCATATACGCTTCGTAGTCGATGTCTTGGACCTGTTCAAAGGACGCGGCATCCCACACGGTCCGTGGGGCAGGGGTGTATGGAACTTCAGGTGTGCTGTGGGAGGCAAGGTTCCGTAGAAGCAACGAGCTCAGCTCGGTGATGTGGCCGCGATCAAAACCTGGGATGTCCTGGTTCCAAAGAATGCTAGCACCGTTCTCGTTCAGACTCACGGCGCGGGCGGAGATCGAGGTTGGAATGTCGGTAGTGGAAAAGGACTTTTGTTTGGTCGAGGGATCCACGCAGGCCGAGCATTGGCATAGATCGCGCAGCAACAACGCCGAAAAGAGATGCTGTTCCTTGTCGATGGCCAGAGAGATTTGGGCATACTTTGATTGAGGTTCGACCGGTTCCGGCTTGGTTGATGCCCGCACAGGCTGGGATGAGGGAGCTTTTGGTTTCTTCTTCGCAGGCTGCGATTGGCTTCTTTTCGCCTGTAGAGCGCGGGCTGCTGGCGTGACCGGTGGAGCATCCGATTTTCGAATCAAGGGGCTGCGGAGGCTCCCAGCTACCTTTCTAACAATTGCTGGCTGTTCGTCCGGAGCAGTTGCTGGCGGCTGAGCGGAGTCCGCATCCTTGAGCGCATGGCCGTTTGCAGCAAATGTCCTGGCTGCAACTCTGTGGGTATTGATGGTTTTGGGGCTGTCAACCCGACGTATACTGCTTTTCACTCGGCCGAACATCTCCAAGATGGCCAACTCTTATGTCGAGGATGCGGTGGATTGATAGCTCGCGGGAACGGAGGTGCTCGAAATAGAGTTTGGCGGAGAGCATGGACATCTTAAGGCTCGGCGGCGAGCTTCCATCCTTCTCCTCACTTCACGATCGCCTCACACCACGCGACTTTCCGTCTTCCTGCGGTGAATGAAGGGCTGATGGATGTCTTCGAAAGCGCCCGAGCACCTTCGAGATGAAGTATCTCCCTCCAACGCCTCATAATGCCTCCAACATCCCATACTAACCTCCTCCAGGGAACGCGCTCTCAGGTGGTGCTTGCGGGCGCCGTCTCCGGTCTGGTGTCGAGGTAATCCAATATCCTATGCATTCTTGCTGCTTCCAATCGTACTAACGTGGACCACAGATTCTGCATAGCACCCCTCGACGTCCTCAAAATCCGCCTGCAGCTGTCCGCCTCCTCCCTCAGCGACCCTCTCTCCCACGGCCTATCCCGCCATCCCACCGGTGTCCTCGCCCTAGCAAGAGACATCTTCCACCATGAAGGCATCACGGGATTCTGGAAGGGCAACATCCCCGCCGAAGGCCTCTACTTGAGCTACGGCGCCGCACAGTTCCTAGCATATCGCAGCACTTCGCAAGCCATTGAAGACTTCACCGAAAGCAGGGGTTACAGAGTTCCTGGCGCCATCAAGAGCTTCACATCAGGTGCCGCGGCAGGTCTGGTGGCCACTACAGTCACATACCCTCTGGATCTGCTGCGGACGCGATTCGCAGCACAAGGCACGGAAAGGGTGTACGATGGACTGGTAGCGAGCGTGAGAGAAATCACGCGCAACGAAGGCTTCACCGGCTTCTTTCGCGGCCTGAGCGCCGGCGTCAGCCAAGTCGTACCCTACATGGGCCTCTTCTTCGCCTTTTACGAGGGCCTCAAAACCCCGCTGTCCACCGTTTCACTCCCTTTCGGATCCGGTGATGCCGTGGCGGGCATCACCGCCAGCATTCTCTCCAAATCTGCCGTCTACCCGCTCGACACCGTCCGCAAACGGCTGCAGATTCAAGGGCCGTCGCGGACCAAATATATCGGTGGTGCGAAGATTCCTGTGTATGATCAGGGGGTATTGAAGACTCTGGCTCAGATCGCCGGCCGTGAGGGGATCAAGGGCTTGTATCGTGGCTTGACTGTCAGTTTGTTCAAAGCTGCGCCGGCGAGTGCCGTCACGATGTGGACGTACGAAAGGGCGATTCACTTGATGATGGAAGCGCCGGTGTCAGTGCTGGAGGACAGGGAATGATTGCATGACGATGCATTCGGAGGAACCACCAATCTTCCACGCTTGAATTGTATACTTAGGCGGAGCTCTCTCGTTCGAACAATTTCCTGAGCCATCACTCGCCTCACAATGCCGACAATCACTTTGTGATCAATATGAATGATGAGTGAAGAATAGTTCTGTTCCCTTCTAACCAATGCACCGCCCGCCACCACATGTATAGTACAGGTGTAAATACAACAGCGAATCAAACAGTCCCCATCCTGTACATCGGGGAAGACCGAGCATCATCACGCTCAACAAGTCCGGGCCATGGCCGTTCCAGCCCTTCGAGGATCACGCGGAGGGTGACGATTCTGCGTCCCCATGCCTCAATGTAAAGCCTTCGGCTCGTGGGCCTTGCTCTCCACCGCGCAAAGTCCTCCGGAAGAGGAGCGCTTACGCTCGACAGAATGCGATTTGCCGAAATTACTCCTGCGGTCCGTCCTGGAATCTTCGCGCTCTGCTGGCGCTGTAGTCCACCTTCAATGCTCGGCCATACACGGTCTCCCTCTCCAGCACCTCCTTGGCCTTTTGCGCAGCCTGGATGTCGATGAAGTCGGCGTGGGCAAAGCCTCGCGGTTGTCCGGTGCGGCGGTCAATGGCGACGCGGACATCGAGGACGTCGCGGATGTTGCGGAAGAGGTCTGTTACGAGAGAATCAGCACACAATGCTTGTTGCACCCAAGAGGATAGTAGGACTTACCGTTCAGGTCGCGATCGGACATTTGGAAGGACAGGTTCCCAATAAACAGAGTCTTGCTGGGCGGGTGGGGTGCTCTCGGCGTGGTATCAAAGACACTGGAGGCCGCGCTGGGCCGCTGCCTATCTCGAGCCTGATGGGGTTGTACCATCATCCTTCGGCCCTCAAACACGCTCTGGTCCATTTGCTTGATAGCTTCCTCCGCATCGGCTGGCGACTCGAACTCCAAATATCCAAATCCTTTGCTTAGACCGCGCGGGTCGGTGACGATGCGTGCATTGGTGATGTTGCCGAACTTGGCAAAGTGCGCTTGCAGGCTGTCTGCGGTGACTTCGAAGAACAGATTGCCGATGTAGAGAATGCGGGGGTCGGGTATGCCAGTAGCAGTTCGCGGGGGAAAGCTCACAGCGCCGTCTCGTGGGGCTCGCGGTCTCGCTGAGGCGTTCCTGGCAGAGGTTGCGGCGGCGCCGGCAGCGAAGGAGGCCTAGGTGGCGGTGGGTTAGCTTTGTTCCGCACATCTAGTTAATTCATCACTCACAGACTCGGCAGCGGCAGCGGCCAATTCTCCAGCTTCGTAGCGACCAGCGCGGGGGGCATTGGCTTCCTCAGCAGCAGCATCCGCCACCTCGGCCGCACCGATTGCCTCTTCAGCCGCCTCATCAGCGAGTTCTGTGGCTTCGGCGGCCTGATTGGCAGACTCGGCGCCATCGACTACTTCTTCGGCGACCTGCGCAGTCTCTGCAGCTGTGCTAGCTACTTCGGCTTGTTCAACCGCCTCATTCGCCAGCTCTTCGGTGACGACCTTGGTCTCATCTTCTGCTGCTCGCGATATCCGAGATTGATGGAATGCACGGTAGATTGTAGGCTTGGAGGACTGCGAAATAGACAGTCGAGTGTTCAACGGTCGAGTGGCGGAGATATGGCGAGAAGGTTGGATAAGAACCGCGCGGAGGGCAGCGCGACGGAGAGGATACCTGGGATGGATTAGCGACGGAGTTGACATGCGATGATCAGCTGCTCTCACATGATGCGGGTGCAAGAGCGCGTTGGCGCAGTCGAGGAGATTCGGTTTCCAGTCGATCACTGTTGGGGGCTCCACAAGGTCACGGAAGGGGTTGAGTGGCGATGAAGTAAAAGAGCGTGTTGAAGTTGTTAGCTCATGATGCAACTCTCGTGATCTCCTGGGAAAAGTTTCAGCGTATCCTCGACTCTATCGATGGAAAATTAAAGTCTTGGGACGGATCTCGGGCGACGACTTTTGGCTCTTCAACTACTGCATCGTCTCTCTGTATCTACGCAGCACTCATGCTTGACAACTGCTCTCAATTGAATAAATGACAGTCCGAATCGAGTCCATCGGTACCTACCTATGCGTGCCGTTCTTGTATAGTCGTCGCCATCGCCATGATGAATCCTTCGGTCAAGTCTGTCCGAATTCAGGTCGAATCTACTGGGCCGCATTGTCGCAGCTTCTCACCAACGTCCAGGTCTCGATTAGAATTGCCGACACTTTCACGTGAGCATGAGTCTTGCTCATGAAGGAGTCCGACTCGACGAAACATTCGAAGCCAGCCTGATCTTGTGGCAGATATAAGCTTCCGGCCCCGCCCGCCTCCCGCGACGCGAGAGTTTCGGATGGCAAACCCTAAACAGCTTCAAACGTGTACTCTTTGAACTTCTTGCCAAGCGCACCCCATGGCGATTGAGAGCAGTCTCGCCTCTTCCCATTGACCTCCGTCCCCTTCATTCCGCTCCTTGCCCTTCCCTTCTTCCTGTTTGCCATCATGGCGGCCTCCCAATCCCTCGAAGGGCCTGGTGTCCGGTTCTTCTTCGAGGGCGAGAGCGGACGAAACACCAGGGGCCTCCTTCGACTGATCATCTTGTGCACCATTGCCGCCGCCGCCGTCGCGAGCAGATTGTTTTCCGTCATCCGGTTTGAGAGCATCATTCATGAATGTATGTGGAAAGAGATTGGACATGTGTATACCGTAGCAGAGGGCTAATAAGTTGGGTGGACAGTCGATCCCTGGTTCAACTTTCGAGCAACAAAGTACTTGGTCGAGCATGGCTTTTACAAATTTTGGGATTGGTTCGATGACCGTACGTTGCAATCAATGGTACAAACCACAGGAGAAGGATGTTTGGGCTGAATTGCATAACGCAGGAACATGGCATCCCCTCGGTCGTGTCACCGGGGGCACCCTCTACCCCGGTCTGATGGTTACATCTGGAGTCATCTACAAAGTCCTCCGCTTCCTCACCTTTCCCGTCGACATTCGCAACATTTGCGTACTGCTCGCTCCTGGCTTTTCCGGCTTGACGGCTTTCGCAACATACCTTTTGACCTCCGAGATGAGCGATTCGCCCTCTGCCGGCCTCCTCGCGGCCATCTTCATGGGTATTTCGCCGGGCTATATCAGCAGAAGTGTTGCAGGCAGCTACGACAACGAAGCCATTGCAATCTTCTTGCTTGTCTTCACCTTCTACCTCTGGATCAAGTCGGTCAAGGAAGGGAGCATCATGTGGGCCGGCTTGTGCGCTTTGTTCTACGGCTACATGGTCAGCGCGTGGGGTGGCTACGTCTTCATCACGAATCTGCTCCCGTTGCATGCCTTTGTCTTGACTTGCATGGGCCGATTCAGCCCTAGGCTGTACGTGAGCTACACCACGTGGTACGCCCTGGGCACGTTGGCAAGCATGCAAGTCCCGTTCGTGGGCTTCTTGCCCATCCGGAGTAGCGACCACATGTCTGCATTGGGTAAGTCCATCGATGAAGCGCTCTGTGTGCTGTGCTAACACAACTTCCAGGTGTCTTCGGCCTGCTTCAACTCGTCGGGTTCACCGAATGGGTCCGAACACAACTCCCCTCGAAGCAGTTCCAAACACTCCTCCGAGCATTGGTGCTGATCGTCTTTGCCCTCGCCTTTGGCTTTTTGGTCCTCCTCACCGTCTCTGGCACCATCGCCCCGTGGTCTGGCCGCTTCTACTCTCTCTGGGACACTGGCTACGCCAAAATTCACATCCCAATCATCGCGTCCGTCTCCGAGCATCAGCCTACCGCCTGGCCCGCGTTCTTCTTTGATCTCAACATGCTCATCTGGCTCTTCCCGGCCGGTGTATACATGTGCTTCCGCCATCTAAAGGACGAGCAGGTCTTTATCGTCATCTACGCCGTCCTTGCCAGCTACTTCGCCGGTGTCATGGTGCGGTTGATGCTGACCCTCACGCCGATCGTCTGTGTGGCAGCCGCAATGGCTCTGAGCCAAATTTTGGACACCTTCTTGGTGGCGTCCTCCCCAGAAGATCCCGAGACGAAAGCCAACGGCTCTTCGAAGCCGAACGGCAACGCCAACATTCACGAGAAGATTGCATCCGCCATTCCCGAGTCGCTCAGCTCCACCAAGTCCGCTGTGGTTGGCATCTACACCAGATTATCCAAATACGTAATCGTTACCGCCTGCTCCATCTACCTCATGATCTTCGTCATGCATTGTACGTGGGTGACCTCGAACGCCTACAGCTCGCCGTCGGTGGTCTTGGCGTCTCGTCTTCCAGATGGCAGCCAACACATCATCGATGACTACCGCGAAGCATACTACTGGCTTCGACAGAATACCCACCCCACCGCCAAGGTCATGAGCTGGTGGGATTATGGGTACCAGATTGGTGGCATGGCCGATCGACCGACGCTGGTGGACAACAACACCTGGAACAACACTCACATCGCCACCGTGGGCAAGGCCATGAGCTCGCGAGAGGAGGTCAGCTACCCTATTATGAAGGAGCACGAGGTGGACTACGTCTTGGTGGTGTTTGGTGCGCTGCTGGGCTACAGCGGCGACGACATCAACAAGTTCCTCTGGATGGTCCGGATAGCGGAGGGTGAGTTGTGAGCCTTTCTTCTGCACGGAGCACCACTAACAAACACACAGGCATCTGGCCCGACGAGGTCAAAGAGCGCGACTACTTCACGCCGCGCGGCGAATACCGCGTCGACGACGAGGCCACCCCGACCATGCGCAACAGCCTGATGTACAAGATGAGCTACTACAACTTCGACAAGCTCTTCCCCGCCGGCCAGGCCGTCGATCGCGTGCGCGGCTCCCGCCTCCCCACCGAGGGCCCCGAGCTGAGCACGTTGGAGGAGGCGTTTACCAGTGAGAACTGGATTATTCGCATTTACAAGGTCAAGCCGTTGGATAATTTGGGGCGGTCGCATCAGGAGGCCGGGTTGTTCGAGAAGGGCGGAAAGAAGAAGAAGGCTTCGAAGCGGAAGGGGGCGAGGGTGCTCAGGGTTGAGTAGGGGTGGTGATCGGCCTTGGGAAAATGTATGGAGGAGGAGGACAAGATTTTGTTGTATGATTATGCAAAATCCTCTCATAGACTCGGCGTCAACATGATTCGCGCGGCCGCTTGTCTCCTTACTGATACATCTCCCAGCTCATTTTCCTCCTCCCGGCCTTAAAGCAACGGCGGACTCGCGTGAGCTGCACGCACCTTCTGGACCGAGGCCTGCCATGAACTCACCGAGAGATGCCAGCGTGACCGCGTCAATTCTCCATGGCCAGCCCTTCGAGATCAGGAGTCGAGAGTGATGCCTAAGGCTGCCAGTGTGTGCCTAAGGTCAGCCGCAAGGAGGCTCAGACCGTCTTCCGATTGACGCATTCATGTTGCCGACAATGCCAATCAATATCGGCTTCCCCGGTTATCAGACGTCAGCAGCAAACGCAATCGGACTCGCGCGATTGATGCCTAAGTTTGCGAAGCTGTTCTCCAGTATCTCCCGGCGTTTTATCCGCATACTGGACCGGATACTCATGTATGGCGCCATCTGCACGACATTCGGGACTTCTGCCAGACAGATGAAGATACCGAGTCATGACAAGAGGGCTGTCCGCACACCCGAACGCAAGTTCGATTCACATACCAGTCGGGTCCAGCTATGAAGTAACATCGTCCCGGAACCGTCAGAGCGAGCATGTATATCCGAGGCAGCGCGCCATGGTTCAGCTTAAAGTTGCCTCTCGTGTTCGTCGCCTGTTTGGTAGGCATGACATCAAACGCGGCCGCAAAGTTTGGCTCTGAAGGGAAGAAAACGAGTCGGCCAGAAGTTTCCACGCCCCCAAAGCCCGGGAGGCCGTGAAGACTTGACAAATATGAAGTAGTCCTGGTTGCTTACCGGCGAATGCTTGATCCAGTCATAAGCACCTCGCTCAAGAAACGCGCAAGCAACGTAGGCAACCGCCAAGACCCTGGGCGCCCGCACTCGTGAGTGTAGTTGGCTGACGACTGCGCTCCTTCGCCGTGTTCTGCCTGATATAGCCTCTTATGACACTGAGCGCGGTAAGCAGTGGAAATACGAGCCATACGACATGCCTTTGTGGGCGGGCGCAGCAGAAAGCACGAGCATCCAGAAGAGTTCCTCGCACCCGAGCGGAATCGTGATCTCGGGGGCAAATCCGAACCGTCTTCTAACTTTGGCGTGGAGAACGTGGGTCAATACCGCCCATCGCCTTGACTCCGGAATGCCATCATCACGGCCAATCCTCACCCAGCGGAAGCCGGCGGACCCATTAAACAACACTCTTTCCAGTGAGGGCGGATGATCGGGCCGCGGGCAGGACTGGCTTCGAGAGCTCCAGGCGTGCTCCTCTGTCTTCCCGTGGCCTCGCTATAGCAACGCATGCAGGGTGATATTGGCAACGTGCAGGCCCAATGCCAAGAAAGCGTCCCCCGCACGTGTCCTGGCGGCGGCGAACGGGCGGACGAGCACCAAACAGTTGCCAGCCGCATGCTGGCTGCAAACGGCGGCGCGATCCACGGTCCGTCAGCCAAGCTTGCATGCCCTGGAGCTTGCAAAGCAAGGCTTGGAAAACTCTGCCAGCGCAGACCGTTGTCGTGGCTTCCTATTTTCGGCCGGGCCGCCCCACAAACGTCTGCAACGGCAGTCCACCTGCATGCCACTACATGGGCAACACCCCTGCGCCCCAGCCTCTGCGCTGGAAGCCGGCACGAACCCTGGCAAAGAGCGGCGAGGAATTACGAGGTGCGTTCCCGCTTGGGACACACTAACCACGCCGGGTTGCCAATAGTTGGGGCCTTGCATCGCCCCCGGGGGAAAAGCGCCGCGCAGTACCTGCTTTCCGTTGAAGTTTGTTGATCCCTCGGGTATTTTCGCTGACGTCTCGTGGGGCCCGTGACAGCATAACCTCCGCACGGCTGGGACTGCCATTCGCCGTTTGGAGCTCGCTGTATGCATCAACCCAGCGATAGAAGGTAATGGCCACGAAAGTGCCGCACTTCCGCAGGCGACAGTATTGGTTGCTCGTAAAGGATCGCCAGCATCACCGCGTATACGCATGGAGTCCGTTATTGCAGGGGTCTCTTACGTCGGGAGGACGGCTTACGGCATTCGGCCAGCGTGCAAGTCGCGTGGATACTCGATGGGTCCATCTTATGTCACTGTCCCCGACTGTCGCTCGGATAGGGCATGCGATCGCGGACCCTCTGCTTCTCCAGCCCTTGCACCGCCGCAAATAGAGCGGGCCCTCATTCGTCACCGCCGCCGCTCATCGTCCAAATGCGGCAATGCCCACCTGTAGCCAGGCCACGGCTGCGTGCTGACTTTTCCCAACCCTGCCACGACGACGGTGCTGCGGGTACGAGGCTCTGGATTCAGGCCCGTCCGCTCTTCTCAGCACCCTCGCCGGCTCCACTGCTGTGAGTTGTCCTGGCGTCCCATAAGAACCCGATCTCGTCCCGTCTCGTTCGACTCTTTCTTTTCCTCCATCATCAACAATACACTGCATCAACAATCACTCGCTTAATTTCTTTCACTTCCAAACCCCCCACAACACAATCAACATGAAGGTCTTCGCCGCCGTCCTCGCCTCTGCTGCTGTCGCCGCTGCCGTCCCCCAATGGGGTAACGGAGGTAGCTGGGGAAGTGAGTATTATCGTTCCAGTCGGATCAGTGGACGATCGCTGACATGATTACGCAACAGGCAGCACTGAGTGCACTACCGCTACCGTCACCTCCACCGCCACTGAGACTGTCACCGCCAGCGCTCAAGGCTGGGGCGAGTCTGGTTCCGGCTGGGGCCAGGGTGGCCAGGGCTGGGGCTCGACTGCGACTGTTACCGACACCGTCACTGCCACTGCCACTGCCACTGCCACTGTGACCAAGCAGAGCTGGGAGACTAGCACCGTCACCGACACCGTCACCTCATACGAGTGGAAGACTGTTACCGCGACGGCCACCGAGACTGATACGTGAGTTATACTCTGCCTCGCGGAGCGGGGGGCACTTCAGTGGCCCACTGCCGTACAATTCATCCGTGCTGACCTCCCATTGTAGCGTTACGGCTACTGCTACCGTCACTGCCTCTGCCACCTGGGGCGGCGAGAGCGGCTCCGGCTGGGGCTCTGGCTCCGGCTCCGGCAGCTCCGGCAGCTGGGGAAAGCAGTAGATGGGAGACGAACAACAACGCTCCTATCCGCGCGCCCACGCTTCATCCAAAACCATGAACCGAACCAAGGCGCCATTCGACAGCCTTGATGATCACTCCTTTAATGATTAATGCGTGCGATGGTGGCTGGGGTGGGTGTTCAACTAAAGGTTACATATTACCCTCGACCTAGTGTGTAAAATCAATGGACAAATAGTCTTGTACATCTCTGTTCCAGGTTCTCGTGTTCTCTCAGCGTGTAGTTCGACAGTCGACGCCGGCCGTCGGGATTTTGACGACGAGAATGTCCAGTATGCGTCTTCAACTTGTTGACCGATCGATTGATAAGAAAGGAATGCCTGTCGCCAGTTGCGTCCATTCTCACGACGATGTTAACGTGGGAGGTACCGCAGAAACGTCTCATTCCCGTTCTGCTGTCGCCTTCGGAGCCGAGAGTTGACGTCGCTGCAAGCAGTTTCTTGGACAAAGCTTGACGATGCATGGCGCGCACCGACGCGTTGAACATTGCACACAGCAGCCGTGTCGGACAGGGAAAATTGACTCGATCGATAACGCGTGTTGCACCGCGTTGGAAGTCAGACGTTCAAGAGACGTCGTCGACGCTGGCGTTGGACCGTGCCGTCATGGACATCCCGACCTCACCTCACCTGTCGACTTTTCGTCTTTCTCTACCCACGATGATCCGCTTCTTTGTAACGATTGTTCCATGCCTTGCCGTCACAACTCACATTTCGACGGTTGTCCTTCTCGCTGTTCGCCGAAATCAACTCTGCGACTCTGCTCCAGTAGCGTCACCACCAAAATGGCCATCTCATCAGATTCCACCGAGGGCTATCCGAGCGATCGGTCTGATCTCAGCAATTCTAACGCTCGCCATTCCATATTTGTTCTTCCAAAATGACCCCATAATCCAACCAGCCTTGCGTTGTGTGGCCTTTTTCTACGCCTGCAAAATTCTCGACCTTGCACTCGCAAGAGCCACTCAGCCTCCGACGCTTTTGATGCACCAAGATGAATCCACCAACCAAAAGGGAACCCAACTAAACCCGCCTGATACCAGTCCATGGGAATATACCTACTACCTCCTGACCGAAATGCGCTACCAGTCCTTCTCAACTCACACCACCCAACTTCTCCGCCCGGACACCAACAAACAATCCACTCACAGCCCCGTCTGGACCATTTTCCCGCCGACCATCCTTCCAACCCTCGTCTACCTGCATCCGACACCAATCCTTAAAGCTCTCCTAGCCCTCCTCGTAATTCAATACGCCCTGGAAACCTTGCACACCTTCCTCCACCGGGACCGCAAAACCTGCACCCAACCTCTTTTCCACACTCCTTTCGCAGCCCCCTCCTTCGGCGCCTTCTGGTCCACCCACTGGCACGCAGCCGCGAACCCCTTCCTACAAAGCCTCGCCTACCAGCCAGTCCGCACGCTCTCCGGACAAAAAGCACCGGCGGTGTTGGCCACGTTCGCTCTGACCGGGATCTGGCATGCGTGGGCCGCGATGCCGGCTGTGGAGAGGGAGATGCAGGCGGTGTTCGGGTGGCGGGTTTGGATGATTTTCATGGTGATGGGCTTGGGGATTTGCGGGGAGAGGGTGGTGTGGGGGAAGAACCAGGGAGGCTGGGTCCAGAGGATTGTGGTCTGGGGAACTGCCGCTTGGACGGCTGGGTGGGCATTCGAGGTTCTGGAGTGTCATTCGAGAATTGGAGTGTTGCGGGTTGCTGGCAAGGCGTGTGGATGATCTCATCGATATTGCCAGCCCTCCGGGGCCTCCCGGGGCGGAACAGAATACCGTGGGGCAAGCTCGACAACGTGGGATTTGCCATGCTGGTCAACACCGCTCGACGGCGGATCTCATCGATGTAACCAGCGCTTCGGGAGCGGAGAGGAGTGCCGTAAGGCTGACCCCGACGAGCATGCCAGGTGAGATCTGCCGAACTGCCTCTCACCCCAAGAGCTTAGCCTCGCTTTCTGCGCGTGGAGTTCGCCGCGGCTGTCCACTCAACTGTGAAGTGCTGCTGCTCAACCAGGGAATGCAGCGAGCTCATCAGCAGGGGTGATTAATTGCCTACTCGCCATCCAGCGTCAGCTTCAAGTCTCCCTTCCTTCCCGGTCATCTGGTTTCGTCCATCCAGCCCTGAGCGATGTCCACCAGTACGCCAGCGACCCAAAGACGCCGGCTTCATCGTTTGCGAAGTACAAACCTTGGGGTTGTCCATCCAAGTGCAATGTCATGTTGCTCAACCAGCCAATGCAGCGTGCACACCAACAGCAAGTTCACGGCACCACCGTCGTATGTCAGTTCCCCAACCTGGGATGTGACAAGCTATGCTCGAGCCCCAAGAGTCACACCAAGCACGCAACAGCGATGCACGAAGCGGAGCTCTACCATATCGCCGGTGAGAGAGCGCTACTTCTTTCGCTGGCGTCGAGATTATCCGATGCGAGCCTTGTCGCATTGGGGTCACATCGGCAGCGAAGCTGATAGCTCACAAGGGCATCAAGCTACATTCACAGCGCGAGAATTTCATCAAGTGCAGAGCATGTGGATCTTTCTTCAAGCGCGTCCCGCTCGAGCAGCACTACGTGTTGTACCACGGCTTCAAAGTCCCTGATGGAAACCGAGACGTTGTCGCTTACGCAATGAAGTACATATTCGTCGGGTCAACGCTGCCAATGCACCTGGGCCTAAAAGGTACCGACCCGCCTACTCGCATCGTGGTGGTCTTCCGGATCAGCAGCGCAAACCAGAGTCCGAAGATCACCGAGCTACAAACAGCTATCGGACTCCAGGCGAAGGCGGAGAAGTCTGTCGACCGGCTCCGGCAATCCATGGGCTGGAACGGTCCTATCGAGACGCATGGAATCTTTCTATATGCGATACCTTCCAACTTGCTCCCTGCTGTCAGCACAGAACGAGTCGAGACCGCCGCGAGGGAGCTGGGCCACAGCATCACGGGCAGGATGACGAGGGATATTGTCAACTACACGCGGAAGCTGGAGGATTTGATTAACAACGGCGGAGTGCGCCCTGCGATCATCAACAATTGGGATAACTGTGGAGCGAACTGGAGTCTTTTTGAGGAATTCGCGCACCGTGTGGTCGACTTCACAATGTACACACACTGCAGCAATCGGCGCTCGTACGAAGTAGAGCGTACAGGACTCAATTCCCAACAACTACTCCCTCGATCGGACGTGGACGGGTATTCGCTGTTGATCGCCGAGACGAATAGTTTGAAGACGCGACCGCTGCCGCCGATCGATGGCGTTATCGACCGAGAAATGAAGCGCTGGGAGTGGCAGCTCCAGCGCCAGATGATGAGCGACGGTGGTCGTTGGAAACAACTAATGCGAGACTTGAGTGGACGTGAGCGGCTGGATCAAGGGTTCGTCGACACATGGCGAAGATCAGTATACCTAGGCGTGTATGCAGAGAGGCTGTCGCTGTTGATTACTTATCCACCACGAGACATGCCAATCTTTACTCAAAACAAGCAGTACCTAGCTGTGCTATTGTCCTATCGTCCTATCATCACAATTTCCACTGTAGCCCTCATTCACTGTCGCTGTCGTCGGCGACGGCATTGGTCTGCTGCATCACACCATCCCCCACCGCATATCTCGCATTGCACAGCTCCTCTGACTGCCCGCGGCTATCTACTAACCGCTCCTTGATCATGCGCTCCAGTCGGGCCACCTCTAATATGTCGACCCCCAAGCTCCCGCAACGCTCGCCCAGGTACGCAAGCCCGCGTAGAAGCGCTCCGGTATGCTCCTCTGGCTGCTGCTGCTGCTCGTCTGCCTCTTGTTGACGTCCAGCAGTGTCCGGAAACGTGAAGGTGAATGACAGGTAATCCTTGCGAAGCGTCTGTCGATACCAGTCCTCGGATTGGGGACCTAAGTTCTCGTCGAATGCGAGCATAGTGTCCATCTCACGCCGTACGCGGACGCGTAGACTGTTGTAACGCTCTTCCTCCAACCGTACACTGCGGAGTGGTGGTCCACCACGGCGAAATACCATGGCCCATTGCACCAGTCCATATAAGCTGGCTTCGCGGACGCCAGTGCATCGGATTTGCAAGTGGGCGAGAGTGTGAGCGAAGTCGTAAGGGAGACAGTCAAGCGTAGCTGAATAACTGTAGGCGGTTTAGCGATCGAATGTCGAGCTTGAGGCTGCATGTAAAGATGGCGTGTTTAGTAGTCGTTTGCATAGCGAGGTTGCGCTCAGCGCGATTGCTCAAGTCCACCACAGGCTTTACGCAAAAGAGGAGGAGGGGAATGAGTGGCAGGGGCTGTGTGTCCCTGAGCTCACCTACTGCACAGGTATGTGTTCATCGAGACCGGGTTTTACATGAGCCAACAAATCCACTCCAGGGAGACCGGCGGCCGATGTTGTGCTCGAGCAGTTCGACGAGGGGGACGATTAGTTCGTAGTCGATTCATAGCAGGAATGTGCGGCTGATCGTTGCCCTCAACTGACTGGATCTACCATCTCCCTTGCAAAAAGCCCTGACGAGCCCCGGACTGGATTCAGAACTCGCTATACTTTGTATTCAACGTTCATGAGAACCGCCAGGCCGTCAGCGAGCGGCAGGGAGTGAATCACTTCTTCTGGCACGTAGTCTGCCTGCTTTCAATCGTCGTCGCAGTTCTGGACTGTGTCGACTCAAGTCATGGTTCCTCGTAAGAGAAGACCACAGTCACGACCGTTTGCATTCCTCATCCGCGCATCAGATGTAGGATCAATTCAAGGAACCCCTCAAGACCCTTCCCTCGAACAGCCGCGAGAACTGCTCAACTTGCGCGATTCGAGGAGAAGGCCCACCCGCAGTCAGCCCAAACAGCACCCATTCGACATCTGCTCCTCGCGGTAAAGCGTCGACCTGAACAGTGAAGAGGTCCGGAAACCCTGATAAAGACGACGCAGATCCACCTGCTTCGTCCAAAGAGTGTCGCGGCGCGTATGCCTCTTGTCTCGCGGCGCCGTATTTCAGGTCCCACACGTCGAAATTGGGATCCTCTGCGGCTGCAGCCGGGCTGTCTTCGTCATGCAAGGCCTCCCAGACCTGACGGATGATGCGATGCTGCGAGTGAGCATCTTTGGCCTTGGCTGCTGTGATGAAGACCACCGCGCAAGCCCACTGGTTGACTTGCATGGCTCTGCCCACGCGAACACCGTGCTGCAGTGCCAGGACCGCCTGGGTGCTGAACGCAGCTCGCTTGTACGATTGGTCGGGTGTAACAATCTCCATGGACGCAGGAACCAGTGGAATTTGACCAGCAATGTACACCAAAGAGCCATTCTCACCTCCGTCAAGAGGCACGGAGATGGCTTGAGAGTAGGGGCCGATATTCGCCGGAGCCCAATAGGAGCGGGATTGTACGTGGAGTCCATGTCTCGCCGACGACATCGCAGGCTCAGACACGGTAAAAGAAACCATGACATGCTTGTCTAATGGAAGGACTGCGGCACAGGCGATCGTTGCCCGAGCCGGAGGGTTGGTGAATCGGAAGAATTGGCCGTATATTGGGTTGATGGCGGCGAAGTCGGCCATGTTTCGGAGGATGATGCTGGTATAGGTTACGTTTTTGAAGGTGCAACCTTTTGCATGAAGTGATTGCTTTGCTCCTTTCATGAGAGAGAGCATCTGTTGTGCGACGGTCGATCCTTTTCCAGTGAGGCTTGACATAAAGTGACCGGCCTGAGGCTGGCCGCTGTGGTTTGGTGTAACGGGTCCTGCTAGCACGTCGCTCACAATACTGTCTGTTCCCGGAACAGGTCTTGTCTCCGCCAAAAGAGCATCGAGAATGCCCTGAAACCGTGGCTCAAGCAACACTGGCGACCTCAAATGCTCCACAAAATCCTCACGACCATCCTCTCTGCTCTCGACGCGTACACTCAACACCCGTACAGAGGCACTGCCAGCATCACCAGGAAGGGCCTCTCTATCGTCATCTTCCACCACCAAGCGCCGTTTCCAGAGCCACGACGGGCCGTCCACAGCCAGTGTCTCGTACTCGCCCCCTTCCCCGAGGACAGCACCGTCGTTGAGGGTTCCAAAGCGCTTAGCGGCCTGCTCAAGGCGGGTGATTGTCCGGAGATCAGCCACATTCTCCCAAAGAAAGCTTACATCCAGCCCGCCCGATGCCACTTTGATGATCCGAGAGTCTTGACCAACAGCAGCCATGTCGAGGAGAAGAGATGTGGGAGTATGCGGTGGTAGAAGCGGGTACTGCCAAAGGTATGACAGTGGCGTCAGTCCCAGCCGTACCGCAACAGACTCGACTCTTGTTCGCTGATAGTCCGACAGGATTGCTCCAGTGCTCACGGCGTTCACCTCTGGGTGATTGTCTTTCACTTTTTGTAGTAAAGGTATCAAAGCCTCCGTCTCGTCGTTCTCGGCAATGAAGCCATAACACTTGTCAGCATTCACTGCGGAGCCACCAATCTCTTGCCGGTAGAGAGGCAGGCCAAGGGCTTCAGCGTAACGCGGGACGACAGCATGGCCGATGGTTTGATACATGTAGCTATCCATGTCATCAATTAACGCCTTTCCGCCAAGAGGTGGATGGAGGTTGGCGAGGGCAACGATGTTGTGCCCATTCTTCTTGCAATGCAGGAGTGAGAAGAAAGAGTCTTTTCCGCCTGAGATAAGGCCCACGACATTCAGGCTGGCCATGAGGAATGACACAGGCGGGTTCGAGATTGAAAGGATGTCCGCCACCTACCTCACGAATCAGACTACATCTACCGCATACACGCCACTCAAGAATCAGAGCTGACCGGAAATCTTCAATCACTCATCATCCGCTCATCATAGTGAAGGTATGTTCGATCTCCAGCGCGCCGTCAGGGCCACAGAAACACGCAAAAAGAATGTTTGGGCAAGACAAGTCGGAGGTGTGCCGGAGAGGACCGATCTGCAATTTTGTTCGCTCTGTGGCGCGATTGACGCTTTGTCGGATTTGACCACGGGAGATTAGATCTGGTTGACAAGCAACATTGGGGAAAACGAATCGCGCCGCCGCACGAAGAGAGGAAGAAGAGAGGAGGTGGGAGAGGCGGAGGAAATTTATACGTGAGGGTGTGGCTTTTTGGCGCTTAGCCTGATTGGGCATTGCATGTGTCCCGTCGGCCTGGTGTTGCTGCCGATTTAAACCGCTTGACATCAACTAATAACACACCCAGTACGCCCGCTAAGATTCGCATTCCTCCAAACCAACCCATTCTAGTGTATCATGTTCGTAAAATCAGACCAAAATCTAAAAGTTCTCGGAAGCATCGTGGTGCCTTCCGTTCGTGTACGCGTCGCCTCCATTTGTGTATACAGGCCCACCGTTCACGTTGCCCATCTCTTGTGTATGTTGCGCTTCCGGATCGTCACGCTTCCGCAACGGAGGGAAGCGATTGTCCTTAGGCCTGGTGTTGACCGCTGGGAGGAAGTCGAGGATGAAGCTCCACACGTAGAAGATGTAGACCAGCGAGACAATCCACTCAAGGATGGCGGCGGTGTTGCGGTTTTTCCTGTAGCTTTCCACACCAAAGCCAATGACGAGGCCGACTTCGATGAAGATGAAGGCCATCTTGATCCAGAAAGATGCCCGGAGGACGCGATACTGACGGAAGTGGATACCCAGTCGTTGATACTCTGCGTCGATGAAGATTGCCGAGACGATGTATCCCGCACTAATTGTCCACAAAGTCAGCGGCTTGACATGAGAGTGTTGAATCATGGGACTCGTACATGAACACCACAAGCAGGGCATCGTGCGTGTGCGGATAGGTCTTGACGTCAAAGATGGTCAAAAGAATGAGGCCCAGTCCGCCAATGATGGCGGCGATGATGGCGCAAACGCTGAGAGCCGCCTCTCGCTTTGTGTAGTTGGGAGTCAGGCGGTTCCTGTGTCGAAGCCAGCGTTCGGCAATGAAGGAGAGGTTGAATACAACGACCATGGTGGTGCTACCCGCGATGAAGAGCGGTCGGAGGAAGGTGGCGCCGATGTCAGAAATGTATGCGATGTGCTGGTCGGCCGGCATGAAGGGATAGTGAGGCGATCCGGCTGCCAACCAGTATCCCAACATTCCTGCAAGAGTGCCTGCGATGACGATGAGTGGGCTGATGCGACTTGGGAATGGGAGTGTTTATTGCTTACCGAGCCATACTGTGCCGGCGAACAGTGGCAAGAACCAGTACGAGATACCAAACATGGTCGCAATTCGTGTGGTGGGAGTGAACGCGTCGTGTGAGGAGTGACAGTGACGGTGACAGGGAAGAAAGAATGGCAAGGAGAGCGGGCGTCGTCTGTAAGAACCTTGGCTGATCTCAACGCTGACGTTCTTCAACCGGCGGCGCGCGCGAAACAACTGCCAGAGCGGGAATCACAAATACGTCACAGCTCATGTCCGCAGGGCAACAAAGTTTTGCCGGAGGCTCCCGGGTATAGCCTTCCGCTGCGCCCATCCACGGGTTTCTCATCTTTTTTCCATTTATGCTTATTGCGAAGAACCTGGAATTTGGTGTCCACGACTCGTGCAAAAGGGTACTTCGCGTCTTCCTGCTCTATCAATGTTGCCCTGTTCCATGACGCCTGCAAAAGAAGAGGCCCTGCGAAGGAAATGAGACTCTTACAAGTGCCATCGGAAGTCGGCAAGCATGCGACAACCTGCCCTACGCGTTCCTCTTGGCAGAGACGCAGCAAATCTCAAATCTTGCGGTCAGGTTGAGAGACGGGTGAACGATGATCCAGACGTCGTGCAAAGTATCATTAGCATAAAGTTGGTTGCATAAAAGAGAATCAGAATGCCGCTGCACAGCATCACGTGATCATATCTCTTGCCAAGGCCGCGGGATGTCCCGAAAAGTTCTGCCAAGACCCGAATTCTGCAAACCCACCCAAGTCGTGCACTCCCGTTCTCACCACGGTCAGCGACACCAACACCCACAACCATCGTCAAGATGCCGAAAGAAGTCAAGCAGAAGTCCGGCATCATCGTCGGTGCCAATGCTGGCCACGTACGTGACATTGCCAATCCCACGGCGCCTAACGCGGGAGATTGAACGAAAAAACTAATCTGTATTCCACCGAGCAGAAAGTCACTCCCCGCCAGCCGAAGCCGCGTGTCTCGCGCATGAAGGGTCACTTGAGCAAGCGTACGCAATTCGTGAGAGAGATTGTGAGGGAAGTCTCGGGGTAAGTCGTCCAGTCCGCGATACAGCCTGCCGTCACAGCACCCCGGCGGTATTTCTTCAAAAGCACATCATCACCTCTAACACTTTCCCCTCTGCAGTCTTGCACCCTACGAGCGCCGCGTCATCGAACTCCTCCGCAACAGCAAGGACAAGCGCGCGAGGAAGCTGGCAAAGAAGCGACTGGGAACATTCGGCCGTGCGAAGAGGAAGGTGGACGAGATGACCAAGGTCATTGCGGAGAGCAGGAGAGCAGGGCACTAGGTGTGGTGTATCAAGGGTGCTGTCGGTGGTCAAAGAGGTCAATGAGCATGGATCAGAGGCAGGCATACGGTTTCTAGCACGCTGCAACAGCGAACGGCCCAGTCGCTCAAGTCGCAGAGGCATGCGTGTGTGCATCCAACTGGTTTCACGTTGTTACCTCACTCGAATCAACTCTTTCCGTTGCACGATGTCGTTCTATTGGTGGCTTTGCCTTGTGCAGTCACCGTCACCAGCCCTTGATCTGGCCGAGCAAGCTGCCGCTGCTTCTCATGATTGCAGGTATTGGAGCCTCCCTTACATCCTGGATCTGGCATACCTCCGCTCGATGGATAACTTCCAAATCATTGCAGTTCCCCCGATGTTACTTTGAAGGTCTGCTCAGTACTCTATGCCGCATCTCCATGCCAGCTAGACGCATGCTGCAAGAAAACTACGCTGTGCGTATTAGTGATACTTGCCAGCATAGCTGAGCACGAACGCAACTGCACGTCGCCGCTGCCTTCGATGTTCATGCCTGTTGTCGTTCACAACCTCATCTTCATTTGAAGACACTCGAACAACTGTACTCGCTATTCTGGAAGATGATCACGCTCGTATGGTAACATTACATTCGCACGACTCTCACATTCCCGGCTATCGCGCGCACTCTTGAACGGGATGAAGTCTAACATCCCGTTGCAAGTTCGGAGGCCTCGACAATGCACTTCAGCACGGTGCTGATGTAGCCTTCGCCAGTAATTAGAACTTCCCCGGGACACTTAAAGATGGGCCGGCTCCAACATCTTGAAAGACTCGCCCTTGGGCGCTCGGCCTTTCAAGAGCTGCCGAAGAATGGAGAGGCTACCACCACGGGGGCCATTGAAGCCGGCGACCTTACTCGCAGCAGCAGGCAATTCGATAGCAAGGGCCGCCCCGTCAATGCGGCCACCGAAGAGTACAATCGAGAGATGCGCAATGCACAGAATGCCGCGCTTGCACTTGTGGGCGTCGTGGAGAGCAAGGAGAGCGCCGACAAGGAACTGGACGAGCGCCACCGGCAGATGCGGGAGAAGCGATCCAAACTGTTGCAAGCGGAGCAGCTCTGTGGAGAGGACTTTGAAACGGTTTCGACGTTACTAAACGCCATCCTCACCTGGTGGTCCGGGAACCTCGTCTCGAGGGTGCAGGTCGGCATGTTCGTCGCCTCCCTTTCTTTTGCGGATCTCGTCCTTCGGGACCTAGGGCCTGTTATGGATGCGGGAGGCTCTGGAAGGGTCAATGCATTGCTCTCCGCTTTGACTCAAGGCTTGCCTGCCTGGCTGGCGTACTACGTCTTAAGGCTGCTGTTATCTGCCGCTGTCGGAGAGTGCGCCGGTCGACTACAGACGACATCCATCCGGCGCCTATCTCCAAAAGCGGTGAAACCGGTCAACGAACTCATAATTCTGGCCGGCGACCTTAGCCTTGTAGCCGTGGACGTCGCCTTGCTACCATTGCAATTCTTCGCCTTCTCCCAAAGCTTGGGTCTGGCCCCTTCCTGGCCAATACTACCGCCCTGGCAACTTCTTCTCCCTTGGACCTCTCAGTCGGCGCATCACATAATCTGGCGTCAGACGACTAGCAAGTGGGGCTTGAGATTATTCTCCTCGCCGGCAGCACTCATGCTGATCAAAAACTTCATCGAGCGCGACCAACTGGACGGCTTCCCCATTGCAAGTCACTTTACACACTTCGAATACCCTTCGATCAACGCATCATCCGCAATGATCTTCTATTCGACAGAGTCCTATAGCGATCCTGTGGCTGCGCTTTTTCACAAAGCCTACCTCATGCGGCGAAAAGTACTCGCCTGGCTCGGGTGGAACTTGGAAGCCGCGCCTACTTTTCCCAACGACCTCGAATTCAACCGTGTCATCCAGGACACCGAGCCAGATTGGATCGAATCAATAGAAGAGAACAAAGAGCAGCGTAGGTGGCGCTCAACCTCTCTCGCCCACCGACCGGCTCAGTACCTCGGCGATAAAGTCGACCGCTTCTTCACCCGACTCCTCATGCTGCCTCTGGAAAGCACAGTCTTACGAGCCGCAGCACAAGTCTACCTCTCCTCTGGTCTACCTCGAACAGCACTCGCCCTCTCCGTCGCACCTTATACGTACCTGCCCTTTGGCGGTGGTCCGTTTGGCTCGGCGTTCTGGACAGTTGGTAGGACGTCGGGAGCGGCGTGGCGGCACGCGGGACGATACGTGAACCAGCTGGGATTGAGTCTGGCGACGAACTGCGTGGCGGAGATTGGAGTGTTTTTCATCTTGTATCGCTTGGCTCGGTGGCAAGGACGGCGTCACTATGGCTGGGGTGCTCTTGAGATGCCCACTGCCGCACCGAAAGATGATGAGGCTGGGGATCTTTCAGATGGAGCCGACGAGCTCGTATTTGCTACCGAGGGCATTACTGTGCGGGAGCTTGCAGCTCAGCGTGAGGAGCATGTTTAGAACCAGGCATGATGGCTATGTGGTATTTGGACCAGCGTAGACTGGCTTGCACCGCGCGAGCGTGCGTTATTGATTCTTCTCTGTGACTTTCTCTGTGACTTTGATTTCCATTGCAAGCTCGTATCTCCCCCAACGCCGGCGCTTATGCACTGTCGAAACACCTCGCTTTTGGTAGCATTGGCTGGACCTCGCCACATTCCTCTTGTCTCTGTCCTATTCGCTTCCTTCATTCCCCTGACCGAATCGCGTGACGTGGCGATTGAACTTTGTAGTGCATCTATGATTCCACCGTTTCATCTGCCTTGGAAGCCTGGAGGTGGCCCTCCGAGGAAGCCTCGACCAGCTGGTGGGAAGCCTTGAGGAGGGAAGCCAGCTACAATGACCGTCAGTACTGCACGACACGTACAATTGGAAGATTGCTCGAAACTTACGTGGCGCACCGCCAGGCGGGAACCCAGCTGGGGGAAATCCAGGCGGTCCGGCTCCTCTACCAGGGAAGCCGGGCGGAGGAACACCAGGAAAGCCAGGGCCTCCCACACCCGCTGCAGGGCCTTGCAACCCAATACCCGCTCCTCGACCAGCCGGTCTTGAGATCCCCGGCCCGGCTTGAACAGCTGTCGGCGCTGCTCCGCCAGCTGCGCTCGTGCCTAATCTCGCCGCTGGATCGGATGGTGGTGGGCCCTCCACTGAACACGACACGACGGTGGCGCCGCGGATGATGGCGAGGCCTAGCATGCGCTTCTCTTCTGTTTCGACCACTTGCGATGCGCCGCCTGCGCCCGGTGCACCGGCGGGTTTGGACTTGCGCTTGACTTTGCGGAATTCTTCGCAGTCGGCGAGGACGAGGTTCATGTGCTGGGAGTGAAATCAGTATGCCAGGATTGTTGTGCTGGGAGGCGCGGGGAGAATCGTACCTTATCGAATGCTAGCATTTGGCCCACGAGTTGTCGGCCGTCTGCCATGGTGGCTCGCATGCGGTAGTTGATCTAGATCTGTTGTGAGTTTACACACTCGCTGCATGGTCATGTGAGAAGGTCAGGACTAACGAAGCCTTGCTATACAACATGTCAGCAATCTATCCTTGTCAACTCGAGGAGCTTGCAAGTCCAGGACCGCAAAGGTGACTTACCATCTTGCCCTGCTTGTTTGGCGCCGCCATCTTTGCGAATCGCGATGCCGCCGCTCGTCTTCAAGCTTGGGTTTCGAATTCGAGGCAAGCCTTCACGAGGAAGTGAACAGAAAGAGAGCGGACGCGGTGTGAGAGTAATTGTGTGCCTTCGCGGTCTCTGCGCGTGCCTTGCTCGTGTAAAAGTTTCCTAGGACGTTCCTGCCAAGCCCGTCGTGAACTCTAAATTCGCCAAGCCTGAAAAGCCCACTACCAAATCCCACGCTCCGACTTCACGAATCGACTTTTGTTCGCAGCGCGCATCGCAAGACCACGACAACAACACCGTCACAATGGTATGTGAATCCATCTCGTCAGCTGCATGCTTGAATGAGTCGGTGCCGAAGAAAACAACGGTGGATGGCTGACTGAGGACTTTTCCCTACAGGCACAGAATGGCAAGGACACGGGCGAGAAGGACAAGTCCGCCAACCCGATGAAAGAACTCCGCATCCAAAAGCTCGTCCTCAACATCTCCGTCGGCGAATCTGGTGACAGACTCACCCGTGCCGCCAAAGTGCTGGAACAGCTGAGCGGTCAAACCCCCGTCTACAGTGCGTCTCAAGTCTACTATTCAGAAGAGTGCGGGTAATAACCATCCGACGAATAGGCAAAGCGCGTTACACAGTCCGTACCTTCGGCATCCGACGTAACGAGAAGATCGCCGTCCACGTTACCGTGCGCGGACCCAAGGCGGAGGAGATTCTCGAGCGTGGCCTCAAGGTCAAGGAGTACGAGTTGAGGAAGAGGAACTTCAGCGAGACGGGCAACTTCGGCTTCGGTATCAGCGAACACATCGATTTGGGCATCAAATACGACCCGGGTATTGGCATCTACGGCATGGACTTCTACTGCTGCATGTACGTTGATGGAGCTTCGGAATGATTGGATACACCGGGCACTGACATGATACTTTCCAGGACCCGACCTGGCGAGCGTGTGGCCAAGCGCCGCCGCGCGAAGTCCCGCATTGGTGCCGGCCACCGCATCAACCAGAACGAGACCATCAAGTGGTACAAGAACCGATTCGAGGGCATCGTGAGGTAAACGGTCTTCGGTCGAGCGACGTGGGAGTATTCGAACGGTCTGCATTTGCCACGTGAGTGCAGGCATGCTTTAGCGTAGATAGGACTGATCCATCAAACCCCGGCCTATCGCAGCATACTGCTTCTCGCTTGAGCAAGATCATTCACAATGGAGGCTTCACCTTTGATGTGAATTGCCGCATAACCATTCGATCGCTGTCTCAATGCACCCTGCCTGCAGGACCCTTTTCTTTGCGGTCGTGAAGTTGATGTTCCATTGCGACAACACGTTGGCCTTGTTGGCCTCGCACTGACCGGTTGAACGAAACGCCTGCTCTACCGGCATGTCAAGGGCCAAAGTAAGATGCGTTTCATAGGCACAGCCGATCATGGCTGGTAGAAGACACGAAGGGTAGGCCTCGTGCTTGATACCGTTCGTACCGTAGCTGGTCTATGAAGATCATCACACTAGCAGTAGTGGAAATCTAATAGACCATCTGTATTGTATTCGACAACAATGCCTTCCACATCCGAAGGAGAGAGATGCCGCGGCGCTGCCACACCAATATCTCCTCACTTGCAAGCTGCAGTCACTGATGGGCGGAGAAGAAATAAAGTTCAGCCGAAAGCCGGCGAGCCAAGCCTGAAGCTCCGCCTTTGACTTCAACAGTACGGAGCTCCCATCGGTCACCACGCACATCACTCCGCGCTCAATATCATCAGGCCCACCGTCGTCGCAAAGACCTCCAGACGACATCATGGCGGCCGCAGTCAAGGCCCTCAATGCGAAGATTCGCTCCAATCCCGCGTTGGACTACTTCTGCTCTACCCGTGAGTGCTCATCGACGCCCTGTCCCCGCAGCTGACTCCCATTGTCCTGCGTGCGATGGGGTGTGTTCTATTGACGGACGCAAGCTGACCGCCGTCATCTACCCCTTGCAGACTTCTGGGGCCCAGCGTCAAACTTTGGTATTCCGATTGCAGCAGTGATGGACACACGGAAAGACCCAGAGATGTATGTGCTGCCGTTCCCCCTGCCTGACATACCCGCCCAATCTATCAGCTACTAACATTTCTCCCCCTCCAGTATCTCCGGTCGCATGACCTGCGCCCTCCTCGGGTACAGCAGTGTCTTCATGCGATACTCGATGGCCGTCACGCCGAAGAACTACCTGCTGTTCGCCATGCACTTTGTCAACTTTGGCGCACAATCAACGCAGCTCTACCGCTTCACCGACTACTGGTACATGGGCGGAAAGGACAAGTCGGCGGCAAACAAGGCGAAGGAGGGTCTTGCGGGGGCGGAGGGCGCGCTTGCAGATATCAAGGATTCGGCCAAGGGGCTGGCTGACGAGGCGAAGAAACAGGTGGATAAGGTTACGAGATGAGATTGATGATGTGGAGGATGACGGAGGGGAAGATTGAGGTGCGGTCTATTTTGTTGCTTTGTACCATGTACAGCTTTTGGGATCTGGCGTCCAGCGTGGTCTCTTATTCTCTGCGCGCGTTTCACCACTCACTACAGGCAAGTATCATACCCAGACCCCAATTGACCAGACCACAGCAAGCAGGCCCATGAGCGAGCGAAGATGTCGACCAGATCTTCCCGACGCCGCCGAACTTTGCCCAAATCCCAATTGTCCGTTCGACTCGCCAGGCTTCCGCACATTCCATCGGTACTCCCCCTCCACGTTTCCCGCCGGCGCATACTCGCACACAAGATACCAGCCAAAAGCCGCGTCGCCGCCAGTCCCACTACCGCAGTTCACAGCTCCACAGCCGACGTGTGTCGTGTTCTTCCAGACCAGCTGGGTGAAATGGCCAGTGGACTCGGAGAAGCCGCCATCCGGGTACTGGTAGTGTTTCTCTTCTGCAGCCCAGGCGTCAACGGCCAGCGCTGGAGTCGCGAAGCCCTCCGCCAGGTTCTCTCCGTATGGACCGCCCTGTTGATTACGTAAGTAACCTCTACTCATAACGAAGCCAGCGGTAGGCCCAAGGATACATACCGAATGCTCCCAGAGGCAACCCTGAGCGTGCTTGTGTGCGAACTGCGCAAGAGTCGCATCCCATTGCACTGGACTCGCGAGAAAGCGGGCGCGGAAGAAGTTCGTGCTGTTCAACACTGCGGACGAGAAGTCGGCGCCCGAGTAGATCCCGTGAGGCATGGTGGATGCACTTGGCTGTGTCGGACTCTGGTTGGTAGTCTCGGTGGGAGCGACGCTCATTGAAGTGGAAGTGGCTAGAGCGACGGTCTGCGTGATGGTGGTTGTCTGCTGGACGGTGACGGCATGTGCGAGAGCGGTGCAGAGGAGGAGAGCGTATACTTGATGACGATGCATCTTCTCTCCGGGGGAGCACAGCGTGCCCTTGCGTTGTCGGGAATGTAACGAACGAAAGGGAGAAGAAGACAGATCGCAATACTTGACTTGAAAATCATGAGCCCAGTGAATGCATAACCGCCGTCTTCACGCCCGCCTCTCACCAACACGAAACAATACGCCTTGTTCTCTCCCCTCGCAAATGTCGCCCGTTTCAAACGACCACACCTCCAGCCTGATCCATTCGCCCTCCAAGCACGGTCCACGTCTCACCTAGCGCCCGCCAGCTTAGTCACGTCCGCGCGCGTATAAATTCTCGCCCGCCTTTTCGAATCTCTTCCGCAAAATCGATCAAAAAACCCCCGGGGCCGCCACGACCGGTATCCAGCTCGTTTTCGAGTGCCACGGTGCCGTGTTGCCAGTCCTCACGAGGACATGGCTCCGCAGATCGATTTTTCTCCTGGATTATAGGAAGCGTCCCTAGCTGTTTTCTATGCGAGGGGGGTGTCCGAGAAGGGAGTACATACTTTACTCTTCATCGTGTGTTATGTCTTTGATAGGGCTGGCTACACGTGTGTCTCCTTCATTCATGTGGGATGGAGGTTGCTGAAAGGGACATGTGACGCCTGCTACGCTATGCATCTTAACATCTACACAATCGATGTCATCCCCGCGTCACTCCTCCATCTTCTCTTCCTCCTCGTCTTCACCCTCCAATGCCTTCTTCGCCAATCGCTCGGCCTCTTCACGCAGTGCCTTGGGCACCTCCTCGTGTCTCCCCTTCGTTGGCCCACCCACCGCACTCACCCACGTCATCTCCAGCTCAAACTCCTTGTCCTTGCTGTCTTCGTGGGCGAGATAGATGATGCGTGCCGCCTCTTTGACCCCCTCCTCCAAACTTATACACTCGCCATTCTTGGGGTCGAGCTTCAGCTTCTCCAACTCCGCCTTGGCCGTCTGTCTCCCCTTGCCCGTTGCGGCTCCGTAGTAGCCCCAATACAGCCCGGATGGCTCGATCATGTAGAGGAAGGGTCCGCCCTCTTTGACTCCCTGCTTCTTGCCTCCCGCTCCGACTTTCGGCCCACTGCCCACCGAGCCGTCGACTGCGAGCTCTGTCTCGGCATCCCAGCCGCCGATGATGCCCGTGATGCCAAACGGCCGCACGGAGTTGTAGAGGGTGTAGGCTTGTACGTAGGCTCCCATGCGGTTGGCGAGCGAGGAGCCGGGGATGGGTGCTTTGTAGCTGCTGCGCCAGCTGGAGGCTTCGTCGCGTGCTCTGCTCACGAAGTGTCGGCCGTCGGGGAGGAGGCCAGAATAGACCTGTGTATGAGTGTCAGCAGTTGGAAGAGAGACGCCATGTTCATCATCTGCTTGTGACCCACCACGCCCACATTACGATCCACCGTCGCTATCCTCTTGTTTGCATCCTTTTTGAGCAGTTTGCTGGTGACGAGCTTCTCCAGCGCCAGCACGACGCCGTCTTTGCATCGGATGCCGATCGCTGTGCCTCCGTTTTCCACCGCCTTCACCGCGTATTCGACTTGGAAGTTGCGGCCGTCGGGTGAGAAGACGGAGTTGGAGAGATCGTAGCCGGTGCCTATGGAAGTCTGGCGGATATGTGTTAGCATGAGATGGCGGTGGATGATTGTGAAGGGGGCGTTTACCATGGCTGTGAGATGGGAGGGTGAGAGATGGAGGTATCAGAAATGAGGTTCTGGAGAGCCCGGAGACTGTTCAATGACCCCGGCGACAGTGATGAGGGAATGGGAGAGTGGTTTGGTTGATGAAGCTCGTACGGCGTAGAGGGTGACGCGCGACAGAGCTGCCTTCACACAAATGCGAACGCTGGCTGGCCTAATCCGGTTACGGCGATTCGACTTAGGGCTGGACCGAAAGAGCCGAGAGATCTACTCGCAAGTCTCCCTTCGCCGTCCCTCTCTTCCCAGAAAGCACAGATGTCCTTGTACGAACTCGATGAGCAGTACTACCGTGTCCTTAGCTGTTCTGTCCATGTAGCCCAAGAGCTCATCGAAGACGAAGGAAAATAGACTCCGCGATTGCGGCGAAGCTGCGACTCTAGCGCGGGAACGTGACGGTCTAAAAGCACCCACATGACACCGACACTCTTCCAAATTCCAACCCTTTTAATCTCGAGCCATACCGCCCTTTCCCTACTCTCGCCTTCTTTCTTACATAGATTATCTCTACATAGCCTTTGATAGCCGCCGATATCCTTCAACGTCACCAGCCTTTGTTTGCGAAGAAAGAAGAGCGACCCCGCCCATCTCGCCTCCACCTCTGAGCTCTTACGTACCTCTCCAGCTTGCCAGCTTGGCTTTCCGCCTACGCTCGTCCGCTCTGTCGCTAACTCGCTCGCGATAAGCCCCAGGAGGTGAATTGTCGACGCAGACTTGCAGCGTGGGCGTGAGCAGATTCGACATCGACCCCATCAACGACAGTGCGTTGCACTCTGCTTTGTTCACCGCCCCAGGACCACCTCTAGGGCGTCTTGGCCCCCGCCGGTTCTCTGGCAGAGGACAGCATTCTTCTCTATGTTTGGCTGGCCGCTACTCGTCCACTACTGCGAGTCTTGCCATTACAACACGCCGGTGTCGTATTCGCCGTCAGTTTGGATAGAACACCATCCCTGCTCATATGTAGGCTTAACCTTCTCCTCTGCTCCGTCCGCAGCTAACTCACCACTCCACAGTGTGGCGTTAGTTCTCCCGGAGCAGACATCTCCGGTCGAAGTGCGGGCGAGATGAGTCAATCGCAACAGGATGAGCTCGCACAGCTCTTTCAACAGAGCATGCAGCTGGCACAAGCTCCGCAGCAGCTCTCCCATCCCTCGCCACTGGTCCAGCATGTAGCCTCGCCATCAGAGAAGCAGCCCGAGCCGCAAGTGCACTACGTCTCGAGCCACTACACTGGCACCACCCACGTGCGGCCGGATACAACATCTGAGCCATCCCGCTCCCCGCCGCCGCCCTACCGTGAATCTCTCATGCCGGAGGCGATGTACGAACTGCTTCGCCACCACTCGATTGATCCTTCCGCGCTCCTGCCAAATCAGATCCATCTCTTCCAAAACGCTGACCACGAGCAGAGATTGCGTCTGTTGGAGCTGTGGCGCATATCACCTCCGAGCTACCCCCAGGAGGGTCACTTGAACGGTACGTGGACTTCCACCAACCTTGAACGAGAGGAGGCCCTCGCTCGTGCGCGATACGAGCGGCAGCAAACCCATCATACCAAGCTCTATCCGCACCAGGAAGAGCACATGCTGGATACGCACCTCCCACGCATCCCGACACCAGAGCCCATCAGCCCCATCAGGGAGCCGGGTGAAGCAGCTTGGCCACCAGCAGCGAGGATGCGTGTCTCCTCTATCACGAGGTCCCGACCACAGACGGCGTACGGAGAGCCCGAGCCGTACATCGTGAATGGCTATGCGGGAGATCGACAATCGAAGTCGATCGATCCCGTCTGGGCAGCTGCGACTGGGTTGTGGCAGGCTCCTACCTATGCACAAGCAGTTGAGCAACAGCATCAGAGCAGCGCCATGGAGGATCAGTACGGCATGTACGACCAAATTCGAAACCACGCGGATTGGGAACAATTAAACGAGCACATCGTCCGGGAACAGCTTGGACAGCAAGCAGTGATGGCATCGGATTACGATATGGAATTATGAACGTGATTGCTTTGGACACGTTGATGAGCAGTGGAGGTCTTTGCCTGGCGAATTGATGATATGGATGCCAGTGTTCATGAGTTGTCTTTGGCGATACCTGGTTCGAACTATACATTGCATTGGTTTGGACATAGCACAATTTACACACGCACCATCTCACGTCTCGGAAAAACATCCCTTCTGCTTCACGATATCGCCATCTCTGACACGTGAATGCGATTCGCCAAGCCTTGTCGATTTAGCATTTGGCCGGACCGCGGTGACGTCGGGCGCGTGTGCCTGAACTCTCTCACCATTCCAAACATCTCTCCCGCACACCGAGCTCCCTCCAACCTACAATTTCTCCCCCGTCATCTCCTTGCAATTACTGAGTGCTTGATTGATACCTTCACCATGGTTTGAAGCTCAACCGTGCAAGTCGCCACAATCGCCTCACGTCTCTCGAAGCTTCTGGCGTACATGTGCTAAAGCTCGATCGCTGGCCACCCACACAACCGAACAATTCACTCGCCTTACCCGCGCCACTCATCAAACCTTTGTCCCTCACTAACAACTTACAAGCCCACACGGCTGAGACACTTCCTCCATCCAGCACATCTGTGGCACCATCTCCACAACCTCCACGATGGCGGACGAGAACATCTCCATGTTCTGTGCCTTCACCGAAGCCACCCCAGAACAAGCACAGCAGTATCTCGCCCTCACCGACGGCAATGTAGAACAAGCAGTAGAGCTCTTCTTCAACAACCCGGATCTCGGTGCTACAGCAGCAGCCGCGGCAGCCCGGCCGGCGCCCACCTCGAATCGAGATAACCCAGTCACCATCGACGATGACGAAGATGGCGACGAGGTCCAAGAGGTGGGAAGTCGCAACGTCGGAGCGGGAGGGTTTGAGGACGATGAAGCTATGGCACGGCGGTTGCAAGAGGAGATGTATGGTGGCCCTGCCAACGGCGGCCAGCTCGATGAGGACGGAGTGAGGGCGCCGATGGCACGAACAACGGAGACTCTGGTCGGCCCCGATGCTGACTGGATGCGTGATCCCAACGAAATGCGGGCTGCCGTAGCGGAACAGTTGATGGAGAGGCAGCGGAGAAGAGCGGCGGGGCCGGGCATCTTCAATCAACGCGAGGTGTCATCCATCTGGACTCAAGAGAACGCCGAGGACCCGGAGGCTCACCGTCAAATGCTGTCCCGAGCCACCGGTGGCGCATCCGACCAGACATCCAAGTCCAACCTTCTCGCCGACCTCTTCCGCCCGCCCTTCGACCTCATCTCTCAGCTATCCTTCTCCGCTGCTCGTGATGAAGGGAAAGAAGACGAGAAATGGATTCTGGTCAATGTTCAAGATCCCTCCATCTTCGACTGTCAGGTTCTCAACCGCGACATCTGGAAGAACCAATCCATCCGCGATACCATCAAAGAACACTTCATCTTCATGCAGTACAACAAGGAGGATCCGCGTGGGCAGGAGTATGTCAACTACTACTTCCGCACCATGCTTGACAACGAAGACGCATACCCTCACATCGCTATCATCGATCCTCGTACGGGCGAGCAGGTGAAGACGTGGTCGGGTAGTCCAGCTCCGAAGCCTGCCGACTTCTTGATGGATCTCCACGAGTTTCTTGATCGATACAGCCTGAGGATGGATACCAAGAACCCTGTCCAGACAAAGCGGAGGGAGAGCAAGAAGGATATTGCGCAGATGAGCGAGGAGGAAATGCTGGAGATGGCTCTACAGAACAGCCTTGCGAATGGCAGTGGAAGTGGACCACGTGCAGAGGAAGACCCCGATGCGCTGACGAGGTCGGAAGAGGCGATGAACGGAAAGGGCAAGGCTCCTATCGCTACATCAGAGCTTGTAGAGGCGCCGATGCAAGACGCCCCGCCAGCCAGCGACCTCACAACCACCAGCACAAAAGACACGGCTTTCGCCGCCATCTCGTCCACCAATCCACACATCGAGCCGGCATCTACAGATCCCAAAGAGACGACGCGCATTCAATTTCGTTACTCTGGTGGGCGGGTTGTGCATCGCTTCATGCTCGCGGATACGGTTCGCCGAATCTACGAATGGCTCAAAGCGTCGCCGCTGGAGGGCCAGGATGGGGACTTCGAGCTGATTAGCATGGGCAAGAACCTGATCGATACGCTGGATGTGACTATCAGCGAGGCGGGGCTGAAGCAGGGCACGGTCATGGTGGAGTTTCTTCAAGACTAATGATAATGCTGAGAGGGCGCATGCGCCCGAGGATGCTGTTCACCGGGATCAGCATGCATAGCGCTGGGAGGAGTCTTTGCGCTGTTACTAGATGAGGACTCGTCACAACGTCGGAGGACTGAGCGTGTAGCGCATTGGCATCGAGGTTTAGGAGCGGAGAGCGGGTTGCTTGTCATGTGATTAGCTCCAATGCAAGTGAATTCCCCCAAAAAGCCTCGGCTTCTGAACTTCCAGCTCTCGACTTCACGACACGCGCGCGCCGTCTGCTTCCCACGCGACTCGCTATTGTATCTTCACTTCTTGTACAATGATGTAGTCCGACTCCTCCTTTCTGTTCTCCTTCTTCCCCCCCACCACTTCATTCACCAAAATGACGACCCCACGCAAAACCTCCTCCGCCCAAGTCGAGCTCGTCCTCCTCCCCTCCCTCCGCAACTGCCTCGTCAACCTGCCCTCTTCGCTCGTCACCGTCCTCGTAAACTCCAACACCCTCGCCCAGAATGTCGTCGTGGAACTCAGCTACCGCGTCGCCGCCCCACCAGCCTCCACCCCGCAAGACCCCAAGAACAAATCGGCCACATCGAGTATACCGAAATCTGTCTTTCTGGGCTGGACGGGACTGCAGTCGCAGACGAAGATGGCGACTATTCTTGGGAGGGATGGAGGCGGGGGACTTGCTGCTGCGAGGGCGGGGGGCAGACAGGAGGCGGAGGTGCCGACTGTGGAGATGGATGCTGCTTTTGCTGCACTGGTGGGGTTGAGTGAGGGGATGAAGGTGCGTTTCTTGTTGCTGAAGATTGGGTATGGGTGGATGGATAATGGCTGATTCGTGTGATCTGGTGGCAACAGGTTAGCGTTGCGTTGCATTTGGATCCTGTGCAGGCGCATACGGTCAATATCGAGCCTGTCACGGCGACGGATTGGGAGAGTATGTTGGATCGGGGATGAGACGAGGATTGAGATTGTCGTGCTGATGCTTTGGACTAGTCATTGAATTACACGCCCGATTCCTGGAGACGAATTTCCTTTCGAGAGTCAGGGCTCTGCCTAACCCGGCCGCCGGCAATCCGCACCCACTCACTTTGCATTTGACGCCGACGGTTACGGCTAATATCATTGTCACATCATTGACTCCGGCTCCGGCGAGTACGCAGGCTTTCGTCAAGATTGCGCCGGACGCAGAAGTCATCGTTGCGCCAAAGACAAGATCATCGTCCTCTCGCCCGTCGAGCGCAAAGGAAAATCGGAGCATCAACAGCACGAGCCGGAGGAGTGTAGTAAGTGGCGGCAAGAGTGCGACAGGCACCAGCAGAGCGAAAAGCGGGCACGAGGATGACCGTTCTCGGCCGCCGCTGTTTTTGAGAGGTGTTACCAGGGCATTAAAGAACGAATGGTTCGAAGACGAAGGGGAAGAGATGAAGGATGAAGGTCTCAAGGTCTGGCTGGACCGGGATCACCTGCATTCCAAGACTCTGCGGGGCGTGACGTGGGTGTCGGCCACCGTGATCAAGCCAGCGGGCCTGCAAGAACCCCCGGATCCTCAAAGCCAGCAAACACCAGAGCATCTACCTGCTGGCCGCGTGGCCGCTCGACTCTGCGTCTGGGATGATGCGCCTGATTCTCGCCATGTCGCGCTGTCGACCCTGCTTTGCGCCGTTCTTGGCTGCGAGGGCCTCGTGGGAGGCATCGTTCGTATCGAGCCCGCGCCAACTCGACTTCCGAAAGTGGCATCGGCCATGAAGGAGCCATCGCAGCAGGGCAGCAGTAAAGACACCATTGTCAAGCGTCTCAAAATCACTCCCTTTGCCGGAGCCGTGGCAACAAAGCACGGGGGATTCGCATTCGGAGGGACCTCCAAAGCTGAAAAGGAAGAATCGACCGCCAATCTACGCACACTTTTCGGAAAAACGTTGTTTGAAGGTCCGTTGACGGACGGCATGATGCTCCCGAAACGAGACAGTTGGCCTGGCGGGATACTCGACTTTGATCCCACACCTGCAGGTGATCCATCCAAAGCCCGCACAAACTGGTTGCTCGGCACAGACCGCAAGCTCGACATGGTAATGCAGGCAGAGACGCCGCCGCCGAAGCTGCCGCAGCCGCCGGGCGAGCCTTTGTCCGCGTCAGCGCCGCGTATGGTGGGCGTTGACTCGCTCACTTCGCAAGTGCGCTCCAGCCTGCTACATGGCTCCTCGGTACTCCTAACCGGCGGCTTGGGAGCGGGCAAGTCGAGTCTGTCTCAGGTGCTGGCGCACCAGCTCCGGGACGAATACTTGTTCAACGTCATATCCTTTCCCTGCAGGAAACTCGTGTCGGATGAGATGCGGGTGAAGACGATCAAAGACACGCTTCGCCGAGTCTTTGCCACTGCAGCTTGGAATGCTCGCCTCGGTGGGCATGCGCTGGTCGTATTGGACGATCTGGACAAGTTGTGTCCCGTGGAGACGGAGCTGCAGGTGGACTCTAACGGGCGGAGCCGGCAGGTCAGTGAGCTGCTCTGTGGCATCATTCGCGAGTTCTGTCGGAGAGGATCAGGCGTTGTCCTGCTTGCTACGGCGCAGGGTAAGGACGCGGTGCACAACATCATCATTGGCGGGCACGTTGTGATGGATATTCTGGCGCTGAAGGCACCAGACAAAGATGGAAGGCGCAAGGTCCTCGAAATGCTCATCCGTGAGGCGGGGGAGGCGGTTGACGACCATGACGAGCCGGCCACTGTGGACGTGAATGGGAGTGCAGCCAGTGAGTGGATGGAAGGCTCGGATGATGGAATAGCCAACGATCGCCAACACTCGAAAGGAGATCCTCATATTGGTCCCGATCTTGATCTGCTGGACGTTGCTGGACGGACGGACGGCTACATGCCCGGCGATCTTGCATTACTCGTCTCCAGAGCGAGGAGCGAAGCACTCATCCGCGCCGTGTCCGACCGATCGCTATCAGACGATATTGTGCTGAGTGAAGAAGACTTCACCGCGGCCTTCAAAGGCTTCACGCCGGCTTCCTTGCGAGGCGTCACCCTCCATTCCTCCACCACGACCTTTGCCGCGATTGGAGGGCTGAAGCAAACGCGCCAGATCTTGCTGGAGACTCTGCAGTACCCTACCACCTACGCGCCACTTTTCGCCAGGTGTCCGCTACGCTTACGATCAGGGCTACTACTCTACGGCTACCCAGGCTGCGGCAAGACCCTCCTCGCGTCAGCGGTAGCAGGCGAATGCGGCCTCAACTTCATCTCCGTCAAAGGCCCCGAGATCCTGAACAAATACATCGGAGCTTCGGAAAAGAGCGTGCGCGATCTCTTCGAGCGAGCCGAAGCCGCGAAGCCATGCGTGCTCTTCTTCGACGAGTTCGACGCCATTGCTCCCAAGCGCGGCCACGATTCCACTGGCGTGACGGATCGCGTGGTCAACATGCTGCTCACGATGATGGATGGCGCCGAGGGGTTGAGCGGAGTGTATGTGCTGGCTGCCACGTCTCGGCCGGATCTGATTGATCCTGCGCTACTACGCCCTGGCAGATTGGACAAGAGTTTATTGTGCGATATGCCAAATGAGGAAGACCGGCACGAGATCTTGCAGGCCATTAGCGAGAGTCTGCACGTTGATGCGAGCGTGTTGCAGGATGGCGAGCGCGGGTTGGCTGAAGTTGCGAGGCGCACGGAAGGCTACTCGGGCGCGGATTTGCAGGCTGTGATTTACAATGCGCATTTGGAGGCCATTCATGACGTCCTCGGTCCTGGCCATGACTTTGAGAAGCGGAAAGGAGGCAGCGGCAGCGGTGCTAGTCGAGGCGGTGGCCTCCGACATCAAGACTTTACCTACTTCCGCTTCGGCGGCGACGACACGAGCCCGACGAGCGCGGAAGAAACGCAATCACCCGCCACCGTCGCTGCCGAGCGAGCGCAAATCGCAGCAAAGCTAGCCGCCATGCAACTCGCGAAACGCAAAGCGAAGGCCGAACGGCATGCTCAGCAGCAGCAGCAACGCCCGAATTCCGCCGGCGGTGCACCAAACGGCACTGCACCTAACCAAGGACCGAAACACCCTGAGCCCGTCATTTCGTGGAAGCACTTGTTGAAGAGTCTGGACACTGGGCGCGCTTCGATCAGTGCGCAGGAGCGCAGACGGCTGGGGCGTATCTATGGGGAGTTTGTCACGGGGAGGAATGGGGAGATGTCGGATGGGCAGGGGAGTAGTGAGGTGGGAGGGAGGACGAGTCTGATGTAGATTGCATTTAGACGGACGTGTTGGCGGCGTCTTCAGCCAACTTGTGTGTCTCGAACAACACTACATTCCTCGCGTTAAATTGGCGAACGACATTACATTCCTCCCTCGCTTACCCTCAGATTGACTCTTTGTGCCATGATAGATGAAGCGACAAGTAATTGAAGGTATGCCATTCCCTCGTGTTGTATTCAGCTATTGTGGTTCCAGAGCTGCCTATTATTCAGCTCTTGATCATCCGCAACGGCAGATGCTTGTTTGCAAGCTCAAAGTATGCTAGTGCGCTCCGATGCTCGTGCGTTGACGGCGAATAGCCAGGCGTGTCTACTCAGTCTCTCCTGTTGTCGAAAGTTGGCTTCAATACCACTTCAACAAGGCCATTAAACGCAACACCCCGTCCGCCGCGTTACGACGAATTGCAGCACTCCCTTTCCCCTCCTTCTCCGTCAAGTTCCGGACGCGATGGCCTGGTTGCCGCCTTCGTTTCCCTCGACATCTCCTTCCTTCGTGAGCATTGCGAAACGCGACTTGATCTCGGCCACCTTGATGAAGAGGTCGGGGCGAGCGAGCGCGTTGTGGTGCTTGGTCAGGAGAGGGTTGTGCTCGGTGCCCTTGTTCTGATTAGCGAGAGCGATCTCGCGGCAATCTGCTTGGAACTTACGTTCGTCAGTTTGTCAGCGTACGAAGCCATAGCAGCCTCATCGCGCAACAGGCTCAGCTCCCCCATGACCAGCTCCTTCGGCTCGCGCATCGCCTCGGCCAGTTTCGTCTCCAGCTTGCCCATTCTCGCGACAAGCCAGAACGCAGACTCGCGGAGGATGACACGTCCTTCGGCGCGGGCGGCTTGAATTTCCTTTTGCACTGCGGCCTCCAGCAGCTCCTGCTCGGGAACGGTGTGGAGCTCTCCGAGGACGTACTTGAAGATCAGTCGGTTGATGGCGACTTCGTGAGTGACCTCTGCTTCGCGGCTTCTGGTGGTTGCGGGCATATTGGCGATTGACTTGGGTATACTAGCGAGGACAACGTCAGCTCGCTCAGCATCGGCGACAAGGCTGCTTTGAAGGGCACAACTCACCGTGGGGTGTGTAGGGTTGTAGGTTATAACGTTGCCAGATGCGATCGATGGATGTCGTGATGAGAAGATGTGAGGTTGCGAAGAAGTGGGTGTTTTGGGGGATGAAGATAGTAAGGAAGAGGAAGAGGTTGCGGGTATAGGAAGAAGGTGTTGCCTAGAAACGTGCCTCAAGCATCGTGAAGCAGGAGGGTGAATGACGGAGGGCGAGAGACAACGCGGGCGTGAAGGCTGCCCCACAATTCACATGACTGACACGTCTCCGACCATCAGTCACATCGAGAATGTGAATCTCTCTCCTGAGATCCACGATTCCATTCCATCGTGAGTCCAACGCCGTGGGCAAATCGGACACCCATTCTGCCGTACTTCGACTTCGCCAAGTAACCCAGCTGGCCGGGAGACAAAGACGTCGAGTATGAGGCAGTTGTAGATATAGTGCTTGCCAAGTAATGTATATATGATGAGACTGAGGCGGCTGAGTTCGACGAAAGGCATATGTGGTCAGGTAGGAACAGGGAGACTTTGCATTGGTCTCAAGATGTGAGTATGAGGCCAGTTTATGCTTCATCGTTGTGGCGTATACGCGGAAGCTGACTAGATGCTCAGCCAAGCTTGGCTATGGGTTGTTCGGCGCAGGCCGTCTTCCGTCGAGGTCGACATGGCCGACTCTCCGTTCCCTTTCGATGGAAGACAGGGCTCGTGAAGATCTTGGTGAGTATTTAGGTTCATTAGACTTGATGAGAGAGAGCCGATAAGCAACGAATCGAGCTCTCATCGTGCTCGACATTCCTTTGTCTTTTGAAGGAGATCGACATCCTCAAAGGCTGGCATTTGTTCTTGTGTGTGTGCATGACGGAAGAGATGTCGTCGAGGCAGCCTGATCGACACGCTGCGCCACACACGGACGCCTGAAGCTTAACAGAGCTTAGCCAAGCTTGGCCATGGCGTGTTGGTGTGGCGGTGCGTGCAGGGATCGATCTGCATCATCATCATCAGCTGAGCGCGCGACGCTCGTAAAATTGCGTGACATACGCGGCGTCTCTCTGCACCGTAAGATTGATCGCCCCGAAAACCGGTTTATCCTCTGTTGCTGTGGCGCATTGACGTACTGGGTGCTCCGGTTTTTATTTCCTTGCTTTCCCGCCGATTGAAGAGAGCTCTCCCAGATCTGTTGCCTGAAGATAAGATCTTGCCAAGGTGTTGGAAGTTATTTCGTGTTACCCCTCCTCCACCCACCGGCCTCGGACGGAGTTGACGATACTCAACATGGCGGACGCGGCGCGAGATCAAGGTGATGTCGCGCAGACGGAGGGAGCGACGCAGCCTCAGGAGCTGAGTGAGAAGCCGCAACAAGATGCTCCTGAGCAAGTGAATGGCACTGCGCCGGCAGATAAGGAAGAACAGCAGCAGCAGCAATCACAGCAGCAATCACAACAATCACAGCAACAACAGTCGTCGCAAACCAGCTCCGACAACAAGGACAACGAGAAGAAGGACGACAAGAAGGATGGCAAAAAGGACGACAAAGACAAAGACAAACAACCCGAAGGCGGGTACGACAGCACGCCCATCCCCAAACCCCCCGCGGGCACCATCGGCTACACCGTCAAGTTCACCTTCCACTCCGCCTCCGCCCTCACCATCGGTGACCTGGGCGTCATGTCTTCCGACCCCTACATCTTCGCCCAGCTCAACACCGACCTCGAGCCACGGCACAAGGAAGACCCGCGCCTGCGCTTCCGCTCGCCCACAGTCCACAAAAACCTCAATCCCACGTGGAACGAGGAGTGGATCGTGGCCAATGTGCCCTCGTCGGGCTTCCGGCTGAAGGTGCGCGTGTACGACGAGGATCCCGCGGATCACGACGACATGCTGGGCAAAGCGCATATTACCGTGCCCTCGCTGGACGATAACTGGGCTGGGTTCATGAAGGAGTCATATAAATTGACGCTGCGCGATAGCAGCAAGCGCGCGCTCTTCATCCGAGCCGTAGCCAGGTGCTTCGGGGTGGTGAAGAAGTTCCAGGGCGAGGTGACGGTGTCCGCGGAACTGCTCGGCCGCACCGAAAACAAGAACGACGGGCAGAACGGCAAGGCCTACACCCTAGGCCCAGTGCGCTGGTGCCGGCACTACAGCCCCATCCTCGGGCGCCTGGCGAACATCAAAGAACCCTCCGAGGGCGACACGCGCTCTCCCTCGGCCGACAAGAAGCACCAGCAAGAAGTGCAAAAGTACAACTTCCAAGCCAACGAGTTCCAGCTGCCCGGCCCCGTGCCCGCCGAGCTCTACCACCGCTTCGTCGAGTTCCGCCCGTGGGTCAAGCGCATGTTCACCACCACCGGCTTCCAGGGCGTGCTGCTCGGCAAAGCCCTGCATCACCAGCACAACCGCGTGTACAACTTCTCCCGCGACACCGTGTGGGGCCACTTCCCGCAAGGCCCGAGCGAAGAGATGACGAAGAAATTCCTCGAGCTCGCGCACTACGCCCAAGGCGGCCGCATCTTCACCTACATCATCACCCTCGACGCGCTCTGGCGCTTTACCGAAACCGGCCCGCAAATCAGCATCGACATGCTGAGCAAGCACACCATGCACAGCGACGTGAGCATCTACATCGCCTTCTCCGGCGAATTCTTCCTCCGCCGCCTGAAACATCCCCGCCGGCCCCCGCCCCCGGACCCCGTAGACGAAACCTCCCAACGCCATCCCCCATCCCACCAGGCCAACGAAATCGAAGCCGAGGCGGAAGACGAACCGCCCACCGACCCCGCGCACTACGAACTCGTCATCGACAACGACTCCGGCACCTACCGCCCCAACGCGCAGAAATTGCCGCTCCTCGCCGACTTCCTCGCGCACTGCTTGCCAGGCCTGCACATCCAGACGCTCGACTGCCAAGCCGACGCGGACAAGATGGCGAAGATGAAGGCCGCGCAGCGCGACCGGAAGAAGAAGACCGGCGATCACGTCGTGTATGCACAGGGCGACGATTCATCCTCCATCTCGTCCGAAGAGCACGAGGCCCTCGATGCCGCGGAGCAAGGCGGTGCTGGTGCTGGCGGTGTGGGTAGCAAGAACATATTCGGCCACGAGCGTCGGCACGGCGACTTTGCCACTGGTGATGGCGGGGCGAGGGAGCACGGGGCGTTCGTGCAGCTGACCAAGGACGCCAAGTTGGTGGGCCAGGCGAAGCTGAACAAGGTGTTCTAGGGCGTGTAGCGTGAATCGTGGGACTGGGGAGGAGCCTGCTGCGGCGTTGCGGGATCTTTGATCTTCTCCTTTGTTGGGATACCCTTGTGTTTTACCTTGTCGCTTTGATCGTGAGCTTGGGTTGGAGATATGTACGGCGGCTCGGATCTAATGAGTTTGGCGGGGCGTTGGCCACGTCTTCGAAGCGCGAACGAGTTTGACGAATATCACTTATGCACCGGTCAAATCCGCCGCTCAAGAAACGCTTTGCATATAACCATGTCGAATTCATTATGCTATCATGATGCGAAAAGGCCTCGTCTCGGTCGTCATAGAAATGTCCATCCATCCCGGTGCTCGCGAAAACTCCAATGCAATGCAGCCCTACGAGCCATGCGAGATACTTCGCTTGAATGCAACCCGCCGCGGCGTGGAGGTGGGCACATCCCCGTCGTCTCGCGACGCCCTCGGACTCGGGCTCAACTGGTAATCCGGTCCGCGGAAGACATACAGGCCCACGTCCGTCGCGCCATCTGCGTATCCCGTCCCCGGGATGCCGGGAAGCGGGACACGTGCTCGATCGTGCTCGATGAAATTCGCCTTCTTCATCATGTCGAAGAAGATGGCTTCGCTAGCGTGGCGTGTCTTGGTCGAGACGATGATGATGGCTTTCGGGGAGCGCATTATAAGGGACACAAGAGTGGACACGAGCGGCTGCAGCGTGTCGGTGTTGTAAGTGCACTCACTAACGACGATGAGGTCGTTGGCGCGCGTCTGCAGCTTCTCCGGCAACTCTTGCGTCCAGTCGAGGGGGAAGAAGGCGACTTTGGAGGCGATGGCGGCGTTCATGCGCTCGATGTTCGCTTCCGTTAGGTCGCGCACTTCGTGCAGGTCCGTGAGCAGGACGTCGCAGTCTGGCACCGCTTGCGCGAGACTGATGCCTACGGTTCCACAGCCGCAGCCGAGCTCGAGGACGGCGAGTTTGCGGTAGGTGGCGGAGGCGAGCACGTACTCTAGTAGGGGCAGGGGAGAAGAGGCCGTGTCGAGGGAGATGGTGTGGTCGATGTGTTGCGCCAGCGCCTGGCTCCCATCCCACAGATGCCGCGCAATACTATCGCCCGTCTCCTCGAGGAGAGAAAGCGTGCGCTGCGCAGCGGAGACAAACCGTCTCTCCACCAGAATCCCGCTCTCCATTCGACCCTTAGTGGGATTCAGCGGTCCACTCCAAACATCGAGCACAGGCGCAAGGAAAGGGAACGTCGCAGCCAGCCGACTCGCATTCCGCACTTCGACGTGCACGCACGCCGGCCACTCGACATCCTGATTAGAGAGGTTGAAGGTAACGGGCACGGCGAGCGTCGCGCCTTCCCAGCGCACTTTGCGGCGCAGGAAGATCTCCCCTTCGGGCGCTAGGCTGCGCACCGTGGCGACGAGGTCCAGGTCGTGGGGGTAGAAGGTCTCGCCTAGGTCGGTAGTGACGGTCAGGACGGCTTTGAGGAGGAGAGAGCCGTGGTTGAGTTGGATGCGCGGGGTTTTGAGGAAACGAACTGGATGGCGCGCGGGTCAGCGGATGCGTTGGGGGGAGACAGAGGTGGCATGAGTAGGAGGACGCACTGTAATGCATAGCCTTGGCAGCTGTTCAGCCAGCCGCGATATGGTAAGGCTCCGCCTGCTGGCAAGATTGCAAGCCGGGAGCAGACAAGTGGGTGTTGATACGAAGTAGATTCCTGGCAGTCGTGTCCAATGCGCCCGCAGGCGAGAGGATGGAGAAGGGGCAAGGGCAAAGGTCAGAGGCGAGCATGGGGAGCAGTCAGACGAAGGGAATGCTGGTAGGACAGTTTAGGCGGCCAGAGGCATTAGCGGGCAGGAAATGTAGTGCGTGGACGGATGAAGTGATATCAATGGCAGATGGTGGCGTTGAAGTTTCGTGAGTGCAGGACTCGACGGCGACGGAAGGGCAATCAAGCTTTCTCCTCCATCGCGCTTGGCGTCATGCCCGCGTTTGTGACCATGACCACGAGGCGTCAAAGGCTTACGCCGCTTTTAGTCAGGCGCCGGGAAATTGATGAGATCAATCAGTCAAAAATGAATTATCTTCAATTGGTCTACTAAGTCCTGCCCACGGCAAAATACCCCTTGAACCGATCGTTTCCCTGCAAGCCCGCTTCATGCACCACCTCATAACATGCCATCAACAAGCGCGGGAACCGATTACACCAGAAAGCCAGATAGCCCCCGGCCAACGGTCCGACACGTCGCTTCACGTCCTCCGGCATATCCTCATAATGGTGCTTCTTGTTGCGCAGCGCCCGCAAGAGATCCAGCAGCCGGCCGCCGCTGTACTTCCGCTGCTTGCCCAGCGTGTCGACAAAGTGGCGATCGAGTTTGGCCAAAAAGTCCGCGCCGGGGCCGATGACTTCCGCCGCGCGGCACTCGAGGGCATGCAGGTCCCATGAGTCGCCGGCGTAGCCGTCGTCGGGTATGCCGCGCTCTTCCCGCTCAAAGTGGTCGCTCATGTCGCACAGGAAGAGCAGGCGCTTCTCCGCAGGCCAGAAGAAGGGGTGGTTGAGGACTTGCAGCGCCGTGGGGCGGTGTTCGGGCTGGTGCTCCAGCATGGACGTGATGAGTTGCATGGGCTCGTACGCGTCCGACCAACGCTCCAACACGTCCATCTTTTTGTTGTCGCGCTTGATGTTGAGCTCGCGGAGCTGCTGCCACCCGTTCTCATCCTCGTACGGGTGGATGCCGTCCGTCAAGACCCAGAAGAAGAGGCAGCCGAGGGAGAAGATGTCGGCGGCTCGCTTGACGCCGCTCATGACTCCATTGGGTCCCTCGCTGCCACCGGTGTGCGAATTGTTCTGGCTGTGCCTGCTCTCGGTGTCTCTTGGCTGTGAGATGAGCTCGGGGGCTTTCCACCCCGATGTTCCCGCATTGCCAGTAGGATCGATGAGAGTGCTCACATTCTCCGGCAGGTTCTTACCCAGCCCAAAGTCTGAGATGACCAGTCGCGGTCCTTGGTTCTGGTTGCGCTTCGGGAAAGCCACGAGGATGTTTTGCGGTTTGATGTCTCGGTGAATGATGCGGAGGTTGTGGAGGTGGTAGAGACCAGCGGCGAGCTGCTGCAAGACACGTGGAATGTCCTGCTGGATTGCATGCTTGAGCGTGCGCAGTTGGGTTTGGCGCGCCTCCGTCCTCGCCTTCTCGCCCTCCCAAACCTCAAACAAGCTGGCCTGGCACAACTCGACGGCGATATACAGAAAGTGGTCGTCTTTTTGCTGGCAGAAATAGCGGATGACGTTGGGATGGTCGTCGCTTTGTTGCAGGAAGGAGACTTCCTGTGATGCCAGCTCGTAGTATTGTGACAACATGCGCTTCACAGCGACATCCCGACCCTCGAACGCCCCTTCAAACACTGATGTCCCACAGCTTCCTTGCCCAATGACTTTGTCAGTGTGGATGAGGAGGCTGTTGATCTGCAGCGGGCCAGACACCTGCGGGCTCTCTGAAGCGGCGACGCTGATGATCTCTGTTGCCGGGGGAGGTGGAGGTAGAGCAGCTGGAGGAGTAGGAGGTTGTGAGTCGGATCGCTTGGCTCGTGCTTCTGCTTGAACCTGATCCTTTTCCCTTTGCTTCTTGCCGCCCCTCTTTCCTCTTCTGGCTTTCTTCTCTGGCTTCGGCTCAGGCTCCTCTGCATTCTTGGGTTGCTCAGCCTCCGGAGCCTCTTCAGCCTCTTGCGCTTCAATCTTCTCGAAATCCTCGTCTCCCAGTCCGGGCTCCACCGACTCCTCCGCACCACCATCTGCTTGACTGCCGCGATCCGCTTGATGGGGAAAGATGGTTTCCGTGGCCGGCTCCAGTTCTCGCACCATCGGCACGGATTCCTCCTTTGGTTGTTCCTGAGCAGGAACAATCTCCTTCGCTTCAATGAGCTCTGCAGCCACCGCGATCGGAATCTTCTTTTCCCGCGCCAGAGACTGTTGCCGGTACAGCACTCCGCAAGCCACGAGGCCGAGGATGACGAGGAGCAGAATGTTCCGCAGCGACGGCAATCGATCCCAGACCGAGGGGGGAGCGCCTATGAGATGTTTGCCAGGGTCCATGGGTGGGGGATCCAGACTAGGGTGGTTCGGAGGATCGATCAGATGGCCACCGGGTGACGCGTGATATTGCTGCAACAAGTAATGAACACCCGCGAATTGCTGGCGTTGTATGTTCGACAGATGTGGCCATGTCTCCGGCACAGTGCCGAAGGGATAATCAGAAGACCACACTGCTTGGTCGACGCCTGATGTAACGGTAGGATAGTTGCTCTCGGACAGAGCATACCAGCTTCCATCATCAATATAGTCGACGAAGATGAGGTCTTGTGACTCGTCGAGCGAGTCTTGACTCCACTGCGGCGGACGCAGAATTGGCTGTGGTAGGATGACGAGCGACGCATCGTTTGACCAGTCATCGTGGCGGCGCACAATGTCAAAGACTCTGGCCACTGGCGAAGTGAGTTTCTGACGGTATCGCGCTCCCTCCGGGGAAGGCAGCCGTTTGCCGTCATATGACGCCAATTGCCGTCCCCAGACAGTGCCATCATGACCAGTGTATACGTATTTTTCGTCCATAGCCGTGTTGTACTGATTTCGTAAGTCTTCATCATTATTGTTGGGGACCCATTCGGAATACGTAATGGTGCTGATCTGTTCCCCGGTATTGCGATCCTGCACCCTGACCGTGTAGACAGTCCTGCCAAGGGTCAGGGTACCAATGGACTCGCACTCTTCTTCCTCTAGCGATGCCAGGGGATTCACTTTTCTACATCTCTGGTCATCACTGACGGTGGAGCCCGTGGAGGTGAAGATTTTGAGAATGTCGCCAGTTGCAGCATCGACGGTGTAGAGGTCGCTTCGCTTCGCGGCGGTGTAGACCACAGCGGGATGACCCTCGCTCGCCAGCGGGGATCGATCGACGAGCTGGCGGACGGTGAAGCCGAGTTTCTGGATGCCAAAGCCGGAAGTGGGAGCAAACAAATAAATGCTCCCGTCCTGGCTGGGCTCGACGATCCACAGGGGATCTTCCAGCTCGACGCCGCTCTCGTCGACGCTCTTATTGTGAGGATGGTAGATGGTCTCGACCATGGGGGTGGTGGCCAGCTGCCACATCTCGGCGCCGCTGTCACGGGAGCGGGCGGAGATTCTGCCATCAACAGTCGCCAGGAGGATGATGTCCTCGACTCGCCAATCCTGCAGGGACCGCGCCGGAGGTCGCGAAGAGAGGCCAGCTGTGGTGCTTGACCTGGAGGGTGCAGGAGGTGCTCGGACGGCCGGATTGCTCTCGGCCGGAGACAAAGTCGCAAGGGCGCGCTCGTTGGTGTGGGATCGAATGCGGCGGGGATGGGGAGGGGATTGCGGGGTGTGTTCGGGGTGGGTGTTGCGAAAGGCGCGGTCGGCGCTCATGCCGTCGGCGTTGAGGGAGTCCCCGGCGGGATGGGCCCAGCCGTGGGTAGCAGCGGCGGCGGCGGCGGCATGCTCGGAGAGGTCGTCCGACGGGACTCGAGGGCGGAGGGCATGGTGATCGTGTGGCTGCTGCTGCAGAGCACCCACGGCGATTGGGACAAGCAAGCTACACAGGAGGAAGAGGTTTTTGATGCCCACAGCGGAGTGACTGGGCGGCATCTCGCCCTGAACTGCCCATCAGGAATGAGCGTGTGAGGGAGTGAGGGTGCAGCAGGAGGGAATAGTGATGGTGGTGGAGGTGGTGGTGTAAAAAATGAGGAGGAACATGGGAATGATGCCAGATGCTCCCCTTGCCGTTTGAAGCTGACGCACCCAGTCGGTTGGGCTTGGCAACCGTCGTTTCGATTCACGAGGGGGGGAAGGCGCGGGCCGGAGGGGGAAGGGGAAAAAGGGTCCGTCCGGCCCAGAAGTCGACGCGAGACTCCACTCCTCGTCTGTGCAGCCAACGTGCAGCTGCTGGAACGTGAGTGTAGGGGACACTTCCCCACCCGACGCGATGAATAATAGGGCCCGATTAATGGTTGCGAAGAGAGCGATCACGTGGAGACTGTACTACACGATAACAGAAGCACGCCATGAAGACTGCTCGTCTTCCATCACTGCTCGAGCTTCTCCATGCTGAGTAAGAGTTGACCAACCCCGGAGCTCGGGGGATGTGATGACTTCTATATATATATGTGCCTCCTCTATTCCATCTCATGCCATAGTGAGACCATCGTCCTTCATATTCCGTTTGTCTGATTGATTGTTCGACATAACAAGATGGCAAAGTAGGTCCACATACCGTCTACCACATTAAGATCGATGACACTCATCCGTATATATCAGCGACCTCCACAAGCTGGCCCTCAAGTTGGCCAAAGACGGGCCTGTCAAAACGCTGCCAACTCCTCGTAGACTACAAGTCAGTCCTCCATCGTCTCGACTGATCCTCCAACCACCCATCTAATCCATCGAAACAGCTGCTCTTCAACGGCGTCACCATCATCTCCACTACCCGTGCCATCTTCGTCTGGGAGCACCCCTACTACCCTCAAGTAAAGCCATCGCATCCATCTTCCCTAACCAAAGGAAGCAGCTAACGAAAAGAAAAAGTACTACATCCCCAAAGAAGACCTAACCAAACTCCACTCCAACAAATCCGCCACCCTCTCAGAAGACTCGCAAATCCGCGACCCAAGCGGCACCCACATCGCAACGCAATACAAACTCCAAATCGGCGCCCGCAGCACCACGCAAATCCTCGCCTTCGCCCCCAAACTCCCGCACCACCCCGCCGCCGCCGCGCTCCAAAACCTCGTCAAATTCGCCTTCGAAAGCGTCGACGCCTGGTTCGAAGAGGACACGCGCATCTACGTGCACCCCAAAGACCCCTTCAAGCGAGTGGACCTGCTCTTCTCCCGGCGTCCCATTCGCGTCAGCGTCGACGGCCACGAAATCGCCTCGAGCCAGACATCCGTCCACTTGTACGAAACCGGCCTGCCAGTGCGGTACTACCTCCCTCTCACGTCAGTCGAGCAATCACTCCTGCGAGACAGCGAGACGGCGACGTCGTGTCCCTACAAGGGCGATTCGCAGTACTACCACGTCGAGATTGGCGGCAAGAAGTACGAGAATCTGTTTTGGTATTACAAGTTTGCCACGCTCGAGTGCACGCCGATTGCGGGCATGGTGTGTCCGTACAACGAGTTTGTGGACATTGAGCTTGACGGGGAGCTGCTGGAGCGGCCCAAGACGCATTTCAGCAATACGAATGTGAATAAGAAGCCGTCGGCCGTTTGAGGGATGGAGGTGATTAGTAAGGGTTGCTTTGGAGCAGGAGGTGTGTTCACGACGGTGAAAACGCATCAGTTTCGTATGTAGGGAATGTAGAAATCCCGTCATTACACAAATTACACTCCGCCGCCCCAAAAGCCATCTTTGGCGCAAACGGATCGTGGCAAGAATTATAGTACAATCGAAAATGCAGCCGTAGCGCAGGTATCCCAGCCCTGAATGCCAGAAACGCAGAAACAAGAAGCCGAAACTCAACAATCGCCCCCTCACCTCCCCCTCCCATCCCTCGCACTCACAACCCCATTACCAGCAACCCCATAAACAGTATGCGGCGCAGGAGTCTTAAGCGCATCATTCAAACTCCCAAACGCACCTTCACCCCGCGGCGCAACGACGTACGCAGCGTACGAAGAGCCGCCCGCGCCGCCGTTGCCCTCAGGCGTAGTGCCCGGGTGGACGGGCATCGTCGACGGGTCAGCGGCGTGGTCGGGATGCAGCACGCCGAGGGATTGGAAGGTTGTCTGGCCGTAGGCGGGCGTGGGGAGGTCGGAGAACATTTGCTTGCGGGGGGAGCGGAGATCTGTTGTTGATGGGGGTTGCGGGGCGTAGGGGTTGGACGTGTATTGTTGTTGGGGTGGGGGATATGAGGCGGCGGGGTTGGTGGGTTCGGTGAGTGGTGGGCCGAAGACGAGGGCTTGGTCTTCGACGAAGGAGGAGATGAGTGGGGCGGGGACGTTTAGAGTTGGGGAGAAGACGATGCCGACTGTGCTGTTGTTAGCTGTGTTCCATCGTTAACGGGGTTATGATCAACTCACCATTCCGGATATTCATCTTGTTCACCTCCGCATTGTTCACAATCGCCTGCAACATGGATGAAAGCGCCGCCAACAGTACACGATTCGGCGTCGGCAGTCGGTTCACGAGTGCGTTCAACCCTACCAGCTTCTCGCGTCCTTGTTTCTCCTGGCACGTCAAAAATTCCAAGTGCAACTCACGCGTCAGAATGCTCGACGGCAGTTCGCGCAGGTACAATTTGAGCAAACTGGCCACGGCGTGGATGTCGTAATAATTGCCGTCTGCACCAAGATCCACGTCTCCCTCGGTATTGAAGCGATCCCGGAGTGCTTTGATGACGGTGTTGGAACCCGACAGCCGGAATATACCTTCTTCAGCGACGACGTTGTGGGAGAGCAGGTATTCAATGCAGCGGTATACGACTGCAGGAAGTTCGGTGGCGACATCCGCGGGGCGGGAATACCGGGACGCGTCTTCAAGTGGCGCACCGAAGACGGCTCTCGGAGGACCGCCGCTGTAGATCTGCTCGTTCGCATGCGAAGTAGGTGCTGGGAGCTTGTCGTTCGGGCCTAGGTCGGACGAAGAGCGGCCGCGGAACCCAGAGAAGATGCCGCGTTTCTTATCCCTGTTCGGCGGCGTGGGCACTGGTTTCATACCCCATTCGCCCGCGTTGGAAATCACTTGCGGATTGCTTGGGCCGGAGATGTTCGGGTGATTGGAGGTCGCCTGGTCTACGGGGGTGACCGCGGGACCGAAGTTGCCGTCGAGAGGAGGAAAGGCACCGGTTCCTATGCGTGGACTTGGCGGGCCCATGACGGGCGCGTCACCGGCGACTACATCGCTGTAACCAACAGCGCGGAGTCCATCGGTTCTCATGCCGGGTCCTTCGCGGCTCGAAGAAGGTCTGAGGTCGTTGAGTGACTTCTGCAGCCTCGGACTACGAGGTGGACCGATTTCCCCTGCTTTGGCGGAGAGGAAGGCCCTGGATGGATCCTCCGAATCGTCTTTGTGGTCGACATACTGCAGCAGTGCATCCACCCACACATCCCGCTCCTCATCACTTTCCGCACAGAGAACGTGGCGAACCAGAGAATTGGAGTCCTTCTTCTTCGGCTCGAGGATGAGGAAGGCGTGCCGGAATTGGTTATCCTCATCCTCCTGTGACATCTGAGCCGAAGCCGTAGACTGCTTGCCGATCTGCGCATTCTGTAGCTTGATGGAGCCGAGTTGCGCTCCTCCTTGCGAGTCGTAGTACTTGAAGATCGGACCGTCGAGGACGAAAAACCTCGCTTTCCAGCCGCCAAAGTTCTTGCCACGCTTGGTGAGATAGCCTTCCCTCCGCGGCTTTTTGTTCAACGGGGTATCTGATCGCAGCTCCACAGAGCCACCAAAGTAACTGCCTCCGTCTGTTCCAAAGGCATCCATACTCAAAAACCTGCACACTATCATCGCCGACCGGTCATCCGTCACCGACTCGAGCATACGGTTCAAGTACGCGTCGATCGCAGCTCGTCGCGCATCGATCCTCGCGGGTGCATGGCCATTGAAAAGCACTTTGTCAGGCATGCGTTCGCGGAAGTTGCATGTGGACTTGATCTCCTCGTCCAACTGGGCGAGAGCAGCAAAAGTCTTTTCCGCCCGCCAGAGCTGCTTCTGGTCAGACCGCTCAAATACTGCCAAAGTGAAGACAGGGTTATCATCGGCTGCTTTGGGAGCGAGGTAGCTTTGTCGGGAGGGTCTCATCCTCGACGATGCAGTCTTTACGTAGATTGACGGCAGCGCGTTCGGTGGGAGTAGCAAGTCGGGATACTCATCGGTGACGAGTCCTTGGTATATCTCACCGGAGGTCATCGGCACCGTGGGAGTCGGGGCGTATGGTTGTTCAGGTGGAATATTTTCTGCCGCAACAGGCCTCACGTCTCTGTCAAGTGTACTGGGCTGTGGTTGTATTGTTTGGTAGCCTTCGGGGCGGGTCAAGTAGAAGGAATTGGCCGGCAGTGAGTCTTGTCTCGGCACAAATGGTGGTCTGGGTGCCCTCGGCGACAGCGGTAAGCCAGCCATACCAGCATTTGGCGATGTTGGTATAGTATTGAGGACCTTGTTGGGTGCTCGAGGCATGGGAGAGTTCACTGGACGGTCCACAGGCCTGGGGCTCATTGGTAATCCCGGGCTCAGTAACGATGGCGCAGTGTTACTTCTGGGCAGTGGAGTGTGATCCATGCCACGAGCTTGTTGAGAGACAATCGCAGGCGGTTCATTCAATCGCTGCGTCAGCGCGTCCGTTCTCGCCTGAGAGGAGGAGATGTCTGCGGTTGGAGGCTTAAATGCAAGGGGTGCAGGGATGTTTTCTGCTCCACCGTAAGGGTCTGTCGAACGATGCGCTTTTCCCTTGCTTTCCTTTGTCGATTGACTTCGGCTCTCCATCTCCTGTCGTGCAACTGCCTCACGTTCGCGCTCATCCTCTTCACGAGTTTTGCGTCGGCCACGTCCAGCTTGTTCGGCGCGCGCGCTGTCGGGGTCTTCCTCGTATTCGGAGTCTGAAGGATCGATAATGTTGTTGGTGACTTTCGCCGCCGCCTCGGCTTCTCTCTGTGACGACAGCTTTAGAGGAGCGGGAGGCCCTTTTCGCGCCACTGGTATCTTGGGGCTGGGGAAGTACGGGGTCGGATTGCTGCTAGTAGAGGAAATCGAGGGGGTCAATTTATGAAGGTTGTCTCGATGCTGCGGGCTCCTTGGAGAGTTTAAGGGCTTCGTCGGACTCTGAGCAAACACTCTGTTCTCCTGCGCGGACACGGCGGCAGCTGCAGCTATATCGAGATCGCGCACGATCTGGTGCGGACTTTCCGCCGACAGTGGGGTGGCAGGTAGGACAGAGGAGGGGGCGTTGGAGGCATCGAGTGGGGTATCGTCGGAGCGGCCAGGGCCAAAGGAGGTGCCTTCGGAGGTCTCGCTCACCTGACGGCTGTCCATGCTGATGTCGCGGGTGTTGATAGCGGCTGAGGGCGAGGCATGCTCGAGGGGCGCGCGTGATTCACTCTCTTCCCGGCTCAACATTTGCTCCAGCTGCATATTCGCGGTGGTCAACGTCGGCGCCGACTCGGACTGTTGGAGCTGGTCCTTCACTCGCTTCCTATACCTCTCCTTCTCTTTCAAGGCCTTTTCGAGATCCTTGTTCAGACCCAGGATCATGGTGCGCTGCTTCTCCACCAGCCTCCATAGCTGCGCATTGTGAGAGGCGGCATGCTCCTTCTCGGCGAACAGCTTCTGCAGGGCGGCCTCGGGGGAACCGGCTGCGGCGATCAAACATGCAATGTCTCGTGTAGAAGGCTGCGGTCGGTGTGCGGTGGCGCCATTCGGCTTGGGGGAGTTGTTGGAGGCGGACGAAAGCGTCGAGTCCATGGAGAAGTTTCGCGTGGGATTCGACGCGGGAGCAGGACGTGAGGGGAGGTGGTTGGATGTAGAGCTCATGTCGGGCGAAGTGGGCGGACTGAGGGGAGGGGAGGCGGCCAATATGGGGGCCGAGACGTTGCGCTGGACGGCGAATGGGCGGTCGAAGCCCGCCTTCCTGGCCTCTTCTCTTAGCACATCTCTATTAACGGCGCTTCTAAGCTCGTCGGCAGGATTGCGAGGCACTCGCTTGGCGGCGTTGGGCGAGCGCACGCCGTTCGCTGCCCAGGGACTGGGGGGCGAGGTGGGCGGTGGTGGGGATGATGATGATGCTGGAGACGACGAGGGTGGTGGAGGTGATACCGGCCGGCGGTGGTGGGGGATGTGTCGCGCGAGAGAGGGAGGACTAAAGTCGCGCCCCTGCACCGAAGAGGCCATGACCTCTATCGGGGCGGAGGTGTGCGGTGCGGCCAGGCCTGGGTTGGAATGATCTTCATGCGGTCGACGTCGTCAAATGATTGGCAGGACGCTGCGGCCGTTTAAGCTTCAACGGCAATCATAAGTGGCCAATGGGATCGTCCTTCACATTCCAGAGGTCCGGCGCTTAAACAAGGCCAGTCGCGTGAGGGGTGGATGAGAGGGGAAGATGTGATGTGAAGAGGAAGAAAAAGTGTTGGCTCTCATGGGGATGGAAAAGTCCACATTGCGTATCGCAATCCTCTTCCTGTCATGATGCGGATGAGATGAGGTGTGCGTGCATGCTGGATGCAGGAAGCAGCGCGCCGAGTTAGTTTAAATTGGATCTCCATCTCCGTCCTCAGGCTGTAAACCTTAACCAACTCGCGAGCAGAGGCCGTTTGGATGAAGCGGCCTAGATGGAGACACACCGCCTTCTCACATGCACGCTTGATGGACGATGAGTCGTGCATTCCTGCGGCCAGCCTGTCACGGGCGAATCAAGTCCTCGGCAGAATGCAATTGGAGTGTGGTCGAAAGCGCCATGTTTCATGTTGCGGAGGTGGGTGTGAAGCAGGCTTCGACTCTGCCCGTCATCTACCGTCATCATCATCTCCGCCGCCGTTCAGCAACGCACTGCCCCATCTATCCTTCGCCTCCTCGTTTCGAGTATGCAACCTACAGTACTGCATCTACTGTACGTGCAACGTGGAGGAAGGCTCCTGCCATGTCGGCATGCTCTCCCGACGGGATAAGCGAGATGCTGCGGGGCGAGGATACGGCCCGGGCAGAGCCAAACCTCACCTTGCAACCCCGGTCCAAACTAAACCACATGCATGCAACGACCCACGTTCCCTCTCCAGATTGGGAAGACTCGGGGGTCTGATGATCGACGCGGTTGTTCCCAGTCACATGTTGGACTTTGACGAGTTATCAACCTTGTGAGCTGTCACCATCTCCCATATTTGACTTGGTACACGAGTTCCGTTTCGTACTCGATATCCCTCTCGGTATATTGATGTTTCATCCAACCCCTGCAGACTTGCATATGTGTCTAATGCGGCATCCTCTTCTCCATCCGGTAAGAGTGTCGATGGCGCAATCATGTCAGGAATATATGTCCACCGCGACAGCAAGGTAACCTATTCTACTGCCTGCATAACAGAGGTAAACTCATTACAATGCCCGACAAAAGACCAAACTGCCTCATTATCGTCGCCGACGATCTAGGCTTCACAGATATCAGCTGCTACGGTTCGGAGATACCAACGCCCAACATCGACTCGCTCGCATACGATGCTGGCGGCCTGCGTTTCACCTCCTTCCATGTCGCCGCCGCATGCTCTCCCACGCGCGCCATGCTGATGACTGGGACGGACCACCACTTGACCGGTCTGGGTCAACTATCGGAATTCGTCCGTAATTCCCCCGCCCATCAAGGACGCCCTGGTCATGAAGGTTACCTCACCGACAAAGTCGTCGCCCTGCCCGAACTACTCCGCGATGCCGGTTATCACACGGTCATGGCTGGCAAGTGGCATTTGGGCCTGAAACCCGAGTACAGCCCCAAGGCGCGCGGCTTCGAAAGGTCCTTTGCTTTGCTCCCCGGCTGCGCGAACCACTACGCATATGAGCCACCATACGACAACCCCAAAGAGCCCCCTCGTTTCTTCGAGACGGCTGTAACGGCTCTACACATGGAGGACTTGGAGTATATTCCAACCGTGCCGAAAGACTTCTACTCCTCCGACTACTACGCCACCAAACTTCTGCAATACCTTCACAACCGCACGCCAGAAGAGAAAGAGAAGCCGCTCTTCGCCTACCTCCCCTTCTCCGCACCCCACTGGCCCCTCCAAGCCCCCAAGGAATCCATGGATCAGTTCAAAGGCCAATACGCCGACGGTCCCGAAGCCTTACGCCTCCGCCGACTCGAGAGCCTCAAAGCCCTCGGCATGGTAGAGCCTCACGTTGTGCCCCATCCCATCGTCACAGGCCCCAACGAGCCCGCAGAATGGAGTGAAATGACGGAGCTCGAACGAGCGAAATCCGCCCGGTCAATGGAAGTGTACGCAGGCATGGTGAAACGTATGGACGAGAACATCGGGCTCGTGCTCGCCTATCTTCGAGATACAGGCGAGTACGACAACACGCACATTTTCTTCATGTCGGACAACGGGGCCGAGGGCGCGAGCTACGAAGCGCGCGACGCCATTCGCGAAGACGTGCTGAATCACATTAACAAATACTACGACAACTCGCTCGAGAACATCGGGCGGCACGATTCGTTCGTCTGGTACGGAGCGCGCTGGGCACAAGCTGCCACAGCGCCATCACGTCTGTACAAGCTGTTCTCAACGCAAGGCGGCGTGCGCGTCCCTCTCGTCCTCAAACCCGCTCGAGTACAGGACTCCGCTCACCCAACCGCAAGAAACACAATCTCCCCCGCCTTCTGCACAGTAATGGACATCCTCCCCACCCTCCTCGACTATGCCTCCATCCCGCACCCACAAACCTACAAAGGCAAACCCGTCGCCTCACCGCGCGGCACAAGCTGGAAAACTTTCCTCGACACCCATCTCTCAACACAACAAAGCACCTCCCCCTGGTCCATCCACCCCGAAACCCACGCCACAGGCTTCGAAGTCTCCGGCTCGGGCGCCCTGCGTCGCGGTAAGTACAAAATCACCTATGTGCCCCTCCCGCACGGTCCGCAGAAGTGGGAGCTGTTTGATGTCCTAGCGGACCCTGGGGAGACGCGGGATTTGCGCGATGAGTTGCCAGGGGTGTTTGAGGAGATGTTGGCGGAGTGGGAGGTTTATAAGAAGGACGTCGGGGTTGTGGGGCTGAGGGGGGAGGATTGGGGGAGTTGGGACGGGGTGAGGGATGAGTTTGAGGATACGGGGAAGTGGATTCGATTCCTTGGGAGGGATGGGGAGGGGAGAGTCCATTGAGGAGGACAAGTAGTTGGCTTGGATTCATGCTTGCTGTCCGTGTTTAGAGTTTAAGATAGGCTCGCGTCTGTGATCCAACCCCCCTCACTCCACAACCCTACTAAACCAAACCATCAAGTTCTCATCATCAGTCCTCTCCTCAAACGGGCTCAGATTCACCCCCAGCATCTTTACCCTCCCATCCCGCACCACAAACCGCCCCCGCTGCCCACTGCGAACCATAGCACTCGACGTCGCCGTGTCCACCCACACCACAAACTCCTCTCCACCCACGTGCTCAAAGTCGAAAACGAAATCCATGAGTCGGCCAGGCCACTCGGCGTGCAGGATAGACGCGATCTTCGAGCGGCAGGGCACGTTGTCCGTGGCGCGTGTTCGGCGTACGTGCATAAGGCCGTAGCCTGCGTTGGAGTATGCTCCTTCGTATGCGTCCAGGGGAAGGGAGAGGGGGGTTGTTGGTCGTGAGGCCGGGGGGTATAATCTCTCTCGCGCCGTTTTTGCTCGCTGGAGTATCTCCGCGAACTCCTTCTCCCAGCCCGCGAAGATTTCAGCGCCCTCCTCTCCCTCTCCGAGACCTAGTCGTTCGCGCAGCAAGCGTAACAACACAGTCTCATTACCCGCCGAACCGCCTGCGTCAGAATTAGCAAGCACCACAACACCCCACCGCTGCGCCGGGAGAAACAGCATCTTAGCCGCAAATCCGCAAATGCCGCCATCGTGGTGAACGATGCGATGTCCATGGAACGTCGCCACCTTCCACCCGAGCGCGTACAACTGCGTCGACCACGCTTTATGCGGCGAGTCGCCAGCCACCACGCGCGGCACGAACAGATCCTCGTACGCCTCGGAGCTGAGCGTGGGGAAACCGTTGTGCACGACCGCCGCCATGTAGCGCGTCATATCCGCGATGGAGGAGATGATCCCCCCGCCTCCAACAAGCGGGTAGTCATCCACGTACGGCGCGACGATAACGGTCTCCGGCTCCGCAGCGTCGCGCGTGTACCCCTCCGCCATCCGGGAGGCAGCTGCCTCGCGCGCAGTCGCCAGCGAAATAAACGTCGTCCGCATCCCCAGCGGCGCCCAGATGTATCGCTCATGTAGTGCCTCAATGCCCTCGCCGCCTGCCAGGGTTTCAATAGCGTGCTGCACAGTCATGTACCCTAGGTTAAGGTAATGGTGTTTTTCGCGAAAAGCGACTGCGGGAGTGAGATGGCGCAGCGAGCGCACGGCGTCCGCGACGGTGTAGTCTGCGCGCCCGCCGTAGCTGAGGTCGTGCCGAGCGGTGCCCAGGCGGTGCGCGAGCGCGTCTTCGAGAGTAGCTCGCTCCGTGGCGTAGGTGCTTTCTGCGAGCGCGAAGTCATCCGCTGGTAGGACGGAGGCCAGTGTGGTTTGGAGCGATACTGTCCCTTTTAAATTGCCGAGCAGGCATTGCAGCGTCGTTGCGGTGAACGACTTCGTGCAAGAGGCGATATAGTACAGCGTGTCCTCTGTCGCCGGGGTGTTTGGGAGTTGCGCAAGTCCATAAGCCTATAAGAGTAACAGATACGTCAGTAAGCGATTCTTTGTCCGCAGGAATAATTGAATACGGAAGGATGTCTGACTCTAGTGGCGGTTCGAGTGCCATCAACAATGCCGATGCACTGGCTGGGAATGCTGTACTGAGACTGCACCGAGGCGACCAAGTCATCGATGCCGTCTGGGAAGAGAGGTTTGGGCGTCGATGAGGCCATGCTGGCGTTTTATCGTCTATTACTCATTTCTACGTTGGGTGTCTGTTTCGGTACAGGACTTGGAGGACGAAAGTGAGCCTGGCTGAAGTTCGTGGTTGGATTGTTCGACGTGGCTTTTGTGGACTTAGCTAGGGCTACAATGGCAGATCTGACGGAAAGGTGTGGGATAAGTCGTCAATTGATTCGAAGATAAGGAAGGAAACTGCTCGCATCGGAAGGATGATCCAAGAAGGAGAAGTAATTCATCCAGGACAAACGGTCGAGAGTTACTAATTACCTACGACCACTCTTCCGCCTCCGCCCTTCATTCCCGCTCACGGGCGCCGACGAAGGCACAGGAACCCGCTTGATGGAGTACGAATTCCCATTCGAAGAAGAAGCGGCCGGCATAAGCTCCACTTCCACCCCTCGCCTGTCCTCGCCATCTTCATCCTCTTCGTCCTCCTCCCCACTGCTGCTACTACTACTACTGCTCCGCTCACCCCTGACCTCTCTGCTCAGCGCACTAACCCTCCTTGGGCCCCCAGCAATACTAGGGTCCGAGTGACTCGAATGCTGGGCAATGGGTCTCCCAGCCAGATTTGACGAAGGAAGCGGCGGCCGCGGAACAGAAGCAGCTGCGTACCGCACATCTGGGGGTCCACTGAAATTCCGCCTGCTCTGCGCAGCGGGCAGTCTTGGAGGGAAGTCGTATTCGGCCGCTGGACCTCTTGCGATATATTGACCGTTGGAGGCGGAGCGCTGGCGTGGTGCAGGTGCAGGTGGAGGCCGCCAGTTCTCATCGTCGGGGAGGGAGCGATTGGATTCAGAGGATTCCGGTCGCAGGCCGTATGGCGAGTTGCTGTTGTAGTAGTAAGGGTGCCTGGGTGGTGGGTATTGAGGATAGGAGTCGGCGCGGTCGGGCGGGCTGGATTCTCGCCGACGCTGATGTTTCTGCTTCGAACTCGGGCGTGAACTCGATTTCGGGCTCTCTGATTGAATTCGTAAAAGCTCCTGGCCGTAGTATGGAGCTCCTGGAGATGGCGCGTATACCGGCACTCCATTTGGACCCTCGATCAGTCTCGGCGAGTCGTCTCTGGCGTACGAGGATACGTGATCACCGCTCGATCGCGTACGGTTGCCCTTGGTCTTGCCACTCGACTTCGTAGGTGATGTCGAGCTCCCAAAGAATCCGGAACTCCGTTTGCGCGTTTTGCTCGAAAGGTTCGTGGCGCTGGCCGACCTGCCGCTCGCCTTTGCTTTACTCGACTGCTTCGCTGGGGTCGGCGGTGGAGAAGCGAGAGCTGATCGAGATGCTTCCGGCTGCTGATCTCTGCTGCGCTCCAGCGCATCCATTTCCTCTTCCGACAGATTCACATTCGTCTTTCCCTTTGCCCTCGCCCGCGCGATCCTCTCCAATGCCGTATGAATGAGAGCATTCTCTTTGTCTCGCACCGCCGCCTGGTAAGCCACACCCTCGTCCCCATAATACCCGCGTGTTTTAGAAAGTCTATCCCGCCCCAAATCGTACCCATCGAAATAAAGCTCGTCGCTCACCAACCTATCGCGAGCGCGAGAGTCCCTAGATTTCGGATTCAAAAGAACGCCATGCCCATAATCATCGTCGTCGCTCTCGATTTCCTCGAAACGCAAGTCACGGAGCTCCCAGTCCTGCGGATAGCGCTGTCTCCCGCTGAAAGGAGCCCCGGACGGTCTTCCCATGTCATAGGGCACAGAAGGCGCGGCAGACCGCCTATACCGCCTCCTCGGAGAAAGACGCGGCCACGTCCTTGTCCATAAAGCTTGCATGGCCGAGGATGGACACACCGGATGCGCCGATCAGCCAGAGGACGGTGGAGATGGGCGAGGCCCAGATGCCGAGAGGTACGGCGATGATGAGCAGGCCGGTGTAGAGTTGGGAAGAGGTGGCACGGGCGAAGCCGACATCGAGGTCTGAGCCTTGCAGCCTGCTGATCCCGTACATGCCACCCACGACGAAGAGGATGACGAAGAGCAGGAGGAGGTTGGTGAGCAGGCTGTAGATGCTAAGCATGACGAAGACGACGGCATAGTTGCTGCTGAAGTAGGAGAGGTTGTAGTTTACGCGGTTCTGCAGCTCGCCAAAGTCTCGCGGTTTGGAGAGACGCTTGATGTCGAGGAATTCGGAGATGGGTTTGAGGTTGGCGAAGCGATTGCCGATCGATTGTGTGCGGATGGTGTCGAAGCGGCCTTTGAGGTTGAGGCGGTCGGAGAGGGCGTCGATGGGGATGTTGATGCGTGCCATGTTTGTGGTGGGAAGGGGGAGGGAGGAGGTTGGGGTGAGGGAGACTGATAAGGAGTAAGGGTCAGCGGGGGTTTGCTCTGTTCACCGAGGGAGAGCAGCTGGGGGAAGCATACATTGGGGAATGAGAGGTGGCGCGACTGAAAAGAGTGACTACGGACTGGCCGTGAAGGGTTGCTGGGAGGGCGAAGGGGGGGATGTGGTTGAGAATGAGGAGGAGGAGGAGGACTCGAGAATGCAGGTGCTCGCCGCTTCCCCAAAAATTCGAGGCTCGCTCGGGAGGAAGGCGCGGGTGGAGCCCAGCTAGTAAGTTAGGCGAGGGGCGACGGGAACAGGCACAGGACAGGGGCAAAGGCCACCCGAAGCCATTCCATTTTCGGCGATGTCTTCTTCAGCCTTGTTGGGGAAGGAGCATTGTTGATGCTGAGAACGAGATGGTTTAAGGGCAAGTGCGATCTTCTGTGCAAAGAGGGAGAACACAGACGGCGACACCTGTCAACCCCACGTGCTTGTAACCCTCCCCTCGGGCCACGGGGAGCATCCACCTGCAGCCCAGCACCTCCGCAATTCTGCCTGCAAATTGTGTGAGCGGTCGAGCGCACAGTCCACGCCAACGCCCGCCCTGCATGAACCTTCCTTCCCTCTCTTCACTGCAACTGGCTGCTTTCTCACCTCCCTCCAAAACTTTCTTCCACCGACCCCCCAAGACTACTGCACATGATGATGAGGGTGCAGAGTCGGGCAGCCGTGCTGCTACTGCTATTCGCATGCTTCGCCTCCATCGTGTCCTGCTGGACGGCCGACGACCACGAGATTTTCCGACTGCGCGATGAAGTGCAGATTTCCGAGGGCGTGAATGCCACCTTCTACTCCTTCCTCGGCATCAAGCCCAATGCCAACCAGGAGGACATCAACAAGGCCTACCGCAAGCTTTCCCGCACGCTGCATCCCGACAAGGCGCGCAGCAATTGGCTGGCCAACTACAACAAGCCCAAGAAGCCCACTGCGAAGGCCGGAGCGAAGCCCACGGTGCATGTGCAGAAGAACAAGAAGCCGAGCCAGAGCGAGATTACTCGGTTTAACAAAGAGGCGGGTGCGCGGTTCGAGAGGTTGAGTCTGGTGACGAATGTCCTCCGCGGGCCTGGACGCGATCGATACGACCACTTCCTCGCCAATGGCTTCCCGACTTGGAGGGGGACAGGATACTACTACAAGAGATTCCGACCAGGGCTTGGCTCGGTGCTGGCGGGCCTATTCATCTTTGTTGGAGGTGGCGTGCATTACGCCTTCCTGTACCTGAGCTGGAGGAGACAGCGAGAGTTTGTGGAGCGATACATCAAGCATGCCCGACGTATGGCATGGGGAGACGAGGGTGGTATTGGCGCCATCCCTGGGCTAGGCGGAAGCGTTGCGAATGGTGCACCCACCGCGAGACCACCCGTGCAGGACAATGAGGACAGCATGCAGTGGAACCGCAAGGAGAAGCGGGCCATGGAAAGGGAGAAAAGGAAAGAGAGCAAGAAGCCCAACAAGGCGGCGGCGGAGAAGGCGAAGCGAGACGGCATTAGCACACCCGTCGAGGCGGAGATCACCTCGGGACCTGTGGGCGCGAAGAAGCGCACGGTGGCGGAGAATGGAAAGGTGTTGATCGTGGACAGTGTGGGCAATGTATTCTTGGAGGATGAGACGGAGGAGGGCGATGTGCAGGAGTTTCTGCTTGATGTGAGTCCATTTCGATCACCATGAGGATGTCGCAGAGTCTAACGAACCCCTTCACAGCCCGATGAGGTGCCCATGCCGACCATCCGAGATACCGTGCTCGTTCGTGGGCCTATACTTCTCTACAACAAGAGCCTCGGTCGGCTGCTGAACAAGCAAACGCCCGAGTATATCCAATCGGAAGCAGAGGGAGACGAACAGGAGTACAGTGACGACGCCACCGCCAGCATCCAATCTGCGATCTCCCCGAACGCAAACGGCGAGGCGCGGAAACGCAAGTCGAAGGCCAGGGCATAGCGTGCATGCCGTGGAGGTGGTGACGGTCATGATAGCCAATACATGGAACTACTTCATTAAAAGTCTTTCGGTGGTGTCGCCGGCACACTCGCGACTTGTCCCGTACCCCTCGAGTACACCTCCCAGCGCCTGCAAATGCCATGCCAATGCCGTGCCTCTTGCCATGTAGTCCAGCTCTTTCACGAAAAGTACCTCAGAATAATCCTCATCACCTCCACAACCAATCCACCGCAGATGGCGAAGATCAACACATCTGTTCGCCAACCCAGCGTCAGCCCAGTGCAGCCATACAAGTCGAGGAAGGGGAGAGACCACGTACAAACCCAAATCGGACTTATCGGCGCCTTGTCCACTTTCTGCTTCTTCTTGATGTCGCTGACGGGTTTGCCGCGCTTGGCCGCCTCGGATTTGGCGTATGCTTCGTTCGCGCGGCGTTGTTGGGGGGTTTGCGCCTGGGAGGGAAGGGGGGGTGAGCGGGTGGTGGAGGGTAGGGAGAGGGGAATGTTCGATTTACCATTGTGGGTGTGAGAGGGAGTTGTGAGCAAGAGATCGGAGTGGTGATGACGGAGACGGCACTATACTTGACGAGGTGGACGGGGTGAAGGTTGCGTGGTTGTGGTGTGTCGTCTTGCTCTCTTGTGAACAAGTATCGCTTCCCTTTCCACACCCACCCAGGGGACCGGACGAATTTCACGGTTGCGGAGACCGGGGGAGCTCCTTCCCTTCAGGGACCGCGGCTGTGGCTTGGATGTGTGGAGCAGTCAGCCACACCTCTTTCCGTTGCACTTCACTCTAAAAAATTGAAGAGCCTCGTTCCCACGTCGATCAGCACAACACTCTCGCAGGGGAGAAAGGACTGCATTTTGGATTAAGCAACATAATGGATCCGAGAATGTACTACCTGCCATGATCGCCACCCACTCTCACGCTTCCCCGATGCAAAATGGCCCGCTATCCCACCTTTGACGAATACCGCAAACGCGGCAACTACCAAGACGGCCTGAAACGCTGCGATGACCTTCTCAAGAAGAATCCCCACGACGTCCAACTTTTGATCCTCAAGTTTCAGCTGCTCAGCGCCATCAAAGGCGATGCACAACCAGTTCTGGACCAGCTTGCATCCCGGCAGCCTCCCATACTGGACTTAGGCGACATTATCTCCATCGAGGACGCTGTCGAAATTTCCCAGCGAGATGACTATCCGTCACCGAATTCCGCTGGTCCGTCGGTGGCCAAACTCTGGGACAATGCCTTCAAAGCGTCCACGTCGATGAACCACAGGCTGGATCTGCTCTCCCTACGATTCTCTCGAGCGGTGGTCGATAATCGCCTAGCCGATGCCCAGCAAGCCCTTATCCAACTCAAGGCATTACAGCCAAAGAACCGAGTCGTGTACATGGCTCATGCCGCCGTCACGCAGATGCTGTCGACTGCGAACGACGACTTATCCGCTCGCCTCGCTCTGCTGCTCGCACGCAAAGCCGTAACGGACAAGTTCGACGCGGACGACGCACTGGATTGCAGAGTCCCGGGACAGATTTTTGCTTTGCAGGCGTCGCAAAAGGATCTGGAGAGTATTTCTGACACTCGGTTCAAGGAGAGTAAGCAGGTGTACGAGGCTTTGCACGATGGCAACCGGAAAGAAGTGAATGGAGACTCTGCTCCGCAAGCCGAGGCGGGTGCTGCTTCATGGGATCTATCGGGAATTCCATCACTAAATCAACACTTCGCCGACTTGACCAAATCCTCGGCTTCCCTGGACACCGTGCTGGCCTTTGCCACAAACTCCCTCCAGCTCTTCCACACAGCCAGCACATCAACCTCGGATCCCCGAGGAAGAGGCGCAGCAGACGCATGCTTCCTGTCCATCTCCGCACTTACCAGAGCCTACGAACTGTCCAGCGATCAACGCTACCTCCTCACAGCCGCCTTTTCCGCCGAAGCTTTGCTCAAACACAATCCTCACATCCACGAAGCCCGCCTCATTCTCATCTACCTCTACATGCGCCTCGGCCTGGGCAGCCTAGCACTGCACTACTTCGACTCCCTCAATATCAAAGAAATTCAACACGACACCGTTGGCCACGTGCTCTTCACCAACCTCTCCCTCACGCATCCCCACATTACGACCGTGAAGAGGAATGCCGTCTTTGAACCCCTCAAGCGACTTTCCCTAGCATTAGCAATGTACACCAAGCACGAGGAGAGACTGGCAGAGACGGAAGCGAGCGTGCTCAATCACTCACAGACTGGAATGCTGATCGATCTACGGGAATTGCGGGATCACCTGCGCTTGAGCGTCACTCGGCGCATCACCTACTTGGAGCAGAGGCGGACTGCTCGTCTGCTGAACAACGCGCTTGGTCAAGCCGCCGCACCCATGGGCCCAAGAGTGCTGGCAAACTGGACGAACATCGTCGATAACCGAGACTTTGCCGCCGCGTTCGACTTCGGCTACAATGTCGAGCGAGTGTTGTATGAACAAGACGGCTCTCAGCCTGAAAAGCCGTGGATCTTGCGTGCACTAGCGGCAGACTCGGCTTGGTGTCTTGCCAACGGCCATCCGACTTTGGTCAAAGACGTAGACGCCTTGGTGTCTGAGCTGACAAGTCTCGAGCCGAGTCTGGATTCCCTGAAACTCGATGGGAGTGAGGCTTCGGTGCTACATGTGGAAATTCTCGCGGGTGACCTGGCAAACCAGACTCTCCGGACACTCCTACATCTCGCGTCCAACGATCCCGAACTACCTCAAGCCGCCGCAGCGATGCTCAAAGCCCTCGAACGCCTACCCATCACAGAACTGGTGAGCAAGGAGGGGGTTCTCGCAGAGCACCTGACAGCACACTACAACCTCCTCGACGTGCTGCGGACCGTGCTCAAAACGTCAAAACTCGCAGGGGAGAAGGCGAAAGAGCAGCACGACCTATTCGACACAGCGCGCAAATTGGCCGAAGAGCACTGTACCGCGCTCCGCGATCACGCAAAGGAGCAAAGCAAGCGTGTCTCTGCTGCGGCAGTTAGAGAGTACGTTCAACGGGAGGAGAGATTGAAGGATAGCATGGGGCTACTTGGAGATGGCAACCTCGCCGATTTTTGCCAGGCTGTTGCGGCTTCTGCGAAAGAAGGGTGGGAAGGCGTGACGAAGATTAATTAGAAACGTTTTGAATATGCGTATTAGGGCGTGTAGATAGCATTGCGGTACAATCGACATTGTGAATGCCGTGCAAACCGGGCGCACAATGCTTCTCTTTCCGTTCCTCGTACTCCGACGCCTTGCTCGAACGCTATCAAGAATTCCAAGGGGTATCCAACATGGTGAAGCACAGATCCGAGCATTTCCATCAACTTCCGTCCTCCCTCTCATGATCGCTCAGAGCGATCGCCTCTGCCGAAGCGAGCGGTTCATCGTCTTGTAATCCAGGATCTTCGACTGGTGTCCGCGCCTCGGGCGTGGCTTCTTTACTCGACAGCTCGTCATTTTCCAACAGACCCTGCTCGATTGCCAGCCTCCTCGCCTCAGCACGTTTCCGTGCGACCTCTTCCTCTTCCTCCCTCTCTGCCACTCGCTCTTCCTCCTTCATCTCGCTCAAACTCGGGACCTCTGGCATGCGCTCTTGCACAGGCGACTGCGCCGCACTACTATCCGCCCTCCGTCTCGAGGAAAACGTGGAATTCCGGCTCCCCGCCGACGGCCTCTTGCCCCCTGTGCTTCTCGTGCGTCCAGAACTGGTGTCCGTTTCCATACCCGCGACTCGGCGCTCCAGAACCATGGCGAACTCGTCGTCCAGCGGGATCGCATCGTCTTCCCCATCAGAGGGGAAAATGTCGCCTCGACTGCTCAGACTGTCCGTCGTGTGGCCCGAGGCGACGGTACCGCTTCGGTCTCTGCGATGCTTGCGGCGTCTGCCCTCGCTCTCGCGGAGCAGGGCCTCGCCCTCGGTGAGATCATGCCGCGCAACGCCAGGGTGATCTTGCAAATCCGCGGCGGAGGGCTTGTACCGCAGGGCTTTGCCGCCGAAGAGTTTGCCGAACAGGCTGGAGCCCGGGATGACGGTGGGGTCTTGCGCGGTGTCTGCTGCGCTCTTCCGTCGGGCTTTGGGGTAGCTCATCCCGCGCTGCCTCGCGGGCTGAGCGGCTGTGTTCTGTGTCGCGACGGTCCCGTAGCCCGCACTCCCCGCCAACAACCTGTCGAATTCATCATTATTTCCCCATCCCATTAACGCATCGGTATCATCCTCCTCCCAATCATCGTAGAAGTCGAAATTCAGTTCCGCGCGGCCACGACTGCGCCCTTGTCTCTGCTGTCTCCGAAGTCGCTCGCGTTGGTCGGCGGTCAGGTTGAGGGTGGGGCATGATGCTTCCACGCAGCTGGACACGGTCTGCCCGATGGACTGGAAGCAGGGCTTGATGTACGTCTGGTAGCCCTGGAAGATGGAGGTCTGGGCGCTCTCTTGCGCGCTCTCGAGCGTTTGGCCGATCTCATCGAGGCGGCGGCGGAAGCGGGGGTCGCCCGTGCGATACATAATCGCCCGCGGCGGGATGGCATTGAGGTGCACGGAGAACTAAAGGTGTCAATGCTGCTGTCGATAGAGAGGGAGGGAGAGAGGTCGGCTTTGCGGCTGCGGTGTTGAAGGTCGTGGCATGTGCCTGAGGCTGGAATGATGTCACATGATTAGGTATGCCGCGTCCCGCCCGCACTAGGCTGCTTTGGGTCGCCAACTCACACCCGCGCCGCTGCCGCCTTTCATCCTTCCTGTTGCCTCATCGACTTCATCCTTTCCGCCACTTCCACCTACCACTCATCACACCAGTCCGCCGACTTCGCCATGGCCCACAACTCGAGGTATCAGCCTGTCGCTCGGGACAGTATCGACGAGGAGGAACGCTACACCCAGGCGCCTCCCAGCTATCAAGCCGAGCCGGTCATCGGCCAGTCTCGAACGGAGGATGACAATGTGCCTGATGACTTCAAGGTATGGACCACCTCTTCCGGAGAAGTAGAGAGCGACAAAGCTGACAAGCCTCATCCAGTTCGGCGGCAGTGTGGCCGAAGCAACCCTCCCGTTCGTGACGCCCATCAGTAGTATATCATCCACCTACTAACCATCCACTAGCATCCGCATGCAGTTCGTCCGGAAAGTCTACGCCATCCTGACCGTCCAACTCCTCTTCACCACCGCCCTCTCCGCCGTCTCCTTCTTCAACGCCTCCTACAAAACATGGATCCAGTCCAACCAGTGGATGATGTGGGGTTCGCTATTCGGCGCCATCGCCTTCATGCTCCTGACATTCTGGAAGCGCAAATCCTACCCTACCAACCTCGTCTTCCTCGCCGGCTTCACGGGTCTAGAGGCATACAGCATCAGCGTGGTTACGAGCTTCTACGAGAGCAAGATTGTGCTGCAGGCGCTCATCTTCACCCTTGGTATCTTCTTGGCTTTGACGCTGTTTGCTTGTCAAACCAAGTATGATTTCACTAGCTGTATGTGATTGCCATTCCGGCTTTTCGTCCCATCGTGCTGACACGCACACAGGGATGCCCTACCTCTTTGGTGCACTCTGGGTGCTGATCCTCTTCGGCTTCATGTCCATGTTCTTCCCTCACACCTCCGGCATCGAACTCGGCTATGGCATCGTTGCCGCTCTCATCTTCAGTGGCTACATCCTCGTCGACACCCAGCTGATCATGAGACACTACCACGTCGAGGAAGAGATTGCCGCGGCCATCAGCCTGTATCTCGACGTCATCAACCTCTTCTTGGCCATCTTGAGGATCTTGAACAGCCAGCAAAACAATTAGAAGAGGGATGATGTTAAGCAAGAGTGGGACGAACCTGCGAGGGGGAATATGATGAATGAGTATCGTTGATTCGATGGCGTTACGCTTGGACGAGACGAAGTTCTTTGGCGCTGCTTCTATGCTCATGTATTTGGATATCTTGGGTCAACATTCCCACATTTCTCTCTTGTCATTGCTTCCCTCTTCCCTCCGCCACCACCTCCAATCTCCTCTCAAAAGCCTCAATCAACTTCTCCGCCACCTTGGGCACCGCGGCCTGGCTCAGCGCCGCATAAACCGGATTGGCAAATTTGACCTCAATCCTCAAACTGACCTCCGTCTTCTCCCTCTCCAACGCCCTCAAAGTCCACCTCGTACTCAAATGCTCCAACACCGAGCCCACGCGCGTGCGATCCTCCGCGCTCGGCCTCACATCATGATGTCCAATCTCCTCGGCGGGAATCGTCGACTCCGCCTCCCCACTCACCGCCTCCACAATCCTCTCCGGCACACAGTACACGCGCGAGTAGAACGCCTCGCTCGCCGCGTCCCCGAAGCCGATGACGAGCTTCGCTTCTTCCGGGTACTTTTTGCCGTCGTGCGCGGTGGGGCGCGAGTACTTTGTTACGCGCGACTCGGTGCAGAAGGGGTAGTAGGTTGCGTAGGAGTTGACGTCGGAGATGACGGCGTAGATTGCCGAGGTGGCGTAGGGGAGGGTGCGGGTTGCGGAGATGGTTTGCGGGGTGGAGGAGGCGGCGAAGGGGTTGGGGAGGAAGGTGCGGGTTTGTTGTCTGTTGTGGTTTGTTGGGCGGAGCAGGCGGGTGGATGGAGTGGGGGAGAGGGGTGAAATGAGGGGTGGTGTGCGGTGCAGGATTGGGCGGAAGGCCTGCATGGTGGCTGCCGGGGGGGCCCAGGAATTAGGGGCGAGGGTTATTGCGACATGTTGACGGCTTCGATGTGGCACACGGGGCAAAGTAGGAGATGTTTGTCGAGGAAGGTCGCGTTGCGTGTCGTGCAGGCACACACGTTCCAATGAGCGCATGAAATTTTGGGGAAACGGATGGTTGACAGCTGGAAGCCCCACATTGATCGAGCGGGCCGGGACATGCAGGATGGGATTCCCCGAATGCTTGTGCTCTGCGGTACATATGTGCTCTCCTGATTTTGTCTTCGCTCTCTCACCTGCCACGACGCGCACGCGGAGTGGTACGTTCCACAGTGATGGAAACTCAATCCGTGAGGCCGCTCATCGACGGATCGATCAAGTCCCCAAAACTCACCGTGTGTGGCTCCTCACTGATGTCGAAATCGACATAGTGGCCGGCAAAGAACGGCTGCCCAAGAATCCAGGCGTTGCCTGCCACGCTCGCATACGCGTTGGTGCCACCGATTATGGAAGTGCAGTTTGTGCGATCGCGACGGTGGCGGTAGACATCCCACACCGCGGGAGAAATGTCGAAGTTCTTCGCCTTCTCGCCCGGTTTCAGTTGGCTCTGCGCCGGGAAGCTGACTGTGGGTGGGGCTACTATTAGCAACGAAACGCGATGCCCTGGGCTTGGCGATGCAAAGACATACAGCCTATGGTTGGCGGCTTGTCGCAGTCGAAATAAGCCAACACGGTCGTCACGGGTGTGCCCAGGTTGTTTTGCAATCTCGTGTGCGTTTGCCAGCCGAGCGTGGCAAAGAGCCTTTCTGCGAGGTGGACCGGGCTAGTTTTTCTTAGCCAATGCGTCGGAAGATCGGGGCTGAGGGTCGCAATGATTTGACCTACGGTTGAATGTTGCTCTCTCCATAATCCATGATAAGGGTTTGGTTCGCGGCAAAGATCTGGCCATCGACCGTGAGGTCGCCCTGGACGGTGAATTCGCCGAACTCGCCCGAGTCGGCTGCAGCATAAAGAGAGCCATTGATGAATCTCCTTGCAAGCGTGCCAATGGTAAAAAGGCCGTTGCCGCTGGTCCCTACAACGCTGGGTCAAATGATGTTCGAAGATCACCCTGGTGCTCGCCAGACGTTCGTGGCCCGTGGACTTACCAGAGATGACACCGAACCGCTTCTCGGAGAGAAGGCCGTGGTTGGCAAGATTGAAGAACCACGAAGGGCTTTCGGGGGTGAAGGCACTCCCGCCGCGCGGCGAGAAGCCGATCAGGCCGTCGGCTCGCTTGGCGGCGAAAGAGGCGTAAGGGTACCGAGGAGCGTCGATGTAGTGGAAGTGGCTGATATTGCCAATGGCTTGCGCGTCGAACGTCAACCCGCCAGCAGAGACGACATCAGTCTCCACGGTGCCATTGATCTATTGCACCCCCCTGAATCAGCGCTCAACACCAACTAACGAAAGTGCGGAAGTCCTCACAATCTCAAACCCAAACCCCAAGCGAGTGACGCCTTCGTAGCCACCCGAAAATTCACGAGAGCCGTTGTATGTGCGCGCAAGGTCGGATGGCTTGTACCTACATGATCGGAGCGGCCTGGTCAGCAAACGCAAGGGTCATCTGGCGGAGAGTACTCGTCCTCACACGCCGGGATTCAAAACGCAGTCGGCGGATCCAGTGTCAAGAAGGAGCCTTAGATCGCGCGAAGCTCCGACCGAGAAGTTTCCAGACCAATACAGCGAGCCCCCCAGAACGGTGGGTTCGTCGCCGGCGGTGTGTCCCTCAAGGCGTCGGCGCAAGTGAGACTCGCCACGGACCAGGCCCGGGTCTGTGAGCAGACGTTCGGTTTTGACCATATAGGAGCCGCCGGCGCTGGTCCCGACGAGGCTGCCGATGGCGCACCATGCGACTAGGAGGGGCGAGAGACGGCCCATTCTGTGATCCTTTGATGAACGATGACAATGAAGCCGCTCGACCCCAATCGAGGGCCGGGGCCGCTCTAAATACGTTCTACATGCCTCTGTGCGTCACTTGCACGGTATGACGTGAGTTTTGTTCGGCTGAATGTCTTCTTGCAGCGAGTGATAGGGCACACGCATAGGGTACACGCATAGGGCACACGCATAGGGCAAGTTATTTCGCGATGAGCCTTGTCGGCGTGGAAGTCGGCCCAATATATTTGGCTGGCTTACTAAGGCGTTGGCCCTATTGATAGGGCCAACTTAGCAGCTACAAGTATTCCAAAAGTTCTGTAACTGGTACCAACTCTCTTCCTATTTAGTCAGCCCAAATACTCCCTGGCGAAAGGCATTGTCGCAGGTCAACATGGCCGACCCAGATGGGGCGCCTCATATAGCCCTGCCCATACGCAAGAGGCAGCCGCGCCAACAACTCACCAAAGGAATGGAACACATGCGCACCTACGTCACAATCCCCGATCCTCCTCCTCCTCCTCCTCCTCCTCCTCCAGCAGCATCAGCAGAACCACCATCTTCCAACGACACAAAAGAGCAAGACGCCTACGGAGTCCCCGCCACCTTCCAACCTCTCCGAACAGACACCACTCCCCCACCGAACATCGACAATCCGCACAAACGCAGCGACCCCTTCCAATTCGGCACCCGCTACCTCTCCGCAGACGACGACATCTTCTCGCACAACGCCTGGGACCACGTAACCGTCGACCCAGCCTACGACTCCTTCATCACAGCCCAAACATCTTTCCAGCGGGACAACCAAGTTTCAGACTTTGACAAGCGACGCTTCAACGAGGCGCCGGAGAAGTGGTGGGACAAGTTTTACGGCAACAATGCCACCAACTTTTTCAAGGATCGCAAGTGGTTGGTTCAGGAGTTTCCTGTGCTGCGGGAGGTGACGCGCGATGGGTATGGGGATGTTACTGTGCTGGAGGTTGGGGCGGGGGCAGGCAATACGGCTTTCCCGCTGTTGGAGATGAATGCCAATGCGGGGATGAAGTTGTGGGCTTGCGATTATAGTCGGAAGGCTGTGGAGTTGATTCGGGCGCAGGAGGCATATGTGCAACAGGCGGAGCCGGTATTGAGAGCAGAGGTGTGGGATGCCGCGGGCGAGACATTACCGCCAGGCCTTGAAGCCGGAACGGTAGACATTGTGGTTCTGATCTTCATCTTCTCCGCTCTGGCGCCGGCGCAGTGGGAGCGAGCAGTGCGCAACATCTGGACTCTGCTCAAGCCTGGCGGCGAGATTCTTTTCCGCGACTACGGGCGAGGCGATCTGGCTCAAGTGCGCTTCAAAAAGGGGCGCTATCTCGAGGAGAATTTCTACGTGCGAGGCGATGGGACGAGGGTGTACTTCTTCGAGGAAGACGAACTCCGCGAGATCTGGTCTGGCAACATCTTCAGCGAGCGTGATGGGCCGCGGTTCGACATTGTGAGCCTGGCTACTGATCGACGCATGCTGGTCAATCGGCAGCGCAAGCTGAAAATGTATCGGTGCTGGATGCAGGGACGATTTAAGAAACCGGCTGATGACGAGGCTGTTGACATTTCGGATATTCGAAAGGAAGCAGAAACGGGCTGAAATCGATATGATGTCTCGAATATCTCTCCGGCTCGAAAAAGCGCAGCAGCTATGCATCCGACCTCAATCGAGCGCTTGGACACTGCGGTGCATGTTGAATGAGTTTTGGAACCAGATATTATAGCACACCTACGGACACCGCCAACTCCAGGACCGCGAACGATACCAAGAGAAAGGGAATCGCGGAAGCGAGACCTCACAATGGAGGCAACGCCAGATGGTCAATCTAGAAGTCCAGCCACCAGCCCAGACCTCTTCAAAGCTGCTGTGCCGTAGTACCTGCAACGCAATTAGTCACGCTCACAACGACATACGCAATCAGCAAAACTCACGATTCCAAATCTCCTCCAAAGCTTGCGCTACGCGGCCATACTGCTCCGCGTCATATCCATCAGCTCCATTCGCCCTGTACCGGTGCATAAGCTCTTGCAATCTGCCACTCTGACCCGCCAATAAAGCGGCATCAAGTCTAGCCAACGGGCCCAAAAACTCAATCGGCTGCGCACGAGAAGTCAAAAAGCTGCGAAAGAGATTGCCGCCGCTGCCTTCGCCGGCGTAGATGGTGCGGCTGCGGCCAGCGTAGAGGTCTCGATCACACTGGACGATGCGATCGAGGATGGAGACAAGCAGGGAGGCGAGTGAGCGACGGTGGTCGGTTGTCAGATCGTGCCAGTAGTCGGAGAGCACGCTCTCCACGGCGCCGCTGAGATGGCGCCAATCGGTGATGGAGTACGAGACGTCGCGGCCGGAGGTTTGGTTGTCTAGGTTTGCGTGCAGGTTGCGCAAGATGGCGGCGTCGCGCGCTATGACGTTCGTGACGAGTCGTGAGGCACAGTGTGCGCGGGGAAAGCGGCGGCGCAGGAGGGTCAGGGTTTCGGGGTGGTGCTCTGCGATAGTCGCGAGAACGCGAGCCATGCGGCGGCAGTCGTCTCTGGAGCATTGTGTCAGCTTGCTGCGATAAGTTGAGGAGACGTGGGAATCAAGACTCGCGTTTGTTCGCTTTTCATGGCATCGCCAGGACTCGTCGAGCTGATTGTGCGAAACTCGCTGGGAGACGGATACGCGTCCGCAAAAGTTGCCATGATCTCGTTAATTACCTGGCCGAGATCCTCCTCTCCAGTCTCTCCCTGGTCCTCGCCATCATCTTCGTCGTCCGTCTCCTCCCGGCTGGCAGTGGTGCGTCGTTGGGACGGCCGTGGAGGAGCCGAAGGACGAGATCTCTGATGCCTCGCTCCACGAGCCGCTTGTCGGTCCGTCGACGCCGCCGCTGCTGTCTCCAGCGAAGGAGGCTGGGCAGAAGCATGCTTGGAAGCGGCCAAGATCCTGTGTCTCTGACTCATCCCTCTCGTAGTGACGGGCATCTCTGCAAACGCTCCTGGACGGCTCGCATTGAGAGCGAGCCTGCTGAGAAGCGTAGCAGGACTGCCGTTCCTCGACATCTGCCAGTCTCTGTGCGCGGGGAGTGGGAAGGGGAGTTGTGATCGAGTGCGAGGAGGCGGGCGCGGGTTCTTAACTTACAGAGCTGCCTGCTTCGCCGCACTTGACATGATGCTGTCACATTGGTTGCCGCGAGGCTAGAGAGGCACATGGAAAGGAGGCATAGCTATGCCCTGCTCAAAGACGGCGTGCAAAGTCAAAACGTAAAGCAGCACTTACGGTCCTATCGTTTTCACTCAAGCAATGAAGCAAATTGCCTGCGAGTCGGCGGAGCTGAGGCATGGGAGTGTAAGGGAGATTGCAGACGCCCCATTCTGGACTCTTTCATCAGAGAGGTCAGGAGGCAGTGAAGGACTCAAGTGGCACAAGTACGCCGTGGCTTCTAGCGACAGGTTGAGAGAGGAGTCCGGAAGAGCAGGCGCAAAATAGAATGAGGCGTAGACAAACCCGATGCGGAGGAGGTGAGGTGCTTTGCCTCACGCGCCGGGCCCGTGCGCGCGCCAATGGACGTCCGCTCGTCCCTGAATGGTGGCTTGGTTGCATGAGGCGATCTTGCAAACCAACACCAACACTCCTCCCTCGACTCTTCTCGGCGGCAGAGAATTGTGAAAGGATTGCCTTGTCTCGTGCTACCCTAACCTATTCTGTCAGATGCCTAGACTCGCCGAACCATGCAAAAAGCAACGCTACCATATCACATGACGTCCCAAGCGTCTTCGAACCAAAGCTGACCCGCAGCCGACTCCATTTCTACATCACAAGGATCTCTCTCAAGCTGTCCATTGTCCGTATCGTAGGCCATTAGTTCCTGAGACAGAACGGGACTGAACGTAGGACGCGAACTGTGCCCGCCAAGCAGCCCAGGCAGGACGGCCTCGGGCGTAGTGGACCACGAGAAGGAGTCCGACCCTGTGCTTTACGCCCACCCGAGTCAGCCTTGACGGGTGTCTAGCGAGCGCAACCATCGGGTTGACCGGTGGTGTCGACTCTTACCTGGAGCTGGCCCCGGCTTTCGACGTTTCTGCCAGGGTGACCGACGATTCCCCCGAGCTCTGCTCCTTCTGTTTGCTCGTAGCCATGGCGTGTCCGAGGGGGATGCTGCCCCATGGCAGGCCCTCTTCGTTGGAAGTGCTCCTGACGAGGTCCTGGGGGGAAGGAGGGGTGTATGCGCTTGCGGCGTGTTGCTGGTTTGCCGCGTCTCTTTCTGCATCCTCGCGCTGTTGTCGAGTCTTTTCGCCTGGATAGTTGTCAGCAGATGGCATTACGTCCACTTGAAATCGATTCACTCACGGAATTTCCGTTGCGCAAGTCGATTCTGTATCTTTCTCCGCTCGTTGGGGTCTTTGACTGAACTCCAGTCGTCCTCGTCGGTAGAAGCCGCGGCGCGCGGTGTGCCTGACTCGCCCTGTGACATGGCATCGGTCCTCGTAATGGAAAGTATATGACGAGTTCTGAATCCAGGCATGGCAACGAGCGAGAGAGGGTGCGTATTTGACTGTTGATAACAGGTGGAGACTCTGTCATCAGAGCGTCTGGAAGTGAAAGATATTCCAAACTGTAGGTGTACAACAGCGCAAGAATGCAAGAGAAAGACTCATCCGATGGCGGCTGTGCTCGGAGATCCAATGACTGTTCGACGAGCGTGGAGATCTTGCAGAAGGCTGGAAGAATCCTGCAGAACGTGATGAAACAAAGGGACATGGAAAACAATATGCAACATCACAATGGAGCGTGGGGGCAGGTGAAGACGTAATCGGAAATAACAGATGAACATCAATAGCAGCACAGACCGGGCTAGGCGATGAAATCGCAATAGACCACCTTGGATTCGGCCTGGCCGTGTGCTCGGCATGAAGCGATGAGCCCACGCGTGCCGAATCAGAACATCGACAACAACCCAACTTGACGGCAAAGGCTGCCGAGAGAGATGCAGGGGTTCGACAAGGCTCGAGGAGTCACCGAGATCCACCACTTGCCCGGCCGTCATTTGGCGCACACGATAGAATCATAGCGTACGGCGACGGTAGTAGTCGGCGAGCTTGGAAGAGGTGTCGTCTAGCCCTAGCCTCGCCCTTCCGCATTCGATTCGCCAAAAGGCAGCTCGCATCGCCCGATGTTGGCTTGGAGATTTGTAAGTGCTAAAACAGATGTTGCCCGAGAGGAGAATCACCACGGCCCTGGCCCTATAGGGCTTCGGCAACCGGCCGGGGTCCCGAACCGAAAGGTCGCGGGGGAGACGACGTGCCGTTGAACGAAGCGTGCATGCTTGCCCGCGATAGCAGCGCAGCTGAGGCTGAAGCGCAATTCCCTATCTCAAACGGGCAGGTCGAAGTCGAGAGCAATAAGGGTGTAGAATGATTCCAATCTCGGCCAAGACGAAGTGAAGCACGAGTGTCTCGAGGGGAGGTTATATTCGTCCCAGACGGGTAACATGATTCCTGTCGCCATGCGGGAGCATGCAGATCTCAAGAAAGAAGCAGGCTTGTAAGTGTTGTGATAGGCGGAGGAGTGATCGCCAGAAGATTACATGTAGAGCATGTACTCGGGGAGAGCGATGGGGAAAGCAAGCAAGCAGGTCGAAACGAAGCTGACTACGCCGATCCCTTGCGCTTCGCCTCCACGTGCAACCAGGCTAGGGATGTAAGCGGCTATGATCTTCAACTTGTCGCGGCCATTGCCCGCTTTATTGCGTTATGCAGATCAAACCTGCTCTACCCCACGCCTTCAACAATGCCTAAATGCAGCAGGTAAACCGGATTCCTCTCAAAAGTCTTCGTCGTCCATGAAATCATCCTCGCCCGCTTCAATGAAAACCAATCTCGTGCCTTCCGCCGCCGTTTGCCAGATCTGATCAAATTTGTTAGCCTTCGCACCGGTGTCGCAGATTCAAGGGATAGACTCACATCCAGACTGGCATACTCATCCAAGCATGCCTCGAGTTGCTGCACTGTGAACCCCTTGGCCAGAACCCGCTCCCGCAATCTCCTCATGTCCAATTCACCGCGGCCCTCGCCCGCCGCAGCCGCTCCACTCTCCCGCATGCCCCGAATGAGGTTGAAAATCTTCGTGCTCGCTGATTGGTCTCCTCGTCGATCCCGGCTGTCGTCGTACAGACTTGCTTTGCTGACTTCAATCAGTCGAAGCGCTTCGTCCACATCGTCCGTGATGACTTCGTCAGCAAATCGCAGACGTGCTAGCGCCTGCGACAGACGCAGAACACCAAGAAGTGTGCGAGGCGAGGTGTAGGTGAATGTCTTCTTCCCCGCTTCGTCCCGCTTCTGCTGCTGTCGCAGTCGCACGTACGCTCCCACGAGATAGTCCGATACCTGCTTCGGGACGATGGGGCGGAAAGAGCGAGCGCGCGCCACCCATTGTCGAACTTCGTTCGGGGTGAAGATTTGCCCACTGCCTTGCGGCTCGGGATGTGCATTGTGCATGTGCACATAGGTTACGTGGCGCGCCAGCTCCTCGTCTGCGTCTCGCGAGGGAGTGTCGAGGATCAGGAACAACACATCGAATCTGCTCAGCAATGCTGCTGGAAGGTTGATGTTCTCCACCGGTGAGATGCGCGGGTTGTAGCGTCCGTACAGAGGATTGGCCGCGGCCAAGATGGCCGTTCGAGCGTTAAGAGTCGTGGTAATACCGGCTTTCGAGATGGAGATGGTTTGCTGCTCCATGACTTCGTGGATGGCAGTGCGATCGCTGTCGTCCATCTTGTCAAATTCATCGATGCAGCACGTTCCGTTATCAGCCAGAACGAGGGCGCCTCCTTCGAGAACCATCTCATCCGTGACGGGATCTCGCATCACTGCCGCGGTCAGACCGACTCCACTGCTGCCTCTGCCGGTGGTGTACACGCCCCGCGGCGCAACTTTCGTAATGTACTTGAGAAGCTGCGATTTGGCGACACCAGGATCTCCCATCAAGCAGACGTTGATGTCACCGCGAATGCGCATTCCATCACCCATCTCCTTGGTCACGCCTCCAATCAGCTGGAGGAGAAGTGCCTTCTTCACGTCTTCATGTCCAAAGATCTCGGGCGCGATCGAGCGGCTGAGGAATTCGTAGAGTTGGCCGGATTGCTCGAGATCCGTCATTCGGCGGATTGTCAGTGGGGCGAGGACCATGTTGTCGTATGCTTTCTTGTGCTGATGCACGTATTGCGCTTCGAGATAGGTGTCGGTGAGAAGTCCAGCTTTGATCGCCTGAAACCCGGTATATGGAGTTGGGAGGAAGATCCCTGCAATGTCTATCACGTCTCCGGGGTTGATTTGCCGGACCAGCTCGCCGTGGCAGTGCACGGTCAGCTGCCGTGGAATGTGGCCAACGGGCACTTGATCCGCCATCTCTTGGATCTTCACTTCTTGGAACGGCAGGAATTTTGACGCTCGTGTGGAGAGGAACAGTTGTCCCTTGACGTTATTTTGTTGGCAATCCTCAGAAGTGCACTCCACCAAGGGGGTAAATTGCTTTGTAGTGATCGGTTGGAAGATTTCGTGGCCGCATCTGTCACACGAATAGGCGTTCACCTGCACGGACGGCTTGACGTCGGACACTCGCGTGGATATCCCACGAATAGTGATGAGATGTCCGAGATGCTCCCCTCGAACGTGTCGGACAGCCATCGCTTTGCTGCTCTTGTCGCTGCTGGAACCGGACGGTGTGATTGGTTTGAAGTTCAGCGTGTAGCGACGAGTGAGCTCAGGGGGGAAGAAGCTTTCCGGAACCCCATCGTCGATGTTCGCTTCCATCTGTTGCCGGACAGTCTGGTTGCGCCGCATTCGCTGGGTCATGATGATGTCGAGCACATCATCCTTGAAGTTCAGCTGCGTAGTTGGCGCAGGCATCAGACTGTCGGCTGCCCGGGACAGAATCTCAATGTAGTGGCTGGCATTCTTCTCGATGGAGTCCACGAGGTGTAAAGACGTCCCGTCCTGATCCAGGCCGGCTTCGTAGTCGCGAAGATCATCGAGATCGATGAGAATCTGAGACTTTGTCCGGTCTGCGACCCCTTGCAACATGTCCATGTATTTGGCCTTGGGCTTTGCTCTTCTCCGGCTGCGCGCAGCCTCCGCATTGTCATCTACATCGTCCATGAAGTCGTACTCATCGCTCGTCCCGTCGGCATCGAGGCGCAAATTCTCGAGGGCGTCTTCTGTCTCGGTCGAGGACGACTTGAAGTTGCGCAAAAAGTCCTCGAAAGCAGCTATTTTGCGTTAGTGATCGCGCGGAGCAGGTGCGGCAGTCCACGCCAGCGTACCTTGCTGCTCTTCGTAGTTCACGATGAACTTGTGCTGAAGCAGCGCCATCGCTGCCGGTTTGCTATCAAATCACCCGTTTACAACACGCTGAAGAGTTTCGATGAGGATGCTGGGGAGGTGGGAGGTGAGGTCGAAGGTGGATGGGAGTCGAGATGGCTGGCAGCAATTTGGTATGCGAAGTGCTTAAACGAAGCGCGTGCCAGTTCACGCGTTGCGCGTCCCTAGCGCGAGCCTCTCAAAAAGCTTGGCACGGCAAAAAGTTCAACTTCACATGCAAAACCACTCGAATTCTCTCCCTTCTTCCCTCTCCATGAACAACGCAAATAATGCAACACTCGCCTAAAAGCATTTTCGCATCGAGAGCCCGCTGTGCAAGTCATGGTGCGAGGCTCCATGAAATCGGAAACCGTCTGTGCAAGTGGAGAGCGAGGGCAGAGGATCTTGGGTGCCGTTAACTTCTTTCCGAATGGAATGTGAAGTTGAGGGCAATGATCAGCTGTACATTCCCTGCGGTCCTTGGATCATGATTCAGAAGTAAGCGTGTCAGGTCCGATTTTCTGTATGGGCAATCTTCTACCAGTCTATTGTCGTAGGCGACGCTACGTGACAGAAGAAGTAACTCACCCCTTCCGCTGGCTGACGGTTTGGCGGTTCTCATGAACGTTGAATGTACAGCATAGCGAGTCCTGGATCGACAAAAAGCCTCGTTGAGGCTTGTTGGAGGAAAGATGGTAGGTCTAGTCCGCAGGCTACGTGCCAGAAGAATAGTACACGTAGCCTTGCACTCGGATGATGCTGAGGAGTGCAATGCTAGCAATGAGATGGGACAGCAGTGTGTTAACGCCACTGGGCACTCGGGCACTGGCCATGTGTCATTATCATCATTGACCAGTCGCATGTTCTTGCTTATGCGCATTCGTGTAGGTGTCGTTTGCTTGATCACCGTAGTCACACGGCCTCGCTCATTGCCACGTTCTTCGTCCTCAGCCCTTGCTTTCCTGATAGGTTTTCCGAAGCTACCTGAGTTCAGTTCTGAGGGCGTCAATGGAGTTGAATGCCGAAGCTGATGCCTAAGGCCAGCTTCAAGGAGGGACCATCCTCCGATATACGCGATCGTGTTGCCGACAATGCGAAACACTATCGGCTTCCCTAGCTATTAGATGTCAACAGCAAACACAATCGGACTCGCATGATTGATATCTGAGTTTGCGAAGCTGTTCTCTAGTACCTCCCAGCGTTTTTTCCACATACTGGACCGGATACTCATATATGGAACCATCTGCGCGCCATCTGGGACGTCTCCCAAATAACACCGAGTCATAACAGGCTTATTATAAGGGAGATGGGTACATCTAGTCTGCGGGCTACGTACTAGAAGAAGTAGCAGTGGACGATTTTTCTGGCAGGTCCCACTTCTTCTGGCACGTCCGCGGCCCAATAGACACAAGAGGACCCGGCTCATGGCGACTTTCGCCGGCTCCCGGCGTCATCTCACTACGCTCCGTTGAATCTCCCACGCACCGAGGAACTCATGTCAGCCGTGTCTGCGCAGTTTGGGTAGATGCTCCATACTCCGCTGAGACTTTTGCTTGAGTAGGGTATAAGGTGGGGGATAAGACCCCACCCCGATCCACTTAAACAACGATCTGCCGGGCTCACGTACATGACGACTCCAACCCCTCCCCCGGGAGAAGAGAGCATGCTGCCCCGCACACATCCCCAGCTGCATCAGCTAAGGTCATCTCGGACGGTAGGTAGCCAAGCACAGCCCTGAGCTCGGCGTGAGACTCGGCTGTTTAAAGAAGAAGCACCCTCGCGAGTTGTTTTATATCCTTCCTCCACGGTCTGCTCTGACTTCTGTACCTCTCGTTCACATCTTCTTTGCTCTCTCGTAATGGCTCCCGATCTCAACGCCGTCTCCGGCGGAGAACGGTTTGACTACTCTCAGCCCGGGTCTTCGGGTTACCACATCGACCAGAACGTCACCTGGAACGATCCCAAGAACCGCAAACTGCGAGTCCTCACGATCGGAGGAGGCGTGTCAGGCATCTTGATGGCGTATCAAATCCAGAAGCTCTGCGACAACGTAGACCTCGTGATTTACGAACGGAACGAAGACATTGGCGGTACTTGGTTGGAGAACCGGTATGGTTTTCGTGAGAGCCGACGGGATATCACAAAGACTAACATTACGGACAGATACCCTGGGTGTGCGTGCGATATCCCCTCCCACGCCTACACGTATCGCTTCGCCCTTAACGCCGACTGGCCGCGCTTCTTCTCCTACTCGCCGGACATCTGGAAGTACCTCGACAAGGTGTGTAAGACGTTTGATCTGAGGAAGTACATGACTTTCCACACCGAGGTCACCGGCTGTTACTGGCAGGAGGAGAAAGGGCAGTGGAAAGTGACGCTCCGCGAGCACCGGCCTAACCAGGAGCCCCGGGACTTCGAGGACTACTGTGATCTCCTGCTCAACGGCACCGGCATCCTGAACAACTTCAAGTGGCCCGACATCCCCGGGCTGAAGGACAAGTTCAAGGGTAAGGTGGTGCACACCGCGCGCTGGCCCAAGGATTACCAGAAGGAGGCGTGGGAGAATGACCGTGTCGCTGTTATTGGATCTGGAGCCTCGTCGATTCAAACGGTCCCGACTATGCAGCCGCATGCGAAGCACTTGGATGTTTTCGTTAGGACTGCGGTCTGGTTTGTCCAGATTGCCAATAACTTCGGGCAGAACAAGGAGTACGAGCAGAAAGAGAGGGACGAGTTTCGGGACGATCCCAAAGCTCTCGTTGCGCATGCCAAAGACATCGAGGATCAAGGTAAGAACCGATCGAGGGCTCTGAACATTCACTCCACGAGCACATTGCGAGCACATTGCTGATCTTCACCGGACGAAAGTTAACGGTTTATGGGGTGCATTCTACGATCAAAGCGAAGGCCAGAAGGCGGCACAGGACCTTTTCCGCGAGAGAATGGCCGAGCATATCAAAGACAAACGGCTCCTGGAGGGTTTCACCCCAACTTTCGGCGTGGGATGTCGCCGCATCACCCCCGGCGATCCATACATGGCAGCGATCCAGAAAGAGAACGTAGATGTGCACTTCACGCCCGTTGCAAGCTGTACAGAAGATGGTGTGGTGGGCGAGGACGGGGTGGAAAGGAAGTGCGACACGATCGTATGTGCGACGGGCTTCGATGTCTCGTACCGTCCACGCTTCCCCGTTGTGGGCAAAAACGGCATCGATCTCAAGGATAAGTGGAAGATTTGTCCGGAGGCGTATTTGGGGCTGGCGGTGCCTGATTTCCCCAATATGATGCTCTTCGTTGGTAAGCTTGGGCAACCTTCTCATGGCTCTGATGTGGATCTGCTAACTTGGGGGATAGGACCATCCTGGCCGGTCGAGAACGGGAGTGTTATGGGGCCTCTTCACACAGTCTCGGATTACGCGATCCAAATGATCAAGAAGATGCAAAACGAGAACATCCGCAGCTGGGTCCCGCGACAAGACATTGTGCGTATTTTTGCTTCCCCACATACTGTCCATACTAATCAACACCTCTGCAACAGACCGACAGCTTCAACGCCCACGTCCAAGAATGGATCAAGCATACCGTGTGGAAGAACGACTGTCGCTCATGGTACAAGGACAACGATACGGGTCGCGTCAACGCCATCTGGCCCGGCAGCAGTATGCACTACCAGCAAGTCATTGAAACCCCACGCTACGAGGACTTCGAGATCCACTACCACAACTCCAACCCCTGGGCGCACTTGGGCATGGGCTGGACGGTGGAGAATCGCGCGGGCCCACAAGCGGCGGATTGCTCGCCGTACTTGAATTTGAAGAACATCGACCCGAAGTGGCACGAGGCGATTGGCGGGGATGTGGAGGAGTTGAGGAAGCAGGTGGAGGAGAATGCGAGGAAGGACGCTTTGTAGATTTGCTAGCTAGACTTCAACTGGGCTTGCAAGGAGATCTCTTTGTGGCGTTGCTGCAAGGCCTTCCACTCGAGGTTTGGCTTCATTTTGCTCCTTTCGTTGTCCACCATGTGCCTGCAAAGGAGGCTGACGATGCTGAGGAGAGAGTCGCAGCCTAGCGTGCTGACGGCCGGGTGCGAGCATAGCGAGGACCAGATGGACGTCACGTCGCCCGAGTCTTGCCAAAGAACGGAGATCTGCAGACCGAAGAAAGACAGCAGCGCGATTCCGACGCCGTAATCCACCAAACGACGGGGTTGAAGCTTGAGCGCAGGCGGGGTATACAAGGCCCCCGGAGCGAGGATGCATGGAAGGAGCATCAGGGCGCGAGTGGACACGACCATGCGCATCAGCAACTCCGGTTTCGCGAGGTTGAAAGTGATGCCGGAGAAGCCGACGTACATCCCGATCTGACCGATCAAGAAGAGAATCTGGACGGGGACTTTGGGGTTTACGGCCGGGGGTAGACGCAGGCGGGCGAGGGTGAACAAGTTCTGCGTGAAGCTGATGGGGAGGATCTGAGCGAGGCAGAAAAAGGCCCAGAGATTGGGCACTGCTCGGCGATGGCCTGGACGATGGGTCAGTAAGCTGAACTCATGAGAGATGAATTGGCGAGCGACGCGCACCTTCAATGCCCATGTAGAGGCAGAATGCGAAGGTGGTCGACAATGCGGCAGCGGTCCAGGCCATGCGAGTTCGGTCGTAGAGCAAGGCTTCCGCAAAGTCATGAAAGAGGGTAGACGACAAGGACCAGGTGCCGACTGTGGAGAAGATATTTGTTGTTGGTGAATCGAGGGGCCGCTCTCGAGACCAGGTGTTGAAAGAGTTGATCAAAACATGCAACATATTGGCACTCAGGACGAGAAAGCTCAAAATGGCGAGGAAGGTGAAGAGTCTTTGCTCCCGTTGCGTGTCGAAGCGGGCGAGAATATTTTCTTTGGATTGTGGGATGTTGACGATGGTGTATATGATTAAGGCTGTAAAGAAGAGGGCCGCCAAAATGTACAGCCAGAAGATGGTGGCGCCGAGCCAATTCGGTGTCGGCTCCATGATGGCCGTCGTCGGCTGGCTATGCCTATGATCGTGAGATGGGGTGGTATCTTTGGTGTCAATGGCAGCTCATACCGGCGATGCTGGTTGACGTCACGTGTCTAGCACCCCATCAACATGCGGAATTCAGGTGCGGGAGTACACCGACAGACGAATCCGTCTAGACGGGAAGCATTCGACAAGAGCTTCTGATCGTCTGGAGAACAACAGAGTCTATTCCACGTCGGAAGCACGCCCATCACACCCACCCGGTCAACGAGTGGACACGACACGTCGCCTAACGAAAGTTTCGCGTAAACCTTCCCCGATCCGGCGGCGCACGATGTTTCAAGGGGGAGGCAAACTGGCGAAACACCACCACGCACGCATGTCTACTGCTCGAGCCTCGCCCGCGGTCAGGACGATTTACATTGCATCGTGCCTTGCATGTCTGGGGAGAGATAAGAGAGGGATGCGACGCATCTTGATTGCCGCATACCCTGCAGGATAGGGAGGACCCCTGGCGTGCATCTTGCCGCGATTTCCCTTCTGGGCATTGACAGATTGGTGGGCGTTCTGTGTGGCTGACTTCCATGTGCTTCCTCGCTCGCCGGTTGCATGCCATGCACGCGACAGCATTGCAGCGCCGTTGTTGTAACGAAGCAGCAACGAGACTGTCCACTCGTAATTGTCATCGCGGCACTTGCACGCAATATCAAGAGGAGTGGAACCCGGCAATCAATCAGGGATTCCCCCCGACCGACTCCCGCAGCCATCGATTTAGGCTCGGGCGGCGGATACGCTAATATCGGAGCCAAACTCGACGCGGACGAGCTCGAGCAGACTGCTGCAGGAGAAGGTGCAGCAATTCATGCACTCCTCGAGTGAAATCACATCCAAATTCCCCCCCAGTCGCGTCCTCTTCCTCCTCCTCGCCGGCTCGCAACATCACCATCTTTCCCCGCCGACATTTGGACATCTTCTTGCCACGCCTCGCACCTCGAGGCTTCCCGTTCATCCACCCTCCGCCCCACACCTCCTGAGACGACCGGCGTGCATTGCGCCCAAGATTTCCTGTCACTTTTGAGTTACATCTTGCATTTCCTGGTTCCGAGGCGGTCGTAGCATGTGGAACCCGTGAACGACAGTTCAACCAACAACCACGCGGCCTGTTCTCTTCGACTTTCCCTCAACTTGAAAAGTGCAGCGCGACCTCGACCACCTCTACGCGATACTCGACCCCTTCCTGGAGCGTGCGGCGTTGATCCCTCTCCCGCGCGCCATGCAATGCAGACGTGGATGAGCGTGATTCACTCGTCCATCCACTCCCGCTCACCACTCCCGCGAGTTCGCAGGTGACAGCGGAAAGCTGCAGCTGCGGCCGTCGGCGGTGTAGCCCACGCGTCTGAACGACCAATCCCAGCAAAATGGCATCCGCCATCCCACAACGCCCTCTCTCCAGACCTCCTCCTCCCGTCGCTCCTCCACCCTCCGGTCCCTTACCGGCCCTACCAATTGCGAAAACGAGAAAGTCCGTCGTCGACCCATTCGATGCGCTCGCGTCGCGCCCTTCCTCCTCCGGCTCCACCACGGGCATCAAACCCCTCTCCCGTGCCGTCACCGCCTCCAGCCTGCCTACCCCCCGCCCTGTCCACACTCAGTCCACTCCTGCAGTGCCCACATTGAACACCACCAACCTACCGAGTTCCACCTCCACCGCCTCCTCCTCACCCGCCTCCGCTTTACCCACGCCGAACAAAAGCATCCGCAAGACGAGCAGCATCCCATCCCTCCCAAGGGTCACCACTCGGCCTAATGGACTCCCAACAAGTCCCCTCGCCACCTCCACCACCGACCTTGTCGGCTTGGGAATCTCCACTTCCGGCAGTGCAATGGCAAAGAGACATCGAAGTTCAGACATTGGGGTCAAGAGGATCAAGGCGCGCACTTCAAATTCCACTCCACAAGTGAGACAGTCTCTCGGCCCGAGTTCCATGTTTGGCGGCGCGTCTCCGAGTCTGCTCAATGGCACGGGTGACGGGATACTCGTCTCAAACGACAGAGCGGCCCGAGGCTCGGACAGCTTCCTCAGCGTCCCTTCCAGACCACACAGCGGCACTTCATCCCCGAATGGCTCGTATATGACTGATGCGACGCAATTTGAGGATGTCGAAGAGGAGCCTTCCGCTCAAGCCCGATCACGAAGTCAAGAGACCGCGAAGGAGAGCCCAAAAGAGAAGGAGGGCGACAACAAAGGGAACGTGCTCGTCAGTGTACGCGTACGACCCGATGCCAATGGTGGCGAAGGTGGCAAAGCCGACGGGGAATGGCTGGTTGACGGGAGGCGGTCCTTGATCGCCTTCAACGGCCGGGAAGGCGGCGATTACCGCTACGACCACGTCTTCTCCCCCCACGATCAGAACGCACGAGTATACGATGCGGCAGCCAAGCGACTCGTACGGCGAGTCATGGAAGGCTACCATGGTACCGTGTTTGCATACGGCATGACCGGCACGGGCAAGACCTTCTCTATGCAAGGCACCGCACAGTCGCCAGGTGTGATCCCACTTGCCATTACCGACATCTTTTCTTACATTCGAGAGAATCCGAACCGAGAATTCCTATTGCGCGTGAGCTATCTGGAGATATATAACGAGAAGATTCACGATCTACTGAGTCAGAGCACGCCGGGGGTGGTGGAAGACCAAGACATCAAGCTGCGAGAGGATCCCAAAAGAGGCGTGTACGCCACGCCGCTCAAGGAGGAAATTGTACAATCGCCGAATCAACTTCTACGAGTCATTGCTCGCGGCGACCTTGCGAGACGCACGGCTGGAACACAGTACAACGCCCGCTCATCCCGGTCGCACGCGGTCGTGCAGATTGTCGTCGAGTCGCGCGAGCGAACACCAGCTCGATCAAATGGCAAGACTCTGCCTGGTGGCGTGCTCGTGTCGACTCTATCCTTGATTGATCTTGCTGGTTCCGAACGGGCGGCAGAAAACAAAGAGCGACGAACTGAAGGCGCGCACATCAACAAGTCGTTGCTCACCCTAGGCACGGTGATTGCACGACTGTCGGGAGAAGATGACAAGGAGAAGGAGGATGGAACGAAGGCGACAGAGAAAGACAAAGAAACCGGCGGTGTGAAGCATCTGCCGTATCGGGACAGCAAGCTCACCCGTCTGCTGCAACCTGCCCTCTCCGGCAATTCTCTGGTGTCCATCCTGTGCACCATCCAGATCTCCTCCGTGGGGACGAGCGCAGCAACTACCGGCCAACACACGGGAGAGACGCTGAACACGCTGAAATTCGCGAGCCGCGCGAAGAACAACATCGTCAGCCATGCGAAGCGCAACGAATCCCACCCGGGCGTCGACGCAGGAAGTCGCGCCTTGCTCGATCGGTACCGACTGGAGATCCAAGAGCTACGCACCCAGCTCGAGCAGCAGAACAAGGCCAAAGACGAAGCCGACGAGCGCGATGAACTGGAGCGGGACATGCAAGTCGAGAAGGAGCTGGAGCGGCAGGAGAAGGAGCGGCACGAGGAGCAAATGTTGGAGATGCAGCTCGCGCGCACGGCGCTGAAAGAGCGCATCACGCATTTGAATCGCCTCATTTTGTCTAGTCGATCGCTTGGTGTGAATTCTGATTCTGGCCGGTTGTCGAGTATGAGCATGCCGATTCATCGCTTGAGTGCGGTGAGTACGAATGAGTTTGGTCGGCCGGTGAGTATGCGGAGTCGGGACAGTTCGAACAGTATCGAGAGTCCGACGAATGGCGGCGACGGCCACGCTGGCAATGACCGACAGAGAGGATCGGTGGAATCTACTGGAGTGCCGAGCGCGACGCCGATGGTTACGGAGGAGCCAGGCATCACGGAAGAGGATGAAGTCGAGGACTCGGGCGGGGTGGACGGCACGGGCGAAGCATCTCTTGCGCAGCAGAACCAGATGCTGCAGGCGGACATTGCCGACAAGAATCGGTATATTGCCACGCTGGAGAAGCGACTACTACAGGCGCGACGCACGAGTCGGAGTCGAGTGAGCATGGCGTTGGCCTCTCGAGGGAGCCAGCAAGACGAAGGGAGGCCTGCGAGCGGGGACCCGGAAGCACTACTGCGCGACAAGGACCGCGAAATCGACGAGCTGAAAGCCAAGCTCGACGACCAAATGCGAATGGTGACGGCGTTGCGCAGCGCAGCCCGGAAGCGCGATCTGCTCGACAGCCAAAGGAGCCCCAGTGCGGAGCAAACACCATCCCCACCACTTACGGCGCACCACTCCCTGCCGAACGGCATCCCCGTCGGACGCAGGACTAGCTCCCGCCTGTCAAACCACACCATCGGCATCAGACCGCACCGCGCCTCAGCCGACACCCACCTGACCAACGGCGCCGGCGCACACGCCAGCTACTCCTCAACAGCCACCAGCCGCTCCAGCTCCAACGGCCTGCCCGGCACCGCCCCGCTCTCCAGCAAAACGCCGCTCTCCCCCATGGCGATTCTCAGTCCCTCGGGCTCCGACAAGTCTGCCGAAGACGGCTTCCGCAGCCCGAGGGAGTCGCTGCGCATGGCGGCGGGGAATAAGGCGTTCCGGCGGCGCAGCGTGGACGAGATGACGATTTTGCTCGACGCCATGATTCAGGATAAGGTTGATGGGGGCCACTTGTTGCGGAGTGACAAGGGGAGTTTAAGGCTGAAGAGGGATACGGTGATGGGTGGGGCGGAGGAGGGGATTCAGGAGGAGACGGAGGAGGAGGAGACGAGTGAGTGAGTGAGCGGCTGACTGCCTGTCATCGGACGGGTAGCTGCAGATACTTCCGAGCCGGGGGATGCGAAAAGATGTCATTGTTTGGAGGAGGGATCCGAGGAGGGGACTCTTTGTTTGTTTGGTGATGTATGTACTTGGATTGGGCGATAGATACCCGCAGCCTTGGTTGAATCTAATGAAATGTCGATATAGGATAAACATCGATGGATTCGCAGAAGATCCTCCATCCCTTGCCCTATGGAAGAGGCGATATATCGATCAGCATGAAATGGGAATTCCACCATCATCCTAAAAATTACTCGGGATGGAGAGCCGTAGGATTGGGTAACGTCCTTGCGCACAGACCCTTCGCTCCTTCCCTGGCGTCGACGTACCGGCGTTTCGTTTCGTTTCATCATCCCTCCCTGCCTGCCGTTTCATCCATCCACACCCGCCCGTTGATCTGCCACACTCGCCTCGGATTGAAAGGAGTGAATAGTTTGAAGCGAATCTCAGTAGCTGCGCAAACGCGGCGCGTGACATTCGCGGGCTATTGGGCAAACGCTGCTGCATGCTTACGATGCGGGTTGTGGTGGTGGGGATGATTTGATCGGATCTCGGGTTCTGGCGAGTGGAACGCTTGACGAACCGGGACGTTTGGTGGCGAGCTTGAAACTCGAAAGGCCTGGGGAGTGGACCTCTCTTTCACTCTCTCGCGCGCGTTCCTCGTTTCGCCTTTTTTCCCTTGGCTCCTCCACCTTCCCGCCTGGCCACCTTCTCTTGCCTTCTCTTGCCTTGCTTCTCTTTCCCATTCTACCTGTTTGCTCTTTCTTCACTTACTTTTTTACTTGATTGAGAGTGTGGCTTTCGATTTCGAGAGAGAGCCCTATTTCTACTACACTTTCTTGAGTCCGAGTCCGACGACGAAGCTGTGCTTCTTGTGTGAGCTGTGCTCGCTCGACTGTTCTCCCCTGTTTGTTGCCTTGCTCACGGCCGTCTCGACTTTCTCCCTTCTCCCACGGGACGACGACACCTTCTCCGGCTGGTTCCAGGAGTGTTCGCCTCACGTACCTCACACACTCCCGACTACGCCCCACAACGGCTTCAACCCTTCCCATTCAGCAGCACACCGAGTGGCATGGCACACAACCCGGCACTGACTCTCAGTCTTCACCTACAATAGCGCCTTCCACCCCTCTCCACCCTCCGACCAATGCGAGCCCCGGTAAATATGCGGGACCGACGATATACAAACCTTTCCACCTCCTCCACCTTCTCCACCGACTCAGACGTGTCCGGTGGCTCTCGCGCCAGCCTGAATGAGAAGCGTGTCTTCAGCCCTTCACCGACGGGTTCACCACTGCTGGACTCGGAGACAAAGGAACACCCTATCCGGCCAGCCCGACGAACCTCCACCCTACTCCTCTTCCTCACCATCATCGCCGTCCTCGCCTTGAAGTTTGTCCTTGTTTCTTACCTCTTGAGATTACTCGGCATCTCTTTCTCTACTCCACATTCCTGGTCTCTGGGAACACCCTTTGCTGGCGATCGCGACTTGCTCGACCAGCCTTCTGCTGTCAAGGTACTGGACGGTCTGGGTCAGCCGAAGTGGACCGTGCATATCCCGCACGACTACAGCTTTCCGCTACAGAGTCAGCATGCGCAACAGATATGCAGACAGAGCGAAACGTTGCGAGATGAACTTTCCATGCGATCCCGAATGATGCCGGTGAAGGATTGGCGGCGGAAGGGCGGCTACTACGTCTCCGATGCCACATATCTCGATGTCGACGCTGCGGAAGAACTGAGCGGCCAGCCTCGATTCAACAGTGAATCCGATGAAAACGTGTGCGAATCGAGTCTGACCTTTGCATTGGACACTCAAGACACCAGTTTCGGGAAGAGTCTCCTCATGCTATGGCTCAGCTACGGCCTGGCCAAGAAAGAAGGCCGGGCGTTCTTCATCGATGACACGAGATGGCTGTACGGTCGCTACACTTCGTTCTTCCTTCCTCTACCCTCCACAAACTGCACACCGCCTCCTCCGCGGCAGATTGTGCCCTGCCCGCACAATGCCAAACACCTTCTGGTCTCTTCAGCCACGATTCCATGGACGTTTGGCGCCGTTTTCGAACGAGAATACCTTCAAAGCTGGAAATCCGGGTTAGAAAAAAGCAGACAGGTGTATGGCCTTCTCCGGACCGGATACGAGGACCTTTTCCATTTGACCGACGAGCATGCTACTTTCGCCGCCTTACGAACCGCAGCGCTGAAAGGGGACGCTGAAAAGCAGGACGCCTCGACGATTGGCGTGCATCTCCGCCGCGGCGATCTGCATCCCTTCGAATACCAGTTCAGTCAGGATTATCTACCACTCGAGCGCTACGGTGCTGCAGCCCGCAAGCTGCGCGCACACTGTGATAGCGCGCAAGACGCATCCCCAGCTCTTCCCTTCCTCCTCGCCTCAGATGACCCCGACATTTTCGAATCGGCGGAGCTCCAGCAAAGCGCTCACCCCTTCGCCGTGCAAAAGACGCAGGAGCGCATCCAGCTCGCGAGCAAAGCTACCCTCGACCTCTCTGCGCCAACGGAAGACATCATACAGCCGAATTCCGGCTACACGAAACACGTCGACGAGAACTCGGGCTGGGAAGGCGGCTTCTACAGCGCGCTCTTCTACTCAATAGGAGGAGGCAACCGCGCGTCGTCAAGTTCCGTCGCCGACGATACCCTGTTCTCCGCACCGGCGATGCAGATGCGCGAACTGGTGGGCCGAGCGTACCTGCTCGATCTTGCGGTGTTGGGGACAGCGAGCGATGGCATCGTCTGCGCGAGTAGTTCTGCTACGTGCAGAGTGTTGGGCGTGATGATGGGGTGGGATGCTGTGGCGCAGGGCCGATGGGTGAATGTCGACGACAATCGCGCGTGGTCTTGGGATGGTCGGAGATGAGGGTGTGCTTTTTACTTATGTTTACTACCTTGCATTGGGAGCGAGCGAGGATTGCATGTTAGCGACGAAGGTTGTTGTCAGCTTTGTGTTATGGGATTGTGCATAGCGAAGGTGGGAGCATGATGCGGACTGTAGAGCCGTGGAATACGTTCAACACAAACAACAGTTCATTCATGGTTCGGGATTCCTGCAGCATGCATGCATGCAGCTCTCCAGCGGTGTGACGCCCATGTGTACCCCACACTTTCAGCACGCGAGTGCGAAGTGGGGCGGCGCGGAAACAAAGGCGCGCTGTACACGTAACGTTTGATGGAACATCAAGTCCCTTTCGTCCTTGTCTTTGATGATGGGACAGTCCTGTCTCCAGTAAGGGCATGAATCGTAGAGTCTCCTCGGGACTTACGCAGCTCTCAATGTGGCAAGGATGCATGCTTTCTAACACCCTCCCCGCCATTCAGCAAAGACTCTCGCAAAGAACCTCGGCCGCGGGCGCCAGCACTCACAAACCTTTCCCGGTTAGGCAGTCTCGTCGCCCCACGATGAACGGCACGTTACCCGGGCGGCCAGGGCCCCCAAACCCACGCCACGCTTCGTGATTAATCCCGGCCCCGAGGGCGTGCTTGCCGCTGCTGGGCGATCGATGTCATTTGGTTCTCGCGCGGCATTGGGAAACTTCTTCCTTCCTCACTCGTACTCATCTGCACTCTGCATTCTGCGTTCTGTCACTTGCATTCTCGAAGGTTACATTCGCCGGCGTTCTTGTGCAGGCCTGTCGAGGATCCTTCGTTGCGAATGGATTTGTGATCCAGCGGCCACAGCACCTTCCCCCTCCACCTGGACAGGAGGGCAAGCGCGCGAGAAGCAACGCGACCATGGCCTCCTCGCCCCGCTCCATCTCGTCCGACGAAAAAACGAAAGAAGAAGAAGTCATCCTCGAAGCGCAAGCAGACCCCTCAATCGACTCCCCACCCACCACCAAAGATGGCTCCTCCCCCGACCCCGCCCCTCCAACAGCAGAACTCGACGGCGGCCTGCGCGCCTGGTTCCAAGTCGTCGGCTCCTGCCTCGTCTTCGCCAACCTGTGGGGCTTCACCTTCGCTTTCGGCAGCTTCCAATCGTACTTCGAGCTGCATCTGCTGCGCTCCGAGTCGGCGTCGAGTATTGCGTGGATTGGCACTACGCAGGTCTTTCTGCTCATTTTCGGCGGCGTGTTGACGGGCCCGTTTTTTGATTTGGGGTATTATCGTGGGATGCTGCTGGCTGGAGCGGCGATTGAGACGATCGGTGTGTTCATGACGAGTCTGTGTCATGAGTGGTATCAGTTTTTCCTTGCGCAGGGCGTGTTGATGGGGTTGGGCTGTGCGTTGCTTTATATTCCGGGCATGGCACTCGTTGGTCGCGCGTTCAAGAAGAATCGTGCGATTGCACTCGCCGTTACGACCTGTGGCGCACCGACGGGCGGTATCATATACACCGTCATCTTCCAGCAACTCATCCCTCGCGTGGGCTTCGGGTGGACGGTGCGGATCATGGGATTCGTGATGCTGGGTAAGATCATCTCCAACGAGAACCTGTTCAGCTGCCTCGAGATCAATCGCAACGATCGATGCCTAGGACCTTGCTGCCAGCGCGATTGATCAGAGCACTGGCCCGATTCTACCCAACACCCCTGAAGTCAGACAAAACCACTTGCTAACCCTTGAACCTCAGGCATGTACACTCTCGCCATCCCACTGTGTCTCTTCCGCGTCACAAATGTCGGTAACCTGTCATCAGGAACGAAGCGGAAACTCCTGGACCTGCGCGCCTTCCGCGACCTCCCCTTCTGCTGGTACACGTTTGCAAACTTCCTCGTCTTTACAGGCTACATGATCCCCTTCAACTTCATGGCAGCCTTTGGCGAAACGAGCATCAACCTCACGCAATCCGTCTCCCTCACAGTCATCATCGCAGCCCAAGCGAGCTCCATCGGCGGCCGCCTGATAGCAGGCTGGACCGCGCGCCGCATCGGCGTCATGGTCCCGTGGATCACCTGCGCCTTGACGGCCGGCATCCTCTGCATAGCGTGGATCGGCGCACGCAGCAAATCCTCCTTCTTCGCCGTCGCCTCCCTCTACGGCTGCTTTTCCGGCGCTCTCATCCCCCTACCCCCCAGCGTGTTCCCCGTCGTCTGCCCCGATCCAAAAGTTTTCGGGGCGCGCCTGGGCATGGCGCAGGGCATTTCGGCTTTTGCGTCGCTGATTGGGAGTCCGATTGGAGGCGCGTTGATTACGAGGGCGAAAGACGGGAGGGAGAATTTCTTGGGGCTGCAATTGTTTTCCGGCGCGGCGGAGATTGCGGGCGGGTGTCTTTTGTTGGGGCTTTGGGTGTTGCTGGTCAAGCGGGGGAGGGGCGGCGGGACGAAGTGGATATGATAGATTTCAAAGTCACTTCTACGACGAACAACGCATTGCCTTCTGCTGCGTTGCTTCTGGCTGCGTGGGTGCTGCTTACTACCATGCCACTGCTATGCCGTGACCCTGACCCCGACTCCCGGGTCCGGGGTTAACGTTACCTAGCGTGGCGCTGGATTGGAGTCGAGAGTTCAGCCGCGCACGCTTATACCGCTGACCAAGCCTCATTTCAGGCATCGGTGTGACATCCGACCAGGCTGGGGCAACAGTACCGCGGCATGTGGAGTCCCGGGAAGTAGTCATCGTAAAGGATGTAAATAGTTGCTTTGGATGTAACGATGGGGTGGTGGCGATGTAACGGGGAGGGTATGGATAAGAAGACTCGATGGGAAATGTATTTGGAGGAGAGGGTACTGCGTCGTTTCTCTTGCTCACTTGCCTCGACAGAATTCCCGAGCTGAAAGACAGAAGACAGAAGACATGGCAGCAGCTTGTGTACGTTCGGCCTGCCCTCTCCACAACAACACCAACGCCCTCATCTAACCACGTGAACAGTGTGCAGCGCTCGCAGCAGCGGGAAGCGTGCTCCTCCCCAACACATCCGCCTACAACCAAACCCAAGCCTCCTACTGGTCCCTGCAAGAATCCTCCCTCTCGCCCTCGTGCTTCGCGCAGCCGCAGACAGCGCAGCAAGCGGCCAACCTCATCACCATCCTCACCTCGCACCAGGCATGCAGCACCACCGACTTTGCAATCAAATGCCAAACCCACGCTCCCGCGGCGGGGTTCGCGAATATCGCTGGTGGAGTGACGATCGATATTACCGGCCTCAACTCCATCTCTGTTAGTGAGGACCACTCTATCGCGTATGTCGGCGCGGGGAACAGCTGGCTCGACGTCTACGCCTACCTCGACCCGTACAATAAATCCGTTGCCGGAGGCCGGAATGGCGCGGTGGGAGTCGGCGGGCTGACGATTGGTGGCGGTATTTCCTACTTCTCCCCCCAAGTCGGGTGGACGTGCGACACGGTGCAGAACTTCGAGGTCGTGCTTGCATCCGGCGAACTCGTGAACGCCAACGCCACCTCGAACCCCGACCTGTACCGCGCGCTGAAAGGCGGCAAGAACAATTTCGGGCTCGTGACGCGCTTCGACTTCGCCACCGTCGACATCACGCGCATCCTCGGCGGGAACCTGGTGAACGACATTGCCGATCGCGCCGCCGTGTTCGCGGCCTTTGCCGACTTCACCACCGCGCCGGACTACGATGTCCACGCCAGCTGGGTGCTGTCGACCATCTTCAACGCCACGTCGAAGGCCTGGACGCTCCTCAACGTCCCCGTGTACACGCTCCCCGACACCAGGCCGCTGGTGTACGAGCAGCTGTACGCCGTGCCCAACATCAGCGACAACCTAGCGCTGACGGAACTGCACGTCCTCGCCAACCAGACAGCCACCCCGCCGCTGAACTGGGGCATGGGAACGGCGACATACGGCGTCTCGACGGCCTTCCTGAACGAGATATTCGACATTGTAAACGCCACCATCTACGACTTCAACCTGCCCGGAGGCGTAGCGTGGAGCATCGCCTTCGAGCCTCTGCCCACCGTTTTTCTTGCCCCTGGCGCGGGGAAGAACGTTCTCGGCACGACGCCTGCCGATGGGAATCAGATGATCTTCCTAACGTCGCCATTCTGGACGGACTCGAGCGCGGATGCGGAGGTACATGCAAAGACGGAGGAGATTCTGACAAAGGTGAATGCGGCGGCGGAGAAGGCAGGCTTGCTGCGGCAATTCGAGTATGCGAATTACGCCGACTACAGTCAGCAGCCTTTCGAAGGGTATGGGCAGTCGAATCTGGAGTTTTTGCTGCAGACGTCGAAGCAGTACGATCCCAACGGCATGTTTCAGAAACGCGTACCTGGGGGGTTCAAGCTGCCGGGGGGACAATGGTGGTGAGTGTCGTTTCTTTGATCGACATGAGTATCGTAGTCCTCGTGGCGGACTGCTGGGAAATATACATTGATAAAAATACATCGGCAAGAAAAGAAGACATACCATACCGCCCGCCCCTATTCTACAATCTCCAATTCACCCTTGCGTTCGCGAGCAAAGACATCCTTCCAGTCTTCCCAAAGTCGAAGCAGCTCGGTGGTGTACTGCTCGTGAACGGAGTCCACGTACGCCGGATCCGGGTTCTTCGATTGCAGGATCGGGATAGGGCGGCCGACTACCACGTCAATGGCACGACGATACGGCATGATACCCACGTCGTAATTGAATACACCTGCCAGACTGTCAGCTGAAGCCCATATCGCAAGATTATTGACGGAACTCACCTCTCGCATGGAACAACGGCACGGTAAAACCCATGAGCTTCTTAATCAGCATCTGCCCCTTATGCACATACGGATGCTGATTCGTATCCAATTGGTCATACAAATCATTCTCCCCAAACGCCAACACCGGCACCAGATCCGCGCCCGTGCGAATCGCCAGCTTGACGAACCCCTTCCGCCGTTTGAGCACGAGTTTGAGCGTTTTCGGCTTCGCGTCGAGGCTTTCACGCGCCCCGCCGATGACGATGGTAATGGCGCGGCCCATACCTTCACCGTTAGGCCCGCCTTTGCTGAGGATGTTTTCGCAGCTTTCGCGCGACACCGATGCAAGGCCCATGCGCAGGGCGTAGTCGCGGTACAGCGGGACGCGAAAGTTGGCATCAAGGGTGAGCAGGCTGTTGGTGATGCCTGGGAAGAGCTGGCTGAAGCCGAGGGCTTCTGTGGCAAAAGCCGCGAATGCGCCGTGCGATATGATGCCGTGCGGGTGGTAGCCGAAGATGTACTTGCGGGTTGGCTCGAGCTGCTGGCTGCGGTGCAGGCGAGCAGGGAAGTAAGAGCCGAAAAGCGACCAGATTTTGGAGTTGCGGAACCACTCGGAGCGGTGAGAGAGTTTGCCGTCGATGGCGGCGCGCGACATGAGGACGTAGAGAAGATAGGGGACGAGGATGGGCCAGAGAAGGGGAATGGTGCAGAGAAGGAAAAAGATGGCCAGACCACCGGCAATAGAGAGGGTGTGCAAGAGGACGAGGAGAGTTTGAAGGCGTCTCTGTAGTGGAACATTCATTGGGGCCCAGCGGATGGCGCTGCGACCCCAGCCGGCGCCTGCTTGTCGCCCGGAGACCAGCTCGCTGTTTGTCCGCTGGCGTTTCCCTCGGCCATTGCCGCTGGATTCGTCTCCTCGTTGGGCGAGGGAGAGATAGTACCCATCACCCGGCTTGAGCGACGCCAGATTTTCGCCGGATTTGTTGTAGACGTTCTCATAGATGAGATCGCCGGTCTTCGAATCGGGTTCGAGCGGTTCTACAGCGGGTTGGATGAAGTTGTGCTCTGGCGAGACTAGCCTCTGCAGCTCGTCTTTCATGTTTGTGCCATTCAGCTTGCTCGACGGGGTGCGTCTGTGACTTGTTCTCTTTCCTGTCGGACTCCGAGGAGTGTCGTCTTCTCCGACTCCATCAAAAGCCTCGGGGGTGCGTGTGCCATCACTGTTCGGGTGGCTGCCATTGACGCCATGCTTCAGGGCTTCCGCGTAGCTGTCTCTGCTGCTCTTCTCTTCGAGTCGGCCTTTTGGGTGGCGTAGGGTGGGACTTTGCGCGCGGGTGGACGAGGCAGGGCTGGGGCTTGCGCTCTCCGCCTCATCAATGATCTCGCCGAGGGGTCGTGTTCCACTGCCATTGCGCATGTGCTTTGTTGGGGGAGGCGTCTCCTTGACGATGCTTTCATCAATTTGCTCGGCCTCGGCGTCGGCCTCGCTCTCCTCGGCGGAGGTGAAGTGATAGCTGTCTCGGAGGCTCTTTCCATTCGGGCCATCCTCGACCAAGGCATCCGCGTAGCTCTTCTGCGATACCCCGTTCTCCCGTCTCTCGACCGGGTCGGCGAGCTCGCCTTTGTAGGCCATGGCGGGATCAGTTCGGCCGGAATTCATGCGTATGGGACTGAAGCGAGGAATGCGGGAAGGGCGGACTGGGCTCATCGGTGGGGTGTGGCGGTGGTGATGATGATGCTGCGATGCATGCTTTTCGAAATGAGGGACAATGATACACGGATGGATTGGGTGGGAGGGAGTACAGGGTTGGGATGGCAGGAAACCTCAACTTTCCTGTTCATAGAGCTTCGTTGCAGGTGGAATGACGACAGGCGACAGTCAGCGGAGGTCCGAGCTTCTGTTGAAAGCGGAAGTCGCGGTTTTGCTGCTTTTTGGCATGTGACACCGACAAATCTTGTGTTCTTCCTTCTTCTGCGCTGTGTTGAGTTTCATCACGACTGCCGGACGGTCGGTTCGCTGATAGATTCAGCCAGCACATACATGTGAAGGATGACTCGACTGGTTCCGCCATCCCTTCTCGGCGGCGCATCGGCGGCAGAAACACCCAAAGGTCAGGGCTGAGATCATACAGAAGAACCACGATGCCGAAATCAGTCAACCCCTTGCTTTTACGGAGGAGCACCTCTTCTCCCATATCTCCTAATAAGCGCACGAAAAGCGCTCCAAAGGACGAGGACACCGCGCAACCACTAGACGACACAGGCCGAACGCCATCTCTCGCTCCCTCTGGCGTAGCTCAGGACGCGCGGACTCTCATCCGCCACGTTCACACGCAGATGTGGGCGGACATCCCTGACCGGGCGGCGGGAATGGGCAGCGAGCGCATCAGCGAGATTCTGCGCTTCCGTCGCGCTCTCCCGAAGATTGTTAGCGTGGTGCATCTTCATGCGCTCAGCGTGAGCACGACGGAATCAGAGCGGGAGCTCGCGAGACTCGTCGCCATGGGCCAAGTGCGGAAAGTCGTCATTCCTGGCCGTGGCAAGGGCGGGGCGGCTGTTGGTGAAGGGGTGATTTTGGTGGCAGAGTGGAAGAAGAGTGTGAATGAGTGCGGTCAGCTTTCTGATGAACTGAAAGAAAAATACCTCCGTCTCATGGACGAGCACCCCACCTCTGCCGCTGTGCCGACGTCTTCCATGTCGGATGCAGAGGTGAGAGATCTGGTGACCGCAGGCTACTTTACATCTCCAGCTGCTCTGGTATCCGCTGGTCTGAGCAATCTCTTCGCATCTCCGGGCAGCTCATCACTCAGTGGGCTGCCGCTTTCCGGCACTCGCGCGGCAACTGGCACGCTGGCCGCAATTGGAGGCCAAGGCGCGGTTCACGAGAGCGGTGGGGGCGGGAGTACGCTCGCCACCCGAGACAACCGCATGCCTCTCAACAAATCACGACAGATGACGTTCAGCTTGCCAGGGACGGGGGCATATCTCAAACTCCTGATTGCCGCTCGGCAGCATCTACTCTTCCTTCTGAAACAGACATCGCCCCGCTTCCGAGAGGCGACGATGGAGTTTCTGAAGGAAAAGTGGGATGGCAATGTTCCCAACGACGCTACGAGCCGGGCAAAGAGAGCGAGAGGCGAGTGGACTGGGGTGTTACCGGGCAAGACGAAGAAGTGGAAGGAGTTCTACGGACTCGAGTTTGAGTGGGTGTTGGCGGAATGCGTAGGCTCCGGGCTGGTGGAGTGTTTCGAAACGGGCAGCGTTGGGCTGGGTGTAAGAGGCATTTGAGAGTGGACCTTTCCCTCTAGGCAGCTACTTAATTTCCCATGTCTTCTGTCCTTTTGTAATAGCTGTGTGTTGAAGTTGCAGTGAAAGGACTGATCAATAGGTGAAGTGCCCAAGGTCCGTGCGCCTCTCGCGTAAATTGCCTCGCGTCTTCCAACCTCACACGCGTTGCCTCCAGATGTTCGACATCTCTTTCAAACTGCCGATCCGTTAAAATGGCGATACAAAACGGCGACAGCGATGGTGCCCTGCTTTCCAAACCCTCCGACCAAGAATATCCCTCCCTCAATCGCATACCCGCCAACTACAACCCGCTCACAAACTACAACCTCCCCAAAAACCGGCACTACACCCAACAATATGCAGACATGTACTTCGCCCGCCTGGCGCAGCTCAAGCCCGCCGTCGAGCAAGTCGCCGCAGAAGCCTGGCAGGACTTTGAGATCGCGGGCGAGCGAGCACGCAGAGTCGACCGCGTGCTGGACGTGCGGCAAGGCGAGCTGTGCTGGGTGATTGGCACGTGCTACATGGAGATGCCGCTCAAGCCGAACGTGCTGGATGATATTGGCAAGGAGCATTGGATTGCGGCGCCGCCTGCGAGGCAGAAGTACACGGAGGGCGGGGAGGGGGATCAAGTTATGTTGGAGGATGAGAGTGGGCGGTTGAGATTGACGGGTGGTGCGCTGAGGAGTGTGTTGCTGGTTACCGGGGCGATTGTGGCTGTCATTGGGACGGAGAACAAGGATGGAGATTTCGAAGTGCTGGATGTGCGGGTGGCGGATCTGCCTCGACAGCCTCCGCGGTGGGAGAGAGATGATGGCGACACGGCAGTGCGGGGAAAGAGTGTCTCGAAACCGAGACCGAGCGGTGGCAAGGTGGCCATCGTGTCTGGACTCAGCTTCAGCGGCGATGTAGGCGACACACTACCTCTCGAGCTGCTCTCAGAATGGCTGCTTGGAGAGTCCGCAGGGCCAGACGACCAACAAGACACCTCCACCATTTCCCGCCTCATCATCGCCGGCAACTCCATCGCCCACGGCTGCCCCATTCCATCACGAGAAGAAGTCGCCGCCGCAGCGTTAAAAAGCCGCGGCCAGAAGAAATACGGCTACGACAGCGCCTCCTACAACGCCGCCCCGACCGCACGCTTCGACACCTGGCTCGCAAACCTCCTTCCCTCAATTCCCATCACCCTCCTGCCAGGTGAATCCGACCCGACCGCCACCTCGCTCCCACAACAAGCTATCCACGCCGCCATGTTCCCCCACTCGCGCGCCTACATGCAACCGCCCGCAGTCGACCACAGCTCCACCGAGCAGGAGCGAAGCTGGTTCACCAGCACGACGAACCCCACCGAATTCGACCTGCAGGGCTGGCGCTTCCTCACGATTGGCGGGCAGACGCTCAACGACGTCTACAAATACCTTTCCACCAACGATCGGCTGGAGATGATGGAGGCTATGCTCCGCTGGCGCCTGACGGCTCCCACTGCCCCCGATACCCTTACCTGCTATCCGTTTCAGGACGGCGATGCTTTTGTGCTGAAGGAGTGTCCGCACGTGTACGTTGCGGGCTGCCAGCCGAAGTTTGAGACGGGCGTGATTGAGGGGCCTCAGGGGCAGATGGTGCGGTTGTTGGCTGTGCCGAGTTTCCGCGAGACGGGCGAGGTGGTCGTGGTGGATCTGGAGTCCTTGGGGGTGGAGGTTGTCAAATTTGAGGTCTGGGAGGGTGGGTGAGGCGGATGGAGTGTGAGGTGGCGTCAGATGGCGAGCACGCCCAACATTGTTGAGTCTCTGCATGACGAACATTGTACAGACTTGTAAAAATAGGGCCTTGTGAAAGCTCGGCTCGGCTCAAAGAGGAGACTCCGTGAGAGCGATCCACAAACATCAAACGTACTCCACCCCTTCATCTGCACACTCCCTCCCTCCCTGAGCCCCCTCAACCCCTCTCCCTCCCCTCCTCCAACCGCCCATACACATCCTCCATCTCCAACAGCATCGCGCGATCCTTCGCCAGCGCCTCCTCCTGCTTCCCAATCTTCTCGCGGAGCAGCTGCATAATCGCCTTCTCGCGCCCACGGATGTACATGTCTTCGGCGGCCTTTTCGCGTCGGTTCCAGCCGTCGGCGGAGCGCTGGCCGCCGGGACGTAGGGAGCCGGTGTCGCCTTCTGCGCTTTTGGAGGGGGTGTGGGTGAAGTCCGAAGGGGGGGTATTGGTTTTGTCAAAGGGGGTGGGAGACGTGGATGGCGTTGAAGGAGGCGGCGGGTGGTGCGGGGAGCGTTCATCGTTGCTGCTTCGTATGAGCCAAGTTGCAAGCGGGTGAGGGGGTGGAAGTTGTGTCGCCCGCGTTCTGTACGTCCTTGTAGCTTGTGTCGAGTGGTACGAAACCCCGCATGTGACCAGGCATGGGTAATTCATGAAGCAGCGGGGTCGTCGTAGGAGGTGCTTTCCGCTTTGGGGCGTGTATCAGAGTACCCGCCAATCACGTGGAACGATGGCCAGGCTGAATCGGCGGGAGGGTTGCTGAGAAGCCTTACAAGGCACTCGATACCAGAGGCAGCACTTCTCACCGAGCCTCTCCAGCTTTGCCCTCCAACACCCTCTTCGTCCCCTCCACAATCAACGGATGCTCAGCCGCATGGATCCTCTCCTCCAGCTCCTTCAGACTCGCGCAACCCTCAATCTCCACCTCGCGCTGCACAATCGGCTCCCCCATATCCACCTGCGCAATCACATAGTGCACCATGACACCCGTCTTCTTCCTCTTGCCCTGCTGAAACTCCTCCCAAGCGCGCTCAATGCAGTGTGCGCCCACCAAATCGCCGTGCAGAGAGGGATGCAGATTGATGATCGGGACGTTTGGATGCAGCAGAGGAGTGAGGAAAGCGGTGGTGACGATGCGCATGAAGCCGGCGCAGACCACTATATCGGGCTTGTCGGCCAGGACGATATTGGCCAAGTCTGCATCGTAGGCTCTCCGCGCTTCGTCGAAGGTGGGATTGGGCGAGGTGTCGGGGTGTTTCTTCTTGTAGGGCACGATGCCGTGGTATATGGTCGGGATATTGGCGTCTGCGGCGCGTTTCAGACCGTAGGCGTCTTTTCTGTCGGATATGACTCGAATGATGTTGGCATGAGGGAGGGCGGGGGTGTTGCAGCTGTCGATGAGGGCCTGTAGATTGGTGCCGGAGCCTGAGATTAGGACGGTGATCTTGGACAAGGGACGCCCATCCTGTGCCGTCGCCATGGGGGGTAATGAGCACCAGGGTCTGGCAGTGATGTCGCTGGAAGTGCCGTGACGAAAGCCAATGTGCACCTTCCCCAAACTTTTTCCAGCACTTGAGCTGGCTTAGCTAAGGCAACCCCACACATGCACCCATCCAGTCGGCGACTGCCGGGCTTGGGTCGTACCTGCATCTTCATATGACGCTTAGACTGTACCAAACTTAAAAATCGAACATCAGTGACCTCAGCGTGTTGTTGCACGACTCGTTCATTCCGTATGACAGCATTATTCTGTAATCGGTCTGGGCTGTCCTCACTCCACTCAACTCCTCATTCCTCACATACCTGATTCTTCTTACGAAACTCGTTTAACAGTAACACACACAATACACACAACACATCATGTCTGGTCTTCTTCGCCCTCGAAACCTTGCCATCGGTGCCGGTGTTGCTGGAGGCTTGGTTCTCTTTGCTCAATCTCGAACAGGACAAAACTTCGATCCAATCCGGTAAGCATCGTCCAAGATACCAACAAGAGATCGACTTTGTTGCTCACACTGTCGGTGACTGACAACAGTAGCAATCCCCCCAACACCCTGGGCGTCCAGAACATCAACGCCCGCTTCTCCAAAGCCGGCGGAACGGAGAAGGGCACGCCGGCCGTCGCTTCCACCCTAGGCTCGGCGGACAAGGAGGACACGGCGCATTACCACGAGAACAACGTTGCCAGCGGGAAGTCGAGCAGCAGATCTGACAGCAAGTTGAGCAACAAGTCCGAGAAGAAGTCGGGGAGCTTGCCGGGAAAACCTCCGGGCAAAGGGCAAGAGCAGAAGGGCGCCGAGGACGCCGATGCCAACGCGGCGGATCGTAAGGGACAAACCGGCAGAGAAGGCAGCCATGGGAACGGTAAGTTCCCCTTGCTCTTCATCGGCCATTTGCAGATTGCGGTACACAAGCTGACTTCCACTTCCATCCACAGTAAGAGAAGTCGGCATTTCTCAAGCTGGCTAGCAGCCTGGAACGGATCATCTCCCTCACTCCTCCCTGGACCGGCGGGAGCATTTCGACAAAGCCGTTGGCGGGCATGTGCAGTCAAACGCCCCTGTGGAGAAGGAGAAGAGGGGGAAACTCAGTCATCTTCATGCGGCGGAGTTGGAAAAGCATGCATAGAGGGGTGGAATCCGTGGATTTGTCCTGATTGGCAGCCGGCGTATTCCTAGACGGTGGAGCGGATACATTTGATCTGTCGGTGGTATCGGCCCTTTGAGGTCGTCGTACCCGCCCTATGAATTGAGCTCCTGATGCACGTGATATCTTCAATTCTTTCGCTGTTTACCACGTAAAAGGTGACCCGCCAACGCCTTGCTAAAACTGAGTTCGACCTTTCACGAGCTTCACTTTTCTGGCGCATCGGGTAATCGTTCGACAGCATACCTAATATCACACGGACTGTTAGCATTATCCTGCCCCAAAGATCCAGCCGCACAACATACCCTCCTCTCTTCACGCTAATAATCGGCACACCAGGCACCTTGCGCACCCTCCTCTTCAAATCCCGATCGTTCGTCGCCACAATATACACCCGCTGCTTCATCACGCGATCCACAATGCAATCATCGGCATACGTGCCCTTGTGATCGCACTGCAAGCGCTCCCACCTCTCGTCGCGCGCAATCTGCAGCGCAATGCGGTACTTCGGGCCCAGCTTCTCCAATTCCGCCATGACGCACGAGGTGATGATGGGGTTGCATGTGGCGTACAGCGTGTCCATGAGCGTGGGCAGGAGGGGGAGTTTGTGGTGGACGGTGTGGGAGAGGAAGTTGGTGTCGAGGAGGATTTGGTAGGGGGGTTGGAGGGCGGTGTTGTGTTTGAAGAACATGCCGGAGGGGACTTGGGGACTGTAGAACTCGGGGGGTTAGTGGTGGTGTGGGTGTGTTGAGAGTGGGTGCCATGCGTACACTTCGCGAATGAGCTCGTCTCGTTTCTTCTTCGCCTGCTTCTCGGCGCTGTCCTTGTCGATGTTCTTTTTTAGTCGTGCATCACGCTGTCCGATCACGCGCTTAACTGCCGCGAACTTGCGCGTGCGCTTCTGTACTCCCATCGTCGCAGGCTGTGGAGGGGGTGGTGGAGGTGAGGTGAGCGTGGTCAGTGACGAGGAAAAGTAAAATAAATTTGACGAGCAACCCGCCTCCCACTTTGATTAATCAGCCCGCCATCAGCGATTAAGCTTACCCGTAGCTTGAGATCGTCCCGCAAGTGGCGCGTGGCCGAGAGACGTCAAAATGTTTTGTCCCGCGAACTTCATCTCGTCCACCACCACATCCATCAATGATTCACGCCTCACGAGCACCCCGGCGGTTGCCTCGCATCGTCGCACCATACGCTCGCACTCTTCTCCACCCATCGCGAAGACGATATGCCTCCATCACGGACGTCGCCAACCTCCCGAAGCCTGGAACTCACCTCCACGGCTTCACTCTTCAGCGAACCAAGCACGTTCCCGAGCTAGAGTTGTCCGCTCTACACTTCAAGCATGACAAGACCGGCGCCGACTACCTCCATGTAGCGCGTCAGGACGACAATAATGTCTTTAGTATCGGTTTCAAGACGAATCCTCCGGATGCGACTGGCGTGCCGCATATCCTGGAGCATGTCACTTTGTGCGGGAGTGAGAAGTGAGCTACCAATTCTTAAATCTCGCCTTTCTTTCCCTAGTACTGACGGATAACCTAGATATCCCGTTCGCGATCCTTTCTTCAAGATGCTGCCACGGTCCCTCCAAAACTTCATGAACGCATTTACCAGCGCCGATTATACCATGTACCCTTTCGCCACGACGAACGCGCAGGACTTCAAGAACCTGATGGGTGTATACCTTGATGCAACATTACACCCGCTGCTGAAGCCGGCGGACTTTGTCCAAGAGGGGTGGCGAGTTGGACCGGAGAACCCACTGGTTGAGTCGCAAGACGCTCAAGACTTGGTATTCAAGGGTGTGGTGTACAACGAGATGAAGGGCCAGATGTCCGATGCCACCTACTTGTTCTACATCCGCTTCATGGAACACGTGTTTCCATCACTCAACAACAGTGGTGGAGACCCGGCGAAAATGACGGCTCTGACGTACGACCAGCTCAAGACTTTCCACCAGGAGCATTACCATCCAAGTAATAGCAAGATCATCACATACGGCGACCAGCCCGTCGAGAATCATTTGCAGATGCTTGGCGCGACATTGGATCAATTCGGCGAGAGTGAGCCTGATAGCGACATCAAGCTGCCAGTTGACCTGTCCAATGGACCGAACATGGTGACCATCGCGGGACCTATCGACCCCCTTACACCCCCCAGCGCACAATACAAAACAAGCCGAACCTGGATGATGGGTGACCCCACGGACATCTTGGAGTCTTTCGGTCTCCAAATCGCGACTAGCCTTTTGATGGACGGATACGGCTCGCCGTTATACCGCGCTCTCATCGAATCCGGCCTCGGGACGGACTTTACGCCAAACACCGGGTACGACAATTCCGCCCGTCGCGCCATCTTCTCCGTCGGCCTGAACGGTGTCACGGAGGAGAATGTTCCAAAGGTTCACGAAGCGATCACGGCGGCGCTGCAAGAGGTCATTGCGAAAGGGTTCGTGAAGCAAAAGGTTGATGGAGTACTGCACCAGCTAGAACTCGGCCTCAAACACAAGACAGCGGCATTCGGGCTGAACCTTGTGCAAAGGCTGAAGCCTGGCTGGTTCAACGGCGTCGACCCATTCGACGCTTTGGCCTGGAACAGCATAGTGGAGGGCTTCAAGGCCGAGTATGCCAAAGGTGGATATCTCGAGAAGCTGCTAGGCAAGTACCTGGCAAACGACAACACGCTATCCTTCACCATGGTTCCTAGCCCCACGTATGGAGCAGAACTTGCTGCCGAGGAAGCGGAGAGGCTGGAAAGGAAGATCACGGAGACGGTGAGCCAATTCAAGACTAAAGAGGAGGCCCATGAGCATCTTCGAATGAGAGAGCTGGAGCTTCTGCACGAGCAGGAATCGGGCAGATCGGAGTCGTTGGACAGTCTGCCCACCTTGCACGTGGCCGACATTCCGCGCGAACAGAGGAAAGTCGAGCTGCGCTTTGGCGAGAGTCAGAATGGCACAAAGGTCCAATGGAGGGAGACTGCAACAAACGGAATCACATATTTCCGCGCCTTGTCGCTGTTCAAAGACCTCCCAGACGAACTTCGCATGCTGGTTCCGTTGTTCTGCGACAGCCTGATGCGCATTGGGACCAAGGACAAAAGCATGGAGGAGCTGGAAGACTTGATCAAACTTCGAACGGGAGGGATACATCTCGGCTACCACGCTTCCACTTCGCCCCGCGATACCCAGACGGCCGAAGAAGGGTTGATGTTCTCGGGCCACGCTCTGGACCGCAATGTGGGAGCCATGTACGACCTCATCAGCCGGATACTAACGGAGACGGACTTTGACAGCCCGAAAGCACAAAAGATGATTCGACAGCTGCTCCAGTCCAGCGCCAGTGGTGCAGTCGACACCATAGCTAGTGGTGGACATGGGTATGCGAGGAACTACGCAGCAGCTGGTCTCACGCCGAGAGGCAAAATGGCGGAGCAGACTCAAGGCTTGACGCAAGTCGGGCTCATCACATCTTTGGCCGTTGCGGAGGAAAACGAACAAGCCATGATCGAATTAATCCACAAGCTGAAGATGATCCAAGCACTTGCAGTCGCAAATCTGAAGCTAGGAAGTCGAGTCGCTCTCACCTGCAGCCCCGACGTCTCCAGCAACAACGAACAAGAACTCGCCAAATTCCTCACAACCACCACCTCCACCAACCTAACCGGCAACCTATCCGCAAACAACCCCCCACTCCAAACCAACCTCCAATACCCCCCGGGCGTGCAAACCTTCTTCAACTTCCCCTACCAAGTGTCCTACTCCGCGCTCACACTCCCCACAGGCCCCTACACAGACCGCAGCACCGCCTCCTTCGCCATCCTCGCCCAGCTCCTCACGCACAGACACCTGCACCACGAAATCCGCGAAAAGGGCGGCGCATACGGCGGCGGCGCCTTCAGCGCAGGCAACAACGGCTTCTTCGGCATGTACAGCTACCGCGACCCGAACCCGGAGAACACGCTGCGCATCATGCGCGACGCGGGCCGCTGGGCGGCGGAGCGCGAATGGAGCGAGCGCGAACTGGAAGAGGCGAAGCTGAGCGTTTTCCAGAGCGTGGATGCGCCTAGGGGCGTGAGTGAGGAGGGGGCGACGCGCTTTTTGAGCGGGATTGATGAGGCGATGGAGCAGGAGCGGCGGGAGTGGTTGTTGGATGTGGATCGCGGGCAGGTGAGGGAGGCGGCGGAGACGTTGGCGGGGCAGATGGGCGAGGCGAGTGTGGTGTTGCTTGGGGAGAGGAAAACGTTTGTTAGTGAGGAGCGGGGATGGGTGGTTAGGGATTTGGGCATTGCGGAGAAGCAGGCGGCGATCAATGAGGAGGAGGTGCTTGAGAGTGCTGCTGCTTGAGAGGAGTGTTACTTCGCGCGTGCTTGGACGATACCCAACTCTTGAAATTGAAACATGCAAGAACGCATCGACTCATTCGAACTCGCGACCTGCCCAAAAGACTCATTCGAACTCGCGACCTGCCAAAAAGACGCATTCGAACTCGGGGCCTGCCAAAAATTCACAAAAAAACAAACTCCTTTTCAGGAGAGAAAGCAAGGCGAGACTCGTAGGACCCCAACAGGTTTGCATTTTTTGGCCTCTGACCAACAGATCATTTGATACTGCTGATCGTTGGTTAGAAGTGATGCGGAAACAATTCAATATAGAGAGAGAAGAGGTTGCGACGAGGTTCCGCCGAGCTGCTAAGTTGTTGGGAAGGGGAAGAAAAGCAATCTTCATCATCTCGGCACTGGGAATCTGCTTCAATCATGTCACTCAACTTGACACCGTTCCGGGGACTACTTGGTAAGGTGTGGTCAGTCGTCGCCGACATTCCTCTGGTACCGATGGGAATGGACAGCGTTCTTGCGATGGTGTGTATGGATTACATACAGCAATGTATAGACAAGAAGGGCAAACGCGATATGTAACAACCAGTCAGACCCGTCACACGGCAGGAGAAACAACCCCAGTCGCACCAACGGATCGACTAACTTCGCTGAAACCCTCGTCAGGATTCGAGCTTTCCGAATAAGAGATGAAAAGCACACGCGTAGAATCAGAACGACCGAAACGACTCTCTGCCCAGCAGGCACCCCGCTCTACTCCTCCAACGTGTCAACGGCCGCGTCAACGCGCCTCTCGAGTTCATTGAAGTACGGCATGGCGCCGGAAGAAGGCCCATACGGGCCCCAAGCAAAGCGATGCGCGCGCTCCGCCTGATCGGGGTTATGCTTCTCGGCGTGCAAATGCGCGTGCGTAATGGGAGAGCAGCGCCCCTTCTCGCAGTGGCGCCACTTGGCTTCGGGGTCGTGGGCGTGCACCTTCTTCTCCTCCTCCGCGTCGCGCTTGATGGCCGCGAGCGCGCCCTTGATCTCCACCAGCGTGTCCTCGAGCCCGCCCGGCTGCGAAACCTCGGCCTGCTCTTCGGGCGAGGCGTTGCGCTTCTTGTAGCATGGCGAGCCGACGGCCAGGCCGGCGCACCAATCTGTGCCGGGCTTGTGGTCCAGATGGGAGCCGATCAGGGTCGTGCGGGTCGCGGGCTTGGGGTGGGGGTGGTGGTATTTGCCTGGGTGGTTCATGCGGTACGCCCAGTGCTGGAACTTGTGGCATGCCTTCTCGCCTGCGTTGCACTTGCCGTGGCAGCGTTGGCAGCGTTTGGCGAGCTCGCGCTTCTCCGGGTGCGCGGTGCGGGCGCGGGCGCACACGGCGCCGGGTTGATCGCAGTAGTCGATGAGGGCGCTGGGGAGCTCGGCTTCCTCGCTGCCTTCGGGGGCGTAGCCGGCGCCGGCCAATGCTTCAGCGCGGGATTCGCCCTCGAGGACGAAGTCGTAGCCGTTCAGGGCGTAGTCGGCGATGGCGCCGAGCTCTTGATGCTTGCGGTCGCAGAGCGAGCCGGGGCGGCCGCGGCGATCCTCGATGTCGGCGTCGGCGTGCTTCTTGAGGATGTCGTTGATGGCGAGGGCGGCGCGCTTGACCATGTCACACGGCTCGCCGGGGGCACCACATGCGCCGAAGGGGTCGCTGGTGACGAAGGTGGAGTTGTCTTCGCCGGTGAAGGTCAGAATGGGATAGTCGGTGTCGGCGTCGAAGGTGCCGGCGGCAAGGCCGGCCTCTTCGGAGCGCTTGCGCCAACAGGTAGAGCCGGGAATACCGCACCAGTTGACGTGGACTTTCCGCTCATGGTACTTAGCTTCGGGGTCGGCCTCGGCGGCGGCCTCACGCTTGCGCCAACAGGTGGAACCAGGGATACCGCACCAGTTGAAGTGGACTTTCCGCTCAGCTTCGGGGCCAGCCTCGGCCTCACGCTTGCGCCAACAGGTGGAACCGGGGATACCACACCAGTTGATGTGGACCTTTCGCTCAGCTTCGGCGTTTGGGGCGGCGGTGGCAACGCTGGCGACGGCCACAACGGTGGCGAGAGCCATAGCGTACTTCATCGTGGATGATATTGGTTGGAGTGATGTGTTCGAGATTGAACGATGTGCGTCTGTGTGACGAAGATGATGAAGGAAGAAGGAGAGAACCCGATGGCGAGGTCAGACTTAAGGAGTGACTGTAGATGGGTAGAGGAGAAAGAGAGAATCTGCATGCGGTGAGGGAATATAAGAGCATTAATACTTGAACAAGGAGCCTTGAGAGGAGGAGGCCCAAAAGGTACCTCAATAGGCCAGTGGAATAAAGAAGATCAACGGCTCATTCAGCGACGGGAGTCCAATGGCCCGGCTCAATAAGGTGAACTCGACTGCCAAGGTTGACAATAAGGGAACGCGTTGCGAATGAAGTAGAGAAAGAGCGCCCGGACGTAAGATGATAAGAGAAGATGAGGTTGCAATCGCGGCTGCAGTAGAGCGTGTCATTGTATTGCGGTCACTTCGCTGTCGACGCATTGTGGAGAATCTGTGGTAGCATGCACAGCATGACAGAGCGCAGTACAGGCACGGCGACATGATCACATCCTCCAGCGTTTCATGCGTCCTGTACTCACTGGAGATAGGCCAAAGGGTATGGTCCGGCCGTCCAGAGGGCAATATGCCATTCATTGTGCAGCAGATTGCGATCAGAACGAGCGCCTGGCAGTCCATTGTGAGAGGTCTCGACCCGGTGGAGAGGAGTATGGACGCTAGGCCGGAAGTTGGTCTCAATAGGATTTTGAGTACTTTCCTATTTCGGCTAGCGCGGATTTTCTTTGAGAGATCGATGGGATGAGGTGCAGCTCGTCCGACGCATTGAGGCGACAGAAGGCCTTGGTAAGCTCATCTTCTCCGCTCAGGTGGTGTTCTGGTACATGCAGGAGCCAAGATGTGGTGACGTCCGGCCGTTACATTGCTTGACCGAAGCGAATACCGCACAGAGCGCAGTCGTGATATGTCCAGAACATGGCGGCAAAGATTCCAGCAGTGCGTGCAACGCGCGCACAGCGACTCGTAGAACGCGTAGTATGACATTTCGCATGCGATGACTCAGTCATACCTCGTCGGCCGGGCTCTCTCCCCCTTCCAGAAGCCCATCAGCTCCCCCGTGTCTCCCACAAACTCCTGCACTCTTTGCACCGCCGCCTTCGCCATGCCCGTCTGCGTCGGACTTCTCTTGTGTGAAGCTCGGAAAGCATCACCACCCGCAGCCGGCTCTCGTCCAGGGCTTATGAAGCTGCTCCCCTGCCCAGTGGCATACTCCGATCCCATACTCGGCAGCACGTTCTCTCCTGCACTTAGGCTGACGAACAAAGCGAAGGGTGTTAGCCAGACGTTTAGCCCGAAGAAGGATGCAATCTCCGTGAACGTCGGGCCGGTCGGGGGGTCGTAGTAGTTGTACCGCATGTCCGAGGGGGATCGCGTGGGTGTGCGGCTGAAATGGCGGAACCAGAGCCAATGGTTGAGGAGGACGAGGGCGCAACTAGCGAGGAAGATGGGGTCGGTGAGTTTGACGATGGGGAAGCGGCGCAGATTCTGCAGGTAGACGACGTGGCTTGCGATGCTGAGGGCGCAGAGGAGGAAGGGGAAGCGGTCGACGGCGAGGAGGAGGAGCTGGATGGCGATGACGGCGTAGATCATGCGCGTCAGCACCTTTTTGGCGATGACGGTGTGCTCTTCAACGATCTCGGAGAGGTAGTAGAGGCCGGAGGCGATGGCGAGGGTGAGGAAGAGGAAGCCGAGCACCAGGCCCAGGTATCCCTGTGAGGGGAGATGTTAGGGAGGAGAAGCGCGCTGGGAGTCGCGAGCTGGTATTGCTTACGAGTAAGGGTAGAATCCACATGGTGAAGAGCTGCTTTCTACGTCTCTCTCATCATCATCACTTCTCAATTGTGGTATCGTGAGAGTGAGTGTAGTTTGAACCCTCGAAACACCTGGCCGCAGTCGAGGCCATGACGTGGCTTAGGTAAGGCGAATTAAAATTCCAGACCACCCTCCACCTCAGGCACGCATACAACCACTTCTCTATAACCACCCACAACACCCCACGAAGCAATGCGCCTTCCGCCCATCCAATCCTCTTCAAGATGTCTCGACCCGAAGATCTCCTCCCGCCCGACCTCTTCTACAACGACACCGAGTCCCGCAAATACACCACCTCATCCCGCATCAAATCCATCCAGGCGTCCATGACCCACCGCGCCCTCGAACTGCTAGACCTCAAAGAACCCTCCTTCATCCTCGACGCTGGCTGCGGCTCGGGCCTGTCAGGCGAAATTCTCAGCAGCATCCCCGATGTCGAAGGCGGGCCGCACACCTGGGTCGGCATGGACATCAGCTCTTCCATGTTGGCACAAGCTCTCCAACGGGATGTAGAGGGTGACATGATGTTTGCGGATATGGGGCAAGGCGTGCCTTTTCGCCCGGGAACATTCGACGCCGCCATATCCATCTCTGCAATCCAGTGGCTGTGTAATGCAGACAGCTCCGACGTCTCGCCCGAAGGCCGTCTGAAGCGGTTCTTCGACTCGCTGTACGCATCTCTGCGCCGCGGCGGGCGAGCAGTGTGTCAATTCTACCCCAAGAATCCGCAGCAGCGGGCCATGATTTCCAACGCGGCCATCAAAGCCGGTTTCGGCGCGGGAATACTGGAAGACGATCCGGAGACGAAGAACGTGAAGCTGTACTTGGTGCTTACCGTCGGTGGAGGCGATATCACTGGCACAGTGGGCGGGATGCAAGATGTCGATGTGCAGGATGCTCGGAGACGGGGGGAGAAGCAGAAGCGCGGGTGGGAGTTTGATGCGCACAATCGGAAGGGCAGTAAGGCGTGGATTCAGCGGAAGAAGGGGCAGATGGAGGGGAAGGGGAAGGTGGTCAAGGCGAATTCCAAGTACACCGGGAGGAAGAGGCGTATAGTTTTTTAGGGGCAGACTGTGGGTTAGCATGGCGCTTGGGTGGTGATGATTTTAGACGCATCGAAGATACCCAACTGTTGACAGATCGAAAGTATAGTCAAGATGCGAATTAACGAAGAGGTTCAAGCTCTCGGTGATGCTATATAGTAATGCTATGTGACTTGCGTCGGAATCTGTAATCATGCTCTGTCCGGCGAGGCATGTAAGAAAACGCCATTCCCCTTCCTATTCCCTGGCGGTGAGCCGTTCGCTGAGTTGGGTATGTGAATAACCGAAATGATGTGAATGATGTCGACCTTGCGTTGTGTTGATGCGATGCTGTGAAAATGGATGCTCGCCGAGTAGAGAGTCGTGAATGAGCGCTGTGAAGAAGAAGGCTCGGCGGCTGCAGAGCCCAGTGCATGCTTGCAGCAATGATTAAAAGCGGTTGTCGTGTTCCAGTGAGACCCCATCGGGCTCTTGTTCCTTCCCTAGAACTTCTTCCCATTGACCTGAACCTCAAACCCCTTGCCCTTCTGCTGCAAAGCCTTGGCAAGCATGAGCTCCCGCATCCAGTCAATGCGCTCATCCTTTGTCTTGACAGCAAAGTGGTGCGTCTTGCCCTTGGCATCAAGTCGCCTCTCTCCATCAATACCCTCCTTGTTCGGTACAAGCTGGAAATTGAAGGCCGTCTGATCGGCTTTGGCAGCATCGGCACTGTTACTGGACTTGATGTGAAAAGCCTTCATCGCCGCGGAGAGCTTGCTGGATGCCGCGGCCGAGGAGCAGGCAATGCCGTAGTTCTCGACGTTGATCTTCTCCAGCGCCGCGGATTGCAGGCGCGCATTCTCGTGCATGGAGAGATTGGAGCCCACGAGGCGGAAGTGGCCTTCTTGCCACTCGTGGCGGAGAAGCTTCGTCTTGCGCTTCTTCATAAAGCCTGCGTGGGTGCACTCCCCTCCATACCCGAAGTGCTTGACCGCGGGCTCAGAGCGGAAGGGGTCGTGGGTGGACTTGGTGCGTCGAAGGCTGGGTTGAGACGCACCACTGGTGCTGCCGATGCTGGTGTTGCTGCTGGCGGCACTACCGCCTCCAGTGCTGCTCGAGTTACTCGCCAGCGACTTCACCGACGACGCCGATGAGCTGCCGCTTAGAGTCGAGGTCGAGAGCAGGACTTCATTCTCCTTGAGAGCGGGCAGCGGCATCGATGGGCGTCTCGGGTCTGCGGTGGCGCTGCGCACCGGGCTAGACCGGTTCGACTGACGGAACTGCATGTTGGCTGGAACCGACTGAGTCATGTCGCGGCTGACAGGCCCAGTGGGAATGGCAGTGACCGGAACGTCCATTTCCGACTGGGGTGTACCGAGGCGGTATGGGAGGGTCGGAGAGACTCCAGCACTGCGGCAGGGTGTAGTAGCCGAGAAGCTCGTGTTGAAAGCAGGCGTGGCAGTCTGCGATCGCGGTATCTCCAGCTTTGGCAGTGACCTCAGACTCTCCCGTGGACCGGGAGTCTTGAAGTTACGAGGCGGGATGGAAGTAGCGTACCCTTGATGCTTATTCCGCGGATGTGCAAATGGAGCAGATGTTGACCTAGGTATCGAACCAGGCTGAGCAAGCTCGGCTGGTGACCTAGTAGCTGGTCCGACATGTTGCAGACTGAGGTATTGTCGGACATGTTCTTGAGGATCGCGGTTACCAAGTCGGTCAAGCACATTTGCATGCAAAGCAAAGTCGGGAAGCTGTCCGGGTCCAAGAAGGTCAGAGGAAGCAATCAGGGACGGCATAGTATCCGTCGTCAGCCGAGCAGCATTGTCAGACTGCTTTCGGGCACTAGACGCGAGGCTGACCACGGTGGGGCTCCTGCTCGAGTCGGTGGCGATGTAGATTCGACCGCCTTTAGTCGGGCTGACGGGCAGGTGGAGAACGCCTTCGTCTTGGAGCTGTTTGAGCTCTCGCTGCTGCTTGCGCCATTTGGCACAACGCTCGCCTTTGTGGCATTTGTGCGGCTTTGGAATGAGTTGTTCGATCGCAACGATCGAAACGGATTCGGCAGGCGCGACGTCCTCGTTCAGTCTGTGGTGTTTGCGGCCTCGGCGTTTCTTGAGATGAGCTGTTTCAATCGGCGTCATGTCCCCGTCGATGGGGGTGTGACACGCGCTCTTGGGCGATCGGGTTTCGTTTCGGGTCGACGGTCGGCTGGTGTCTTGGAAGGGAGTTCCGTGTGTGCCAAAGTCGGGTTCAGCTCCACGAAGACTGCAGATTGCACTCCAGAGTTGATGGCGTTTGCCAAAGGACTGAATCCCGAGCTGGTCCCGCAAGTGCTCGAATTGCAAGTCAAGAAGCACATCGCCGTTGATATCGTTGGCCTCGAAGCAGTCAATGGTAGAAGCATCCATATCACATTCAACCATCCAGTCGATGACCTGGTATGAAGTCCATTGCCTGATTTGTGCTTCTGGGTCGTACGTCTGCAGCTGGGGAGTAGCAATTGCGGCGGCAATCGAAAAGTCTTGTTGCCGCTGCCTTGAGGTCGGCGTCACCGGCTCGTCCCCGCGAGTCCTTTCTGGGCGTCGTGGTGCCTCTTTGGGGAACAATGGAGACATTTGCAGTGCGTAATCGACGTCGAGATGCATCGACACCTGAGAGGCTCGGAACAAGTGTGGGCCGCGAGGTCCTTGGATGGACTTGGGTTGGACGTCGAAATGGCGTCGAGTCGAGTCGGGAGTGGGCACCTCATCGTATGATGAGACGGTCGTTGCGCTTTGTCTCCGTTCCTGCGTGTGAATTAGCTGCGTTCGTCTTTATACTGGCACATGACCTGCCACTTACCAGGTCCATACTGCTCTTGCCTGAAATGTCGTCACCAGTGTCGCTTTCATCTTCAAACTCGGTCTCCAAGTAGTCGCTACTCGCGGACACTGGTCTAATCGTCGATAGCCGCGGAGGCTCAAAAGAGCCGGTCGTCCTGCGTGGCATCATGTCGAATGCAGTCCCATGAGCCATGACAGGTTGAAGTCTGGTCGCCATTGCAACGCATATGTGGTTTTGAACGTCACTGATGACTTGGGAATGCTGGTCGTCGTATCATAGCATGCAATGGCGCAGTTGCAGGGCACAAGAGAAGGGAAAGGGTCGTGGGCGCGGCCTCCGTGCGCGAGCAGGCGCCACGTTCCTTTCTATACCACACCCTGTGCGATGGTGAGCGCGTAGACGACGAGGATGCTGTGATCGGACGCCCGGGCGCCAAAAGCTGCCCTCTGTGTGAAAGAGGCTGCAGCGTTGATCGCCTAGACCCTGCCAATCCTTGACAGAAGGGGTCTGAATCTGTTCCTGGATTTGTGACTAGCTGCAAGCTACCCATGTCAGTTGATGCACCCTCACTAAAGCCGGGCGGCTAGCAGCCATTGGTCGTCAACGCACGTCGAGTCGTGAGGGGCTGGCAGACGTGCTATTAATGGCCTTAAAATAGCCATTTTAGTGCATAATGATGGTAAATTCGTCCATCATCGACCTCCACTCCCGCAACTTTCCTCGGCAGGGACGAGGCGAGGCCTCGAAGATAGGCAAACGCCTGCCGAGGAGAGCGCGCGGGATCACCGGGCGCTGCAGCCACCGAGAGAGGCTTGCCCAGAGCGTCGCAAGTCGGAAGCAACACTGGCCTTTGCACACTTGTGATGAACCTCGCATGAAAGACATACCTTTCCTTCACCGCGTTTGCGGCACAGCTTCACACGTGCTACAGTGCGTGCATATAAAGTGGTTGCATCGTAGCTTGCTGGGGGAAGACGGTGCTACATGGCTCCACGACCACGAGGAATGTGTTCCAGTCACACATGGCATCTTCCAGTATCGGAGACTTTGACGGGGAATATTTGGCGAAATGGCCGATTCCGATGGAAAGCGGAGAAGGGTCTTCTGAGACAAGGCAGGGATACAGTAGTCGAAGCGGTCGAGGCACCGGTCTTTTCTCCGAGTGTGACGAGAAACCTGTATCTTTCCCCTCGAACGCTCGTTCGGTATCCAATCGTGGCGAGTAACTTCCTTGCAACACCGATAACGTGAAGTTTGACTCCTCAACTCGCGGAGGACGGGAGTCAGGAGGATCTTCGTGGCCCCATTCCAGACGTGGAACGATCGTCCGACACGTCCGCTTCAGACTTCTCCGTCGGAAGCCTATATTCGTCCACATTCCTGATGCGATTCGAGTGCGAAATGATGAACGATGGGCCGAGGGAGATTGCGAGCTTGCTTTCCCCTCCTCCGTGCAAGGCAACCTGACGTGCATCGGCGGGCGTGGGGGAGGTTCGGGACGCTTCGGCTCGGGATCACCGGTCGTTTGCGCCATCTGGTTGGTCCGTGGATTGGCGCCCATCACGGCGCTAAGGAAGCTTAGTCCACTTCATCACATCTCGCACAACCACTCAGCATCGCGCAACACCCATTCACACCCTCGACGCCCTCGCTAACTCATGGCCAGATCGTGGGATTGGGAAGTAACGCCGACATGGGCGACGGCGGTCTGGATCCTGTGCTCCCATGGGTGCTCCGTACGTGCATTGCATGCGTCGTTGGAGTGCAACGCAGGAACGAGCACGCCGTGTAACCGTGTGAAGTGGGAGAGGTGCATGTCTGCATGAAAGTCGAAGTGCTGCAGTGCCGTGGATGCAGCTTGCACCGTTGATTGACAAGGTCGCATGATCCCCACCCCTCCGCCGTAGCTGCCGCTATGCGCGACGATCGCCTTGCACGAGCGAAGGAATTGCGGAGTTGGCTGATCGGAGCATCTCGTGGATCAGCCACGCTCGCCACGCTCTCGTTGCATGGGCGTACCCGTCGCGATGACTCGAAATTGGCTTCGAGGGGCAGATTGTTCGCCCAACGGCTCGACAGGAGGATAATGGGTCATATGCGCAGAGGCCAGTCGGGAGAGGCAGCGAGGGCGCAAGAATAGCTCTGACAGCAAAGCTAGGCCCCGCAAACCGACCGATCGACGGCCTGCATGATCAGCACCGGCCAATCGCGCCCCGGCGTCAAGCAAGGCGACACATTTAGCAATCATTATCAACCGCCCCCACCTCCAACATCCCCACCAAGACCTTCCACTTAGCTGTCTCCAAGAATAGAATCCAGGCCATTTTGCCCGCATTTTCGCTCAAGTGGGGTGATATAAGGTATTACTCCTCTCCCCTCCCTGCGCGGCCAGCAAGCGTTGACCGTGTGTATTTTGCTCTGTTTCCTGCCACGCCCTTCCTTTTCGTCGAACCAATGCCCGCTGGTCAGGCTTGGTGAGCTACTCTCTTTTTAATCTGGAGGAGCCGGTCTTGGGGCAGGCGATACCGACCTCTCGGAGCCATTATCGCGCTCCCGGCCACTTCTTCTGATCTTGTTTTTCTTTTGCACCTCGTGGATATCCTGTCGCCATGTCTTCTTCTTCTGAAGAAGATTCCCCCAAGCCCCTCGGCAAGAAGGGCGTAACAAAGAAGGCGGCGGCCTCGGACTCGAAGAGCGCTGAATCGAAAATGCACACGCATCGACGATCGCGGAATGGTACGTCTCTTTCTGGGGTGCATGTCCAATGCGTTTGCGCGATACTAATACATCTCAGGCTGCTACACCTGTCGAATTCGAAGAAAGAAATGCGAAGAAGGCAGGCCGTCTTGCAAGGCATGCAGGAACTTGGGCCTGCAATGCTACTACAAGCGGCCGACGTGGTGGGGCAATGTCGAGATGCGGAGGGAGGAAAAGGAACAAATGAAAGAGGTCATCAAGCAAACTCAACTGTCCAAGAAGGCTGCGCAAGCCCAGCAGCAGCGACAACAGGCGTCCACGTCTGCGCAGCCCAGCTTGTGCGGGTCGATGCCGCCACCGCCGCCGGTCGCGGACTATTTCGCAGACTCAATACCGCACAGCCGTCGGCCATCGATCCTGTCGCCATTCTCTTACGACTTCCCTCAGATTTCCCCAGACGACTTCCTGGAGCTCCAGCCGCCGCAGTCGATCATGTCGCATGGTCCCTATCCGATGTTCTCGCCCTACGAGATTGACATCAAGACGGAACGCCAAATTTACGTCAACGACGTGCCCACGCGCAGGGATTCGACAATCTCGACGTTCAACACCTACCAGCCTCCTCCACTGTCTGATGGTATGCTGGCATACCCAGAAGACAGCTGGGTGCAGCAGGAACATCACGAGAGCTTCCAAGAATCCTTCACGGAAGAGCCGGTGGACTTTAACTTTTTCCAATTCCCGCATGGCTCCATGAGTCCGGACCACGAGACGGTCATCAACGTCGAAGAGTGCGACAAGCACCTGCTCAATCACTTCTTGGACAAGGTGCTGAAGTTGATATTCCCCATCCTCGACGCCAATCAGCATGGCTCCGCTCGGGCGGACGTCATCTTGCCAGCCTTAGAGTCGAATACGGCTTATCTGAGCTGTTGTCTGAGCATCGCTGCGGCGCATAAGAAGGCAACAGAAGGCTTGAGCGGAGAGCAGATCGACAATGATATCGTCCGACATCGATTTGCCGTCGTCTCCGAACTCGTCGATGCATTGAAAGAGGATGTGAATCATGCGGGCATCCTCGAGGCGACACTAGGCATGATCTTCTTCCAGTGCTCCGTGGGTCGACCGGAGGATGTCCTGCCAGATATTCCCTGGCATCAGCACTTCGAAGCTGCGACGAGTCTCGTGATGAAGCTTGATCTCCCGAGCGCGGTATTGAATCTGGGAGATAACGGGTTCATACAGCCGCCATTCAACATGACACTGGCCTCTTGGGTTGACATCCTCGGCTCGACAATGTTAGGTCGCTCGCCAACCTTCGCTGACACCTACCGCGAGTTAAACCTCCGGCGCGGGAGTGCTGGCTTGGCCGAACTGATGGGCTGCGACGACACGATCATGTTTCTGATCTCGGAGATTGCGTGTCTTGACATGCAGAAGCGCGAGGGGGCTGTGAGCGAGCTACAGCTGTGCAACTATGTCACGCATCTGGCGGACGCCATCACTTTATCCCAGCCTCCACCAGGTGCCGTGCAGAGTTGTTTCTCCAGCACAGGAGCCATCCGGCCGAAGCAGCTGACGACGAACATCTCCGCCGTCTTCCGCGTGGCAGCACGTGTCTACCTCTGCGCGCTCGTGCCCGGGTTCGAGCCGCGTCAGCCGAGCATGTGCCATCTCATCTCGCAGTTCGCGGAATTCATGAACTTCATCCCGGCCGGCCCAGAAGGGTTTGATCGGTCACTCGTCTGGCCCCTCCTCGTCGCTGGCTCTGTGTCGGTAGAGGGTTCCCCATTCCGCACCATGTTCGAACAGCGCTCCAAGCGGCTGGGTGATGGGTCGAAGTTCGGCTCTTTCGGGAGGATCAGCGAACTGCTGAAGGATATCTGGCAGATCAACGACGCCGCCGCGGCGAGGGGTGAGTACCAGGGCGTCCACTGGCGGGACGTGATGCAGCAGAAGGGCTGGGACTTCTTGCTCATATAGAGCGAGATTCGAGCATGAGGTCCCAGCCTGGCTTGAGGCTCCCTTGAGGGGAATTCTGCTGCATCCTGGCCTGGTTCTCCTCACCGGCGTTGTCAATTGGTCTACCATTCCTCCTTCCCGGGCATAGCGACGGTGTTTTCATAGTCAGGCGCGGCTGCTGGTGTAGGCATTTTCTCATCTGAGCAATGATACCCACGAAGCATACACATCACGCCGGGTTGGCCGGAAATGTGATGCTGAGACGCTCCACTCATTTTGCATCCTCAGACAGCATTAGATCACAACAGAGTCGAAATCAAAATCAATGAATTCGGAATGTAGTGATGGGCGAACAGCGCCCAGACCAGGCTTTCCCTGGCGATAAGCGGGAAGAGCCGCGCCACGCGTGTTTAGCGTGATTTGTAAAGTGGCCCGGCCCCCACTTCCGCTACGCGCCAGTTCGCGACTTCCCCAATCTCGCTAAGGTGCAAAGTGCTTGCAGTTCTAGAGCACCTTCCTCACCACCACCTCTTTCTTTTTCCTTGCCGTTGTTCTTCACTGTACCTACCTCCTCCTCCCACACTTGCAAAGAGCAGGTGCTTGAAGAGGTAGTTGTTGCCCACATGGCGGCCACTGTACTGGGAAAGAGGACTCGCGGAGCACCTGGTAGGTCTTGCACCATGAGCGACGGACCGAGTGGTACTCGACTGACACCGTATCGCAGAAGTAGATGCTCACCAAACTCGGTCGAAACGTCGCATCGTATTGAACGAACCGAATGACGAGAATGACAATCCCTTCGCACGAAAGAAGTCGACGGATGACGAAAGCCGGACAAGAAAGCCAGCGCGTCTTTCCACCCGCCCTGCGAAGCATGGCCCTCCAGAAACGCGCGTCGCGACTTCTTCCTCCAAGTCGCCGTCCCCTCGCAAAAGTGCAAACCCCTCGGTCGCAGTGTACGAAGATGGCAAGGACAATGAGGAGAAAACCACAACGCCGAAAACGCCCCGACATCGCGACGCTCTCTCCAAGAAAATCGCCATCACCCCGCGCCACCGCGCTCACCTCAATGGAGCTCAGTTGACTCCTCGATCTCCTCAAACCCCTTCCAATGTCGCCACATCGATCTACAACCACGCACGCCAACTCTTCTCGCGGTGTACCGCCCCAGGAAAGCTTGTCGGACGAGATGAAGAGCGCTCCGAGCTGATATCGTTCGTACACGCTTGTCTCGAGTCCCAAGCGGCGGGATGCCTGTACGTGTCGGGACCGCCAGGGACTGGCAAAAGCGCACTTGTGCAAGAGTCGTTGCAGCAGTATGAAGACAACAAAAGCGTGAAACAGTCCAGCATCAATTGCATGAGCGTCAAAAGCGCAACACATTTGTGTACCAAATTGTCGGAGGATCTAGAGCTGGGAACCGGTGTTACACTCGCCCATCTACGTGCGGCTCTGACGAAAGGAAAAGGACAAGGCGATCACAAATATGTCGTTGTTCTGGACGAAGTCGATCGGCTCGTGGATCTCGACGTCGAGCTGATGTACAACTTGTTCGACTGGTCTATGCAGCCTGCATCTCGCCTGATCCTTATCGGCATCGCCAATGCCCTGGATCTGACAGACCGCTTGCTGCCACGCCTGAAGGGACGCAACTTGAAGCCCGCACTGCTTCCATTCATGCCCTACTCGGCCCGACAAATTGCCGAAGTCATCACTACAAAGCTGAAGAGTCTCTGCAATGCTGAAACTGCAAGCATTCCATTCTTCCAGCCAGCCGCGATTCAATTCTGCGCAAAGAAGATTGGCTCCCAGACAGGCGATCTGCGCAAAGCGTTCGACATCTGTCGCCGTGCGATCGATCTCGTGGAGCAGGAGACGCGAGAAAAAGACATGAAGTTCAACAGCCCATCGAAAACGCCGCTCATGGAGAACGTCAACCTTTCCTCTCCGCCAACCCCGAAATCCCCAGACCAAAAGCCTACCAATCCAACATACACGCTCGAGTCGGCTCCCAAGGCAACCATCGCTCATGTCGCCCGCATCACGGCCCAGGTATTCGGCAATGGCTCCGTTCAACGCCTGGCTACGCTGAACATCCAACAAAAAGCCGTTCTCGTGGCATTGTTAGTTCTCGAGAAGCGCAACATCGACCGACAGCTGGAGCGAACGATGTTCGCCACTCCCTCGAAGAAGACCTCCTCCGCACCCTCCAGCAAGCAGCTATTCGAAGCCTACAGCCAAATGTGTAATCGCGACCATCTATTGCACGCGCTGACGGCGACCGAGTTCGGGGACGTGGTGTCTGGACTGGAGGCCTTGAATCTGATCACCGTCGCTGATGCCGGCAAACTCAGTGCCACCAGGATGCCTCCAACGCCCTCTCGCACTCCGCGGAAGTTCCCAAAGAACGGATTTGGCGGTGCAGGCAACGAGCCCAAGCGGTTTGCGAGTGCCGTGGGGGAGAAGGAGCTCTCCGCTTCGCTCGAGGGACCTGGGGGTGAATTGATCAATCAGATTCTGCGCGGGGATGGCTCGGCGCTGGTCTCTGCAGCGTAATCTAAGTGTTTGAGGGTACGTTTGACGGACGAGGATGGGAATCGTAATTGTCGTTGATCAAGGTTCAATGACTACCCAAATGACATCGGTGCTGTACTAGATTGCGTTGGATACAGAAATCAATAGTGTTGACTAAAGGGCGCTGCGCCTATCACCACATCTCCGGCGATCGGTCGCTCTCCGCCCTCGGGAAGCGTGATGCGACTGCATACCAATCCGTATGACCTCCTGGGTCTGGAGAAGCACGAGCGACTATAGATTTTGAATGGCTGGCGCGAATGCATGCGGAATGCACGCCACGCGCCTTTACTACACCGTCCGTGCATCGAAAGACTTGACCTGGATCATCTGGCCGTGTTAAGAACGGAGAATGTGGTCCTATGGGAACAGCAGAGGGCCAGAGGCCTTGAACATGTAAAACGAAGCGACGCATTTAGCGGGTTGCTGAAGAGCGAAGCCATAATGGATGCATAGCGTGGCCACCGAGTTGTGGACACACCACCCAACACGACCGCACCAACCAAAATGCACTCCCCATCGCAATCAAAGCTCGGATTGCAATCGCACGGACAGTCTCCCCCCAAACGCAGCCTCGCCAATTCCCGCCGTGTGTGTTGTTGTTGCCGAGCACTGGAATGGACGTCTGGGTAATCAGGCTTTGGAATGCTGCACGGTATCAACAACATCCACTCGCGAACCAAGTAGCAGGTATAAGGGATGTTTAGGCCGGTCTACTCGCTTTCCTTCCTTTGCTCCATCCTACATTAATCGCTGCTTTGGTGTATCTTCACTCGCTCGATACATCAAGCTTCTTCATCATCGTTTGCTGCCGTCGTTCGTTAGTCCGTCTCTACCGTTGATTCTTTAATCCATCTTCGCACCTCTCCGTCGCGATGAAGACCGAGTTCGCCATCGCCTTGATGGCAGCCGTGGGCGCCCTCGCCGCCAAAAACCCCGGCTACGGCGGCAAGAAGCACCACGGCAAGAAGCACCACAAGCACCACACGACCGCGATGGTTGCTCCGTCCAACACGTCGACGACCACCATCACCCAAGACTCCTGTCCCACCAACGAGGTCGGGCCGGAGACCATGATCACCGTCACCGACGGCGTCACCGTCACCTACTGCCCCCGGTGCGAACATATGACCATGCCCGTCGGCCCGGTCGGGTACACCACCGTCTACACCACCACCTACGAGGCGCTATGTCCTACCGGCATGACGCAGTCGACTTACACCATCACCGAGAGCTGCACCGAGCCGACGCCCACTTGGATCCCGGGCTCAAGGCACATCCCGCCGGGCTTCACTGTCACCACCGCTCAATGCACCATGTGTGCCGAGACGCCCGTGCCCGTCACCATCACCGAGCCCTGCGGCTGCGAAGCTCACGAAGGCACTCCCGGCCCTCCAGCCCCGGCTCCAGCCACTGGCGGCTCTGGCCCAGCGCCCACTGGCAATGGCCGAACGGGTGGCTCAGCACCAGGACCAGCGTGCGACGGCGAGGACTGCGGCGCCATGGGACACGGTTCAGGAAGCAGCCCTGGTTCCGCCGCAGCGGCACCACCCTACCCGACGCCGCCCGCCACGCCGCATCGCGTTATGCCCACGGGCGGAGCTCCTCTACCCACTGGCGCGGCGCCCAGCGGTGCTCCCGGCTCGTCATCCCCCATGTCGCCGGCTCCGAACGCGGCTTCCAGCTTGCCGGTCATCACATCCACGCTCGTGGCGGTGGTTGTTGCTGTCCTGGCTCTTGCGCTATGAGATTTCGTGATGGTTTGATCGAGATAATACTTACCGGATGGTATGGCACTCTATCAGTCCTGAATGAGGAATTGTTACTGATGGTTTGCAGGGCTTTCCTTACAATTTCCTTATCACATTGTCAGAGAGCAAATGTTGCTGGTTTTGGGAGTTCGTCGCCGTTTGTCGCAGGCAAGCAGGCAGGCATATCGTTGGCGTTAGCCGCCCTTTCGTCTTACCTCTTCCTTTGTCGACATAGCTGAATATCATTGTCCGTCGTGAAACTTCTTTCATCGCTTTCAAAGACCGTCGTAATTCCAAGAATAGCGGACTTCCGTCACGCCCTTCTTTGTTCCAGCTGGGACGTCTTTGTCTCATTGTTCCACCATCCTGTTGTTCGTGAACGTATAAAGGCGTGCGTACTGGCCCACTCACACGACGCCGCCCTCAATAACCAAAACTCCATTCATTGTCCAACATCGCCGCATTCAGATATCGCAACGCCCGCACGATACCTTTGCAAAACGACCATCAGCCGAGAAGCGTCGATCTCCAAGTACACCTACAATAACAAGTAAGTCCCGTCCTCCAAGATGCCGGTATTCGAAGAGGATCCTTACGACATCCACCAGTTCCATGACGCGCAACTCCGCCACTACGGCATCACCAAGAACCTCGGCCCCTCAGCAAGAGCTACGCAAGTCGCCACAGAAGCCGACATGAGAGACGTGGCGTCGAGGACAATCTACACAGGCCCCAACCGTCCGCGCCCGCCGCACCCGATCCCGCCTCTCGTTCGCGAGCCGGGCCCTCGAACAACGGGGCAAGACATCCCGGCGGGGACGCGGACGATCTTTACGGGAGCAGATGGGCGGTTCGATGTGGCGAATGTGAGGACGGCGAGGGATACCGCTACGCCGCCTATGTCGCCGTCGTCGCCGCGATGGAGTCGAGCGGAGTCGAACGGTCGCAGGAACAGCTGGCGTGCGCGACGCGATAGCGCGGGTGAGTATGTGCGGAGACTGTCGGTTTCGTTGAAAGAGAAGGCAGACATCGTCGCCATGGATCGGAATGAGCGAGTGATGTTCGTGCGGAACCGAAACGCCAATGCAGAAGAAGAGGCAGTGGAAGATCCAGCAACGCCGACCTCGCGACTGTCGTCTAGTTCGTTTGGTGCGAGGGCGAGAGCGGGCAAGCCGGGGAGTATCTCCAAGAGTGAGCAGGTTGCGCTCAGCATCAGCCGGGCGGTGGATGGACTGAAGATCAAGGGGCGAAATGGTACGAATGAGTCCTTCATGAGTTTCGGGATGACTGACAAGGTGCCAGATGGTGAGATTCTGGAGGCTTGCGAGCGATGCTTCCGGCCGACGACGGAGTACCTGATGCACGGGCTGTGTCCGCAGTGTCACAAGGAGACGAAGGAGCGGAGGAAGAGTCGAATCGGTAAGTGAGCTCGTTCCTTATTGTCTTGCGATGCTTTTGTACGTACTGCATGAGCGTTATTGGCGAGTGTTGACTTGGTAGCGTTTTGTATGTTGAAAGGTAAGTCATCTGTTGCTCCACTTTCTCAGTTCTCATACAGTCGTCGCCATCATGAGTGAACAAATTGAGTAACGACCTGCCAACAGCATCGACTCTGACTTTGACAGATGATGGTGCAGACCCGCCAATCCTCTCACACGGTCAAGAGCACCCTCCGATCTCCCCGGAAAGCGGATTTCTCAAATTGCCCACGAGAAAGATGGTGAGAGTTCGTCAGACCGTTTACGAAGACCCCGGCAATCCTTTCCAGGAGAATTCGCAAAGCAACTCCAACGAAGACCGAACCCTTCAGACTAGCAATCCTGAAGACGAATACTACATTTCGACAGTCAGCACAAAAACACCCGAGGACTCCGATGAGTCGGACACAGAGGATGGGCAAGGGATCATGAAGACAACGAGGATCAGTCAGTACTCCACACCCGCCGCTGCAAAAGACCCAGTCGCAGATCAGGGAAGAAGCGATGGCCCGCGAGCTTTCAAGCCGGACTACCGTCGCTCACAGTCTGTTGCCTTGCCCATAACCCGATTGTGGCTCGACGATGAGAATGAGGAGTACGTCCCGCCGAGAGCCCTGTGGCGGCAGCAGAGTGTCGCAGCGGTCGGGCCGGTTGATGGGCGGTATGAGCGTGGAGAAGATGCGCGCGACACAAAGTTCTATGGGTTTTATGACGAGGTCTGGCGATATTATCAGATGGATGAGAACAGGATGTGAAGGTGGACTCGAGAACTGAAGATGGGATGCCAGGTGCCCGTAGGGAGTTGCTGCACGTGCCCTCAATCGTGTCGGTAGTGAACGCGCAATCGGAAGGACCTTTCAATCGCAGTCTCGTGAATATCCTCATGCGGCGAGCAGGTGAGTGAAGCTTAACGTCGAACGACGATCCCGAACAAGTGAGGTCGTCGATGTGGTTGCTGTAGCCGCCGGGCTAAAGTCAGGGTCCCCAAGACGAGCCGTTTGATTGGCTGCCTGGCCCGTTAGCGCCGGCGGGCCTGGAGGAGCAGCGAGCTCTCGTCACCTCCTCCGCGCTTGTGCATCGTGATGGAACGCGCATCGCCAATCAATCCTCCCCTCATGCCGGCGCCTATTTCGAGGGCGCGCACGAGTGTGCTGCTCGACCCCACGATTCGTCGAAGCTATGCTGTATGCCGCTCGAGGCCTCGCTGGCCCAAAAAGGTGATTTCCCTCTGGCCAACTCCGGCGAGAGTCTTGCTGCATCTTGCCGTGTCTCTTTCCCTTCTCATTTCACTCGTCTCCATTTCGTATCTCCATCTTGCCTAGGGCGTTCATGCAGTGAGGCTGCGCTCTTGCGCCTCCAATGCTCCAGCGGCAAGGACCTATTTCCAACTTGAACCCCTCCTCCAGCCTATCACGACCACGCACCTCTCGAAGACAGCCTCTACGCGCCTGGAGTGACCGGAGGTGGTGAGTGTTCCGACTACATCTCTTTTTGTCGCCGCGCCCCACCACCATCCCGAGTCCATGTTTGTGCTAAGCGCTCACCTCAAAACCCTTGATCCGCCCGTCACTCTATCTTCTTCATGCCTCGCTGGTCTCTGTCTTCCATCATTACATACTTTTCCTAGTCATCGTCGTGCTTTTTGCTTCCCTTCCCGAGAGCCGGCCTCTCGACCCTTCTTTCCTTGCCCTTCGCCTTCCACCGTGCCCAATTCTCCCGTCCATTGCCCTGACGAAATGTTCCAGAGAGAAGACAAGGTGAAGAAGACCGTCACCGTCTCCGTCCAGCCTCGAGCCTCCTCCCTCGACTCTTCCTCCGACGGCTCCTCTACTCTCGCTCCCTCGCTGAAATCACCGAGGATGGCGCGATTCGCCGAAGCGACAACCATCGAGTCCCCCATCGAGCCGCCCAAGGTTCGATCGCCCTTTGCCGAGTCCTTGACCACACACTACATGGCCGAAGCCCAGCCAGCAGATGTCGGCTTTGGCTACCTCCGCGCGAAACATGAGTCTGTGGAAATGCCAAACACACCCAAGAATGGCCAATACCCCTCAACACCAAAGTCTCCTCTCAAGAGCCCGCTGAAGAGTGCCATGAAGACGCCCGGAGCGCCGCCGAAGAATCTTTCAACCGCCATCCTGACGCCGGCCTTCCATGAGGAGTACTTGGAGAAGCGCGAGAAACACACCACGAAGGAACAAGCTCGCGATGTCGTAAGTTTGAGCATGCCCCGTTCATATACCCAGCCCCGTTCTGATGTGATGCACAGAAAATCAAAGCACGCGTGCGAATAGCAAAGTTCCTCCTGCGAGGAGTCAACCTTTCCTGCTCGCTCATCATCGTCGCCATGCTGACCACCACTCTCAACATCTTCCGATCTACGGTAGACCTACCGCCACGGGGAGGCTTCACCCCTTGGGCGCCAAAGCAAAAGATATGGCCGCAGGTCGTGGTGCTTTCTATTTCCTGCGTCTCTCTGTTCTGCGCCATCCTCGTGATGTACGGCTACTGGAAAGGCGGACACAAAAAGGCATCGTACATGGGCCGATACTACACCGCCTTCTTCGTCATCTTCTTCCTGTCCAGCATCATCGTTTGGGCCATTGGAGCAGGCGTATTACAGCACTCAAGGACATCCAAAGACGGCAAAGGCATGTGGGCATGGTCATGCAAGAACAACACCCGCGCCGTCCTCTTCCAAAACTCCGTCTCCTACGGCCTCCTCTGCCGCCTTCAAAACTGGAGTCTCATCTGCATCATCATCGAGATCGTCGTCGAGACCATCTCCATCCTCGTCTACGGCATCATCTTCTACCGCCTCTACTCTAAGCGCTCCCTCCACAAATCCATGGCGCATCGCGATCGTGCCCGCAGCGACCTCTACCTCTCACAGCTGAAGGCCCAGTCCGCGCCTCCCACGCCGGGCTTCAACATTCCCTACAGTCCGCGAGAGGGTCCGTTGGCCACTCCAACTACAATGGAGTACTACCAGCCCGAGCTCGAAGCAGGCCATAACACGCAGTACGTGAGCGCGGATCAAAAATACCAACCCGAGCCTTTCCGTCTCCAACCGCCACCGATCAAAATCCAAAACCCGACGCCGAAAATGGAACAAGTGGGCTTCACACCGCTCCAGACTACAATTTCCACCCCCGCTGCTGCTGCTGCTCCTACGTCCATTCCCGCCGCCGCACCGGCTCGCACACCGTCGCCTTACGTGGAAGCACAATTGTCCCCCTTCATGCCGCCCGAACAGCCGCAGGAAACGGTGCAAGAACATTTCGGCGCCGCTCCGGGCGAGCAAGTGTACGATTTTGTGGCGCCGCCTGGCGCTTACGAGGATATGGTGTCGAGTCCCGGGCCGGAGCAGATGCGTTTCGGCCATGCGTTTTGATGGTATTAGGGTTAGGGTTGAGGTTAGATGCCTTCGCTGGAATGTTGTCTTTCCACTTCTTTCTTTGTATAGCGGAGAAGTAATACCATTTTCCGTTTTGGTCCTGGTGTTGTCATTGAACACGTATGGGTGATTGTTATCGTGTGCCGAGGTGAGGTTTCCCGGTTCTTTGTTCCATGCTTGCATTCTTGAGGAAGTTTTATGCCGCTTGGCTTTGTCGCGAGGCTGCAGCCGCATTCATCCACGACTGCGCTTTTCCGCCGCATGCGGCCCTGTCACCATTTCGTACAATGCCGACCTCAAATGCATCTCTCTCTTCCAACGAATCCTCTCATCCGAACACAACAAATCTAAATCCACCCGCCAGCACCAAACCACCAACAAAACCGTACCTCGACCGCCACGAAACCAGCGCACAACTACTAAAACCCATCCACCCAACCAAGAAAGACATCAACAATGGACGAATCCTTCCCCGCCGCCCCACAAACGACGACAACACCACCCCCAACCTCCGACTCAGCAGCAGCCTCAACGCAACCCTCGCCCAACGAACCCAACACCCCTCCTCCCGCCACCTTCGCAGCTACGATGAATCTTGTTAGTCCCCAGCAGCCTGAACCACTTGCTTCTCGACTTGCGCCTTTGACGAAGAAGGCTGGGGGGTTTGTGAGGCCTGCTCAGGCGGTAGGGAGTGAGGCGAGGGAGGAGAAGGGGGAGACGACTGAGATGGAGGGGAAGGGAAGTGAGAAGGTGGGAGGTGGTGCGTTGCGGAGGTTGAGGGAGGGGGTGAGGGGGTTTATCATGCGGGGGGCTGGTGGGAAGGGGAAGGAGGGTAAGGAGGAGAAGAAGAAGGGTGGGGATTGGATGGGTGCTGGAGGGGATTGAGTGCTGTTGTTTGAATCGCTCTTGATTTGGTTTGATTAATTGTATGCTTGAATAGACGGGTGGCATACGCCTCTCGACTCGTGATATGCGCGAATGTAGGGGATCCAAATGCCACATTGCCGTGTGTCTAGCCTCACCTCTCCGCCAGCCCGGTAAGCTCAACAACGACATTCCCAACCGTACTCAACACCCACACCGCAATCAACGTCCACCCAATCCTCTTGCTAAACACCCACCGATTCAGCGGCACGGCAATCAACAGCCCAACCAACGTCACCAGCAACGTCATCCCGCTCACAATAAGCGTATTGCTGACCTCGATATGGTACGTCTTGAACTTCAGGTCCTCCCCGGGGTGCTTTTCGCCCCGGTGCTGCGCGCCGGTGATGAGAATGTACGACCCGGAGAGCCCGATGCCGAGCAAGATGTTGAGCATGGGCCCGCCGAAGCAGGCGGACAGCGCCATGACGGGGTACCCGAGGCGGGCGACGGTGACGTCGGCGACGAGGTCGCCGAGCGAGTTGCCGACGGCGAAGATGGTGAGGCCCATGATGGCGTGGGACATGTTGAGGATGACGGCGAGGGCTTTGAGGGCGCCGACGACTTGGGAGGCGATGGTGGAGATCCACGCGATGGAGACGGTGAAGCCGACGAGGCTGAGGATGTATCTGTAGATGGCGGGTTTGTGGGTTGGGGTGGTGGTGAGGAAGAGGGGGATCAGGAGGACGACGGAGATGAGGAGGCTGATGAGGATGGGTTTGATGAGCCAGGAGGGGGCGATGTCGATGGGGGATTGGGTGTAGATTGCGAAGACGATAAAGAGGGGCGCGAGGAAGAGCTGGATGATGAGGAGCCAGCGGTTCCACAGCTCTGGGCGGTTGTCTGTTGCTTCGTCTTCTTCTGGCTCCTCTGTGACGGTGACGGAGGCGTTGTGGTGGTCGCCAGCGTTGGAGGGTAAATGGCCATGCTGTTGTTCTGTATTGGCGGCCACCTTTGCAGTCCCCTGCCCTGCAGCGCCTGGATCGCCACGCGATTGGATATGGATGACGGGGTCGTTGAGTACCTTTCCGGTTCCGGCATCTTTAAAAGGAACCGAGTTCTCCTGCCCAGCAGCTCTGGACGCGTTTGAGTCGTAACTCTCACCCTTGATCTCGATGCTGATGCCGTCATCATCCTTGCCGCTTTCCACCACGGGGAGCGTGATGGTGAGCAGGAAGACACTCGGCGCAGCCACGATGCCAAGTGCCTTTTCCCAGTAATTCTTGTCGTGCCAGTGGTAGATGGTGGGAAACAGTGTCGAGATCAAAACCCCGGGCGGTGGTAAGATGGCGTGAGGCCACCATCGGTCCGTGAACGTGGGAGACTTTTGAAAGACTTGCTCCGCGCTTTGTGAAACCGGTAGCGACTCGGGCGAGATTGGAGGTGGGAGGTGCAGATCGGGCAACCTCGAGGAGGCAGCGGTGGCGGGATCGTCGTGATAGCGCGGGAAGGGAGATGATGCGATTTCTCGTGCCTGAGTCATGGGGGAAATCATGGGAGACGGCCGTGGACTTCGGCTATTCGATCGTTCCCGTCCTGGGATGATGATCTTTGGCAACTGCCTTGCATGAGGGACCGCTCTGGGCGTATGGACATTGATGTCGCCCGTAGATCGAGGCACCGACAAGCCTTGAGGTGGGGCAAGCAGGTCCGGTGACCGTGGGATGGACCGCGTCGAGCTGTGACGAGTGTGGATCGGTGCCTCATGCCGCGGCGTTGCGGGCGAGACCTCGAAGCTTGGCGATTTCGGTGGCATCTCTATTCGCGAGGGAATCGGGACCCCAAGAGTGCTGCTCCTTGATCTAGCATGGCCTGAGTCGTCTTCAGCGTCGATCAAACTGTGATCCGGGCTTCGACTCCGCTCTCGACTCATGCGTGGCACGTCAGGCTGCTGTACCAGCGCTGATGGAGCCTGTGCGCTGAACGATCGTTGCCCCATCAATGGCGGCGCAGTGTTTGGTACTTCCAGCTCCCGCCTCTCCATTGTCGGGCTTGCACCATCGTGGTGGACTGTGACTTGATACGGCGGCCTAGCGGCGGGGTCTGAAGGAGACGACATCACGTCTTGCTGCTGCGCAGTGGTGTACGTCGGATCGTCCGAGAATCGTCGGGGGTTCATGGGATAAGTCTGGATGTTCCTGCTTTTTTGCAATGCTTTGAGGACCGCCTGAAACTCCAGTGCTCCGACAAGCGACGGACGCACGGGAGTGAGGGTGTTCTTCCTTGATCGCGCTGTTCCGCGTGTAAGCCGCATATTACTGTTCAGCTCACTCATCCACCGATCTCGCGCTTCCTCCTCTTCGTCCTCGTCCAGTGCGTCCTCGTCGGCACCACGCTCCAGCGCAGACCATTCTTCCCATTCGGCATGAGGTGATATGGCCGGTGTTCTTGATGCGGTGGAAGGGTCGTCCGACACATCGTGGTATTCGTGCTCTTCCATGTCATGCTCATCGGGCGGGATGAAATGTCCTCGTACAACCGCCTCTTGCTCCTTCCGCCGTCGTCTCCGGGTCAACCACCAGTGCCATGCGACTACGAATGCCACGTAGAAGCAATAGTACACCACCATGGCGATGCACTCCCAGAGATGTAGCCTGCCATCCCAGAGAAAGACAATGCTGAATGCGGCGGCAACGACGAAGAAGCCGACATCGCGGATGAAGCTCTTTCTTGCGACGTGGAAGGGTCGGATGAGAGCCATAGAGCCAGAGACCACGGCGGTAATGAAGCCCGCCGCTCCAAACAACTCGCCCACCGCCAAGCTACCAGAGTTGGTGCTCATGGCGGCAAAGGTGGAAAAGACGTCGGGGCTACCGTTGCCGAATGCCAGAAAGGTGACGCCGGCCATGCTTTCGCTCATGCCCAGGATGGTGGCAATAGTGCTGAGGTTGATGCAGAAGAAGTCACTTGCGGCGATGCCGATGGTGGAGAAGAGCAGGCCGAGCCATGAGATGAGGATCATCAGCCCGATGGCCTTCAGGTGCGGCAGTTTGCAATAGTACAAGTCGAGGTAGGCGGCGAACCCGGCCTCATCGTTCGGACATTGCGCATGCACAAAGGCGCATTGGTCTTCGGCATGGTGTACCAGGCGGCACTGCTCATCCTCGTTGATCAGAGTGGAGTTGAGGCCATCCCGCTTTCGAAGGAGGAAGGTGTTGTCTCGGGGGAGGAGGGCGGAAGATGGGGACGACTGGACTAGCAGGGCGTAGGTAGCGAAGCATGCGCCGAGGAAGAGGGTGAGGTAGAAGGCTCGCGCAGCTCGGAAGGCTGGCCTCGAGGCACCGCGCAAGGGCGATCGGTCGAGGGCGGGAGTCGGCATTGTCGGCGCATGCTGGACTGCGGCGGTGCGATAGGTTGGTGAAGATGGGAGAGAGTAGACCAGTGTGTTTCCTCAAGGCAACACTGACGGGTCGATGGCCAACACGGCGGAGGGGCGAGCAAGGCGCACAGCCCACGCTGGCCAAGCAATGCAGGCAAGCGTGACGTTTGCGCTCGGCACTCAGCGTCGGCGATGAAGCCGAATTTAGAGTTCGCGCGGCGCGGCGGGCGCTCCCGTTTGTGTACTCGCCGTAAACAAAAGCGCAGCAACACCACGCATTAATTCACGAATCGCTGAACAGGCAGAGACACCACCGCAGTGCGTCACGGAATGCTGTGAAGTGTGAACACCCAATAGACACGACGCCTTCACATCTCCGCCAACATGCCGCGCGTCCGGGGCAACACCGCCAACACGGCCGGAGGCATGAAAAGCGTCCAGATCCCACTAAACGACGACCGAGAAGAAAAGGCCGCACGCCTGCAATCGCGACAGGCCGCGCACACCAAGCAGATGGAGCAGTACAAAGCCGTCGCATCGCCCGCCAAAAAGCGCAAGTCCCTCGGCGACAGCATCGGACCCTCCACCCCGTCCCAAGACCCCGACCAGCATTACGATGTCGCCGGCACCGCGGTCACGCCTATGAAGCGTGTGCCCATCCTGGCCAATTTCGAGGAGTGGATGAAGATGGCGACGGATAACAAGATCAATGCCACCAACAGCTGGAATTTCGCGCTCATTGATTATTTCCACGACATGAGTTTGTTGCGCGAAGGCGATGGCCGGGTGAACTTTCAAAAGGCGAGCTGTACGCTTGATGGGTGTGTCAAGATTTACACGAGTCGAGTCGATAGTGTCGCCACGGAGACGGGAAAGCTGTTGAGTGGGTTGGCGGAAAGCAGGGATAAGAAGAGCAAGAAAGGTGGAGATGACGCGGGCGAAGAAGGAGAGGGAGAGGACGGCGAGGAAGATGAGGAGGATGGAGACGGCAGTGGGAAGAAGAAGAGCCGGAAGAAGGCACAGAGGAATGCGGAGGCGACATTGGCGACATCCTTTGATCAGCTGAGACTGAAGAAGATGGAGCTGGAGTTTTCCGTGGATCCCCTCTTCAAGAAAGCTTCCGCGGATTTCGATGAGGGTGGAGCAAAGGGCCTGCTGTTGAATCATCTGTCCATCGATGGAACTGGCCGAATCGTGTTTGACAGTAGCGACGATGCGCAAGAGACCTCACCAGACGACAGCAGAAGAGACAGCATGGAACCGGACGGCGGAGAGGAGGAAGAGAAGTCGAAAGAGGCGTCCGAAGCAATTCTGCAGGACGGCGCTGTCGATGTCGCGGCACTGGGCGCACGCTTCTTCCCCGACCTGAGCAAGCTCGACAACCAGCACATCTGCCCGAGCCTAAAGACATTCGAGCTAGGTGCAGGGGATGCAGCCATGGACCTCCCATTCCTCAAAGCCCCGGAGAACTGGCGTGACGAACACCCAGAAGTCACACCAAACGGCACAGGCCTCGGAGACGAAAGTGCAAATCCCGACGACAACAACAACACTTTCTCGCCAGACTACGACAACGACGACGCCGGCTTCGACCTTCCCCCGGAAACAGGGTTCGGCGAAGGAGGTGAAGCCTGGGCGCGCGACGCCGCTCTCGAACCGCAAATGCGCGTCCACGACATCGCAGACGGCAGCGAAGAGGCAGGCGAGGTCGGCACCTTCGACACCGATGGCGCCACCTACGGCGTCAAACTACACCACCGCTCGCACGACTCCGATGAACAGGAGAACATTCTGCAGTACTTCGACACCGCCCTGCGCAAAAACTGGGCCGGCCCGGAACACTGGAAGATTGCGAAGATCCGGGAAGCCAACAAAGCGGCGCAGGCGCCGAAGGAGAAGCGCAAGGAGAAGGAGCCGTTTGAGATTGATTTCGCGGCGCCCATGACGCAGGAGCTGGCGACGGCGTTGTACACGAGTGCAAGCAGTAATGCGGCCATCTCGCTGCCGAAGAAAGACTGGAAGAGTAAGAGTCGCAATCTCCTGCCAGATGACAAGCATTTCAATTCAAGAGATTTGCTGCGCTTGTTCTTGAAGCCGAAGGCGAGGATTGGCGCGAGGAGAGGAGGCGCACAGCGAAGGCTGGCCGAGCCGGTAGTGGGAGAGGGAGAGATCGATGAGGCATACTGGGCTACGAATGCCGGTGCTGCCGCCGCGCAGCCGGACGAGGATGCAGTGCAAGGCGATTACGATGCGAACTTCTTCCAGGACGACAACCTGCCTCTGCCTGGCGGAATGGAGGCGGATGACGACGACGACTTTGCCGACGCGCGCGAGCACTTCTCCCCTGGTGCTGATGAGGTTGATGCTGCAGGTAATAGTGGACCTGAGGGCATCGGCATCGATGGTATCGTCGCAGGTTCATCGCAAGAAGGAGGAGCAGACGAGGGCGCGTTTGGTGCGAATCTGATCGCGCAATCTCGACGATCACGGCCGGAGTACGTGCAATACGCGCGCGTGGCAAAGAAAGTGGACGTGCGAAGGTTAAAAGAGGAGATGTGGAGGGGCATCGGATTCGAAGCAATGACACGAGGTGAGGTTCCAACCCCCATCCATCACAGCACAGTCACCACTAACCCCTCCCGTCCCCAGACCAACCCAACACCACCACCACCCTCGCACCCCCCACCCTCGCCAAAGCCAAAACAGACACGCTCCACTTCGTCGACATCATGAACAACCTCAAGCACGTCTACCCCCAACAGCAAATGCTGGACATCAGCACGAGTTTTGGGTTCATTAGCTTGCTGCACTTGGCGAACGAGAAGGGGCTGGTGATTGAGAGTGTGGAGGGGTGGGAGGACTTGACTGTGCGGAAGGATTGGGATGCTGTTGTTACGGGGGATTGATTTTCGACACGTGTAGTACTGCTGGGCGTTTGGGGAGCGAATGAGGTCACGTTGATCCGACTGATGGGCGCTTTTTGGGTATGAACGACTGCAGTGTACAGGATACCGGGTGTGACTCGCATCATACATCATTCAAGCAAGATATCGACGTATCTCCACCCTTCCAACCCCGCATGCATATTCCTCGCACCACCCTCCATCTCCCATCTCGAGAAGAAACGACCTTACTTCCCAGACTTCGTAGACGTGGCCTGGCCCTTTGGCGAAATCGTCTCCCCGCCCGGCGCGACGGTGACGAAAACATTACTCGTCGCAATAACCGGCTTAGGCGTGAACGTCACGACCAGCGTGCTCGTCGGAGAAGGGGAAGTCGTACTCGATGACGTTGACGTCGTGAGTGTAGAAATCGCACCGGCTGTTTGGAAGGCGTGGCCGTCGTTGGCGTTTGCTGTGACTGTGACTGTAGGCAGTGCCTGAGGCATGATTATGTTGACTCCTCCAGGCGTGCAGGTGTTGGGGAATGAAGGCGAGCCGGGTGCGAGATTGAATAGGCCGTAGGGGCGGTTGTTGTACAGGCCTATGATTGTGTAGGCGAAGAGGGCTGTGCTTTCGAGGAAGAGGAGGGCGGCGAGGAGGAGGAAGAGGGGGGTTGGGAGGAAGACGCCGCTTTTGCGCTGCGGGGCGTGGGTGTCGGGGTAGATGGTGCGAGGTGGGGTTGGCGCTGGGGGATTGCTGGTCGTGAAGACTGTCGAAAAGCGAGGGGGCTTTTGTCCTTTTTCGCTGAGCTCGGCGTCTTGTTCTTTGGTGGGGTCGTAGTAGTCTTCGTTGTCTTCGGGTGATTTGGTTCGAGTATGCTTTGTGTTTGTGTCGGCGGTGTCGTCGTTTGATGCTCGGCTGCCAGCAGCTCGCTGTAGTTCCCCGTTGATGTTCCTTTCGAAGACCCGCTTGAAAGACATTGTGAGTTCGTGGTTTTCGTTGTCGTTCGTGATGGCGTAAGAAGGCGATGAGTTGTGTGGCGCCGATAAGTGAAGCTAGGCAGCAGGACGGTAACTCGTTACGAGACAATAGTAGGAAAAATCCGTCAATAACAAGTTTCGAGACTCAAGTCGACATTGTCCCGCAATGCCCTCTCTATTGAATGAAGGAACAAGGACAATAGGAAGGAGAGAACGCGGAAGTGTTGTCAAACTTCTACCCCGCGCTCCAAGGTGAATAAATCATGCGATTCTAGGCGTCACTTTTACACACAACTTGTCGCGAACTCCATGAGCGAGTTCGAGGCCGTGTGGTCATTGCTGGTGGCTTCCTCAGGCGTCTGGCACCGAAAATAGCGGGTCGGAGGGTGAATGCGGACATGGGCGCCAATGAAGATGGTTCCATCTACCGTGAATGCAGCATGTGTAGCCCTGCGTTTTGGCATGATTCAGAAGTGACTGTAACGCCGCGAGTGTCTCGTCCTGGTTGTGTTGGAAGGGCAGCAGAGGGAGAAGGAGTGAGGTTTCGAGTGAAGGTGAAGTTACGGAATGGCGAACGCTGATTGGTCGGCTGCCGACAAGGGCCAAAAATAGCCAGCCTTGGACGCAACACTTCCACCCACTCGTCCACAGGCGCAACCGTCAGATCAGAAAAGGGTCTAATTCGTGTCCGAGAATGTCAGTCTAGTCTATCAAGCACACATCTCCAGAATCTCCAACACCTGCTCCTCCCTCACCATCGGAATGGGATTGACCTCGCAGCAAAAGTCCTTCAGACTATTCGCCGCCAGCGCCGCGAACTTGTCCCGGCCGACTCCCACCTCCTGCAACGTCCGCGGCATGCCCAGCTCCCTGAACACCGCATCCAGACAATCGCCCAAGTCCGCCGTGTCCTCTTTCAACCCTCTCGCCTTCAACACCGTCGCGACCGTCTCTTCGCTCCACAGCACCGCCTTGATGCGCTCCTGCTTTTCGCCATTCACTTTAGCATTCCACTTCGATACGCTCGGCAGCAGGATGCAACTCGTTTCGCCGTGTCCCACGCCTAACGGACCCAGTTGGTGTCCGATGCCATGACTCGCTCCGGTGCCCAACACCCCTTTCCGCAGCATATACAGCGCGACCCCAACGCCCAGCAAATTCCGCAGCCTCGCCTCTTCATCCTCCCACTCCTTTGACGTCCCCAACAACCCCGCCACAATCAACCGCAGCGCCTCCAAAGCCGCCGCGTCCACGCTCTCCTCCGGCTCGTGCACGCGACAGTAGCACTCAACCGCATGATCCACCCCTCGCACCCCCGTGCTCAACCACACCCACCTCGGCGTCGTGAGCGTCACCAGCGGATCGCAAATAATCAATCGCGGCCCACAGAACGGATGCCCCATGACGAGCTTGTAATGCGTCTCCGGATCCGTGCCCCCGGCATACTGCGTGTACTCGCCCCCCGAAAGGGTAGTGGGGATGCAAATAAGTGGAATCGTCGGCGCGACGCAATCCAGCCCTGCAGAGGACTGCCGCATCGCGCCCTGCGTGGCTCGAATCTTCGCCCCAAAAGGCGCAATCTGCTCGACGCTCGTGATGTCGTTCGCAATAAAGAGCAGCATGCACTTCGCCCCGTCGATAATGCTCCCTCCACCCAACGTGACAATACAATCAGCCTTCACAGCTACAGCCTCTTTGGTAGCGGCTATGACTTCGTCCCACGGCGTGTGGGGCGAGATTCCGATTCGCGTGCCGGCGAGGCGGGACCCCAGCGCCGTTTGCAATTTGCTGACTTCGGAGGTGTTTTTGGAGAGCGAGGTGGAGGCGATGAGGTAGACGCGCTGGGCTTGGAAGGTGTTTTCCACGTGGTGGGCGCAGGCTTCGTGGTGCCGGCGGCCGTAAGAGACGTACGGGGGGTTTTCCAGGTTGGGCAGGTTGGGGTATGCGAGGCGGTAGGTTTCGCCTGGGAGGGAGGACATTGTGGAGAGGAGGGGTTGTTGAGAATCTGGTAAGACTTATGAGGAGGGATGTGGGTTTCAAGTTGGAGAGGTGGGATGTTTAGATGACTTATTTTAATTGAGGGGCATTGATGTCAGCAAGAGACTGCAGCTGAAGTGTCGGCGCTGATCATCCTCGACTAGGCAGCCTCGATTTCAGCCGCATGCAGAACGTAACGTCAAGCAGGAACATGCTTTCTCGGCGCGGGCAAGACTGGCCTGAAGAATGAATTGCGATGACAGTATTGACAATCCTATCCAGAATCACTAATGTGCGTCTAAACAATACCCCACCCCCTAATACGTCTCCATCTTATCGAGGATGGCGCGAGTGAATTCATGCGTCGTCGCCTTGCCCCCCATATCCCTTGTCCGCGACTTGCCCTCCGCAATCACATCGTAGACGGCCTTGCTGATGCGGTTGGCGTGCTCGTCGAGCCCCAAGTGCCGCAGCATCATGCTGCCCGAGAGAATGAGAGCGGTGGGGTTCGCCTGGTCCTTGCCTTGGATGTCGAGTCCAACGTGACGGCAGCCGGGTTCGAAGACGGCCACGTCGCGACCCATGTTGCACCCGGGGACGATGCCGGGCCCACCGACGAGTCCAGCGCCGATGTTGGAGAGGATGCCGCCGTACAAGTTGGGCATGACCATGACGTCGAACTGCTGTGGGCGGCTGACGCACTGCATGCTCGCGTTGTCGACAATCATGTCGTTGGTCTCGATGGTGGGGAATTCCTCGCCAATCTTCTTGACGGTGTTGCGGAACAGGCCGTCGGCGAGCTTCATGATGTTCGCTTTGTGGATGCAGGTCACCTTGCGTCGGTTGTTGGCCAGGGCGAAGGCGAAGGCGAACTTGGCGATGCGCTCGGACTTGGCACGCGTGATGATCTTGAGCGATTCCACCACTCCTGCGACGGACTGGTGCTCGAGGCCAGAGTACTCGCCCTCGGTGTTCTCACGGATGATGCAGAGGTCGACATTCTTGTGTCGCGTTTCGTAGCCCGGGATGTTCTTGATGAGGACGATGGAGGCGTAGATGTCCAGCTCTTGTCGCATGGCCACATTGAAGGAGGCATGGCCGGCTCGCTCGACGGGGGTGTGGAGGATGCCCTTCAGGCCGAGTTTGTTGCGCTTGAGGGAGAGGATGGATTCGCGGAAAAGTTCTTCGGAGTGCTTCGTGCCCGTGTCGACGCCCGACACGTCCACCTGCTCCCACTCCACCGGCACATTGTCTGCCTTGAAGATGGTCTTGACCGATTCCGAGACTTCGGCGCCAATGCCGTCACCTGTGGTGCTCATTCTTAGCTCTTATCTGGGAAGGGGTGGAGGGAACTCGCTGTGTACCGGGAATCAGGGTGACGGTGTATTTGCCACCGAACTTGGTCGGCTTGAAGATGTCCGATGTTACGGTCGCGTAGGCTATGATCTGTGGTCAGTAGGGAGCTAGGGTGGGCGAGCGAAGTAGAAGGACGGTCGTACAGCGTGCGGCTATCGGGGCATTCGCGGATCGAGCGGTACGCAGCAGAGCCTATCGCGGAGGTGAGATCAGTAATTTGCCACATGCATTGACGAGAGAACATGCATACCTGAGTGGCTCGCTGTGAGCTCCGCGAAAACATGGTGGTTGCGTGAAGAGCCGGGATCAATGGCTTCGCAAAGATATCGCATCGTCCTGGAAAGTTCAAGTTGCAGCTGGAGCTTGACGGTTTTGGTCCGGCCCGTTCCGCGGTACGTACCGCTTGCCTGCCGGGTCAACCGGTGTATCAACACAGAATGAACGGTGCTTTGCGTCGGAATGATCAAGCAAATCGGCGAATTTGCGAATAAAAGGATCGATCAGACACCCATTGGTACGTATAAGACGACAACCACACATATTACACTGATTTCTGCAGTGATGGCATCCGCCGTGACGACAACATCGGCAACAGCCTCATCAGCCTGCGCAAGCAAACTCTACGACATCCCCGTACAAGATGCATCCTGTGCACTGCCATACGGCGGCAACCATACCGACATCATGGCGGCGTGTTGCGGAAGCGCATCCGTCATTGCCTACTACGATGATTGCGGGCTGTTCTGTCTCGCGCAGGGGCAAACGGTGCACGAGTTGACCGAGTGTCTCTTCGCTCACGGCGCACCCTACTCGAAGGTCTTCTGTAGCGGAAACACGACCGCCGAGGCTACGGGGATGGCGACTGTGGCGGCGAGTGCGACGGCACATGTGGTGGCAACGGCACAAACGGCGACATCGAGTCCATCGACTCCTAATGCTCAGTCTTCGTTCTCTTCGTCGTCATCCTCTTCAGCCGCCAGGACGGGAGACCGGTTCGGCGCGGTCAGATTCAGCTTTGCCGTCGGTTTGCTCGGATTGTTGTTCGGGTCTCTGCTGTGATGAGCGAAGCATGCAAGGAGATGGCATTGTTAGTTACTGTCATAAGGTAATGAATCAACGAAATCAAGCTGCTCAATCCCAGTCATGTTCTGCACGTCCGAATCGGTCGGGCCCAGATGTACTGCAGTGGTCTGACGAATGCCACCAGACGACTTGGCGCCCGCCATGCCCCACCTGCGCCCGCAAATCAAGACTGGCGCCGGCAGGAACGATCAACGGCTCGACGACCGTCACGAACCTCCCGACGCTGCATTGTCGGGTCTGTCATCTCCTCCTGTGTGCGACGGTGCCTACAAGAGCTGTTCCCCGTCACCAGATCTATCCCTTGTCGCCGTCGTCCGTTCGTTGTACACGCCGAGCAATCTTCCCCCACCGCGCACTGCGGAGCTCGCCTCGCTCGGCAGCGACTGAGACACAATTGCACCCAAGCATCCCCCTCGCTTACACACACCACTGCCACGCACGCCCTATTCTTCCAACCGATCACCTCCCCAGCCATCCCTGTGCCCTCGCTCTCTCGTCGACTCCCGCGCGCGATTGCTTTCGACGGCGCACCAACCCCGGCCTCTGCCCCGGGCCCTCTTCGACATTTCCCACTCTGTGCCACCACCGCCCTCCACCCTCTCCCCTCCTTCAACCACCCTTCGATTCCCGGCCAAATCCACACCCCTCCTCTCTTCCTCCTTTACCGCTTCCTGTCCATCGCCACCACTCTTGAACTCCGAAAGAGGTCGTCCGGGTATACCCACCGTACTCGAACAACTCCCGCTCCGATCGCCTGGTTATCAATAAACCTAGATCCCCAGACATCACAAGACAAAAAGCTCCTTCCGAGCCGCTCCCGCCATTCGCACCCATCCACTCGCAGTAGCGTACCTTAACCATCCACGCGCCTTTCCGCCCGCTCTGCCGTCCGCTCTATACCTCCCCACCGGGCCCGCCTTTCCTCGTCAACTCTACTACTTTCTGCCTCCGCCGTCTACCTTCCCCCGCGCGTCGCACCATGCAAGTGCAGTCACGACTCGGCCCGGGTTCGCATGGTCAGTCTAACGGCGACTACCAAAATTCCATCCCCGTCAACGGCGTCCATCCATCAGAATCCCGACCAGACTACACTCCATCCCCAACTCGACATCTTCAACCCGAGGAGAACGGCATGCATCCCTACCACCAGCCGCAGTATGGCGCGCCGCCGGGACAGCAGCGACAGTATCCTCCTCCCAATCATCAGCTGCCCCCCATGTATCCCTCCATGGGCATGGCGCCGATGTCTGCGGCCGGGCAGGGCGGCGTGGTCTACCACCCTGCGTCCCAGCAGGGCACACCAGTAGGCCCACCAGCCCAGGCGCAAGAGAAGCAATTATCCTTCAAGAGCACCAACGGAACATACCACTTCGAGCTCTCCATCGAACAGCAGCCCGCGCGCGCCCGCATGTGCGGCTTCGGCGACAAGGACCGCCGGCCCATCACCCCTCCTCCTTGCATCAAATTGATCATCACCAACGTGGCCGGCGAAGTCGTGCCCCCATCAGAGGTCCCTGGCGAGTACTTCGTCCTCTCCTGCGACCTCTGGGACGAGCAGGCGCAGAGCGAGGTCAACATAGTGCGAAGCTCCTCCACCTCCCCTGCCGTCAGCATCAGCACAGCCACCATGACCTCCTACCCGCCCATTCCCGAGCGCAACCTCGCCCCCGAGTACCAGGCCGTCATGTGGGCACCCAACGGCCAGCCCATGTACGCCGCGCCGCCCGGCTACCCTCCCCAACCCGGCATGCCGTACGGCAACCCGGCCTACTACCCCCAACAGTACGGTGGCCCCTCGCAGTATCCCCCCAGCAGCAGCGCAAACGGCAACAGCATGTACACGCGCAACCTCATCGGCAGCCTCTCCGTCAACGCCTCCGAACTCGCCGACGTAGAAGGCGAGAAAGCGTACTGGTTCGTGCTGCAAGACCTCTCCGTACGAACCGAAGGCTTCTTCCGGTATGTCCCCTCCCCCATCCCTCCTCCCACAATCCCAACCTCACTAACACTCACCCCTCCGCAGCCTAAAAATGGTCTTGTACGACCTTCGCAACGTCAACGGCGGCCCGGGCACCATCAAAGACCGCACCGCCTGCCTCGCCTACGTCTTCTCCGACAAATTCCAGGTCTTCTCCGCCAAAAAGTTCCCCGGCGTCATTGAGAGCACGCCGCTAAGCAAGTGCTTTGCCGCGCAGGGCATCAAGATTCCCATTCGCAAGGACGTCAAGGCCGACCAGGATGATGATGAGGATTGATAGGCGTTCACGTGGGCTTCGTTGGCAACGATTGAAGGCGGGAGTATTGGTGAAGTTGCCACGGAGGACAAGATCGCTTTTCGGTTGTACCGCTTTTGCTTCTAATCGCCGCTCCCTCTGGTCTCAGTAGAGGAGAGGGCCACCGAAGCACCTTTCGGCTAGTTTTGGACGGGGCTGGATGGCGCCTGCTCTGGGCGCGACACGATTTCGGCCGTCATAGTCTGAGGAACGAACCCTTGCGCGCGTGGTAGCGCCTGCTCTCGCAGCTGAGTCGCGTATCGTGCTCAAACTGCTCAGCACAGCACGCCACTTCCGCACGGCATGAGAGGGGAGGAAAGTAGAGAAAGTCGCGGATCTTGGACACTGGGAAATGAGAACAAAAGGGGAAATGGTCCGCTCGTGTCTATATGCTGCCTACTTCCTTACGAGTGGGAAATGTCGGGCTTCCTCACGCGGAACGAGACCGGGCAGACACGAGCGCGGTGGACATTGGAATCAAACGTTTCGGTAACTTCTTGTATCGATTGGAGCCAGCTAGGCATCCGTTCAAACCTTGTGTCACGTACTGTTTTGGTTGCTATCAAACAGCAGCATTTCAGTTTTCACACTTTGAATGATTGGCTTTCTATACGTTGAGAAGCGAGCTTTGACGCTATGATGGGCGGTGCGGGACGGGTGCGCTTTGTAGAGTCTATCGTGTTGGCGGCGGTGTCTGCCATGCTCGGTCGTGCCATTTGCTGCAGACCATAAGTCCAGCTTGATCGCTCAGATGGGGGAGGGACATGTTTCCGTCAACGAGCCATCGCAACCCTTTCACTCTCCTCCAAGCTGCAAGGCGAACATGCCCCCAGGGGTTGCAGGAATGCCTCTCCTCTGTCGTGGGAATACGTCCCCGCTCATCGTTCAATTTTCAGAGTACTTTTGTCCAACAAGTCTCGCGCGGCGCTCAGTTCCGCCTTGCTGAACCCATCCCACCCCTTCTCGCCTGAGGATGCCCGTCGGACGATCTCGCCGAGTTTGGCGGTGGCGATGGCGTTCAGCTTCTTCACTGTCTCCGTTGAAGGAGGCGCGAGGTCGCCGGTCGAGGGATCTGAGGTATTTTGTTGTTGCTTTTGGGAGGTGGAGCGGAGTTCGAGGAGGCGAGTCGATGTCTGTAGGGAGATGGTTAATAAGGACTCCGGAGAGAGCAAGTAGGAACTCAGTTCTTACCAGTTTCAACCCGTAGTACCCCCTCAAGTAGTCATCGCACAACTCCACACTCCGACAAAACCGCCGGAAACTCTCGGCCAAAAGCCTTGCCTTCTCCCCCACCGACTCCGTCCGGCTCGCCTGCAGATACAACACCTCGCCCAGCTTCGCGTGCATGTTCCACGCATTCGGCATCACAAGCAACACCTCCTCCAAACTGAAGACCGCCTGATCAAACGCGCCCTGCGAAAGGTACAAATCCGCCAGCTCCGCCCACGCCTCTGCGTCGGTGGGGCTCGCATCGAGAATATTCACCAACGCCTGCGCCGCCTCGGCCGTCTTACCGGCACTCCTTAACAACGCCGCGCGCCGCTTGCGAATAGAGAACTTCGTTGGATCTTCGATCAACACTTCCTCATACAGTCTCATCGCGGCAGCAAGCCCATGTTCGTCTTTCGCCGTCGCTTCAAGGTACAGGCCGTGCAGCGCGATTACGCGATCGTTGGTCTTGCCGAAGCGCGCGACTAGCGCTTCCAGGCATTGCCAGGCGGTGGCGTCGGCGCCGGTGCGCAGGCTGGCGAGGAAGAGGTTTTCGTAGATTTGCCATTTTTCTTGCGATTCCGTGTTGGTGAGGAGGCTGAGGGGGTAGGGCAGGGCGGCGAACCAGGTGGATTGGGATTTGAGGAAGGAGGGGGCTTGGGCTGTGAGGGCTATGGAGGTGGGGAAGGAGGTTGCTGTGGAGGGTTGGAGGAGGGGGAGGGACATTTTGGTTGATGTTTGGGGATGTGGTTATTGGGGTATCATTGTTGGGTGGGAGTTTGTAGGTGTACGTCGTTGCTCATCCATGGCGTGGAGTGAAAGATGCACGGATGTTCCCGTCAGGCAGACTTCAGGCACGCATACCACTTCGACTACACCTGACCCTCCAACCACTACTTTCTCCCGCATTCGGACGACAACCGATAGCCACACCATGCAATGTGATGTCCTGAGCAACATCCGTCTTGGAAAGAATCTAGATCCCGCATCCCGCAGGTAATGCCGGCACCTGCCAGCAGACTTGCCGGCCTTCAGAAGCAAGTATGGAGCGGCAGCATTCCCCTCGACATCCGGCTGGCGACAGCAGACTGCCGCTCCTACGATGACTCGGACCCGTACTTGGTGCAGCTTCCTCGCCTCTCCTACCTCCCCTTCGTCCTGGCAAGACTGCACGCCTTCTTCAAAGACAGCCTCATCCATCCCGATGTCGCGCCGAATGAAGCATGGCTGTCATTCGAAGGCGTCCCGTTGAAATGGCATTACCCCGTTGGATTACTGTACGACCTCTTTTCCGGCGCTGAGCCTATCAAACTCGATGTTTTGCCTGAGGATGCGCCACCAGACTCCGGTTCTCCTAGCTCTCCCCTGCCCTGGCGGTTGATCGTACACTTCTCGGACTATCCGGGAGATCAGCTTATCCAACTGGATGCAGAAGGCCGGGCGCTTCTAGACTCGTACATCAACACTGTGAAAGAAGCAGACTTTATCAGAAATGGCACCGCTCGGACCGTCATGTCTCTTAGCAAGGATGACTCGGATAACCTGTGGCGGGCTGTGCAAATTCGTGGGTCTACGTGACTACCTTCTACTCTCATCGCCATTTGACATGTTTTTCTAGATGATCTCAGACTGTTCAATACGGTGAACAACAAGCTCCTCAACCCACCCGGCTTGGAGCTACGCCATGTTCCCGTCAAGGTCTATCTGCCCACTTCCGCCACTCATTCGGCCTCCGACACCATCGCCGAGGACGCGCAACCATCTGGACACATACGTGTGGTCCAGGCCTTGGTGCCATTGTTCCTAGCAACGAGACAGCCGCAGACGCTCGGGACGGCGCTGAACGGCATCTTGCCCACCATCTTTCCGAGTCGACGGAACCCGTTGCTCGCCCAGCCTGTCTTACACGGTGCCGTCGTTCCCATGTCTGCCAACATGGAAGAGCTGGGCAAGGCTGCAGCGTACGCCGACGGCTTTCTGCACATAGCTGTAGTCATGCTCGGATGACGGGACGGGAGAAAGGGAGCACCGTAGATGAATCAACCAAGCCCATCAAGGACTCAACCGGTCAATCTTCCACTCTCCTCCTTGCCCCTCTTCCTTCGTATACCGAAACCGATCATGCAACCGACTAGCCCGCCCCTGCCAAAACTCCACCAAATCCGGCACAATCCTCATCCCGCCCCAAAACTCCGGCACAGGAATCCTCTCCTTCCCATCAAACCTCTTCTCCACATCCTCCACCCGCTTCTCCAACTCCTCCCTTCCCTCCAACACCCGACTCTGCTCCGAAGCCCAAGCCCCAATCCGCGATCCCCGGATCCGCGTATCATAGTACCCCTGACTCTCCTCGCCCGTCAAGCGCTCACACCGCCCCTCCACTCTGACCTGCCGCTGCAACTCCTTCCAATAAAACGTCAGCGCGCCATGCGGATTCGTCTGCACGTCCGCCGCTTTGCGCGACGTCGCCCAGTTGGAGTAGAAGACGAAGCCCCTGCCGTCCATCTCTTTCATCAGGACTGTGCGCGCGCTCACGCGGCCCGAGGGCAGCTCGGCGCTGGAGAAGACGACCGTTTCCGGCTCGGCGACTGTGCCGGATTTCGCGTGGTCGAACCAGATCCCGAATTGAGAGAGAGGGTCGGGTTGGAGCTGCGAGATGTCGAGGGAGTCTTTGGTGTATTGCTCGGCTTGGGAGGGTGCGCCGGCTGCGCCGGAGGTGAAGATGCGGGTGGTAGAGTTGGAGGACATGGTGCGGGTGAGGGTGGGGGTGTTCGATATGGTGATGGCGGTTGTGGAGAGGAAAGAGGGGAGACGAAATGCTTTGAGCATCTATCTCGACACTTTGGGAGAGTACAGGGATTTGTCTTGTGGGATGCCTGTTCCCGCGGAGAGAGCAGATTGGTATTGGAAAAGATGGTGATGCATGTGACTGGAGACGTTGCGGTCATTGTTAGGTAAGCAGCGAGCAGCGAATGTTCTTAGGCCGACATCGATTTTCCTTCCTCCGTCTTACATCAATCCGTGTTGCCTTCTCGAACCGCACTCTTCGGATCCCAAGCACCTTTACAGCCCAGCATGAGACGCAACACAATATCGAGCGCCAAACGCGCAGCCACAACCGCCACCCGAACCAGCCTCGCACACTCTCGACCATCTCCACCATTCATCTGCGCCGCCTGCAGACTCACAGCAGCATCGACTGCCTCCCAACGACCCTTCACAACCCTCCCCTGTCGCAACCAACAACCCTCCCCCTCTCCCACCACTCCCACCCCCAACCGCGAATCCATCCTCCCCCAAACCCACTACGACCACTTCCCCACCACCTTCCCCAACGGCCCCCCGCCCAACTCCCCCTTCACCCCCAACCTCCGCGCCCTCCGCAGCGAATACCTCGCCCTGCAATCCAAAACGCACCCGGACCTCGCTCCGCAATCGCAAAAAAGGCAAGCAGAAGCACGCAGCATGCGGCTGAACGAAGCGTACAAAACGCTCCAAGACCCGCTGCGGCGCGCGCGGTACCTGCTCTCCCTCCGCGGGATCGACGTCGAGGACGAAGCGGTGCAGATGGGGGAGAATGAGTTGTTGATGGAGGTTATGGAGGTGAGGGAGGCGGTTGAGGAGGCGGAGAGCGAGGAGGAGGTTGCGGCGTTGAGGGGGGTGAATGATGGGCGGGTGGAGGCGAGTGTGGGTGTGCTGGAGCGGGCTTTTGCGCGCGGGGATATGGAGGGGGCGGCGGTTGAGGCGGTCCGGTTGCGGTATTGGATGAATATTGAGGAGAGTATTGTTGGGTGGGAGAAGGGGCAGGGGGGTGGGGTGATTCATCATTAGATGGTAGTGGGGTGATGCTGTTACGACTTCGGGACGACGAGACGACGCGTGGCATAGAACTTTGTTCCATGATTGAAAGGAGTGGAATAGAGAAATACACAATGATGGGGGTTCCAATCGCTCCTTTTCTATCAACATTACTCCCCGCAGTTACAATGATTGACAATGGTATCTCCCTTTCAACGCAAAAGCAACACAACAAGGCGCCCACAGCATCAGAAAGGTGGATAGATGTATGAATGCACGAGAGGGCCACGCCAACGAGCGGGTCTCAAAAGAACGAAACGGCATCAATGCCGGGCCAGGAAGCGGACGTCTAGATGCTGTCGCCGTTCTCGTGCACTTTCTCCTCCGGCACGGTGGCGTGCTCGGGGCTCTTGGCGTACTGGCCAGGAGCACCGCCGTTCTTGCCGTTGCGCGTGCGCTCGAAGAACGTGCTAACTTCCGAGCTCCAGTCGTCGCCGTCGTGGTCAAAGTCCTCGTGCGCCGCCTTCTCCGTCTGGCGGTTCGCCATCGCGGCCTCCCAGTCGGCGCGCATCTCCTCGACGCGCTGCTTGTAGTCCTCCTCGGCGTTGTAGTACTTGCCGACGCCGCGCATGCGCTCGTAGAAGGAGAGATGCTTGGGGTGGATGGCGACGCCGTGGTACTCGTGCTCGCGGCCGGCGCGGATAAAGGCCCAGCGGCGCTCTTGCTCCTTCAGGTCGAGGCCGGTGGTGTCGGGCAGGAAGAGGTAGGTGAAGAGCGCACCGGCCAGACCGAACCAGGTGACGACGCGGAACTTGGTCACGTCGCCGATGTAGTTGTACAGGATGGCGGCGAAGAGGGCGCCGAGCTTGCCCATGGCGGCGGAGAAGCCGTGCGCCGTGGCGCGGATGGGGGTGGGGAAGACCTCGGCAGCGACCAAGAAGGTGACGGCGTTGGGGCCGAACTGGTTGAAGAAGGAGGAGATGTAGTACATGGCCTGGAAGCTGTGGATGTGTGCCGCCGAGCTGTAGTAGTTGTAGTTGAACGCCGGGATGACGAAGCAGATGAAGCAGCCGAGGAAACCGATGATCTGCATCCACTTGCGGCCGTAGAGCTTGTTGTCAATGAGGAAGGAGGCGAGGTAGTAGCCAACGAGCTCGACGACGATGTTGATCAGGTTGTACGACCAGCCGAGGGCGAGGTTAGTCTTGGCCTCGGGCACGATGATATCGATGAAGGTGCCCTGGAAGAGCTTGTTGCCGTAGAAGAAGACGTCGTTGCAGAACTAAAGCAGGTTGTTAGCATAGGTCCGTCGAAGGATATGTCGTTGCAAAGTTTGGGAGAGACGTACCCAGCCACTGGCAGTGGCAAACAGGCGAGGGCCGAAGAAGGTGAAGGTCAGCTTGAGCGATTGCACATCGTAGCCGGTGACGTTCTGCTTGCGCTTGGCAATGACGAGCTGCTTGGAAGCGGATCGCATCTTGTAGACACGGTAGTAGACGAGCCAGAGGGTGCCGGCGGCGGGTATGGCGAAGGCGACACGGTAGACCCATTGTGCCGTCAGCTTGTCGTAGGGCGGGTTGCCGGCGGAGCCGTTGAAGGCCAAAAGACAGAGCAGGACGATGACCTGGTTGAAGAACTGGCCCCAACCTTGCATCAAGAAGGCCGACGTGACTTTGCGGCCACGGTGAAGACGGTCCTCGCGAGTGGAGATCTTGCCAGAGCCGACAGCGTTCTCCATACCCGAGGTGGCGGTCATGGGGTACTCGCCACCCACGCCGAAAGAATAGAACATGAGCGAGAGGACGTAGCAGATGACCCAGCCGTTGAGGGTGACACCCCACGAGGCCGTAAGCATGAGGAGACCGATGAACATGATGGTGGCATCCTGGATCAGACCCCAGCGACGTCCGAGCCAGTCACCGACGACACCGACGAAGATTTGACCACAGATGATACCGACGACTTCGAGGTAGGTGGCGGCCTGGATCCAGACCACCTGACAGTCCGTGGCTTTCTTGCCCCAGCACGTGGGGAATGCGTCCTCGAAGAGCGAGGTATTGAGACCGATGGAGAAGAGCACATAACTGGAGAGGAAGGTCAGTGAAGAGCTTGGTGACGAGGAATCGACTCATCTACATACCCTTCGAGAAGCAGACCGGCACCAGGAATGACGGCGTTGCGGAAGTACCAGCCAATGGGGCTCAGAGGGTCAGCCTTGATCATGCGGCCCAGGTTGCCGAGCTCGCGCGCGGCCTCGGCGTTGTTGACCTTGTTGACGAAGCCGATCTTCTTCATGAGGGGGAGATCAGCCCAGTAGACACCCTCGGGGGTGAAGGAGTCGTCGGGCAGGAGGATCTGACGGAAAACGTCGGACTCCTTGCCGTTCATGTCGCCAATATCGGCGGTCGCGACGTGGTCGCCGGTGCGGTTGGGCCCATGGGGCGCGGCGAGACCGTAGTCTCGCATTGATTGATCACCCATGTTGACGGGAGATCACCAGCAGTGTGGGAGGGGGAGTGCTGGTACAATGCTTACAAAGAGAGACAGGGAATGAGGATAGACACCGACGAGCAGAGAGGGAGGGGAGGGGAGAAGGGGAAGCCAGCGGAGGAGTGATTTATTTATTCGGCAGGCCTGGTGAAAAAACACCCGAAGCTCGCGATAGGATGGTCGGCGGGCGTAAGCGCAAAGGCAAGTCGCGCACTAGCGCGCGGGACGCTGGGGCGAGCAGAGCTTCCGGGCTGCAGGCCCTTGGCACGTGTATCGACCGCGAACTTGAGTGGCCGCCACCTGCAACCTGCTCGCCCCCCAGCCGTGTTGCAACGCAGAGACTTTCCGGGGCTCGATGGGCTGGCACGGATATACCGGCCAATTTGGATGGTCTCGGCGCTGACACGGTGGCCGGTGACTGGCTGGTTGGAGGCCTCGTGAAATATCTAATATCGATCTCGCAACGCCTCCCAACTCTGAGGTGCAGAGGGGAGGTGTTGCCACGTGAGGCGGGATTCCACAGTATTGGTCGATGTTGCAGACGACAAGACTATCAACGAGAATACTGTCGCTTGTTGAAGGTGACGGCCAAGTACTGTTCACAGACAACGTGGTAGGTGGACACCGCCGAGAGAATGGGCAACGGAAGTCGCACCCGGACCAGGGGAGGGCACGAAGCAATCCATCCGCACGCGCGCGCGCTACAATAGGAAAGCGCGGGAATTAAGCAAGGTGGATGGGCGCATCGCACGCGACTCAACGGCGAAGCAAAGCAGTATTTTCCACTCAAGCTTTCGCCGCAACATTGGCAAGGATCGGACGAGGTGAGGTTTGGTCGACCAATCAGCTAAGCAAGCGACGGCACGTGTGGCTTTGGTTCGCCTTCCCCTTTCGGCCGCTTGACCTCGGCCTCCAGATTCCTCCCGCGCCAGACTTGCGCAAGGGAAGCTGCCGAAGAGGAGCAGCAGAGGCGTGGGGCGAGGGGTGGGCCCTTTCGAAGACGACACCTGAGAGATTGCTCCACGTCGCATTTCACGAGGTCTCAACGAAAGTCTTGTTCTCCCTTGGCGCGTTGCTTGCTTCTCTGGTGGCGCGCCCCGTCGTGTCTTACCCCCGTTCCATGGGAAGCCCGATCCCACGGCTAAAAAGAATCAAGACTTGGAGGCGCAGCGCCGAGCATGCTTATGTATACCTCTGGCTATACTCACTGGAGAGCATGGCAGGCCTGGCGACACGTGAGAATCTGAGGCAATAGAATTCTCACTGCATCCGGATCGTGCAGGTACAAGGTTATGCTTTGCAGGTACCCATTGCGGAGCGCAACTCTACCGGGGGGGGAGAAGGGAGGGCAACACGGCGTGCCCTATCTCGTGAAAGGATCGCCGGAGCCATCTCATCGTCTCGTATAGTGTATGTCTGGAGCGGAAATGCTCATTGGTGTTCTTGCCTATTCCATCAGCACGTCGAAGCGTCATTCTACTTGAAGGCAGACGCCAGCGATCGGCTGGTCGTGTTTCAACTGGGTGGCGAGTTGGAGAGGGCAGATCAAAGACGGTCGATCTTCGCCAGCTCCCAGTGCGGCTGAACTTAATCTTGAGCCTCAGCCTGGAGCGACGTACTGTGAGCGCAACATGTTGTGCTCTTCTCACGAGGCGATATGCATGATATTTCGCATTGCACGTATGGCACACATAGGAGACACGGTATGATGAGTACGTGAGGATTTGCTCGAGTCTACCTCCACAATGAAGAAAGGTCGTTCCCATTACCCATTCCTTTTCCTGATCCTATTCTATGCTCGCTTCCACGCTCAGTCATGTCATTATCCCTCGTAGTGACGCCCAATTAGACGCCCTTGCAAGCTCTCCATCGATGCCAGGTAGGTAGCTGAGCCCTCCATAGGACGACCAAGCCCACTCAGCAAAGTGGCGAGAGGCATCAAGCAAGCAAAGCCAGCAGCCCAGCAAACGCAGCGCCCGCAAGCCCCGCCTTCACCTCGAGCACCCCAGCCATGCCGGGAGAAGCAGTGGCAACAGGAGGCGTGGTATTGGTCGGCCCAGCCTCGACAGAAGACGTAGAGGGCTTGACGATGGGGGAGGTGGTCAAGACGGCGCCCGTGCTGATGGCAACCGCAGTCGTGGTGCTGTTGGCCGGCGTGGGGTAGCTGGCGGGCGGCGGGACGACAGCGGCCGTCGTGGTGGCACTACTCGTCACTGTGCTGACGGGGGAGACGACGGAGCTGACGGGGGAGACGACGGAGCTGACGGGGGAGGTGGCGGAGCTGACCGGGGAGGCGGCGGAGCTGCTCCAGTTGGTGGTGGGGTAGGCGGGGGGAGCGGCGGGGGTGGAGGTCGATTCGGCGCTCACTTCGGGGCTCGAGTAGGCTGGGGGCGGCGCGGTGGCGGAGCCGGTGGGAGCCTGGACTTGGCCTGCAGGTGATGTTAGTTGGTGTTGTGGGGGGTTTGTAAGGATGGCAGAACTCACCGTCGCTGATCTGGGAGGCGATGCCTTGAGGAGCCGCGAAGGCGATGGCCGCGGAGGCGGAGAGGATGATGATTGTGGTACGCATTTTGAGCGGAGGTGGGTGGGTGGGGTAGTGAGTGAGTGGTATCTGTGGATGTGCTTTGAAGGAGTGAGTGGTGTTGATGAACGGCGGCGGGCAAGCAGGTAACGAGTGTGTACGTCGAGAAGTTTCTGCAAAGATTGAAGAGAGAAGAAAGAGGAAGAGGCTGGAATGTTTTGAATGGATGGATCTGTGCGTGTGGGTTTGTGAACCCGTGAAGAACCCCTGGTTTTGTTTGTCGCCACCTTCTTGTGCGCCTGCAGGTGGACCAACGTTGTCTTCTGAAACGAACACGGCACGACCAGACGGCGTGTGTTTACATTCACCACCGTCTTCAACATCCGGTCCATCAGACTGCTATCTTCATCATGGTGTGTCTCCAGTATGGATCAGATGCTCGTTGGTCTGGTCGCGTTGTGGCAAGGGGAGGCAGAATCTGCGTTTGTAACGTGAGCACGATCGCCTTTTCACGTTACACCGCATGCTCGATCCGGCCTGGCACAACCAGCCACCGCATGAACGGTCACGCCTTGTGTCGCCAGGCCGAGAAAGACCTCTGGTTTCAATTCGATACCAGAAGACTGACGGATAGCGTTGAGGCCCAGCCATTTGCGAACATGACAACCGTCACACTTTCGGAAAAAGGGCCGTGCCTTCGATTTCGTTCAATCGTTACACCAATTGTTCTCAACAATTACCAGGTGCGGCGTCCGAATTGGAAGACATCTCAATGCCTCGGATTCTGCAGAACACCCGTCAGCAGTCTTCCCTCAACCACGATGGTCATGACGCCCTCACCCCGTCTGTTTGTAGAACAGCCACTTTCCGTTCTCCTTGCGCAGATACGACATGGTCACGCTCTCCTTAATCGTATGCGTGGGATCATGATGAATGCGCAGCAGCGTCCACATCACCGCCGTCCCACTTTTCTCGTCCACCTCGGCGTCGATATCGATCAGTTCGTTTCGATAATAGGGGTACTTGCGCGCAATCACCTCGTAGGCATGGATGTACTCGTCGAGGTTGCGCGCAAAGGGCACGTCGGAGTGCTCAATGTACGCCTCGAAGTCGGCGGTGTAGTGCTGCAGGGCCCAGTGGTTCCAGGTTTGCGTGGAGATGCAGTTGCAGATGGCGGTGCCGAGTTCTTCGCAGTGGATTTCCGCGCGAGTCTTCTTTTTGTGCGAAGAGGGAGGGGAGGCGGCGGCGAGGTCGGCATCGAGGAGCTCGAGGGAGCTTACGTGCTTCGTCGGATCCTTCGAGGCGTCGTGCTGCTCTTCGGCCATCCGGTCCATGCGCGCGGCGCTTCTGCTAGCTAGCCCATCTCGAGAGGTCTTTTGCAGATAATGGGCGCGGCTGTCGCGCGCATTATGTAGGTCATTGGCGTCGATCAGGCGTGCAGTTGCTCTTGCTTGGCAGTTACCGGCAATTGCCGATAATAACCTACTTATGACGAGCGCGCAGAGCTGGAATACGAGGCGTCTGGTATTCCCGGCGACACCACGATCTTTCGCATTTCGGCTCCGAACATCTGCATGAGCAGATGCTCTTCAAGGGCAGGGTGAGAACGGTGAGGCGACATTGTCACTTTCCTCCAAGCTGAAGCGGAACGGATGACATTCCGATCATCTACTCTCGATACAAGGGACTGGAAGGTTTCATAAGGTATGAATTACTCATTAACAAGATCCCGCCCCGTACCCGCCTTCAACCTCACGCCCAACTCCACAGTCGCAGCCGCGTCCACAAACTCCGTACACCTCACCACCTTCTCCCCACTCTCATCCATGACCATCCAAAGGATCAGGTCTTGTACAACCTCTTCGCCGCCCCGGGGCACCATGTGAAAGTCCGCTCGAACCACCGCCGTCCGCGTCTTCACATCAACGCACATATTGGTGATGTCAATGGCCCACTTCTGAAACGCGGGTGCCATCAGACGCAAGTGTGCTGCGAACTCCTCGCCCGTCCGCTCGCCTTGCAGGTTGGGGGTGGTGGAGATGTAGTACGCTGGTCCCCACGACATGCGGAAGGTCGGGGCGCAGTTGGCGAGCAATGCGTCGGCGTTGTCTTGGTTGGTGCCGGGCGTCTTGGGTCGCATGCCGTCGATGTGGGCTTTGGCCGTCGCTGCGAGCCGGTCGTAGAGCGAGTCGCCCATGATTGCTATGTGATGGTAGCTGATAGGATGTTGCAGAAAGGTTATCAAGTCGTGATGGCGGTACGCTGCCGGGCATACACAACGGACTGCTGGCGTGGTTATAAGTGCATTTATCCTCTACGAATGGAGATCCATCCGCCGTTAGCAGAGCTGAAGGATGCGAGCCAGCATCGGTGCTTTTCAGCCCCAAGGAAGAGGATGCGTGTCGGCAGCGGTGGTTTTCAGCCGCCCAGGAGCTGGGTGGTGGAGTTTTCCACGCCGATCTATGCTGCCAATGTTAAGATGGATCACCTGTCCGACCTGAAGGGGGACAGGAGCTCAATCATTGACAGAGAGGCCACAATGGCCGCAAACCAAGATCGTAAGCCAAATTAGCTAGCTTTAAATCGAGGGCTAAATTTGCTAAATACCCCTAAAGCAGTAATTAGCTCTGCTTTACCTCAGACATCACTAATCCATCTCCATCATCGACCTCCTCCATTACCCAACACAAGATCCCATTCCAGCACCCTCTCACATCTTCTAGCAATCCGACAAAGGCAATATAAATACGCCACATCGCCACTCAATGAGGCTTCCCATCTCCATTTTAATTACAATCATCGCAATCGCAATCACAGCAGTCTACCAGCAAGAGCTCCTCCTCCAGTACATGCGACCCATCCTCCGATCGAAGACACTGAACGCCCTCTCCAAAACCCTCAGCTTGACCTCCTCGACAAAGTCCCTCTCCGCCATGGCCCCCAACTCCACCTTCGTCGGCCTCCCCGTCATTCCACCCGAGGATCCATCCCTCAACGCAAAGAATCCCAAACCCCGAGGCATCCAAGCCGTCTTCCTCGCGCGCGAGCAGGCCGAAGGTGCAGGCGCGACAGTGCGAAGATCTATCGGCACGCCGAAGCTACGCAACTTCACCCCCTTCCTAATGCTCGATCACTTCAACGTCGGCATCGGCGCCGGCTTCCCAGACCACCCTCATCGCGGCCAAGAGACCATCACCTACCTTCTCAGCGGCGCCGTCGACCATGAGGACTTCGCTGGCAACCGCGGCGTCATCAACCCGGGTGATCTGCAATTCATGACCGCCGGCCGGGGCATCGTGCACGCCGAGATGCCGTCCGACAAAATGGCGGAAGAAGAGAGCGCGATCGGCATGCAGCTCTGGGTCGACCTCCCCAAAGATCTCAAAAACTGCGAGCCGCGCTACCGCGACCTGCGCGCCTCGGAAATCCCGCAGGTCACGCTGGACGAGGGTAAGGTGCACGTCAAAGTCATCTCCGGCCGCAGCCACGGCGTCGACAGCCTGCAGGAACTCGCCTACACCCCCGTCTGGCTGCTCGACGTGACCGTCCAACCCGGCGGCCGCATTGCGCAATCGCTGCCCGCAGGTTTCAACACCTTCGCTTACATTCTCGAAGGCGCGGTGACGTGGGATACCGGCGCGACGAGCCAGGAAGTGCAGCAGTACCACAACACCGTTTTTGAGCAGACGGGCGACCAGGTGATTGCCAGCGTGCCCGCCGACGCGAAGCAGGCGGCGCGCTTCATCCTCGTGGCGGGCTTGCCGCTCGACCAGCCAATTGTGCAGTACGGGCCTTTTGTGTTGACGGAGGCCAGCCAGGTGCGGAAGGCGATGATGGATTACTCCACGTTCACGAATGGGTTTGAGCGCGCGGAGAACTGGCGCAGTGAGATTGGCAAGGTGATGATGCATTAGGTTTGAATGCTGCTCATCTCCAACGACTTGACGAAATGTATATATTGAAAGAAGGGCGCTGAGTGCTGATAGAAATTGTGTAGAATGTAGTACCGCAACGTCCCCAGTGTGACCACTGACGTCTCATGGTCTTTTCTGTTCTCGTCGAGTAGATATGAACTCATAGGCATTCAGTCATCAGTCCTGATTTCCATCCATCCCCTTCCAACAATCTGCCAGCTCGGCCGAACCTCGTCACCGACCATGGCCCCTATATATTGATTTACCTACGCTCAGCTCCTAACCAATGACCAGCAGCATCAATCGCGCTGTTGGTCAGCGGCCGACAAAAATGCAAACCTGTTGGGGTCCTACGAGTCTCGCCTTGCTTTCTCTCCTGAAAAGGAGTTTGTTTTTTGGTGAAATTTGGTGGCAGGTCCCGAGTTCGAGTCTCTGCTGGCGCTTCTTCTTTTGACCTCGTCTGGATACCGGTTCATGTCGATTGATTGTGGTGATGAGTATGTACATTTCTAGCGTCTCTTCTTCAATTGTGGCCACTAACCGGCGCCCGTTGTAAGGTTTGGCTCGGTACCTTCCTAATTCAGTTGAACCATGACTGTAACGCTGAGGAGCTTCACATTGATCGAGAGGTTGGTCCACCGGTGGGTGAACAAGTCCATGTCTGCAGGTCGAAGAGCACTGCATCCCGGATAATGCGGCGAACCGATCTCCGCTTCCGACATCGAGGCTTCCATTCAACACGCGAAGCAAGTGGCCACTCTCATAGCTTGGCCTTGATCGGCTTCTCCTGCACCTCGCCATCCTCTTGCACAGCGATGCATACGACAACGGCAATATCGTCCGGCTTGCCACCCTCCCAGCCTTCGTCGGGATACCTCGCGTTTACCTCCTTTGCAAAAGGACTGTTCCTCCTCCGATCCAGTCCCGCACTCTTCGCCTCCCTCATAATCGCCGTAGCCAGCAAGCCAGGAAGGAAGGTTTCCCTAACATCCTTCGTAATCTCCTGCGGAATCTTCCTCACCAGCCCCTCATCCAGCATCATCTCTTCGCCAGACGAATTATCATGAAACCAGTACCCCTCGTCGCACATCACCTTCGTGACGATACCCAGCGCATCCTGCGCCGACAGGTTGTCCCACACGCCATCCGTGGCGAAGACGACAATGTCGCCGTGCCGCACGCTGTGGCGCGTCACGTCGGCTTGGCTCGGCGTTTCGGCGAAGTGCTGGCTGCCGAAAATGGCGTGTTGGGCTTGCAGTTGCGCGGGGATTTTGGAAAGTTGGTAGGGGGTGTTGAAGGCGTGGGTTTGGATTGGGGAGCGGTGGGTGATTTTGCCGGGGGAGAGGAGGAGGAAGGAGGAGTCGCCGAGGCTGGACGTCTGTTAGTATGGGCGTGTGTGAAGCAGAATGAGGATGGATGTAGACACGTACTTGGCGCACTCCAGTGCACCTGTTTCGTCTGCGACCGCCAAACTGACTGTGCTGCCACCCGCCACAATTCTAGGGTTGGCCATGACCGCGTCAAACGCTGTTTGCAGCAGCGCTAACGGCCGCAGTCGCTTCTTCTCCTCCTTCTCGTCAAACAGATGCGCGCTGCCCGCCATGTAGCCCACAATGCCGTGGCTGAAATCACTCGGATCCACCCCTTGATCCTGCCATCCGCCTACGCCATCCGCGACGCCGAAAGACACGGCGTGCGCATTCCCCGGCCCGATGGTAGTGGCGAAGAAGGCATCCTCGCCGCTGACGTCCTTCGTGCTGCGTAGGTAGGGTTGTTGCGCCGGGGTGTTGGTCGAGGGGTAGAGGAAGTAGTCGCGGTTGTACTGCGGTTGGCGTTGAGGAGCTCTCTTGGCCGCCGAAGAGGCGCCTATGCGGTAGGTGAATTTGCCCTGTGCGAGAGACGACGAAGAGGAGGGGCGGAAGGGGATGTAGGGCATGGATTTTGCGGCGCAGGTGCCGAATCGGAGGGTCCTCAGTACGTTGGTGTATGGACAGATGAGAGCTGGCATGGCAGCTGAATGAGCGGTGGAGGCGTCAAGGCCGGGGTAGGTAGAGGCATCATTGTGTTGACATTGCGCGCTGAGGAGTAGAGTGGAGAGGAGGACTAAGAGTATGCTGTACATATAATGTTGGGGGAGAGGAGAGCGGGAGGGTGACGTGCCTCTTCGTCCTGCACTTTATTGATCTCCGCGGAGGGAGCTGGGAATGTCTGGATGGGGAAGCTCCGAATGATTACCTAAGCAGTTGCGCAACAAGCACGTGAGTGGATGAACCCAACATGAACCTTACTTGTCCTGTCTATCCACATGGCAATTGTTCGAGAACGGATCATCAGAGTGCTTGCGCATCTCGCGCGTTACTCCCGGGTGTGCATGCTGCCGACTGGTACTCAAACACACCGATAGATAACAGGGGAAGAGTTAACAACCACGAGCGGTCAGGTATAAATACGTGCGGTCAGGTTCAAATACAAGAGGTCAGGTTTAGATACGAGCGGTCAGGTTTGCGGAATCTGCCAATCACCGGCCAGGCCCATCCTCGACGACCGGTCAGATTTGCCAATGCGCGGTCAGGCTAAAATACGAGCGGTCAGGTTTCCTAACGAGCGGTCAGGATATCACCACGACCGAAAGGAAGTCGACGTTGACTGTTAGAGTGAATCATTCTATCTGCCTTCGCGCTCGAGTATCTCAAGCGCAGCATCGACAAACCTATCAATCTCCTGAACCGTATTCGCAAGCCCGGTGGAGATATGGATCCCCTTCATCGAAGCATCTTCCTCCATCGCGAAAGCCTTGACACTAATATCGTACCCCTGCAACAGCACTCGCGCAAACGTCTCGCAGTCCATATGCTTGACGGTAAAGGCACCAAAGCAGGTGCCCGGCTCTGCAGCAATGTCCGTAAGCATGACGACCGATTTGTGCTCAGCGAGTCGTGATGCCCAGCGATGGCGAAGATAGCGATACCGCGCGTTCTTCTCCGCCTGCCCAACGTCTCGATTGAAGGCGATCATGTCCGGGATGGCGGCGGGCAGGGCTTTGAACACCGTGCCCACCTCTTCGAACTTCTCAATCGAATCGTCCGGCTTGTCTGACCAGGTCGCGAACAGGGGCCAGATTTGGGAGATCTTGTCTCTGCGGATGTATAAGAAACCGGTGCCGCGGGGGCCGTGCATCCATTTGTGGAGGCAGGTAGCGTAGGCGTCGCAGCCTAGGCTGTCGAGGCGGAAGTCGATTTGGCCAGCGGAGTGTGCGCCGTCCAAGAGGGTGAATGCTCCGTGCTGTCGCGCGAGATCGCTGATGGCCTTCACCGGAAATACCAAGCCTGTCCTGCCGTCTACATGAGGGAGGGATACCGCTTTCGTCTTGCTGCTCATCACTTTTCGAAAAGCAGCCAGGATCTCCTCGTCGCTCACGGGCCCGAACGGGAGGTCCACGAGCCGAAGCACAATCCCCTCCCGTCGAGCGCGCTGGCGGATGATCGCCAGGTTGAAATCGTAGCAATACTTAGTAGCAACGACTTCATCTCCAGGCTTCAAGTCAATGCCCTTGAGCACCGTCGCGACACCTTCCATCGCATTTCTCGTCAGAGCAATCTCCTCTGGACTCGCGCCAAAGTACGTCGCTAACATTTCCCGAACGGCAAGGGAGGAGCCACTCTCTTTCATGTCCACGAACGGCTCATACTCGTCCAGCTCGTAGGAGAGCGACAGATCGACTAGTGATCGCACCTTGTCGCGAACGATCTCGGGGGCTGGGCCGCGCCGGGAATTGACTAGCTGCGTGCGCGTGTAGAAGGGTTTCAGCGTTGCTCGGATGGATTGCCAGTAGGCCTCGTCGTCCGGCGCGTGCTTTAGACCTGCGGGATTTGCCATGGTCGATCAGACGTGTAGGTGACGATGGATTACTTTCGTGCAATGTGGGCAATTAGTGACGCGGCTGGATGCATGCCTTCAGGTCAAGGAAAGACGATGGCGTTGTGAGTGAGCAAGTTTTCTCCCGCTCAGGACAAGTCTCATCTAGGCATGCTACTAGCCTCGCCGCTTCTACCCGATGGAAGAACCATCTCAGGATCTCGAAAGATCCATGAAGGCCTCCATGAGCAACGAAAGTGACAGTGGTTGGTGATCGACAAGAGTGATGCTCGAAAGAAAAAGTTGCCAAAGCGCGGCTAACTCAAAAGCCGACATGTCACCGCCCTCCATCGAGATGTCACAGCGACCGAACAAAAGCGCCAAACCGTCACTTCGATGCGCTTCACTCTTCTTCTGCTGCCATTACGCTTACACGACCAGAGTCTGCCGCCCTGATATAAACTGTGGTTTCATCAGTCTGAGAGAGCTACAAGACCTTCGCATCGCCACTTCCCGACTTTTACACAATTCTCGCCACGCAACTGGAACCTGAGGCATCAAAATTTCACCACCACAGACAACTGCCTTCCTTCATCCATTCACGTCGCGCAGACTCGCCGCAAAGATGAAACACGAACCCGACGCCGCACAGCACGACACCTCAATCCACAGCAAAGAAGAAAGCAGCGCCGATGTCGAACGGCAATCCCAGCACGACGGCACAGACGAGATTCCCGCGCCCACAGAATCGGCCTTCAAAGCCCTAGGCTGGCTAGACCGATTGCTCGCCCTATGGATCTTGCTCGCTATGATTATTGGCATTCTGCTGGGGAATTTTGTTGACGATGTCGGGCCTGCGCTGAAGAGGGGGGAGTTTGTGGGTGTTTCGATTCCGATTGGTAGGTTCTTGTTCACCGGTCGAGATGGAGTGATGGGTGCTGACGTCTTCCGAAGCAATCGGTCTGCTTGTAATGATGTATCCCATTCTTTGCAAGGTGCAATTTGAGACGCTGCACCTCGCGCTCAAATCAAGGGAATTGTGGATCCAGGTTGGGTTCAGCATTCTGCTGAATTGGATCATTGCGCCGTTTCTCATGGTGAGTCCGATCTGCGCCAGCCTCCAATGAACGTGTTACTGACGAGTGCCTTAGCTTGGCCTCGCGTGGGCCTTCCTCCCCGACGAAGAAGGGCTCCGTGAAGGACTTATTCTTGTCGGCTTGGCGAGATGCATAGCAATGGTGAGTCTCGACACCATCCTTAGCAAGATGTTTTGTGCTGACAGAGAAAAGGTGCTCATCTGGAACGGCCTGGCCGGCGGGGACAGCCAGTACTGCGCCATCCTCGTCGCCCTCAACTCCGTCCTCCAAATGGTGCTGTATGCACCGCTCGCCGTGTTGTTCATCAAAGTCATCAGCCACTCCTCCAGCACCATCTCCGTCTCCTACCCCATCGTCGCCACGAGCGTCGCAGTCTTCCTCGGGATCCCGCTCGGCGCCGCGATCATCACCAGATTAACGATCCGAACCTTCATCAGCGCTTCGTGGTACGACAAGACATTCATCAAGTGGGTGTCGCCGTGGTCGCTGATCGGACTGCTGTACACCATCATCGTCCTCTTCGCTTCTCAGGGCCACAAGGTCGTGCACCAGGTCGTCTCCGTCGTCCGCGTCGCGGCGCCTCTGATTGTCTACTTTATGGTCATCTTCTTCCTCACGCTCCTCATCACCCATCGACTCGGATTTGGGTACAAGCTGGCGACCACGCAGAGTTTCACAGGAGCGAGTAACAACTTCGAGCTCGCGATTGCTGTGGCAGTTGCGACGTATGGTGCAAATAGCAACCAGGCCCTTGCGGCGACTGTCGGGCCGTTGATAGAGGTTCCGGTGCTATTAGGGCTGGTGTATGTCGTGCGGTGGATCGGCCGCAGATATCACTGGAAGCCGTGAAGTTTGTCGGGACTTCCTTCGTCAAGGAAAGGCGATTCACCCTACGAAGTGTTGTAACGAGATCACCTTCGCAGGGCTCACGTAGATATGTTGGCCAAGACTCTGAACAGCACGCTGTTCTCCACGCGACACTCTCCAGACGTGCCACATGGTGCTCTCATGCCCGCCTTCAGCTGTGATTGCAACGCTGCCATGGAAAGACCTTTGCGGTTATATCGAAAGACCAGCGCAAGCGCTTTGGAGCAGACAGTGGAAGACTCGCCAGGTTGAAATTGCACGACAGTATCCATGAAGCAGCGTTCGACGGACTGGCCAGCTCCAGATTCGTAATCGTTGGTGGATGTTGTTGTGGAATCCCAGTGCAAGCCATTACTACCGTTAGCCAGGGACGGCTCCGGCACAGCTCCAAGCGCCAGCATAGAGTCTGTCGGCTCGACAACGTTGTTGAGCCCTTGCGGCAGGTTTGCGTAATTGTTGTAGGATTCCGTAAGCCATGCGATGTCACTAGAGGGGTCCATCAAAGCTGGCGGTAATTTGTCGAGTGTCTCGGCAGACATGAACCAGTTCGCTACCTGAAGACACGTTAGCGCGAGCAATTCCGCAATCATCGTGCGAGTCTGATTACAGCAGGATCCAACACATCCACCTGCCGATTCCCCCCACCATCAGCCACTTCCAGACTCGAAAACGGAGTCGTACCATCCCTCTCCTCCCGAAGAATAGTATACACCGCCTGCCGCTTCGCAGCCGACTCAATGAAGCGCAGCTGCGTCTCATCGTCAAACCCCAGCGCGGAAAGCAGATCCCGGCGCGCCGCATTCTCCCTCAGCGCCGTGTCGAGCGCGCTCTCCTGCTCGGGCAGGTCCGGCGATCCGCAGGGCTCGCATTGCCGGATTTTCGCTCGCAGAGCTTCGACTTGGCTTTCGAGTTCGGCGACGTGCGTGCGTTTCCGCTCTCTGCAGCGTTGTTGGTTGCGGCGGATGCGCGCGAGTTGTTCGGCCTGTGGGAATCGTTAGACCCTCGTGGAAGAACCGGGGGCTGGGGTGATCCGAGCGCACCTTGGACTTCTGACTGGACGCCGGCGTTCCGGCGTGATTCTCATCCGAACCCATGGTGTGAGCGTCTGTCAACTTCCAAGACAGATTATGACTATACGATCGGCTTCATGTGGCGAATGAGGTTGGGGGGGTTCGCGTAGATGGAGTTCGTTTTCTACCGCATGGACCGTGCACGTGTGGAAGCTTCCGTGCAGTGACGAACGCCCAGCATCGCGGCTAGATGGAGACAGATTGATGAGATAAGATGCGATTGTAGCATTGCGGGGCTATGGAACTGCGATGTCTGCGCAACGCGCTGTTGTGAGAGTGCTCCATTAGGCTCGTGCTTTCATGCACTGGATGGCATGGCAGGGTCAAGGTACGAGAATAACTCGAGCCCGCGATCAGGCTGAGGGATGTGCATATGCCACTACCCATGACTGCAGGGTCTATGCCTGTGCCTCAAGCTCTCGCGCCACTCTCTCATACCACACTGGCTCTTGCGTCTGCAGCATTGTCGTGACCTTCTCCACTTCCTCGGCCAGTCCAGCCACATTCGCCTCCCACGCCCTCAACTCCGCATCACCCAAATCCCCACTTCTTCTGCCCGCACTGTTCGCAACGCCGGCCTGGAAGAAGTTCACAGCTCCTTCAATCTGGTCGATTGAGCCCGACAGTCGATTTGACTCGATCATGGCCGCGCACTGTGCTTCCGCCCGCTCTTCGGAAACGCCGAGAAGTGTTCCCAGGGCGGCGGTAGAGATGTTTTGGTACAGGCGCGAAACGGCGAGAAGATTGTGCTCGAGCACCGCTTTGTCAAGAACTGTGGATCCGTCGGATGTTTTCGCTAGCTGATGCTCTTTAAGGTTTGCTGCGAACGCGGCCACTTCGGCGGGAGAGAGCAGGCGGTCGAGGAAGATCTTCTCCAGTATGCTGTGCTCCGCTGTTTCCACGGCACGCTCGTCTTTGTACAGCTTTCCTAGCTGTCGCGCGCGTTGCGGCCCAGCTGGAGCGAGGACTGCGCAGGTGATGGCGGCACTGAGAGCTTGCAGGCGCTCTTCTTCGTCAATCACCGGCTCGTTGGACAGGGCGAGGTAGGAGGCGGAGGCGTCAAGGAAGTTACGCTGGGAGTCGCTAATGCGCGCCTGGCTCAGCTGAAATTGAAGACGTGTGGCTTGGTCGGTGACGCTGAAGATGACTTGTTTGATCTTATTCAGGTGTGAGAGGGCATTGGTCGGATCATCCTCTTCCAGGTAGCAGCGACAGATGCGCATCCACACTTTTGCCTTGTCATCGTCGCTCACACTTCGCTGCGTAGAGTCAAGAGTGATGGTTTGGAGGGTTTTGGCGCTATTTGTGAAGTCTTCGTCGAGTTCGTAGGCATCGGCGAGGATGAACTTCAGATCGGTGTCTTGCTGTTCGTAGCTGACAATCTTGGGGGCGAGAAGCTGCACAATGGCATTGCCGGCTTCGATCTTGACATTGTTGTCGGACAAGCTGCGGTACTGCTCGATGAAGTTGGAGAGGAGGGGGCGGGAGTAGATGACGCCGATGGAATCGGAGAGGATGCTTTGAACGTAAGCAATGAGGTTGGCGGATAGGTCGTTGCTGGAGAAGGTGGAGACGATGTTTTGGAGCGCCGCCGAGTAGCCCTCTGTACGCTGTTGAGGATTCGATGAGCTTTCGAGTTGCGCCAAATGCGACGCTATCTGCGGGTTCGACATGCTTGCTGGTGGTGTTTGTGAGGGTTGGAGTTGGATGGATGTTTTCACTGCAGCCGATGAAGACGCGGTGCAGCTCCTTATCGATAAGAGTGCCGCCGCCCAAAGCGGTTAGACGTTCACTCGCTCCGCGCCTTTGACTGCACGTCCGTGACGGACTACACCCTTGCACCTTCACATTCCACACCCTCCAGATCCCCTTGCGGATTTGAAGACACACAAAGTGACCATGGCAGACACACAAGCCAAACCGGAGATCAAGGTGGATCCAGCATCCAGCACTCCCAAAGCCATGACCGATGTTGAGGAGTTCGAAGACGATGTCGACCTCTACATTCCTCCACCTCCGCAACCACAAGGCGACGGCCCGCAAGCCTGGCTGGTGAAGGTGCCCAAATACATCTGGAACGCATGGGCGGAGATCTATCGCAACGCGCCTGACGACGGGGGGAATGTAGAGATCGGTAAGATGGTGGTCTACGAGCCCAAGCCAGGCGAAGAAGCGCCAAAGACTCAAATCCGCCTGACGCCTGGCGTGTACCAGCACGTGGACCTGCCCAAGACGTACAATCTCGACATCAAAACGACTGGCTATAGCAACACCATCGTCTTCTCCGAGAAGGACCTCCCGGGCCACCGCTCGGGCCGTCCCCAGCCCTACTCCTCGCGCCACTCCAAAGCTCAGCAATTTCAAAAGTCACGCGGCATTCCCTCCAAAGCCGATCGATATGGGAAGCCTGTCAAACCAGGCACATACCGCACAGCAATCCCCAAACAAACCGCCCTTGCGCCCCTCATTTACCACGTTGCTGATGCCGCCCCGGAAGAGGATGCAAGTTACTTTGCCTACTTCAAGAAGCAGTACGAGGAGCAGCTCAAGCCCAAGAAGACGACGACATTCTTCGCGGGCATCGACCGTTCACTGCACCCCGCCGCCTCCCACCTCAACGCCTTCCCGTCTTTCGGACTGTCTTCGCGACCCGGGGCAAGGGGCAAGAAAGCTGCACCAAAGGAGAAGGCGGTACGCATGTCACAAGAGGCGCTGCTGGACAGGATATACCAATGTTTCCGACGATACAAGTACTGGTCGCTTAAGGCGTTGCGGATCGAATTGCGTCAGCCGGAAGTCTACATCAAGCAGACGCTGGAGGGGGTTGCCGTTCTCATGCGATCGGGAGACTTCGCGATGAACTACGTGCTGAAGCCGGAATATCAGGCAATGATCAACCCGCAAGGCGAAGATGGAGAGGGAAAGGCGGAACCAAAGGAGGAGACTGCAATGGTGAAAAGCGAGGCGGAAGAGAGCGAGATGGAGATGGACGGTGGGGTGGAACTGGGTAGTGAGGATGACGATGACGACGATTTGGGAGAGGAGTTTGAGGACGTTAAGATGCAGTGAGATTGAGGCCCATGTTAGCATGCGCCATCACATGTCAGCGGCAGGTGAATAGCCGCCACTGGGCGACCTCGTCCACAATAGAGAGTATGCCCACTCCACAATCGTTCCTTCCTCATTCGGCCAAGTCATGCAGTAAGATCATTTCAAACCCCAACAACCCCCTCGAACACCAACCGCACTCTGTCCATCAGCGCTTACTTCTCCATAGCCATCACCGATCAACAACCCTCACAGCACACGATGCCAACCCTCAAACAAATTCAGTGCTCCATCGAGCTAGGCCCCAGCAACACCAAACTCACAGAGTACGGCGCACGCTACAGCGACGGCCACGTCGAGAGCTTCATCGCCGTCCCCGACACCGACCTGGCCTTCACCATCCACCTCACCTCACAAGGCTACATCGCGCCCGGCCTGGCCTTTTTCGTCTACATCGACGGCGAGTACCAATGCAATCGCAACCGCACCAATCTCAGACTTCCCGGGACAGGCGTGCAGCCGAGTGAGTATGAGACGGAGTTTCGCTTGCGGCAGAAAGAGGAGAAGACGAGTTTGGGGACGTTTGTTGCGAGGGATTGGACGTTCGTGAAGTTGGATACAGGTTTGTGGCTTTGCTGCTTGGGAGTTGTGCTTCGCTGACTCGCGATCAGTCGCTGCTGACAATGCGCCCAGCCTCAATCGGAATTTCACGCACAATGTGGGTACTATCGAGGTGATATGCCTGCGTTGCAAGTCGGATGATGATGAGCCTCCGCCGGCTAGAGTACGTCGAAGCGAAACGAGCGTAAAGGACTCTGACCCTGGATCGAGACCTGAGGCGAAGCGCACACCGGCTTGCGCTGAACCAGCTCCAGCAAAGAGTGCTACTCCTCAGCAAAGTGAGTTTGGGGGTATGTTCGGTTTGTTCGACGGCGCGGCCGACATGGTCTGTCTCGATGGGGCCGACATGGAGCAGGCCTCTGGCCTCTCGCTCCCATGCCTAGACGGACCTGTCGATCGGCCAGACATTTCCAACCAATGGGCCGGGAGAGGAAGGGATGACATGCAAGGCGACAAATATCTGGGCCTTCGCCATCCGGAGCGGGCTGCGTATAAACAGTATATCCGCGAAACCGGCCAGTCGGTCAGCTCCCAGCACCCTTCACCCGCGACACCCAAATTCGACATCTCCTACACTGGCTTCCAACAGCTTGGCCGGGTCTTGCAGGAAGTGAAGAAAACGGCTCAAGAGTACATCGACACCCACCCACATGACGGCAAGGAGAATTTGGATGGCGCAAAAGCAGACGTAGCCTTCATATCCGGACTTCTGGAATCCCTAAAAGGGCGAGACGGCCTGGACAAGTTCCCTCGCGCGTTGAAGGAAGTTCTCATAGACATTGATCTTCTGAGACAGTGCTCGGTGGAAGTGGAACGACGGTACCCGAAACGAGACTGGAAGCCAGTCATTCGATCGCATTTCGAGGACCAGGTCAGAGCGATTCACGATCTGAAGTTGCGCAAGGACCACCGCCTAGATGACTTGGACGACTGTCTCGCTCTGTCGAGCTACTTCAAAGCCCGGATTGAGATCATTGGAGGCTACCTGTTTCTTATGGAGCAGTACGACAAAGTCAATTTTGATGTCCTGCGGGAACGACTCAGTCTCTTGCACTCGCAGCGTGACCGCGCAGAAGCCAACGTGCAGAATATAAAGCAAGGCAAGAACGATGCGGCGCACTCGCAAAAGGAGCAGAACGACTGGGTACCTGACCGACAATATCGAGACAACAAGCACTCTTCAGACTGGGCAGATGGCAACACCAGTCCAAATGGCTGGAATCCTCCAGACAACCAAGGCGGAGGAGGAGGAGCAGGCGGCTGGGAGCAGGTGGGAGTTGGAACCTGGCAGCCTGATCAGCAAGCACGCCACAATTCGCCTCGGCCGGCATCTGTTAATAAATGGGCCGGTAACGATACGGACAATAAGAGTCAGCGTTCACACAAGTCCAGGAGCTCTCAACGAAACCACGTTTGGGGTGATGATAACAGACACCAGAGCAGTAATCGGAACGACCAGTGGGATCGAAAAAGCGAACACCGGTCTGGGGATGGGTGGGATGATGGGCGGGCTCACGTTGATAATGCGAAGGGATGGGAAGATCAAGGCCAGCAGAACGACGGCGACAGGTGGGGAAAGGAAGGCAGTCACAAGACGTTCGAGCACAACTTCAGCAACGACAACAACAATGGCAACAATAACGGATGGGGAGGAGACAACCAGGCCAACGATAACTGGCACAGCGACGACCAGCAGCAGCCGCATGGCTCTCAGAAGCAGCCCTCGAACGCATGGCCTCCACCCCCGGAGAGTCGTAGATCCCAGCGCAACGATCGGGCTGTTCACGAGCAACCCGCAGCCCAAGACGGCGGGGATAATCGCTCCATCGCCGCCGCCAGCGACACCAGAGACGCAAAAGCATACATCAAGCCCTACTGGCAAAGTTGGGACCGCGCACCGAGCCAAACGCAAACATCCAACCCCAACACCAAGAAAAAGCGAGACGAGCCCCGACAAGTCTACACCTACCCAGCCTCGCCACTACCCCACCTCTCGCCCGCAGACAACAAAGTCACAAACGCAAGTCACGGCGTGCAAGTCAGCAGGGGATCGGACTACGCGCACAAGACGCGGCGACCGACGTATATCGATTCCATGGAGGCGCCGTATGCGGTGTTTAGCTTCAAGTATCGCAGTCGGGAGGTGCTGGAGAGGATTTTGAGGCGGAAGATCGATGTGCTTGATTTGAAGGGTGTGGTGGAGCAGGCGGAGAAGGCGAGGTTGATGGGGATGCCGAAGCATGCGTTGATTGAGAAGTTGATGGCGAAGAGCGGAGGGTCTTCGAAGGGGGAGAAGGTTGAGCAGGGGAACAGATCTGCTCGCCACTCGGTGAAGAATGACGGTGGATGGGGTGGCGTTGACAATAACAACAACAACAACAACGGAGGCGATCAGGGCGGAGGCGGCTGGGGACCGCAAGATAATCACGATGCCCAAAGTCATCGGGGCAGGGCCAGTCAGGGGAAGCAGAACAGTGCTGTCGAACAAGGCTGGGGCAAGGACAAGTCAGCTAGTGGCGGCGGCGGCGGATGGGGCGAAGGAGGGTTCGACGATGGTTACGCGAACAACGACTCGGGCGGTGGGAAGTGGTAGTGCGAGATGGGTTTGCAGCTCGAGGTGGCCGATGGTTCAAGGGAGGATGGGTTGGATGAAGTTGATCGGCCAGGCTGAGCGAACAGGGTGGAGTAGTATAGTAACGCACAAGAGACGACTCCGTTTACTACTACTACGACACGCCGGAATCCCGGTTCTCGACAGTCCTCGACACCAATCACATGCAATTGATTGTTGTAAGACCGGCAAATCAACGTGGCCGCACGTGTTCGCGTGTTGGAAACGCCACCGGGGAGCGGAAGGTGGGGGCCTTGCGTGCGGAGGTTCGCTTGCAGGGATCACACCTTCGTGCATTAAGTACCTCTTTGTACCCTGCCTGCAACGCACGATGCTGCTCTCCTTCATCGGTCAGTCATCTCGTGGTAAAGTCTTAGAGCCCTCGACTTGCGTGGTGAGGTAATGGGCGTTGAGGACAGCTGAAGCAGCCGACGAACAACCACACCTCCTCCTCTCCCAACCTGAAGGTGATACATCGCCCATGCGTGCAGCCCCGACGCCACAGTTGCAGTGTCTGCTTCTGGCATCACCCGACGAAAAGCAACCCTGGCCGAACGCGTCTGGCACTGCCGCCCGCCAGGGAATCTAGACCGACCGCGTCGCCGAGACCGTTTGATTCGTCCATCTCATACCGAACAGTAACCGCCCTCTCCAGCTGCCAGCGCGTCGGCCTCCAAACCCGTGTAACATGTCGAGGACATCCCAGGACTTCGCAAGGCGAGCTCGGAGGGACTCGCATGAGGCTAATTCGGTACGGGGCTCGCTTTTTTGCCTTTTTGCCCCTTTGCTTGCTTCCAGCTGCTGACCTCGAGGGACCAAGCGTGTCGTGATGCCTCTGAATTCGTCCGTCGCTTTAAATCAACCCACTCCTCGTAATGGCCCGCGGCTTTTCCCTAGAGCGCATCCCGCTGATAGCAATGGCGTGCCCCCAAGACCGGAATTACCAGAAGGCAGCGTGATGCCTAAGACCACTACGGCAGTCAACGACTTCACGCCTACGATTCCAGAGCAAGCGGCGACGACTAGCCGCAGTCCTCCCGCCGAGCGTACAACAACTCCACAGTCAGCAGACGAAGCGCGCCCCTGCTCAAGTCAAAGCAACAGAAACTCGAAATCGTCCAAGAAGAACAGCCTCGTCGCCTTCCTCACCCTCAAAGAACCCTCCACCAAAGCACTGGAAGACTTCGCCGACGCGGAGCGGGAAAAGGCAAAGCAGAAAGGCGCCGCCGCCGCCACAGCCTCAGCAGCCGTGCCGCCCGGCGTCTCCACGCAGAAACTCCCGGACTACGTGCCCAAAGTCAACAGCAAGTGGGACGGAATGCCCGAAAGCGCGAGCCGCAAGAGCGCGGATCTCGGCCCCGACGACGGCAGGCGGAAACAGAGTACTTCGTCTAAGCACTCGCGTCGCAGTCCCAATTCGTCTAATCCGAGCACTTCTCCGGACCTGGAGAGCAGGCCTACAAGTCCCGCTGTTATGCGCAACTTCGCGGCTGCGGGGCTGTATGAGGCTCATGGAAGCGGGAGTGAGTCGGCTGAGAGCAGGAAGCCATCTCCAAGTGCTCCCCTGGCGGCAGCGGCAACACCGGAGTCGAGAAGTGTCGAACTAAAGAACGAAGAGCCAATACTCGCGCCGTTACTCCGGCCGTACGAACCGCCTATTCCCCCCAGATCGCCGGAGAGAAAATCTTTCCAACTCAACATGGGGCCATCTAAGGCGGGAGAGGACACGAAGACCACAGAAACGACTTTACCGAAGATGAACGATGCTCCCGTGCTAAAAGCTACGAGTGTCCAGCCGGACTGTGCTGGTCTGCAGGTCGTGTCTGCACTGATCTCTGAGGCCGAGTCGGATCGCAAACAGGATGTTGTAGCGGCAACAGCTCCGCATTCGAACCCTACAGCTGTGCGACCAATGAGTGCTCGCACGGCTGTCAACTTCAGCAGACCGTTGCGGCCGCGGGAGACGGGACCTGGTTGACGATTTGTGCTGCGTTGTTACATATCTTTAATCACCAAAAGGACGGCGCCATCAACTTCAGCCGCCCGTTACATCCTCGGGAGGAAAGGCCGGTTGACGACTTGTACGGCCTTTCGCATATGGTCAATCACCCAAAACGGAATCGGACATGATGACGAGGATGCAATGGCGCCACAGCCTTATGCCGGGACCCAGTGACCAAGTCGACTGCACTCACAGTCAACATGGCTGAAGTGCGAAATAACCCCTACCCAGCTGGCCTGTCCGATGCTGAGAAGTGAGAAGTGTAGGGCTCACAGTACGGGCGCCACCTCTCGAAACGCAGTCAGCGAGGGGAGGCTATCAGATGCACGGCATGTATGAACTACGAAGGAAGCTGCAGAGATATCTTGTACTTCCTTGATCACCACGACCCGATTCGCATGTCATCAAGTATCCGCATAACGAAAACGTCGGCATCAAGACTGTTCATATCCATATTTTTGCCACCTGTTTTGGTACCACTCCGAACATGCGTGTTTAACTGTACGCCTCGTTCGGGGCACCGTGTACTCAATCGGCAATCCCCGGATCTGCTCCATTCCACAGCGGACGAGCGTATTCGCGCCCACCCCATCCTCCATTATCTCGCAGGGGTATGTGCGGTCAGCAGCCGACGTTTCGTTGAAGAAGATCAACGCATTCGAATGGTACAGCTCGTCAAGGAAGAGGTATTCCAAGCTCGAATCTTCCCGGGTGAGATCCTTGAATGTATCGGCCCAGGTCATCGAGGGCCAGCCATGGTTCCGCGAATGAATCAGCTGGACTCCGACCATCGTGAGGCGTTTGATCGGAAAGTTATGGAGAAATGTCGACAAGGTGGCCTGCCTGAAGCACACCCCGTCCAGGGTGCACGAGCGGAGGAGGGGTAGGTTGTAGGCGCTTGCGCTGAGGTGATCGAGGAAGCGACGGGGTTGAGAGCGCTCGACAGTGTACCAGTGGATTCGGAGCGATTCCAGGAGGGGCATGAAGGACAGAAAGACTGGGAATCCGGCGAAGTTGCCCTCGTCGTTGAGCAGGGTTTTCTTAGCAAACCCTGGGTCTTCGTCTTCTTCGACCTCATATGATTCGTTTTCGGACAAAATGCGCGCACAGAGGCTGATGGAAAGAGAACTGAGTGACTTGAAAGCCGCACGAAGACCTTCTTCGTGCTTCGCAATATCGTGTAAGTCGCGGCAGGGCGAATGGCAATAGGGCAGGCCATAGAAAGCATTCAATGAGTGGACAGGCAGTCGAGATTGCGCGAGGGAAGCGATGCAGATGTGTAGGATCTTCGAGGCTATCTCGGGCGCCGTCTCCTGGTCCCATGGATCCTCCTCCCGGCTTCGAGGAAGAGGCCGCTCGCCGCGAATCGCGTCTCTGCGAAGTAGAGCAAGTTCCAGTGATAGTGCGTATGATTTGCGGTACTTCTTCAGGCTTTCGAAAGCTTCGGCCAGCACTTTCGACATCGAATCCGTCCAGTTGAGTGTCACTCTCGGCCAGGTAAGCGCATGGTCACGTTCGTGCTGCTCCTTCTCCAGGGCATGCAGCGCATCTTGGGTCTTCTTCAACACCTCCAGCTCCGCCGGGGTACAAGGATGCAGAATCGAACGTCTTGTCCCGTAGGGCGTATACTCCGTGTAGCCTTTGCGCCGGATTACGTCGTCTAGAAAGTGCGTGTCGACGATCTCACCCACGAGCACCAGGTTTTTGAGAAAAGGCGCAAGGGTTTGACACTCGGTGAAGCGGATGAAGGAGCGCACAGCCTCGAGATTGAGATGCAAGGTGTAGGTGTCGAAATACGATCGGAATGTGTCTCCGGCGGCCAGGGCAGCCAGAGCGCGATTGCAGAGCCGCAAATTGAGAACGTCGTCTTTCTCCAGCAGCTCGACAATGGACTCGATGATTTCGGAGGGGCAGATGTCGATGGACATTGTGGGTGAAGCTGTGGGAGCGGTTGTCGTTGATAGATGGATGGTTTGTAGGTTGCGCCTCTTGCTGAGACTGACGAAGATGTTTGGAGGAAGAGAAAGATTTGAAGCAGCGAATGTGTCAATAAAAGCAACACAGTATCACCTTACGATGACTCCACGAGTGAAGATGAGGGGTATCTGCTTCGGCAAGGGAGAAATCCGACCTGTATGATAATTGTCGTGATACATTCGGGTGAACCAGCCAGGCGGGCTCAAGCCATGCAGCAGCCTGACGGTACGTACCTCGAGCCCTCACCGCCCGTCCCATCCATCGAAAATCAAAGAAAGGCCGCCAAAGCCTCCATAAACGCCTCATGGTTCTCCAGCATAGGCAAATGGCCGGCATTCGGAATCGCCTTGAAAGTGGTATTCGGGATGCCAAAGCCTTGCATCACCTCTGGCAGCTTTCCGTCTCCCTCCCCCGCAATCAACAGTCCCGGGGCCTTGATACTCGCCAACGAATCTTTGAGATCGTAGTTGCAAAGTGCGCCAGCGTTCTGCGCGAAGCCATCGAGATTGGCGTCTGCAACCATTTCTTGCGTCTTCTTTGCATTCGCTGAGCCGTGATTGGCTTCAGTGAACCATCTTTTGACCGTCACGTCCGCCAACGCATCCATGCCTTTTGATCGCGCGAGTTCAATGCGTTCATCCCAGGCCTTGTTGTTCGCTGCTCCAGCGGCGACATTGCAGTCGCAGGCGACGAATTTGTCCAGCATGTCTGGATGGCGGATGGCGAAATTGATGCTGGTGACGCCACCCATGCTGACGCCTACGACTGCGTGTGCCTTTTCGATGTTGAGGCGTTGGAGAAGGTACTCGAGGTCGTCCGCGAGTAGGTCGAAGCGGGTGGGATTGCTCTTGGCGTCTTGCTGGGAATACCCTCTTGCATTGTAGCGGAGAACACGATAGGATTTGCCGTTGACGCCTTGAAGAAGGGCTTTGGCCACGCCGTCCCAGATGTGGAGTGTGGTCAGGATGGAGTTGACGAAGACGATTACGGGCGCCTGCGGATCGCCTTCAAGTTGGAAGCGCAGCTGCGCTCCGTCGGTGGTGGTGACTGATGACGGCTGCTCGTTCAACGGATAGAAGGTGTGGTAGTGCTTCCAGTGCCGGAGTTCGCGAGAGACGACGTGCTTCCTGATATTCTCTCGCCAAGGCGTGTTCTGTGCGTTTTGAAGCTCTGCACCGTTGATTCCGTTTTGCGCCGTGTAGTCATGTACCGCCAGGAACTCGAGCTGGCCTGCGGGAGGCATACCATTCAGTCCGCCTACGACCAGTTTGAAGCGCCGCGATCGAAGCCACCCGGGAACTTTGGAAATCATGTCGATATGTTCTTCTTCGTACCACTTGTCCCACTCCGCAACCCCGGATTCGTGGAGCCTGATGGAAACAGCGTGCTGCACGGGAGCCGGTTTCTCAGTTGCACCGTGAGACGAATAGAGGGAGTAGATTTTCCGGTCCAGTGATTCGAACGTGCTCATCACCCGCTTCTCGCGTTGCGAGCGCTCCTCGCGCAGTCGGGTGTAGATGCGCTTGTCGAGCCAGGCCAGGTCGGAGACATCGTAGACGGCGGTCCAGGCTGGTGTCTTGTCGTCTGCGGCCGTGTATCGATTCCCGTTCAGGATGAAGGGGAGGCGCAGTCGTAGAGGGCCGTGCTCGTTGTTGTACCAGTCGTGGAAGGCTGTCTCGTCTGTTTGTGGACCCGGTTGGATGGCTACCTGTAGACGGGATCAATCAATGTCGACGAGAGGTAAAGGCGGACAGGCTTACTGCGAGATACCCGGGGCCTTCCATATCTTATGACGGATCAATTCGATGGAATTGGTTGCATCCATGCCGTCCGGGGCGTGGACGTTCATTTATTGAATGCGGATTCGTGGTGACAGACTTTACGGGAGCTGTCATCGGCAAAACACTCTTCCGAGGTCGGCATCGAAGAAGAACCCTAAGGCCCTTGTCGAGCAACACTTGAGTCTGTAGAGAGATCGTGTACTCAAAGGGTAGGAGACGTATCCATACTTGCGAAAAATGATTCCAGCTCTACGCAATACGCAAACTAGGAATACACATGTTATGGGGATCCAATATCAGTTCTGCGATATCATCACCACAATGGCTTACGGGCCTTCCAACTTAGGCGGGTCTCCTCCGTCAGGGAACAAATCCACATAATCGTTCGAACCCTTCAGCAACTGCTCGAAATTCAACCTCGTGCTCCACCGGATATTCCTCGTAAACGACTGCACGTTGTAAGAGTCGCCTTTGTGTTCGATGTCGCTGTGCGTGCTCGTCCGTCCCTTCGGCCGATGCTGCTGGAACAGCTGCGGCAGCGGCGCCACACAAGACGCGGTGGTGCGGTTGCCGATGCCGTTGCACACGTACTGGTACATGATATCTACCGGATCAATCATGCTTTTGATCCCGGCTTCGTACAGCATGCGACGGGCGCCGCGTTGCGAGATGGCGTAGGCGGTGGAGCACACAGCTTGCCAGGGGCGGTGAACGATGCGTGTGTGAGGAGGGTAATCGTCCATTAGCTCGCTGTTGCCGAATTGCATGTTCAGGTGTTGCGCTTCGGGGACGCTTGGGTCATTTGGAAGTATGACTCGGCCGAGGGGGACGGTCAAGTCGCTTGCGCGAGCAAATCGCGTGCCGCAATGGCCCAGCCAGAGCAAGTCCCAGCGATCGAGGTCGCCATATGGGGAGGTGATGGCGGGGGTGACGAAGTCGGAATGGATATTGAAGGTTTGGGCTTGCTGATCTTCCCCGGGGATGGGGTAGCTTGCGTCGAGGAATTGGTCGGTGGTTCCGATTTTGGGTTGGAGGAGAAGCTGCGATGCTCTTGCAAAGTCCCGCATTTGTCCTTTGATGCGCAGGTCCCAGTCGGCATCATCTTCCATGATGAGAGCGGAGGAGATGTCATTGTCGACGACCCTGCTGTGATCAGCTTCTGGTCCTTGCATCGCCGTATGGGCATTGAAACCCTCACATTCTCAAGAGGTCGAGATGAGCCCTCCAACAACCCAGAGCACCGGCGGGAAGGTTCCGTTCGGTGCCGCCGGGTGGGAGAAACTTTCGATCAACATCAGTCGTGCCAGAGACGTATTCGATATTGAGCCCCGTAAGAGATGCTGCCAATGACACCGCATCTCGGTGGTCGTAGCGGGATGGAAGGCTGACGACGAAGATCTTCTGAAACTGCGACACATAACCGCTCGTCAACATCGCGAGCTTGTGGCCTGCCGTTGGATTAACTCACCCCAAGAGTCGAATTGCCAACGTCGTTGAGGATATGGGAAGAGCGATAGCTGAAGTGAGAGTTGGTCTTTCGCAACCCCAGGCCGAGAAGAATGCACAGACAAATCAGACCGACTGCGATCCAAATCGATCGCCATGGCCGTCTCGAGGCGCCGCTCTCGTACGCAGAGATCATTCTTGCAGCTTGATTGTTGGAGAAGAAGGAAGGAGTTGGAGGAAAGTAGATAAGGACATTATGTCTCGAAGCCCCTCGCCACGGAGACGTGAGAATGTTGACGCAAGGGAAGCAAGGGACAGACGAGGGTTCCAGATGGAAGGAAAATTCCATGCTGCACGAAGGCGAGAACGGCGCACACCTACCAGCGAGCAAGGCTTGTCGTGATTTGCGTGGAACCAATAGCGCATGGTTTCTTCGTGACGGAGGAGAAGAGCCATGGGCCGTTCTGCCCAGATCAACTTGATGTCGTGCCTCGGCGGGACGAGATTATGATGCTTAACGATTAACTCGCGAAAGTATATTATATCACCCTGCGACCTGTGCATACATGCAACTGAATAGCGATGAATGGATTGAGCGAATGATGATGACAGAGGGCAGGACGATCCCTTGAGTAAGGTAAGGTAATGTTCCTTAGGGTTTAGGTTGTGAAGTGTGGCTTAGGGTTAGCTAGATTGTCGCCTCAGGCATCACAGCTGTCCCTGAACTGACTTCCCTCGAGACGTCAGCGTTCATCGGCCCAACGTAAGATCAACACCAATGTCCTGTGAATGATCAACCCACGCCATCCCTAGCCTTTCGTGCATTGGCTCGACACGAGTGTGTACGATATGTCCAATGGACTGAACGAAAAGAATGCGCTGTCCGATGACGGCCATTTGTCGCAATCCGAGGATGACGACTATGCGGAAACACATGGGAGGACGTCCGAGGACGTGAGACGGCATGATCAAGACACCCTGACCGCGGAGGAAGAAGCGGAGAGGCTGCTGGGAGTTAACGAGAAGGATGCGAGGAATATTGCACAGAGGTTCGCAGACCGGCGAGAAGCGCGAAGCCAGCGGAGGAGGGAGGCGACGCGCAGCAAGAGAGGTCTACGCACCGCTGGCCGGAGCGAGTTGATGTACGATACCGAAGAAGGCCGACGATCAAGCAGCAGCGAGGGAAGCAACTCCAGCGAGGCCGATCTGCAGCTGCTGAAGGAGACGCAGTCAAAGCAGCGGGTGAGTTGTACACCTCCGTGTCCTACCACGACGAAAGACTAACACGACGAAGACGACCAAGACCTCCCGATTCGCACGTTTCACTATGATCCACGTCGTCATAATCGCCGCCTTTGTCGCCCTCGTATACGGCGCATATCACGCAACATCTCACAAGTCAAGCCCGACTTTCGTCGCTCAGACGCTGTCCAACGGCACCCACACCTTCCTCCCCACCACCCTCCTCATCTCCCTCGACGGCTTCCGAGCCGATTTTCTCGCCCGCAATCTGACGCCCACATTGAACGACTTCGTCCGCTCAGGCGTCAGCCCGCAGTACATGACCCCTTCCTTCCCCTCCCTCACCTTTCCCAACCACTACACCCTCGTCACTGGCCTCTACCCCGAAAGTCACGGAGTCGTTGGCAATACTTTCTGGGATCCGAATACGAGCAAAGAGTTCTACTACACCGATCCAGCTCGCAGCATGCAAAGAGAATGGTGGAATGCCGAGCCATTATGGGTGACGGCCGAGCTGGCCGGAGTGCGAAGTGCCATCCACATGTGGCCCGGAAGCGAAGCGCCCATTGGCGACATCGAACCCGCATATGTTGACAAATATAACGGGGAAGAGCTATTGGACACGAAGATTGACCGCATCTTCACCTGGCTCGATCTCCCGGGCCCCGAAGACGAGAACGCCAAGGATGCGGGTCTTCGACCTCAACTTATCGCGGCGTACGTTCCTGACGTTGACCGTGACGGCCACCGATCCGGTCCCAACAGCACTCACATCCGCGGCACTATCGCACAAGTGGACGACATGCTCGGCACCATCTTTCGCAAGATCGACGAGCGGAATCTGACCCACATTGTCAACATCATCGTGGTATCCGATCACGGCATGGCCACGACATCTATCAATCGCCTCATCCAGCTCGAAGACCTCATCGACACCTCCCTCATCGAACACACCGATGGCTGGCCTCTCTACGGCCTCCGCCCATACAACTCCGACCCCGCCCACCTACAAGACCTCTACAGCACTCTCCTCGCCAAATCTCGCCTTCCCGAATACAGAAACAGCTTCGATGTCTACCTCCGCGACAAAAACATGCCGTCGCGCTACCACTTCAGCAACAACCCACGCATCGCACCCCTCTGGATCGTGCCCCGCGTCGGCTGGGCCATCGTCACGAAATCCGAGTTCGACATCCCGCTCTCCAAACAGCGCGGCGACGAGTACAAACCGCACGGCCTGCACGGCTACGACTTTGAGCACCCGCTCATGCGCGCCATTTTTGTTGCACGCGGCCCCGCCTTCCCACATCCGAAGGGCAGTCGCGTGGGCGAGTTTGGCAACGTGGAAGTCTACAATATCGTGTGTGATTCATTGGGGATTGAGCCCAGGCCGAATAATGGGACTTTGAGACTACCGTTGAGGACGCAAGGGTTGCATGATTTTGACGCTGTGCACGGCGGGGTGAATACGGAGGTTCCGGAGGACTTTTCTTCATCGGACGGCGATGGCGATGGATTTGATGGGGGAAGTGGACTCGGTGGTGCAGGGGATCTGGATCATTTGAATTTCGGTGCGCCGCCAGTCATGCCGACCGAGCCTTTGCCGCCGACGATGCCGACAGATCCTGTGCCGCCGACACCGCCGACCGAGCCTGCTCCGTCTGACGAAGGCGCGGAAGGACAAAAGGGCTCGCAGAGCTGGTGGGAGTGGATGAGGGAGCAGTTTGAGAAGATTCAGAGTTGGGCTGATCAGCAACTTGGAGGCAAGGAAAAGGAGGACGGTCAGGCGGGGTCCTAGGCATGACCTTGAACGGAAGAACACGTCGCTTTCTCGACTCAAAAACGCCGAAGAGCTCCCCTTGAACTCTCCACCGAATCCAATTCTGATGTGGACGCAGCCAGGAACTCTCGCCTTGTTTTCTCATCTCGATATCAGACGCGACACGCCAATCGCCAAACGCACACCTTTGGATATGGTAAATCTGCAATCGCCGATCATTGTTCAGCCATTCGTGTCGTCCAACGTGCCGATGCAGCGACAGCTTTTGTTGACAACAAGCATCCACGTCGATCCACTCGGCGATCCTGGCGCTACTCGTCTGCGTGGTACAGAGACCCGTTGCATTCCTTGTCGCGCGATCCTTCGCTCTAGCGTATGTGGGTTATATCACATCATTTACATCTATCTTAGGCTAATACTGTGTGCCCAGTGGAAAGATGAATTGGAGGCAAACCTTAGTACGAGCAGGACAGCCCAAAAATGCAAGGCCGCGCGCCGTCCGAGCCGTCCGGTTACGCCTGCCCAGGTACATCCAGTAGGTCGCGTAAATGCCCTGAGATTGGGACAACAAGATTGAGGCCAGCAGCCTCTCCACCTATTTTCTCACCATGGCATGGCCACGAAGTTGATTTCACATCAGCAGCGCTGCCAGGCTGGCTTACTATGGAGAGCTTTATCATGCATGGCCAACCGAGGCAACCTCTGTCAGTCAACGGACGCAGCCATGCCACAGCCCGACGCGTAGAAGGAAACGCGTGAATTTCACGGGCAAGGCAAGGTATATCAGTAAGTCCACTGTGCCCTGGGGGGACGTCAAGCCAGAGCATCATTTCTCCACTCCTTCGAATCATTTCCCCCCGCTCGTTGCAACAAATAAGCGCGAGCTCAGCAGCCATGGCTGCCATCGTCCATCTCTTCTCCTTCCTGGGCGCACGCCTCGTTGGCAATGGGATCCAGCATCACAACACAAAAGATTGCGCGCCAGCGCCACTTACTACGCCATTTCCAGCCCCAAAGCAGCCATCATTGCCACCGCCATCTCCTCGCCTTCCTGGAGGCCGTCTAGCTAGCAACTCGATCCAGCAACACAGCACAGAAGATTGCGCGCCAGCGCCACCTCCCGTACCAATTCCAGCCTCATCAGCCATGCGTTCACTAGCTCGACCGCCACACCTACCAGCGTGAACAAGTGCACCAGCAAAGACAACGCCGCCGGCTGAGACAACAATCTTACATCGGCATTTTCACCCTTATGCTGAACTACCAGGATCTGCGCGACGATGGCCGGGAGGCAGTCGCAGCCGCAGACACCGCAGATCCGGGCCAACACCCGCAAATAGAACGGTGCCCGCCACGGCAACAGGTATCTGTCACGTTCGGCTTCGGTTGCGCGAACTGCACATCCTCACCTTCGGCTCCGGTTGCGTGAACAGCACGCCCGCCGTCGCGTGCAGCTTCGTAAAGACGTATCACATCCCTAACCGACCCACCTGCGAAGGCCTCTTCAATGTCCCCGACCACTCTCATCATGCAGTATCCTTGCGGAAACCGAGTCGACCAGCCATTCTTGGGACCGCTCCTTCACTGGAACGTGGTCAACGGCTTGGACCAGCGTTTGCCTACTGACAAATATGTGTGGCTTGGTGATCACGGCTGATTGCGGGAAGTGAGCTCGCGAGATGGTGTGATTGTGTGGATGGATCTGATGCGGAGGCCTGTGGCTGGGCCTTGTCCCCGGCGAGCCATGTCCGGACGGGGTGTCTAATTTTGATTGATCCTACAGAGTGAAAGACCATACACACCGGACCTAACAAAATCCACACAACGATCTTCTGGCGCTTCGTGATCGATAGGCTGGACAGACGGATGTGGCGGCTCGTAGAGGTGGCGTTGCACACAAGCTTCGAACGTCTGCCACCTGCGTCTTGGCTGGGCGTGGCTATGGAAAGCTTAGCCGTTGTTCATTTCGCCTGCGCGGGACATTCGCCTTGCCGTAAGGGCGGCGGGACAAGCGATCGCCCAAAGGGGAAGTGCCGAGCGGCATTTGGCGGCCCCTGCAGCATACAGCCTCGTGGTGCGACGGGCGTTTGAACAGCGCGGCCGACGGTTTCCTCGCGGGATGGTAGAGTGTTGTTGGTGCGGATGGGTATTTCTAGTCATGCACGTGGGCTTCTAGAACTTCGCGTGCCTTTGCGAGATGAGCAGGTAGAGCGCAGGGACGGCGTGATGAGACGGAGTGGGCACCACGTGCATAGCCTTACGGTGTGTCCAACCACGTTGCGTGCCTTGGCGACGGAGCTGGGTCCACGTGCCTTAGCCTTGCGGCCTACCCAACCGACTGCATTTCTCTGACACCCCTTCCGCGACTCCGAGGGGAATTTTGGCATCCCCTTCGTCTGGACCTGCCCGCAACCGCGGCTCTGCACGTCGTGTACGTATACTAGCGCGTGGCCGGCATGCACGCCGTTTGCTGAGGTAAAGGTCGGTTAAGCCGGCTCCCGCCGAATGCGGCCTAGCACGTCTCGAGCAACGACGACTTCACGCCTCCCCGAGTCATGCCGGTGTCGTCTCCTCGGCTCCTGCAGGCAAGGCTGCAACGTGCACTCCATGCGATCCAGGCTTCGTGTACGAGCCTTCTCCCTTCCTACTCCCGCCCCTGTGTCTGGTAAATGTCAACACGCGGAAGCGAACTCGACCACGGCCTCCTCATTAATTTCCTACGAAGCATTGTTCGTAAAATTTGCTGCCCTGCCATCGCGCCACGAGTGGAGGCGAGCGAGCAATGGAGGTAAGTCATATAAAGCATATACGCGCCGGGAGGCGTGCCAGAAGAGAGCACACATCCTCGTACAGGCAGCACCAGACTAAGGCATCATGGTTGCTATCACCCATCTTTTCGCCTTGCTCGGCGCCGCCTCTCTGGCGCTCGGGGTCCCCTTTCATCCCGACCAGGACCACAAGCATCATGTGGAGCATCATGGTGACCATCTTCGTGAAGCTCGTTCCGAACTTCACCACTTCGAACATCATCTTGAGCGCGAGGAACATCGTCGTGAGCATCATGATCGCGAACATCATGATCGTGAACATCATGATCGTGAACATCACGATCGCGAACACCATGCTCGCGAACATCATGAGCGCGAACAGCGTCGTAAACATCATCGCGAGCAGCATCGCGAAAAGCATCCCGAGCGTCATCACCATCAGAAGCATGATCCCCATCACCCTAACCATCCCGAACATCATCCCAAGCATCATCACACTGACAAGAAGCATCCCGAGCATCACACTACTGACCACAAGCATCACACTACTAGCACCACCTCCCATCACCACACCACTTCCGACCCTCATCACACTACTAGCACCCACTCTCATCATGACACCACTACTAGCTCGCCAACGAAGAAGACGACCAGCACTTCCTCGAAGAAGACTACGAGCTCGCCAACGAAGAAGACGACCAGCACTTCCTCGAAGAAGTCGACTAGCACTTCCTCCACCTCTTCACATTCGACCCACTCCACCAGCTCGTCTACCACCAAGTCTACCGACACCGTCGGTCCCACATCGACGAGCACCACTTCTTCTGCGCACAAGAAGGTCTCTAGCTCTTCTACCTCTTCAAGCACGAGCAGCTCTTCCACTTCTTCGAAGTCTTCCAGCTCGTCGACCTCTTCAAGCAAGACCAGCTCTTCTACCTCGTCAAGCACGACCAGCTCTTCGACCTCTTCATCATCTACAAGCACTCCCAGTGTCAACAGCACGAGCACTACGAGCGCCAAGTCGACGCAAAGCACCACGACTCCGGCTGTGAACTCCACGAGCACATCGACAACATCTACAAGCACTCCTTCCGTCAACAGCACCACTTCGAGCGTGCAGTCGACTCCAAGCACTTCTACCACAGCCGTCAACAGCACTGCGAGCGCCCAATCTACCGCCAGCACCTCAACCCCGGCCGTCAACAGCACTACTAGCGCTTCCACGACCATCGTATCCACGCCGACCGTCAATGCCACCACCATCGTATCCACCCCGACCGTCAATGCCACCACCAGC